GGTTTGGGATGGCAAGTTGCCGCGGCGGTGGTTGGTGGTGCTGGAGCTGGAGGTCCCCGAAGCTTGGCTTTTCTGTTTCTTGTTTCTCGACTCGCCGTGGACTCTTTGTGTGTTCGGGAAGGCCGTTAACAACTTAAAAGCAGGGTCGCACCACGGTAGACAAGGCTGGGCTGGGCTGGTTTGGGCTGAGCTATGGGATGGAAGGTAAGCAAGATGGACATTCATCAGCCTAAGGCCGATCGATGAGAAGCCGAGTTGGTTGGAAGGACAAAAAGGATGGGATCGTCCGGTTCTGACAGGCTCACGAGATGACTTGCGTGGCGTGGCCCGTGAAGGGTTTCCCCACCGAGCAGAGTAAAACACTTTTAAAAGTCCAGCTTTTGCTGGAGGATAGCGGACGACCTGTGCGAGTAGAGACAGAAGTTCAAGGGCTAGCAACGATAGTACTCCGTCGTTCGGTGGCATGGTGGAAACGTGTAGTCAACGTTTGGTCTTATCCGTCGTATCTCCCGTGCCCCATCGTAATCACCCGCAAGAGCCTGAATATCAGGATCGTTATCAACCACTATGGGGCAACATACAGCACAGTGGGACGACTCATGGATGACCACAGATTAGGGGGTCCCATGCCAAGAGTCTTGGTATTTCCCAAATCATGAAGGCTGTATACCTGACTGATAGAGTATGTGACCATTTACTGTAGTAGTGAGACCGTTTGCAGCGACCATCAGCTGGATGGTCTCCGGTGCAACCGTCGTCGAACTACTGTCATAACAACAATGAATGTAAATCAAGTCCAACGTAGAAGACTCGGTACTCGGTAACTCACACCCTGGCAAAAGAGAAACACGCTAATTTGCAAACTGGGGTAACAACAGTCGGGGCAGCATTCTATCCTCAGCCAAAAAGCCAGCCAAGGCTAACCTGCTAGTACGACTGTATGGAGAAGAATAAAGTTAGAGCCAACCCAGTGCCTCCGCCCACGGCGAGTTAACTCGACCTGCCTAACTCGATCGGACCATGAAAGTCAAAAAGTCAAATCCTCCAGCCCAAGGGGCCAGTCCCCAGGTGGCCTAAGCACACCCGGTTCCATGCGCGGGCCTCTTTCATTGGTTTATTGGCCCCAGTGAACCCAGTTAAACCCAGTTAACCCCAGTCAACCCTGACCAGGAATCCATCACAAACCCCCAGTGCCTGTAACCCAGGAGGATGACAAGAATAATAATAATGATGATTTTTAATTCCCATAATTCATGAAATTTATATACTATTACAAGTTAAGATTATCGTTGACTGTGACAATCACCTAATGGATATTCATGGCCCTGGTCCATATTTAAACAATCGACCTCGTCCCCCCCCAGCTTCTCTCACACTCCCTGTTAGTCGAGTCGCGACCCTTTCTCTCGTCTTCTTATTTCCTCACTTCCTCTATCTCCTCCAAAGAGTCCCCGGTGGAACTCTCATCCTCTGGTCTGCTTGAGCTGGAAGTCATCTCGACCCTCGAGAACCAGTCTCCATCCTACTTGGAGCTGCCTCCGCTCTCACCATACTCCCTTTCCATCTCCCCATAATCTCACCCTTCTACTGAAACCGACAGCTCCCTGAAACCCCAAAAAGGGCTGGTCGCAATCATGGATGAGAAGACGTACGACTCTGGGTCCAAGGTGGCTCAGACAACAGGCGAACAGTTGCCAGCCTACGGCGACTCCGAGCCCACCAAGGGCAGCCTCGGCCGACGGATCATAGATAGCTTCAAGCGGGATCCCAATGCGCACATCACCAGCGGCCGCTCTGAAGGCGCTGATGGCTCCGGCTTCGATGCCGAGCAGGCTGCGCATAACACCGCCCACTCGCCGCTGCAGCGTCGCTTGAAGGGCCGTCATTTGCAAATGATCGCCATCGGTGGTTCAATTGGTACGAACCCTTGGCGTCACCCCGCATTCGATATCCTATCCTAGAGCATATTTTGGCTAACCCACAAACTCTAGGTACCGGTCTCTTTGTTGGTTCTGGATCTGTCCTCGCTGCCGGTGGACCAGCCTCGGTTATCATCGCCTACATTCTCATTGGAATTATGCTCTACTGCACCGTCCACGCGCTGGGCGAGATGGCCGTGCTGTACCCCGTTGCTGGATCTTTCTCTCACTACTCAACCCGTTTTGTGGACCCGGCCTGGGGTTTCGCTATGGGTTGGAATTATGCGCTGCAGTGGCTTATTGTCTTGCCCTTGGAAATTGTCGCTGCCTCGATCACGATAGACTACTGGAGTCCCGGTGTGTCTAACGCGGCCTGGGTGTCTATTTTCTGGGTGATGATTGTCTCCATCAACTTGTTCGGTGTTCGTGGTTACGGCGAGGCTGAATTTGTCTTCTCGGCTATTAAGGTTGTTGCTGTCATTGGATTCATGTATGTGGTTACCCTTATTTTGCTTCGGTTGGACGGCTTTTGTGCCGGACTCCTTCTCGTGGATGGTTTTACTGACTTGTCACTAGTATCCTCGGAATCGTTCTGAACTGTGGTGGTGGTCCCGAGGGTGGCTATATCGGTGGACGGTACTGGCACAACCCGGGCGCGTTCCATAATGGCTTTAAGGGTCTTTGCAGTGTGTTCGTCAACGCTGCTTTCGCCTTCGCTGGTACCGAGCTGGTTGGTCTAGCTGCTGCCGAGACTGCTAACCCCCGCAAGTCGCTCCCCACTGCTATCAAGCAGGTGTTCTGGCGTATCGCCCTCTTCTATGTGGTCGCCCTCCTTATGGTTGGCCTTCTCGTCCCCTACGACACTGAGCGTCTCGTCTCTGGTAGCTCGTCGGCCGATGCCCACGCTTCGCCCTTCGTCATTGCCATTGAGAATGCCGGTATTAAGGGTCTGCCCTCCGTCATGAACGTCGTCATCATGATTGCCGTGCTCTCTGTCGGTAACTCCTCCGTCTATGGTTCCTCACGTACCCTTGCTGCCCTCGCCGAGCAGGGCCAGGCTCCTCGCTTCCTGGCCTACATTGACCGCAAGGGTCGTCCTCTCTGGTCGATTTGCGTCGCTTCGGCCCTTGGTCTGCTTTGCTTCCTGGCTGCCTCGGACAAGCAGACTGTCGCCTTCGCATGGATGATGGCCATCTCCGGTCTGTCATCCGTCTTCACCTGGGGCTCTGTCTGCCTCGCTCACATCCGATTCCGCCGTGCTTGGCGCGTTCAGGGCCACAGCCTGGATGAGCTGGCGTTCCGCTCTCAGCCCGGTGTCATCGGTTCCTGGGTCGGTTTCATTTTTAACTGCCTGGTGCTGATCGCCCAGTTCTGGGTTGGTTTCGCCCCCGTGGGCTACGCGGAGAAGAGTGCCTCGGAGTTGGTGTATTCCTTCTTCTCTAGCTACCTGGCCGCCCCCGTTGTGCTGGCCTTCTACATCCCCTATAAGCTCTGGTACCGCACCAAGGTTGTTCGGTCTCACGAGGTCGACCTTGACACTGGTCGTCGTGACATGGACATCCAGCACTTGATTGACCAGGAGCGGGCTGAGCAGGCTGCTTGGCCCAAGTGGAAGAAGATCTACAAGCTCTTCTGCTAGAAAGTAGAATGCTATCTGTGTGTGGAATTCTCAGGTTGCATGCTGGCGATCTTTCTGTGAAAATCCCCCGCCCTTTTATGTACATCTTTAGTCTCCATGTCTTTGTCCTGGATGTCTTTTTATGACTCTTGCCTATGCTGATGATTACGGATACCATAATCAAGAAATATTTTATCTTATTCTTTCCTCAAATCCTCGCGTCCGTTGTAGACTGTAGATCTTCCCTTCTTCGGAAGTAGAAAAGACCAAATGTCTCACATTGATTTTCAGGTTCTGGTCTTCCCAACTCGATAGCTCTATCCACCTGGTTGCCCGCTGCCCACGTGTCCTTTTTAACGGAAGAGGCGCTCTCACAAGTATGCTCTTTAGTCTGAACAGGCTTGCCAGGAGCCTTTTTCAACACAAATAGGCTAATGTATCCATCTGGAATGTGCAGTTACGTAGTCTGACGTCGCTGGTCAACGGCCTCGCTGATCTTTAGGTCGAATCTCCAGACTTGGCATGTTTGCACCTGGGGCTGGTAATGGGATTACCAGATTACACAGCAAGCCCCAATAGTGCCAGTCTGTGCCTGAGGCGTCGGCTGTGCCTGAGGCGTCTAACATGTACGACTCGGACCCCGAAGAAGCTGGTCAACTTGGTATCCCTCAAATCCGTAGAATGAAAGGCATTAATCCAATTCCATATTCCATTCCTGTTGGCCTCCAATTTGACTCTGGGAGGCCCAATTTCTAATCTCCCGGCCCAACAGGCTCCAAAAGCGTGTCTCCCCTCTAGTCCAAAAATAGTACCACCTATTTACGTGCGTACTGAACTCGTGGACCAGCTAGTACAGGCCGCCCGGTAAAATTACAAGCCACCTGACGAACGTTCGATGGGAAACTCAACAACACCAGCAGCCATCTCTTTTTCCCCTATTCCTGCGCTTTGTCTCTCTCTCCGTCACAGCTCGGTGTGGCTTCTATCGCATTCTGCTTTGCTCAACCGCCGTCCCACCGGCTTTCATCCACTCCTTTCACGCTTTGCTCTCCGTCTCGCCGTGGCCCACAGCTTGGGCGCTTACGCTGCCGCGCACCTGTCGCTTTCCCCGAGACGCTTACTCTGCACGATTCAGGCTCGCTCGCTCTCTCTGCTACTCTGGTCTCCCCCGCTTGATGCGCCTGACCAGCCAGTGCTGAAACTTCAGTCCTCGCCTTGAGATCATTATCATTCAATCTAGTTGGGCGAATACAGGCTCAGCTCCAGAGCCAGACACCAAACAGACTCTTCAGTCTGCGGAGGGCTGTGCTATCTCCGTCCGTTCCACAGTTTACATCGGTTCCTGCATCTTCTGCATCGAGCATTAGCGGCCAGCGCTTTTCCTCACGTCGTGCCTGCTTCCGACTCAACACATCTCGTTCTCTAATTGATCCCGGATCGTTTGCCTGTTGGTCACCGTCACAATGCCTGGTTTCTCAGACTCCTTCTGGACACCCGACTATGCCACGGGCCTGGGGGTGCTATACGGGAAGTTGCAGCAGGGTGTGGTTGAGAATGTGCAGATCCTGACTATTGCCGCCATGCGGGCAGATGCGGAGGAACAGTATGGTCTCCGCATGGACGAAATTGCACCCAGTGTCGATCGCATGTCTGCCGCAGGTTTCGGCAAGGATGACGGTGCCAGTGTGAAGAAGGTAAGCTTGCAATTGAACAGGAACTTGGAATCAGAACCCCCGCTGATGTCACATTTCGCAATTTTCCACAGGCCTACGAAGGTGTTCGCACTGAGATGATCGAGGCCGCCCGCAACCACCAGAAGATCGCCAGCAACATTCGAGAACTTGTCGTGGCGCCCTTTCGACGCTGGAGCAATCAGCATGACTACCGTGTCCAGACCTCCCACGATAATCTCCAGTCGCGGATCAAGGAGCACACCAAGCAGGTTGAGCTGGTCAAGAAGCTGCGCAGCACTTACTTTAACAAGTGCCGAGTGGTAGAGGATTTGGAAGAGGAGAACAAGCTCGCTTTCCAGGATCCTGACAACAGCCCCCAAATCAAGACCCCGCCGAAGATCGTTCTGCCAACCGCGGAGGAAGCGCCCGAGGAAGATCCGTATGAGATTGGAGATCGAATCTATCCTCCCGAAGAGATCAAGAGCCTTCTGCTGCACATGCTGGACAACATTAGTCTTGGAGAAGTGAAGGTTCCCATCATTGGTACCTACCAGAATACTTCGTCGGGTGCGGAGATTGTCGAGTATATCCAAAACCACATGGGTGCGACCATTCTCGCCCAGGCGGAGCGAATTGGCCAGGATCTCGTCGACAATGGGCTCCTCCGCTTGATCGGAAACATGGGCAGCACTTTTGCCAACAGCTCAAAGATGAACTACCAGTGGCGTCCCAAGGTGTTCCAGATTACTGGAGTCCCTGAGAAGAAGAAACCTATGATGCGTGTGACTTCTATAGCCTCGAGCGAAGATGGCAGCGGCAACGAGTCGCCCATCACGTCCGTCCAGGAAATCCTGGCCGGCTGGAACCCTCTCAACAACCCTTATCTTAACGAAACCCCTTCAGAAAAGCTGCGCCGCGAGGCCTTTGAGGCCGATGAGAAATACAAGGCTGCTGTTCAGAGGCTGGATCAGATCAGGTGTCGTCTGGAGGAGGAGGTCATCGAGAACTTGCGGTTCATGGAGCAGTGTGAGCTTGACCGCCTCAAGGCCATCAAGGCCGTGGTCCTCGACTTTTCTGGCGCCATTAGCAATGTCATCCCCAACCTCCAGAGCACCGTCGACCACATGATGCTGTACCAAGAGACCATCCAGCCTCTGGGAGATCTCCGATATCTGCTGGAGAACTACCGCACCGGTGGCTTTGTTCCTCGAGTGCAGGCCTACGAGAACTACTACGGTTCCGTTGAGGAGCAAAACTTTGGCGTCGACCTTGAAGCCCGCGCTCGGGTCGATCGCAAGCGTGTCCCGATCGTGGTGACCACCATCCTGACCTATTTGGACAACGCTTACCCGGAGCTCGAGGGTGACGAGGCGCGACGTGCGATTTGGCTCCACAACCCTCCGCTTACCCAAACACATCAACTGCGAAACGCCTTGAATAACAGCAAGGTTGATTACCGTGAAGTCCTCCCCAAATTTGAGATACCCATTGTTGCCAGCGCTTTGAAATTATATCTTCTTGAACTGCCAGGTTCGCTTCCATCTTACCACTCCCCCTTCTCCATTCCCTTGCTAATGACTATCAGACTCTCTTGTTTCTTCGCAAGTCTATGAAATCGTCAAAACAATCTACTCGACCACCGCCCACGAGACCACGGAAGAGGGACGGATCAAGGTCCTGCAGAGCACTCTGGGACAGCTCCGCCTCGTCAATATCGCTACCCTTGATGCTATCATGACCCATTTCACCCGCCTGATTGACCTGACCTCGGCTGAAGAACAATACATTGCTACTTTGGCCCAGGCTCTGTCCCCCTGTATTCTCCGTCCCCGTACCGAGAACAGCCTTACCATGGATGAGCGCCATAGCTACCGGTTGATCCGTGATCTGTTTGCTCACAAGGATGCCATCTTTGGCGAGCTGAAGCGCCAGTCAAGCGTACTGGGCATTTCCACGTCGAACCGTCCCCGTGCTATTAGCACAGACGAGAGCAACCGTCGGGCAGCTATGGAAGCTCGTCAACGTGCCATTGTCAATCGAAGCCGCGCTACCAGCCCTGCACCCGGTGTCCGTCACCGCCGTGATCGCTCTAGCGGTCCGTCCTCATCCACTCGCTTCCCTATCAACGTAACTAGCCCGCAAGACCGCTCCCGGACTGCCACTCGCGGTAGTGCCAGCCTGGATGTTCCCCCAACGAGCGACTCGCCTACCACAGCTGAGCATCCTCCCACGGTAAACACCCATGCTGCTGAAGAGGCCACCAATGGCACCTCCACCGAGTCCCCGGCCTCTGCCGCTCCCAGTGTCTCTTCTGGTACATCAAGCCCTCCTCCTCCCCTCCAGAGGAGACTGCCTCGGATGGTTCTCCAACTCCCACTCCCACCCCAGTTCCCACATCCAGTGAGTTCGACAAGCGCAGCTCCGTTCCCCGGTCCGTTGGTTCTCGATACAACCGCAAGCCCGGTCTTGGCAGCATCTCGAGCTTCCCCTCCGGTGCGGGTGCCTCCGAGTCGGACAGTAAACGAAACAGTTTCGCTGAGAGCGAGCCCAAAGGTGTGACTCTGGAGGATAGGCCTATGGATGACTGAAGAGAGACTCTGGTTTGACGCTTTCATTCATGTGTATTCCCGACCCATTCTGTATAGACCTAAAACATATGCAACAGCCTGATTAGCCTCCTGGTCAACCAATCCTTTTCTCATTCTTGTGCTTTCGATTTTGTTCTACGTGCTTATCGTATCTATCAGTATAACAGGCATTCATACCCCCGTTTCCTTGCTTTGCGTCGCGCATGTACTCTCGAGTCTTCCATCATATTCCATGTTACCTGGGTCCGTTTCCATGCGTTCATCTTCCTAAGAATGTATATCTTTGCCAATTTGTGCTTGTGCTACAGATGTAGGCCTTGTATGCATATTCAATTGTGCGATCCAGCTTCGCCCGTCATCCTTCTCGCCCGTCCTCTCGCATATGCCCAACTTCCAGGAGCATTCGAGCTTCTCGCTCACTATCGATAACCAACCCAAGGCAGACGCCTTGTTGATAGTCTATCGTTTTATCGATGACGATCCCAAGGCAGACGCGCGTGCCTCACGATCGCCCGAATAGGAAACCGTTAGTTATCCGTCACTTCGACACGGGTATAAATATTTGTTTTCGACCACCCGTGACATTTCTTTGCCAACTCTCTCCCCTCCTTGATCTTCACAGACGACATCATTCGCGTGTCATCGTTTTCCATCGTTTTCCATCCATACTACCCCATCTGTATCCCGCAATCTTTGTGTGGAGACATCTCAAGATGACGGCTCCCTACCCTGGATACGCTCCTTATCCTCTTCGCGAGCCTTTCGAGTACTTCGTTACCGATAGGATGGTTCTTCATGCTGCTGCTCTCTGTCGCCCTGATGGCGCGGTCCCTTTCGTCCCTCTCGACACCGAGCTTGCCCCCTTCTACGAGGATGAGTGTTTTTCCTGGATCGTGCATTATTCCGATGATTCCAGGGTCATGGTGAAAGTCCCGATCATGAATTACGCAGATGACGATAAAAACTATGCCATCATCGAAAGGATGAAATGTGAATCTGAGAACCTACTCTTCCTGGCGAGACGGAATTACCCATGGTCACCTCGTCTGATCTACTTCACGGACAAGTTCGAGGGTAGCGCCATCAATCATCCCTACATGATCCACACCCTGCCCCCTGGAGATAGACTGCAATGGACCAACACATTCCCAACTGACAAGGCGAGTCGGGAGAAAGTTCTGGGCCAGCTTGCTCAGATCATCTTCGATCTTGTCCTGGTCGATCAGAAGTTGAGTATGTACTTGCTAAATATAGCGGGGAAGATTCCGGAAAATACAGATTGCTAACATCTTATCTAGATCTTGCTACCACGCCCCTGGAATGGTTGAAAGAAGTGATCGACAAGGAGATATTCCGTTCGCTCCGAGGCTTGAACTACGGATATCAGATCAACACTTTTGATTGCATGGTCCTTCGAATCCTCGCCCCCAGACTCTTGGAAGGAAAGACGACCAGCCGGATCTTTGCTCTCTCACATGAGAATATTGCCGCTCACAATATTTTCATTGACGACAACTTCAACATCACGGGGTAAGTTCACAAATGATTCCTCTCTTTCATCATGATAACCCCACTAACACGTTCATTTCCATCAGTCTGCTGGAATGGGGAGACCTCAAGAGCATCCCTCTGCGCTTCGCCCTGCGCTTCCCCAAGCTTCTGATGATTTTCCAGAAGCAACAATGCCCAATCATGCCGTCCTTCATGCGCCCATGGGTCAAGGAGTATCTGGAGGTCCCAGCCATCATGCAAGCCGATCGAACTCACTTCATCTCCCGTTTGCAGTACGAATTCGCAACCCGGGCGACTCCCTTTTCGATTGGTCATCTCTCACCAACGGGATGGGAAATGATGTGCTGGGACCTCCACCTCGTGGACTGGAGTCACATGATGGTCGAGGCAATCTTCCACCGGTCGACCCTTTTGATGATGGCAAGACACCAATTCTTCGCAGCTTGCCTTCCTGGGTGCCGGACTGGGAATATTGCCACCATCATGCCCGACATGATGATCCGCCACGAGGCCTGGCAGTTCTTCTGCGACAACTACCGGTACCTCAACCCATGGGCGAGGGGAAATGCAACGATCAGCATGATGCGCCTGGCCATCGAGAGAGAAATGCAATGGAATTTCACCTTGATGGCGCTGATGGAAGCATTTGGTAGCCACCCGTTCTGGGGAGTCCGAGGCGGTTACCGCCTCTAGAGGCTGGGTCGTTGACGAGGGAATGTGTGCTTTTGTTCCGTCTCACTCTTTTCTGTCTTGAGTATCTGTTTCGCTTCGCCCGGTGGATAGTTTGCGGGTTTCTTCAAAGCGCGGGGTGGCCTACTTGGTTTTCCCCTGTACGATTATGCATGGCGCGCTCACATACTGTAATCTGTTTGAGTTTCGACTGTGCTTTGCAGATTTTTTTGTTTTCTTTCGGATTATAGCTTTCATTCATTGCCCCCTGTGTGCTCGCTTTCTTGACTTTTCCAGATCTATGTTGCTCTGTGGCTCGCACGTAGCTACTTGCTTTGTCTTTGTTGGAAGTACATCATGCAATGCACATAAATCAAATTTCCCCATAACAAGCTAGAAAGAGTAAATCCAGTATAAAAAGCCGTCTTCATTGAGACTCACTCTCCCCGTTAGAACTAGCATGCACGACAACCGTTCCATCCTGTTTCAAAACCCCATCCCGGTCAATCAACGCCCTAGCTCTAATATACGGATCCAACTTCCAATAATTCTGCTTAAACTCCTCAATGATATCATTCCGACGTGCCTTTATCTCTTCAACCTTCTCCTTATCCTCTTTGTCCTTGGAATAATCCGTAGCAGAGATCCAGGCCGCGGTAGCAGCGAACATTCGTAGGCCGATCATCATGCGTTCATACATGAGGGAGTCGCGTGTTTCTGTATCTGCCATGATCTCATTTTCGTTTTCTTCTGGCTGGATATATTTGTATTCCCAGTCTTCGTCACCGGCGAGTTCGCGAGGAATTTGGTCGCGCGGGATGAATTTGTCGAGGTCGTTGACTGAGCGTGTGAAGTAGACTTTTGAGGCGACAACGGGGTCCATCCAGCCGTGGATGAGTTTCCAGATTCCTTCACATAGTCAGAGACTGCTCTTGTGAAGGGTTTGATATGGGGGTATACCGGAGAAAATCCAGGGCGCGTTGTGGATGAGAAGTAGGCCCAGTGATTCGGGGTAGTTGGCTTCGAAGCATTTGATGATGAACTTGACGGGTTGATACTCCTGTGTAGAAAAGGATTCCATCAATAAGCTACTCTGATCAAGTTAAGTAGTGGGTAAGTTCAATACCATGTTGGACAAAGAGAAGCCGGTCATGTCAAACACAATTGTCTGCTGGCGTCAGTAGGCGTCGTCTACTACCTTCCAGAAAGTACTCACGCCAGTTTCAATCGGAGGAACCACAATAAGTCTTGTCGTCTCAATGACATGCACAATGTACCTCTCCAAAACTTCCTCACTCTGGGCTCCGGGTTTATGAATCTTCACTCGCACATAATTCACCGGTCGTCCCTGTCTGTCAAATCCATGCAGGAAACTCTTCCCAGTCTTGAGCTGCTCGATAAAGTCCTGCCCTTCCTTCTTCTGCTTCGCTGTAAGTTTGTCATCACGAGATTGTTCAAGAGCATACAATTCCCCCTTGGGGAGAATATCATCGTCAACATCCATTTCTCTTCTCCAGAGGATATTAGTAGCCATCATCGTGAAACCCTTGCCAACATCCCACTTTCTAGCTCGCAGGAATCGAAGCAGTAAACTATCAGGATGTTCCTGCTTGATCATCTTCAGGATGGAGAAACACATTTCTTCCGGGGTCATTTTGGACAAGATCTTCTCCATGGATTTAATTTCTGATTCGTGGACGCCCGTCTTTCGGAGCTGTGCGAAGAGCGCTGAGAAATGTGCGGGGGTGACTTTTTTCGTTTCAATCTCCGACATGATGTTCTTTTTCGCGTCTTTGTTCATGAGAGCGTCCACTTTGTCGAGAGATTCCTGCTCTTTATTTCCTCCGTCATGCAACTCGTTCCCATCTCCATTGCTTTGATTAGCCACGCCATTACTGTCTGATGGGTTTCCATTATTGTCTTGCTCCTTCAAAGCATTGAGGATAGCATCAACCGTAGGCTCGTTGACTCTGTCCAGGATCTCGAAGAGTTTATTAGGCGAGCCCTCTGGGAGGGGGACTTCATACACCGCTGAGAGGACAGAGGCCGCTGAGGTAAAAATCAGAATCCACAGCTCACGTAGCTTAGCCTCTTGGCTGGGGGTGAGGTTATGCACATATCCAGTCGATGTGTCAGGTGTGATAGTCATATTGAGATTATAAGGGCTGTATTCAAATCCAGAGCCTTTTTGATGATAATATCAGAATATCCATAGTTGCGCTCACCATCTAAACTGCTGCTTTTTTATTCAAATTTGGCCAGCTATCCACATGAATGCTTGAGAAAGGAAGGCTAAAATCTGCCTCGGCCGCCCCTCTTGGATGGGGGCACGGGCGAGTTATTGTCGCTGCCTCGGTGGTTGGATCCGGTAGATCATCTCGTCGCTACGATATCTAACTTTCATCACAGTTGGGGTCATTTCTTTGCCCGTGCACGCGCAATGGTGAACCGAACCCTGGGACTAGAGAGATCCCCCACAAAGTGGAGATATCCAGTTTTTGGGATTGAAATATGATGTTTTAAATTCATTTTAAGTTTACAATCGTTCATAACGTTAAGAACAAGAAACATGTCGTATTCATACTATCGTTGAACTATAGCCAAACACTAAAGGAAATTATATCAAATCCAGATCCATCCATAATAAGCATTATCACTCTCAATCCAACAGCTCACTCAATGATCAAGAACAATAATTACAAATCCCATCCCTCTAATTTGGTCAACTTCAAATGCATCCCCTCAATAGGCTGAGTCGTCAAAGTCCCCCCAAAAGTAATCTTCTGGCCTGGCTCCTTCAGCTGAAAACGGAACATCCCAAACAGCCCCGCAACGGCACATCGGAACTCGGCTTTAGCAAAGTCCTTGCCAATACAAGCCCGTGGCCCATGAAGGAACGTAATCTGCGCAAAATTGGTAGATGCACCACCATGCTTATTCGGCGTCTGCTTTCCTGTCTTCTCGTCCGTATCAATCCATCGCTCGGGAAGGAACTGGTCCGCCGTCTCACCCCAGAATTCCGGGTTACGGTTGATGGCTTGTGGGCAGAGTGCGATTGTTGTGCCCTTGGGGATTTTCTTTCCGGCAATGGTGGTCTCACGAATGGCCTCACGGCCGGTCATGGGCACTGTTGGGTATAGGCGCAGAACTTCTTGACAGACGCCGTTGAGGTAGGGCATTCCCTCGAGGTCTTGCCAGGATACGGAGGCGTTTGGGGAGGGGATGGTTGCATATATCTCTGAGCGTAGCTTCTCTTGAATATCTGGCTCGATGCAGAGATGGTAGCAGCACCAGGTGAGTGCACCTGCTGTGGTTTCATGCTATATTCCTTGTTAGTTGCGTTCAATACACTCGGGTTGAGAAGTATGAAACGTACCCCGGCCGCGAGGAACGTCAACATTTGATCCACCAATTCACTATCAGTAAACTCTCCACCCCGCATCATGGTGCCCAAAATATCACCTTCGGCAGCTTCTTGCTGTGTCTTCTCTCGGGTAATCTGCTCCCGCTTCTCGTGAAGGATGTCGGCAAAGAGGTTTCGCAGATACTGGACCTTTTGCGGCAGGACGGAATTGGCATTGCATGGGATACGCTTCACGAACCACTGAGGTAGAATGATTGAGACTGCAAATAGCATCAAGAGGTCTAAAGATGGCTTGAGAATGGCGTTGAAGTTTTGCGAGACCGGGTCGTTTTCGTTTTCCAGCGACTGGAAGTCTCGTCCGATTGCAGCAGGTCCAATGATGTCCAATGTCAATCGGCTATGGAATATGTTAGCGAGCGGTTGTAGAAGGCAGGGGAGTGTTGTGTACTTGGCCCATCCTTGGATTTCCACAACTCCAGCAGATTGACCCTCCTTCCTCCCGGGCACAGGATGAAGATCGATCTCCCTTTGTAACTGACGAAGCAGATGCTGTGTTTTGGACCACATCAGAGGATACATAGCTCGAATATTCTTGATATTAAAAGCAGGTGTTACGGCTTTGCGAGCAGCTCGATGAGCATCGCCCTCAGAGAGGATGAGTCCATATCCGAGACCACGAGCCAAGAACTCTCGTCCACCTGGCGGCTTGACAAAATCGTAACTGTTTGTATGGAGGACATCCATGAGAGCCCTGTGGTTGGTAGCGACCACAAAGCTATAATTCAAAGCCTCTCTGAAATGTATTAAACCTTCATTAGGAATAGTTCGCAGCCAGTCAATCATGATACTTCCACGAGGTTGGCGCAAGAAGACTTTGGCTCCAATTAGGGGACCCTGGTTTGACGATATCAGCGCTGCTCCTGTATCGACAACTCAAGCCTTCTGAGAACATACATGAACTGTTGGCAAGTGTCGAAGAGGGTTGACAAAGAATGGCCAAATGAAGATGTTCCATATTGCCATCAACACAAAGTTGATACCGAGCGCGTAGAGAAATATAGTAGCTGGTCGCTCCGAAGTCATACGAAAGAAAATGATCAATCCTGTTTCGACCACAGTAGGAGGAATCAAAAGAACGAGACGCTCTTTAGCAGTAGACATTTTGTGATTCTTTGTTTGATAGATTATTGATGCCAGCGAGGAACAAATTTCATCTGCCGACCATGTCCACCACGATATATACACCACAACTTGACGAAGTAGGGCCGCCTACTACACTTGATTCACATGCCATTCAGACAAAGATGTGCATTCATATTTCTACACGGAAAACACTTCTAATCCGCCCTATCAAATTTTCATTATTGATCACTCTTTCCAGACATCGCTGATATCACTGGTCACTATGTGTCTGGGGTTCACATGAACGACGCTAATGCGATCGATCAACTAAAATGCGGGGGACCATTCTTAGCGCCTCCCAACAGTTTCTCCGTCAATGATTATGCTATTTGAAATTCTCCGCAATACGAGGCGAAAAATCACATGTTGGCTTCGGCTAGTCCCAGGACTTCGAGCTTACCACCTTGGGAATGCAGGGCGAGCGAACCAGAAAGTCACTTCTTGGCGCATGGACTTGCCGATGTAGGGGCAAATACTGCTCATCCCGAGTCAATGTTGATCATGGAGTCTTACGGCGATCAGTCTTGATTATGGGATAATCTTCGGAATTCATGTTGAATATGAGGGCTAGTTGAGTCTTGCACATGTCACGTATTCAGGTATGCGGCTGTATGCTGATGATTCCATGGAATTACTAAGCATCGATATTCGCAGCATCTGGATACTATCTTACGTACAAGGTGGGATTTCTGGCAAAAATGTCAAGATCCCTAGCTATCTGAGTCATGGAACGGAGTATCACATTTAAATTGATTTAAGATCTACACTGACATGAAGCAGACGCTTCAAAACACGAAAGTCGCAGCTGTGATGAAAGAATAATGTCCAGGGAGATAATAATGGCTGGTTCATTCCAGCAGGACAACCACTGCGCCTGTAATCAAACATTTACATAGACATAAGGTCATAAGTCGGAGAATCTAAACACACGAGACTTGCCGTCTCGGAAAGAGCAAGATGCTCACAGAGAGTTGGGCTGAAGCCGCACCAGGACTTCTTCCAGGAAGGCGTCAAGCACAGCGTCGACGCCGCCACCCATCTGCACCGGGGCCTCTGCATCCCAGCAGTGAAGGTTGGCGAAAGATTGGGCGATCTCATCGGCCATTTGCTCCATGCCCCGGTGAATCTGGACACTTCGCTCCCAATCTTTCTCTTCTTCAGGGGTTGGCTCCCTGTCACTCTGGTTTCGCCCGGGCTCCAGGCGGGCTAGCTGACGGCCGCGGCGATTCATCGCGGCGCGAAGAGCAGGAACGATCACGGACCCATAGGCTGTTGGTCGCTCGTTTTCAGCGACAGCCTTTGGGGTAGGGGCAGTTAGCATCTGCCTGGGCCGGTCGTTCATGTGAGGGCTCTGGGTTGACGTTGGCTTCCTCACGAATCGCTCATCCTGTCTGGATGGCGCAAGCTTGGACTTGAGCCCAGACATTTGCTTTGGGGAGGCTGGCGCCTCCGGCTGTTGTTGCAGGCCTGCATGGGATGATGGCCTGTGCAGCGCCGGGCTCAGAGGAGCATCCGGAAGCGGGCGTTGGAGTGGTGCAGGCTTTCTGGCAACCTGACTTGTAGGAGAGCGGGGTGGCTCGGGAATCGTGGGGTTGAGAGGATTTGCGGGCATCGCCGATCGCGATACAGCTGCCAAAGGAGCTGGCTTGTGTGGCACTAAATCGCTCGAGTAGCTCATCGTGGCCTTATAGTCCAACAAGGCTTTGCGTCGCTCGTCTTGACTCCTCGTGGATGACTTCTCATCGGCTGAAGTGAGCTTTGGTAGAGGGCGAGGGTTGCGTGAAGGTGACGCGTGTAGGTCAGGCTGTGTGGAAGCTGCTTTCTTCAGAGGAGACGATTGTGCGGAGGGAGGAAGTGGTGTTTTTGAGGGAGAGAAATCAGCAGTGGGGGTTGTGGATTTGGTCTGCTGCAGTGCGCTGTGAGGTGCACAGGTTTGCTTAGTAGGCTCATCATCCAAGTCCCAGTCGTCAGTTTCCGGGGTGCGCGAGCCAGCGTCCGAGTCATTCAGCGGCTGTAGGTGTGAGGCAGCTGCTCTTCCAGCAGGGCGTACGGTGCCGAAGTCCCACAGATCTTCATTTTCCTCCGTCTTCTCCTGGACTGGCTCATCGGAATCGTCAAATGCGTCTGGGTCAAGCCGAGTAAAAGTTGCCCAGCGTTCCTTGCGCTCGATGAGCTCTGTGAGGTATGTGGTTCTCTTAGCACGCTTGATGAAAGGGTGCTCCAGCAATTCCTTTGCGGAGGGACGTTCCTTAGGGTCCCGGCGCAGGCACAGCTCCACAAATTGCTTGAATGGCTTGCTGAAATCGCCATTCAGAGTGGGAGGGGGTTTTTGGGGATCAAGAACAGCACCTTCATCGGGTGGATGTCTGCATAGGGAGGGTCTCCACAGGCCAATTCGATGGCTGTGATACCCAGAGACCAGATATCCGCCTTGTAGTCATAGCCTGATTGCTTGATGACTTCCGGGGCCATCCAGAAAGGCGTTCCGACGAAGGTATTCTTCTTGGTCATAGTGGCCGATAGTTGGCCCGAGACACCGAAGTCAGCGAGTTTGACCTGGCCGCTTGCAGTGAGAAGAATGTTTGCGGCTGTCCAATAATCAGTTTCTCTCTTTTTCCAGAAGAAAGGTAAGGTGTTGACTACCTTTGATATCTCGGTGAAGCTTTTGATCACTGTGAAGGTAATCAAGGCCCTTTAAAAGCTCCCGCATAATGATTGCAATGTACTCCTCGTGAATTGGTCCGGGCACCAATAGGCCGTGGCAACTGCCACCCGAGCAATACTCCATGACGATCCAAAGGTGGGAACCCTTCAAGTACGATCCGTGATACTTAGTCACGTAAGGTGACTTGAGCTCCGAAAGGATTGCGATCTCCTGGATGATGTCATCCACCTCATCTTCGGCATTTTCAACATCAATGATCTTGATTGCGACAGATTCGCCCGTCCGTTTATCAACTCTATCAATGAAAAGAGTATAAGTTAGCAGGCTTTCCTTTATATCAGGCTGGGGCTTCCATGTATTACCCTTTGTAGACCCTGCCAAAACTTCCACCACCTAGGAGGTCAATCTTGTCAGCAAGTGCTCTGGCTGCTCTTTCTCTATGTCTAAGATGGTCAGAATCTTACCGATACATCCTTGTTTGGTGTAAATGGTCTCTGGATCGATAGGGCCCGACATCTTGGCGACTTATCGTGGCTTCAAGGTAAGCCAAGAGCCACGGCAGCCTAAAATGGTTTATCTGGTAATCAGTATTTGTATCAAATAATCCATGCACACAATTGAAGCAGTTCCCTGGCAAAGAAGTGTGTCGTTGAGGGGGCGGGTCGGGTCTATAGGTGGGATCACGGTGGCACGTACCGTGGAGGCAGGTTGATTTAAGAGAAGATCGATCGAGATGCACGACGAGAAAAGTCACCACAAATGTGTAGATTGCAGTAGTAAGGAGTATGGAAGGCTGTCGTACTTCTCATGCAGTAATCCGTTCGGTCGGCTCGTCTTCTGCAGGGCGAGATGTGTTGTTCGCTGCAACTCACAGCCATGGTCAGCAGGATATCAACAAAGGTAAGAAAAGGCGTAAGAGAAGACACTGGGGGTTAATGTCCTCAAAACTCACAGCAGCAACAGATCAAGCTTGAAGCATCTTGAAATTTCACAGAGCTGCGAATGCAGACAAGATGTACGAGATGCGGAGGGATGATGAGGAGCTCAACTGTCAACACCCTTGCTTGTGTTTATCAACGCGGGGCCGTTTCTGCCGGGCGGAGAGTCTTATCGATGGCAGCGGGAATCAATTGCCTAAGAAACTGCGATAGGAAGGCGGTCAATAGCATGGATTGAAGTCGGTGTATAAGGCGGCCGTATAGTTCTGGCAGATGGGAATGAGCCAGAATGGATGAGGGCGGTGAGCAATCCAACGGGAGGGAGATAACTACAGAGCCACGGCATCCAGCCTCAGTGCTGAAGACTGTGAAAGGGCTATCATCAATTACTGCAGATCTTACAGTTCATGTTCAAGGATTTTGAGTCACAAAATTGCTGAATTCTAAGATCGGAAGGTTCATAACATGGTCGGGGGCAGAAAGGGATCTAATAAATCATTTCATGTGGCCAAGTAATCGAGATGGGAGATCCTAGGTCTCATGGGTCATCGCAAAGAGCAGATGGGTCTGCTCGTACACTCCGATTGAAGAGCCATTGCCAGATTGTAGAGTATCAAGACCGAGCGAAAAGGGAGTCAAACTTTGGCTCTGACAGCACCGAAGCAAGAAGCTCTTTCACTCTTCGAGATAGCCTATCATGACCGTTCCATTCTTCAGTCCCGCATCTTGAATACTCGTAGAGAGGCTGTCTATCAAATTTTGTCCCATAGCGTTCAGCTCAAACTCGACACCGGCCTTATCTTCCAGGGGAGGATCAGCCTTGAGCCATTCATAGATGCGTTGGACTGGGTCCGACAGTGCAAAGCGTCGAATAACACGACCGGAGGGATGACGGAACTGAATACGGGTGGTAGTAGCAGGGTCGGCTTCGGGTTCAGCATGTGGTCGATTGCTGGGAATGGACGAGAATGGGGATGCTTCAACTTCTTCGGCAGCTTCGGGATATGTCTCATCCATGGCAGGACCATGGGCACCAGTTGCCCGACCCTTTCCCTTGATATCTTCGGTACTTCGGGTCAGGTCGTCGGGATCTTCCAGCTTCGGTCCAGTTGCCATCCCTCCCCCAAGACTGTTGTTGATCGCCATCTCCATCATCTCCTCCTCCGTCATTGCGTCCACAGTCTTCTCCTTCGTCTCCGACTTGCGCTTCGCAACAGGGTTGCGCACATTGTGGTTCAGACTGTAGCGGTCCAGAAACTCGTGGAGTTGCATCAGGAAATCGGGGGCTTTGATGACTGGTGGGCCGGACCACACCTTCATCTGTTCGCCGGTTCGGGGGTCAACAATCGCAATGTGGGGGTAGTTATCGGAAACGTCGCTCGCTTGGAAGTAGTATTGGAGGTAGGGCGCGGCTTTAGGATCATCCTTTGAGAACTGCATGAAGATGAAATGTTCCTGAACGGTCTCCTGGACGGTCTTGTCCTTCCAGAGGTCGCGGTTCAAAACTTGGCAGTCAAAAATTGAAGTGTCTTGTACATTGACCAGGAGCCACTTCTCATTCTCGCGCCCTTCCTCACGAGCTACGTCCCAAGGCACCCGAGACATGATTTCGAACGGCGGTCGGTACATTTCGGCGAGCAGATTTGACTTGGAGGATGCCTCTGATGCACCTCCCGTGGCCATCGATAACCGTTCCTGGTGTGTCTCTGCTGAATCGCCGGCCCATATTGATGGTGCAGATCTCTGGTTGAAGATGCCCGCGCGACCTGAGATGAATAATGTTAGTGAAGTCGGTCTTATATCGCATTACATACATTCCATAGCACGGTATTTCTACTCACCAGAGCCTCTTTGACGAGCGCGCAGCTGGCTCAGAATGTTGGTGTGCATATCCTCCTCATCACCGAAATCAAGATCAGGGCCCACCAGTGTCTCGGTTGTACGCGCCATGGGAGCCCGCACGGCCTCGTCATCGCCACCGATATCACCGGCACCACCCCCGTACATCTCTTCTTGCAGGCGACGGGCCATGGCGGCGTCATCCTCAAATGTTGATCCTCCCGCAGCTTGTGTGGAAGCCTGGGCGCGGGCAGTTTGATTGTCGTCATCGGTATCTGAGTCGATATGAATAACTCCAGCTTCATCCTCGGAGCGAGTACGAGGTGGTGGCGGAGCAGGTTCTTCGGTCAATGGGGCGCCTCCATTTTCGAAGAACAGCTGCATGGACTGTTGGATATCGAAATCGGCGAGCTGCAGGTACTGTGTGGCCAGCTCGGGCGTCGCACCGGTGATCTCAGTGAACTGAGCCACCAAATCACTCTCCATGATGGGCAAAGAGTGTATGCGGGATGTGATGGGTGAAATCTCTAATCAGAGGCGGTAGCAAGGAAAGAGAAAAGAGAGAAGATTCTTGCAGAGTTCTAAGCTGCAATCCACCTTGATCGAAGTAGAAGTGTGGGGAGCAATCTGAAGTGCAAACAGTTGCAAACTGAGGATCAACGCAGCGAGTACCCCGCGCAGCCGATGCTTGAATGAGTTAACATGAAGCAAAATGAAGCAAAATGAAGCAAAATGAAGCAAAATGAAGCAAAATGAAGCAAAATGAAGAATTCAAGCTCCCATAGCTTCCCTCGCTGTTGATCATGTAGAAGAGATGATCATCTGCCGCCAGTGACCAGTGACGCAGATGCAGTGCGGTGACCGACAGAGACACCTGACGCAACTCTGCACTTCTGGTCTCAACGGAACACCGTATCTTATCTTACTGCTTAGGGAATGCGACGCGTCGCGCTACGCGCCTCGAAGGGCCGTCCCGCGCGAAATGTGGACCACCGGCCTTGTCAAGGAAGGTACTTTCTCACCAGCTCCTGCAACCCTCTTGATCAACGTTCATGATGGCAGCTACGGTCTTGGGAAAGCGCTCGCGCAGTGCAGCGGAGCCGGAAGGTAAGGCCCCCTCGAGTTATTTCCTCCCTTTCAGATCAATACTGACCAGCCTCGTCCCAGGACTTCCAGTGCGTACGGCAAGCAAGCGCCGAACCGTGGCACCTCGTGCCAGGCGCGAAGATGCTGCCGTCCCGAATTCCATTCCTCGAACACGGTCCCGCGCGAAGATCGCTGAGCCTCTGACGGACCAGGAGAATGGCGATGTTATCAAGCCCTCGGACAAGACGCTTTCCAAGCACACAAGTCGTGAGGAGCAGGGTGGGTCACCGTCCAAGATCAACTCGCATTTCCGCACCTCAAAGCTAGTGGAGGGTAAGCTGAGAGAACGGGAAGTCTGCGCAAGAGTCAAAGGGTTGGGCTAACAGAGTGATTACACAGAGCAAACTTCCGCTCCGGTTGAATTCAAGACCCCACAGAAAGCCCGCTTCCGAGATGCTTTGCAACATTCGCCGTCTACACCGCGGCATCGTGTTCAAGTCGGGGCAAAGGCTGTCACCCCTCGAACTCCTCGACATGCTAATCTTCCACCTACTCCTCGTCAAAGCGCCACCCCGACTGTCGCCCAGTCGGTATACTCACAGGCGCGACAGCTTTTTGCTCGTGGAGCCAACTCTGGACGGCTAGTCGGTCGAGATTCGGAACGAGAGAAAGTGGCCAGCTTCATTGAAGAATGTACCAAGTCTCAGAAAGGCGGTTGTCTATACATCAGCGGACCGCCGGGAACGGGCAAGAGTGCGATGGTCAATGAAGTGTGCCAGGATATGGACTTGTCAGATGTCAAGGTCTCTCATGTGAATTGCGTGAGCATGCGGAATGCGCGCGATGTCTACAGCAAGCTCATACAAGACTTCGACGAGGGCTCGGATGTCTTCAAGAAGAGCGAAGCCGACCGATTGAAGGACATGTTTGTCCCATCAAAACCCAATGGCCTATTCCTAGTTTCACTGGACGAGATGGATCACTTGCTCATGGGCGACTCAGGTGTGCTCCAATCACTCTTTGAGTGGTCGCTATCCAATAAGTCGACACTGATCTTGATCGGCATTGCCAATGCTCTGGACTTGACCGACCGTTCACTTCCGCAGTTGAAGGCAAAAAATTTGAGACCAATTCTCTTACCATTCTTGCCATACAATGCGGCTTCCATTGCCAACGTTATTACCAACCGTCTTCGATCGCTGATTCCCGCTGGTATGGATAATGACCCGAAGTTTGTTCCTTTCCTGCAGCCTGCCGCCATTCAACTTTGTGCGAAGAAGGTGGCCTCCCAGACGGGTGATCTTCGGAAAGCTTTCGAACTCATCAAGCGTGCGATTGATACCATTGAGCAAGAGACTCAACAAAAACTTGAGAAACAAGCCGCTGAGGCGGAGAACAACTCGATACTCGCCGAGAACGCAAATCTCTCTTCTCCAACGAAGGGAGCTCCCGCTTCTCGGCCAACCACCATGTCGAGCTATACGGCCCTCACGGCGCCTCGTGCCAGCATTGCCCATATTGCTCGCATCACGACGTCAGCCTTTGGACAAGGCACCGTTCAAAGATTGAAGGGGTTGAATTTGCAGCAGAAAGCTGCCATCTGTGCGTTGATTGCATTAGAGCGCAAACGTCGTGAGCTTGACGTTCTGAGCACACCCTCCAAGTCTCGATGCTCTGCTCCCACGGTCAAGCAAGCATTCGATACATATTGTACACTTTGCCGGAATGACAACATTCTGCACCCCTTGACTTCGACTGAGTTTAAGGATGTCTTGAGCAACCTAGAAACCATGGGCCTTGTGGGAGAATACCAAGGCCGTGGCCGCGGAGGAACCGTTGCTGGCGGCTCTGATGTCCGTCGCACACCATCCAAGTCTGGGAACGTCATTTCCACTCCCCACAAGGGCATGGATGAGCAGGGTCTTCTTTGCTTCGTCTCCCAGTCGGAGATTGAGGGCCAAATCGCCGGTCCCGGTGAAGGGATTCTCAGGCGGCTCCTTCGTGGGGAAGGCCTCTAGACTAGATTCAGGCCTTGTCAATTCCTTCACTCTGCATCATTGGAGTCCTTGTCAGGCGCATTTTTAGCATGTACACCACTGCTATTCGCATTTCTGGAGTCAACTCTGCATCATGTTTAGCGTCATTTTTATGAGTTTCTTTTGTTCGTCATGAACCTTTCCTTTGTGCAATATACAGGACCACTCGTTTCAAGAGTGAGATTCGAGTCCATCGAACCATTCAGAACAATAACAAGGACCGTTGAATCTAAATTTGTTCTTATCATGTAAGCTGCCTGGTAGTACGCAGGTACAAGGTGTACCACTATAAGGGAAACTTGTTTCAAGGCACTTTTCAAGTTGCAGTATATCGTCGCTAACTGATTTCTTGTTTAAGTATCACCCTCGACAATCAACCTCAGTCACAGGTTTCTGATACCTCCATAGACAGACCAGAATGCTCACGCATCAAGGCTCTTCGGCTTGATAGGCCGCACCGAATCAACAAAATCAAACTTGGCCAGAGAATTCTTAAACGTAACATTCGAAGGGTGAGCCTCCATATTCTCCCCACGGAAGATGAATGTCATCGGAAATCCATAATCAAACTCATAAGCACTCTCAATCTCCTTAATATCCTCCTCACTCAACTCCAACCCCAACGCCTCAATATTACCCAACAAATGCTCGACCTTGCGGCCGCCGACAATAGGGCAAACATAAGTCGTCTTGCTCATAACGTAAGCCAAGGCCACACTGGTAATCGCCGTCTTATGCCGGTCCGCAACGCTCTCTAGAACCTTGGACACAGCGACATCGACATCCCGAGGCTGGACTTGTCGGCCCGGGTTGCCACTTTTCGCGAGTTCCTCGCGGTGTGCGGCTGTTTTGAATGCGCCGCCTCCGATGGCGCCCCAGGGGCAAAGGCCCATGCCTTCGGCGGCGCACATGGGGATGATTTCGCGCTCGAAGTCGCGCTTGGCCGCGCTCCATTGGCCTTGGTAGACGGAGAAGGGGCGCATACCGTGATCGCGAGCGACTGTAGGGAGTTAGTCAGCAAAGGTTTTTCTTGGAGAAGTGGAGGTCTGGGGATGTGTTTTCGTACATTGGTTCGCACGGCTGACAATCCATGCGGGTGTATCGCTGATACCGAGGTAGAGTACTTTGCCCGATGTGACCAGCTGATTCAAAGAGGTCATTACTTCCTCGATGGAGGTGGCAAAGTCCCACCAGTGGACGTACAACTGAGTCCATATTAGCCTTTCTGTTTTGGTTTATGGAGCAAAGGGGGGACTTGTCATCTTACCAGGTCGATGTAGTCGGTGCGCAACTTCTTCAGACTGGCATTTACGGACAACCTCATGCTCTTTGTGTTGTTGCCGACAAAATTGGCTTGGATCTCGGACTTCATATGACTTCGGAAGCCGGAGGTATACTTGGTTGCGAGGACAATCTGGTCCCGCACGCCACGCTTTTCCATCCATTCACCGACCCAGGCTTCAGAGTCTTCATTTTGGTAGTTGTTGGCACTGCAAATGTTAGTAGAGGGGCATTGAGGGCAAATGGTGTAGCTCGGCTTACGTATCGATGAAATTGCCGCCATTCTCGTAGAACGTATCCAAGATGTTGAACGAGGTCTCTTTGTCACATTCGCCTAGTCTCTCCTTCCTAGAAGGGTTAAGGTTAGTTTCACCTGTAATCCAAGATAATGCAAGACATGCAATGGACGAATCGGCTGATTTGTTTCCAAGACTTACCATCCTTCACCAAAGTTCATTGCACCCAAACACAGTGGGCTCACCTTGATGCCCGCCGTGGGGGCAAGCATGCGGTATCGGCCGAGACGCGACTTGGGCGTAGGGGCAGCTGGGATAGACATCGCGGTGGAATTGGTAGCACACTCTTTGATTGAATTGATCCTTTGTTGTACGTGAGATCTTGATTCTTGGATAAATTGATCGAGCTTTATTCCAAGTTCCTTCTTGAGCAGTTGCAACCAGGAAACTTGGTCGTGGGGGTTGCGGTGCGGTCCGCACGGTCCTTTATACCTCGAGAAGCATCTCCGCTGCGGGGAAATGATGTAAACAGCTTGCGACGTGCCTGAAGCCCATTATTAATCCTGGTGATACCTCAATCCGCCATAACTCCGGGATCCGGTCCTCGAGAAGCACGATCGAGCCAGTCACCGTTCTTTCTAGCCAATGCTGACAGGGTCGCGGCTCGTTTTTACGAAGCTTAGCTGGTTTAACTCCGGGTCCAAAGTGGCTACATTGGACGCTCCGTGCTTTAGAGTTGTTCAACCGGATAATTGCCGATCTCGTACAACAAATGCCGTTCCCAGGTTAACCGTGCTCTGCGAGGTTATCCACGATACTGGGAATCTGCGTATTTTCAAGTTCTAAATCTCGGAATCCGAGACTAATGGATTTGGAAGGAATGAAACGCCAGTAAACATGTCAAAAAACCCCAACCAGGCCGTATATTAAAAAAAGAAATTCCTTCGTATCTACTTCTTGCGCTTCTTCTGACCTCTTTTCGCCGATCCGTCCTTTTCCCAATCCGATGCATCATCATCATCGTCCTTCTGCAGCCACCGATCTGCCCTCCTCCTCATTTCCTCCCTGTACTTTCGAGCCCATACCTTCCGCTCCTCCGGATCAGTGGGAACTTGAATCTCTCTGCCGAATATGTCAATGATTCTACTCTTCAATGGTTCCTCCTCCACTTTTATAATCTTTCTCTTCCGTTCCCATCCCGGAGGCAGAGGGCCTTGGGTCCTCACGCTGCGATAGATCACCACTTTATTACCCTTGACAACAGCACGTTCTTCGCGGGCGACCCTTTGTTCGTCCTGTGGTAGGAATTCTTGCGTATCGGCGTATTCTGAAGATGATGGGTCAACGAACGCAGACTCGGATGTCTCGCCATTCTGTTCCCCGTTGAGGATCTCCCATGGATATGGCTCGGGTTCACCCTCATCGGAAGAAAAGGTCTGGTCAGTGAAATTCTCCGAGTCCGGGGTTGTTGGTCGTGGTGGGTTCTTGTGGCATTGGGGACATCGACATGGACCTCCAAGGAGTCGGGTTGCCCGTCGCTGGGACTTGATCGCGTGGTTTCGATAGCGAATGCGAATCTCTTCTCCCTGGGCGATGTCCTTGGTAGCCCAAACGATGATGCGGTTTGGGACCGACTTATCATAGCCCCAATCGGCATTGTGAGAGTCCGCACAGGAATTATTGAATATGCTCAGCCCCGGGAAGAGATATAGATTTGCAAAAGACGGATCAAGATCAGTGAGTGGCTCCTTCTTCTGCATGTGCTTGAACTGGACTTCTGGGGTATGAAGCTTCTTGTCTCGGTCATTTCCCAACCTGTCGGATACTTCTCCCTGGCGCCGAGGATCCCAAGGCACGGCATTGACTAGGAGCTTACGGAGGATTAATTGAATGATCCATGTATCAAATTCTGGTCGCTGGAAAATATCCACACCCAGCGATTCAAGGATATCGAAAGGCACCTTGATGTTGGCTGCCATGTTGAAGGGGAACCAGCTTTCTCTCCACGATTTACTGTTCCCATCGAGCATGAGCAGCTCATCAATCTCGTGTGCATTAAGTCGCATGTCATCTTCGGGCTCCTGTTGCCGGCGATGAAGTGCAATCTCAAACACGTTACGTAGAAGAAGCATCAGCGTAGTTCCGTGACCTTCATTCGTGTGAGATATGTACTCTTTGTCATGCCATGTATTGACAACAGGTCTCATGGAATCGTAAAGCCATTGCCAATCTTTGCCACAACTGCTGAAATGATGGACCTCGCGTGCAATTTCCAGGCAACCCTTGTTCTTCGATCTGGCGTGTGGTTTGCAGAATACCAGACCTGAGGCGCCGGGTTGGAACAGCCCCTTTTCAGCACAGGGACACTTATTGTCTTTCGTCTTGTTCTGCAGTCGAATCATTGCCGGAGTGATCTCCTTGAGACAATTCCCACATCGGCTTTTGTCATTGACTTTTCCGTGCAGGTCCTGGGCCAAACGGCGCGGCGGGAGGTTCCCTCGGATCGTGGGCTCTTCGATATGAATGATGGCGCCCGTCTTGATCGCACTTTTGGCAAAGACGCCAATTTCCTGCGTCTCGCCAGTCTTGCCAGCGTAACAGGTTGGTTTCGAGCGTTTCCCCATCGTACCAGCGTCGTCGAAGACATTCTTATTGATTGTGTCAAGGAAGGATGACGAGGTGCGATCGACATCCTGATTCTCAAATGGATAAGGTCGACTAGCTGGAACTGCACCCGCACTGTGCTCATGGAAGAAGAGTTTCTTCTTACGCTTCGTCTCGTCATGGTAGATCTTGGCAGCCTTTTCGCTTATCGTTTTGCGCAGCTGCGGCACCCATACATCGCGATCAGGCATCCCAAGTCTGGTGTCGAGGATCTTCATGTAGTCATCGTAATCCTGCCATGCGTTGAGTCCGGCCAGACTGAGACTGATGATACCGTGGAGTGCTTTCTGGAGAGTGGGCACAAAAACGTTGATACCGTTGGCCTTCCGCTTGCGAGCAACTTCAGGCTTGAGGTTTCCATCTTTATCACGGGGAACAGCCATCAAGTGCGCCTCGATGGCCTCCCAGATCCGCGTATAGAATCCGGGCCGCCGATTGCGGTCTGACGATTGCTCAAGCACGTCGCACAGAAGCTGGGCGCGGTAAGCGTCGCCAATAGCGAGATCGAAGTAACCAAGTTGGTAGTGGCAGTAGGCACGGCTGACCCAGTAAGTCGGGTTGTAGGGACTAATCTGAATTGCAGCGGTGTACATTTCCAGCGCAGTGGCCTTGGGTCTATTCCAAGGTTCCAGGGTGTATTTGTCTGCGCGCTCAACGCCCCAGTGAGAAATGTCAGTCTTCAGCAGCATCCCAGACCACTTGTCCATAGTGTACGTCGTGATGCGTTTCTTGAGAGTGGCTGCATTTCCAGATGTATCCAGTCTTTTTTCTTTGCATTGTGATTGGAGCTGGCTCAAATCAAGGAAGTCCAGGTATCCAAGGCCGCCCGAGTCGATAGCCGCCTTTTTTGTTTGCAGCATATTCTTGGAAAAATCGTATTGTCTGTCAAGGCCTTGTTCTGCGAAAGTTCGCCCTCCGTCATCATAGGAGATAGGGAGGAGGGGGTCGCTCATCAGATGCTCATACACATTGTGTGCCAGGACATGAATATCCAGGTCTTTGTCGGGAGGTCGCGGATATGGCCGCTGCTTTTTCTTCTCCCATTCCCGCCAAACTTTTCCGAGGGCTTGGTCGGGTAGATGCCAGACCATATAAGCATCGTGGGCTCTTTCCGGGGTGATGGGTTTTCTCAAAAGAACCTCGTCAAATATGTCTGGTCGGGGCGGCCAATCCGGGGGAGTAATCATGCAAAATGCAGGCTTCGAGATGAAGCGCTTGTCGAACTCGGAAAGCTCGTTTTTCTTTTGATCTACCGGCTTCTTCCCGTTTCCTTTTCCCTGGTTGGCTTTGTTGGCTGCCATGGTGCTTGAAGATGGAGTGGTAATTGGGGAGGGATAAATGGCCGTGTTCGAAGTATAGGATTGCTACTGAGCACCTAAGGATGCACTTGGTGATGAGTAGCACTGACTCAATTGTCAAAGTCGAGATTAAAAAGTGCAAATGACTTCTGGATGCTCGATGGGTTCAGATTGAATAATATATTCGGGGAGAATCTGGGATGGGCAAGATTCCCAGCTGCTACGGCGGACCTGACAAAGAACTATCACGCAAACAAAGAAAGCCAGCTGTATTGCTGAATAGATACACATCCACCACGAAGTTACTTGTGTAGCAGGAAGCAGATTCTTCTATGGGAGTTGACTTTTCGACTCAACAAAGAAAATGAATCGAGTCATCCTATCCAAGTACCCTACATAGTACCCTGCTTACTGCACCTTAGAATCAAAGAGCACAAAGAAAGGGCGATCAGCCTATCAGCGCTTTATCCAAGTCATACAGCTCAAATCCTTCTAGTCCACAGTGGAAACTTACAGACCAAGGAGGTGGCTTAGCCTTTTTTTTTTTTTTTTTTTTTTTTTTTTTTTGAAAGGCCCGAGGGTTCTGCTAGGGGCCAAACGGCCGCCTTGAGATAGAGGGATACCCTAGGATAGAGAGAGCTGGGATCTTAGGAAGAAAAGACATTCTGGATTCGTTCTTTGCTTTTGAAATTGCAACTTCATGTGAATACACCAGGCTGTTTATCGACCGCGGTGGGATATCAACGAACAAAGGATGCGGCCAAGTCCATCGCTACCTAAGTGTGGACTCCCGATAACAGAGAAGATACACAGTCCGATGACCAATTCTATTAATAGGTAAACCATACGACAATAAGTTTATAGTTCATCGTTCGGTGTTTCTGGAGAAAGTCGGTGGGGCAGAAATGGCCCGCGTGTGACAGCTGGCTGATGCACTTCGTCCCGCTCCAGCCCAAAGACAGCAATCGCCAGGACCCCTTGACCGAAGGACACTTCTGAAACACTGTTCGGCAGGAGGAGTCCGAGGCCGATCACTGCTTCACTCTTCCTTCTCCTGTCTCGCACCTTTTCCACAACCACTGCGATGCCTGGCCATCATGTACGGACGACCTCAGCCAGATCCCCCATCGCACCCTGAATGGCGACTGCCCCCGCGACGCGGCCAACAGTCGGAAGCACCTCTTCCTCCTCCGCTACCTCGTCCACCGACAACAGGCGGATATACTCCGGCAACGTACGGCCCGATCTCGAACCCTCCTGCAAATGCAGGCACATCGCCCGTGACGGGGCCTGGTGCGGATCCCAGAACCTGGGGTGTCCGATACAACCAGCAACAACATCCGATATATGCTCCGCCGCCGTTGCCGGTAAGTGCATGGAGCCGTGTTGGAGCTGCTCAGCATTCCACAACTGACCGCCCATATCTGAATAGCCTCGGCCATCGAGTACCAACGAGCAACCTTTTGCCTATGGGCAACCGCAACCACAGCCCCTCAACAACAGCATCTCTCCTCCGCCGCCAACCCACGGCGTCGAATCTTTCTCAGATCCGCAGCCCCCATCAACTTCGTTGAACATCCCACCACCCTATACCGAGCATGCAGCTCTAGCTCCAGCTCCAGCTACCATTCCACCCCCGCCCCCCAAAAAACCACAAGGATATCAGTCACCTCCGCCACCCGTTCAACACCCATTGGAGCGGCCTCCACTACTTGCGCAAGGCGCAGGTCCGGCGGCAACACAAGGCTCGTATGGATTTCCCGGCAATACTTCAATCAATACCAATGTTCCCCCAACGGGCCCTTCGGCGCTAGGGCCAGGCACACCCTCCGATTGGGAGCATTTGGGGCCAACGCCAGGTGAATTCGATGATGGCCCTTGGTTTCCACCGAGGAGGCCTCCACCTCCGCCTCTGGCTGAAACTCCCACCTATACCATGCTCCAATCACCAGATTCAATTGCCACTCCACCCGGATACTCAACTGGAATGCCCCCTCCCGCGGCCAGTATTCCAGCAAACGCACCCCTCCTGCCGCGGGTCGACACAGCACAACCACCTCCGAGAGAGGGGTATCAAGGCAATCATTCACAGTGGAATGATTCAATGTCGCCGATCAGCCCTGCAAGTACACATGAAGGGCCTCAGACTGGTCTTCCAACTCGGGTGGATAGCGTCAGCTCTGGTGTCTCTTCCTTTGCAGGTCGTGCCGACAGCATAGACAACGTCATTGATGCCTGGGTGAAGCCGATGTCACCTCCATCACAGCCAGTCCAGCCAGATCTCCCACCTTCCAATTATCGAGCCACTCCGGTCGCGGCCGCTCCGCCAATACAGAGTAGCCCGCCTCCAGCTCAAGATGCTAGGGTACTTTCAAGTCCTGCGCCAGCGACCGCGCAACCCGAAGAGGCTCGGCCAAGCAACGTAGCTCCTAAAGAACCGGATCCGTATGAGGATCTCGACCCTTGGTTCAAATCCTCTTTGACGCGCTATATTGCGATGCTCCGCAAAGAGGCAGTTGCTGACTCAGACGAGGAGCGCTACAAGATCTTCACTGCCTTTACAGCTAAGGAGACGAAGCTTCGTGAAATTCTGTATAACATTGAACACGAACCACAAGATGTCCAGCCCGCTCCTCGCGTCTCTGAGATAACCCAAAAACGGTCGTCTCCTGCCTCAGAGAATGGCAAGCCAGCACTCGAATCGGGTTTAATTCCCGTGGAATCAGAAGAAATCCGGTCTCCAACTACAACTAATACAGATGACGGAAACGATGCTGAGGATACAGCCAGCGAATATAGTGCGGGAGGCCGGCCTACCCTCGCCAAACGAGCTCGTCAAGCCTCTCAATGGACACCCAAACTCTCAACACTTCCATCCGGCGAAGTTCCTACCAGTCGTCTTGTGAAGACTCCTTCAAGGCAGTTTTCACTGGATGACGCTGTCCAAAAACTGAATATTGAGCCGCTCACGACAAATCCCCCACGGCCAATCTATACACCCTTCCAGTATACTGAAGGCCCCCCAGCGTGGCTCAGACAATCTCACTTTTGACCGCCCGGCTTATCAGGCCTACTCTGAGCTTCGGCAAGCTTCCGCCGTGAGTGGACGAATCATGTCCAACGCCCCTCCCCCTATACTTCGATCAAGATCCGACACGCTGCCAGCGTCTCCAGCCCATGACGAACACAATGAGACTTTTCTTGGCCTCATCCGCAACAAGAGCAGCGCTTATAAAACAACAGATCGTCGGGCAACCAGGACAGCCCCATTGCGTCCGGCACCTCTTCGACAAGGGCGACGATCTGATGATCCGGTTGAAGATCTGCGTGCCATGGCTTGGACTCCTCTAGACAAACAATCCGAAAGCTCCTGGCATATCACGACTCGGGAAGAGCTGGACAAGCTCCCAGATGATTTCGCGTACATCCAGGAAACCGTGGATAAATGGGAGAGCTCTGCGCAAGAACGCCGGTCCAAGCTGGAGCGAGAACGTACAGCTCGGCAGGAGGAATCTGAGGCTCAGATCGACGATCTCTTCAATGGCAAGGAAATTGGGTACGGCGACATCTATACACTGGAAGAGGAATTCCGCCAAAGCGAAGCTCGTATTCAGCTGGATGAGGAGAGAGAAGAAGCGGATGATTTCATTGAAAAGGTGTTCAACCTTCTGGACGAGCGATTGAAGAACGAAATTTCAGCTCTCCGCAAATCCTATGAGTCAGCGCTCAATCAACTGGATCGATATCAGAAGGGAAAGAGCTCGCCGGTCGAGCAATGCAGCCCATCAGTGACCATGAAACTGGTCAATGATATTCATAGCAAGCTTGAGATCCGTTTCCAGAAGAGGCTCGAGATTGCCCTGGACTGCGAGCGTCGTCGCAAGAAGGCTGAGCGCCGCCCCCTTGTCTTCATGGGAGACATGGCCAGTCTGCGCAAGCTAGACGGGGACTTTGACCGTATGGAGAAGCGGAACATTCTCGAGGCGGCCAAGGATCGCGACGACCGAGCCAATCTGCTGATGGACTCGTTTGATGACGCGATCCTGCACGGGCTAGGTATGAACCAGAGCCTCCTGGACGAGCTTGCAACCAAAGCAGCCCGGCTAGACCCCACGGCCCTCCGTGCCTCCAACCTGCCGGACTCTGAAGTCGAACAGATCCTCAAGTCCGCGGCGACGTTTGCGACGTCGCTTTGCAAAGATTCGGAGGCGATTCTCCAAAGCTCGGCCATTGCGGAAGTGGCCCTCAACGACGCCGACTACAACGTCTCCGTCGCCGAAGCGCGATATGCCAACTCGGAACCGGATATTTTCCAACGGCTTGAGATGGAGAAGAAGAAAGAAGATGCGATTCTTCGGGCAGATCTAGACACTAAGCTGCAGAGCATCCAAAACGCCCCGCAGGAGATTGAGGCTACCGTGAAACGCTTGCTTGAGGACTTGAAAAAGACACCTAGGCCTGCGGCCCCAGCTCCAGCACCAGCAGTCGTTCCAGCCAAATCTCCAAGTCCACCCGCTGCAGTTGGCCCCGCAGAGGTAATCCCAGGGAACCGACCAGCTGATATGCTACCCTTGGATCTTCGCCCTGCAACTATTACGCCTACGCCTAGTCAGACTCCCCCCTTCAGCTGTGGCGAGTTGGCCTGTGGTAGATCTAGAGGCTAAACATAAAGAGAGGCTGCGCAAAGCACTGGAGGATGCGAAAAGGCGCAATGCAGCCAAGGCCGATCAATAAATTCTCGTTGGTCTTTATGATTGGCATCGGAGTAGCATCTATTGGTAGGACTCACGAAGCGACGAATCTCCTTGTATTTGACATACCCTTCATTCATATATATCTGCTGTGACGGTCGTCGTGGCAGTCTTGATGTTTGTTCACTTCCTCGTTGGATACCCTCCCGTTATCATATACTTTGCGTATTAATGTGATTTGGATATATACATTCTTCTTGTGCATATGAGAGCATACTTCTCTACATACCATCCATCATCCCCTTTCAGGTAGTTGTAGTTGAATTTGTCGAGGTAGCAGAAGTGGGTTCTGCACAGGCCAACAAGTACCTGACAGCAGAACTCCCCAACCGGAGTACTTTTCCCCACGTTACACAGGGCATTTTAGCTATTTTTTTGGTTGTGATTTCCATCTTTCGAATGAGCACAGCAAGAATTTCGAGCAAACATCCAACCGCTCGCTGCAACGCGGTGACGAAACCTCGCATGAAGAGAACGCCAAATCTTTTGATCCTCCAACACGCCACCAACTGTGGCTGCACAGGGAGCAGGGTTCACCAGTCAAGTGATTCGAGTTCTGCGAAGAATCAAACCTGGCACGGACAACCTCGCCAGCCAAATTGAGCGGATGGCCTCATGGAGTGTCTTTTCCACGCCTCGAGATGTGAAGTCATGCAGACAAGGCACAATTTTAGGCGCCCGGCTTCAGTGATTGGCGGCCATGGGGCCAACTCGGGCGATTAGACGCCAGATGCCTGTCGGTCAGCCCTGCTGCGCACGACGCCTACTCTGACCACCGCTCAACAGCTGTCATGGATATGCCCATCCCCTTCTCCCTCGCGAGACAAGCGGGGCATGCACGATGCGGCCCCAGTTATGAGCCAGGGTGGAAAGAAGTCTCTCCAGCCCAAGAGTTAATTCGGACCCAATGCCCACGCTGGCGGGTCCTGCGGTGCTTCACAGTACTTTCTAGGCGTGTTCGGATTCGCTGTGCCCCCTGCACTAGATGACCACATTGATCAGAAACAAAGCTCACGGCACATCGGCCGAAGCAGAAAGTGCGACAGTGCACAGTTCGCCCGCAGGAGCTTCGCTCACCCCACTTATCCTAAACCCCTCCTTGGTGCTGTGCCGCGAGCGCTGCTCGAGATCGGTGATCCTCTGCCAATGAATCAGAGGCGATATGCAAGGTGCCCATACGAATCACCAACTCTTTGTCCACGATCACACTGGAGAATTGATCCTGGGACTTGCGGCGTCTGCAAGCTTGGCTGCGGCCTTACAGGTTACTCCACTTTTTCCCCCGTCATGTTGAGATCCTGGCTGCTTTCATGCTGCACGTTTTGTCTCATTTTGGAAGGAGCTTCGACCACACATTCTTGTTTGAAGATCGATCGATCCCAGGGTCGTCTTGCAGCAAGACCAGAACTTTTGACGTGTGTCCCTACCGCCAAACCCGAGACAATATCGATGTCCAGCGTGCTCTTTCCTTCTTTGGATCACACATTCGATTGGATTATTCATCCTCTAGCACTGGCAATTGTCGAAGTGGACAATGAAGAGCCAACATGAGCCACGACACCATTTGCGGGTCAGATGTGACGCCATGCTAGCGCTCGGAAAGGGGGAAAAAGGTTGGAGACTCCCGGAACCAGTCGACGGCGATCGCAGACTAGCAATTTGGGCCTGCGCCTAAGCGGCGGAGTATTGAGATCGTCGTTAGGCCAAGACTTTGTGATGTGAGTATGCCCATACCACCGACGATGGCTTTTCAATATCGTCGTTTTGTTCCACCTATGTGGTGTCTGCATTTCGATATTCCCCTATCTTCGCTGTGTTGGAGTTGAGAGGCCGGAATCTGTTCGCCAGGTTGGCCCAACGGCGCCGCCGACGCCCACCGGCTCGCAGCCCAACTTGGAGGAACTGTAGAACTGAGGCCCATTCCACCGCGATGAGACTTTAATGCCTCATCAGATGCTGGTCAATCCCAACTCCTGACTTTGCTTGGGGACATCCTTCTGTCGATGGAATGCACCAGCACCAGCACTTCACGGCTCGCGATATTGGTTCCAGTCCACTCGTTCTCCTATCCGCGCTTGTCAGAGCCCAGGCCACCAAGGCCCCAGATCTGTCCATTCCACGAGGATCCAATTATTAGTGCGCGTCTGTGCGCTACGCAATAGTGATGCTGATCCGTCTCTGGACGAGGCCATAGTCAAACGGTTCGGCCTTGTTGAGACATCATCCCTTCGCGGTCATCTTTTCCCATTTACCCTGGTCCCCCTAGACCCCTACCTTAAGCGCCGTTGGAAAATTCCGCAGTTTCTCTGCGTCGAGCTAACGACAATCGAGATCCTCCCGTGTCGTTTAATTTCCATTCTGTTGTGTTTAGTCTTTTTTTCTCTCTTTCTCCCTGGCCCATCATTTCCTTTCCCCCCCTCCTGGTCTCTCGGAAACCCCGTCGCGGTCTTTGTTCAGAATCAGGTTCGGGCTCCCCGTCATGCGCCATCGCGGGAGCACAGCGAGCACAGGAGCGTGCAGACACGGCTTCGGATGACGAAAATCATCGTGGGTAATCGACCTTTGGCCCCTCTTATGCTTATGGGGTTGTTCAGGACCCTCCAGTAACTCCGCCAGTCTCCTCCAACTTATTTAAGGCGGAAGGGCCGTTCCATGGTTCAGTGTACCCGCTTCCGTCCATGGGTCGGAAGAACTCTCAAGTCTCCAGCTTAACTCGAGCATTTTGAGGCTTGTGGTCGAATCCACTGGGCCACTAACGGCAATTACACATCTTGCACTTTCTCCTCTTGCCCCTCCATGATCATTGATTCCAATTTTTTGCTGTTCTCGTCAGCCTCTTCCTACTCTCCCCCTTGTTAGCCTCGATCGGCCATGGCACCCCCGACGAGACAATTCGACAGGCTTTCAATCGGTCAGAGTATGCCTGAAACTCGTGTCCAGTCGTCACGGACCGCTCGCGTAGCGGGGCGGCCTGATCCTTCCGACAACGACGACGACAGTGGGAACCAAGAGGACGACAACTCTCCTGTAGAGAGTTCGAGCGATGAGGAAGAAAACGAGGACGAGGAAGAGGAAGAATCTACTCGCGCGTCCACTGTCCGGACGCGATCTGGGATCACGTATGATTTGAGCCACCTAGATACCGAATCCGAGGCCAAGGCATTACTAGGCTTGACGGGCCAATTCGAAGTCGTCAATTGCGGTACCTCGTCCTCTGGCTATGAATTCCAGCTTCTCGATCGACCGCGAGTGCACATTGGACCAGGTCCGCCTACTTGTACCTGCACAACGTTCCAAAGTCGGCCGGGGGTGGCCTGTCACCACATCTTTGTAAGTGGGAAATGCAATTTTCGAGGACAGAACCAACGAGTAGGCCAAGACCTAGTTGCTGATTAATTCCTTTTTACAGTGGCTCCTTGATCAGCTCCATGGTTGCTTCCTCACTGATCCTGCCTCGACGGAGTTAGCTCTTTCGCACGATGGCCGCCCCCGTGTGCGTCCGCGCATTGAGGACCTTCTAAACGGCCAGCTTGAAGCGGTAGCGGACCAAATGAACTGGCCGTACCTTCGGGTCGAAGGCGACGGGAGGAGTACAGGTATGACGCGTGCCGAAAAGGTGCGAGACGTCCTCTCTGCATTCAGTCCGAAGGTCCTACCTGAGGATTTCCGCCAGGATTTGGTCGAAACAACTGCGCAAACGCGAACTCCGGAACAATGCGTGGTTCAGGGTGATTTCGAAGCGACTATCTTCCGGCTTGCGGTTCACGATGAAAGCGTTTTCACGAGCATGTGCAAGGCAATGCCTTCTGGCGCCTGCGCGGCGATCTACTTTGACAAGGTCCAGGAGCAGTTGCGTCGACTGCTGGCCAATTTTGACCGGTACTGTGCGACAGGGGAACAGCCTGTAGACTCGAGCAGCCCTGGAAGAGGAACACTTGAGGTGGACGAAGTTGTTGGGCAGCTACGCCGTTCGGTCTCTCGTATACACGCGAACATTGCCCTCCGTGCGCCCTATGGTTCCGAAGGTGCTGCAAAGGCACTCGTCTCTATTCTCGAAGCAATTGCCACGCGCAACAAAGATCCTTTGGAGGGCAATACATGGGGCCGAGCTTCCTTCCACGGTGAGGATGAGGATCAGCGCAATCTATACCATTTGCTCATTGGGTCTGAGGATATGGATCTGGATCCTGACGCAGAGCTGTTCGTGATCGATGCGCTGTGTGCCCTTCCTCCGACGGATCTTGCACAGTATATCCACAAGCTGCTGGAAATTCGGAGCAAGATTGAGGTCAATCGTGCGCCGAAGCAGTTTCTCATCCGGCTTGGGGCTTTAATTCGACAAGCTGAGTCGGCCCGCGTAGGTGCAGCATCAGCCTCTGGACAGAAGCGACCGGCAGCTGGGAACTCGGGCGGTTATTCGAAACGGAGTCGCTAGGCTTGTGCTTGGATTATCATCAGTACGAGCGGTCTACTGCTTCTGTATCATCGGATCTACATTTCCCTATGTTACTGTTTCCGTCTTTCATTTTGTCATGTTTGGGCGGCCGTCGTGTTCATTCTTTCCAATACCCCCTGCATTTTTTTGGTCACCAGCGAGCCCATAAACTCACCTTGTTCCTTTATCCTGTCATTCATTGATAGTTGACTTGTATGCTGTTCTCATCTACTACGGTTTCGAAGTCTCTTGGATATACTACTGGAGGGTGGCTCACATCTCACTTTCTGCATAGCATCTCAACCCAGCAATCCATTCATTCATGATCTCATCATTTCCATGGCCAACAGACCTCACGCCCTTCGATCTGATCCGATTTTCTTTTCTCTGGTCAGTCTACATCCTCATGACACCAGGTCAGCTGTAGCATGGCGTCATACGAACCCAATACTGCGGCCTTGGGATTCCGCGTCTACGGATTTGAGCACAGGCCGGACGTGTCACTTGCGCGCCAATCTGTGGTAGTAGCCCGATCTGACGATGTAAACCATGGTTCGATACTGAGGTTTCGGTGGTCAGACCCACTCGCACATGGTTGGGCCCAGTATTTGATGAACGAACGCGAGACCATAAAGGGGTCGCAATGATCTTCAAATTCTTCAGTCCTTGCTTAAAGTCCAGGTTATCATTTAAACTTACTCGCGATCTACTGTATGTAGAAAAGAGTCACGGTCACTTCGGCTATACACTCTACGGCACTAGTAAAAGCTGTGGAGTTGCGGCGGAGCAGCTCGGCACTGTACGGAGCATCGAGAGCAGGAAGGAAAAAGTTAAACATAGTCCCCATGGCGCGCTCCCCATTACCTAAAAGCCTCCCCCCTGTCGCTGTGCTCAAAGGAGACTGGCTCCGGGTGGTGCTTACAGTCTACATATACCAAATTCTTACCTACAATGCTAGATACACCCTCGCTTACAACCTCCGGTATTTGGCTTGCGTGTCTCGGAAAACCCGTGCGAATTGCCAGGAATAGCACCTGTGAGCCATCCCTATTATTATGGTATTCCTACTTGAACGGGCGGCTTGGCTACGTGTCCACCGTCCATCAACAATGACATTGTTTGTCGGCGTCGAGGGCGTCGGGTCCGTACCGATTTTGAGGTGTAGAATGACTGCAGACTAACTTGACTGGAGTCTTTAACACAGTTAGTGGACCGTGCTTTTGCCCAGAAGGGCTAATCTATGTGGATTTACACTGGGGACTGGTTTCATTAGTGTCCTTTTGGCGGTGGAGACCCTATTGAGTGGAATTTCCCTTCATGATTGCTTCGGCTTTTACTCCGGGATATTCAATTCAATTTGAGTTTTTGTTGATTGGAATTGTAGATAGGGGAAACTCCGACGGATATTTTCTGAATGTTTTGGTCAATATTGTGGAATGATTGGGAACAACCGTTTGTGGATTTGTCTTGTCCAAAAATAGCTAATCTGTCCCGAAGCATAAACCAATATTCGCATCCAACTCAGTAACTAACCCCTGATATCATTTAGCCTTGCCCCCTTGGTTCTTGCCTTCGTCGAGGTACGATGAGAAAAGAGTACTGTCGAACCAGGGCTGAAAAGTGAGGATTTTCCGATACGCCTCGGTCTGCTCATCTGGAGGTACCAAGGATTCAAAAAATGCTCTCTCTCGGAGGAAGCTATTCTCCCGACCTTGAGGCAAAACCAAGTTCCAGTCAACACACTGCTGGTAGAGACTCTGCCAGAGTTGAATATAGTTCTGCACATCAGGTAAAGCTCCAAGGTTTTGAAGTGCGCTCCAATCGGCTTGCAGCTTTTTGAGTGTCGCGCGTGGTGGATGATCAAAGATGCCCGAGAGAATCTTCAACTGCTCATAAGGCTGGCCGTGTACATCCTGCACGAGAGATCTGTATTCGCTGGAGATTGTTTCCAATATCTCATTTGAGAGATCTTCAAGGGCTTGTTTCTTCTGTTGATAGGTAGCCAGCTCGGCCTTGTACTTCGAAGCAAGAGAATGGAGATTGGTGAAATCGGATAAATCAAGATCGACCAGGGATTCTGCTAGAGATCGAACGGATCGAATCGTCGGCTCTTCTGGCTCTTTCAGGCATGGCAGATCTGCTCTCTCCGTTGCTGGGTTGCAATACTGCCATATGTCAGATCGCTTGGCGACTTCTTCGATGTGACTCTTCCATGAGCGCCAATCATCGCCTGACCAAAGAAAATGCGAACTCAGTGTCCCTTTGCGAGAGTTGACGTCCCGTTTTTGTGTCATTTTTGATAGGATCAAGGTCTTGCTGAAACTTCGGATGCGGAATTGATGAGGAATTTCCGAGTTCCTGCGCATTTATCATCGGCGTCCATGAAAACGTCATGTTGAGGTCCTCTCCGACTATTATCTGGACATTTGCTTGTGAAAGTGTCCCAGAGAAGTCAAGTCCACGGTGTCAGCTACGGTACGACTCTGCTATTTGGCTCAGTCATTGAGAGTGGCCGGGAATTTCCGGATTATTCATTAACTCGCATTAAGTCCAATGTCTCGTATGTGTTGCGGCCAACTTGATGGAGGAATTAGACCAAACACCAGGCTTGCTCATAAGTTTCATTAAGGCTTCGACAAAAGCAATATCATTCTTTTGATCTGCAAATAATTGTTAAGTACATTTCTTGGCCATCAGTCACTAGCTAGTATTAAACGTTTCCTGCTTCAACTTCCACCTCAAATGCACAGATTGTCCATCTAAGCAAGAATAAGCAAATACCTTACTACAGGAGCCAGGAGTCGACCGCGCCTTCGCCTTCATCATCTGAATGAGCCACTGCATCGCTAGTCCACGAAATATCGTCATTTTCATCCTCATTTTGGCTCTTGTCGTCGATCTCTGTGTTGGCCGCTGGCCATGTGGCCAAGCCAATCGTGTCCTCCTTTTCCATTTTCCAACCGTAGGGCTCAGGATGTACAAACCATCTCTGGAAGTACAAAGGTTTCCACATTGTAGCTTGGTCCTGAGAATCCAACAAGCTTTTACCCAGAGCTTGTTCTTGAGAGCTCTTTACCATTTTCATGTCAAGACATTTCTCGAAGAGGGCTTTCCAGCGAGTCAAATACTCCTGGATCTGTGGAGACTCTGCCAGTTGCTGGAGCGCGTCCCATTCTGAGGCTGCCTCATTAATTTCGTCAGGGGAAGGGCCGCTGAAAGCCTTAGAGAGCGCCGTTAGTTTATCGTATGGCGTCGACCCCACAAGATATGTCTGGAATTTCTTAGAAACGGAGGCATGGATGAGTACACCGATCGCTTCAATAGCTTTTCTTTTCCTGTCAAGCTCATCCCTCTTCTCTCTGTACTCTTTGACCAGTGACCGAAATTTCTGGAAATCCGCATCATCGAGGTCAGTGATTGACCATGCATCTTCGCGGACTGTTCTGAAGGTAGGCTCAGAAAGATTTGCCGTCTGTTCCAAATATTCGTCTTCTGTGTTGGCTGGATCGCAATATTCCCAAACCCCACAGATCTTGGAGGTCTTTTCGATGTAATCTTTCCAAGTAGGCCAGTCACTACGTGACTGCAGTTGAGGGACTGGTATGTTATTGATGAGTTTGTATGGTAGTTTGTCTTCAGATGCAGACATTTTGAAGGTGGATTTGGTGTTTTTCAAGGGATTTGATGTCAGTAGTGGATATCTGAGCAGGGATGAGTGAGTGTGAAAAAGATGAGTCTGAGTCTGCTGTGACTCCTTTTTCATTTGGATCATAGCGTAATGATGAGGTTGTAGCTTAGACTTGTTGTACCAAGTATGGCAAAGTGCTTTCCTAATTTGGACAGGTTAAGTCCCTAACGGGCAGGGCCGACACAACTTCGTTCGGTCTGAACCAATGGTCCGGTCGAAAGCTAAATTTGGCCATCGTGATATTATACAGTATGCTATTACTCTGGTAGCGGGGTCTCGCCGAGAATAAAACGAGTCAGGTCTAGCTTGATAGGACTTGATATCACAGTCTGTCCAGTGGGCATGCGGCACAGAGAGTAATGAAAGTTCAAAATATAGGACATTAACAATTTCAGGCCAATTTCGTTTTTGCATTCGTCTTGCTCATTATTCTCAAGTCTATTTTGATCGCGAGGTTGGGCAACAAAAATCCGTCTCGGTGAGTGCGACCTATCGTGACTTTAGTAACTTCTATCGTCCGAAACCCCAACAAAACGCACAGCATCCCATCAATATCTCAGTTCTTTCCCTTGGGACTAATAACCACTCTTTGTGCCTCAAGGCTACTACTGTCTGTTTGCTCATCCACCTCGATCGTATCAGACTGGTTCCAATTGCCAAAAACCGCGAGACACGTAAATGGGATTGTAAAAGCCCATAATGAGAATCCCAATATCATCTGGTTCAAGTTGGGCCAATGAGTTGCACCAACGGCATAGGCAATCGTACTACCGATAGATTCCCATGATCTGAGGATGCCGGTGGTCCTCGCAATATCACCCTCTCCCTGTGCGCCTTTGATCTCGGCCATCAACCAATAGATGTAGGTCTGCAACACCTCGTAAAAGAATTTGAAGAACATGTAGACTGCAAAAGCCGAGTTGAAGAAGGGGCCATCACCGAGGTTGAAGGCGGGTGGTTCTACCATGCGAGAGAGCTTGGTCTGAGTAACAGCATTCCATATCCAAGCAGCTGTAACAAAGATGAGCACAAAGATATACACTCCTTTTGATCTGGTTTCTCGAGAAAAGTATTTCAGATCCAGGATTATACCCGTCGTCACATTAGCCGTGGCTCCAACCACTGCTGTGAGGAAAGATGCGAGGGCTCTAGAGCGGACGGTGAAATACGCTAGTTTTTTCGTTAGTTTTGCGGCTCATGCTGAAATCGAGTACTTGCAGAAGTCATACTTGTTAAATAATTTCCTTGGTAAGTTGTACCAAACTGCCCCGCGAGGAAGACTGGAATAAGCAGCAACATGTACTTATTGGTGAGTTGCTTCCAAATAGCGCGAGATTCAATACTCAGACTGGTTTTCTTCATGTAAGGTATCTTGGTGCCATTTCGTCTAACCACGTTTTGTGGCTGTGATAATAACAATGCGAATGGGGCTCCTAGAGAAGAAATTGCAACGAGCCCTAGGTATGTTGTGTAGGTGACCTTGCCGGCGTGGGAAGTGTTGATATTGAGAGCGAGGGAAATTGCGCCGCCAACTAGGGGTCCCATTTGTCGGATGCCCATCCAGATTGCAACGTAGCTAATACCAAAGTCAGTTAAATGGCGACAGTCAGACTATTGGGAGTGTTCAACTTACCGACCTCTTCTCTCCTCTTCCGGATATCCCACGGCAATAGCAGCTTCACTAGCCCATAGAAGAGATGCGCCAACACCACATAGCGCGGCTCCTAGCAAGAGAAACCACTGATTTCCATATCGATTATTACAGTATAGACCAGCCGCATAAGGAGTGTAGAATGCTGCCCCGAGGAACAACGTCCATTTGGCAGTGATCTTGTTCGTGACACCACCAGCAAGAAAACAACCTACTGACATAAGTCCGTAGGTCAATGCATTGGCGGCGTTGTTCAAGAAAGGCTGCACTAAATATTAGCAGTGTTCAAGAGAGAATTAAGCCTTTAAAGTCTTCCTTACGCTGGCATTGCCTCCTGCTCCGAGGTTGTTCAGGGCAGTCCAGATACCAGGCTCGCAAAAAGCGACCAAACCCACAATGATAATCTGAAACAGACACGATCGATAGAACTGAGATATCCGATCAAAGGCCATGGCGGATACAAAACGCTCGTTTGCGCGCTCTGAAGTCAGGCACGATCACTGCTTGCCATGGTTTCCAGGACTATACCTCCGATTTTATAAGGAAGTGGGATATGACCAAAAGGAGCACGCCAGGACCCATTTTGATCGCGATATCATAGTTTGATCCTCTCGTGTCTTGCTAAAAAACCGAGATTTTAAGACGGACTCTGTCCGATAATACCCAGGCTAAACGTGGGGGGGGCTTGTCCTGAATGCCTAGGCATAGAAGCACGCAATACTCCACATTTATGATATATTTGATAGGCGTATCCAAGATTTACAAGCTCAATCAACAGCTCTTCATAATGTCTGTATGCATTTCTACGTATTTGGAGATATGTGTTCGTCATAGCTACCTTCAAATTGAACATATGCCCGTCAGTTGGTCATTCAGTTTTGCACGGATAGTGTACGGTCAGGAAACTAGCCTCAGTATTAGCGAACTCATGATTAGTATCAACCAATCCAGAATCATTCAGTAGTCTAAAAGCTCATCGTTCCCTCTGCCTTGTTACTTAACTGAGATAATATTGACAAGGAGTTTATTCACCACGTTCTGGAGGCAATGGACCTGGGGAGTTGCGAGCTGCGGAGAGATTTTGCTACTCATTGAGGACCCACACATGCCGAGACCTGCTAATGCTGCACCCTGGACTACGCCATTTTGAATAAGGAAATTGAAATGTGATCAGTGTTTAGCTACTACGGATTTCTCTCGGGCGAGAAGGATTCCTCCATTTCTCGATGCACTTGCATCATCTGAACGGCCACTTCTCCCACAGTCAGCGTTCTATCATCCCATTAAACCACTATAAGCCCGCAAAAAATGACTCCGTATGACATACAGGTTAGTTTCGATGACTGTTCACATCCTTTTTCCTAAAACATTCTTCAATGTCGTTGAGGCTCATTTGTTTCCAATTGGTCCGCCCTATTTGGATATTCAATGCGATTTACCCATGCCGCGTACTTGAGCAAAAGTGATCCACTTATGCTCATATCTACCAAGCATGAGGCCAGAAAAGACAAACCTTGGGCTGAAGGGTTCTGACTCTATCTTCGGCTTCGTACAACATCTTCCGCCCGCTGACCCAACGGTAAAGTGGATACGAGTCGGCCGGCTGGCCCAATGGCAAGGCGCTTGACTACGAATCAAGAGATTGCAGGTTCGACCCCTGCGTCGGTCAATTTTTGAAGTATTTTTTTATACCTACAACATCATCCCACAGTTGGTAGGCCGATAGTTATGATTTGGAAGGGCTTACATGGGATCATAAAACAGGGGGAATTTGTAGGTTTAGCGAATAAAATTCCAAAATTTGTATTGTGGTGTTCAATAAAGGAAAAACGGGGCGCCGAAGGCCAGTGCCTGATCGTGACATATATTGTTGGTCAGGAGGGTGGTTCGACATCGACTAGGTATGCAAGTCCTTCAATTACCAGTCGGATGATGGATCCGAGCCTCTTTTCAAGGTTTAGTCCGACAGATCCAGAACAACACGGCCTTGAAGCTTCCCTTCAGCCATCTCCTGGAATACTGAAGTAAGAGCATCCATCTTCTCCACCCGATAATGAGCCTTAATAACACCACGAGCAGCAAAATTCAACGTCTCAATGGCCTCGAGGCGATTTCCGACCGCGGAACCTGTCACAGTGTAATGTTTATTAATGAAAGAAGACGGGAAGGCAGTCGCAATAGCCTGTGGCTCATTTTCAGGGATTCCAACGCAAACAAGGGTGCCATTAAAGCGCAGTAGCGGCAACGCCTGCGCATACGCTGCATTTGCAGCCGTACATACAACCGCAGCATGGGCGCCCAGTCCCTCTGTCAATGATTGGACGTGCTTCTTCAGGGCGGCACCGTTATCGTCCTTGGGGAACTGTGTAATGTCGAGGAAGTGCTCTGCCCCAGATTCCTTGACAAGCTCTGCCTTGCTGCCGTGGTCGATGCCAATCACGCGGAAACCCATTCCCCTGCTGGCGAGTTGCACTGCAATATGGCCGAGGCCGCCTCCAGCACCGGAGATGACTACCCACTGACCGGGGCGGGCATTACTACGCTTCAGGGCTGCGTAGACCGTCACACCAGCGCAGAGCATTGGAGCGGCGGCGGCGGAGTCTAGACCATCGGGAATTGGTGTCACGTAGTTGGCCGGACCTAGGGCGTACTGTTGGAACGTTCCTGGGTTGTAGTAGCCAGAGACCTTCACGTTGAAGCACAGTCCATCGACTCCAGCTCCACAGGGCTCTGATAGAGATTGTGGTGAGCTGTGATTGTCTCAGATACAGTAGGGACATTGAAACATACGGCAATTTCCGCAAGCACTGGCAACCCATTTGATACCGACTCGATCGCCGACCTTCAGACCGGAAGACTCGGTGCCTGCACCGAGCTTGACGATCTTGCCGACACCTTCGTGGCCTCCAACTTGACCGGGCTGAGTCGGGTATGGGAGCGTTTTCCACTTGATGAAATTAGTCTTCGAAGAACAATGGGACTCATGGGATATCATCATACGGTGTTGGTCATAATTCCATAGTCAGAATGGCATACGCCAGAATGAGTCCTACAGAACAAACCGGTCAGACCTTTGAGTTCTTCGACGATCGCAGGGAAAAAGCTCATACAGATTAATGAGAACCTCGCCAGCACCAGGCTCTGGCACATCTATTTCCACAACCTTGGTCGAAATCGTACCGGGCTGGTCGTAGATGGCGGCCTTTTGCTTCGTGGGGATATCGACAGTCGTCATTGTGAGTGAGGTAAAAGATAACTATGGATGTATAAAGCGGCCGAGATTTCCAGGAGATGAAGGGCTTCTCAAAGCAGTTACGGGTCATTGACGGGGCAAAGGGAATCCTATTTAAAAGCCGCCACCTAGTGGAGGAGGGTCAATGTGGAGAAGGTCTATCGCGGGGTTCGGATGATTGACACAATTGCATGAGATCACATTGGAGGTGCCTCGGAGCCCACTAAGACACCCCCGTCCATGAAACTGCCTAGCGCGGCGCTCTAATCCAAGGCAGAAATGGCAGTGGTGAGGGGTGCGAGGCGGAGTCGGGATGGACCTCGGTCATCCACGGGTATCCGCGAGTGGGTTGGGCATTGCATGGAGCAGCATGGCTTCATATTTGGTTGATTGACAGAAAAAGAGTTTCTAGTAGGTGCTGAGTAGAAATAATTTTACTTATACCGTTAAAGCAGCCGCTCAAGGTCCTCCACGAGTCAGCGTTACTGTGCTGTTCTTCGTGGGGCATCTGCATCCCCATCGGCCAACCCCCGCATCTCCGCAATTGGAAGATCAGTCACGGCCAATACGACACATGGATCTTAAAAACCGGGGTCTTCGCTAAGATGATATGCTGTAGTGTAAAAGGATCTTCATTATTCTTCAAGTCATCGTCACAACAAGCATTATCATTCACATTTTCCCCCTGACACAGCAACCTTCACATAGTAAACTCTAATCGGTTCCCGGCATAGTCTCGCGCAAAGAACCGCTGGGGATACTCCTTCCCTTTGGCGCCTGCCAAGATAGATATTAGCCTCAAAACGATACAGTCACATAATACGATCTGCAAATACTCGAAGATGGGAAAACTTACCTGAATCCTCTTCACCTGGCTTATCGGCGGCCATTGGTGCGGCGGGACCCCCGCGAATATGGTGGTCATAGATGGACTTTTTGATTGCCTCTAGCTCCTCGCGGCCTGGTAGCTTGAAGCAGGGATGTCGCGAGGATGTGGGGTCAGTAGGACCGCAGGTAATATGAATTTGTTGTCCGCTGGAGCCAATATTGAACCTATAGATTTCAAACCCTGAATCAATATCTACGGCTTGATAATAATGTGGGCATATATGGAATAGCGCAGACGTACCATATTATCGTCCCGATCTGCAGCTCAGGAACAGGCGCAGAGCTTAGCCCAAGGGTCTCGCCATAGAACTGCTGGGCTTGTTCCAGGGTCCCCGGATGTACAGTGAGGTTGACGTGTGCGATGCTGGTGATCATGGTGGGTGGGTGCAAGCACAGAAGCTTTTGGGTTTACTCTATAAGTAAGGGACAAACTCGCAGCAGTCAGACTTTGAGCTTATGAGCTGTGGAGGACACTCGCGACGTTTTATTTCTCCGCAACGGAAGTCACCCCCACGTTGGACGGGGGATCCGGAAACCATATCCCGATTCTGATTGGTGTCTGGCTGTGCTCCACTTGCGATTGTAGGATTGTAGGGTAGTCGTGATTCATGACTCACAGCGCGATCTCGATTGCATCCGGCTATGAAAGTCATTGTGTCACCTGCTGCTGCTTGGTTATAAAACGGAATACCTTACGGAATACCTTCCCGAATACGGAGTCATTTACACTATGAGAAACAAAGAGGCGGTCATTGTATACTAGGAATGCATCCTAGGGGTTCTGTATTATTTACTAATCTCAACAGCTAGACAATTACAGGCACGTCACCACATACTATCTCATCACGGTCGTCGTTAACCTAGAAAATCGAGCGAACGATTCTCATGGGCGCCGCCTTGAACCACTCGCCCCAGGTGTTGTACACAACCTTGGGCGGCAGATCAACGTCCAGGGCGCTGTCACGCATGTTACTGAAGATATCCATGTCCTGCACCTGCACGAACCAAGCACCACGGTCGAGCTTGGGATCCTTGTTGAGCTTGGTGTAGATCATCCAGAAAATGAACAGGCCAATGATCAGTGGGCCGGCAAGGTAGTTCTCAAAGAAGATCTGCGCATCCTTGGGAGCAACCGAGACATAGAACTCAGCGACAAGACACATCACGTTGAGACCAAAACCGATCCAACTTCCAATCACGCCGAATGGAGCAGAAAAGGCCAGTTCGCTGACGTCACGACCGTGGTGCTTCCAACCAGCGCGGAAGCGGACATGAGCAAGGCAGATACTTCCCCAAACGAAGAAGGAGATGGTACCAGACAGAGCCAGGAGCCAGTTGAAGATGACGTTACCAGTGCTCGAAGCCTCGTTGATGAAGGCAAGGAAACCAAAGAGGATCTGGAGGAGGATACAGTACAGGGGACGACCCTTCTTGTCAATGTACGCCAGGAACTTGGGTGCCATACCGCGGGCAGCGAGGGCCTGGAGAGTTCGGCTGGATCCATAGGTGGCAGAGTTGGCGACACTGACGACGGAGATGGTGATGACAGCGTTCATCACCGACGGCAGACCCTTGATACCGGCGTTCTGGATCGAGACGACGAAAGGAGAAGCCTTGGTGTTAGCACCGGAGGAGTTGAGCAGGTAGTCGGCGGTATGAGGGACGATCAGGCCAACCATGAATGTTCCCAGGACATAGAAGATCATGATACGCCAGAAGACCTGCTTGGTAGCCTTGGGCACAGACTTGGCGGGATTGGCAGCCTCAGCAGCAGCAAGACCAGCCAGCTCAGTACCGGAGAAGGCAAAGGCAGCAGTCACGAACACGGAGCAGAAGCCCTTGAAGTCGGTGAAAGCACCAGGGTTGTGCCAGTAATGAGCACCGAGGTATCCACCCTTGGGAGCACCACCGCAATCGATCACGATACCAAGGATGATGAAGCCGATGACTGCAATGACCTTGATCATGCCGAGAACGAATTCGACTAGCGCGATGGCATGTTAGCATCCAGTTGGGGACGGCGAAATGGAAAGGAAGAGACATACCTTCACCATATCCACGGACGCCAAATACTTGGATCGCAGACAGGACAACCAAGAAGACTGCAATCCATATCCCAACGTTCAAATCGTCACGCCAATATTGAATCGTAATACTGGCAGCGGTGATCTCGAAGGGTAAGATGACGAGCCAACTGATAGCATAGTCCCAGCCGACAGCGAAACCCCTATTGATTGAATGCATGGTTAGTACAAGCAAGCGGCTAATAGGGTAAGTGAAAGAGACAACTAACCAAGAAGGGCTGATGAACCGAACACAATAAGTGAAGAAAGCACCGTTTTCAGGATACACGACAGCCAACTCTCCCAGCGCCTGAATGGTGAGCAAAAGCATGACACCGACAATCAAGTAACAGATTAGCTTGATAAAGTTAGCCCCCTGTACTTAATACATATCTTATTGTTTGGGAGAACATACCAGAGCTCCAGGACCTCCCGAGCTCAGTGCACTACCAGTACCGACGAACAGACCAGCACCGATGGAACCACCTAAAAGCACGGCATACATCAGTCAAGATGAACACCAACAAAGTGAATCATCAAAGCACATACCAATAGCGATCATCTGCATATGACGACCCTGCAGACTACGCTTGAGAGGGCTGATCTCCGAGGTGCCGACCGCGACATCGTCGTATACAGGAACGCCCCTGTCTGCGGCGACGGCGGTGACGCCCTTCTTCTCAATATCCTCGTCTGAGGCAGTCATCTTTTTGAGCCGAGGTATAACGAGATGCTTGAACGGGTTCACGAAAAGAAAAAAGGGGGTTCGTCCTCGATACAGACCGGGGCTCCGATGGCGTTATATATGTGCCGTCTGATCTGGGCGCACTGACAGGATCTGTTCAAACCAGGGTGACTGAGACCTGACACCTCTACAGAATACTACTCTGCATTAAAAAGCTTCTTATAGGCCCTGCGCCATTCGACGCCCGGTTAGACCATCCTCCATTGGAAGATAAGCCCATTTGATAAATGAGCGCCCCGTGATCTGGTCCAATTGGGGCTCGAACTCATCGCCCAACACGCGCTTATCGCAAGGGTGGAACGGCCGTACTCGTGAGAGGAAGGAGGAAAGTGGAAAACGAGGGATTTCTACTTTGGCTTTTCCTTCGCAGGCCAGTCAACAGGTCTCTCTAGAATAATGTGGATCCAACCCCGCGTTTTGAGGCAAAAGCGTGGCGTTATGGTTGACGGGAGCAAGCAGGCAGGTGTGCCACCTTGTGACCCTGGGGCTTGGGGGGTGGCCAGGGAGAGAGTACTGTACCCAAGAAAAAAAAATACCTCAAGTGGTTGAACAGTGTTTCAAGGTCAATTTGTGTTCAGGATTACTTCTGGAATAATGTTAAGATTGTCTCAGGCGTGTGATAAGGGGGTGGTGCATTAGTACCCTTGCCAAGCTGAACGCGGGTACATAGTACATAGGAGATAACGCAAGCTGGTTCCTGCTGATAATCCTTCATCCACTCTGCTCGGTCCGCTGATTGCCCTGGTACATTATTACGGGTCGCCTGGGGTCATCCGTCGGAGCTCCCGTCGATAAGACGGGTGCCTCCACATCCCAGTACGAGGTCCTCCGACCGAGGGATGCGACGCGGGCACGCTAGACGGGGAAACAACAACCCGCCCAGCATCAATTGGTTCTAGGCGATGGGACAATCTGGCGCTGGAGTGTTGACATGCACGCAAAAGGGCAAGGGCCGTCCGTATTGCGCGGCATAGGACCTTATCAGCCACCAATGGCGCGAACGTAAATGCGTCGCTTCAAGGAGCCCAAACCGGATTCAGATTGAGGCGTTCTAGAAGGAAATTAAAGCCGACCAGATCGACGGGGGTCATGGACCAATCACATTGCTCATCTAATTAAGCTTTCTTTTTGGGAACCTTGTTTTTCTCCATGTGACTGGAGTCGAGGGCAATGGGATTCTGGTTGATTTTAGGGGACCTACCGAAGCCATATCTGCGTGATAAGAACCTGCTTTCCTGGCGGACCTGAACAATCCCCAACCAGAGAACAATCAACGTCGGAAAAAATTCAATTCGAATCCCCACTGAATCATGTCGGATCAGAACCAATGCTGTGGTCAGGAACTCACATCCGGCCCCGCTACTCTAAACCCCGCACTCCGTTGAAATCCGCCTTGACAATTACCCGGTGGTATCCGGGGGCCTAAACTATCGAGTCAGACGTGGACAATTGCAAGGCCATTGAAAGACGGTCGACCCATCAATCGATGGCTTACGAGGATCAGAGATGACGAAAAGCAGATGCATAGAAACCTTGTGCTCATCCGAGAAGGTGGAGATGCATGAAATAAGCTTCGTACCGCGATCATAGCCCCTGAGGACTAAAGCAACTACTCCACGACCTAGAGGACTCCCCAAAAGCGCCTGATACTCGCCAGTCCCAACCTTCCACTCTCGCCGAATGGAGTCGGGCCACTCGAGGCCAGTCTGGACGGAATAGATCTCCTCGCTGATCAGACGTTCCACGACTTCGTTCGTGATATCCACGCGGAAGACATACTTCAACGGGGCGGTCTCATATTGGTTATAGACTGCAAGCGCAACATCAGACCAATGTGGACCCAAGAAGCGCGAGCTGAGTTGGGACACGATTACCCCGGGCCCAACTTGAATGATATAATCGCTATAATCGCTTCCGGCATTGTCCTTGACTAACTTGAACAGTGAGACGGTCTTGTAGATCGGCTCTGTCGAAATACCAAACTGTCTCGCAACTGGCAGGATAGACCAGGGCAAAGGGGTCAACGGGGCCATCACTGGGTTCCATCCTTGGGGTCGGCCGCCCACAGGAGGATCACCCTTCCACCCTATGCGCTCGATGGTCCAACCAGTTTTCACAAAATCCCAGGGTGACCACGGGGGATAACCGGAGAATTGAATTACTCTAGCTTGGGTGTCATATGATTCTCCAGGGGAAACAGTGAAGCATTTCTGCAAAGCCGCACCTTCTTTCTCTAACTCACCGTATTGGAGCTTTTGCAAGCGAGAATGCGCTTTTCCCAAGCTACCATTGCTGGTGCCAGTTTTCAAAAATTGGTTAAGAACCATGACGTGGTACTGAGCTTAGGTGTTAGGTGAGTGGCTGATTAACTAAAATAATATGGAGATGGATATGTTAGGAGATAGGATAGAGATTGTGGTCTCTGGTATAGTTTAAATGGGCACTATCCAGCAGATGAGCGTTTTATATCAGTCTTGAGGCATAAAGATACTTGAATAGACAACAATGGAGTTTTTTGTCAAAGAGGATGAAAGAAGCCTAGTATGGGCGTTTTCTCATGGAGACAATAGATTAATACAACGAGGCTTCATGGAAGGCGAGCAGAGAACAAAGAAGGCCAAATGACTCGGCTAATAACGTTCGTATTACCTTGTTTTGACAATGCTCTTTATCCCACAATTTATGAATTCACTTCAGTCATGCTCTTCTGGATGTCGATAAGGAGTAATGTACTACCACTGGTGTCTCTTAGGATGGGTGCTTTCCCTTTACTCAAAGGAACATTGCTCTTTCAAGCTTTATTGTGGCCTTTCCATCATAAGAAACAAATCAGGCAAAGATTTTGAATATTTCTAAACATGATGCGCGGTACTTGGATCTCAGAGGTCATATCTCACCACCAGATTCTGAGCGCGCTTGTCGACATCAAAGCCAAGGAGCATTGATGGTGGTAAGCTTGATTACGACCATTAAATCCCTCAATATTCAACCAGCGTAGTGATGAGGATCAGAACACTGCAAATGTGGCCTGATGGTGTCAGATCATGATTGCCCCTTTACAAATTGAGCTCACCTCAAGTTTGAGACAATTGAATCCCTCAGGTCCTTCGGATCCTTCACCGCCACCGAGGCGTTTCGACTAGGCTGAAACGCTCGCTGGGCTTGAAAGAACCAGACAAAAGGACGATCCAAAGTCAAAATCAGCCAAGGAAAGATTTTAGGTAATGTAGCCTCCTTCGAGACCGGGCCCGGCGGACTCTAATTTACCTCAGAACTTACCCGTCTCTAGTTGAATTCAAAATTCGCTCTAAGGTGGACTAGTGATTACATTACTAATAGTCTTTATCATATCAATTCCAGCCCTGCACCTTAGATTTGGTACGTTTTGAATAAAAATTGAGCTTGTATGTGGCCGATCGGGGTCCCCGACTGGCAAGTCGGCAAGAAAAGTGAAAGGTGTTGCAGGATGCATATTCAATACGGGTTAATGCAGAGTAACTTGAAGACTAGAGCATCCCGGGGGGAATAAACCTCAATAAAGGTAGACTAAAACATGAGATAATGATATTTTATTTTCGTTTTGTTTCCTTTTTGTTTTCGTCGACATAACGGGATATAGAAGTCGAAGAACATTGAGAAATGTGTGTAAGAGTACCGAATTATATGAATAGTCACGTGATGTATATATCACATGATTCAACAGGCACTGAATAACTAGTACATAAGGAATATATTAAATCGACATTTTCGATGTAATAAAACGACCTCTTGTCGACTTTCCAATCCGATTCAACCCAGTTAGATCGATGATGCAGCTCAACAGGGCACCCAATCTCGAATCGTCTTCCGCCAGTGAGCCTTGCAGGCACTGATGAGCATCACATGACCCATGGACTGCATGCATATGAGGGGACGCTGACGCCTGACAGCACATCCTGAGTGAGTCTTGCTTCAAATGACCATTTGGACTTCTCAAGCACAATTCGGTCGAATCAAAATGGAAACAGAACGTTCCAGAAGTTCGCCAATAGAAAAGGTGATCTCAACAGCCGAGCTTCTGGAGCTCATTCTACTACAACTGGACCTACGAACACTCCTCACCGCTGCCCAGCGAACTTGTCGACATTGGAATAGTCTTATCCGAGAGTCACCCGCCTTACAAAAGTATCTATACTTTGCGCCAGACGAGAGTGCCTTCAAGTCCTGGAACCCTTTATTGGCCGAAGCTTTCCCTCCGTTCTTTTCCCAAACTGGCGGATCAGCAACGGGGTTTGGGAGGTTTACTTTTGCGACTTTCGATATGATCCATTACCCCGATAAAATAACCGCGTATAATCGAAAAGAAGCGACTTGGCGATGCATGCTCGTCCAGCAGCCCCCGATAATGGAATTTGCCTTTTTTGACGTGGTCTCGTCGCGTTTAGTGAGGTTTTCCCAGAGCATCATCCGAGTAGGTTCTCGGGATCTTCCGTCTTCCCGCTGAATAATGAAAATAAATCACTTACATTCGCTCTGACCAGCCGAAGAAAACAAACTGCTCTCCCCTCAATTATGGTTTGCGCATGGGAGCGCTATTCGAGTTCGTGGTCACCCGCGGACCCCTTCGCTACGAACGACAGATGTTCCAGCGAGTGTTCTGGGCATCCTCGGGACCAGAAGACCACCCGGTGTGGACACGCAATACATCACTTATTGAAGCTTTCACCAAGGCCACTGCGCAATTCGACCTCGTGGTTTATCAGATTGCCGCGCGGGGCTGTGTCCGACACAAGCCCAGTGTCACTGAGGAGGAAAAGATGAGACGACTGATATTTTCCTCTTACGCGGAACTAAACCAGGAGAAGGATCCGGAGACGTATGATGTTATTGATGTTGAGCAGGACCCTTTGCAATCAAAAGGGTAATTGGTGATCTGCACCAATAGTGGTTGGGAGCCAGGTCGTCAAGGAGATCTCTGTGAATCTAGTTCCAATATATATCGGAATTTCCCAAGGCAAGAAGTGCCTTGATCAGATAAGCTGCAGTCAAAAAGAGTGCTTTTTAATTATCCCACACACTCTTGTACCTTATCATAGCTTGAGGAAATCTCCATTCCTGGATAAATGATCCTGTCGGGCTATCCGATAGCTTGAGAAAGGACGTAGTTTAGTGGTTGAACGAGGCTTCAGAAGAGGAAAACGCCCACGCGTCATGGGGGAAAAGCCCTGACATAATAGCCCTATCGCATAGGACCTTTGATAGTGGTCGGTATATTGTCTGATCCCGAGGGGAAGCTGGATTATGTACCCTATTGTGGACTTAGGACATCATAACTGGAAGAGGAGGCTGTTGTGGTTGGCCGGAGAATGCCGAAGTGCACGCTAACGGGCCTTTAACAAGCCTCCAGCAAGCCTCTAATTGGCTTTAATCTGGACTGAGCAGTTTTCATTGGTCCCAAGGGGTCCTGGGCGGCCGTGCCAGTGTCCAACAGGCTTTTGCGACGATAACCCACCTCCTTACTGCATTGGGATTACGGTTCCCGGCTTTCTTTGTGTCTGTGCCACTTCCGAGTTGAGATTGAATTGTGCTATACGATGTGATTTGTGCTCGACGGGATCGAATTGCCTCGATGGGTGCGAAAGCCAGGGGGTTCCCCACGCTCTAGGTTTGACCCCCATTATCCAGCTCTCCACCACAGCTCTGCGTGGATGGTGATGCCCACCTCCGCATTTGTGCGAGGATCGTTGTGGATGGGATCCTAAGGAGCGCGCTGGTTCGTCGCATTAGCCCCGAAGCGGCCAAGCGGCCAAGGAAGAAGTGGGGAAAAAGGCTGGTTTGGCGGGTGCTTAGCGAAAAGTCGCAAATGGCAAGCCGCAGCTGCGATGGCCTCGGTTGTCAGTCGGCGACATTTAAAACCAGACTCCCCGTCTCGCTTTTTCCCGATTCTCCCGATTTCCCGTACGACGATAGACTGCCTGTTTGGACAAGGATCTGTGTGTGCGTTTCCTTGCAGTCCCGTTGATCGGATAATGTGCGGAGTCTTGTGCGATCTCTTGTCTTCCATCTCCACTTCCTGTTTGGTCTTCCAAACGGGTGCGTCGAGTTCCGGCCCTCTTTTGACATTCCTCACGGGCGGCTCCGAAAATTCCAATTCACCATGAATGTCGAACGTGGTCTCGAGTCCAGCGATGATCTGGCTCTGGCCCGACTGGGCAAGAAGCAGGTGCTGAAGCGCCGATTCAACTTCATGGCGATCGTCGGGTTCGCTATGGCCGAGTTGATTACCTGGGAGACCGTTCTTACCCTATTCTCTCAGTCATTCGATAACGGTGGTCCCGCGGGCGCCTTCTATGGCTATATCATTGCCTGTTTGTCTACGCTATCCACATATACGGTCATCGCTGAGCTGGCCTCCATGGCGCCCATTGCCGGAGGACAATACTACTGGGTCTACATGCTCGCACCCATGCGCTGGAAGAAGGTCAGCAGCTACTTGATTGGCTGGTTGACCTCCCTTGCATGGATCGCCACGATCGCGACGGAGACCATCTTCCTCGGCACAATGATCGAGGGTCTCATCACATTGAACAACCCAGATTTTGCCCAGCAGCGCTGGCAGAACACTCTCCTGGCATGGGCGAGCGTCGCGGGCACCTTCTTCATAAATGTCGTGGTGCCCAATATTCTGCCCCGTTTCGAGATCTTCATGTTGGTTTTGCATTTGGCCGGGTTCATCGCGATCACAGCGGTGCTCCTGGCCATGTCTCCCAAAAAATCAGCTGATTTCGTCTTCCACACCACTTTGAATGAAGGCAATTGGCCTACACAAGGCATCTCATACTGTGTTGGCTTTATTGGAAACATTGCCACTTTTGTCGGCGCCGACGCGAGTGTCCACATGGCCGAAGAAGTCGCCAATGCCGCAGTGGTGATCCCTCAAGCGATCATCGCGGGCATGTCCATCAACAGTGCCCTCGGATTCTCGATGATGCTCACGGTGTTGTTCTGCCTGGGCGATGTTGAATCTGTGCTGAACACTGCTACAGGATTCCCTTTTATCCAAATCTTCTACGACGTGACGCACTCGTACGCAGGCGCGTCAGTCATGACCGCCGTCATCATGGTGCTCACCATGGCCTGCTCAATCGGTATCACGGCCACTGCATCTCGTATGACCTGGTCTTTTGCCCGAGACCAGGGCTTACCCTTCTCCCGGTATCTGAAGAGCGTGAACGCTCGCACCCAAGTCCCCATCGTATCTGTTACCGTAGTCTGCGGTCTCGCATGTGCCCTGACGCTCATCTACATCGGCTCCACCACTGCTTTCAACGACGTCATCTCCCTTACCGTGACTGGATTCTACAGCACCTATTTCCTCCCAAGCGCGTTCCTTCTCTACCATCGCATCAAGGGAAACATCTTGCCCCATGGTACCATAATGGACGGCCTCCCGGATGCCGCCGTCACTGCCGCCAGCACCACTGCCAACTCCACCGAAAAAGCTCCTACCCCGGTGCGCCCAAAGAGCCCGGTTGACAAGCAAATCCCCAGTCCAAGTCTATCCCAGAGCCCCGAACGCGACATGCCCGAGAAAAGGGGTATCCAGCCCACTGAGTATGACATTGCCCAGGCACCTCTGATCTGGGGCCCATGGAAGGTTCCCGGTATTCTCGGCACTATTAACAATGCGTACGCTTGCGTGTATATGCTATTCGTCATCTTCTGGAGTGTGTGGCCTCCAGAGACTCCCGTGGATTACACGACCATGAACTACAGTATAGTTGTCACTGCGGGCGTGCTGATTCTTAGCGGTATCTGGTACTTTGTTCGTGCCCGGAAAGAATACTCCGGCCCTCTGATTGATGAGGAGGTTGCTGAAATCATGCACCTTGCCCCCGCAGCGGTTGCCGCGACAGTCCCAAAGACAGACTAGATGCTGAAGTGGATATAGGTGTTTGTCGGCAACCGAAACGGGAATCCAGGAGGAAGAGGTGGAAGCATAGCAGGGAATTTTACGCGCAGATGAAGTGGGATGAGAAATGTATCGATACCCCCAGGAACATACGTCATGTACTTATTTGAACATATCCAAAAGCAAATCATGCTGCAAATAACATGTGAATTCATGATCGCGACGCGTCGAACCCCCTAGCTCATCGACCATGCAAAACTCAACCGTCAGGGCCTCCTCCCTCATGCGCGAAGGAGGATTAACCTTTCACCCTGAACAATCAAGTCACGCACCAGACGAACATGTTCATCCGCGAAGCCCTTTTTATGGCCCACCAACGCCTCCAAATCTAACAAGATCGACACCAATTAGGTACAGCTTGCAAGGAGAAAGCCGCGCTCAAGCACTGCAGAAAGCGACTCACCACGCGTCCGCCCAACCAACAAGCCGCAATGGAGCCTTCGTAGCTGAAAAAGTGGCTACATCCTGGGGTGATCTACAGGCCAAGGAATACGACGGGTGGCCTGGCGTGTGCGAGTATTGAAATATGGTTGGATCGAAACTTGCAGCCCCCCATTCATCTTCAGCTCGGGAATTTCAGCCGCACCACAACACTACCTGGGTGTCAGCGCAAGCAATTACAGATGTTAAATACCCGTTCTGATGAGAAGCTGAGGGCAGTTGGATGCTCCTATAATGTACCCTAAATATTATATCATGGTAGAAGGGTACCTTCGAGTGACTTGAAAGAGTAGTTGGATTATTGTTCCCAAGATTAGATACAAAACACACCATCAGCGTGGCAGGGCATCAGCCCCGAGAGGAGTCAGCGGTATTGACCCACTTTTCCTCGACACTGGGTGACTCTATATTTATAGTTGCTGATCATCATAAATATGAACCATGGGTCTCGCCAGCTGTCATTTTGTCTGGACTACTGTACATCTCTCACGACCTAGAATCCAAGATGGAGCCCCATGAACGGAGAGAGGTCTTCGGACCTTTAGCGCAGCCGAAACAATTTGTGCTTTGTTTTGATGGGACGGGGAACAAATTTGCTGGTGATGAGTCTGATACGAATCTTGTCAAGATTTATCGCGTAGGTACTCGGTTATCTCGTTACAATTCAACGCGACAATGAGGCTCAACCCTAATTTTACGAATAGATGCTTGATCGCAGCCAAAGTCACCAATACCACTATTACCAACCCGGCATAGGAACGTACGTGACATCGCATTCACTCGGTAGTAATGGAAGATTCGAGCGCATCAAATCTTCATACAAGAAAGCCAAAGATGCAGCGGTGGGGTCCTCCTTTGACGAGCACGTTCTCGGGGGATACAAGTTTCTGATGCGATACTATGCCCCCGGCGACGACATCTACTTCTTCGGTTTCAGTCGAGGCTCATATACCGCGCGCTTTCTCGCTGAGATGCTCGATTACGTCGGTCTGCTCCAGCCGGGGAATGAGGAACTGGTGCGATTCGCGTGGAAGACTTTTGCCAAGTGGCAGCAGCGGAAAAGTGGCACGGAGCAGGACGATAAGGAACGACATAAACTTTTCCGGTTCATGAAGGCATTTCGAGAGACGTTTAGCAGGCCCGTGAGCCGGATTAAGTTCCTGGGACTGTTCGACACGGTAAATAGTGTGCCTATGTTTGAGAATGCTTGGATGGAGAGGAGCAAGTTTCCTTATACGGCGCAGACGACGGCTCGGGTGATTCGGCATGCTGTTTCGATTGATGAGCGCCGGGCCAAGTTTCGGCAGGATCTGATATCGGAACTGAGAAGTGCAGCGCATGGTCAGTTACATTCACACCGATTCAGGCACATGCTATCACGAGAGAATCATGGAAAAGCCAATGTCCCTGAGCTTGTCCTGCCTGAAAATGAGCCCAAGGCAGGGAGACAAGGGCGTCGCAGGTCTGGATCTAGCCATGGGTGGGGCGAATTCAGATACCGTGCCCCATCGTCATCACCAATGCGCAAGGGAAGCTCTGAATTGCCGAGGACCAATGCGTATTTGTCTGATCATCACTCAGTAAAGAGCGACGTCTCCAGAACATCGCCCCGAGTCCGGAGCTTGAATATCCCGGGCAACGGATATGAAGAACAGGATGAGCAGGATATCTCAGAAGTCTGGTTCCCAGGTCAACACGGTGATGTCGGTGGAGGCTGGAAGCTCAACCCCGAAGATCTTTGGCCATTGAGTCACATCCCTCTCGTCTGGATGGTCAAAGAAGCGCAAGCTGCCGGATTAGAATTCGACCCGGAGAAGCTCAAACACTTCAATTGCTATGAGGAACACCCTAGCGCCATGGAGGGTCCGAAAGAAACGATATTTTCAAACGGCCTCGCAGCACATAATCACCACCGACAAACCGATAAATTTAGCGAAGCTCTTATGTGCACCATGGACCAGGGCATCGCACATGACTGTCTCTCTTATGGCGGTGGTCTTTCTTTCTTCTCGACCATGGCGTGGCGATTGATGGAGTATCTGCCTTTCCGACGAATGGACCTCCAACCCGATGGCACCTGGATACCGATTCGCTGGCCTCTTCCTTGCGGAGAAGTTCGTGATATTCCTGAAAACGCACAGATTCATATCTCTGCTATTCATAAACTGCGGACTGACCCAAACTACCGGCCGGGGAATTTGATTATTGGGGGCGGTGGACGTGGAGTTAGGTGGGCGCCGGAGGAATATGGTATTGGGGAGTGGGAGGTTTGTAAACACGAGGGTGATTTGGTGCGACAGACTTATATTCGGAAGAATTGGAAGGATCCTGCGGGGTTTTGTCAAGATGATCATGCTCATGAGGCATAGTTGATTTGTAGAGTTGGAATTTACCTTTGAGCCAAAGTATTAGGTGTATAGTTGATTATAATGATGATTTGCGCGAGACCAGATACTATATGAACAATCCGAGAAGGCCATGAGCCCTGTAACCAGGTACAATGATTGGAATGCTTTGTGCTTAAGAATTCTAGTTGATTCATCAAAGAGCACATCTTGGATCACGCTGATCTGGGTGCTGATACTCCGCTTCTGGTTGACATTGAGGCCGGTCGCGGTCATGAGCTAATAGGATTTAGGAAGCGATTCTCAGACGCTCTGGGTAGACTCATTTTAGATGATCTTCCAATGTTCATTAAAGAGATCCAGGGTGCGCAGGATCTGACAGCTGCTGGTGTCGATATTGTGCCCTGTGATTTCTTCAAGCAAGTCCAGCAAGTCCATGGTGAATTTCCACTGCCGCGTTAAAAGAGGACTGTGACTGGACATGGATCTTAGGCGCACAGGCATATTACTTCAAGAACATGCTTCATGACTGGGAATCGTTGAAGCTGAATTGCCTAAGAGCATTTGTATACAACGAGTCGAGTAAAGGTCTGGGGGTTGAGTCAAGCTCATTCCATAATTTGAAATTCTATATGATCAAATAATCATCTTGGTGCATTGACTCGGTATTATGGGTCTGAAGGGGATCAGCAAAACAGAGTAACTCAAAGATCCAGGCCAACTCACAAAATCCATCCAAGGAATATTGCTCTGATCATGCTCCGGCTGACGAGCCCTGGCTAGCCACACCTTCTCAAGCAACGAGTACGGTGCTGCTATGCCCATCTCAGATCTTGCTTGGATTTCTGCAAGACGCAAGAGAACATAATGACGCGAGTGAGGAGAGAGGCTATCGGCACCAGCCATGAATAGAGGCATCACGTTAAGTTCTATTATCGGGTTGGTCCCCGGAACGTGTGCAAGAGAGTCTAGAATCGCCATGACCGAGGTCTGAATGCGCGTCGTCGATGCAGGTTCGGTGGGATCGAGAAGACGCCAAGCACGTAGAATGCAGGTATGGCGAAATGCCTCTGCGACACATCGCCAAAGTGGATCTTCGCTGGGAAAGAAGCATCGAGAGCTATCCCATCGGTACATCTTCTGGATCAGTGCTTGGACTTGCGTATCGTAACCCTCTGTGCTCAGATGACCGCTCGAATGCGCTTTGCCATGCTCGAAAATTTCACCAATGATAAGGACCAGTTCCCGCGGGCAACCATTTACTGCTTCGAACCTCAGGTCACATAGGGATAATAGCTTTTGACGAAGCTCTTGTGTGAAGCACAATCGTTCTGGCACAGCAAATGCGCGAATTATGTCGAGCCTACAACAGAGTGAGACCAAGACCATGTGGTTGGATGGAGAGAACCTACCAGATTAGATTTCCCAGGAAGAAAACAGTTCTCTCATCTTTCACAGTCAAGTGTTGATCGAGCTTCAGTTGGGAACAGATCGACAGCGCACCTGATATATGCGCGCCATGTGTGGAGACTCCAGATTCTCGAATCTATGGAGAATAGATTCAAGTTAGCCCTGCAGTCATGTATCCAGAAGGTAAATCACTTACATCATGAAGTAGTAGGATCTGGATTGTCGCAAATACGCCGTCTCGTTCATCGTCAGTAAAACTTCCGGAGCAGACTTTTCTGATGGCTGCACCCAAGGCAGTAATTGCCTTGACCCGGTAATCGACGGCAGTCGTTTCATAAAGATCTTTATCAGATTTCAAATGTCCTAGATGGCATGCGGAGAGTCCAAGAACCGCATATAGGAGGCCGATCTGTTCATATGCCAGAGGAAGCACATAACACCGATAGGGATTGTCACTGTTATTCTCGTGGGCGATCTGATGTGGGCAGACCATGTGATCGTCTGCAGGAGAAATCAGTCAAAATAAATTACGAATCAATGACTATACAATCAACGTACAGTGTTTCAAAAGCAATTCGGTTTCATCCAAGCCGAGGACTGTGCTGATTTCTGACTGGTCTTTCGGGGTCGACTTCTGGGATACGAGTGACTGATAGGGAGAACCACTTGAAGAAATCTCTGTCCGCTTAGTGGCGGTCTGTTTTGAGAAATTCGATGATGAAGGAGAGGAGGAAGTGGAGACAATCTCTGTATCAATAGGGGCATCTCGATCCTTCCACTTGCCACGACTGGCGATCCCGCAAAAGCGAAACTTGTCGGGGTAGCCACCACATTGCAATCCCTTGCTGATGCAGCGCTTACATGCCGGCCGTCCACGATCGCATCGACGCGATTTTTGACGACATGTCAGGCAAGCGGCTTCTAACAGAGGGCCTACTAGTTAGGAAACCCAAGGAAGATAAGATGGGAGTGTCACGGACCAGTAGAGCGCATATTCAGCTCTCACTTATAACAAGTGTGAGAGTTGCTCATTACATCGGGAACCATTTCAGTGGGTTGATTCTTTCAGGGACCGTTATGCTCAGTTTGTCGTCCTTGCTTCATACAAAATGGGGAGATAATCCTGACAATCGGACACTTGTGGCTCATAATATTGACACCTAAGGCACAGTTGATTATGTAATATTCCAACTGGGAGGTTTCCATTCCGCCTCACAAGCACGTGTTCACATTCCGTGACTAGCTTTGTCAACGTAGATTTTGTTTGTCTTCAGATCTTTCATCTCTTCTAGGGAATTCAGAGCCTGTCATCAAACTGATCTGGATGGAGAGCCCAAGGAGGCGGCGCTGCTGTTTGACCCAATCATTTCATGTCACCCTTGCACGTCCAGCCTGGACTAGGATTTATAACGTTCCATCGTCTACGACTTAACGGAGAATCTCTGAAGGGAGGCGATAGAAACAGCTTTTTGAAACTACTTTGTATGCATCCGGCGATGAAATATCATGGCTTGTCTTGTTCGGGTCGCACTTCTGTAGTCTGGCTCGAAGCCATTCTAGCTGTTCAAGAGACATGTTCTCGTAAAGCGTTCAAAGACTTGGATTAAATAATATCAAGATGGAAAATTGAGAGAGCATGAAAGTACAAGAAAAGGAATTTGGCTTTGAAGAGGGAAACAGGCATCTTTTTGACCGACTCAATCTCAGCCACATTTCAACCCCGCCGTAGAGGCGCTCTGTTCGGGCCCAATTTGTATCGCCCTAGCTATCGTGAAGTGAACGTGATATTGTGCGCGTGGCAAATCATAAATGACTTATTCCAGAGTACCGGCTTTGATTTGGCTACATTCAGCTGTCTGCCTTGTTTCTGCTTCATACAATGACATCCTCCGCCCAGATCAGAACTAGCATCACTGAGATACATGGTGAGCCTAATGCGCAGGAAGCCAGAAGCACATCATCTGAGCTAGTAATCTGTCAAATGGAACTTAGGGCACTCGGTGGTACTGGAGTACATATTCAAGGAAAGAGGGTGTCGTGCCGAGGACGACCATACCTGGGAGTGCGGATTCGTCATCCTACAAAAGTCTAGCTCTCGCTACGGCATTTAGCCAACAGAAGCTGGACGCGACCAATCTGAAGCCATGAGTTGGACGTCAATATCAAGCATATGCGAGCAGGCTTTACATCTTGAATACCGGACTGGGCATGCATCACAATCACAAATTGCTCTTGTACCTTGCTAACAAAAGCAATGTCAGCGCCTGTGCACAAGGGGAATGCAATATTAACCTGCTAAAGTGGCATGAAAAGTAGAAAAAATCCTTTTGGGCAGAGTAAGTGCTCGAAAACTGCCATTCGAAATCAAAACTCGGCCCTAAAAAGAAGTAGGATAGATTAGTGTCAATGTCCAAGTTGGGTAAGGATTCTCTGACCTCTGGCCCACTCTGGCTCGGGACAAAGTCTACCGACGGCGACTGTTAGCGATGGAATCCAACTTTTTGTTCGACTCGTTTTGTCCGTTCTCAATTTGCAATTACCTTGACATAGCTGGAATATTGACCACTACCCATTCATACACCCGTACATCGTCGAGATTTATCCCTTTCGCACCCCCAAGAAGGTTTGTACGAACCAATCTCTCCCAGTCTTGACCCCGCATCCCCGCAGTGTCAACGCGTGAGAACTAACGACCAACGCAGCGTCCAAGAAAAGCTCCCAAGTGCAACAGGCAATCAATATGCCAACTCCTATCGTGGACTCTCATATTCACCTCTTCCCAGCCTCACACCTACCAACATTGGCCTGGTACAGCCCCGGTAGCCCGCTTGGCTCACAACACAGCGTCGATGAGTACCGACACGCGTCATCTTCCATTTCTACCCAAAGCGATATTACCGATTCAAAATACCTTAGCGGATTCATCTTCCTCGAGACAGATCGCATCTCATCTGTGGTGGATGATCAGCCAGATAGCCCAGGCTGGACACATGCTCTCGACGAGGTGTCCTTCCTAACACGCATTGCGCTCGGGGAGCCGGTGCCTGGAGAAGGACATGACGCAGCACACAAAGACCTCTGTTTGGGAATCATCCCATGGGCACCAGTTCCAGGGGGCCCAGAAGCCTTGAGATCATATATGGCCAAGGTTAAGGAGCGGACAAGAACGGAGCAAATCTGGAATAAGGTGCGAGGTGTGAGGTACTTGGTTCAGGATAAGCCAGCGGGAGTGATGCTTCAGCCGCACTTTGTGGAGGGCTTGCGCTGGTTAGGACAGCAAGGTCTGATCTTTGATCTGGGGGTAGATGCCAGACAAGGTGGGTTGCATCAATTGCGCGAAGCAGTGGAGATGATGGATAGGTTGGGTGATGCGAGTACGGTGATAATCATCATAAGTAAGTTGCAATCTCAGACTTCAATGACTTGTGGTTCTAATTTGATGATTTATAGATCACCTTTGCAAGCCGAATCTACGCCTTTCGCCTGACTCCGTCCCTTCTCACCCGGAGTTCCTGGAATGGAAAGAACTGATTACGAAAATGGCCCAGGCAAGCTCTAGGACCTACATGAAGCTCTCGGGCGCATTTTCAGAGCTACCTCCGTTGGATTCTGCGGTCAAACCTGATATTTCCAATCTTGTCGATCGCCTTCAACCTTGGACAGATGTGGTGTTCGACGCGTTTGGAGCCGAGCGCGTGATGTTCGGCTCGGATTGGCCTGTATGCAATATTGGTGGTGGAGGCAATGATGTTTCGTGGAATCGGTGGATCAGAGTAGTAGAGGGGATTCTCGAGAAAAGAGGATTGACCGAGGAGCAGAAGCAGGGTGTTTGGGGCCAAGTCGCGGTGAAGGCATATGGCATAAGCATTTGAAACCCCTCGGGGCATTGCTGACCCGAGATGCCGGACGGCCGCCCGCAGCAGATGCAAGTGCCGTTGCTAGAGACGTGTTGTACATGGGATTTTTCTGAACAAAACAGATGAGAATTTTGGACGTACCTATTTTCTCTTCGATCGACAATGAAGTTCTCCATAGGATTAGACTTTCATATGGCCGTCAGCATGCCAGGGGAAAGCTTGCGGGGTCGTGCAGCTGCTTCGGTGTAAGCGACGAAGTGGAGAAACGCGGGGTGACTGCCCCGGTTTCTGCCTGAGGCTTCTATTCGGCCTAGTGACTCCGCGATCCCGAAGTCTTCCATTCTCCTCTTCTTTTCCCACCCTCGGTCCTCACTTGCCTCTTCATCGGACAAACGCCGTGTTCTTACTCTCGGCCCAGCTGGCCCGGAAACCCATCCCGCGTGTCATTCTGCCGAGTGCGCGTCATGGTCGATCCTCGATAGGAGAGTGGACTATCTCGCTATAGCAAAATGCCGAACACTGCAGCACCTCCCGCTCTGCTGCCCCCCTCCTCCAATCACGGTCCTGGCGGCCCTGATAAAGAACAGAGCCCGGGGGAGTACTCATCCGGTATTGACTCGGATAACGACCTTGTTGGTCCCAATGGCTCGCGAGCTTTGAAACGAAAGCGGCCCCTCACTGTCTCGTATGTCCCTAAGCTGATCGTGCCACATGCCCGGGCCGTGAAGGCGCCATATATGCAGGAAGTTCAAGGCTAATGTACCTCAAAGATGTGAACTATGCAAGCAGAGAAAGGTCAAGTGCGGTATGCGACGCCCGTCTGTTTGAGTATGGACCCGTCTGCTAACCTAGAACCGTTAATCCAGATCGAATCCAGCCCAGCTGTGGCTGGTGTAATCGCAATGGCCAGATGTGTGAGTACAAGGAGCGAAAAAAGCCTGGTCTGCGGGCTGGCTATGGGAAGGAGTTGGAACAGCGGCTTGGTAAGTCGATGCTCTAGCCCATCTCCGGTGATCCGGAATCTCATTAGTGTTTCAGACAGATTGGAGGAAATCATCCAGGCGCAAGCCCGCCTCATTGAAATGCACGTTCTGCAGAATCGGCCTTCAATAGGACATGAGATGGCCAAAGCTGGCTCACTCTCGTATAGCTCTCCATCAGAACCCTCGGCGGTCCACGGACCCAGTCCCCGCACGGCACTGTACTTCAACGACCCAGCTTCTTCGGTGATCCTACCCTCTCGTCGAGCAGATGTTTCGATCACCAGTCCGTCGGATACTTCGGTGAAGAACTTGGTTCAAAATAGTCTCCAAAATGGAGGGTCAGCCCCTTCGATGAGCTCGTTGCCATCTGCTCCCAACGCACAAACGAACAATGACTACACCGGAAATGAATCCTCGTTGAAAGTCCCCGTCAATCTCTTTGGCAACCAAGAGCAGTCACTAGCTGATCCTGACTTGGATCTTCCGCCGTACGACCTGCTGTATTCGTTGGTTGATCTCTATTTTGAGCACATCAACTCCTGGTGCCCAATTCTTCATCGTCGGTCGACACTGGATACTTTTTTCGGTCCATCTCCGTTAGAGGAGGCAGATCGGATGGTCTTGTATGCCATCGTGGCAACGACCTTGCGCTTCTCTTCCGACCCCCGACTCAACGACCAGAACCGAAAGCGTTATCACGACTCATCAAAACAAAAGGTTCTTCTCTATGGCCTGGAGAATTCATCCGTGAAAGCGCTGCAAGCCTTGGTTATATTGGCAATTGACTTGGTGGGATCATCTAATGGTCCTCCGGGTTGGAAGCTGCTTGCTTTGATTACACGATCTGTGGTCCAGCTGGGGTTGGCCGTAGAATCAAAGTCATCTCTCATTGCTCCAGCGTACCCCTCCATCTATACCTTGAGAGCAGTGACCCTCTCAGAGCCTGACTCTTGGATAGAGGATGAAAGCAGACGGCGCTTGTTCTGGATGGTCTACTTGTTGGACCGGTACTCAACAATCGCTACTGCTTTCAACTTCGCACTGGACGATAAGGACATCGACCGCAAGCTGCCCTGCAAGGAAGAGTTTTTCATTAAGAACCAACCCGTCGAAACACGGCGTTTTCACTACTCCAGTGACCGTGCAGACTATCTCACACATTCGGAGAATGTGGGGTCCTTCGGGTTATATATGGAGATTCTCGGCATCCTGTCTCGCATCCACCTGTTTTTGAAGCGGCCTGTGGATATTGGGTCGCTGTCCGATGTCGAGGAATGGCAGGCCACCTACCGAAAGCTGGATAGTGAGCTCACATCGTGGGAATTCAACCTACCTGTTGAATATGCGTACGAGAATTCGTCCAGGCTCTTTACTGGTGGAGGAAAGCAGAGCCGATCCCTCCACGGCGATTGGGTGCAGCTTCATGCCACCTATCAGACGTGAGTTTGGACCTAATTTTGTGATATGTATCGTGAGTACCCTGCTAACATTCTGTCGCAGAGCTGTGATCCGTTTGCATTCATCTGCTGCGTACCCAACTACCCGCTCGCCCATCTTTACACCCTCATACAGTGCCAGCCAACGGTGCCTGTTAGCAGTCGACAACATCCTATCAGTAACACGCTTCGTCGTCGAAAACAACATGCTCGACAAGCTCGGACCCCCCTTCGCTTTCACCCTCTGGGTCTCAGCACGACTCCTCCTCGTCCACGGATCAACAATCGCGCACACCGTCAGCCACGATATCCTCTTCTTCGTCGACACCCTCGCCCACATGGGACAGTACTGGAAAGTCGCCGAACGCTACAGCAACATCCTTCAGCGTGTCCTCGACGAATACGGCGAATACCAACAATCCGCCGCCATAGACGGCGAGCGCTCAACCCCATCTACAGTCAAAATCCTGGCCGACATGCGCCGCTGTGCATTTGATCTCGACTTCTTGATTTCCCGTCAACCGCGCGAATCCCCATCGACCATGAGCAATGGCGGTAACGACGCAACCCGGCCGCCCAATCCTGCCATGACTCCGCGCAACCTCGCGCCGAATGAATTGGAGTACCTCGATGTCTTTGGATTCTTCAATGTGCCGCGTGTACCGCCTGCCCGGGCGCCGGACCCTAACTCGACTAATCCTGCTCATCTGGATATGTCCGATTCTGTTCCGAATCCCATGTCCATTCATGGACTTACAGGTACCGGACCCGTTGTTGATGGTAATGGCACTGCGAACACGAACGAGTTTAATATCACGAATTATCTGATTCCTACGCCGGAGACGGACTGGTTGTTCCGCCCAGGTGGATGAAAGGGCTGGTCTCGTGCTCATTGTTGAGATACACGTTCATTTACCACTTCTCAATTATACTCCTCGGATGCATCAGAGTGCTGAGGTGGTTGTGGATGACGGGTCTCAATGATGCTTGTCTTATCAGTCTCATCGCTAGTGAAGCCTCCTTCTAGGGCTCGCCTCGCCCCATTCCCGATAGGAAAGGCTTCCAGCTTCTATGGCGGTCAGAACTACGAACCACTATCCACGGCTTCGCGAGACTGTCCCAGGAATGGTGCTGGATTCGGACACCCTTTGACTCCGTCCTTCGAGCTTAAAGACTGTGTGTTCCTGTGGGTACGTGGAATCATTCAATACCCTACACCGTCATGTATATAAATCCCCCACTCTTGATCAAGTATCGGGAGTTACGGGGCAGAAAGACATCTTCAAACTGTCAATCCTTATACGAGATGCAATACACACCTTCTTACAAAACGAAGTTTGCGTCAGCACAGCTCGTACAGTCCCTCAAATTGAAATCAATAGCTTCAAAGGCATACAAACATGACTGACTACACTATTCTCTACTCTGTATTCTCTACATTCCGTAACGTAAAGACCCAACATATCCATTATATGCATACAAACAGAGAAAGAAAAAAAGACAGGAGACTCAGATTGTAAAGTACATCGAAGAAAAACATCAAAGGACCGCAAACATCCCATTTACAGTACAGCAGCTCCCAGAGCCCGAATCACGAAGGAGCCCCCGTGAGGCAAACAACAGGTACAGTGGTATATCCAAACCAACGTCTAGTTCAAGACCGGGGCAGGCTGCGCAGTGGTCCGGACATGACGGCCCAACTTCTCCAGCTCGCCGATAATACCGCCGCCAGACAGACTCCACTTCTCGCCAACCCAGGACTCGTTCACTTCCTCGCGCAACAAGCCGCTGCGGGCAAAGTACTCCAGGTAACCGCGGGCCTCATCGCGGGTCAGACCACCCAGAGTCTGGAGCTCGAATTGGGGCTCCTTGCCGGTGGTAGGCTTGAAGAGCTCCAGGACGCGGGCGTCGGCGCCGCTGTAGGCCTCGGGGGCCGGGTATTCAGGGGAAGAAGGGCTGACACCGGTCTGACGGGCGGCCAGCTGGTCCAGGGCAACATCCAGGGTGTAGATGGAAGGGTTGTTGGAGGTGGAGGTGGCGTACAGGACCATACCGCCGTTCTTCAGCGAGGCCTGGCCGTTCAGCAGGAGGGAGAGGAAGTGCTTGACGAAGACGAGGTCGTGCGCGTGGACGGGGGTGTAGTCGGAAGCACGGTAGGCACTCTCCTTCATCCAGTGCCCGATGCCGTCGACGGTGACGAGCATGGGAGGACGGGGCTTGAAGTCCTTCTCCATGCCTGGGGCCGCGGCGGTGGCAGTCAGCTCAGTCCACAGGGCCTGGAAAACGGGCCAGGCAACGGCGGCATCCTGGAAGCCGAGCTTGGCGAGGTCCTCGAGGGTGGAGGAAGGCTTCAATGATGGCAGAGCAGAGTGTTTCTGCGAGACTTTGAGGCTGGAAAGGACCTGACGGTTGGCCTCGACGGTGCGCATCAAAAGGGCGGAGACAGCATTAGGCTGGACGTATTGGGTCGGGTTGGTGCCTTCGATCGGGGAATAGCTAGTATCGCCGGACACGAGGTCTCGGGCTGCAGGAAGAGCAATTAGTAGCTGCGAGGCATTAATTGATCAAAGATATGATTGCAATGCTTACCATCAGGGACCGTGACCACAACCCACTTCTTAAGGAAACCCATAGCCATAGCCTGCAACAAATGCACACTCTTGCCAGAGCCCTTCAACCCCGTAATAATCTTCTTAACAACCTTGCCCTTCTCAGCACCATCTCCCTCTCCAGAGATCTTCTCAAACAAACGAGCCATCTCCAGCGTATCCCGACGCAGGACAGTACCCGGCCGACGGAAAATCGACCAACCCTGCTTAGGCTTGAAAGCCTGCACAGCTCTCAATTGATCCAGCATAGGCACAGGCAGACCCAGCACCGAGCCCCGCAGACGAGCATCAACCATAGTCTCCGAAGATAGGTCCTGCATGCCCTCAATCTCAAGGGCGTTAGGGTTACTCAGGACGATACGTTTCCGCAAAGCCTTGCGCTCGCCAACGGCCGGAGGACGCGCACGCTCGGTGGTCTTCTTCTTCTTTCGGCGCAGGGTCTGACCCTGACGGTACTTGACCGCCACGAGGGAACCCTTCTTCTTGGTCGGGTTGGCATACTGCACGGCGGAGGAGTGGAAGGAGGCGGTCGTGATTCGGGGCGTGATGGACTGCGGAGGGAGAATTGCTCGCGGTGTTGGCGTTGCGCGAAGCCGCGAGAGGCAGCTCCAGCACCACGAGGAGGCCATTGGATCACTCAGACACTGGCACAGTGGCCAGTGTGGTCAATTCGGGGCGGAATTGGGGGGTAAGTGAGTTTGGGGAGTTGAATGGCGACTTCCGGAGTGTCGGGTGAAAGACAACCCATAATAATTTGATGAATTCCTTGCGCCCGTTTGGGATGGCGGTGTGGGGCTGATACCTTAGTCAGGAACGGCAGAAAAGCAGAGAGGACTGATAATCAACTTTTTTTTTCTTCTTGCCGAGCAGCTTTATCTCCGCATCTCTTTGCTCTGAACAGACACTTTTGGTCTTTCAATTCGAGCGCTGAATTATCGTTCATTATGCCTGACGTCGAGATGGGCAATTCCGCCACTGATGTGGCTTCCAACAAGCCTGAGAGACTGTACGATCCGCTCCTCCATGTTGATATTAATATTGATATATGGCCCGCCGGATACTCGATATGAAAAGCTAACATAAATCACCTAATCCAGCCCCATCACCGTCTCCAAGCCTACCCCCTACACCTTCGACCTGGGCAACCTGATGGTCAACGACCCGAACCCCATGGAACTCGCCCAAGGCGAGCCCCTCAACGGCTCGCTCAAGGCGATCGCCCGCGACGGCGCCCAGGTCCTACTAAACCAGCTCCTGACAACATGCACCATCACCTCATCCGCACAAAACGGCGTGCTCCTCAACCTCCCGGCCCCCGCCACAGCCGTGCCCCGGCACAAGCCCCTGCCAACCCCCAAGCCCCCGACCAAATGGGAGCTGTTCGCCCGCAAGAAGGGCATCGGCAAGTTCAACCAGAGGCCCGGAGCCGCGCTGGCCGACAAGGAGCGCCGCAAGAAGCTAGCGTACGACGAGGCATCGGGCGAATGGGTGCCGCGCTGGGGCTACAAGGGCAAGAACAAGCCCGAGGACACGCAGTGGGCTGTGGAGGTCAAGGAGGAAGATTGGAAGAAGGAGGAGGATGCTGCTGCCAAGGGTGGCTCGATTCGTGGAATGAACCGGGCGGAGCGCAAGGACCGGATTAAGAGGAATGAGCGTAAGGAGCGGGCTAATGAGCGGCGGTCGAGGAAGCCTGGTAGTGGCTAGGGGTTTCACGAGGTTGCTGGGGGCCTGTATAGTTTTAGATTTCGTTTCTATTCTTCATTCTCGGGCGTTGGGGTTTGGAGTCGGAACTCATATCTTCTTTTACGATTGTCCAGTTGTGAGACTACATCAAAAAGCATTGTTTACGTCATGTCAATACCAACGGCTTGTCTACATCCATCAAGGTACCAGTGTTACGTGTTCCACGTTTCTAGAAGATATGGAGGAAATTATCGCGAAACCCAAGCAAGGTCTGTATTGAACCGAAAATGCCATCCCACTGCCGCTATTGTACAATCCTCAAATGAGAACGCCAGACAGAAAAGAAAACCAGACATAGAGAGACCTCAACTGTGCGAATCAAGACAAGAACCAAGACACGAATGACAAAGATAGTGAGAGCCACAGCGGGGAATCTAGAAGAAAAAGCAGCATGGAAAGCAAATGAATCAAATGGAGGGGGATATTTGAAAAGCTTCCAAACAAGGCATAGAGCGCATGACGGGATGAGATCCAGATAGACAAGACATAAGGGAATTGAAATGAGAGCCACATTTCGCCGGGGTCAGTGTACGGTGCGAGATCAACATATACAACAAACAGAAGCGTAAAAATATGAAAATGAGGTCCTGTGAAGATGATGAGGAGGAAAATCGATGCCGGAGACGCCAAAATATGCACTCCGACGGGATGCTAGTCCCGAGGTCAAGGGACGTTTCATTGGGACAAAAGAGCACCCAGTAGGGAGATGAGTAAAGAGTTTGAGTAGAAAGAAGACGACACGAGATGACTGAGATTCGTGGTCGGCATCAATCGACGACCGCTGATGCAATGCCAAAAGTTGGCCATATCCTCTTTTTTTATTCGGAAGACTTCCATTGTAGGGACGCAGGATCGGTCCAGCCGAATAGTAAGGAGCTCAGATTGGATGTGCTTCAATGCAGATCCAAAAAGGGCGAGTGGAATGCCCAGGTATTTTGTTTCGTGGTGGCCTTCCAAGCAGGCCGGTGGAAAATGTAGTCCCGGCTCTAGATCTTAATAGGTGAGAGAGGCGGGCCAAGCTCCGGAAGTTGGGAGATGCTTCGAGTGTGTGCGGTTTCAATGTTCTTCGGCTTAGCCTTTCGGCCACGGGACGTCTCTGGGCGAGGCTTTTCTTCCTCTGACCGAGAGCTGGAACCGGACGAGACGGCGCGTTCGTGTTTGGATGAGGACTGGGATGGCTCGACCAGGACCTTGACATCCTTCTCTTCCGCTGCCTTCCTCTCCAGCTCATCCATCTCCTTCTCCTTCTGAATGTATTCCTTCTCAGTCCAGCAACCCTGCCAGCAGTTCTTCCAGTCACAGACCAAGAATTGGAAGCAGAAAGCATCAATCTTCATGCAAGGCTGGAAACAGATGCAGAGATTGCGGTAGTCCATTTTGTTCTGGTCGACGTATGAGTGGAGGAGATTGAGGTGGCAAGTGATGGCGAAGAGAAGGTAGTAGTTGTAGGGTGGAAGTTTGGACAGCTCATCCTTGAGCAGTTGCGGAGCGGTGGTAGCGCCCTCACACTTCTCGGCGATCATGTCCTGTGTGGCTTTGGGGAAGAGCTCGTCTGGCAGTTCGCGGAGCCAGGCCTTGAACAACGATCCAACCGTGTTGATATCGTAAAGGTCTGGTACATCGAAGAGGCTGACGTCTAATTGTGAATCGAACCGCCTCTGCCAATGTTTCACCTCACGGCCGCTGCCTGGTACTCGGTAGAGACCCTCTTCCTCGCAGCCCTTGTAGTTAAGGTAATCGATGCAGCGGTAGGGAAGTGCGGGCATCCAAAACTCGGTCTTGTCTCTGCAACCGTCCAGCTTCTTGGCAATACGGGTCTTCCTGGCCTGCTCGATGAGGGGAAGGTTGATCACGGAGCACACATAGTTGTCATCGTTGATCAGCTCCCGCTCATTCGTGCTACCACTCCTAGTGATTTTGCCGAAGAAGCCCTTGCCTGCCTTGCCAATACGATCGGCGGCCCCGCTTGAGGACTGTTTCAGATTGTTGAAGATGGCAGCCGAGGCACCAGAAACCTGGCTCAATGAGGCAGAATTCACCATGGACCCACCATGACCCTTCTCCTTTCTGACAGACGCAGCATCTGCGTGTCGTGAGGGTGGATGCAGTCCCCCTTCAGCAGGGCGCTCCGGGCGAAGGGTAGCAGAGCGCGATGCGCTTGATGCCTGTGGAGAATTGAATTCCTCCAACTTCGCCAGACCAGTAGACGGTCGTCGACCAGCAGCTCGATTTCCAGATGATTCATCAACTCGAATAGATCGCGATCGGGTCAAAAGGTTTGCGAATCGCGGCTTGCTCTTCTTGAATGGAGCTGGATCCACCTCGGTAGTGGTCTTCTTAGGGCCCGTTGGTTTGGTGGTCTTGTCGCTGGAACCGTTTGCGTCTGAAATCATGCGCTGTTAGTATAAGGGTTCCCTAGGGAAGTAAAGACACGAGTCAAGACGAATACTCACTCTTGTCACTCTCACCTGCCTTGGCTAGGGCGCCAGGCAAGTCAGGGGTCGACTCATGGAACTTCGGTGCCGTCTTCCGGTCCCTCGAGCTACCTCGGCTCTTGGGGGGTTCGGTGGAGTTCTCCGAGCTGTCTGATCGCTGTGCGCGGTGGGACGACTTGGGTGCTTTTAGAGTGCTGAAGAATGATTTAGATGCGTCGCGGGTGTGTGAAGACTTCGAGTCTTTCTGAGAAGGGAAATATTGAGGAATGGCCGTCAGACCAGGTGTAGAGGGCTCGGGGCCGAGTTCGGTGGCCGAAAGACCAGGCGATTTCGGTGGAATGACCGGGCTGGTGGACTTGCTGCTGGAGTCCTGGGTAACGGGACGAATGGTAGCGCCCTTGAGGAACGGAGAGCTCGAGGCGGTGTTGGGCGAGCGCGGGGTCAAGGGACTGAGTCCATCGGAGCTCTGGGCCCCTGGGGAGAGAGGGGTGGTCAATTTCCCGTTAGTAAAGTCCACCTTGAGCGACTTGAGGTCGAGATTGGGCAGGGTGGAGTTGCGGGACGGCATGTTGGGCGACAATCGAGGAGGCCAAGTCCTCAATCGTGGGTGTGCGCGAGGGCTCGAGGAGAGAGAAAAAGGTCGGGTGGGTATGTCGCGCAGATGCGATATGGCTCAACTTTATTTGTTAAGCTGTCAGGTGTTCGACGTCAGTATGGGCAACCTAGGCGACCGGGGTTGCGGCTGAGGCGTACCTGATGATCTCAGTATTATTGACCACCCGTGATCTGACCAAGTTGATCTTTAAACTTTGGATGGCGTGTTCGAGCCGGGTATTTGCAAAGAATAGGGATATGTTCGAATGCAGGCGGTCGTTTCCATCAGATAAAGGAGAGGGTAACGAAGGCTAGCGGGGGAGTGGAATCTAGAGCAAACAAAGGTATCAGGGTCAGTCAACACGATCATAAACAGGTTGGGACCGGCGGAAAGGTCTCAAAACAAGAACCAGGTGACACCCCATGACACGATGGCTGAAAGCAGGGGACCACGGTGCTCAAAGGCGTGTCGCGATGTCTTTATCGAAGCAAAGACCGGACCCTGGTTTACCGACACCATGGAAGGGTTTCGCGCCCACTTGAACGAAAAGACACGACTCACCAAAAAGTCCCTCATGATATGTCTCCACAAACTGTCTCTGCGCGAACCCAATCGAGGCAAAGGCTGCCAGCGGGGATGAAGGAGAGGAAGAAAGTTGCAGAGGAGTGGGTTGTGAACGTTAAGGACGCAATCACTTTTCCCCCCTCTTTTCTGGTGTCTCGAGGAATCGGGGGTTCGGCAGGGCAGGAGGCGACGTTTCAAGCGAGTCGCGGGACACTAGAAACACTTGGTCTGGTCCGAAGAGCGAGGGTGATGCCAAAGCGATCGAAACCCCAAAGAAAACGAAAGTGGTCAAGGGGAAAAAGGGAAGAATGGAGGGACGACCGTACGAAAAGTCCCCTAATGGACTTAGCGCTGGCGTAGTGGGTGCGTTAGGTTAGCCAGGGAGCACTGACTATGACCCGTCAGAGAAAGTGTCAAGCAAACCAGTCAGCCACGCTAGCCTCCCCGGGAGATCGTAGCGGAGGAAAAGGGGGAAGGGGGGAAATAGAGGATGGAAAGAGACTCGAGTTCGATGTTGTCGAAGCTGCAAGATGCAAAATGCAAGATGCGATGTGGGATGGGGGAAGGAGGCTTGACGGGGGTTCAACGGGGTTGACGGACGAGGCGACCACGCATTCCTGGGCTGACCGATTATGCAAGGCCCCAAAAAAGCCACGGCCCTATCAGTTATCAGGAGAAAGGAGTACTTGGTTAGTCGTCTCCGTAGAGCCTTGACAGCATCAAAAGTGTGGGTGCATGCAGTCGACAAAAGGGGGAAAAGAAAAGTCGGTGGGACCTGGTCCCAGCGGGAGTATTCCCACTGGGCTTTAATTATCCCAGTCCATACTCGATATGGAATTATACTATGGAGTAGTCGTGGAAGTAGTACATAGGACATGCACATACTACGACTGTAGTGAGTGTAGTCGATAGCTACAACATAGTACACGCATCTCCTCTACGATCTCCGATCTGACGGCTTCAATACAACGTCCCCCTCAGGTCCACGTTGTATAACTAAAGAGGGACCATGAATCTACATCACAGACTACAGTACCTATTCTACTGTTTGCTATGACCTCATGTGTCAATCCATCGGTCCTTGGGTCTGTTCCATGGGCATCACAGTGGAGTGCATGGGGTTGTTCCATCTCCGCCAGGTACACTGTCCATACTGGAGCCCTGATCACCTACAGTACCGTATATACTTCATACTTTCCTAGACATGCAACATTCCCGTTCGAACACAACTCGGACAGGACTCGATCCTCAGTAAGGCAATGACAATGGCCGCTGACAATTCAATTTTACTCCATAGTTAACTAGTTACCTGCAGTAGGTAATCCTATCCCGACTGGACCGGGCCCCCTTTTTCAACTTGCAGATATCCAGCTTCCCGTCCTCCAACGGTGTACACCGCGCGATCGGAGGCCCACTAACAACAGTCCCAGCCATTGGGTCAAACAAGCAGAGCCACGGGCGGGATGATGTGCGTGCCTTACGTTGCAGTGGTTTTGTTCGTTGATTGGGTCGATCCTCGAGCCCGAGTGGACCCCCGCCAGTCTGTGCCTGTCGCGAATTTCCACGGTTGCGCTTGTCGCAGATGCTGGCAGAGCCGGACAAATCTGAATCACGGGAGCCGCAGGAGTATCAACTAAACCAGAGAGAATGACTATACTAATTATGTACTCTGGTTTCTTGACACGAATTATGCCCGGCTGTAAGTCCTTCGGCATAACAAAATGTGTACAGTACATACTTCGGAAGCCCGGGAGTATGTATCCTTCAGGGGTAAGATCGAAAAAAGGAAGCAGAAAAGAACGAGAACCACGCGACTTTTTTTTTTCCCAGCCCTCTCCGCTGAATCAAAATACCTGGGGAGTATACTCCGGACTCTATCCATGCAAATCATAGACCACAGTCACAATAAAATTATGCCATTATTGTATGGATGTACTGTATTATGATAGACCCCAAAATACCACAGGCAGTCGTCAGACAAAAACGTGTCCACGGCGCTTGCACTGGGCCCCATCGTCTCCACTTTTTGTTTCTTGCTTCATGGGCTGCTAAATGGCCTGGCTTGCCCAAGTTTCAGATTCTGTCCACTGACAATGACCATTGCCCTGGAGAAGCGCTGCCCATGCCCCCCTCTCTGTCCATGGCTCGGATCCTACGCTAATCCAGAGTGGGGGTGGACTTCTTTTAGAAATTGGAATCAAGGCGACACAATTCATGCTGTGTGCCTGACCCCCCGTGTCACGCTGTGCCGGAGGGTGTGAGAAACTCTCCGGCTTGTCCGAAGACTTTGACCGATATACAATGTTATACAGATTACATAGCAACTGGGTAGACGAGAACAGTTTGTACAGGTGATTATGTATAGAGTGCGGAGAGCTACAGTAGTCGCTCAAAATGGAGGTCAGGTACCTTAAAAGATGCGGTGTACGTATCCCTGCCAACTCGTCGAGTATGGATATTGATCATACCGTCCATAATCATTTGGTTGATAGTAATCCACAGCAAATGAAAACTTAAACCTCGGGTAAAACAAGATATTGACAATCGTTTGTCAGGCACTGACAGGACCCCATTTAGCCTTCTAATCCCTATGCGCGACTGAAATAAGCAAGTTGCAGCAGGATGGCGGCGCAAAGACCCTCGTGGTGGCAAATGAATTTCCTTTCTCGCTTATCAAAATTTTAATCTTAAACAGTGATCACAATCACAATCACAATGTCTGTCCTTTGTACGAGTCTGGAGTACGGTGTACATTCCAAGCATAGGCGTACCAGAATAAACCAGCTGACCACAGCCTCATTCTTTGGTTCGGCCGGGGACCCATCAACTGATTTCTGTTTCTATTTCTATATTTTTTTCTTGGGTCTCTGCTTCTTCATTGCTGCCTTTGCGACCGAGGAATTCGATTAGCTTCTATCAAATCCCTCGGCCATGGCAGTGGTTCTCTGGTCCGCTCCACTTGCTCTGGCACCCGCACGTCCTGGAGGTCTCTGTCTGTCTGAAACATGGCAGAACTTCCAAGGCTAGCGCCGGGCACTCACCTCGGTGCACGGAGCAATCTGCAGTGCGACCTCGGGGGAGAGCATCCACCTGTACAGTCATCGGTGGGACAGGAAGCTAGGCTGGTTAGGGTAAGCATGGAGATCAGCCGTCGCGTGTGCCTTGAAGCTTTTCAAACATGAACAGAAGGATGAAGAGACCTTGTCGCCTTGTTCTAACTCGAGTGCTTGGTACATTGTCGAAGGAATGGAACTGTGATGATTGTAGATGGTATCTATCTCGAGATACACGATAAATTCCAATAACGGAATCTTCAATATACAATACATGGGAGGCGCAGTGTCAATTAGACAATAACGGAAATATATCCTCCGACATGTCATGACAGTTGACTGATTGAAGTTCCTAGATAGTTCTTATTCATGGATCCATGTAAGCATCATTCAAGGAATTAATACTAGTAGCTTATCGCCACTTTCTTGACCAAGTTTCAACGAAACCATACTATTGCCCTACGGTCGACAGGCAATGGAATTGGACGGTCGTGCTCCATGAATCCAATTCCTCGAGCACGAAGTCCCGTGATCTATACGAAGACCACGTGCTCGGGTCCCTCAACACACCGCCCTCGCCCAGATCACGTGCACCCACAGTCCTACAAAAACGCGATTGTGCACTGTTTTGGCAAAAAAGTCAGCCACAATTCGCTTCACGGGATCCTCCGTCAAGTCCCGCCTTTGGTGGCGCTCACCAATGCATCTTAGCTCGGTGACAGCCATGATCTGATCAACATCCTCTCATGAACTACTCGCCTTAAGCACGGGGGCACCCATTAACCAAGCTTTTCTTGCCCTGAGTTACTAACCTGCCTAATCAGTAATCACATCCCTGATTCTGCAGAGCCCAATCAAAGCCACGCGTCAGCTCGCGTCTATTTCTCACACACACTCACCTATGGCCCTGGTATCAGGCCCTGGTAGGGCTGGAGGCACCTCGTCAGACCAGGAGCTACACACCTTGAAGCATGTGGCTTACATCAAGAACCTGGACACTGTGCGTGCTTATTTCTCACACTGGTCATGCCAGGTCATACGGTAGGGACTGTCATTAACTGGTGGCTACAGCGGAAAGATGAATTGGAGTACTGGCTCACGGAGCACTTGCGTCTGAATGGCGTCTATTGGGGACTGACTGCACTGCATCTGCTGGGTCATCCTGAAGCCTTACCCCGCGATCAAACCATTGACTTTGTGCTTTCTTGCCAGAAGGACAACGGAGGATTTGGTGCTGCCCCTGGTCATGACGCTCACATGCTCTACACTGTCTCTGCTGTCCAAATTCTGGTCACTATTGATGCAGTGGATGAACTAGAAAAGCGTGGTCTTGGGGGCAAGCAGAAAGTTGGTTCTTGTATGTTTCCGTCCATCATTGTGGTCTTGCATACTTTCAAAACTGACATATCGGATCCAGTCATCGCCAGCTTGCAGAATAAAGAGGACGGCTCCTTCATGGGAGATCCATGGGGTGAGACTGATACCCGCTTCCTTTACGGTGCACTAAATGCTCTGTCGCTTCTTGGTCTACTGGATCTGGTCGATATCCCAAAAGCTGTCTCATACGTTCAAAGTTGCGAGAACTTTGATGGAGCCTATGGTGTGACTCCTGGTGCGGAATCACACTCGGGCCAAGTCTTCACTTGTGTCGGCGCTTTGGCTATCGCTGGCCGCCTGGACTTGGTGAACAAGGATCGATTGGGAGCATGGCTGAGTGAACGCCAGATTGAAAAGGGTGGCTTTAATGGTCGACCCGAGAAACTCCCAGATGCATGCTATGCTTGGTGGGTTGGCTCTAGTCTGGCCATGATTGACCGCCTTCACTGGATCGATGGCAAGAAACTTGCTTCATTTGTCCTCCAATGTCAGGTTCGTCACGCACGCTTAACCAATACCATGATCTCCAATCTAACATGATGCAGGACCCTGAAGCTGGTGGCTTTGCTGATCGCCCTGGGAATATGGTTGATGTTTACCATACTCACTTTGGCGTCGCAGGTCTGAGCCTCTTGGGAATGGAGGGACTACAAGAGGTAGACCCCGTATAGTATGAGATACTCCCTATTCTTATTATGATATGTTTACTGACAACTTCTCAGCTGCATGCCCAAATCTGTTATTGCACGATGCTTTGCAAAATAAAGGGTCTTGTTGTATACCTGTGCACTTGTCTCCTTTTCTTCTGTTTTCAACCCCTCCTGCCATCTAATAACCCATTGATCCTTTTATTCATGAACTATGGGATACAAGGCAGGAGGAGAGCAATGTCCACTTTGACTTATTCCGCTTCATACCATCCCACAATGGCCTAATGGCTGTTAAGACATCGTGGCACATACAATCCTGTACCTATCATTTTGTCTATCTAGCGAGAAATCCACCAAGATAGCAAAAATCTGCTGATGGAATCGGCTGTCAAATTTAAGTCTCGATATTCACCGGTTGGCAGCTTCCTTGAGTTCTGAACTTTCCATTTTGGCGAGGGCCGCGCGATTGCCCCGACGGCCTCGCCGGCTTGTTGACCATCACCATGTCCTCTCCACTTCGCTCTCATCCACCCCTTCTTCCTCCGCGTGTCAATCGCTCCTTCATCTTCAGCTCAATTTGAGACTTTACGTTAGCTTCATTCTCCATTTCTCTTGCATGCAACTTCCGTTCAGCCGTTCCTCCGGGCTTAGATCTGGAAGAATGGATGCTTCGGAGCTGCAATGCATCATCTGCCCCCGGCAGCCCGCCTTCAGCGATGTGTCTCATCTTTTGACTCACGTCTCATCCAAGGCCCATTTGGCTCATCAATTCAAGCTTCAAGTTCGGGGCCACCAGGATGCTGAGGCTGCCGAGCTCTCCAACGCATTCAACGATTGGTACGCTGCCAACAACATTACCCAGTTGCTGTCCGACCGGGACGCTTCCAAAGCCGACCGCCAGAACAAGAGAAGATCATCTGGAAAAAAGACCGGATCGAGTCCATCGACAGACGAACACACCTTGAGAGCCCCCCTTCCAGCCCATCCTGTTGATGCTCACTCGGATGCAATGGTTCCCCTCCCAGCTAACATTGACCCTCGCCTCGGAGAGCCCTACACGCCTGGCATGCATGAAGCGAATACTGGGAGTGTGACATCCGCTGAAGAGTTCGATTCATCCAACGCCACTCGATCTACATCTGTGGCTCTTGCTATTGATCCTTGCCTGGAAGCCTACTTCGACCATGATTCGGTTTACTCGGCCGGAAACACTGAAACTGCAAGCGGAAACGGGCACGACACTGTCAATCTCAACAAAAGTCAAGTTACATCCTTCCTGGAGACCCCGAGGGCTCTGCGAACTCGCAATATCCAAAAGGCCATCTCGTCACAACAGCGAGCTAATCGATCGCAGTCATTTGGTGACAATCGAACTCATGTGGGCAAGACAGTTGGTGAATTTGATGATGAAAACGATGGGCCCGATGAATTGACAAGACTGAAGGGTATTCAGTGGCCCGGAATGGACATTTTTGATGCAGCCACGCAGCAAATGCGACGAAAGCGCAACCAGAAGAAAGATGGCACCATTTTGAAGCAAATGGAAACGACTTCTCGACTGGTGGAGCCCACCGAACAGATATTCTCCTCCGCTGGAGCCCTACTGAAGGAACGTGTGATTACCGGCAACATCGACGATGACAGCCCCGTGGAAGGCGAGGACCCAATCCCAAAGAAACGTCCCGTCCGCGGCAAGCAGGGTGCATTGCGCGAGAACGACCCCAACGTTGCATTTGCCAAGGACAGAAAGCGTGTCAAAAGAGACGTTCCTCAAAGCCGTGATGTGCGAGAGCATGTCCTGGAAAACAATGAACGTGAGGTTTCCATCTATCATAAGCGCCCCTTCGGATCGGCCTGGGATGGTGAAGAAGAAGAAGATCTGGGATTCACTGCACGAACATTCCGAAAGCGAACTCGGGCTGGCTTTGCCGTCTACAACGACGACCACGAGGCTAGAGAAGACAGACTGGTCTCTATGGTGCAGGATCACAGCGGTCAGCCGATCGATGTACAGGCCTCTCGGGGCACGCTGACTCCAACCCGACTTATGCTCGACAGCAAACCAAAAGACTCGTACAATCATGGACATACCATTCAGTCTCCACTGGGCAAGGAAAATATTGAGCCCTTTTTGAACACTCACGGTCGAATTGACCCTCTAATTTGGAATCCGATGTCGCCCTTTTCAAACACGCAGACTTCGAACATGAACGGCGATGATCGATACTACTTCAATGACCCCTCGGCTGCTGGATTTAGTCTGACTGATACTCGGAACAACTATGGATACCAGATCAATCCCCTGCTTGCTCCTACTTCAAAGATGGCCATGTTTGAGCATCAATCGTATGACGAAGATGTCACTGTGGCCAACAGTGGCTGGGCCGCCTCGTCTCGTGCTGTGTCCTCTGACGCTACGATTTCTGAGCAGGACCTTCATGACAGATGCTAGATATTATCAACCGCCAGTGCAGTATTTTGGGCAGACTAGATCATCTGCGGTTGCAACTGCCGTCCATATTGTTTCCTGGCATCCATAATTTTGGGGGGATTTGGAACGTTCATCGCAGCGATGTACACAAATACGAGAAGCGGTATTCATTTTCTTTTCACTCTCTTTGCAACAGTTCGAACTCGTGCCATCATGGCTGTGATTGTGAACTATGCACGTTCTCATTTCATTCCCTTTGCACCATTTTCGAACGCATGGCATCATTGATCTGGATCGTTATGAGGTTGAGGGATGGCCTTTAAGGGCAATGGGCGGGGCATGGATATGTGTTTTCTGCACGGACAGTCGATCGTGCTGCAACTAACGTAACTAGCCTTACAATGAATAGTCTATTACGATTGTACCTTGGTGCTTTAGTTTTTCCAAGCTAGAAGATGAATTGTAGAACCTTGTCAATACTCGATCGATTGTTGGAAGCCGAAGCTCTGATAACGTCCGATAAGACGCTGACTCAGCAACCAATTAATCGCCCATCGCGTCTCCAACGCGTCAAGCTCGGCGATTGCGGAGTTCAATGCCAACTGAGAAGGCGCAATCAAGGTATCATCCTCCCCACAAAATTTGGATGCCTCAGATTTGATCAACTATTTCATCATCTTCTGACTGTCTTGCACGGGACCGCCGGGCAAGATGGCGCCGAATTCCTCCCAATCCTCTACATCTTCTCCGTCCTTGAAACGAAAGCAGGCGACCATCTCGAGCTTTTTCACACAAAAGCCATCTTCGACACCGAAGCCTGCAGCGGGGAGCACCGAGCTTGCCGCAGAGAAGGCATCAAAGAAGAGACCCGCCTCTCCAACAGAACCAAGCCCCGAGCCGAAACGCGCAGTCCCCATACAGGAGCAAGACGAGGACGAGGGTGACATCGTGGTTCCACCCTCAAAACGAGCTCGAACCAATGGCTCTCCCGCAGAAGAGAACAAGCTAGCTGCTGTCCCGACAGAAATCCCCCTTATCACGGCTTCCCAACTCAGCAGCAGCCAGCGTACCGATATCTTCAAGTTCCAGAGCTCGCCCGCCGTTGCGCCACCAAGCAAAGAAGCCGAGAACCCAGAGGAGGCGGAACGAAGGAAAGAAAAAGAAAAGTTACACCAGAAGTTTGTACGGAAACTCGGCGGTCCTGATTGTTTGATTGGAATCGGGAGGACTGCCGCCAGTGACGTTGCTGGCGCCGCGGCTGAGGGCGAAGAAGAGGAGGATGAAGATGAACCTGCACCCCCGCCTCCGACTAAGGGTAAAGGTGCAGCGAAGAAGGGTGGCAAGCTTACGCCTATGGAGAAGCAAGTCATCGAGATCAAGCGCAAGCATATGGAGACTGTGTTGGTGATTGAGGTTGGGTACAAGTTCCGGTTCTTTGGCGAGGATGCTCGTATTGCGGCGAAGGAGCTTGGGATTGTGTGTATCCCGGGGAAATTCCGGTTTGACGAGCGTATGTTCCTTCTCTACTCCGAGTGACCATCGGGGCCAAGCTGATTACCTGCAGATCCATCGGAGGCACACCTCGACCGCTTCGCGTCTGCTAGTATCCCCGTGCACCGGCTACATGTTCATGTGAAACGCCTGGTAACGGCGGGCCACAAGGTTGGCGTCGTGCGGCAGATTGAGACAGCAGCGCTCAAGGCTGCGGGCGATAACCGCAATGCGCCTTTTATTCGAAAGTTGACCAACTTGTACACGAAGGGGACCTACATCGACGATGTCGAGGGTATTGAAGGCCCGGCTGCTGCGGCCGGTGGCGCGTCTCCGGCGACGGGCTACATGCTGTGCATCACAGAGACCAATGCCAAAGGTTGGGGCAATGATGAGCGAGTGCATGTTGGTGTTGTTGCCGTTCAGCCTGCCACGGGTGACGTGATCTACGACGACTTTGAAGATGGGTTTATGCGCAGCGAGATCGAGACCCGGCTGCTGCACATTGCACCTTGTGAGATTCTGATTGTTGGAGAGATGTCGAAAGCCAGCGAAAAGCTTGTACGGCACCTGTCTGGGAGCAAAATGAATGTCTTCGGTGATGCGGTGCGTCTTGAACGGGCACCGAAGAAAAAGACCGCTGCGGCTGAGGCGCATAGTCATGTTTCTGGCTTTTATGCCGGGAAAATGAAAGCTACTGGTACAGAAGAGGATGTTCATGCAGCTAAGCTGCTACAGAATGTCCTTGAATTACCGGAACATGTTACTGTTTGTCTTTCTGCTATGATTGAACATATGACCGAGTACGGACTCGAACATGTTTTTGATCTAACAAAGTACTTCCAACCTTTCTCGGCGAGGTCACATATGCTCTTGAATGGAAATACGCTGGCCAGCCTGGAGATTTACCAGAACCAGACTGATCACTCGGCCAAGGGTAGTCTATTCTGGACGTTGGACCGGACACATACGCGATTTGGGCAACGGTTGCTCCGGCGCTGGGTGGGACGGCCGTTGCTTGATAAGGTACGACTTGAAGAGCGGGCCGACGCGATAGAGGAGCTCACAAATCCCGTACGCACTGTGATTGTGGAGCGGGTGAGAAGACTGTTGGGTAAAATTAAGAGTGACTTGGAAAAGAGTTTGATCCGTATCTACTACGGCAAGGTAGGGATGCATTGTAACCTAGTAATTTCTTCTGTTGCTAACTGAAATATTCAAGTGCACCCGGCCAGAGCTTCTCACAGTCCTGCAGACTATGCAGACAATTGCAATGGAATTCGCCGATGTCAAGTCTCCAGCAGATACCGGGTTCGAATCCTCCCTCATTAGCGAAGCCATTGCCTCCCTTCCAACCATCTTGAAAGACGTCACCCGGTTCTTGGACAAGATTAATCTTCACGCCGCACGGAATGATGACAAGTACGCATTCTTCCGCGAAGAGGAGGAGACGGAGGAGATTGGTGAGGAAAAGCTCGGAATCGCTAGTATCGAGCACGAGCTGCAAGAGCACCTCTCTGTAGCCAGCGAGCGTCTGCAAAGGAAGGGAGTCAAGTATACGACGGTCTCTGGCATTGAATACCTTATCGAGATCGAAAACAATTCCTTAGCCATCAAGAAAGTCCCAGCATCTTGGATCAAGGTCAGCGGAACGAAGAAGGTTTCACGCTTCCACACGCCAGAGGTGATCCAACTCATTCGCCAACGTGATCAGCACAAGGAAGCTCTAGCCGCAGCCTGTGACAAGGCCTTTGCGGCGCTTCTCGGCGATATCGCGACACAATACCAATCATTCAGGGATTGTGTCCAGTCCCTCGCAACGCTGGACTGTCTTCTCTCCCTCGCAGTCATTGCCCAACAACCTGGCTACGTCAAGCCGGAATTCACAGAGCGACCATGCCTCCACGTCGAGCAGGGCCGCCACCCGATGGTGGAACGCATTCTTACAGACACGTACGTCCCCAACGACACCAACCTCGACCCGGACCGCACACGAGCACTCCTTGTCACAGGTCCTAACATGGGCGGCAAGTCGAGTTACGTGCGCCAAGTCGCCCTCATCGCGATCATGGGCCAAATTGGCTCATACGTGCCTGCCACCTCCGCCAAGCTAGGTCTCCTCGATGCCGTCTTCACGCGGATGGGCGCTTTCGACAACATGCTCGCCGGCGAATCCACCTTCATGGTCGAGCTCTCTGAAACAGCCGACATTCTCAAGCAAGCCACGCCGCGCTCCTTGGTCATCCTCGACGAGCTTGGCCGTGGCACCTCGACACATGACGGCGTCGCCATCGCTCAGGCCGTGCTGGACTACATGGTTCGGAACATCCGCTCGTTGACACTTTTCATCACGCACTACCAACACCTCTCGCGCATGGTGCGCTCGTTCCCGAATAAGGAGCTGCGCAATGTGCATATGCGGTTCACAGAATCGGGCGGCAAGAACGGGGACGAGGAAATCACTTTCTTGTATGAGGTTGCCGAGGGCGTGGCGCATCGAAGTTACGGCCTCAATGTAGCACGGTTGGCGCATTTGCCGGCCTCTGTGCTGGAGTTGGCGAAGACCAAGAGTGCAGAGTTGGAGGGGGTGATTAAGAGGAAGAGGTTGGCGGCACTTGTTGGAGCTGTTGGTAGAGTTGTGGAGGTGAAAGATGGTGGCGGTGCTGCTTCTGCAGACGATGAGCTGGTTGAGCGATTGCTTGCTAGCGCGGACCAGTTGTAGGAGAACCGGATTGGGGTGATGGATGTTGTTTTTGTACATTTATTTCGGCATGGATAATGATGTTCATAATATCAATGTATCTTCATCTCACCATGACGGCTGGTAGTGGGCACAGGAAGTGCCTATCGCATACACAGCTTTGGTGGCAGGAATCAGAATGTCGATTATTCTTCTTCGCTCCACCAACCTGGAGGATTTGTAAACATCACCGAAGCAGCCGGCAGCTCCTTCTTGAACTTTTTGAACGTCCGCTTGCCCATTGTCATTCCACCCTTGAAGACGACATGTCGAGCAGAAGCATAGCGGTCCTAATAGCAACCCAGAAAATGTTAGCAGCTTCAACATGAACAACTGGAGCAGGATACGAACACGAATAATGTCAGCGAGTTTAGCGATTGCTCGACGCTGCGGGCCCCTCGTAGCCATCTCCCACGCCACATACTGGTCGGAGGGACCAGTGCGAAACTTGCATAAGTCAACCTCTATTCTCGACAAGTTGGGCGCAATGATGACCGGCAAGTACACATCCCCGGTGCCCTGATCCAGGAAGATCACCAAGGTGCGCAACTTGGGAAAAGTAAATCCATGGAAGAGCCTGCTTGCTTCGCGCAGCTCATGCCGCTGAACAACCATCAGGTTTGCCTTCAGCACCCAGTTTGCATAGAACGGACGCCGGCCCTCTTTGACCCCGGAGAATCGTTGGACAAGTGATGTCTGAAAAGGTCCCTCAGATTCCAGGTACCCGTGCAACGCTTGCGGGATACTTCTTGGAGGAGTGGGGTTTCTCCAGAAGATTCGCATTACGTGCAGGCACCAGTATCTGTTGACCAGACTGCAGCGCTGGAGGGACGTCAAGTCTGCAAAGCCTAAGGGATTGCCTGTGATCACTCGTCGTCGCTTGCCAACGAATTGGTCCAGGATCATGGCCATCAGCTCTGGGGTTTTGAATACCCTTTCAGCGGCGGTCGTGGAGTTTGGGCTTGTCACGATCGCGTGACCGGTTGGATGGGTGGTTACCCCGATGCTTGACTTGAGGGCTGACTCCAGAGCTGATGCGATGACCGAGCAGAGGGCCGAGGTGAGGGTTGACTTGCCGGTCACTGGTCCGGATTCCTATAGAGAGGATGGGTTAGCGAAGGTAATTCGAAAGCAAGTGACCAGCAAAGCAAAGCAAAAGGCCATGGGATCTCTCTCCATCAGAGACGGCAGTAACAAGGGCAGGTAAGATCTTGCATCTTCAGGCCTGTCTTTTTGCTATCTTCCCTAGCAGTAGTGATCAACTCACTCACCATGTTGGAAAGAAGTAGATTAGATGACCAGGGGAGTTGTGTGAGGAGCTTATGTTGATGGGCGTTAAGTGGAAGATGCAAGTTAAGTGAGGTTGAGGTCATGAAGGAAGAGTTATAAAGGAGGGAAAGAGTGAAGGAAGAAAGGAAGAAAGTGACGAGGGCAGGACGAAAGACTGATTATATTGGGCCTTGAAGGGGGCCACGGATAGTGAGAAGGCGTAGCTAACGATGCGTTATACGCATAAGGAACTTCCCAGATTTATGCGGAGATTGCGAGGAAGAGTTATCCTAAGTGCTTAGGGTAATATGCTTATGGGAGACGGCAGTTCGTATTCTCCTTCAGGCTTCGGCTCGTCTGAAATCTGGATGTCCAAGCCGTCAATTCCGTCTTAAAATCTCTCAATTCCAATGACAACTCTGTCGTTTAATTGAAGCTATAGCCCAACGATGTTGTTTAACCTGAAGGCCTTTCTATCACGGGGGACAATATCATTCTGAGAGGGCTCCAGGATCCAGATGGTAGGTAGAGCACGCCTCAGACTGCCTGAACTATCCCAGACTCTCATGCGTGGTAGGGAATACGTTAGGCATACTTACGAATTACAGTCGATGACTATATAAGACATCTTTACACACTATGACTAGACGTGAGATCTGAAGTCGATCATATAGATCGTGCCGGTCTAATCAAGCACCACACGCAGTCACAGGCGTGTAGTAAAATAAGCACGGATGGCATATGAGACGCTGAAGAGAGATCAAGCAGCATATGAATACCATCTATTTTCCGGACAGGTGGTGTCATCTTGAACCTAGCCCCAGGTAGGAGATTTTAGTAGTTTATACCGATTTGTTCAAGGAGATCAAGAGGACTAGCTCAATCCTCTAGGTTTCTGTATACTAATAATATGCCCGTGGAGATGCTATCCGAGTATTTGGTCAATATCTGACTCTATATCAGGGAATATTGAGGCTGTGGAGTAGACCATGCTCGAAGAATAATTCGTGGAAGCCAACTAAGAATCCCTACCTACTTCGTATGCTGTTCAGCCGTCTGAAAGAGGCCGTTACCTTCTCCACCATACATTTGATAGACACAGGTCAAGGACATTGGCTGATGGTTCAGAAGTAAACGTTAAGGTTATGTCTAGATAAGCCTCCTCAGTAACCTTAACGACTCGGGCACCATAAGCACTAGATCGAGGGGCATCAGGGCTGACACCAATTGATAGGTATCAAGTGTCAACCTTTACTACAGTACCTCGACGGAGAGACGTCATACACCATTCGTATGCCATAGATGCTACCCCGTAGTCTACGATCAGATTGATCTACGAATCACCTGCAGTCGCCCTGGACATGGTAGAACCGGTAGTTTCGAATCTTTTTTTTTTCTGGATTCCCATTGTTCTTTTTCTCGGTCAGAGTCGTAGATCCGCTGGCGTCCTTTTCCTTTCTAATACCGCTTTACAACCGGCCAAAGAGGGAGATTTCCAAGAAGAAAATAGCAAGGAGAAAAAATGCACATCACAACCTCGTTTGTCGCATTGAGCCCATGCAAGCACGCCAAAAGGACGTGTGAATGTAGTAAAACACCAGACCAAACCAGACCAAGACCTTCCCACAAAATCCACCAGCCAATCGCGCAACCTCATTTCATTTCTCATATAAACAGGGGGTTTTTTGATTTAATCTGCTCATTTCTCTCCATCTCTCTCTCCCGTTCGGAGAACCCATGATCGACTTCCAGGGACTTTTTTTTGGGTTCAGGGGCCACTGATTGGAAATATTCAATTATTCAATCTTTTGAAAATAGAAGATCACACAACCAGAATCACTCCAGAAAAGGCAAAAAAGTTCCATTCCACCCAGGATTTTCTCCACCTTCAAATTTCGATCATCAAAAAGCGTAGAGGCACGGCATCGAGAGGTCGAGAAGGGGGAATGAAATGGGCGGCGCGGCAGATTGAGGTTGAAGGAGTCGGGGGGAGTTCAGAGGTACGTCAAGAAAGAAAAGTGGGGACACAGTTTTGGCCGAAGAACGATCAAAGAAAAACCGGACGCGAGGGATATGCGAGAGACGAAGAGAGATGAAAGACGTGGCGCGAGTGAATTGTCGTTTTTTGGGGGATTTTAACGGAGACGGCGAGCCTCACGCTCGGACTCGAGCAGGCAGAGGATGTCGTCAACCTTGACTATTGGGTGCGGAAGGAAATATGTTAGCGACTGATGTTTCGTGCGGGTTGTGCATGGGTCTGCCGAAGAAGAGAAAAGTCCCCCGTATGGTGTGCGATGGATCTTCAATAGTTCCAGTTCCATGTTTTTCCCTCCTCTTGTATGATCCTCCCCATAGGGTATCTTTTCTTCTTCGGAATTCGGAAACGTAGAACAAGTTCGGAATCGCATACCTGGGCCCTTGACGTTACGGATGATGGAACGGGAGGTATCGTCCATGAACTCGACGCGGACCTGGGTGACACCACCACGGGAGCCTGGAGACCACGAAAACCACATATTAGCACTCGTTCGACTCTCAGAAATTGCGCAAGTTCGATTGCATTTTGTATTTCCGGGCGATTGGGGGGCGCAATGAGCGACACCCCCGCGGATCTCGAATTTGTGCGGAGCGGAGCGGAATAGAACATCTTTCTTGTTCTTAGGGTAGGCACGTACCGGTGCGGCCGAGGACACGGGTCACCTTGACGAGCTTGACGGGCTGCTTGCTGGAATCCATCTTGAAGGTGGGTGGAGGGCGTTGAGCTCGGACGACGAGGTTGGAGGGAGTTTTGGGTGGACTTGGAGGAAGAGGCGGATGTGAAGATGATTTTGCCTTGTGTGGGTTCCAAATTACGCGAGGGCTCAGGGCTGCTGACACCTGAGCCGTCAGGCAGAAAAGGTGGATTGGCTGGCCTGGTGATGAGTCAGCGAGATCTACCGTGACACCTGGTCCTTCAGGCAAGAACAATTTCTTTTTAACAGAAAACTTTTTGGAATAAAACTAGCAATTCTTTTTATTTTTGAAAAACTACTTGAAGTAGAATGAGTCATACTCAATCATGTAGCCCATATAAACAGCGATTCATCGTAGTTTCCTAGAATTCAAGTACTATTCCTATTCTCTCCACGTGCACGAGTGTAGCGTCCTGCTTGACCGCAGTCCTGACGCAGTTCCCTGGTCCACAGTCCGCAGTTAGTCCCCGCCCAAGTCCACCGGAGGACTGCCGGAATGCCCCTCCAATTTTCTGCCGCAAAGAGCTCCGGTCTGCGCTGCATCTCCGTTCCCTTTCCACTCCCAATCTCCATTGCATTCCCAGCTTCAATTACTTCGAGTCATATTGCCAGTTTCTTGCAATTGACGTGATTTCTTTGTCCAACTTATTCTCGTTGGCCTCCATACTCTCCCCCAAACCAAGTCCGATTCCGGAGTGCCCCGCGCCGCAACACACGTATCACAATGGATCTCGTCAACCAGTGAGTCAGTCACGAAGAAAGCACTTGAAAACCATCTGCTAACATTCAATTCCATTACAGCTTGGAAGGAAGACTCCTCTTCGCCGTGCCCAAGAGCAAGTAGCCCCTCATCTACACCCAAACCGTTCATGACTCATACGCCGTTGCTGCAAAAGCATCGCGAATCAGGCATAAAGTCAATGACTTCACGCAAGCGCAAGTACAAAGAAAGACAGCTCGCAAACTAACACCACATTCCCCAAACAGAGGGCCGCCTGCAACAAGCCACCCTTGACCTCCTCGCCGGCTGCGACATCCAATTCCGCCGCGAGACCCGTCTCGACATCGCCCTGGTCAAGAACCTGCCCATTGCTTTGATCTTCCTGCCCGCCGCCGACATCCCCACCTTCGTGGGCGAGGGCCGTGTAGACTTGGGTATTACCGGCCGCGACCAGGTCGCCGAGCACGATTCGACCCTCCCCGCAGGCGAGACCTCCGGCGTCGAAGAGATCCTCGACCTCGGCTTCGGTGGCTGCAAGCTGCAGGTGCAGGTTCCCCAGAAGGGCGACATCACCGATGCGAAGCAGTTGATTGGCCGTAATGTTGTGACTAGCTTCACTGCCCTATCTGCGGCTTTCTTCTCTAAGCTTGAGGGCGCAGAGCCTGGTTCCAAGCTGCAGACTAAGATCAAGTATGTTGGCGGTAGTGTCGAGGCTGCCTGCGCTCTCGGTGTCGCGGACGGTATTGTCGATCTCGTTGGTACGTATATAGAGCGCTTATCATTTCCACTCTCTCTCTCTCCACCGTCCATGTTGCTAACCCTTTTTTACGCGCAGAATCCGGCGAGACTATGAAGGCTGCCGGCCTCAAGGCCATCGACACCGTGGTCGAGAGTACCGCCGTACTCGTCAAGTCCCGCGACTCGAACAACGACCTCCTCAACCTGATCACCTCGCGCATTCGCGGTGTCATCACTGCGCAAAAGTTCGTGCTTTGCCAGTACAACATCCCCCGCTCCGGGCTCGCCGTTGCCTCCAAGATCACCCCCGGCAAGCGCGCACCTACCATCACTGCCCTCGAGGAGGAGGGCTGGGTGGCTGTCAGCTCGATGGTGGAGAAGAAGCGCGTGGCGACTGTCATGGATGAGCTGATTAAGGTCGGCGCAACGGATATCTTAGTTCTGAACATTGCCAACTCGCGCACGGACTAGACTGTCTGGAATAGTCCGTCTGGGGTTGTATTCGTTCCTTTTTTCTTTTGCTCTGTCTGGGTTATAGCCGGATTTCTTGCTTCATGATTGGTTGCGGAGTGTCGTATTTTTGAAATATTTCCCTGATGATTCTTTTTGATTGGGATACACTTTGTTTTTATTCCATTTTGCCTTTCTTTTCACTTTTTGTCTCTTTTTTCTTCGGGCTGCTGATGGATCAAAAAGAATGCAGTTGAGATCTTTCCTGGACAGATTACGTATATAGAGCATTGATTGGGTAATATAGCGAGTTTGAAAAGAAAAAAGGACGTGTTCGTCTTTGTATATGCTTGTTTAGTTTCTATCTCTTCTTCTATATGCCTTTCCAGTAGATTAGAAAATGAATATTATACAGTAAAGCAAACCAAAACATCCAAACCGACACTATCCATAAATCATAGCGCGCATAAGCAGTGGTATCATTCAAAACACAAAAAACCAAACCAAACAAGAGAACAAGATGCAAATAAAAGGCCAGGCCATTCACCACACCATGGGAATGCCCTCCCCTATTTCTGCAAACTCCCCAACCCAACCCCCTCCTTCCTCCCCCTAATAACAGCCCGCAAACACTGTCCCACCCCCTCCAAATCCCCCAACAACCCAACATGCCCCCTCTCACTCTTCACAAGCCCATTCCGAATAACCCGATACCCAACCGGCAACATCGCCGCCGAAGCAAGACAAACCCCATCCCCGGACGCAAACGCCAAATCATCATACGCATCCTGCTGCTTAATCGCCTCGCGGGACGAGACCCGCGCGCCATACAGCGTCGGTACGCTTTTCCCGTACAGCACTGCGGCGGGCGGGTAGCGGTTTTCGGCTTGGTGGGTTGGTTGGAAGGAGAGTTCGGATTTGAATTGTTTGATTTCGGCGAGGGTGCGGTGCAGGTATTCCATTGCTGCGGCGCGGGGGATTGTGCTGGGGCTGGAGGCTTGGTTTGCTGCTGTGCTGCTGCGGGGTGTGGAGCCTGGGCCGACGAGGGTGTCGAGGCCGCTGGGGACGAGGGCGTCGTTTACTTTGTCTGTTGCTGTGGCTGCGACTTGCGTCGGGTTGGGCATGGAATTGGCGTGGGCATGGGCGGGGCGACGGGGGTTGCGGGTGGTAAGGTCGTCTTCGGTGGTTGAGGAAGTGGGATCGATGGAGTCGGTGAGCTCTGGGGTCGTGAGGTCGGGGGTGTCGTCTCGTGGGCCCATGGAGAATCGCTTGCTGATGAGGGCAAAGTCTTTGAAGCGGGTGTTTACCGGTACGGCTGGTAGAGCGGGTTTGATGCATGGGGAGAGATGATACTCGTCCCAGCTTTCGGCGTTGAAGAAGTCGACGCGGTACTCCTCTTTGGTCTGCTTGTCGATGAAACAGTGGCCATCTTCGGGGAGTAGCACGAAGCTTGTGCGGAACGTGAAGTTGACTTGTGCAGTCAATACGCGGGAACTGAGGAGCACATCGTCGCCGTTGCGTAGGGGACCGAGGATGTTAACGCATTGCTGCGGTACTCCTGCGTAGACGACACCCGCAAAGAGATCGGGTCGCTTGTTCACGGCATGCCGGGTGATGAGACCGCCGAGGCTGTGGGCGATGACTGTAGCACCTCGGCGTGGATTCTGCGGCTGGCCCTCTGGGGCTGGGCGGTTGCATGGTAAGCCTTCGAGGAAGGTAATGAGGCGTTCCGAGAGGAGATCCGGGCTCAATCGCCAGTCATAGCCGTAGTCCCAGACGCGGAGATCTCCACGTACGGCGTTGTCACATTTACGTAGGCGCTTCATCAGTCTTCTGCATACATCGACGGGACCAATGTGCGAGAGTACACCAGAGGGGATGATAGTCTCCTCCATGCGCTCTTCGTCTTCCCGGGTTAAGCCAACCTCCAGGTCGACCTTTCGCAGGTTCAATCCCACCTTCATCGGTACCCATAGTTGTCGGTGAGGCGGTTTCGCAGAGCGCAATATGGAGCCACGGTATCCACCAAGAATCACGACATCCCCAGTTAATTCAGACATTGCCTCTTCCAAGATAGGATGAGTGGACTGTGGGTTATATCGCGGAGGTGGAGGCGGCATCGCCGTCCGCTGAGCGGGTCCATTAATTCCTCGATCGGCAGTGATGTTCGTTACAGAAGGGAATGGGCGAGAAGCCCAGTCCGTGCGAATATCCTGCAAATGTAGAGAGGGCATACTAAGCAGGCGACTGCTCGAATCCTGTAAACTATCCTTGATAGCCTTGAACCGGCTATTGACCTGCGAATGCACATTCTCATACCGCGGCCGCTGCTCCAACGACGATGCTGTCGAGGATGCTCGTAGGTAGAGCGATTGATCCGAAGACGATCTCCGCAAACTCGGTGGGCGACCAGGCATTGCGGCACTCGGCCATCTCGAGAATGAATGCTTCACAGCAGAACTCCCATCTAGCGTCCGCAGCTCTGAAATCGGCTGCGCATCGTCTCCCAAGTCTTCATCGTTGGTGGGATCATTTGCTGCTGCTGGTGATGCTGCGTGTTGTCGCCGATCCAACGACGACGCCCTGGAATTGAGTTGGCTCCGTTTGCTCGAGGTCGACACTGTCTGGCTGCGAGTGCGGCTATGTGCATTTGTGGAGCGGAAGGACAGTGATGGCCGTTTGGTCAATGAGGTCAAATCGGGCAAGAATTTCTTCAATTCGCCAGACCAAGCGCGGGGCCGGCGAGGGAGCGAGGTTTTCAGCAGCGACCGGGTAAAGCTGGTTCGGGAGCCCGAAGCACCGGAATCCTTGGAATCACGAACGACAGATGGCGATGGCGCAGAGTGGTCTCTGTGGGGACCTTGCGGTGCGTGGCGCTCCACTGGTGCAACGGGATGCGTTGGTCTGTGACGGGAAGGTGCGCGTTGGGCCTTCAATAGTGCCTGCTCAGCCGCTGAGCCCGCGATCTCCGGCTCCACTGATTCAGGCTCAGCCGTAAGCTCCGAAACGAACAAGCCATCTTCGCCAACCTCGTCGGGGATGTTGGTGAAATACCCGCCCTGTTGTTCCAGAACTCGATTTTTCTCTTCGGCGGGTGTCGCGCGGGCTTTCATGCGGCTTTGCTCGCGGCCAATACTCACCCCGACCACGTCGAGCGCATCGTCTTCGTCGACCTCATTGGCAATGCCGGGATGAGGTTCGTCGCTATCGGAGCTGGAGAAGGAGGAGTAATTGGAGGGCGAGTCTGAAGCGATCGCATTTGCGGAAGATTCGGACGACCATGATTCTTGCGGTTTCTGCCGCCGCGGTTGAACGGGAGGAGCAGGAGCATTTGCACTAGTACCCGCGCTCTTGGGCGCGGGGACTAGCAGATTGGAATCGTCGGCTGGGGGGATTGAAGCCATTGGGAAGAGTTCATGAGTACCACGTCACTGTGGTCGTTAGGCCGCGGGCGCAATGTTATCCAATTCAATCCGTGCCACGAGAGAAGGCCCCAAAAACGAGGCTCGGGGCATGTGCAAGTTTAATGGTGATGATGATGATGATGATGATGATGCAAAGAGAGTCCGAGTCCCCGTAGCGAAACGGTGACTATGCAAATTCTGTACACTTCTATACAATCTGGACAAAAATTCAAAGCGAACTGAGGTCCATTCACATCAGCTGGGAACGGGCGGATTATTAAGAAGCAGGACGCTGCAATTGGGGGGTCCACCAGTTTCCACCAGCACAAGCACAGCCTTCTCCGGGCGAGCCGAAGGCAAAAACTCTGCCTCTCAACACGTGGGATGGCGTTATTCCAGTTGGAATGGAATACGAAGGACTAGATCTGTGAGCACTGTATTTTTGTGAGCAGGCTAAGCTCTAAGGATAAGCGTAAGCACTAAATTCTAGGCCTATACAGGGCCATTATTCTTGGAAGACGTAGTAAGACGTAGTCTGTCCCGGGCTGTTTAAGCATTGAACGAGGATCAACCAGCACCGTGGATTGGGCCCGGGAAGATCGGTGAATGGTCCATACACTCTGGACTGGTCTAACGAGAGATCAGCGATTCGACACAATCATGACATCGGTCGCATGTCAATTTCGACGATTGTGATTCAATTTCTTCGACTTCCCAGTTTTCTCCTACTTCGGGTGCTATGCAGCGACGACGACGACGATGATGATGATGAGACTAGAGCCTAAATAAGCTTCGATTTATTCCCAACGGGGGAATTATCATGCAAAACCAATCGTGTAGCAGGCTTAATTTCCAGGAACTATACGCCCCACCCAATCGCAGCGGGCGCTGGCCATTCCGATCGGGGCCGCGACGTCATCAAGCAGCAATCCCACGAGAAACTACACTGGATATATGTGTAAATCGCTATTGTTACTGTATGTCTATAGACACTAACTAGATTCCACTGCATCCATTCTATAGTGTAACACACACAGGATACACACTATACCACGACATCCTTCAATGCATGCCTATTACCGACTCCGGGGTTCCCCCTTGGAAAACTCGCCCGTCCGAATCTCCCCTTCGCCTCGACGTGCAATTTCCTCGTTGCGCGCAGCACTCTCATCCGATCCAAATGCCCGGTCAACAACAGCATTGAGAGCCCCCCGAAGCGTCTCTCCAGCACCCTATCAAGTCCATCGTTAGCATTGTCCACTCCAGTAATGACAATCGACTGGAATGCCTCATTATACAAAATATTCACAGTCAAAACTATAGAATCAGAGACAGAACAACTTACATGAACACTCGCCCCGACCCCCTTCACCGTCTTTCCAACATCCTCGCTAGCACTCCTCGCCCTCGACTCCGACGCTCTATCCGTCTTCGACGTCGCGGCCGCCTCTTCCAGCTCAGGCCGCTGCACGGTACTCGGCGCATACTGGATGCGATCGTCTTGTCCTGCGGTCTGATCGTAGCTGTTTGACGGTGCGTTCGGATTGTAGCTACCTTCTTGTGGCTGATCTACCGATGGCTTGTGATATGCAGCGCCCGTGGCAGGGTTGTACCCGGTCGTGACGGGGTCGTAGTGCGATCGGGTATCTTGCATGGGCACGGGGATACCAGGGGCTCCGGTGGAGGAGCCTTGGGAGCCGCCGGCTCTAGGTGCGACCATTATGTTGATTTTATGGGGAATTGGTGATTAGAGATATGTAGTAGACGTGTCGAGGGTGAAGTATATGTGTGACGGAGCGTAAGCTTAGTAGCGTATATTTTTGGTAACTACCGTAGTTAAGCTTAGTTATTAGTCAGTTATATATTTGACATGACGTCAGTTTGAACTCATCGCGAATCGATGGAGGCAATGGAGTCGGAGCTGGATCCCAGCTGAGACAACGATTCCTTCGCAACTTAATTATTCGAACTTTTGTCATCGATCCTTTGTCTTGGGGTACAATGCACCCTCGACATGCCAAGCATGTTGAATAATCTTAATCGTCCCCGGCGACTCCGTGCAGGCCATACCCGGGGCCGAGGTCCTTTCCATCATCCAGTGGAGCAGTTTTCCTAATCTGGGGTTGCTCCGATCACACTTCCCCATCATTTTCTTCGTTCTCGTCATCTTACTGTGTTGTACTCTGCATATTTTAAACATCCTCCCATCCCCCCATTTTACGTCCTTCTAAATCCCATCTTTTATTCATTCTTCCACAAAATTCCCACAAGTACTACCGCCACCACCACAACACAATGTCCTACAAACAAGTCATCTACACCACCGCGCCAGACCCGGCCATCGACCCCTCCCTCACCACAGGCACATTCCGCCTCAACACCGTCCCCAAACCCACCAATGTCCCCGCCGACAAACTCCTCGTGCGCACGCACTACCTCTCCCTCGACCCCGCCATGCGCCAATGGCTAACCGCCAAACGCTCCTACATCGCCCCCGTTGAAATCGGCGCCGTCATGCGCGGCCAAAGCATCGCCCAAATCATCACCGTCGGCTCAGACCTCTCCTCCACCTTCCAGCCCGGCGACTGGGTCGTCGCTTACTCCGGCTGGCAAGAGTACGCCGTGCTCGGCGCCAAGGAGGTCGAAAAGGTCGTTCTCCCGCCGGGCGGCCGTCCCACGGACGCCATGTCCGTGCTTGGCATGACCGGGTTGACGGCGTACTTTGGTATGACGGAGGTGGGATACCCGAAGGAGGGCGATACCGTAGTTGTTTCTGGAGCGGCCGGGGCGACGGGTATGGTTGCGGGACAGATTGCGAAGATCAAGGGGGCGAAGAGGGTTGTTGGGTTGGCCGGGAGTCGGGAGAAGTGTGACTTTTTGGTGAGGGAGTTGGGATTCGATGCGGCGATTAACTACAAGGATGCCGATTGGCGGAAGCAGTTGAAGGAGGCGACGCCGGAGTATATCGATGTCTTTTTTGACAATACCGGTGGTGAGATTTTGGATGCTTGCTTGGCTAGGGCGGCGAGGGATGCGCGCTTTGTCATTTGTGGTGCTATCAGTCAGTATAACGCTGCGAAGCCGCAGGGTCCGGCCAGTTTCATGACTGTTATTGTGAGTTTGCGATTGGGGGTTGAGGTTGAAGTTGAGGTGGGACTGGCATTTGCTAATACGTGTTCTAGTCCCAACGAGTCACCATGAAGGGCTTCATTGTCTTCGACTACGCGAAGAAGTACCCGACCGCGCTGCAGGAGCTGGCCTCTTGGTTGTCGCAGGGTAAGCTCAAGCGCAAGGAGCACATCGTTCCTGGCGGTATCGAGGGAGCGCCCCAGGCTTTGGTGGATCTGTACAAGGGTGTCAACACGGGTAAGATGATGGTTGAGGTGGCCCCTGTGAGCGAGGCCCTGAATGCCAAGCTGTAAGGAGAGGCCGTCTTGAGTGTATGTGAGACATGTGCAATTTCTTTTTCTATGTATCACATCTATTTCCCCCAGTGATGGTCGTGATAAGATCATAAAACAATGAGTCTCAACTACCTCCGGATTGATCACACTGTAAATTCTCAGACTGTTATGGATTTACTTATTATGAAAATACTTACGACCCCGCCACACTTTGGCCGAGTTAGTCTCTCTGGCGCATAGTGACGCCGAGGCTATATGGGTCTGCAACTGCTCAACGCACTTTTCCGCGCAATAATTTCTCAAATCATCATAGGTCCTACCGTACTAGGGCATTTAATTACGTAAGGAGGCAGATTTTCTCTGAGCATGCTACATACAAGAGCGCACGGCCAGATTCCAGCTCTCACTAACAATCAAGTCTTCCGGGACCAAGCTGCTTCAAAGGTACTTGACCAGTGAGCATGTTAGCTCGTATTATTCGACCGTTTCGATGAAACGCCGATTAACGATGCAATGCTATCAGATTTCGCAGCTATTCCATTGACCTGTTAATTCCAGATTATATAGTTACGGCCTTTCGGTTTCCTACAAGCTCACGTTCACATCGAGTTCCATATCCAAGCAACGCCGCCTAAAAGACCCCCTCTTCAACGGAACCTCCACGCTGTCTGCAAAGTTCCACCATGTACGGAGTACTTACAGTATCTATATACTATATTCCAATATTGAAATACCCGAAATATGACGGAATATCGTGAAGAAGGGTCCCTAGAGCAATAATGATACTGATACCATGCTCATATGCAAGATTTGATGCTGCAAGTGGCGCTATGACCAACGCCAGCCCTACGGCCGCTCAGGCCCCTTCTTTGACATGGCGACAAAGTATAAATGAGATGTCGGGCCGATAAAGTGCTGTATGACCGGGTTGCCGAGCCGAGTTAAGCGGTGGTATGTTTCTTTACAGCCAATGTGAGCAGGGAAGTCAGTCTCAACCCCAAAGCCCGGGTGAGAGAAGATTCAAAGATATAGGTTTATAGGGTTAGATTGATTGTTAATCTAAGCTAGTGGGTATTCAGATAATTAGGATGATAAACGTAAACCAAGGTAGACGAGGTAATTTGCCAAACCCATCTTATGGAATTGCTAAAACGACACCCCGAATTACTAATTCGACAGCTCACGCCCCATAACAATTAGTTTAGCCTTGTAATTGTATTACTATCATCTAATACCCGCTTACCCTCTTTGACGATTGGACGATTGGAAGATTTCTACTGCTGTTTATCTCCTAGTATACTGCTCATTCGCTATATGGGTATATTCGCTTGGGTTAAATCTACCCTTCCTAGTTTATTCGCGGTAGTAGGTTCGTAGCAAAATGCCTCACAATGATCTGCCAAACCAACTGCCAAATAAATAGGAAGACAACTAGCAGGGGTAATGGTAAAAGTAGGAGAAGATAGATAATACGTAGGTGTACAGTCGGATATAATATAGATATCTTACCTAGATTAGAGGGAGATTCAGCGATTTCTGTAGTAAAACTCGAATAGCGTTACTTTCCTTATTAGGTTTAGTCTCTTAGGAGTATAAATATACAATCCTTGAAGGGCGTATTAGAAGACTTGATACGCGGTACAATAGGAGAGAGGTAGGTAGTAGTAAAAGTCTTGCAATCGTCAAGGGGTATTAGAAGATAGTAATACAATTACGATGCTAAACTACCAGGGGAGGCCCCAAAGAAATAATCAACCTCTATACAAGACCCACTACTTTTCTGCCAGATTTTATATTACTAAGAAACTACCTGGTCAACCAGATGATCTCTCAAATCGTATGGGGTAGGCGGAAGAGCACGGTGGCAACCTTTGACTGACTGCCCGATGTACAGGAGGTTGATTATTTCTTTGGGACTCCCCCTGTAATCATAGGGTGTGTGGTGTCGAATTAGTAATTTGGAGTGTCGTTTTAGTAATTCCCCATCATATCATTTAGTTGCTCTGTATATGCGTATGTCATAATTTCGTTAAAAGGTTAAAAGGTTGCCAGACTCAATAGTCATAGTCTAACGTCAATACCCCTTTTCGCCGGCCTCACAAATCGATACACTCTGCATCCATTCCGACCGCAGCATATCCTTTGTCGTAATGCGTTTCCGCGAGTTGGGGTGTAGCATTGCATAGGTGGCATTGCGGCGTCTCTGTAATACCCAATTCATCAGTGATAAGTTCTCATCCTTGCATTCGTCAAGTCGAGACTCAGACTCAGACTCAATCAAAGGGATCTGCTGTGAAAGGGTAAAGAGAAACGGATCCACTCACATTCCCCAACGCCTCAATAGGCGGATACCCATCCTCGCCAAGCCGACACTGCAAATACTCCAGATACTTCGCATCCTCCCGATGCGGCCGTGCACACCTCCACAACAACCGCCCCGTAATAAGAGCTAAATAAATAATCGCCGTTGCCCAAACATCCGCCGGCCGCGGATCCCGCACCCCCTGATCATCATCATCCTCCTCCTCGTCGTCCTCGTCACACTCGATGGTATCTCGCCACGAGCGTCGACGCGGGCGATACCCGAATCCCTCGGGCGGGATATACGGCAGACTCATACCGGGGAAGGAGGTGGTGGAATTCACCGTGTCCCCGGTATTTCCCTTCGCGGGACTGGCATGGCTGAATGGGGCCAGGATCCAGGGAAGAGAGAAGGACCAGGAGCGGGTGGAATGGGGATGCGCGTCCAATTCAGCGTCAGTATCGGTGGGTGTCGGGGCGATGGCACATTCATTCCAGACACGACGGATGTGTCCGTCTCCAAAGCCGGCGAGTTTCACGGCACCGTGTGCTGTGAGGAGCACGGTTTCCAGCCTGATATCGCGGTGGGCGGTGCCGTGCTCGTGCAGGAAGGATAGTGCTCGGAGGATCTGCGCGGTTATGCAGTCTGCTTCTGGGGTGGAGAGAGGTCCTGAACGGGAGAGGAGTTCGTGTAGGTCGCCCCCTGCGCAGAAGGGCATGACCAGGCAGAGTTCGCTGCGTTCGTTGTAGAGCAGGTCTGTGATGGGGAGGATGTTTGGGTGGTGAGGGTGTATATTGGCGATGGCAGATGGGGAGCAGGTTGATGCGCGGGTGAGCGGGGTGGGATTGTCGACGATGGTATTGTGGTAGCGGTAGACTTTGATAGCGAAGAGTTGTTTTGATTTTACCCCGTAGGGTGACAGTTTGGTTTGGTGGAGACGGACGGTGCTGTTGGTGCCGTAGTGCAGGATCTCGAGACAGCGGCCATATTTGTCTGTGAAAGGGCGTTGGGGCTCTGGGGCTGGTTGTGGCGGGAATGTCGAGGCGAGGGAGTTTGTGGTTGATGATCGTAGCAAGGGCCGTTCAGCCGTTGATACCGAGGCCAGGCTGGGTCGATGCTCGTTTCTGAAGACGGGGATGCCGCGCTTTGGGCTCTGACATGCGTCGTCTACGCTGGGATCTTGTGAGGAGGTCGACCATTTCGGCCGCGTGAGGTAATGATGATGTGCAGTGGAGGGAGCCAGATTGGGTCGATGCACTGCGACGGCTGTCCAGGCGTCCTGGTGACGAAGATGTCCGTCCTTCATGGACTGATACGAGGTCTGCGAGGATGAAGGTGGAGGTAGATGGAGAAGGAAAAGCAAAGATAAAGTCTAAAGGATGTCAAATTAGACTGTTAAGTACAGGGAAGAAAGGAAAAAGGAAAGCAAAAGTCAAAAATATAAGGGATATCGTGGAAGTATATCAGCGCGTACCCCCTTGAGCCCGGCGCCCTTTTTATAGATCCAGCCACCGCGGGTGTTTTGTCCAGTCCTCAAACGCCGGAATGGACTGATTATATGGGGGGTATACGAGTTATGGAGAGAAAGGAGCTACTGGAGGACGCGAGGTTACCAGACCTACGTAGGGAATTCGGAGAGAAAACAATATGAGAGATATTTTGGTTGAACCAATCCATGGAGGCGATGACTTTCTGTTGGAAGTATATTAAGCAGGTGACAGTAATAGGAGAAGAGATCAACGAGAGAAAATAAAGGGACGTATCCCGTCGCATAACAAGAGACTCGGCGCGTTGGCCCCATGTTTTAGTCAAAGAAATCGCTTTAGTTAACTAGTTAGGTAGCGATGATCTCCGATACTCTCGATCATAATGAGGTAGTCCAGTCACCGGTCGCGGTATCGGTCATCGCGTAGGAGAAAAAAAAAAAGGAAAACTATACTGAGGAGGAGGAACTCCTACTCTACTGTCATGTCTGGGGATCCCGCGATTGGCCCGGTAAACCGCTCACGAAGATCGGCCATGACATACAATGACCTAGTGGCTTGAGCGATTTTTCTGCTCGAACAGAAGCGCAAACGCTCGCTAGCGCAGTGGACAAAGAGTAGGTGTGAGAGAAAAAACCCCCCCCCCCTCCGAGCCAGAGAACACGGGAGCCTGGGGGAGTGGAAGCTGGCTGCTTTGAGCAGGTCGGCAGAGCAGTCCACGGGCAGGACTGTCTTTTCCTGTGGCGAGGAAAAATCCCGCAACCTCAGGATGGCCGTTCCAAACATTCGACTCCCTCGTCTTTTCTGACTACGCTTGCGGGCTATGACGAGCGGAGATTACATGCGCTATTTTCTATTTTCTTTTCTTTTCTTTTTTTTGGCCTCTGTCATGATGATAGCAGAAAATTTCTTCAACATGTCCAGCATAGCAAAAGCATCAAGCTCAATCTCAGGATTTACTGTTTCGCTGCTTGGACTTTTTAAGAGTCAAACTAAGTTCTTTAGGGCTGATGTCACGTATGGTCAGATGGGCTGGGAGTAAGCCAGCAGCGAGAATTATAATTGGACGAGACTGCTCTATGGCAGGTAAATTACCGAAATGACGGTATCATCCGTATATCTGCCGCTCGTGGCACCGACAAGCTCATGCGCGATTTCCTCCGATTTGAATGCGTTGGTTATTGGCTCATCTCTTTGGGTTTTCTGATTTTAGTTAACGGTTCGGCCTGTCTTTATTCGGCGGTACCTGAAACACTATGGAGAGCTGTCTGTTTCCCCAGGTACCATGCTATACTCTGTGGCAGTTCAAGTGGGTATCAAACCCAACAGTCCCCTTTCTTCTCTCAACTCGTGTAGCAGGTAACTAGTTAGCAGCGAGTAGTCATAGCAAACTGTTATGACCAGAAAATTGATACTGAATGTAGGGAATGGATATGGAGTTTTTCTCCTGGGCCGACAAAAGGAGATCCTGGAATCTGCCCCTCGTGGCTATTCTCGCGTGGCGCCGCTTGCATGACGCCGGTTTGGCGGTTCCCTACGATTTTTTCTATTCTGATATGTTCCAGTGATCTCGTATCGATTTTTTTTTCTTTTTTGCATGAGCAAATCTTGCCTCCACTTCCTCGTCTCGCCTTCCCAATTCATCCATGTGCCTGTTACCTGAGCCACCTGCGTGGGCCTGCTACATCCAGCCTAGTAGTCTTCTGCACTGGTACATAAGGAACAGGGGACCTCTCCCACTACCTTTTTCTTGCTCCTCGACATCAATTATTTTTGTATTCTCTGTCCTGTGCCTTTCCTGCACCCCTCTGCTGTGCCCATCCGGGTGTTTAGCTGTCAGCTTCCCCCTCCTCTATCGCCTTCCCACCACCACCCTCCTCCCTCATCTACTCTCCCCCCGACAGTTATCGCCATGGAGCCCAAGTCCCCCCACGGCAAGCCCGACGTCGATGTCGACGTCGAGGCTGAGGGTGATCAATCCAGGGAAGATGGTGATCGCACGGCGCGCAACGTGCGCATTACCTTTGAGGATTCGTCCGCCACCGATATGGAAGGCACTGCCATCGAAACCATGCGGTCCATCTACCAACCCGCCGGTTTCAACCGTACCCAGTCCACTGGCCGTGATACCATCCGCAGCACTCGGAGTACTCGCAGCACTGGACAAACTGCCGTTGGAGCCCATGCAGGCATCCCCATCGAATTCCGCACTCTGTCCATCCAGATCTCCGAGTCTCAGAACGCACCCAAGCAGGTGATCGAAGAACCCCCCAAGGAAAAGCTGCCGGACCAGGACTACTTTGAGAGTCTCGACTTCCACACCTTGACCCAGGATCAGCTGTGCCAGCAGTTCAATGTCGACCAACGCACCGGTCTCACCAGCTCGGCCGCCGCTACACGCCTCGCTCGCGATGGCAAGAACGTCATTGCGCAGCACCGGGAGAACTACCTGAAGAAACTCTTCTTTTACGTATTTGGTGGATTCTGTTCGATTCTTTGGGTTGGTGTGATCATCTTCTTCATCTGTTGGAAGCCTCTCAGCAACCCGCCCTCGCCTACCAACCTTGCCATGGCTGTCTTGGTTATCATCGTCATCGTTCTTCAGGCCACCTTCTCGGCTTTCCAAGATTGGTCTACGAAACGAGTCATGAACTCCATTCTGAATCTTCTGCCCGCCGAGGCCCTCGTCATGCGCGATGAGAAGTTCATTCGTCTTCCCGCCACCGAGTTGGTCACTGGCGATATCATCCAGATCAACGTTGGCAACAAAGTTCCGGCTGACATGCGTCTGCTGAAGACATCTGGCGATGTTCGCTTTGACCGTGCTATTCTCACTGGCGAGTCGGACGAGATTGACGGCGCTACCGAGGCCACCGAGGCCAACTTCTTGGAGACTCGAAACATCGCCCTGATGGGAACCCTGGTGACCAATGGCAATGCAACTGGTGTAGTCGTGCTTACGGGTTCGGGATCGGTTATGGGCCGTATCGCGAAGATGACTGCCGGCGTCAAGCAGAAGCCAACCTTGATTCAGAAAGAGATCAGCCGCTTCGTTGCCATCATCATTGGCCTCACCATTCTCCTTGCACTCTTGATCCTGTTCACCTGGGTTGGATGGCTTCGCAAGGATCACCCTACCTACATGAGCGTGGTGGCAATGCTGAACAATGTCATGGGATGTGTGGTGGCGTTCATTCCCGAGGGTGTCCCCGTTGGAGTCGCCCTGACCCTGATGATGGTTGCCCGCCGTATGAAGCAGACCAGTATCCTGCCCAAGGGCCTGGCTACTGTCGAGACTCTTGGCTGCGTCAACGTGATCTGCTCTGACAAGACGGGTACTCTGACCCAGAACCGCATGTTCGTCAAGTCTTTCGGTATGGTAGACTGGGAGTTCAGCATCGACGACCTGGGAACCGGTCTTGAGGTGTCTCACGGACTGGCTAACGTTCTCCGCGCCTCGGTTCTTTGCAACGATGCCACATTCGATTCGGAGACTATGGGCCTCCCTTCGTATGAGCGCAACGTGAATGGCAATGCTACCGATGCAGCAGTACTCCGACTTGCCGATCATGTTGGTGCCGCTAACCCCAGGAACCTGGAGCCATATGAACGCATCCACCAGATTCCCTTCAACTCGAAGAACAAGTGGATGTTAACCATGCACCACGACCCTACCAACACCGCCCCGGGCTATCTGATCTATGTCAAGGGTGCTCCTGATGTGCTTCTGCCTCGCTGCTCTACCTACTGGTCTGCTGTCCACAATGCCGTGCGCCCCCTGGACACCGATGCTCGTGAGAAGTTCTCAGCTTTCCAGGCCAAGTTGTCCCGCCGCGCTGAACGTGTGATTGTCATTTGCCAACGTCGATATATCCCTGTTCACGAAGTTGGCTCCAACGGGTTCAGTGATGAGATTATTGATTCGGGTGTGCAAGATCTGACCGTGCTCGGCATCTTTGGTATCATCGATCCCCCTCGTCCAGAGACTGCTAGTACCGTGGCTGCCTGCCGACGTGCTGGTATTCGTTTCTTTATGGTCACTGGTGACTTTGGTCTGACTGCCGCTGCGATTGCCCGGGACATTGGCATCTTTGACGGTGCTGCCGAGCCAGACACTATCGACGATCTGCGCGACTTTAGCGACGAAGGCAAGACCTCTCACTCGCGCCACAGTCTGTTACTTGAGGGAACTAGTCTTTCGTCCATGACTCAGGATGAGTGGTCGACGGTGTGTAGCTATGACGAGATTGTCTTCGCTCGTACCAGCCCCGAACAAAAGTTGCGCATTGTTTCCGAACTCCAGGCCAAGGGCAACTACGTTGCCGTGACTGGTGATGGTGTCAACGATGCTCCAGCTCTGCGGGCTGCCAATGTTGGTGTTGCTATTGGCGGTGGTAGCGATGTTGCTATCGAGGCCGCCGACCTGGTCTTGCTGGACCGATTCGATTCTATCGTCGAAGCTATTCGTCTGGGTCGCCTGGTGTTCCAAAACCTGCAAAAGGTCATCGCCTACCTACTGCCCGCCGGTAGTTGGTCCGAGATCTGGCCCGTGATTATGAACGTCTTCTTCGGCGTGCCATCTCCACTGAGCTCCTTCCTCATGATCATCATCTGCGTCTTCACTGATCTCTTCCTCTCACTCTCCCTAATCATGGAAAAAGAAGAATTCGACCTGCTCAGCATTCCGCCCCGCAACCCAAAGAAAGACCACCTCATCAACCTGCGCATCTACGGCCAATCCTACCTCTTCGTCGGTGTCATGGAAGCCTTCAGCGCCCACGGCATGTTCTTCCTCTACATGTGGAAAGCCGCCGGCATCCCCTTCTCCGACCTAGTCTTCGCCTTTGAGAATTACACCGACGGTTTCCACGGCTACACGCAAGACCAGCTCACGCACTTCAACAACGTCGGCCAGTGCGTCTACTTCGTTTCCCTGGTCATCATGCAGTGGGGCAATATCCTCTCCGTCCGCAGCAAGCGCATGTCCCTGCTCCAGGCGGATCCTATCCGCCCTGCTCGCCGCAACCCCTGGCTTCCCCTGGCCATGATGATTTCCCTTGTCATTGCCATCTTCGTCACTGAAGTCCCCGGCATCCAGTCTCTCTTTGGCACGGCCTCTGTCCCCCTCGAGTTCTGGTTCATCCCGCTGGGCTTGGCACTTGGTATCCTCGTTATGGACGAGCTACGCAAGGTGTTGGTGCGCCAGTTCCCCAACGGCCCTGTTGCTCGGATTTCGTGGTAAATCGGGGACTTTGATGGTGTGAGAAATGGTTATGAGTTATGACATAAAATACTGGATTTTTGTGATAGATTTTCTTTTAGTTGGGCATTTTACTTTGTTTTCGTTACTTTGGGTTGGCTTTTTTGCATGTCATGTCTGTATGGATTTGGGATTCCTATGATGTGGCTTTTTGAATTGTTTGGCGAGAGCAGTATGCTTGCTCTTGTGAATTGCATATGATGATTGGATACGAAGATACCTTTAGATCTAGAGATTATGCATAGCTCTGGAGATAATACTAGATTGTGTGGACTGGTTCCACCCTTTCATTCTGACCCTTGGTTTCCACTTGAGAACATTCGAATATTTCTACCTAGTAGATTGAATATTCTGTTATCTTCTATCGAATACCCCATAAAGACGCTCTTCAATCATTTCCGAAATTCTCAAGCCAGGAACCTACTTTACTGTGTAGAGGGTTGCAAGGTCACGTATGCCAGTGCCATATGCATCACAAGTAGAACTGCCGACATTAGCCCCAGACTTTCCCCGCCCAATAATTATCATCGGTGTCTGATGGCATCCACGCTCGCTCCACAAAGCTCAAACGCACGACAACGAACACGGTCCGGTCGGTATGTCGCCTTCCTACTTTGCAGTCTACTAACTATCCACAGGATGCTATACATGTAAAATTCGAAAAGTGAAATGCAAATCCGAAGTCCAGAACCACTCAGCCGACTTGGATGAACTATCCAGCTGTGACTGTTGCAAAAGACTCGGACTGAATTGCCGATGGAGTGCCCCGGTGGCCGGGGACGATTACACCCCACCGCCGAAACGACGGCAGACCATCGGACGAAGACGTGAACACTCTCAGAACAGCCGTCCTAATGAGAACACGGATTCTGCATATCCCCGAGAGATAGCCGATACCCACTCAGAATGGGGTTGGACTTTGGCGTTCTCGCCCGACAGTGAGACATTGGCTTCCGGTTCTTGAGATCATACAGTAAAGCTTTGATCGGTATCACTTGACTGAGAGCTAGAATTAATTGAAAGTCTACCCAAATTGAGATTTTCATGGGGCAGGAAGATTCAGAAATTCCAAACGCCCAAAAAGACCACACGAAGGGTGCTAGCAGGGTTGGCGATGGGATGATAGTTCGAGACACGGCAAGCCTTTTGGATATAACTGTCCTTCCACGCCCTGTTCGATGCGTTTCTATATAGTTAAAAGCCGGTTTCGCAATGCATTTTTACTTTACTGCGTCGGGTTAGTATGCTATGTAGTATGAAAGGACTAGTCTACCCATGATCCGTGACTTTGCCAATTTTAGATCAAGGAGCCACTCTCTAACACGTCCTATACCTCAAGGGGAGTATGGTAATCTGAAAAGGGTTAGGCAGAGCTTTTCTAGCTTAGCATAGTCCCAACTAGTTTAGTAGCGCGGGCTACCAATAGCTCTGGGGTCTACGTTGGGCGGCGGCTGGCTGGGGCAAAGCAGAAGCTAAACATTTTAAATTCCTTTCCGCTATTCGACACTCAATCCTACACTTCTCCCTCTTCAAAATTCAGTCTCCTCTCTGATACCAAAGATTTTTCACCTGATACAAATAGTTCAACCATCCTTGAAACTGTCTGTGTTATCTATTAACGGCCGGGAGTCAAAGACGGTCTCCTACTGCCATGACCACCCTCCACAATACGATGCATACCAGCCAAGCGAAGATATACTCAGTGGCAATTCAAAAGTCTGAAACCAAGGACCAAGAAAACAGGCCGTCAAAATATGCCTCGATTTTATGTTTTTAACAGATCTTCCTGAATGTCTTTTGAACCCTCTTTCTAGATATTCCCGGCATCTGTGTTTCAACTTGTCTTTCAAAGTATAGCTGATGAGATGGGTTTGAACTTTTTCGGGTGTTGCAAACTTATGGAACACCACTGTACTCACCTCCATTCTTGAGAACGATAAACCCCGCCGGAATATACGTATGCGGCTTGATAATATAGGTGCAGAGATGCTCAACAAGATCCAGAAAAGGCAGAACAGGGAGTTGCCGGACTGTCCAGACTACATCTCTGCCGCGGAATTTTATCAGGACATAGGTCGGTTAACCACAGAGATGGGACAGTTGCTTACGGTGTTAGTAAATATTGCCAAAGAAAGCGCTGTGAAACACACCGATCTCTGTACCGTTATGTCCAGACTCAGTGAGAATTAGTTCAACCGAGTTTACGATTCTTCAACGCGGGACCTGAACCAGCGGATGCAACCTGGACTGGCTCAGGACCGTACGAACGGCGGCTACTGCCATGACAGAGATATTGGGCATGAATCTCAACGCTCGTTGACCACCACGCAAGTAGAGAGAGCGCCGGAAACCCCAGCACGAGCGACTTTTCGTTTTCTCGTGACCGGTTCTTCGCGCTCTCGGCAGAGGTGGATAGAATCAATGAGGAGCCTGACCAACGCCTTCCCTCTTATGATACGGCCAATGCTTCGAAGATGAATGATGATGCTACTGCTGCTGCTGCTGCTAAACCACGTGTGGGATTTTGGACGAGTTTGAAGAAAAGCCTGACGGCTCAGCTCGGCTTTAATCGTAACGTGGATTGAGGCTCTCTGACATGATCGGATTATGATATGATTGAACTTGGTGTTCGTCTGGCTTTAATTAAAATCGAATGAACCATGTGGATACGTATGCTTCTAGTATATGGCTTGCTTCTGTGTGACTGGATTGAGTTTTGAATACCATCTTTTCTCAAATATTTCTCTCGTCGGTAAAATCGTGGGAAGCGTCATGAGCACAAGTAAAACGAAGCTCCTGCGGCAACCATGTGTGTTTTCAAAGAACATCTGACTCTTTGGTAATTCCCTACAAATACAGATCTAGTGGATCAAGACTCTACAATGAATAGCAAAGTGAATGTCCAGAAGGAAAATCAAGCCCATACTATCTACCCAGCAAGTTCGTGCCTGCCGCATCTGTACTCTATGTACGTCGGCACCACGTCCGTAACTTCCTAGCCCATGAGGCATACCTCCAGTCTCCGTCGTCTGCAGCTTCCTTCCAGTCCAGAAGGGCTATTGCTGTTGCCGCACCTTGCCAGCCTCCCGCACAGCAGTCATGAACCCGTCCTCGTTGCCAGCAGCGGTCAAGATCCAATAATCAGCCACACCGGGATTGGTGACTTGGCCACCAAACCCGGCTGCTGCGGGCGCGCTGTGCCGGTCCTTTGGCTTCTGGGCGCTGGCGCCAGGATGGCGAAGGCCCCAACCCAGAATGTTGCGCACAGCCAGGCGAGATTGGTCATCTGGTTGGTTGAAGGACATGATTTGTGCCTGGAGACAGCCGAGGATTGCGACGGCGGAGCGAATCATAATCCGGTCGCCTTCAAAGACCCAACAGTCCCACACACGAGAGAGGCGCTCAAGATCGAGGCCGTTGGTGAGGAGAGAGCGGAATATGGGCTCCCAGGTTTCCTCCTCGGAAAGCTTGAGGGTCTCCTGGAGATGAGTCGACAGGCGAGGGAACTTGTAGCGTAGTGTTTCAGAAGCGAGTGAATAAGTATGGGCCATGGCGCCGCGGTCCCAGGTCAGGAAGGCAACTGGGAGAGGGCGATTGAGGGCATTGGCCATGGCGAGGAAAGCGGAGCTAGGGGTGGGAAACTGTAGAACGAGGAGTGCGGCAATAGTATGCAAACCATGAATGTAGCCCACATCGCTGCGGTACATGCAGTATGCTTGCAAGAGGTCTATAAGCGTATTCCGCAATGGCCCACCCTCCTGGAACAGGTTCAAATCAGGGAATGCTTTGCAGACGTCTGCGTCGATTGCCTCCAAGCATTCAAGCATACGCTTATTGTTCTCTCCCGGCTCGGCATTTTTCTTGGACCGCAAGTCCTGCGCTCTTTGCAGCGCTTTGGTGAACGTCTCCTCAGTGAGCGAAAGCTCATTCCCAATCGCACGTTTCCACATGGTTCCTCGACTACGGGGCGGAATTCCACGCCACCAGAGTTCTCGAATGCGAGGCTCGCGTAGCGCACTTTCCCAGTTGGGGTTCACATAGTCATCCCAAATGTTCTGAAGCGCTTCATGAGTGTTGTCCTTTTCGCATTGTTCCGAAGCAGCTCGGGCCGCTCTTCGCTTCTCTGCAAAATCGTGTTAAGACGAGTCTATCTATAACCAGACGCACCATAGAGCACACTCACCAGCTTCCTTCGATTGCGCCATCATCTGCTTGTACTCTCTCAGATGCTTCTTCTCCTCCTTCTGGTCCTTGGGCGGCAGCCAGCTAGGGCGCGTCCGCGTAAGAACCTTCTCCTTCTCTTTGCTAATGGGCAGCGGGTCGATCATGATATTAGACTTTTGCAAGGGCGGTAGTTCAATTGCATCGGATCCCCGTGGGGAGTCAGAACTGGACTTTGGCGACGACAGTCCCATCTGCACAGCATCTTCTTGCTTGCGCTCGCTCTCATCCGCGTGGTGTTCCAGCGCCTCGGTGATGATCCTTGCTTCCTCTGATAGATCGGATAGATAACTGTTGTATGAATAAGCGCGGGGGTTGCGCGGGGAAATTTGGCCGCGTTCAGGTCCTGCAGAACTAGACCGCTGTGTTCGTTTCATGCGTGCCGCACGAGAGGCTGATTGAGACGAATGATCCTGGGTCGCCGACATGTCAGATGTGGAGTGCGAGATCGGTAGCGGCCGACGACCGGGACTACGGCCGTTCGGGCTTGCGGCTCGTGACTGGGAGCGATCTTGAACGGGACGCGGGGAAATTGGAATGTTCCACAGGCTGGCATCGTCGGGGAGTTCGTCATCAGAGTCGTGGTATTCTTCCTCCAGATCCTTCAAGGACTTGCGATTCAGTTGCCACGTTTGTTTCGGGACGGGAGTTCTCGCAGAGAGCGGCGAAAGGGCCAAACTGGTGGTCGAGGCTGACCGGCTGGACATTGTCCGTAAAGGAGAGATCGACCGTGCCCGGCGAGGCTGCGAAGGCGTCAAGCCACCGGAGTGATTCGTACTCCCCGAGTCTCTTCTATTGCCTGACCGTGCCGACAGAGAACCCGCGGACTGCGGGGTCCGGACGGAGCCATTGAACTGGCTGTGTATCGGAGGCAGGGGACTTCGTTTCCGCGGCTTCGGGGTCGCCGTCAAGTCTCGCGTCGTCGCTGCAGGACTCTTGTACGGCAGACCGTTTGGCAATCTGGCGGCGGGCGACCGGGTTGTCAGGCCGCGGCCGCCATAAGGGGTCGACTGATCGACAATGGGCAATTCCGCGTCATCTTCGAGACCAATGTCTTCGAAGTTCCCAATATCGGTGAAGACGCTATCGGGGCCATCGATTTGCGAGGAATGGAACGAGGACGACTTGGAGGACTTGGAGCCGGACAACTCGGGCAGGGAATTCGGACTTGGGTAGACGGTGGTCATGATCTGATGTAGTGGGCGTTCAAGTACAGCGGTCCTCCACAATTATCATCGGCAAATCCGAAACAGCACAGTAATTTGGTAAGAATCGTCGGTGGTATGGGCGGAAGGGATGGGGGTGTTGGAGATTGGCACGCAAGGTTCGGGTTGCGGTGTCGGGGGGGGCGGTTTTGCTGTCGGCAGGGCGAGGGATGCAGGATGCAAGATGCAGGCGATTTCCGAAAACGAAAGGTAAACACAGATAAAAAAAAAACAGCCGATCAACGTGAAAGAAGCGAAATGCAGGCTCAGCCGTGCGGCCTGATAATAACCAGATCAGGAGTCGAGCAAAGGCGAGATCAAAAAAAAAGGATCAGGAGGCCGCGATTATGGGGGGAGCATGGGGGCCGCCAAGGGGGGTGTAGAAGAAGGGGAGGAGGAGGGGGTCAAAGGAGTAAGAAACGAAGGGTTGAAGCGAATGAAGTTCTTCTGAGAGAAGAAAAAAGCAGGAAAAAACAAGCACAACAAGAAAAGGAGTGTGAGGGTTGTGGAGCGAGAGTTGGGATGAAAGCGAATGTTGGAGTTTGGAGAGGAAGCGGGTTTGGCAATTGGATTGCAAGCGGAGAGCCTCAGGCAGATGCCGCACGCGGTCTGGCCGAGAACAGACACCAGGGACGGGATTCAGAATGTCGCGATGATAGGAGTGGAGATACTTGCAAGATACGTTGGGTTCATGGCATTGAATACGTATTTCACAAGTACTTTAGTGTACCCCCTTACCCACACGCCCAAGACGATCAGAGTTCCCCTGCAGAGGGCAACGATCGCTGCCGATCTCGGTAGATTCTTGTTCCTGTTTCGAGAGCCACTACCGAGTAGGGTATAAATCTGAGCTCAAATCGATCGGAATTCCCCTGAAGACCCAGCGATGGCCAGCCTATCTCGTCCACTCGGGTGCTCGTCCATCGCCAACAGTTCCGCGGGCTGCCCACGCCTCTGCGATTCTCATTGGACGATAAGCCGGTATAAACCGGGGGGGGAAATTGGCGACCGTTGGTAAATAGATCCAAGATACATCATCCACAGAGGAGATAATGGATTTTAGATTGAATCCCAGACCACTATTGGCATTAATTGATGTATTATCGATTGTCCCTCAACGACTACCTACATACGCCAGACAGTGGTACATACAAGCTATTCTTAGAACCGCCAAGCTTCAAATAGCGCATCACCCTTCCTGACAACCCGCAGCAGACGCACCACATCGGCATTTGTCGCCGGGCGCGACGCCCGCCCTAGCGAGTCCAGCCAGTGGAGCACAGGCGCATACCGCGTTTGCTTGCGTCTCAGCACAAAGCGGAATGCGGCCGCTGCCAAATATTGCAGGTGAGACAGCTGCACGAAGCATGTCAACGGCGCGGGTCGAGAGGCTCGTCGCGACTGGATCAGGTTGGCTGTTTGCTGGACCAGGTCATGAATGGTCTGGATGATGATCGGGTGTTGGGGGTGGACGTGGCCACGGAGGGACTTCATGTACCGGTACATCTTCATCGCGGCGGTGATGAAGCCATTGTAGAGGTTGGATAGTACGACGGCGCGGGTGTTGTGGTCGGCGTCTAGGTACATCGAATGTAATTGGGGCCGCAGTAGTGCTAGCATTTTGCGATTAAAGGCGCGCCCGGGGAGACGGCTGGTCTCGACGGTCAAGGTGTTGGAGAGTGTGGCTGCGGCAGAGGCGCCGCCTTCCAGCATGCGATCTTGGTCCTTGTGGATCTCGAGTGTATGAGTGTCAATCAAGCAGCCGCAGTAAGGGAAGAGTGCCGTGCCTTCCAGCCTTGGGATGTAGAGCCCATCGACTGCAGCGGTGAAATTGATCATGCTCTTGGCTGGGTTGACTGAGACACCGTACGCAGGCTGACCACGGTGCATGACGTGGAGAAACTGGGCGGCTTGGGTGGCATCCGTGGTGATAAGTAGAAAGTCATCCACCAGTCGGAGGAGAAGCGAATCAGTAGGCTGGATGAAATTCAACACCTGCTGTTCCAGCTGGGCGTAGAAGAAATTACATAGCAGACTGGACAGCACGGAACCCTGGGGAATACCGTTACGCTGGCGAAAGTAGTTCTTTCCAATCTTGACCAGATTATTCCGTACGTGCTCGTCTAGGAGACACAGCAGCTCATCTGCATCGTGTTCTTTCTGCTTGATGGTGTCGACATACACAGTGTTGGGAGCACTATTCGTGCCACCCGCAGCAAGGTCAGGGAAAGACTGTTGCTTGTTCGGAGGTGCAGCGCGTCCGAGGAACCTCCGTTTGGCTCTGCCATGCAAAGCAGGGTTTATGGCCACGTATCTGGTGACATGGTAAGACTCCTCAGAGACCAGTTGCTCGACGAGATGTAGCAACTGCTTCTGCGGGATGGTATCAAAACAGGCTTGAATATCAAGCTTGACAAAGAACAGTTGGGGTAGCCGGGCACCTTTCGGTCCTGTCGATGCAGGCGCTCGTTGACTGAGCTGATCCTTGAATTCTTTTAGCCTCGAATGCATGTCTCCCACCGACATCAAGGACGAGCCGAGCTTCTCGGGACAACGTTCACGCTCATAACTCAACATGTTGTAGATGGGGGCAAGATTGCTGTTGACACTTGCCCCCAGGTATGTCTTTTTATTACCCCACTGTGATTTCATCAAGACGCGTTTTTTCAGGTTCAGGATTGGTCGCAGCCCGGTTGATTTTGGAAGTAAACGAAGTGCACCCAGTCCAAGTGACCGCTTGCCCAGCATGATGCGTGCCTTTTCAGGCTTGAGTTGCTCGAACATGTTTACTTTGAGATCTGCCATCGGTTGCTCTGTCAAACTTCGCCACACATCGTGTCGAAAGTAGAAGAGGCGATTGCGATGGGTTTGAGATTCGGTGACGTAGAAATTGGTACGGACGAGAGGGATCAAGATTGAGTCGAAGATGTAGTAAATGAACTCATGCAGCAGTTCTTTGCGTTTTTGAAAATCAGACAGCGCGATCTTTGGATACCCAGATCCCGATGGCTTCTGGATTTTCGGAGGTGCTAGCCAGGAGATGGGGGTGATCTATAGGAATGCTTCCATTAGCAATCACCACTCTTCAATATCCGAAAACCACGAATCTCACCTTCAAGCCACTGCACACCTCATGCAGACTGGGGCTCTCGAATCGACGCATTTTGACGAAGGAATCCACATGCTTCATGATAATCTTGCGGTTTTCCAAGGCTTCCGGGCCATCCCCCCAAAATCGAAGGGGTATGATTTTACGGAGTACCGCACGACAAAATGCCGAGACCGCGGATGTGGGAGTGGCATAATCAGTCAAGTTGATTTTGCCCTTTTGGTATCCTTTGATCGCGGTCTTTCCTTCGGTAACGTTACCAGTAGTTTCAGGAGTTTGACCTTGAAGATCTGGCAGTCGAGTGGAACATGGGGGTTTGGCTTGGATTTGTGTCACCAGATCTTCCTCAATTGACGATACTAGCTCGCCGTTCTCCGTTCGTCTTTTCACAGGAGAAGCAGCAGCGCCAAGTTTCCATGGACCAACAAGCTGTACAAAATCAGAAGACAATCAAAACATCAATCGCGAAAACTTACCTCCGCAGGGCAATAATAGTCTAGTAACTGCCGGTATGGACATTTCGAATGGCGAACTCGGAGCCTTCGAACAAGGTCCAGTGCTTGACCGCGAAGCCGCTTGGGCAGCTTGGTACCAGCCTCAACATTATCCTCGCGTACTTGATCTCCCTTGGGCGCAGGGCGGCGCAATTGCTCCTTCTCTATGAGCTGGGATATTTCCGATTCGCGAAAGACATTGTTCTGCGTGCTGCCATTGCGGTTGGTTGTCGACGCAAACACATTCTGCAGGCCGAATTGTCGCGGGAAAATATAGTTTGTCACGTGGACAGTCTGCGCTTCCGAGTCCAGCACGTTGTATCGATTGAGTACGTCTGAGGGTTCGTTACAAGGCTGGTCAGACGGATGATTAGGAGGAGGGAATAGCATACGCGTGTCTCCAAGGCCAGAGCGCATCTGTCCTTTGCTTTCACCTCCAGATCTGCCATAGAGCATACGCCGGCGAGAGAAGACAATGCTATTACAGCCATTAATCTCTTTGGGGATTTCATCCTCTTTGTTCGCCGTCTTGGCGGGCTTTGAATCTGTCGAATGCTCTGCACGCTTGGCACATGTCTGATCACAAGGCCCAAGCTCCGACAACGGCAGTCCTGCGTCTAGTATTAGGCGATGCAATCCAAAGGTAGCAGGCAGTTTATACACACCGCTTAATTGGTAGTAGACACCCCTCTTGACATTCACAGGTGCAAAAATCCCACAATCAAACAACAATCTCATCATAATGTCATCCCCATTCTGGCCCAAAAGGCCCAAAACATCCGACCATGGCGATTCCTTCAGGGTCCGGACATTCTTATTCGGAAACTGGGCCACAAGACCGAGAATACTTGTTTCCAAGATACTCGGGTCCGTCGGTCGATGGGGACCATACCCATGCGTGAGCAAGTGCTGAGGCTTCTGATAACCCGGGGTACGGGCAAAGAGCGACTCGATCACAAAATTGACCACCTGCGCGACAAGAGCTTAGCCATCTGAAACAACGTAACTGGGTGCATGCGGTCTGTCTATAATGTATAGTCTGACAATCGCAAATCCTACCTCGGATTGAGGCGACGTTGGCCCCGTGTCTGTGCTGTCGAGGATCGAGCGCGACTGGGACTGGGTGAAGGCCCGATAGTCGCGCTGACGATCGGAGTCGACCTTGGCCGATGATTCTTTCAGCACACCAACCAGCGTGGAATCCAGCAGGTCGGCAAGTGCAGAGGCCGTGTCGTCGCCACACTCCGGTATACGTGGCGGGCTTGATGGGCGCAGGGAAGCGATGCGCCGCCGTCGCAATTTAGACGAGGCAGGGAGTTGGCGTAGAAGGTATTGTCGTAGAGTTAGGACTTGTCGGTAGTAGAGTGAGATCACGGGGTGTGTTGTGATTTGGTCGTCTTGCGATGTTGGGCCAGTGGTGACTTTGAAACGACCGGGCGATGCAGTGATACTCGGCTGAGACGTGGCCGTGGGACCGGAGTCCTTGACGGGTCTCTTCCGTTTTTTGCCCATGTTTCTTTATTTTGGGGCGTGGTTAGACCTCGAGAACGAGGCACTGGTGACTTGGGCACTGTTCCAATGAAAGTTTTACATGGTTCAATTGCGTCGTTGAGTTGGGTGGTGTGGACGCGAGTTGTTTGACGCGTCTCGGCGGAGGAGAGAGTTTGGGGACCTGCGTCAGGTCGGGCACAGGGACAGGAACAGGGTCAGAGTCGGTGGATGCTGTCCAGCTGTACACCCGCACTTTGTACGCTTCTTCAACAGGAAATTCCAATTGGACTTGTATAATATAGTAGCGCCGTAGAACTATTTGACATACAACATTTGTAGGTTCTTTGATTCTCCTTGAAAATCTCGTCCTTGAATCATAGCCTGGTTAAACCGTGCGACAATCCTCTAGTCTGAAACCAAGCCAAAGATCCACAGACGAACGGCATGCTAACTATACAGTGACAAATTGTCAGTACCGGCCAGAATCGCCTTGTGCGACCAACAGGGGTAGTGAGTCTGGTATCCTGGAGTTGAGAGTAAATAACTCGGTCATGATTACTCCAGCATATACTCCCAAAGTGATTTGACTTCAGGCGTACCACAGGACGGCAGGCAGCTTCAGCCACTGCCGGTCCTCGATCATGAGATACGTAGTCATTCAGTACTATTTAACTTCAAGTGAACCAGAGTATTGTAGTATGTATACTCTACTACTACTGTATGGCCTAAAAAGTCCAGACAGCCCGGACCATGTTTTCCAAAAAAAAAAAAAAATCGAAAAAAAATCGAGTGACCCACGGAACGGGGCGAGGGTCTAGAAAGGCCTGTACACTTTATACGGGACTTACATAACCCACAGTACCAACCGAGTTAGTTATTAGTTAACAACGAGCCTTCAGGAACTAGGTTCAGTGTGCAATTGCGTCCCCACTGCGTCAGCCCGTTCCATGTTTGGGCGGACTTTGGGGCAGGGGGAACTGGATGTTCCTGGATTCTTTTTGGGGATTTCGAGATGTTGCAGACGGACAGTTCCTGATTTTCAGGGGAGAGATGACGGGCGTACTTGGAATATTTAAGACGTGTGTGCTCTAGACGGTGCATGGCAGGTCAAGTTGGTTCATCGCCGGCTTAAATTTCCCATATACTCCGAGATACTAGAAAAGCCTGCCGATAGGTAATAAGGTATAGTCGATACTGGACTATCACTGCACACTAGTGACAGGAGATACAGAGACCCTGCTGCGAAGTTCAGTGTCCGTCTGCATACTCTGTGTCGTTGACCGAATCAGCATACTTGATAGCTGTACTCCGTACTCCGTCCCGTATGTGGGATCAAAGAATCGCGTCTCAAATGAACAAAGGAGGGAATCCACCACACGCTTCCACGGTTTCATCTTCGAAGACGCCAAAGCCTGACTAAGGGTCCTACTCACAATGGGACCTACGACGGACTGACGACTTCTGTGCGAAAGATCAAGACCTCGCTTCTTTCTTCCGAGTCGCTGTCGGGGTTTCATGTGCTCGACTGGTCAACCCGAGACCTGACCCTCTCTCTCTCTCTCTCTCTCTCTCTCTCTTTCAAATCCTTCAAACTCACCGATCTTCAAACCTAACCTGTCTTATTCCTCCGTACCTTTTTTTTCTCTCCCACCAGCCACTTCCCTGTCAAGTATTTGGTTTCTACTACTCCCTATCATATCTCGCGTTCGCTTCTTTCTGCAGACCTGGCGATCGACACTGCAGTCCAGCCAGCGGCCCCCCCTCCCAGCCGGCCCCCCGAAGCTAACGATCTGACCCGGCGGTCTGCCCTATCATTTTCCCCGTTGTTCGCAAAAGAAGAAGACAAATCTGGCTGAAGAGACGAGCAAACGTCAGTGCCGCTAACTCCTGGCGCCCGCTCTCATTCGTCCTCCAACCTTTGTCCGGGCTCTTCCCGCTGACGCCCCCCCTCAAGGCTACTGCTAGTCTACTACGACCGGAGTGGCTCGTCAGGTCTGAAGTCACCTCGCACACCTCATCGGCCGATCCCTCCGTTCTCCCACCGCCGCGCGATCGTCGCTTCCACCTCGGACGAGAACAAGACCTCCGAGATCTCTCCCGCTCCTCCTCTCCTCCCCGCCCTGCTATTTCCTCTCAATATTTCCCCCCACCCTTTCCACTCTCGAAAACCTCGAGATCTCGACTCTCCGTGGGACTGGCTGCCTCGAACATGCTTCTGAATGGGGGTGCGCCACCCAGCGATTGTTTTGTAGCCTGAGCCGATTCCCTCTGTGATATCATCCGTTGGGCGTCCGTTCCGTCCAACCCGGGCCAACGCATCAGTCCACGTCGCTTGGCCTGGAATATGCAAAATGTCCGGCAGCGGTGTCGAACAGGCATCTGGTGTTCGGAATCACGACCCGCCTCCGTTTGGGCGTCAATCCTCAGCGCCCGCTGTCAGCCAATCCGATCGTGGCAGCTCCTCTTCCTTTGAGACACCCCCCATCGCCTCGTCCCTCTCGAATTCCACGTATCCCTCCTTCCGATCAGGCCCCGACTCCGCCAATTATCTCGTCGCCGTGCAGGTACAACAGGATCTTCGTGGCCTTGACTCTTCCAACCCGGACGATTTCTACCGAAGTGAAGGTGTGCCCGCGGCAACCGATGGCAAGGTCGGAATCGACAATGTGACAAGTGCAAGGATGGACACAACTGGCTATAGCGACCTAACGGACAGGGTGTCCCCGCTGCCAACAGATAATGTAGACTATTCGCGTGCTAGACGGCCAGCGTATCGGTCGACGTCTGATTCGTCTGCTTTGAGAGGTCCGTCAGCATCGGTATCTTCCTCCTCCTCAAGAGCCCGACACCCTTCTTTCAAAGACCTGGTGAACAAATTCAACAAAACCTCCGACGAAGTTCTTCCCTTACCTACCGTCTCTCGATCCACCTCCCGGGCCGCAAGTCCTTCTGGAAGCTTTGAGAGCGACCACCCCTCACGAACCTTGCCGCGACGGCGTCACCTGCGCGGCGAATCTCCACCGCCAGTCTCCTCCACGAGCAACCCTAGGCTCCAGGCTGATCCAACACCTTCGTCACCGGAGCTCGAGCGCCCTGGACCAGATCCGTTAAGTACGGACGCCGTGATCCCTCCTCCGCTCTTTCAGCGCATTCCGCAGTCGCATCCTCGACGACCACTGTTTGGGGAGCTGTTATCGGTGAATACTCAGCTGAACAACCTGGGATTTGGTATCCCTTCACATATTAAACGTCGAGGCTCTGAAGGGAGCCTCCCCAGTCCGAATCCAGCTTTCCCCGACCAGTCTCAGCCTTCATCGGCTCGGTCACCATTAACGCCAACCGCATGGTATCTGGGACAAACAAGCTCTCTTGAAGCAGTACAGACTGGGTCGAACGGTGCAAGCAGCTATCATCGCAGAGCTCGAAGTGACTTGGCGAGTAATCCCTCAAGGGAGCCCCTTGCCGATCCGTGGACTCCCGACATGGCGGTTTCGGTGTCCTTGCAGCAGACAAAGCCGGGTGATGGGTCGCCCGGCAGCCCAAATTCCAGATCCCGCATTCCCGTCTCATCGCACCGTCTGCCAACTGCTTCCGGCCCCGAGTGCCACTCACCGACCTCGAATTCCAACTTTAGCAGTCGGTCCTCCGCCATTCCTCTGGCTCCGAAGGGCAGCAGCCGCCTTCCCAAACCGTCTGGAAAGGACAGTCCGCCCCGCATGGCGGACACCGGACCCGCTTCGTTTGCGATGACGGCGCGTGGTAGGCGTGACATGACGATCGGCCGAAGCCGTACCCAAGTCCCCGAACGAAGTCAGCTTCTCCAAGCATACATTGCTGCGCCGCCTCCAAAGAAATCACCCCCATTACGCAGCTCACGACCTCGCCAGCCGATCTCACAAAGTGGGCCAATGTCCCCGCGTTCTCGGATTAACGATAGGATATCAACATTACAACAAAAATCCGAACGTGATATTGAGCGACCACGCAGCCCTCGGACACGACTCCGACGATCCGAATTGGGTAATGTCGATTTTGAAACTCGCCGACAGCGAATCCAACAAGCTTTCAATCGCACAGTCCAGGAGAATGAGCGAAAGGAGGAAGCCGCTGCTGAACTTCGACGCCGTGCTCGAGAACAAGAGAAAGCCACTAACGGAGACGCTGGCACTCCAACGGATGAGCAGGAGACAACTCCCAGTGCTGCAACCGCTAATGAGAACGCTCTACCCTCTTCAGAGATGACCACGGTGGTAGTTCATTCGGCCAGCGCGCCCGTCGACGGGGATAGCCAACGACGCACTGTTCCTCAACTCCACCTAAACACGGCGGTAAATGTGACAGACAATAATGCGCCGCACACGATGATGGACTCCCCGACGCTGGGAAATCCTGAGGGCATTCATCACCAACCACGTAATATGGCGCATGATCAGAATCACGCCAACGACGTCGAGCCCAAATCGGCCATCACGACAGGCTCGAACGATACTCACGTCACCCAGTTCGACCCCGAGCCTCAGTCTAGCTTGCTTGAGCGGAAACCCAGCTTGTCTCATCGAACCCTGTTAAATCACATAATGCAGATTCGCGAATCAAGCTCGAGCAGCGATTCCTGTGACGAGCCAGACTGCAGTCTATCGGAGAATGATGACAAGGCATCGATCAAAATCATGCTTCGTGAATCGCCGTACTTGCGCTCTGGCAGTAGTACAGACACTGAGGGGCCCCAATCTGCGCCCTTGGAGCAGGTCCAAAATGCCGATCACCCGCAGAACCGATGGAGTCTGAGTTCGTGGGATTCATCCGTCCACAACAATCAGACCTCGACTTGTGATGAACAATGCGAGGAAAGTGGGGATGATGCAGGTTTGCAGGATGACCAGCCGACGGAACCAGCAACTCAATCTTGCTCGGCGGCTTCGACAGGCTCACCTTCGATCGACGAGAACGATACTACATCTCCTATCCAAGCAGACATCGGCTTGATGGGACCAGACACCGTTGAGACCTCGCAGCGGCCACAATCCGGTCATGCATTCTCTACTCCTCCCAGTTTGGCAAAACAAGGCCGCTGGGACTCTCGCCGTGTTACTCAGCTCTATCTGGAGGAATTGACCCGAGGCAGAGCAGGAAACAATAATAATAACAGTTCTGGAAGTGCCGTGAACAACTTACATCTTCCAGCTGGCCGCATGGCCCCCGTTGCTCCATCTCGAGCTCATGGTCACTCCAATAGCCTGACAGATAATCCGGTCTTCGTTCCCAGATACCAGGAAATCCCCGTCGCGGAGATTGTGCCAGGATTCCAAGAAGTACCAAGACCGGGCCACCAAAGATTGGACCATCTCTCCGGAGAGCCTTCAGCAACTTTGGCTGGACCAAGTGACTGGGAACATGCTTCTCCATCTATTATGGACTGGATGCAGATCGCTGCTGAAGACGAGGCTACCACGCCCGGAGGTGAAAAGGGTGGCGCTGCGGCTGATGGCTTGCCCACTCCACGCCTCCAAACAGCCGCAGTTGAACTCGAGGCCTCGCAGAGTCATGATTCCGGCCTCGGGCTGTCAACCAACATCCAGCCGCCAGCTCGTGGACCTGTAGAGCTGCCTGCTGGCACTTTCCGCTCCGGCAATGAATTGGACACCAACCAGAAGGCCCTTCCTGAGATCCCACAACTGCGCGCTGCACACAGCACTGAAAGCAGTGAAGATTCTACTTTCCACCGAGTAGATCCCACACAGTCACCTCAGGCAGCGGACTCATCTACAACCTCTTTGGCTCCATCCGCAGAACAATTCATTGGGGCTGAGCCGCCCGAGTCTCCTTCGTCCGAGCAGACCCGTCTGATAAAACGGTACAATATCATTCGGGAGCTCGTGTTGACCGAAAACATATTTGGCAAAGATATGAAGGTGGTTGAAGATATCTACAAAGGCACCTCCTCATCTTGTTTGGATCTCTCTGCAGAGGATGTCAAGATTCTGTTTTCCAACTCCGATCAGCTTGCGCAGTTCTCTTTCAACTTCCAAGACACGCTAAAGAGAGCTGCTCGCAGTATCTATATCATGTCAAAGTCTCAGCGGCGGAACAACAAGCGTAGTGCGCGTCACAGTCGTTCTGTCGAAGCCGCTGATGAGCAGAATAGTGCTGATGAGGGCAATACCGACCCCGAAAAAGATCGTGCCACTGCTATTGGCGAGGCTTTTCTGATCCACTTGGCCGAGATGGAGAAGGTGTATACCGAGTACTTGAAGAATCAAGGAGCTGCCAACAACAAGCTTCAAATCCTCCACCGCAATCAGAAGGTGTCTATCTGGCTGAATGAGTGTCGTGAATGGGCATCGGATCTTACCGACGCGTGGGATCTCGACTCCCTCATTGTCAAGCCTGTACAACGACTTACGAGGTATCCGCTCTTCCTGTTCCAGCTTCTTGAAACGACTCCCACCGACCACCCGGATCGTATTCATCTTCAGACTGCTTTCCAAGAAGTCACCGATATGACTGCTCGAATTAATGAGATGAAGAAGCGTGCGGAATTGGTGGGCCAAGCCGTTGGTCGGAAGCGCAATCAGTCCGATGTACGAGCAGGGTTGTCCAAGGCTTTCGGTCGTCGAACCGAGAAACTGCGCCAACAGGTTGGTCTTTCGGAAATGTTTCAAGACAAAGAGTATGATCATCTGTCCCAAAAGTTCGGCGAGCACTTTGCGGAACTACATGTGATCAAGAACGATGTGGTGATATATAAGGAGAACACCCAACAAGCAATGAGACAGCTCGGTGGATATATTGCGGCCATTGAAAATGTTATCGACGTGGACCAGTCCAGTTATGCTGAGTTGGAGAGTAAATGGCGCCGTTTCAATTCGTCGTTCCAGGAGATTGTTTCCGTCGCGCTGCCCGAACATGTGAGATTTCCCAGGGTACCCTCTGAGACGCAATGATTTCTAACCGTATTTCCCTAGCTCGAATTGATCACCAAGCGCGTGCAAGATCCGTTTGATTCGATCATTCGACTCTACCAAGGACCTGAGCGAGTCATGAGGAAGCGCAACAAGCGTCTTCTGGATTATGCTCGTTTCAAGGCCGCCAAGGACCGCGGCGACAAGCCTGACAAGAAGACCGCTGAACAAGGCGAGCAGTTCATTGCATTGAACGACACCCTCAAAGATGAACTGCCCAAACTCTTTGCTTTGACGGGTAAACTCACAGAAGCTGTGATGACAAACCTGCTTCAACTGCAGACCTTGTGGTGGAGCATGTTCCAGACGAGAATGGAAGCTTATGTCGACACCTTCCCTGATGACTTTGGCAAGATGATCAACGACTGGAGCAGCGACTACAGCTTCGCCGAAGCCCAGGTGCTCTCACTTGGTGTCTGCAATGGGTCCTTGCTTGCTGATACGGTCAACTTGGTCAACTTCAATACTCATTCCAATCTCAATTCCCCCGCCGTCCCTCCACCGTGAACAGCTCTTCTCATCGACCTGGCTCCATGGCCGAGGACTCGCCAAAGGTCTCTACCGACTTGGGGGTGGGTCAGCTCTTCCAGTCTCCCAATATGAGTCAGTCTGGTACCAGTCGCCATCGGGCCGATTCTTCCTTCTCTGGACGTGCGCCATATTCAGAGACCCCGGACCTGGGACGAAGTCAACTTTTGCAACAAGTGACCAGCACTCCTGGGTCTTCGTCAGATATGCGGTCCAACAGTGAGCCCTTCCCTTCCCTGCCAAGTCTGAGCTTGGACACGCCTTTCCTCGAAGATGTGATCAGTGCCTCCAATAGCGACAAAAATCCGCCAACGTCTCCCACTGATCGATACTCTGGCTTTTTCTCTTCCGCCATGCCAATGTCAGACTCTCCCAACGAGGTCGAGGTCCATCGGGGTCCCAAGATTCTTCCCGAAGGAGCCAAAGTTCTGTTTGTCGCAGCCAGCCTGTACAAGTTTGACATCGACCGTCCCCGGAGCGAGGCAGGTTTCCCATACCTGACCTACGAGTCCGGGGCAGTCTTTGATGTCTATGGCGAAAAGGGTGAACTTTGGCTCGCGTGTAACCAGGACGAGAATACGGAAGACCTGAAAGTCTCTCCTGAGGAACTTGCCGCGATGGACCCCGGCGCTCGTGCCATCATTTTGGCCGAAATTCAGAGGCGGAAGACCGAGAAAGAGAAGACTCTGGGGTGGATCTGGAACAAGCATTTCGTGAAGCTGGCGTGAGCGTCAACGCCAACTACATATCTCACCACTACCCCTCGCGTCACGAATTGTTCTCTCCTGTTTCCTGTTTCCTGTGCTGGCGGCTAGTCTTACCGAGCCCTCACCCATGTTCCGGCTATCTGTCACCATATTCTTACTTCATCATAGGCCAATGTGCCAGATAAAGCCAGGTAAGGGCTCACCTCTGCTTCCGACGGTTGTTTTTTGTTTTGCGCTCTGGCTCCGGGTGAGCCCCCCAAGCTGCGTTGATGGACGTTGCTTATGAGTTAATTGTTTTATCAATTCCGGTCCCTGAATACGCAGGAGGAACCGGTCATGTACGCTTAGATACCCCCTTTATTTATCATGATCAGTTGAATGAGCGTTCCATGATGTAGAGTATTTTACACCTCGGTTTCGTTTTTGTTTCCATATTTGAGTTTTTCCGTACACTATGATGTTCCGTATCATCATATGGCCTTAGAAAGAGTGATTTAGAAGGGTTTCTGAATACCCAGCTTCAAGTCTTGTCAAGGGCATTCATCCTCCTAGTCAAATAATCATCGATCTAGAAACTCGGTGTCGTTATCATGTGACCCGCCAGCGCGCCACATGTGACGCAGTAGCCCAACACCCCGACTTCTGCAGGGATCATTCCCTCCGTCCCTGAGCCAGTTCTCTTGTAAATAACCCTCAAGTCTACATGTCCACGGCAACGCCTGACTCCTAATACCCATCGCATCCATCCCAAAATCGCACCAACAAGCCTCGGTCACCGAGACCGCGGGTCCATCCATCCCTCCTTCCTTCCGCCGGTCACGAGCACCCCACCGAGTTTACCGGAACCATAGCGGGACCTGTGCTTACACGAGTCAGATCATCGTGCGGTGCCCAAGCGCACGACTGTGATACCTCGAATCCCCGCCAACCCGAACAGCAATCTTCCTCAACACTCGCGCCGTCATAGGGCTGACCGGCCTACCTCGCCGAAGCGCCGCCCAATCCGGAGTGCTATCCGATCGGTTTCCCCACTCGGTCAGTGCTGAAGAACTGCCGGTACATCTCACGATTCGACTCGGTTCATTGCCGTTATCCGTCGTCCTCCGGGTGTCTCTGTGATCGCTTCGTATCCTCTGTGTTGGGGTTACTTGTCTGGTCTCGGATTCCGGTACGTGGATCGTGATTTTGTGGCTGTCGACCTCGGAATCTAGTCGCCTAGTCATCGTTTCTTGGTGTTGCGCGTACTTGACCGTGGCGCAGCGGGAGATCTTCTTGTGGCGGGACGACATTGTTTTTTTGGGCCTGGCTGATCTGTCCAGCTTCTTCAAGATTTGCTATTCGGATCAATATGTTGGACGGCGGTTTGGGTAAATTGCAGAGGAGGATGAGGGGTCGGTTTGGTGATACCGTGAGTTGCCTTTTGTCTGGTCTTGGTCTTGACGTCCGGTTCTGATTCGCGCAGCTTAATCCAGATGATGCCTACTTGAGCTGTGAGTCTGAACACCTTTCGGAGTTACTCCTGATGAATGGGGATACTGACAAAACGTCTTTGCGCGCCGATAGATTACGACATTCGCTGTACGAATACGTTCTCCCGCGGTGATTCTAGACAATTTGGCTGATGCAGTTGCAGTAACGCGAGAGGACATGCAATCTCTCAAGAACGATTGGCTCACAGACAATGTGGGTTTAAGAGCGAGTCGTATCTGGTTTGTACAGCTGACGCTAACTCGTCCATAGATCATCTCCTTTTGGGAAGAGTAGGGTCCCTCGATTCGACCATGCACTCGACACGATCCCGAAGCCAACGCTGATATCCGGTTGCTCTAGATACCTGGAACATGAATTCCTTTCCCGATACAAGACCTCCAACATCGTCCTCCTCCGACCCAGCATGTCGTTCATGCTCCTCCAGACACCCGACCCCCGCACCCTCCGCCAAGCTCTTCCCGACTTCTCTCGAACCACGCACGTCTTCCTCCCCATAAACGATTGCCATAACGTCACACAAGCAGAAGGTGGCACGCATTGGTCATTACTGTTGATCTCCATCGTTGATGGAATTGCATTCCACTATGACTCGTTGGTCTTTGGAAACCACGACGAGGCCAGATACGTCACCACACAATTCAGCAAGCTCCTCGGACGCCCGCTCGCCTGGCAACACCTGCGAGACTCGCCCCAACAAGATGGAGGAAGTGATTGCGGTGTGTTCGTTTGCATGAACATGCGCCATCTCCTTCTAAAGCGACTCCTCATGGCCAGTGCGCACGAGAAGGTCAGCATGAGTCTCGGCGGACGGAAGATGGACCCCAGCGCCTCGCGCAAGGAAATGGCCAAAATCATCGAAGGATTCAGGAAGGAAGGTGAACGACGGCGATCGTGAGTAGCCTTGCCTACATGCAGTTCGCCTTCCTTTTCCGAGATATAAACGCTAACCGTTTGAGCTATATAGGGCTAGCGCAAGTCCCATGGGCAAGAAATCGCGCAGTCCCCCACGGATTGAGTAATGAATCCAGTCTTGTTATGAGTCTACGCCTTTTATGCTTCTCCTTTTGTGTTTTTTGTATGCATTCTTTCATCAGAAAATGAATAAACCACAATGGACAAAGACATTGGTGGGTGTGTACTTACAAAGCGTTGCATTACTTCCGAGTTTCGACTTTCGGTGATATGATTATGTTTGCTGGTTGATACAATAATACATTTATTCTGTACAAGCATTGGTTCCTTCATCAGCCTTGATGGGTTTTGGAGCTGTATTACTTGCATCACACTGCGTATGATCATTGTTTGTATATTAATCGTTTGCTTCGACACTTTCCTCGACATCAACGGCATGTCACTCTAAATGTAGAGAAGTCCAGCCAACTTGGAGTAAGTAGACTAGGTCTGGCTTGAACAATATCTGGCAACTCCTGGTAGAATGGCGCAGATGGTGATATCCAAGTTCGTCGTACGCGATGGGAGAGATTCATGACTCGATATCAGCTACCTAGATGTCTGTCTAGCTGACACGGGTGGATTTGGTATAACCTTGTAAAAGAATCGTTATATTTGACTGTTCGAGGTAAGTCAAATTGATATCAAGTTAGGAATATCTTTAATAAGAACTCAGCAGTTGAACCCCAGTCATGATTTCAAAGGGCTCTTCGTCTAATGGCTTGATATCAAACGTAAACAGCAATCAAGATGTTTGTAGGTTACCACTGGCAACGCACAAGACGAGATCATGCTTGATTGTTTGATGCTATTGTGATTCAACTTGGGACGAACGTACTTACCAGAAGTGTCGCTGTGGTTACAAACATATCAACTCTTCCTCTGCTCTCTCATCTGTTCCTTCCTCTTCTCTTCAACACCATTACGGTTATCAAGTTCCTTCCATTCATGATTCACTTCTACATTTCCATCTTGCTCTATCGTTTCTTCTCCGCGCCAATGGTTAGCCCTCTCATCCTTATTCCTTCCTCTTTCATCTCTTTTATCAACTCTCGCAGAATGACTTCGTATCTTGCCTCCACTCAGCTCGCAGTACGATCTCGCCTGCCCGTTGCCAACTCTTGCCTTAGACAGGCACTTATTCGACGTCCCTTCATCACGCTCCAAAAAGGATCTCGCCTTCCTGTTCTTGTACGCGAGCAGGTTCTTCTTCCTCCCTCTCCTCCCATCCCTATTTTATCTCCATCCTCTCCTACTTCTCTTCTTCTCCGTCCCAAGCTCGTGAAGAGACGACAGGCCCGAGAGGCACGACCTCGTCGATGGGTTCAGTCGCCACGCAGCTCAGCAAATTCGTCAGAACGGCAATCCTCGGTTTCTCCTTCGTCCTTGCAGGCCAAGAAGAAGCCTCCCGATGTCACTGCCGCCCGAGATGAGCCCATAATTACTGGCAAGAAGTATGTCTCATTCGGAGGAGTTTCCGTTATCAGGCACCCCGGCTGGATCAATCCGTCAGAGCACGTCTTTGACCTCCCTCCCCAAGAGCCTGTCCCGCGGAGAGCAATGCCACCGACTCTCTCAGCCCACGACGCTTTATGCTGGCCTGACTGGGCCCTCCGAACAAGCCTACAACTTGATATCCATCTCGCCGAAGACTGTGCCAACCCGAATTGTGCCTGGAACTCAGTCGCCCAGTATCGCCGGTGGCTTCCTTCGTGGTCGAATGTCGAGCTTTTTCGATCGTGGTCATTCGTCGCTATAAAGCTGAATAAACGGTGAGTGTTTCCTCGTCCTGATATTGCCGATGATGTCTGGCCCAGCCCGGGTCGTTTGCATCTATTGGGATTGGTTATTTATGGACATTGGAATTTCGTGGTTTCTGCTGGCATGAGGAGATATTCGCTTTTTGGTGCTGCTTTGGGAACTCTTCTTGGTCTATTTGTCTTGCTATTTGGTGGTAAGCAGTGTTTTGGATGAGGATTCAAGACCCTGTACCTTGATAAACTCGTATGAATGTTGTGTCTTACAATAATGCTAATTTAACTAGCTGAAGTGCCAATGCAAGCCTGGAACTTGCGCTAACTCCCCAATAAGAGGCATCTGTATACATTTTATGGTATAAACTTCATCATGGAACGGTCGCGTACTAGAGAACCGTGGCGTAGGTGTAGCGTTAGCCCTAGTATATATCTTCACCGGGGGTACTGTAGTTAGAAATTTAATGGGTGATCGCCGGGTGCGAGTTCTGTGAGATCCCTTTGCTGAAATCATATCTTATGGTGCAAGGTAGGACTACTTTCGATGACGATGGAGGTCAGGGTAAATGTACAAACCCAGAATTTGAGATCTTCTGTAGAAAAGAACTTCCGGTACCCAATTAACATAGAGGATCTATCAATCATGAACTCCAGGTACTGGTAAATCGTTGTTTTAAACATTGACATGCCAGAGCAGGCAAGGGGTTTCCTATTTAAGCGACTTTATCCAAATACAACAAAAGTAGATCCCCCAACCAATCCGGACTCAAGGGGTTGAATTTCCATCACCCTTTCCCCCCGAACTGCCACCGAAAAATGCTGTAAGTATCATGATTCAAACATTCTTGGCGCTCCGAGGCTGAAGCTTGGCAGGAGCCTCAACCCAGCCAGCCGGGCTCAGAGATAGAATCCTACCGTTGATCAAGTTTGAGCTTCGGCTTGCCCCATCGTGGCACCTTTGTGGGACTAGCTCTCATTCTTGATCTTATGGACCGACCTCAGAGCATACCGTTTAACTATTTTCTTGTTCGATGTCCTAAAGAAGAAGTATCTACCGGGATCAGCAGCATGGAGATTGCTAGCTCAACATTAACTTGAAGGAGAGGTAAAGTATTTAGTCCAGAATATACTCATTCTGATCCAATCTTCTCTCTATTCTTCTTCTTTTTCCTCCGCTCAGGCCCAACTACTTTGATTTTCACTAATATCATCCAGTTCCAATATGCCTTGTCGCGCGGAGATTCTGGCCCTTTCGGCCCTGTTGATGCACGCCCTTCCTGCCATGGCTCATCCAGCTGCAGGAGGGATTCCTGGGTTGACCGAAGGAACCAATGGCGTTGCAAACGTTGGCAACTTCCACGAGGACCATGACTTCGACTATGGTCTGGCTTATGAGTTCACGCACAGTCCTCAACAGGGTGCTGAAGAGGGGCCTGATGGCCACTGCGGCGGTGGACACGGAGGATATGGAGGCTGGAGATGGTGGCCAAGGAGGGGGGGTGGTGATGGCGGCGGTTATCTTCCCACCGTGACCGTTAGCGATTGGTAAGATTATCCATGTGCCCAGTGAATCGATTGAATCTATACTAACAACGGCATGGATAGCACGAGCACAGTCCCTGCTACAACAATCACTATTACTATTGATAACGGCAGCGGCACCGCCACTGTCACTGAGACAGATACTTTGATTTCCAGTATCACCGAGTGTACTGCGACTACGACGGACGTAACTACCGTCACCGTTGATGGACCAACCACGACCCAAACTATTACCACAGCGGGACCCACGACTACTTCCACCGTTACGACGGGAGAAGCAACAGTGATAGAGCCTGGATCCACTGAAACGGAAACTGTCACCGAGACATCGACCTCCATCGACACTACCACGATCACGAACATGCAGGTCATCACTTCGACCGAGACCGTCACGAGAACGGACACTCTCGAAGTTACGACCACTGTGACTTCTGATGACTGCTCAAACACTGGCGGAGGTGGCGGTAACATCGACTATGGCACATGCTCGGACCCGTACATTCTATACGAGTACGGTCTTGATGGTCGCACTGAATACGCCTATACCACTCGCAACCAGGCCGATTTCCCATTCGGTTCCTCACCGACCATCGGCAGTGTGGCTAATCTGATCTGCAACCGCCTACGCAGCCCATGCAATGCGCCCCAGTCAACCATTGATCTGTGCTACGAGGCAGAGGATGCCGTGGCTAACCTGTCTGGCCAAAATGCTGCTGATGTGGGGAACGCTATGATGACCTAAGAGCGTTGCTATGATGGGCCATATTTTATCTATGATTTTGTGTAATTGGACTGAGTCTGGTGCTTTGTCGATGTCAGCGTTGACGCCGACCGAGTATATGGATGGTGGGGCTTTTCGCGGATGTCAAGTCTGATATTGTACAATGTGTCAATTCAATTTATCGCTTAATCTCTGGTACTCTCTTTTCGTTATTCGCCTTGTTCATGCCTTCTTTTTCCAGCTGGCGAATATGTTTACCGCCATTAATGATAGCTTACGAGGGCCAATAAAGCCGTTTAAGAACATACCGTTGCATCACTATGAGAATTGCAGCGTATCAGGTTTTCTCAAATAAACAATTCCCTCCCATATCTAATCTACAGTAGCACAGATTACTGTGAGTTGCCAGCAGCTCATACTTGTAGGGATTTGCGTGTGGAGGTTGGCGATTGCCGCTTCAATTGCATTCGCAGGAGTGGTCGATCCGGAAAGATATTCTCTATCACGACTGATGGATCTGCTTTATTAGCCGCACTGGTAAGTAAGCAAGGATATTGGTACGCTCCAAGAATCCATACAAATAACTACTCTCTGACCCTACACCGAGTTATTTCAGGATTCCGGGAGCTGTGACCAATTCGCATGGCCCAGGGACAGCCCTCAGCTCCTCATATCAATGTAAAATTTCCCAATCCTCTCTGCCACTTTGTGTATCACATTTTCCCCGTCAAAGTATCCAATTTGGTCTCTTCAGTGCAGTAGTGATAAGGGCACGGTAGTTCTCGCGAAACGGGCTAAAGTAGTGCTGTGCTAGGGATTTTGTCTCTGTAGCTTCCGCTACCTTTCTGGCGTCCTCGGTATCCACATCGCTATGAACATCCCTACCTAAGTAGCCTTCTTAATGATTGCTTAGATCTTCCACAACCCGAGGTCCTTGGTACCGCCCGTACCAACAGCCTTGGTTCCCATATGCTTGTGGTAAAGTAACAGAAGTGCAACCGCATGATATACAACCTATGTATTGATTTTGGACTTCGACTTGACTAACTCGTCCTTTGATGCAGGGTATATCTATGTGTCACACTTCATGAATGCTACCGTAGACCATATCATGATAAGGCTGGCGCGTCTACGACGGGAACAGGTTTTCTAATATCGTCGAATTGGGGGGCCTGATTCTGCTGAAGCAATGAGATAATGTTGGGCGCCTTGATCCAGTCGTAAATATGAACAATCGAGCTCATGGCCTGGACAGGAAGATGATATGTATGGGCAGGTATCAGTACCTAGTTGCAATGGGTAGGTTGCTGAGACACGGAGCTAGATAGTGAGTGGGGAGAGAGTTAATACCCTTTGCAGGCTAGTTAGTTAGAGGGAGTCTCTCTTGTACTAAAAATCTCAGCTGGGCGGCCTTAGGTATCCAATTTTCCTTTGTTACAGTATTACAGTAAAGGTTCACTTTATCAGCCAATCAAACCCTGTTGTTTTCACAATACCAGTAAATTACCAGACGTTTCTCCCTCATCGCATCCCTGTCTTTGTCAAAGACAGAACAGTCACCGCTCCAATAGCAGTATCCAAACCAGTCGATCTGTCTCGGGGTCGAGTTCCGAAACCACGTGGGTTGAACCAAGAACGATCAATGGAGCGAGAAACTAATGCATCAGCTCATGCCAGGTCGCGTTCAAGTGGTACGCCAGCTTCAAGTCGAAGGAGGACCTCAACCTTCCTCCACTCACTCTTGAGGTACAATTCTAGCATTTGAAGGGTTCTAATACATTATTACTGATCCAAAGTAGCCTGAAGGGCTCTACCGAATCCACTGCAACGGGCTGTTCTGCCGCGTTCCGGGATGTCCCAAAGTAGTCTGTTCAAGCCCCCTTCCCCACCAGCCAGAACGAACTAGTTCTGAACGAGTAAAAGGACTTGTTTGATAGCAAAATTTAACAAGTTTTCAACTGTCCAGACTTCTACAACGCTCTTTACAAGGACCACTTCGCTCAGCCAGGGATGACAGCGGCTGTCCCCATCAAAATCGAGTCCGACTCCGAATACGACCTGGATTCTATCAAGGGCGAGGATATTGAGTGGGATTCCCAAATCAGATCGATGATGGGTCGCTGTATTCGGGGCAACATTATGCCGACATGAGTCCAGAATATGTCAGGCTCGCACCCAGGGTCATGAAGTAGCATACGAGAACACACACCTTCGGATCAGAACAAGTACAATCTCACCTTCTAAATTGAGAAGCAAATATGCCCAGCCTGAAAAGTAGTGAGGAACTCTGTTGTGAGGTCGAGCTAGCCACAGGCGATCTTAAACCCGACAGGGCGGAAGGCGCTTGTTCAATGTTGAATCACGAATTCACGGACGAACATCTCCTACTTTCGAGCCCCTCCATTTGTCAGACTCGGATTTAAGAATAAATCTCCGGTACCGAAGTAGCAGAGAGTTAAAGATCTACAATGGCAAATCGCTTTGCAGGTTAGTTCGGGGCGCCTGATTCCAATAATTCAAAATGACTAGGTCCCGTACCGACACGAGCCTTGCGAGAATGAAAACTCGGTCCAAAATTTTCGGACGAGAGCCCGCACCATTCCACTTCGACCAAACGCGATAATATCTACAATTGGCTTATATTAAACTCTAATCAACGGGCCAAATTTACGGATGAATGGTATTGACTCACAATCTGTAAGGCTGACTCTTGCGGCTGAAATGGAGACTTCAAGCGCAAGGGAGGATAACGCAAACGGCCGTAAAGTCGGACTTAGCAACCGGACAGTTGGTTCGTAGTTTAAAACTACATAACAAGGCCCACCAGCCTTGAATATTTTGATTCTCGTTGATTTGGAATTTCCTAGAGATTTCAGCAGCCATGTCTCAAACCTCGAGCAGTCGCCCACCAAGCGAGAAGCCGGACATTGACGACTTGGCCGCAAGGCAAGATGAGAAGCAAATTGAAGATGGCGAGAAGGGTGCAGGTAGCCCTGACGAGGGACCCCAAGAGCATTCTAAAGGCTTCGCTTTGGCTATGGTGATTGTGGCTCTCGTTTTGAGTGTTTTTCTTGTTGCTCTTGATATGGTAATTTTTTTTTTTTTTTTTTTTTTTTTGGAGATCAAGTTAGTTCGAAACAATCCCAGCTGATACCACCCACAGACCATCATTGCAACGGCCATTCCTCGCATCACCGATCAGTTCCATAGTTTTGATCAGATTGGCTGGTACGGCTCGGCCTTTTTCGTCACTCTGGCAGCTTTCCAATCCGTCTGGGGAAAGGCTTACAGGTACTTCCCTCTCAAAATGGGGTTCGTGGTTGCCATCTCGATCTTTGAGCTCGGGAGTCTACTTTGCGGTAAAGTCCCACACATCCATCCATGTGTGAGCAAGATCTAACAGAGGATATTGCAGGCGTCGCGCCCAACAGCAACACACTCATTGCTGGAAGAGCTATAGCAGGCATTGGTGCTGCTGGCCTTGCTTCAGGGTGCTACACGATCATTGCCCTCGCTGCGCCGCCTCGTCTGCGGCCCGCCTTTACAGGAATCCTCGGAGCTACATATGGATGTGCCAGCGTTGTCGGTCCTCTTATCGGTGGAGCATTCACTGATCACGTTAGTTGGCGGTGGTGGTAAGCTTCTCGCATATATGGGATCAGTTCGTTACTCCGGCTAACTAATAGTTCAGCTTCTACATAAATCTGCCTATTGGCATATGCTCTGCGATTGTCATTTTCGTATTCTTCAAGACCCCGGCGGCCGCGAAGCCCGTTGACGCCACTTGGAAGGAGAAAATCTTGCAAATGGACTTTCTCGGAACTGCAATCATCCTTGCCGGTATGATCTGCTATCTTCTTGCCATGGAGTGGGCTGGCGTCACCAAGTCGTGGAACTCCGGAAGTGTGATCGCACTCCTGGTCGTCTTCGGGGTTTGCATCATTCTTTTCGTCTTGAACGAGTGGTGGCAGGGCGCGAGAGCCCAACTGGAGTTTAGTAAATTGTCACAGAGAACATTGGCTGGTGTCTGTGTCTATACCGTCTTGTGAGTCCGCTGCTCGTCCAAGTTAGCGAAGAAATATTGCTAACAGGAGGCTAAGCCTTTCGGGTACCTTTTTCGTTCTTCTATATTACCTGCCTATTTACTTCCAGGCTATCCATGGTGTATCTGCAGAGGAATCTGGCATTCAAAATCTTCCAATGATAATAGCAGTCTGTGAGTCAAATCTTTCAAAGTGGTACTTGGTACTTGGATCGCATAGCTGATTTTCCCAGCACTCTCAACTGTCATTTCAGGTGGCCTCATATCGACCTTCGGCCACTACGGACCCATCCTGCTTATCGGGAGCGCTATGGCTACGGTTGGCACTGGCTTGCTCTACACGCTTCAGGTCGATTCACCCTCTTCTCACTGGATCGGCTACCAAGTCCTAGCAGGGTTCGGAATGGGACTGACATTCCAAATTCCAATCATCGTTGCTCAGTCCACCTGCGAGATCAATGAGGTCTCTCATGTCACGGCCATCACCCTCTGTAAGTGATGAACTTCATGTTTGTGCGGGCGGGAGTACTGACTGGTCCAAGTTTTCCAAATGATAGGTGGCGCAATCTTCATCTCCGCGGCACAATCTATCTTCGGGAACAAGCTTGTGCAGCGCCTCGTCGTGAACGTGCCAAATATCGATCCGTCGATTATAGTAGGCGGCGGCGCAACGGGGTTCCGCAGCTCACTGCCCGCTTCGGCCACGCCGGGAATTGTGCTCTCGTACATGCAGAGCCTGCACATCGTATTCGCACTTTCCATCGCCCTCGCCGGTATGGCGACGCTGATGAGCATCATTCCGAAATTCGAGAAGATCAAGATCAGGATGTGAGAGAAAGAGAGAAAGAATTTAGACAGGGAGCGTGTATGACTGGCAGAATTGGGGTTTTAGATTTGCTAGAGAATCTGCCAGCGCTCTCATAGATATTAGCTGCCAGCGCCCGTTCGTTTTCCTATGACTCGGGCTATCTTTGGAAGTATAAAAGTAATAATTCAATCACTACTCTTTTACCAAAACGATTTCAAGTGTAGGAGAATAGTCATCATCCTTGGTATTAATTAGTCACAAGTTCAATCAAGCTGTTGTAGCATCTTGCTCCAGTCCTCATCGATATCTATCGCGAGTGTATCTTGGAATGAAAACTCGTTGGGCTCCATCATAGAAGAGGGTATCTGCTGAGAATAAGGTACATTGCTGCCCAGAAAGGGAGAGTTAAAGATATCAACCCCTAAGAACGAGCCGTTGAATGCAGGTTCGAACAAGGTAGGATCCGTAGCCTCTGTCACATCCTCTTGCAAGCCTCGCTCGACGCCACCAGCGTCATCGCCAGGTTTGACAGGGAGCGGAGGGAGGTTGGCAATAGGTACTTCCCCATACTTAACGCCCGGCTGAACAGATATCAAGCCGAAAACGGGACTAAGATACGGCATTTCCATTGCTCAATTGGGAAACTACCACACCCGATAGCGATGAGCTGGTCAAGTGCTTGCACACACGGTGCCGCGACGAGATTTCGCGTTCGGATCTCACGCGCGGCTGAGCACTTCGACAGTCTTGTCGATCAAGGCCCAGTCAGTCAGCACTTAGTACTGCTGACGCTTATCCAGACTCCTTGGTCCGTAGCCGAGGAGGCCGAGAATGACGATTATGGTCGCTGTAAAGGCCTGCAAGTCGATCACGCGGCATATGTTAATCTTGCCGCCGGCAAAGTCGTGTAGCTGCGCATAAATTTGTATCATCTGGCGCGACGCGACTAGGCACTTGGCGCGGTTGTTCTCGTAGCGTGCATCCACTGGTGACTGGAGCATCAAGAGCAAGGGGAGGTAGATATGGGCCTGGTAATGGCAGAATTGTGTAGCCATGCGCTCGTGCATCTCGAGAATACTCTCCTTGAGACCAGACAATGGCTGGGACGGGAGCTGCCACCATCGCGGTGGCATGAGGCCAGCTAGGGCCTGTAGCTCCTCCTCGAGATCGACGGGGTCGGATGACGACTGGACCGGGTCACACTGGTTCCTGTGGGTGATGCATCCAACTAAAATGGCTAGTTTCTTCCGGTAAGATTGAGTCGTCATTTGACTTTCATCCTTTCTCCGGTGTCTTCCAAAATTGTAGATACCCCCAGCAGCGAAACTTGGTAGGCATGAGTAAGCTGAGGTAGCAATCGCACTCGACTAAGTGCCACCAAGTGCCCTCTCGACGCAGTAGACGCGCAGGGCATGTACCTGTAGCGGGTACCGAGATCCGATGCAGGTCAAGCATAAGCGCGTGCGATAGTCCCCTGCGCAGCGTGGTCCAAGCATTGCGTGGCCGGCCCATATTAGCATAGAACTGGGCTTGCACCAGTATAGTGTCAATCCCCTCGATAGATAATGAGAGTTCATCATCATGGATGACTAGTTGTTCAACATTGGCCGTGGAGTGCTCCATCAACTCGTCAATGCAGAGTGGGAGACCGAGATTCTTCTCGTCAAAGTCGAGACGGAGGCACTGCATGCTTAAAACTATCCACGACAGTGCGGATGCCACGGTTGCAGGATTGTCTTGATTGATAACCAAGACTACATATGTTTGAACGGTCATATGAGGATCCCCCGAGCACAGGTAAGGGTACATATTCCTCAAGATATCCTATCAGAACCCACCGGCTTCCAGGATGGCATAGATTGCAGTATAGGGAGGCAACAGGTAGGTGAGAGCCTCGCAGACCTTGGCCCTCTTGAGTCTAGACCTTTGGAGGTTGGGGCGGATCTCGATCTTGGGCACCTTGGGGTATTCGCCATTGAACTCTCCATGAGTGGAGTGGTTGAATGTACTCTGTGTATCAGAGGCGAGTATGGCGTTATCGAATACTGAAAGAATCGGAATACTTTCATCGGTGACTGGTAAACTCACAGCTCCGTCCGAAAAGCGAGCAGACTCCAGACCTGGGACTGTGGAGTGCAGCTCACGGTTGCTAGCGCGCGCCATTGTGAGATGTTTTCTTGGGGGGTGACCAGGGATCAGAAGTAGGCTTATAATGCGAATTCATGGAAGCCAATTGCTTCTCTAAGAGGGCCACTCGTTCACTCAAGTTCATCCGTGGTGAACGAGAGGAGACCGTGATGGGCGCATCCTCCTGGCTCACACACGGTACGCCATGGGAGAAGCAGTTAACGCAGATCGACGGATTATTCGGTCGAAACGTGCACCGAATCTTCCGCTGACTACCTATGAAATCTCATTAGCAATTTCTTTCTGATCATAGGAATTAGGGAAGCGCCTGATACATTCGGAACACGTACGCGTCCCATTTCTGAGCTTCTTCGTGGTTCCGACTTCGGGCTAAAAGCCTTTTTCGCTACTCATGTCAGCATTGTCACTTGGAAATTATTTAGCGCCATGCCGGGCGACTCGGACATGACGAGGGCAATTGCACTGCAAATTCAATAATCTCTAGGCTGAATCTTGACACATGGAAAGAAAAACTGACACAATTGGTTCGTGAAGATTATTATATCTAGGGGGCTGCTTGCGATGGTATCTCCTAGCGAGCATCATGGTTTGGGAGATGACGTTTTATTCGGACGAATATCAACGGACGAACGAACGATACTCATGACTAGTCCAAACCTACACATAGCTCCCTTCTATACGAATTCTGGTTATCGGGACCAAAATTAATTACACTCTCAAAGCGGGGAGTTAATTAGTTAACTAAGCTCTTTCTGCTTAATAATTGCTATGCGTTCTAGTAACTTACCTTCTGTAGCTTCACCTGTGGTGTTGGATCTTTTACCTACCTCCATAAGGCTTTACTCAATAGCCATTACCTTCAGCAAACATTAAGTCATGTAGAGCTCTCCCTGGGCAGTTTTCTTATCACTACATATAGACTAGTCTCACGTGGATAGAGGGTCCGTAATCAACAAGCCCTAAAAGCTGACACCTTGGAATTAGTCCAAAGTTTAGAAGAACATAAACGAACCCATAAAGCCAGCGTAATACACATAGCATGCTTGGCCTCTAGTATATAACCACTACACCACTTCCAACCCTGTCTATCTTACATCACAAGGAGGTTACATAACATCTAGTACACCCATAGCACTGCCTATCCCCTAACTTCTACTCACCCCTCTACAAAAATCACACAAAGGATAAAACCATCCAGATGGAAAGAGTAATATGGATCAGACGATAAGTCCTACCTAGAAAACCGATCCCACCAGCACCGCCAAAAGAAACATTCAACGCAAATGCACCCTGTAGTGCCCACATGAGAAAAAAAAACAAAAAGAAAGGGTAAGAATACCATAGGAACATAAGCGCCCTCAACACCGAACCATGTCGATCGCACAGGACAAAAAATAACGGGCAACAGGATAGAGAGAAGATGGTAAAAAGAAGAAGAAGGGGAAGTAGAAGACGGGGCTGGTCCAAATCAACGCGAAGAAAAACCTGACCTAATGAAGTAGCCCATAGATGTGTAGTGTATGAAATCTTGCATATGGGGGAATAGCATATCTGAAAAAGGTGAAATCCAGTAGCAGAGGCAGAGGGGGAAATAGCTGAGAAGAAAAAGCAAAGAAAAGAAGAACCATTGATGAGAGGAAACCCAGTCGGCGCGAACGCGCCAACAAAACGAAATCTATGCAGGTCGTGACGGTGTAAATGCGCGACGCAAATCGCATATTCGAAAGAGTTCGTGATGAGAGAAGATACGGCGCCGTGGTGGGGAAGTCATGAAGGGGGTTTCCGAAATGGCGGGGATGAGAAAAAGAAACGCTCAGCGTTCGAGATGTCGAGGGGGTGAGAGATGCTAGTTATGGAGGACAGGTGAGATGAAAGGAGTATGCGGGCATCGGTGAACGAATCTGAGTCCGCAACACCCTAGTCACCTGCTTATGCCGGGTGGTTATGCAGCAGGGATTCAAGGTGGAGTCGGGGTCTGGCCGAAGTCCGGTTGATCCCGGCGCTTGTCGCGGGAACGCATGTACATGGCATCGGCGGGGGAATCCGATGTGGGATTGATGGGTCGTGGTACGGATTGTTGTTTCTGTTGCTGTTGGGCAACAATCTCACGTGCGTAGAACTCAACCAGCATGGTCCCGTAGGACTCTAGCTCCTCTACCGGAATGGCGAGTCGGAAGTCATTGAGCATGAGGAACTGAAGCTCGAGATGATTCAGTTCTACTAGAGGGAGGCCGCCAACCTGCGTCAATGCCAGTGTGGTTAGTTTTGTCTCACTCGGCAAGAGGCATCTGGGAGGGCATACCTTTGCATATCGAGAATTGGTGTAAAAGACATCGGAGAAGAATTTACTCGCACAGGTCACGCCCGCGATGACCAGTCGGTGAATATTAAAACTGTCGACGACGAAGAAATGGGAGAGGTTGTCATCTTCACCCTGGGGGTACAGAGCCGGTGAGATGGTGGAGTTGGGACTCGGGTCCTGGCCCGTCATGCGGGTGGACGATGGCGGTGTCACCATTGAAGGATCCGGCCCCTGACGCCGCAATTCTGCCCCAAGTGACTCGGTGGAGGTCGAGCTGGATAGGTCACCGGGAGTGGAGGTATAACGATATGGTCCCTGGCCCGGCCGGTCCCAGTTGACCAGCTCCGTCATGCGGTCAAAGTAGACCAACAAGCTGAGGAACACCTCGTATGTGGTTGGACAGTATTTGTGGATGCGAGTGAGGTAGCTGAGGATGGTGATGCTAGGCACGTTCTTACCGTGAAAAGCAAGCACACTGGTGGCCTGTGGGCTGAGATTGTTGGTGCCGTCCGGGGGCGGGATATGGCGATGGATGTGATCATGGTGCATGTCGTTGGTGGTGGTGATCTTGGTCAAGAGGCCCGCAACCATCTCAATGATGTCGGTGACGGGCATGGAGCTGATCTCAAATTGTCGAGGTTGGGATCCATGGCCGGGAATGTGGGATCGATGCGACTGGTGCAGAAATTCCTCACTGGCGAGACTCTGGATGTGAGACAAGCTGCGAACCCGGATGCGACTGGGGGAGTTTGCTTCGGAGCCACCAAGCGATTGCATGGATCGGAAGGTCGGTTGCAAGCGCGGGGAGTCGGGGGAGGCTTGTGGATGAGGGTTTGGGGCAGACGTTATGGCATCGGCGGGTGCGGCATGGTGGCTTGTCTGGGGATGATGTTGAGGATACTGTGGAGTGTGTGAGTTGGAGTGGGATGGGTGGTCGGGCGGAATGCCATAGTGGGAGTGTGCGGTCATCGATGGCGGGGGACGGTGGGAGGGAGTGTCGGAGGGAGTGGTGCTCGAGGAAGGAAACGAAGGAGTCTGGGAACTGATGTAGGCGGGGACATCGTTTGGCTGTGCGGGAAGCCGAGTCGAGCCCGAGCCAGAAGGTGGCGGGGCGGTGGTCGAGGTGGGGGTACTGTTGACGGAGGAGGAGGCTGACGGGGCCGATGGGGTGGTCTGAGACGTGCGCGAGTAGATCGAGTCCGAGTTTAGCGCACCTCCTAGCATCGTGGAATGGCGGTCCATCTGATTTGACGGCACGTGGTTGAGAAGAACGGAGCCCATATCAAGCCACTGCGGCGCGTTGAGAGCTGGAGCTGGGGTTCTGGTCTAGTTGGCGGCCGTGGGTCAGCAAGGGCAGGAGGGCATTGGACGGGCTGGAGTCGTGGAGCAGACAACGAGATGAGGGAGATGAAGAAGAGGAAGACGAAGAAGAAGCAGTAGCAGAAACAGAAGAAGGAAAAAACGATAAGGTCGAACGAAGAGGGCTCGAGAGGCGAAGAGGGGTGAAGAGGGGGGGGGAAGGAAAGGTTGTTTGGCTTTACATTCGATGACGATGGGCCTGGGTCTGGGCCGAAAGTGGTCGAGGGCCAGAACGCGAGCAGGAAACGAGACTTGGGGAGGAGAGGGAAGAGGGTGAGGAGACGAAGGACAAGGTTGAATTACTAGGATGGGGCGATGGGTGCCATTGTAATTTGGTGATGAGCACAGAAGCAGAGGGATGAAGAGGAAGCAGAAGCGAGAGAGGAGTGTGTGGGAGAGAGAGAGAAAGAGAGAAAGAGAGAAAGAGAGAGAGAGAGAGAGAGAGGGTGAGGAGCGAAGTCGGTTCCACGGTGAGGTCAGTGGGAGGAGGCAGCGATCCGGCTGGAGACTGCGAAGTGTATCTCCCAAAAGGGGGAAACAGAAAATTCGACTTTCAACCGGTCGCGAGAGATCTGTGGAGAGATATGGAATCTCTCTCTCGGGACTAGGGACTATAATTTGAATATGATTAATCATGAATTAATGAACATCGATCAATGCTCGACGTACATGGAGTACTCAGAATACTAGGAGACAGGGATGTATACGGAGAGGCTCGCAACGAGGAGCCAGTTCTGATACAGGAAATTGCACGGTGAGGGAGAATCATTAGTTCGTTCTAGCTGGATGACGAGTCGGGAGGCAGAAGACATTCCTTCGCCAGCTACTACTTGAATATACATACGAACCCGTCCAGCAGATACACGTCCTCTCACGAAGACTTCCCCAAGAGACGGTGAAGGAAGCTTTTTCAACGTATCTTTTTTTATGTCTCAAGTCTTACAGTCGTAGTCCCCAGGAATGATAATGCTAATGCTAGTGCTAGTGCTAGTGCTAGTGCTAGTGCTCTCGTGTCCTATTTGCCGGCTTTCTGACTGTCCCAGTTCCAGTTGGTCGCATCAATCGAGGGATATCGGGCGAATGACAGTCCGCTCTGCACCCGCGTGGTGACGCTGCCGCGGATGATTCCGCCGGGAGCATTCGAGTTGGATTTAAGGATGGCGGTTCCATACAGCCAAGCCAGACAAATCCAAGCCAGACAAATAATGAGACGGCAAACGATGGAATTGAATTTAACATGTACCTCCTCAGCCCTGGAGAGACGAGATAAATTCCCGGTCAGATCTATCCACCTCTCGTAGACATAGTCATGTTTGTCATCCACCAGAGGATAACTACGTGTATGTGCACAAGTACAGAGCTTAACACAGTTCAATGCGTCAAACATCCCATGCCATACTGTGTATACTTCCTTTCCGCAGGGCTATTCGGCAATGATCCCTCAGGTTGACCCGCAATCATATTATCTCGCCTTGATTAACCTAACTTGCTTGGCAGAGAACCGCCAACATACCCTGGCCCTTCTCCTCCCCATGATGTAACCGACCAGGGTCGACAGGGTATACCGCATCCCATTCCAGCAGCTTGGGTCTCTCGACCCGTTCCTCGGCTGTTTCCTGCTTCGTGGTTAATGTCTTTCTCTGACTAACCTGGTCTCTTTCCTATTCGCTATTCTCCATTCATCCGGATCATCCCTTCCTTATTATACCCTTCTCACTGACGCCACGGGTTAGGATGATCATTACAGCTACCCAATCCTCCGGAAAGCCCCAATGTAGCGCACTCATGCTCACGCATATGACAGACTACAACCTTCCGGAAGAATGAAGATACTACCACCACGAACGACAAACAAAGCCGCCTTTCTCAGGCTACCAACTCCCCAGGCCGAGGTTTGATCATCAAGGACATTTCATTCCATTTCCATTCGGAAGAACTACCCCCAAGTAAAATAAAACACATGCTATTAGTACATGAGAGAATTTAATTCGTCACGCCAGGCCCGGTGTAGTTGGTGTCCGGCAGGTACAAGTGCCGCACAGCACCCTTTTTGGTCAGCACCACCATCCGGATGACACCACCGGAACTGCCATCCCACTTGATAGCCTCCTGCAGGGCACTGCGCACAAAGTCGATACCCTCTGCCTCTGTCATGTTCTCTTTCCAGTGCGCATCGGTATAACCGTAAATGTAGGTTGATCCTGAGCCACCGATGGAGAACGACTGTTTGTGAAGGGAGCCGCCCAGCGGAATCGAGTATACCTGACCACCGTGACGAGGGTCGTATCCGGCAATGATAATGCCCGCACTGGAGAATTCTGATCAGCAAGACTCTATACAAGAGCAACCCCAAAGACGAGGAAGGGGGGTAGGACAGAACGAACCTGAGGGCGTCCTTGTTCTCATAGCATAGCTCCTGGAAGAGCGAGGCAGCCACCTGTGTGCTGGGAGCCTCGTTGTTGACCACATCGTACATGTTGAGGTGATAGGAAACGATGTCGGCTACGGCCTGAGTGTCCGCTGCTGAGCCCGAACGGCAGCACCAGATGGTGTCGTGCACTTGTGTCAATTTGTCGGTGACTCGGTTGGCAATGTAGGCTCCGGTGGTGGTTCGGCTGTCGGCGCCGAGGATGACACCGTCCTTGAAGTTGATCGCCATGCTGTCATTCGGTTAGAAGGCGTTCGTCGAGACGGGAGGGCAGATAATCGAGCTCCGGGCAGATACTCACATCGAGGTTCCCAGGCTAGCAAAGTAGTAACGTCAGCGGCTGGACCTAACACACAAAGGCAATGGCATAGCTATCCAGAAACTTACTTGACTTCTCCGCTCTTTAGGTGCTGCATGTCAACGTGGATGCCATCTGGTCGATGGATGTTAGCTCCCTCTGCGGCGACGGATGACGAATAGCTCGGTCTGACCTTCACCCAGCACTCCCTGCACACCGTGTTGGCTGACCATGTTGTTATCTAGGATCAATGAAAAGGAACAGGCACAATGAAGAAGCTCTAAAACAGAGGCAGATATCGAGAGACAGGCAAAGTAGATGAGCAGAAGATGGGGGGTTGGAATGTGCTCATGAAGCTGTCCGGAAGGCAGAAGCTCAACGCGTCCAGCTCGGGCGGTGAGGGCCCAGCGACTGGCTGATAGGGCAGGTTGGGGTGTCGCCAGCCCCCACGAGTCTCCTGAAACACCTCACTCTGGGGGAAGCCAGTCTTTGCGCTTCCTGGATCAATCCAAGTCAAAGCTATTGAAAGGAATACCTGAGCATTGAAATTGTTATTGTCCGGCCACCACAGCATCTCCCCTCCCATCTACACAGCCGACTACACGTCATCATGTCCGACTCCCCTCCGCCGCCCCCATCATGGAGCATCGGCAACATGACCAACAACGCCGTGCAGTTTCTCCGTCTGCCCGTCCTAGCGTCATCCGGCCTGGCAGTCATCGCAAGTGGCCTGTTATACTTTAAGCAGAAGTACGCTGTTTCTCCACGATCCACCCCCTCAAGCCCGCGGCCCTCGTGACTAACGCGCCAGCCTAGTGAATTGATATACCCCCGCAACGTCCCAGTCGACGCGCGCACCAACGTCCCGAGCCCAAGGCAATTCGGCATCACCGACTTTGAAGATTTACAAATCCCGACACCCGACGGCGAAACGCTGCATGCGCTGTTCCTGCGCTCGCCCAAGAGTCGGTATCGGCGCAATCTGACGGTGTTAATGTTCCACGGGAATGCTGGGAATATCGGCCACCGAGTACCGATCGCCAAGGCAGTTCAGGATACGTTACACTGCAATGTGTTTATGCTTGAATATCGCGGGTACGGTCTGTCTACGGGGACGCCTGACGAGGCGGGCTTGAAGATCGATGCCCAGACTGGACTGGACTATCTGCGGCAGCGGGCCGAGACGAGTGATGACAGTTTTGTTGTTTATGGGCAGAGTCTGGGTGGTGCGGTTGCCATCAATCTTGTTGCGACGAATCAAGAACAGGGTGATATCAGGGGTCTGATTCTGGAGAATACATTCTTGAGTATTCGCAAATTGATTCCTAGGTGGGTTTCACTCGTGATTTGGCCCCGAAAGAAGTTGCTAATTCGATGGCAGTGTATTCCCGCCAGCGCGGTACTTGGCTCGTCTCTGTCATCAGTACTGGACGAGTGAGGACGTGCTACCCAAGATCTCGAAAGTGCCAATCCTCTTCCTTAGTGGATTGAAAGATGAGCTCGTGCCGTATGTACTTCTATCAACCTGATTAATGTTTACCATGCTAATTCCTCCCAGCCCATCCAATATGACTCAATTATTCGCCATCTGCAAATCAGAAACTAAGATCTGGCGCACACTACCTAACGGAGGCCACAACGACTCTGTGGCCGAACCGGGCTACTTTGAACATATTCACTCCTTCGTTATGGAGGAGGTCCTGAGCGAGTAGACAGCGAGCAGACTGGCCCTTGTCTAGTCTCATACCACTCAATTGCATCAATGATACCCACACTATTGCGATCGACGACAGAAGTTCTCCACAGTCACTGTCATGACTTCTTCTGGCGGACTTAAACGTCCACTGCCTACTTGCACAGCATCGCAGCTCGACCAAGCCACCAATTGTCTTCGAGCCAATGATTACACCCGCATTCCCGATTTATCTCATCCCCTCAGCACTGGGGACTCCACCAGCGTCATTATTCCTGGAATAGGAGCGACTTGTTTTGTGACATACGGAGTTTGGTACTTTGTTTTTAATGTACTTGTTTTCCATCACTTTTCAGGCTATTTTTATGAGTGGGAGGGAGACATGTTTTTCCTTTCGGGGTTATCCTTTTCTGTACTTCAGATCGGGTGGGAAGATAAGCTTCCTTCTTGTGCATGTATCATTTTGACTCTTATTATTCGTGTTCAGTCAGACATACTTTAAACACAGTCATCCCTTCAAGCTTTTCATAGCATATATATTTAAGGTTATCGCCAATCATTTACATGACAATGGCAAATTCGAGTCCCTTGTTTTGCTACAGTTCTTCCTCCCCATTGTCGGGGATGGTCATCGGTTTAAGTAGTGCATACCAAACCTGGTGCATGCGGTGTATCGGATGCTCGAGCTTTGGCATGGGTGACAGGATATTTGGTAAGCTTGTACATAGTTGATCAGACAGAATGCTAGCTCAGGTGCCGGATGGACTGCTACGGAGAACATAGCCGAGTGCTAGGAACATTAGCCGTACATTTGAGAAGGCGACTTGTGGAGAGTTGGACGTCAAATCAAAAATTTGAAAATTTGTGTGGATTTTTGTTTCATGCTATAACTTAAGGCTCCAAAAACAAACAATCGAAAAGGCAGTCCCACATGCAAGTGGATACCGCATGGTGCAAGCCCCGGGGTCCTCAGATGCTATCTCCGGGGGGTATCATGTACAATCGAAGAGATAGAAACAAACTTTTTTTCTTCTCATAATCATGCGTCGTGATGAGTATGCAAATCAAACGTGTTCGGGCTCCTCGCCCTCGGCAGATTCGAGGGCTGGGGTATTCTGAATTCCAACTTCCACCGGCTGATCAACCACTTCTGCAGCACTCTCTGCAGTCTCTGGCTGTGCCTCGACCAATGTTTTCTCGTTCTCTTTCTCTTGTTCGGCCTGCTCAGCCTGTTCTTCCTTCTCCTCAGCTTCCTCCCAGCTATCAACGACCTCAGCCGAAGACTGCGTCAGCAACGCCTTGCCCGCACCAACACCAGATCGAAGAACCAAGCGCTCCTTCTTAGACGACTGGCTCGAAGTATCAGGCATCTTGCCACCCACAAGAGCAGAGTAAATAGACCGGCTCTGGAACGGAGTCTGAACAGGTGTGGTGCTCCGAGTACTAGCCGCACTACTATCTGCCCCAGACTTCTTGCCCCGAGAAGCAACCTGGGCCCAGCCGTCGGCGCCTGTTTGCGACTTAGCAGCGTTCCGAGCGGCCTTGGCTTCGAGCGCGGCGGCGCGTTGTGCGTCGCGTTCTTTAGTTCGCTCGCGCTCGCGGAGCTTAACGCACCCACGCACACTCATGCCGCCGATTCCGATGGATGAGCCGCTGCCCATGCCGAAGATGGGCGGTGTCCAGGTCAGTGGCTTGAGAACGAAGACGTGTCGGTGTGGTTCGGGGTCATGGCTTTCGGTGACGAAGCCCCAGTCCGTTGCGAGAGAGTGAGCGTAAGCTCGGAGGGTTGACTTGGCAGGCTGGAAGCGGAATGAACGATTCGTGGTATCGGTTGCTAGAGAGTGCAGACTGGACTCGTATGTTTGAAGAGTCGAGAGTGGAGCCGTCGAGGCAAGTTTGACGTATTGATCGAGTGTCTCGGCAGAGTATGGGAGGTTAGCCGCGGTGAACGCCTGCACAGTGGTCGTCTTGTCGATGTCAACGCCAAGTGCAGATGCCAGGGAGCGGTTCCGCTCTAGACGGGAGCATTCATCATCGCACGTCAATGGAGTAAGTGAAGGCAAGCGCTCTGGCTGCTGAAGCTGGCCCTTGGAGGTAACAGCCTTGGCAGCACCACAACGTCTTTCCTGGCGCAGTCGACCACAGCTACATGTCACTGTAAGCGTGGACGAGCAAGGCGTCTTTTCCGGGCACGGATATGGAGCATGGCATTGCTCGGAGCAAGGGTGACCGCACAGCGTCTTGGTCTTTCCACACGCTTGCTGGCAAGGCTTATCCGCGTCTTCACATTCACCCGGTCGATGGCAATCCTTTTTGCAATAATGAGAACCACATTTCAAAAGTGCGCCGCAAACCTGACCGCAACGGGCATCTGTAAGCCAGCAAGGTACATTTTTCATCACCCGCTTACCACACAGACACTCTTTCTCGGTCAGGAACGGACACTTGGGACAAGACTCCTCATCAGTGTGGCAGTTATGCGCAGTCTGCGGATGTCCACACGACTTGGGACGTGCACAAGGGAACGAGCACGAAGGCGGCTTCGTGCCACATGGCTGCGGTGGATACAGAATAGATCGGCCGCAGTTGCAAGAAACCTCCTCAAAGATCGCTTCTCGACAGGTATTGCAAACGCCCTTGTGGCAGAGCTCCGGGCATGTATGTCTTCCGCATTTCAGCAATCGACCACAGATCCGGGTGCAAATGTGCTCTGCCTCGATATCTTCGTCCGTAGGGCGGAGATGAGACTTCAATTTCCGGCGGAGGGCTTGTCGTTCAATGGCCTTCTGTTCTCCGGGGCAGCATCGCTCATTACAAGCGTGACGACCACAGTGCAAAGTCGTCTTGCATTGGCGGAAGCACTGAGGCGGGTTGATATCGCCTTGGTGACAGATACTCATGGCACTGTTGCGTCCACACTGGCAAGCAATGGGCACACGGCGCATACACGTTCCGCAGGGGCCAGTGTGACAAATTTGGTCGCAGGAATGACCACAGGGCAGCATCTTGCCACATGGCTTCAGACAATTCGGGATAGGGTCCTCGCAGGAGGTGCGGGGAGTGAAGCCGGGGATGTCAGTCAATCGGGTTTTACCACATGGGCAACGGGTGACACTATCTGGCGACTTGGGGCAGTGAGCAGGGCTGGAGTCCTGCGGATGGCACGCCTTCTTGCAAGAGTGCAGACCGCAGTCGAAGGGACGATCGCAGACATCATTGCAACTGAAGCAACCCGTCCACTCCTCTTCGGAGCCGTCATCGCGGGCTACCTTGCTGTCCATCTCTTCGTCCTTCGAGCTGCAAAGCATTTCAGACTGCACCTTTCCACAGTAGCAACGGCCCTCAATCTTAACTTCACAAGCACCACATAGGCCCTCGTGACAGGGAAGAGGGCAGGTATGTTCACCGCAAGGTAAAAGGTCACCACAAATCTCACCACAGCTCCACCCACGCTCATAGTCGGTATCCTGACATCGTTTAGTCGACGAATTCCGACCACAGAAGCAGTCCTGCGTTGGTCCCATTGCAGTACATGGCGCACATGGTCCAGCATGGCAAGTAGCATCGCAAGGGTGGGGACAGCCCTTGCGAGGCCGTGAGCATGTCTGTCCGCAGGAGTGCGGAGGCAAGCCAGCTAATGGTCTTGGGTCCGCTTCCTTCTCACACCAACAGGTATAGGTGGTCGGGAACGCCTCGTGAGAGAGATTGCAACCGGGACAACGCCAGGCCTTGGGAGCCGAGAAAGTTTCGCCGTCCTGTGCCTGGCGATTCTGGGCAGCAGCTGCACCCTCATTCGTGGACCACTTCTTAATACAGCTTAAATGGAAAACTGTCCAGCACAGTTCACAAGCCCAGACCTTTGATCGGCGACCTAGTTCACTTGTGCAAATGGGACATTCATATAGATTATGGGCAATGTCTTCGTGGATACGGGTGGCGATATCATCGGCGATGGATTTCGTTGTAACCTTGGGCGGCTTTGGCGGGGGTTTCGGCCTTGCTTTGCCTTTGCCCTTCGCAGACGACTGAGGAGGAGGCTGAGCTGTCGATGCTGGCATTCCCGGTACGAAATCAGGAGCATCTGCCCGGAGGCTGTCAACGTCACCATGAGCCGCAGGTTCTTGGCCCTGATCGACCGACTCTTGATCTGGCCTCGTCAAACGAGCTGCAAAACCTCGAGCCCTCATACCCCGAGACTGAGGCTGTGATATTTGATCGACTTGCTCCGCATTCTGTCCTTGCCCGCCTCTTCGAGCTGCATTGCCACGCCCTCTCCGGGCTCCCGATCCCCGTCCATCTTTATTTGGCCTTCGCTGGCGAGATTGCTCTTGTTGGATGCTGCGTTGTCCGGTTTCTGCAGCGCCATTCACTTGCTGTTGCTGTACGGCGGCTGCGGTTTGGTTGTTCAGCTGTTGTGTCGGTCCATTCTGTTGGGCTTCGCGAGTGGCGGGGCCTCTCCCACGGCGTCTATGTCTTGAGCGCGGGGCAGTCGGGGCAGCGGGAGCTGCATCTGGGCCTTGCATGGCCGGAAGTACTGGTCCAGGATGACCTGTTGCTAATATGCTCATCCGAGTGCTGCAATCTTGTGTCGAATGAAGGTCGAAGGTTCGCGAAATGGTGTTTTGCCAATCAGGCGCGGGGAGTGACGTAGACAGAAGTGAAGAACGCACGCTCAGAAGAACTAAATCGAAGCAGCCCAAAGCACCAAGCTCCGATGGGGATGTAACGGAAAAGTAAGAGACAAGAAAAAGAAGCCCTGAGGGCAAGGTTGTATTTGAGACTGGAGATGCCTGGGAGCTTGCTGATAAAAACCTCACAGATCGGCAGTATCGGGCGGAGATTGGGGCGGTGGAATGTGGCGTTCTAGACCTGACAGACCAATCAAATGCAAGAAATTTACAGTACAAAGTTGATGGCCACAGGCAAACAGGGGCTGGCTCATCTTACTGTAGTACTCCAGCCCGTACATAGTGAGTCAGTCTGCCTACCAAATGACTCATGAGGGTCCACCAATCCATCAAAGGCTGGGGCGCAATCCGGAATACGACTGAAGTCGAAATGATATTCCTGCTAAGCAGCATAAATTATTCTTTTCCAAACCATGTCAGAACAAGTCATAGGCTATATAAGGCTAGGCCATCACTAGAACCTCTCTTCCAAGCACAAGCTAGGTCATCCATGACCTGCATACCCCCATGCTATACGAAACTACTCCATACTACTTACCTCTGCAACACGCTACAGTGTGTCTCGAAACTGGTGCAACTACCTACACTCTTCGATTTATTCTCTAGCCCCGCCGCCAAGAAATATTAGTCCATATTGGGAGTTTTTCCGGAGCACCCCTGTCGGTTAGAGGTATATTGCTTCTTACGTAGATTACATAGTTCTTTTTCAAGTATGTATTCGCTTGTAAATTTATTCCATCCGACACCACCTCCAAACCACATCTATGACTAGTTAGTTACTCTTGGTTTTCGGCCAGCCACTGCTGCAACTTTACTAGCGCCTTGTGCCCATGGGAGACTAAGTTCTGATTGAGATCTATTAGCATAAGACCGTCTGCGATGCTCCCTGTAAAGACAGGAACTAGGCAGCGTGCAAGATCTTACCTTCTCCTCCTGCTTCATCTCAGCAAATGTGGCTTTCCCATCATACTCAAAAATAGGGTCCCAGCCTAGGAAGAATCATAAGTTGTAAATCACGTTTCTGTAAGCCAAGGCTATATATCTACTTACCAAAGTTCGTTGGGCCCCGTGGCCGCACAATGGCACCCTATATAAAGGCAGTCAGATTCGAGTTGAGACGACAATGCTGTGTAATTCTCACCTTTGTTCTTCCTTGGAAAAGGATAGGCTTAGCCCCGGGTCCCCGGCAGAACGCAAACGTGCATATAGCTTCGGCTGTCCTGTCCTCAAATCCATCGAGCATCTTATTTAAGCCTTCAAGGCCTAAAGCATCAAGGAAATGTTTTCTTGCCATTTGTTAGGGCTCATTTAGATCAGAGGGAAGTATATCTACTAGGAGACCTACATGTAGGGTCCAGGGAGACCCCTAAGTGCACTGAATTCGAGCGCACTATCTTCGACTAGGACAGGTCCATTTATCTATTCCGCCGTGAGTTCATAATTACAGACAACATTTAAACAAGAGTAATTAGGGAAGAGATTACCAGTTCAGCTGCCCGCCTAGCTTTTGCTTCAGCGATTTCCTCGACTGTTCCCTGGATCTCAGAGATATCGGCTGCCTGGTTATCTACCTCAATAACGCTACCAAGGATAGCCCTGACTTCGGCGAGCTTATTTTTATTTCCAGTAATGAAGTTAAGTTTTGACAAGGTCATTGTGAATCTCTGGCTTCAGACCATATCACGAATGAGGTATACCTTTGAATGTAACAGTCTTTGTGCCAAACTAGGTAGACCCCTTTTGGCGGAGAGTGGTAGAGTGAAAATCCCTGGACCTGGGAGGCTGACGGGCAGTGCGGGGCACAGATCTCACGTGTACTTTTTGTTTGCGAATAATACTCGCCTCCAAATAATACTAGTCGAATCCTCACCGCTCCCGCTCATAAGGGCTGACCACGGGGCGGGTATTGCCGCACAAGACAAAGTGACGTATTATAATTAGAGTAAGTCACCGTATTGATATCGATACGGGAATATCGCTATTCCGGATCTATTCCTAGTCTGGAAAAGGATTTCTTGACGGTGGGGCTGGAGAATCAATCGAAGAGTGTAAGTAGTTGCACCAGTTTCGAGACACACTGTACACCTGTAGGTGGTGATAGACCCGTTAGGCCCTCTCTCTATAGCATCACATGTTCCAACTCCTACTTCAAAAACAGGACTCCCATACTGCGACCCAGCAAATCATACACATTAATATCAATCTGCCAACCAAAAGTGTAGATCCATATAAACAAGATGCAAAATAAGCCCGCCATCAAGCCAGTCAATCGCGCTATGCAAAATCCAGGAACAAGACTCATCCACTCCAAATCACACACAAACAACCTCCCTCCCAACCGTCTTCCCATAATCAAACATAAACAACAATCTCCCCCCTCTCATTCCTCCTCAACCTCAACGCCCTCCAAAGATCCTTCTCATCCTCCACCCTCCGCTCCCGACTCCGCCCCCTCTCCCGATCAAAGTCGCCCTCATCCTCAAAGTCCCGATGGAACCGCTTCAACGCCTTATGCACCGAGCAGCCGCGCTCGCTATCCCGCGATCCAACAAGACTCAAGAAATGCGCCGCCATCTCGCGCTGCAGCACATCATCGCTGCGCGCGGGTGGCTTCGATGCCCGGTACACGGTAACCTGGCGCTCGCGATGCGGGGATCGCGAGTCCGAACGGCGCCGCTCGTCGCTGTGCTTCTGCCGACGGCTGGGTCTGTCAGCGTCCATGGGATTGCTGCTCTTGCGCTTGGCTTTGCGTTCTGTGTGTGAGTCGGACGCGTGGCGGCTACGGTGGGACTTTTTCTTGCGGATTTCCAGAGCGCCGTCGGCGCTGGAGGAGGAGCCGCGGCGGGTGCGGACGAGGGCGCGCGAGTTGGAGTCGTTGCCCGCGCTGCTGGTTGAGATGACGGAGCCGCCGAACATGGAGGTGACGAGGCGTTCGGCGCGGCTCTTGATGGAGATGCCCAGGCCTGCGTCGCCGTTGCTGGTGCTTTCTTTGGTTTCTTTGCCGTTGCGGCGGCTGCGTTTGATGGGGGATGAGGTGTCGTGATAGGATTGGCGGTGGAGATCGGGGGAGTCATCCGGGGATGGGGAGCGCATCATGCGGTTCAGGCCGCCGGTTAGACCGGAGTGTGCGAGGACGGGGGTTCCGGCGTTGTTGATCACGCTGGATGGGGCGTCGAGCATGGGAGTGTCCATGTCGGGTTGCGGGCTGGAGGGTTGCTCTTGACCGCGCTTGCGCTTCTTCTCACTGCCGCTGGCGCTGGAGCGCTTTTCTTCCTTGCGGCGCTCCTTCTTGGTCTTCTTGGGCGCGGGCGTGACGAATTCCGTAGAGACATTGGGCACATCCTTGGGGTACATGGATGGCGGGATAGGGCCCGCACCGTAGGAGAAGCCGTTCTCTTCATACGCAACATCGTAGTGGCCCTCGTCGTCGGTTTTGGTATCCAACTTGGCGAGAGCCGTGCTGGGCTCAAACACGGATTTGGCGTTTGTAACCATGCTCATCTGTTCCTTGGGGGTAGCCTTAGGGGCCAGGGTGACCTTGGATGCATTGGGGGTCTCGTCGGTGACCAAGTAGTCAAACACATTGATAGGTTTGCCGCCGTTGGTCAGCGCATCGGAGGTGGCTTTGCCTTCGCCCGCAGGAGGGGGCATAGGCGCTGGGGGCGGGGCCACCTCGGCCTTGACATAGTCTCCATCGGAAGCATCCTCTACTCGGGGCTGCTTGTTGGCATTGGCATTGCCCTTGCCCTTCTGATTGGGAGTGCTCTGGCCATTCTGAGCCTTCTTTTGGCCTTTGGTAGGCTTCTCTTTATACAGGGCGCCCTGGTATTTTTGCGCCTCGCTCATACACGACTATAAGAAAGCATCACTTGTTAGCGCCGTGCTTGAAAAGCAACAATGAGCCCAGGGCCAGACAGTTGCCCCGGTCTCCCATCCACCGCTAGTCCTCGGGAGAATAGGAGGACAATTCGACTTGCGCCAATTGCCCGTACAAAACTGCCAGTATGCGCAAACCCAATCAACCACCATGATCACGTACCGTGTGAGCCCTATACTGAGTTCCCTGAAAATGAACCATGCAGTCGATGCAAGTAAACGACGCGCCGCGACACTGGTTACGATGGGGATCGAGTTTCTTCTTGGTGAAGATATCACCGCATGCCTATCACCGAGTTATATTAGCCATGAACCATGCCCACGCCGTCAATCGTTCCTTAGACCGCGGCTCAAAATCCCCGGCAGCAAGAGTGGCTTCCTACGTACCTCGCACTGGAAAGACACCATCTTGACAGCAAGTAATCGCACCGCTAGAAACAGGCCAAGGCAAACGCAGAGTCCTATATGCAAGTGCGAGTCAAGTCGACACGCAGGGCGGTTTCTCCAAGCGCGACAATTGCGACGGGCGGAGGGAGAAGGGTATGGCGTCAAAAAAAGACTGGCGTGGGTTTTGGAGAAATGCGCGGGAAGTAAGTCTGAAGGTGGAAAGATGTGCGGGAGACCACAACAAAGTTATCCCTTGCAGAGTCAAGTCCTTAGTACTGTCTGTCCTCGGACTGGAGGGGATGTGTGTATGTGTGGTGGTGTCTGCACGAGTTGCGCCGAGTTTCCAACGTCAAGTCGTCTTTTTTTGGTTCTTTTTCTTTTTCTTTTTTTTTCTTTTCCTCGCGCGTTCGAAAATTGGAATGGCGCGTGAGGGGACGCTAGACTGAATTAGGAAGGGTTATTGTGGTGGAGTCGACCGTCGTTCGCCAGTCTCGATACTTGGTAGACAGAAATATACTCCGTACTGTAGTAAGACTGGACTACAGTATGCAGAAGAAGTGGAGAGAGGAATTGCAAAGACGACTGGAAAGGAGCTGAATCGAAGGAACAAGAGAAGAATACGAAACACAGAAATCAGCAGCCCCTGACTGGGTTTATTGCCAATCCTGTTCTGTTTCATAGTCGCGCCTGAACGCGCGCGACTTCGCGACAATAATATCAGGACTGAGATACATCACAAGGTACATGCACTGATCTTGAACACAGTCAGACTGGCTATGAGAATTCCGAGTATCTTCAAAGTATCCTGTGGACTTCCCCCCCCCCCCCTCCCTCTCATCAACAGGCCGATCCCCGCGGGCGATCGTGATCTGTGCCCGCTCACTGCTGACTGGCCCCCCGAGTCTGTCAGGAGACTCTCCTCATTCTTTTTATTTGTTATCAGCTGAAGCGCAAATAGGCCCCGCGCCCTATTTTTGGCCAAACTCAAATCGATCAAGACGAAAAAAGCCCAGACCCCAGATCCCAGATGAGGATATCGCATAATCTTAGATGATGATGCTGGTTCCAATCTATTCCAGGTACGATGCATCCTTTACAAACAGTCCACAGTCTGCGCAGTTATCGTTCATATTCTAGTTATGGGCGATGAGGGCGCTAGGTACCTTTCGCATGTGTCGTCATGGGCCTGCGCATTGCGCCCACTATTGAACTAGTGTGGGTTTCTCCTGTATCACGAGGATGCGACATGGCGATATTACGCCGCCACTAGTCGACGACGGACGATCAGGACACTAAAGTCTTGCGGGATGGCGCCAGCTAGTGTATGACGGCTGTGTCGCTGGGGGTGTAGCATAGGAGTATCGATATCCTTCAATATCTCCAGGGGATGCACGGAGAATATGGGTGGGAGACTAGAACAAACTCGCACGACCGGGCAGGTCATGCGCAACACAACTCTAGCTTGAGATCACCGGATAGAAGGCGATCCTGGATGCGGGACGTTGTTCGGGTCATGTTCCCGTGGGAGACTCGGTGATCGACAGTCGTAATCCCTGTTGGAAACCGCAAGAGCAAAGAGCGATGATGCCTGATAACCGATACAGTACAGGGATGGCTCCTGCCGCTCGGGCTCGGGCTGGTCTGCAGAGGGCGTGCGCCACGTGCGCATTGGGTATATATGGGATAATATCAAGACAAGTACTGTACATAGAGACCAGCTCCGACGAGTGTTCTAGCAAGCAGACAAAAGGGACAAACGCCATGGAAATGCGACGAGAACGGGAATCTCGGGGCCCAGAGAAGGATTCAAAGCAAAGACATGGGCTGAAATGATAAGCCCCGTCAACCGCGCGTGGTCCTAATTCGCAAAGACAGTATAATATCAGTCAAAAGGCTCGCATCCATCCATTGTAAGACCTCGAGTAGCTAGCGCAGCATCAGTGGCGGGGTCAACTCACTCTTCCTTTGAGATCTCTACGGCCAGGTGATCATGTAGATCTGCCGGATCCTGTTTCCCGTCACCACGGCTGGCCGCCGAGTGTCCCTCCGTGCTCTTGGTATCCTCGCCACCTTCTTTCTCCTCGCTCTCGTCTTCGGCACAGCCGCAGTCGTAGAATGCGCCTAGGTCGGTGCAGTCGAATTCCGGTTTCTCGAGCATCGCATTGACCTCGTTGTGGATGAAGCAGGCCCATCCCGCCGCGGCTTTGCGCGATGATACCTGCGGCGGGTATTTGTTCAGGTGTTGCTGGAAATGCTCGGCGCATTCGCCGCTGTCTCAGTGTTAGCTTGATCGTGCGTTGCACGGGGGAGGAATGAATCCCCATGACAGGCGGGTATATTCGGGAGGAGGGACGACGAAGATCTAGATGCCGTACCAAGGATATAGTCGTGCAAAGAGGAAGATGTATGAGCGCAGTGCTTCCTGCTGATCTTCAGTAGGCTTCTCGGGGAATCGCGCCATGACGGTATGGAAGTATTTCCACGTTGCACGGCCCAGCTCCGCTCTGCAAAAAAGTAGGCATTGCGCCACGATCAGTACTCGGCTTTCAAACCTAAACAATCAAGCTCGAGTATGAGCGCTTCAGTCCTGCAAGAATTCCTTACTTGGCCGTGGCGTTGCCCAATTTCGGCATCACTACTGCCCCTTTCAATGTATCCTCCTGAATCGTTATCCCGGACGCTGGCGCACCATGGACAATGTGCCCGGGGGCGCGGATGGCAGGGCTAGGTGGACCCTGTGGACGGATGAACAGGAAAAAGACCAGGCATATCGAGACCACGGCGGCGATGGCGATGCGCCGTGTCATTTGCCGGTTGGCCATGGCGGCAGAGGGGCGAGGGAACTAGATCTGTCGCCAAGCGCTCGTGTCGAGGGACACCCGGAGCCGAAACGAGAAACAGGTTCTTTCCAGATCAGAATATGCGGGCACAATTTTCCTAGGAATGTAGGAATTGAGCGAGGAATTGGTGTGGAGGGAGTTGAAGCTTTGAAGGGGGAAATCTACGTGTCGTATGGTGGCCGGACCGGGCTGCATAAAGGGAGCTTAGTCATGGATGCGCTGTTCAGTGACGTTTTGGGGCCGGTTTAGTTTTTCTGCTTTACATTATTGGTTACTGATCGATTCTTTGTCCTGGAGCCCGATCTTATTCATCTACCCTTTTGGACTCCTACTGCCACATGGCTATTCTCATGCCGGTGACTTGGCGTGCGTGCCCCATTGTTAATCCCTGAGTCTTTAACTTCAAGGCATGTCATAGATACCACGATAATCTGCAGACCCACCACAATCGGATATCCTCCGTAGGACCATAGCAAGCATACGAAAAGGCCCGGGTGACGTTGGGATGCATGTTCACAATGTTCGACAGACCGCTAGATCTGACCGGTTTTAATTGGACGCTATGCATCTCATAGCACGAACTTAAACTATCTCTCGAGGCCGCATTCATGCATCCTGCATCTGCATCCACTCATCTTGGACAACTGCATCGCTCAGACTCGGCGGTAAATCCTCCTTACTCGTACCCCAATCACTTTCCCGGTCCCCGAGCGTCAACTCAAGCGTCAAACCCTGTGTGAAAAACTCATGGCCGATCCAGTTCTTTGTGTACGGCTTTCCATTGAGTGTGGCGCTTTGGATGTAGATGCTCCGATAGGTGGGATCGAAGTTTATGTTTCGGATTGTGGCAGTCCGATTTGTTTCTGGGTGGGTGATCTCGACTGCTTCAAAGAATGGAGCGCTGATGAGGTAGACATTTTGGCCTGGATTGGGGAATAGTCCCATCATGCTCCACGCGAGGAATGAGCCCATTGCGCCGGAGTCATCATTGCCAGGTAGGCCGTTGTTAGATGCGTTGAATGTCCTGGGGATGTAGCTGTGAGCTCGTTCGGCGGAGAGAGCGGGTCGTCCTGCATAGTGGTACTCGTATACCGTCAAGAAGACTGGCTCGTTGCTGATGTCGGCCAAGCCAGATGTGTGAAAGTAGTCTAGTCGTTTCACGAAGGAGTCTGGGCCTCCAAGTAGCTTGATCAGACCTGCCATGTCGTGAGGGACGAAGCTGTAGTCGTTAGCCTGGACATCCTCAATTCTTCTTGAAAGGTTAGACCTACAAAAGATACTCCCAGATACTCGACTCAAAGGTCTCCGACGGATTTGAGGTCAACGAGCACCACGATGCCAACGCACTACAGGCAATCGGATCTTGAAAGCCCCAAGTACCATTAAGATACTTGGGCTGGAAGAAGCCCGTAAAGCCCGTATCGGTCCCATTTTCCAGGAATGACTTCTGGTCTGCTTTGTACAGGTTCTTCCAATTGCCCGCCCGAGAGAGATACTTGGTATAGCCCATCTTGCCGAGGCTCTTGCCCACAACCGCAATACCGTAGTCATTATATGCATACTCCACAGTTCTCGATATACTGCGCGAGTTGGTTCCAAATCCTAGGTAGTCAAAGTCCAGATAGGGGATGTAGTTGAGCTTTTTCCAGCTTTGCAGACCACCACGTCCCTGGTAGGACCACTCCAGGGGCTCGTTTTCGGCGTCGTTGACCATGGCCTTGTATGCCAGCTCCCAGTCGATGCCGGTCAGGTTCTTCACATAGGCGTCTGTGAGAACCACGTCTGCATTAGATCCGCCCTGTGTCCAGCCCTTGCACAGAGACATGCGACAGTCAGGTAACCAGCCTTCATGCTTGAACGTGTCAAGCAGACTACGGACCATCTTGGACTGTGCCTGGGGATCGATGATAGTCAATAGTGGCAACTGGGCCCTGAATTCATCCCAGAGGCAGTAAAAGGAATCGAAATATGGCTCGTCGCTCTCCCAGAGATGGTTCTCCCCGGTCATATCCTGAGGCGAAAGCATAGTCCGATAGATGCCACTCCAAAAGGCGCTCAGTAAACCGTCACTCACACCACCAGCGGTTACCTTGATAGGACTGAGCTTCTCGCTCCAAGCAGTGGCTGCCGCTTTCTCAAGACTCTCAAAGTCCTTAATTGGATCCGACACCTCTGCCTCTGCATTGGCACAAGCCTGCTCAGAACTGACATAACTCACCCCGACTCTGGCCGTAACAACTCCATCATCCGGACGAGCAAAAGTAACATACCCACCCGCCTGAAGATAAAAGTTATTAAACCCACGCGTAACAAACAACTCCTTCGGCTCGGACCCAGCACGATCATTCACCCAAATCCCACTATCCCGAACCTTGGCCCCAGCAAAGTCAGCACAGAAATAAGCACGATACGACCCTGCCCCGAAACTCGGCAAAAAGGTCCCATTCCCCATCACACGGCCCGAATCCGCATCAACACTGATACTCGCATTCTGCCGACTATCCCATAGATCCGTCAAGTCCACCAAAATCATCGGATCCAACATGCTCCCATCCCCAGCACGACTGTCAGGAAACGTAAACCGATACACAGCCGTTCTCCTTGCAGCCGTCATCTCAGCCTTAATCCCATTGACTAACTCCAAACCAAAGTACCCCGGCCGCGCCGTAACGGAATCACCAACGTAATGCGTCGCGCGAGCCGTCTTCCCAAACTTGCAATTATCCACGACATTATCGGGACAATATTGCGGGAAAAGAGGGAACTGGCCCATAGACGGGTTCCCTCCTGTCCCGCTATCATGCATATGCGAGAAGCCGGTGACATTGCTGCCATCCGTCGAGAAGCCGCCCGTGTTTTGGCCGTCGACGTCGGCAACGGGCTTGGCGAGGCCATAGGGCAGACTGGCGCCGGCGAAGACGTTGCCGCCGGCGGTGGAGCCGATGAGCGGGTTCACGTAGTGCAGGTCATCCTTTGTGGCGGTGGTAAGGTGGAAGAGAAAGGTGGAGAGAGTGAGGAGGTTTGTTTTGATGGCCGGCATTGTGGAATGCGGCGATTAACTTTGGACCATGTGAGGGAGGCGTTGAATTAATTTGGCCGGGGGAGATGGCGAGGGCGGGGAAATAAGTTGAGTGTATGTACCTGTGCAGCATGATGCCGCTAGGACCCTGGGAAAGGAAAGCAGTTAGCAAAAAGGAAGGAATGCTACGTTTTGTTGATTGCAGCGTCGCATTGTTGATATGATCGACGGCGGAAGGCACCGTGAAGCGTTAGTGTGTGATTTTGATGCAAGGGCCACGAGGGGACGAGTGCGGGGTTGATCGAAGGAATGCGAAGGAGAAGAGGACGGTGTATATCTGGTACAAGGATAGAGTACATGATTCAAGAGAAATTGGAGTGATTCAGATTTGCTGCAGCCCACCAGCGCAGAAGTTAATGCATTATGTTCGTGCGGACAGTAAAGTAATGTACAGGAGAGTCATCGATGGTTTCGTGCCTGCCTCTGCGCCCGTCAGAGTTCAGGAATACACATACATAACTTCCCCAGGTAAGAAATAAAACAGGAAGAAGACTCTCCTCTCGTCTCTTCAATTCGTGCATTCGTGACACTAAGCAATGGCTTAGTCGAAAAGCATGGTACCCTTGTTCTGCTTCTTGCCAACATCGTAGTTCTTCCACACGGCAACGGCAGGGATGAGCAGGACCAGAACGCAGGTCGATGCAATGCAGTTCATGCGCTGAGCATAGCCCCAAGCATAGATGCAAGCATCGCGGAGGGGGAGCCCACCGGGTAGGTGTCCTGCACGTTGATACCATCAAAGTAGATCGTGGTCGCGTTGGCCTTGAGGTTATCGGGCAAGTGGCTGGTCAGGGCATCAACAAAAACGTTGTTGTAAATGGCAGCAGACACGGCATAGCCGATAGCACCACCAATGCTAGAGAACAGACCGATCAAGGCCAGCATCATGGGAGTTCCCTCACGGCCACCAGCGGCCATCACAGCCATGTCCTCGCCAATGACGATGGTGCCTCCAGCGAAGGCAATGAAGATCTGGCACATGATGATATACCCAATTCCATGCTCTCCACCTCGGAAATGAATCATCAAACCGGAGCCGAGCAGCATCAAAGGAACACCAAAGAACAGCACAATATACTTGAATCGCTTAGTCCACCAGATGATAAGACCCAGAATCGGGGACCAGAAGCACGATCCCACATTGTAGATTTGAATCATGTAGCCGGCCATACTGATGTCCAGGTTATAGGTCATCAGCACAAAGTTGTAGAAGTACTGATCCCAAAGGTAGAAGCTGAAGAAGGAGACCGCGGAACAGACACACGCTCCTAGGATGGTGGGTCTCTTGAGCAGTTCGTAGCGAATGAAGTGGTGGCGTGCGAACCATTTCTCCCACGCAGCGAAGACGAAGAGCATGCAGAAGCCGACAACAACCATTGCGATGAAGGTGGCTGACTTGTACTGAGAGCGGCCATACTGGGCCAAACTGAAGGGCAGCAGGAAGATGACCCAAGCTGCCATGAGCAGGAACGCACCAACGACTGGATCTTCAAGTCAATATACAACGGACGACCAAAAGAAAAATTGGGACGCAATCGCTTACCATCGAATTCATGAAAGTAGTGGACGATCGACTGCATCTTGGTGCGTCCAGTGTTCCTGGGCTGCCAGACACCCATCTTGATGGCCTTGCGCTCATAGAATTTGAACAGCAAGGCCAGGGGGCAAAAGACGGCTGGCTGAATAACACAGAACATTCCATATCCCCAGCGCCAACCAGAGGTATTGTAGATCGACTGCGCTGCCAACGAGCCAGTGAACGCAGTACAGATAAACGGGGTCGAAGCGAAGGCAAAAGCAAAAGCTCGCGAGCGCAGGCCCGTGGTATCCGCAACGAAGATATCCAAGATCAAATACATGCAGTAGTAGCCAATCCAGTACAGGACGTATCCAGCCGCAAATCCATTCGGGCCATTGCATGCCGCAAGAATGATCATGCCCAGGGTATAGATCGCAGTCGAGAACAACAGAGCCTCTGCACGACCCCACAGCTGCAGGGTTTTGGCCAGGGGAAGCTTGAGGACTCCACCGATGATACTGGCCAGGATGTACGAGGTTGAAATTTGCGGGGCTGATTGGAAACTGCCGTAGACCCAGTTCATCAGGCTGGAGCTGATCGCAGAGTGGAAGGCAAGCATGAAGAAGCCCACCCAGATCCTAGATCGGGGATTGTGCTCGTTAGTTTCTGTTATACTCCCAAGATTCCTTGTGACAGCCACCGTCCACCCGGTAAAACTTAGTCCGCATCGCTAACGACTCACCATGCATAGATACCAGCGACGGCCGGGCGGCTCCAAACCAGGGCCGCGGCTTCGGCCTTCTGTTGACCTAAGCCAGCCTTGTCTGTGACTTGCTCGGGGTTTTTCTCAATCTCCTTCTCATCGTCGAGGACGCCATTGACGCCGAAAGACGAATCAGAGTCGCTAGGTGACTGGGAGTCATAGCCTGGAGTGGCTTCAACCGCGTCAGTGCCAACCGCATCCGACTGCCCATGCTTCGACTCTCCCAGGTGCGTTGTATCGACAACCGACTGGGTCATGCGACCATTGTCATCCCGACCACGCACGGCGTCGGAAACACCCATGGTGAGCAAAATGCCTCTTGGTTTGATGTATGTGTATGAAAGTTGCACAGAGGGAGGGTAGCGGGCGGATACTGCAAGAAACCCAGGTAACCCCAAGGGGCGGTATGGGATACAGAAGAGACGGACCGAGGGGCTTTGGGGCTTCGAGACAGAAGATTGAGATGGCAGAAAGGAAAGAGTGAGTATTTAGGGAGCAAAGGCCTGAGAGCTTCGAGCGATAATTTCCCGCCAGACGCGCTTGCCCGGCAGTCCCGAAGATTCGTCGGTTCGTTTTTTAGTTTTTTTCAGGTGCGGATTGGGGGGGTTGATCAGATAATTCTCAGCCAATCTGATAACGTCCCCACTGGGGTTAATCACAGCCAATCAGATAAAGAAAGTCAGGGCAGTCCGGACCCACTTGTAATCCAGTTCTGCTCTCTGACTGGCCGTTCCTCGGACCTCTTCCCAATCAGGACTAGCGACACTGGCCAGGTGCCTGCAAACGGATTTCCGGATTGAGGAGCTGCGTTCGAGGTAACTGTAACTGCCTTTTGTAGGACCAGGACCAGAGCCTCATCCGCTCTTTTCCAGCTGTGCTTCTCTCTATCCTGAACTTCCAGTTCTTAAATAGAGCTCATGTGAGTCCAGTCAGTCCAGTCCAGGACGCCGAAGAATCTGTCGTCCCATTCGCTCCTCGGTCAATAAACAAAAGCCACATCGGAGAGAAAAAATAACCAGCAGCATTTTCCTAACCTGCTCGAAGAAGAGTCCGACCCCAAATTTCTTAAGACTGTTGCTCTTTGGCTCCAATCCAATCAAATCGCTCTCGTTCATTGCAAAAATTTCGGAATCTACACCGAGAGACGCGCAGCCTTGCCATGAATCGCCTGATCGGAGACTCTGGCCATCGGTCCCAGTCTAGTAGTGTCTGGATTCCAGCGGCGTGGAAGGGACTACTGAGCCGCTAGTCCTAAACATACCCACGCCGACGCCACCAACCGCTTATCAGATGGTGGGTGGTCTATTATTTTACCTGGAGGCCCGCGCTCGCATGCCCGCCCATGGAATTGCTCGAACACGCCGGAAAGGATAGGGACGTTCAGAATCCGCTCCAAAAAAGGCAGACCACTCAACCTTCCATGGAGCGACAGCACATGACCGATGGAATTTTTTCGCTGTCAAAAGTCTCTCACACTCTCAGCTTTCCGGTGCCAAGACGCGGATTTTGTCGGGTTCGACCGCGCGCTTCGATTCCATTACATACATACACAAAATCTTGACCCACAAGTGATCCCTCCTCCACGACAAGCTTAGCCAATGCCCAGTCGCATCTCTTCACAAGGAAAGTACTGGCTTGTGCAGTCATGCTTCCGCACAGGAAATCATGCTTTCTTGGTGGCGTGAACCCTCTTGAACCAAGGTTTCCGCCCGGACTGTTCGGCTAATCAATCATATCCATCTAATCTAATCAGATTTTTCATCCTGTCGTTCCTGAGAACTTGTCTCGGATGGCATTCGGTCTGGAAGGTACCTTTGGTCCCACGAAACCCCGAGACTCATGGCACTCCTGTCGGCACTTCTGGCTACTGGTCTAGGGAAACGGTTTGCCGAGTTGGCCTCGAACTTCTTGGCCTTGGTTCTCGACGCAAATCTGGCCTCCAAGTTAGCACCTAGGCTACGCACGACAAACATTATGTCAATGTGAACCTTAGAGACTGACCGGAACCGGAGACCGGAACTCCTTTAACTCCCTTTCTAAGGCTCAGGCAGTACGGCCCTTTCTAGAACGTTGCTATAGGGTCTAGTCGCCATAAGACTAAATACCACTCGTTAACCTATACGTCCTGAAATTCCTGCGTTCACATAGCGCTCTCCAGAGTGAAAAAGTGTTCATGGTGGGCTAGTTGGCTCAGAGATTGATTGTCTCCCCGATGCGAATAGCATATTATACAGATGTAGTGCAGGGCAGGTCCTTCGTTGAAAATACATAGAGGCATCCATAGCCCAGCCTTGATGACGGCCTTTCGAATGACATGATCCAAACACGTCTTTCGCATACTCCACGTAAAGCGTCAATCGTTGAGTGAAGCCACTAGGATTGCGTGCCTTGGTTATGCAGTATGCGAAGGGCTTGTTCCAGCCAATAGTAAACTTACTCCTCTCCGGAGTAAAGCTCAAAATCTGGCTCTTCCTCATCTATTCTTTCTTCACGGCTTTTTCTTTTCTAGGAACATATCAGCTGCTGTACGGGAGCCAGAGGGGAAGACGAGGCACCGCGTGGAAGAATGGCCTACTGACCTGTTTAGTGCTCACGTTCTTTCTACCCATCTCAAGTGGCCATGGGACCTGGCTCAACTATGTTTGTTCGTGGCTTGTTTGCTGAATACGAGATTTTGAGTGCGGGACGCGACTATCGAGGTGAAGTTGCTTCGTGCGCGTCTTCAAGGTCAATCCAATTATGCTCTATGTGCATAAAAAGCCCCAATAACATGGTTCCCTGCTTACGTAGATTCTGCCTCAAGAGGATAACTAGTCCACCAGGACCACCAGTTGCTTCTCTCAGACACCTGTGGCCAGATATCATGGAGAAGCAGTCTAAGTCTCTCGGGGAGTCTCACGGAGCCAAATTGATTCCGTCGTATCTCTCGCGCCCTCTTTCCAACCCTCTCTACATTTAGCGATCCAGGTTCTTTGAAATTGTATCGTGTGACCAGTATTGACCGTGAAAAATAGTCAAGGGCATAAATCTCTCCACGGGGGAACCCTCTATTTCTAAATGGCACAATACGAAGGTACTGCAGGCACCCCAAGCGCAAGTTTCTCATCGGTAGCCGCATAGATGAATGTCTTTCGGAGAGCAGTCAGATCCTGCGTGTCAACGTAGCGCTTTGCTAGCTCGGGTCGAGCGTTATAATAAAGATCCAGTACAAGGCTATAAAGATCCAAAAATTTCCTAAGAGCTTTGTACAATTCACACTTTTCTTAGCTACCTATTAACCTTTTTATTTAAAGACGTAGCTCTTCTAACTTTGAGCAGTAAGTCGCTAGCTGAATAATATCAGATACCTTGAGTCTAGGGTATACCGACTAGGCTAGGCCAGAGAGCTCTACAATATGCCCCTTTAATCACGGACCATACCTCTTAATAATAATAAGTAAATTCTTCGCGCTACGAAGTTAGTGAAGATAAAGAAATTTCAACGGTAGAAATGCCCGTATAGCGGTAATTAAATCATCGTGATCGGTCTTAAGATGCATCTAGGGCCGACCTGTAGGACTCGGCCAGATAAAGAGTCGTTCGAGATTAGGAAAGAGTCTCGCTATTTTCACCAAGTTCGCCGGATCGTCGACATACGCAAGGGCAAGTATTTTAATATTAGAAAGATTTCCAGTAGCTGCTAACTTAAAAAGAATATTCTCGTGTAGTCCACAGCTAGAGATTGTAATTAGTTCTAGTAGAGATATTTGTAGGGGGTACGTAAGCAGCCCTCAAGTCTTGCCATTCTTTTCTTAGCCGAGCGATCGGGAATTTAGATAACCCAGTTTTACCCTATAGGTCGGGATGCTGCAACCCGAGAGCGTGGACAAGAAAAGGCAATACCTCCTCGATGGCTTCGCGTCTACCTACTCGGCTTCGGTTATAGACAATATTCACAGCGAGAGAGTGAAGGCCCGCTAGTCGAAGAACATTAATATCGAATTCGTAGTCGCTGAAAAGATCACGTGGGTTAAGCTAATGCTTAGTTTCTCTATCAAGCACACTATATGCCACCGACTGTCGCCAAATGATATTCACCGCGCAATTTGGATGATAGTAGAATAAAGCTTGCTCCAAGCCAGTTGTGAATTCGTTGTCCGTGATAAAGTTAAGCTGCTCCAAGTGGTTTAGACGAGATATAAGAGATTCTGGTGCCCAGCTTCTTTCCCTTAGATAAAGTCCACCACAGCTAGTGACCAGGACATTCACGCCCGGACACGGGTTGCAAGTAGACAACCAATACTCCAGAAAGCTACCTCTCGTTGCCGGCTTTGTGCTGATCAAGGCTCTAACTTCCAATGAAAAGCCTTTTCCGCCCTCTTTCCTTTTGCTTTATTGAGATATACAATGTATAGTCTCCTAGCGTATGTGATGAAATTGTGTCCTTTAGGATTCTCTATCACCGCCGAGACGGCCGCTTGCAGGCTTTCCATACCCCAGAATTTAAGAGTAAGATCCTGGTAGAGAATTTAAGCCGCCACCTTGTAGCAGATGCGATTGACCCTGCTAAAGAACGCGAGATATCCGCGAGAACCATACTGAGGGCCTCGTAGCTAATTATCATTATAGCACAATCGGAATAAAGGCCGTTTCGGCGTACATAGAAGCAAATAAGCGTCAGAATCTCATCTGGGACGCACTTCATTGTATTCAAAGTCATTACTCATCTCTCAAAGTGAGGATCAAAGATAGGAATCGAGCTGATTTGGGTTGGAGAATACATCACTAAAGAGTAAATACATGTTTGTTTGTGCGGCACTTACCGGGCGCTGGGCACGGATAGTCTGATGAAATCTAGAACCTATCCATGCCCGTCAGAATCAGGGTTAGTAAGCAAGTGCCGAGGTGGCCTTAGTTAAGGTTACCACTACAAATTACGGCGACGTCTAATAATTTTTCAGGGGAACATACCGAAAGCTCGTCAGCACCAGTGGTTCTGTCTTTCTCGTTACGGTCTCCTCAAGCCGGCTCTTCTCCTTGCGCTGAATATGGCGCGACTATTGGACCTTCCGGATGAGCTGATCTTATTCATTGTTAACTACGTGCAAGCAGGCAATGAACAGACAACATTGCCATTCTTTGAATGGGGAGATGCGTATAGAAGCGCGATTGAACAGAATCCATCACAACGAGTCAAGGACCTGCGCTCTTTATACCTTGTGTCACGTCGCTTCAACAATTTGTTAAAACCAACCTTCTACCGCAACCTCTGCGTTCATGCACCTTCATTTCGCAATCACCCTCTGGGCCAGCTGGAGCGTACACTTGAGACTGATCCAAATCTTGAAGAACATATCGTTTCAGCGATTGTCCCTTGCAAAGACTCAATACTTGACATTTATCGCTTTTTCTGGTTCCCCAACATTCAGACACTCACCGTTCTCCGGTTCAACGACTGGGAGCCTTTGGAGTTTGAAGATGATTCATATGTTGGCACATCACCGGTCACGACGCTGAAATTGATAGGTTGCGGAGCACATGAGGAAGCTTTGGCCGCTGTACTGAGCTGGCCAGCCGCACTGGAAGTGCTCCATTACGACGCTGAGCAAGGCGAGTGGGAAGGCCACTATGGCGATGAGCCCGCCAAAAGCTGGACATGCGCTACTTTTGTACGAACCCTGCAGCCACACAAGGAGACTCTAAGGGAATTGACCCTCACACGGCCGTGGCTCGATCATGAAGGGTTGGGCAACGGACCACGCATTGACCTGAGCAATTTCACGGCTCTGACCACGCTCCGCATCTACCAAGTCTTTCTATGCGGATGGGACGACTGCCTCGAGGCCTGGAAAGGCCTTCCTCGTAACCTGGAGGAATTGGAGGTCTTTTACGATGATACGGTCCTCACCAGGTTCGATGAAGATGAGTTTCTGCAGGGCCTAGTGGTGCACAAAGAGGCTCATTTACCCCGGTTACGGACAGTGTCGATCAACTCACCCGAGATGCAATGGGAAGACCCTCAACCTTCCGGTCCATGGACACCGCCCTCTCCTCTGGCGCGAGCGTTTGAAAATGCAGGCGTGAATTTAGCCGTGTGGTTGGGCGCTACTGAAGCTCCAAAATTTGAAGAACTGGACATTCCTCAGCTTTTCGACCCATCGAGAACAAGGCGCTGACTTGATTGATGATAAAGGGATCTCGCTAAGCGTTGGTACCGATGGATAACTTGGATTCACCTACTTGCGTTACATATATCAGGGTGTCTTTTGCAGAGATAAAGAGGGTAGCCCAGCCAGGGAATGTTCGGCCTGCGTGTGTCGAAGATCGATACAGGCAGGTTGGGTGCGCTTGCGTATCTCTCCAAGACCTTGTTCCAGATTCGCTAGACAGCGTGAATGACAGGAGACTCTGGTGCTGTGTTTGACCAAGTCCACGTTAGCTGTGCAGATAACTTGTAAGGCTCAGACTTGCAGCTGTAGAGCCTCGATGCCACCAAGTTGTAAGTGGCATTTGACAAGATTCAGTTTGGGAGTAAAAAGAACGGGAGTCAGATGATAGGTCTCCGAAACGTGCGTGCTAGAAAGCTGAGTTCCGACAAGGCCTACATTTTGATCGCCCAGCAAGTACAGAGTAGTGATGGTAATATGTGGCCTAGGCCGAACGAAGGCGATAACCCGAGGTAATAAACGGCGGCTATAGGATTTGCTTTAGATATATATGAAGTTCTCGTGTGGGATATGCTAGAATCATAGCGGCAAGATATTCAGGCATCCGTCTATAGAGACACTCCGGAAAGTTTGGTCGGGATGCACTGGCGGTGTGTGCAGCGAGTCGATTCCGATGCATGCAGACACGAATACGTACATGCCTTTGCAGGAGCCATGTGCCATTGCATCCACTCTAATCAAAGTTCTCCAGCTGTGTAAACTTGCGGGGTTTGAAATGCCCCATCCTTGCCGCAACTTTGGGCGAATCCCAGAGAACGCGGGATTAGACGAGAATGAACTCCAGCACGTTCGAGCGGAATTGCAATTTCATTTCTGGCCACCTCGGATACGATATGTCAACAATAATAAGCAACGGACATATCGAATCTAAGCTGTTACAAAATCCGGACCTTGCAGGTGAACTATGGCGTGTAACGACTTAGCTAGCTCCAGTAGACGGTTCGCCCTGGCGCCTTTCAATCTACACTTAATCTCCTTTGCTGCTCGCCCAAAGACCCTTGCTAAATGCTAGCTAAATTCTTGTTGTTGCCGCCAGATTTCTTTATCTCCGGACGCGAAAACGAACGCCTCTTGCTCAAGCCTCTCGAACGCGTGACAATTTTACCAAACGACGAGGCTCTGGGCGGCGCCGAATCCTTGGTCCATGGCACACAACCCCTCGATCCCGTCAATCAGCGTAGACTGAAATCGGCTAGATGATGCCGAACACGAGTCCTCGCCAATGACTGCCCTGCCCGTCTCCCCCGGGCAAAGTCAAAGCCCCGGGCCCTTGTCCGAGATTCGCACAAATCCTCGCATATCTCTGGATCATATTTTGCATCCGTGCTGCATAAATCGAAAAAAATCGGGGGCGGCCGACAAGAATTTGGCACTCCACCATTTAAAGTACCCTCCTAAGGAAAGAGTCCACTTTAAACACTGGGTAAATAGAGGATTATCCATCATTGCGATCCCCTTCCCCCCCCCCCTTTTTTGTGCGCGGGTCGTGATCCTCCCCCCCCAATTTCCTCATTATGTCTTTGCGCTCCACTCGATTAACATGTCTGCCCCTATCGTGATACATTTGAAGCCGTGTTATTTGGAGGCCTGTGTCTCAAGCGCCCAATTTTTATTCACGCTGTCCAATTCACAGTGTCTATAGGGCACGAATATACCTGCTACGATGATACAGTTACTCCTACTGCTCTGTATCCAGCGGGCTTAACCTGGAATGGCAAAGAGGTTGTCTATCACCAAAGACTACTGGGCCGCCCAGTCAGTCACCCCTCGACCCGCCCCCAAGAAAGCTCAATTTGCCTTCGATCATCAATGGCCCCATGATGTCTGGGAGGCCGCCAATGTTGGCCCATTTGATTCGCTATCTTTCTCACCTTTGGGCAAGCTGCCATTCTTCCAACCCAACAACCTTCCGGAAGGGCGCAAAATCGAAACGCACTGTTCGCTTTTCTTCTTTTTATCTCCGATGGCCGTTATGTACATAACACATCTCCTAAGCATGACCCCATCTACAGTTTTAAAGTCTTATGTACACTAACGGCACTTCCATCCCCTGTACTCCCGGAAACATGCATCCACGCCCCCTGCAAGCGCACCAGGATAATGATTCGCCTGCGGCTTGAAAAGCCATCGTGCTTCCACTTGTGGATATTTGCCTACAGGTGAACAGCACCGTCTGTAGCCCCGGTCTGAGAACGCCGAAAGCCCGACTGAGGTGCGCCAGCTTGGCTCTGGAAATTGTCCGTTCTGATTCCCAGTCACTTGGGTCGGAGGTCCTCTTTTCTTCATTATTAGTCTGGTTGACCTAACAAACTAGCCTCCTGCACTTGCGCGGTCTGGGACTTTGGGGGTCGGAGGTGGTAGCTAACGAGCCAACTAACGACTATTGAACCAGTTGGTTGCATTATTATTATTATTCTTTATATCTGTTCTCCATTTCTCTTATTTTAGTTTCTCCCGCCCTCCACTTGCTTCCCCTCCTCTCTCTCCTCTCCCTTTTCCCGTTCTTGCCTTCCTCACTCCCATTTATGGCCTACGAAGCACTATCCACGGAGGTGTGTCTAGCTTGACCTACCCTTTTACTAGTGGTCGGTGTACTCGCCGTCGGCAATCACCGCGTGCGACTGAATCCTTCTCGAAGTCGGGCAATCGCCGTCTGAGCGCTGCTCACTCAAAGCTTGTCTTACCACATAATCTGCAGCTTTGCTTTGCGGGATAGTCTTCGACCCGCCAATCAGCGATCTAATTTGCAATTCGTAGCTTAGAGCCGCGAATGCTCTGCGAATTGTACACGAAGAACTTCCAAACATGAAGGACGACAAAGGTATGAATAAAAGCCCCTCGATTGTCAATCGGAAATTATCCGCTCGTGACGCTCAGACAGAATGCGGAAAGAAAAGTTGGCAAAAAGCAACACTAACAATGCTACAGCTGCAACTGCAGCGGATACGGCGTCAATTGACGGGTCGACACCAGCGGCAAGTAGCCAGGAAGCTCATCATGTCGATGACGAAAAGCGATCGTTTCAAGAAACCCTAGATGTGGAGCGGGGACCTACCACGGACATCGAGAAGCAGGACTTTGAGCAAGCCGTCGAGGAACCTCGCGATCCAAATATTGTCGACTGGGACGGCCCCGATGACCCTGAGAATCCACTCAATTGGACGACGAAGAAGAAGGTGTCGGCGACGATTTCAATTGCACTAATCACACTTCTCACGTACGATCCCTCACAAAGCGCAATCATCAATTTGATCTAACATATAGCTTATAATAGGCCTCTTGGATCATCTATGTTCGCCCCCGGCGTCTCACAATTGGTTCAGGACTTCCATATCACGAGCACAGAACTTTCATCTTTTGTGGTCTCCGTGTATCTAGTCGGCTACTGCTTTGGCCCTCTCCTCATTGCGCCAATTTCCGAGATTATCGGCCGCCGCGTCGTTTACAATACGTGTAACTTTCTCTACGTCGTCTTCACCATTACCTGTGCCGTTGCTCCCGAAATTGGCAGTTTGACGGTCTTCCGGTTCCTGGCCGGCTTCGCCGGTAGCTGTCCACTGACAATCGGCGCTGGCTCGATTGCAGACATGTTTGCCCAGGAAAGGCGAGGCGGTGCTATGGCTGCGTGGGCTATGGGTCCTTTGATCGGCCCTGTCGTCGGACCAGTTGCTGGTGGATATCTAGCCCAGGCCAAGGGCTGGAGATGGACCTTCTGGGTTCTTGCCATGGCTAGTGGTCTTGTCTTTGTCATTTCTATCTTCACCATCCGGGAGTCATATGCACCAACCCTTCTGGCTGCGAAGACGAAGAAGCTGCGCAAAGAAACTGGAAACCAAAATCTCCGCTCCGCTCTGGACACCGGCCGCAGTCCAATGGATCTGTTCTTGTTCTCCATCGTCCGACCAACCAAGATGCTCTTCATGTCACCTATTGTTTTCCTTCTCTCCCTCTACGTGGGCGTCATATATGGATACCTCTACCTCCTCTTTACTACCATCAGCTCCGTTTTCGAGGGTCAGTATGGCTGGTCACAAGGATCCGTTGGTCTATCATATCTGGGGATCGGCATCGGCTCCTTTTTTGGACTGTTCCTTCTCGGTGCCACGTCCGACCGCTTGCTCAACCATCTCGCTGAAAAGCATGGCGAGAGAAAGCCCGAATATCGACTGCCGCCTATGATTCCTGGCTCATTCTTTGTGCCCGTATCCCTGTTCATCTATGGATGGACGGCCTATTACAAGACCCACTGGATCGTTCCGATTATTGGAACGGCCTTCCTCGGTGTTGGCATGCTCGTCTCTTTCGTAAGTCTTCAAGTGCTATTATTTTCAGTGCTATTTCATATACTTACGATGCCGTCTATCTAGATGACCGTCAGCACCTATCTCGTCGACGCCTTCACTACCTACGCCGCCTCCGCCATGGCTGCCAATACCGTCTTCCGATCTCTGGCCGGTGCATTGCTCCCACTTGCCGGTCCCAAAATGTACGAGAAACTTGGACTAGGCTGGGGTAACTCATTGCTCGGCTTCATTGCTCTAGCTCTTTGCCCGCTGCCAGTGATCTTCTACGTCTACGGCGAGCGCATTCGAACAAGCAAGCGCTTCCGAGTGGAGTTCTGAGTCTTCCAGATGTCTCCGTTTCTGACCCTTAATTTCTGTGGTCATTGCTGCCAATTTGATGCATTGCACGTCTTTGGCTCTTGTGTATATCATGCATGTCCATATGAAAAGGAGATCAGACCAGTTGGTCGAGTTAGGTTAAGTCATGCCGAGTCAGAAGCATTAATCAGGCGCTCTGTGGTTGTGAATATTCTGTGAGAACATTGCAAAGGGACAATTTAGATATTATCAGTGGTTATGCTTATATAGATATGAGTATATGAGCTCTCCTTGTTACGAATTGATGTTTGAAATTTGATTCAAAGTTGCTATATACATTGAAAATACCTCAACAGACAGACCCTATGAAAATTCAATAAAAAGACTGCCTTACCTTCGAATATACCCAAATTCTCTAGTAGATCACGACGGCTCAAGAATAAGGAAGACAACATACTTGGGGGTTATGATTGCGCTCCTGATGAATTTGTAAATTTTTCATCTGAAGAGCTTTGGGTCACGAATAGCAGAAGTCTCTTGTCCTCGATATGAACTCTTCGGCCGGACTTCGCAATCGCCGCGGGAACAGATTGGAGCACGCATGACAGCTAGGCGACGCTGAGAAAGGATATTGATTGACAGCTTTTACCAAACCTCGGCCACCATGCATGGTCAAGGTGTTAATTCTATTTCCCGAGTTCGGACATTGCATGTCCGGATATCCGACACCTTGATTAGTCGACGCCGCGTTTCTTTTTTGAAATAAAGATTCGTCAAAGTACTGGAAAGTCTCCGGAAGTGAGCAGGGAGCGTGCAAAATCTTTACGCACTATCAGACACGATCTCAGCCAACCACCAGAGAAATGAATGCTTTAGATGACTGGGCAGGCCCTCTCGATCCTGACAACCCTCGCAATTTTCCCCTGTCGATCCGCATATTCAGCATAGTTTCTACGACAACACTGGCATTTGTCAGTTCTTTTTCAGGAGCAATATATGCCCCAGCTCAAGACGATGTCATGACAGCGTTATCCTGCACATATGAAGCTTCGCTACTTCCGCTCTCATTATTCAATCTGGGACTCGCAATTGGCCCACTTATTGGAGCGCCTCTTTCTGAACATTATGGAAGAAAATCTGTCTTTGTCCTCACGACGCCGGTTTTCATATTGTTTCTGCTCGGTGGTAGTTTCGCCAAAGACATAACTGCCCTGTGCATCTGTCGACTCATTGCAGGCGTCTTTGCGGCTCCGAATGTCAACAATGCATCCGCTCTCATCTTGGATTACTCCGAAGTCCGTTATCGAGGAGTGAATATTGGTGTCTACTACAGTGTACCTTCGATGGGTGCATCTCTGGGACCGCTCGTTGGAGGCTTTGTCATGCAAGCTACAGAGGACTGGCGCTGGACACAGTGGACCGCTATAATCATCGCAATTGTCTGTTGGATTCCTTTGCTTTTCACAAGGGAGACGTACAAGAAAGTCATCCTGAGGCGTCGTGCAATACGATTAGGTTTGTCAGATCAGTCATCCCAGCAAACGTCCAAGTCCAAGGCTCTACACTATTTCTTTACGGTTCTGATTCGGCGACCTTTGCATATGCTGCTTACGGAACCAATCGTGACATTTGTTAGTCTATACAATGGCTTAATATTTGGGCTGCTGTACACTTTTGTGACTTGCATTCCATGGATTTTCCAGCACTATTATGGTTTCAATAGAACTGGAGAATCACTCTCTTTTCTTGGTGCTAGTCTTGGCACTTTGATTGCGTGTGGTCCATTTGTTTTGATGGACTTCCTATTCTATCAGAAGAAGTTGCACAAATGGAACGATACTCACGACCAATGCGTGCAGCCTCCGCCAGAGACCCGACTTGTGCCGGCACTCCCTGGGAGCATCTTGCTACCTATCAGTCTCTTTATCGCAGGTTGGACAGCACACTACCGCATACATTGGGCAGTTCCAATCATGTTCCAAGGTGTAGCAATGATGAGCTGTTTGCTCGTGTATGCGGGAGTAAGTATCTTTGTGCTGGATTCTTATGGCCCACTTTACGGGGCGTCGGCCTCGGGAGCAATGATGCTTGCTTGATATTCCATGAGCTTTGCTTTCCCGATGTTTGCGTTACGGATGTTTGAGAGCTTAGGTGTTGGCTGGGCAACAAGTGTCCTGGGTTTTTTGACCTTGGTGATGGCACCGATACCTTGGTGTTTCTGGGTTTTTGGTGAACGGTTAAGGAGAAAGAGCAAATATGAGACCAGTCTTTGATTTGCAATATTGCATTTATTCAAGATAGTCGCCATCTTTCTAACCTGCCGATATCAACCAATGGAGTTGTTCAAAATGGCCATTCTTGCTGATCTCACTGCGAGAACACACAGCCTTGTACCCGTTATCAACAGCTTGAATCTGCTTATTCTTATTACTGTTTCAATCACTCCGACTGCTCATACATCAGTCGGCCTGTTAACATTCACCCTAGGACTTACTATAACCTCCGGCTCCATGCCAAAAGGCAACCTTCCAATGACCAATGGGGAAGAAGCGAGCTGGTTCGGGAAATTGTTCGCTCGCCATTTCCCTCTGCCCGGTTATGAATCTTTCTGCTGTCTCAGCTACCCAAATTTTCACCCTCTCCATTCATCTCAAATGATTTCTATCCAACTACTATCCGCTAAATATTCCAAAGATAGAATCTTCCCCAAATAATATATCATCCGGGATATCGCCTAGCATGGATACATCCCAAACCCCTGATTCAAGATTCTGATTAGTGTGGGAATCTAGAGCGGCATATGCAGCGACTAGAATATCAGTCAAAGTCAGCGATTTATTGAAGTATAGCGCTGGAATGGGGATACTTACCAGTGGGCGTTGAGCAGATCAGAACTGGCTCTTCCACTTCAATACCAGCTGGTACGCTCCCGAGTCGTCGCATCAGGGATTTGAGTAGCTTCAGGGGCCGCTTCAAGCCATAGCAAGTCCCCTTCTGATACTCTGAAAGTGCAGACCATAGGAACTGAATACAAGCGGCGTACTCGTTGCTGTCATGGCTTGTATGTTGAAGGATGACGAGGGCTGCACAGTAAGTCGCGTACCAGATGCCATATTGGGCGCGTCTAAGAGTGAAGACTTGTTTATAGGCTTCTACAAGCCTCCAGATCCTGAGCGCTGCCTGTATGCATAGTTTTCGAGAGGTTTCCGCTGAATCAGGATCTAAAGTGAAATTGAAACGACCACGGTTGAGAAAGGCCTGCTCGGTCAAAATAAGTAGAGTCCAATACAGCGCGCTTGAGAGTAATTAGTGGATTAGATCTGAAGATGAAAGTGACTTTGTGGATTCCTTACTGTGGTGTGATTTGATGTGGCGGAGGCGTGGTGTCCACCCTTGGATCAAACAACAGCCAGGATGGAAGATTGTCCCACCAATAACTGAGTCCTTCAGTGATCTCACTTTTTATGCGTAAAAGGGCTGACTCTGAGCTTGTTAGGCTTCCAACGGAATAGAAAGCTTGGATGATTCGAGCCGCAATCTTGGAAAGTTGTAGCAAGGTCTGGAATGTGCTAACGGCACGGGATGGTTGACCACGATAGGGTTGAAGAGACCCATCATCAGGTTGACAGAGAGTGTCAACATATGGTGTCCACTCTTCCATTTCTTCAAAGGAGTCGAGATACTTCTGTTTGACATTTCCAGTAGACTCGTGCATAGCAATCGGTCGGCCAAGAAACAAAGACTGGAATTTGTCACCGACAAAAGCGCCCCAGTAAATTCTTTTTTTCATTTCTTGCTCAATAGCTGCGGCTTTTGAGGCAGCTGGATTATCCAAGTGGCAACCAAGGTCGACGATCATTTGATATCCCATACCAGAAAGTGCCCACCCAGCACTTTGGTAGCCATATGGAACCAGACATGCTCCACATGTCAACAAAGCCACTACAGTTGGAATCGTAGGTTTATCAATATAGTTAGGCAGTAGAGACTTGAAGCGCTCGTAAAATACCGAACCCCTCGAATTCGACTCCCTACCGTCAAATAAAGAAGACTTCCGATCACTGTACATGCTGTTTTGGAGATAAAGAGCATTTAAGAGCAGCTTGTTCACGTAGGGACCATTTTTGACGAGACTATCCATTATGGCGGGGCGATAAGTGAGCAAATAGGATAAATGTTGACGGTTCAAATGCAGCTCTAAAAGATGCATTGCAAAATCCATTGGAACGCCATCAAAATCGATGTTGGCTCCAATGCTCGGTGTTAATGCAAGGCTACGCTCTTCTTGCCTGCATATGTACTGGATAATGTCTGGCGCCCCGTGACTTGCTCTTTCCGTTTTAGTGCTCACTGCTTGTTCCTTGAGCAGAACTGAGCACGACCCTGAGCGGCCCGATCTGCTCATGGAGCATGACATAATCACAATGATCCACTCACTGATCGCCCTGATTCGCTCACTGAGCCCGCCCTTGAGCGCCCTGAGTAAGCATACCCCCAATAAAGTGCACCCTGCTAGTTCCGTCCCCGCGAAGGGAAGCATAGGAGGACTATTATCCCTCAATATTGCCATTGCTAAGGAAAAGGATTATAAATGCCGTCACCATAGCAGGGCCCGTCGATGGCATACCCACTGACATTCTGCACGGGGACCCCATTGGCTCCAAAACGAACCACGTTGGCTCCATACGTATACGGATTCCACCCAATAGCGGGAGGACCGTTCTCAGGATCCTTCATGAACGCCAGAATATGATCTTGCATGGCCTCACTGGTCCTGATTTCCATCGCAGTTGGCCCCGCAGTAGAGTTTGTCCGGTTATAGAAATAGGTCCCAAAGTTCATCATCAGATCCGAGGAATGATACGCCCCTAGCCAGGAGTACGGGTTCTGGTTAGGCCACACTCCCGCGTACTGATAGCGATATGTCGTCAAGTTGGCCCTTTCGCGGAAAATGCTGGTCTTCGCAGTAGGGCAAATAAATGCAGCGAGAGTTCCTGCATTGACAAAAGGCTGGTACGGCCCTGCAGTGACATTGCTAGAAGGCCAGGTGTATAGAGAACCATATTCGTTCCCAGTGGTCGAGAAAATAGCCGGGCGATGCGAGATCTTGCCAGCGGCGGCTCGAGCTGAGTAGTTGGAGAAAATCAGAATTTCGTCGGGAATTGGGTCGAAACTCAAGCTTGCAGGACCGTCGTACTGGCCTATAAAATTCTCAATTAGGTCCACTGGAACCTGCTGCATACACTCGAGCTCTGCCGTCGCGTCGTCCGGAAAGTCGCAGCCCAGATTCTTGGCCACAGTTGTAAAATTTGAGTGTGAGTAATCGGATGAAAAAACCGACGGAAGGGACATAGCTGTACCTGACTGCGAGAAGCTGCCGTGTACAATCGGGTTCTCCCAGAAGGCGTAATTGTGAATATCAGTGCTCATCGCACCAGCAGACTGGCCCCACATCATAATCGACTCAGGATCACCACCAAAGGCAGCGATATTTTCATGAACCCATTCAAGAGCTAGACGCTGGTCTAGAATAGCAGGGTTAGGGCTATCAAGTGCCCTTGCATTCGGAAAGCCAAAGATATTGAGCCGGTAGTTGATAGTCACGACGATATGTTCCTGCGAGCGGTTCACCCAGGGCGCTGGGATCTGACCTGGAACATCCACTCCATTGGTTTGAAGACCACCTCCAGTCATAAAAAACGCGACGGGGAGCTTAGCATCTACCGGAACGTCGTATGGGGTCCAGATAGCGAGGCTTAAGCAGTCTTCAGAAGCAGTCTGGAGACTCAAGCCGGTAGAGTGATTTTGGTTGCCATTCACCGGTTGCAGATAAGGCACGAAGAGATTCCAGAAGCTCTCCCCGCTAGATACAAACTGGGGGCACGAGGGCGGGAAGCGTGTTGAGTAGTGGTGCTGCTTCGATGAGGGTAGCCGTTGTGGAGGTTGGAAGCGAAGCGAGCCTACTGGAGGCTGAGCGAAAGGGATATTGCGGAATTCGCGTACTCCAGTGAAGTCTTTATTCTGAAGACCAGTGAAAATTCCCGTTTCAGTGTGTACTGTTAGGGACGAGCCTGCGCTTACTTGGGCCACAGTGGCGAAGACTGCACCGGCTACTACACCGGCTTGGCGGAGGGAGAAGGTCATGATTATACGCTCGCTGTCGAACTCAATAAGAGAGGACTTATGGAAGATGTCCCCGGCAACTATCTTTATGTCTTTCTAAGTAACTGAAGTGCGGGGGAAGAGTATGGATTGGCCTAATTATTGACCTAATTCGGCTATCGCTTCGCAGTCTTGAACCAGAATAATGGTTCTGTAGTGCCGGCAATTCGTCGGCAAATCTCCTTAAAAGGAAGCGATCAGCATTTTTTTCAGATTGTACGGAGTATACCAAAGCCATTCGGAATCATAATTCGCGGGACAAGGAACATTTTCAACTCTACAAATTCCGTAGAACGCAAAGGATGGTGCTGTGGGCAAATCCCAACAATTCTAGTTTCTTTGGCTTGGAAGCGCTGAATATATATCCCAAAATGGGTTAGAGCATAACTGTGGTGTGGAACTTACGGCAATCGTATTGGCCGGAGACAAAACATAACACCGCCGATGCTAGAAGCATTCTGTAAGAAATCTACTCGAAAAGCCTAGTCTTTACGAGGAAACGGTGGTCTTTCTACAAGTTGGTTCGAAATCAGTTTCACCACATAATTCTCTTTGATTCTTTCCCAACCCCTATTCCGAACCGAACTATAACTAGTTAACTACCTATTCTGCTTACTTTATTCCTGTACCTTGCTCTTAGTAATAAGGTTCGACAGATGCTTTTCTTTGAAGATTTTATTGAGGAACTTCGACATCACTGTGGGAAGTATCCTGCGGGCTAACGCTGCAAAATTGGCCTTTTGGCAGTTCTACCCGCTGCAAAGTGCGTTGACCGCAGGTTGACCTACACGCGGGAGAGAGAGAGCGAGGACCCACACGTGGGGCGTGTGTGACAATCTGAGGGTTAAGGCACCAAAGCTCCGCCGCCTACGGCGACTATTAGCTAGAGATGTATGGAGTCATTCCTCACATGACTCTACTGATTTGATCACAGCGTCTGAGCCCATGCTGACATCTACTCACTGAGCCTGAGCCTGAGCGCTCTCATAAAAGCGGCGGTAGCCCAGATAGGAAAACCCCACCTGGTAGACATTATCCTGTCTATATAGCTGCATATAGCTGCGTTCGAGATGAGTTGATCTTGAACTATCTCAGGTGGCAAAAATCGCGTCCCAACGTCTCCATTTTTCTGGTTTGCCAGTGGTGTATCGGATGACTGGTCGTGGAGCAAGGATGTCGCACCATAGACTTGAGAACCATCTTCTGCTAACATTGTTTCCGGGGAATGGGCGGTGTCCAGCCTCGCCTGTGCTCTTGTGTGGGATGAAGAAGCGGGTGTTACATGATACTGGGTATAGCCTTGGGGCACTTCGGGCTGTGACAAGGCTACGCCTGCCGAATTGTCCGTAAGCTCCACTTGTTTTCCTTGGAGCGCTTCAATCTTTCTTTGTAGCTCCCTGAGATCCGCTTTCTTAGCCCGCACAATTGTTCTCCGCGCATCTTGCGTGTAGACACAATCGATGCCTCTTGATTGGCAAGATCCGCATCGTGGATGCTTATTATCACATTTGATCTATTCGTTGCATGAGCTCACGTCTAGCGGAGTCCACAAGTGGACCGTGAATAATGCAAGGGAGATGAATTTAGAAAGGACAAGGGGCAGGCTGAATCAGATGGTGTATTGCTTGGAGGGGAATTTTCGCTGGGATCCCTGGAGCAAATTCGGGATTCGGTAGAAATATCTCACCTTTTTACGTCGACATCTTGTGCATGTACGACAAGTAGCATCCGTCGCAGGCGTCGACGAGTAGGGTGTACTATCAGGCGACTGGGAGGCTCGAAGTCTGGGCGTCGGAATCACCTCAGACATTCTGCGAACGGTAGCTGGATTTCCCCCGCCAGAATTGTGAAATTGAGACTGCTCGGACTCGTGGACCCGTGGACTCGTGGACTCGCGGACATCCTACGGACATCAGGACACACGGAAATGTGGGGAAGTCCGGCTACTTACACGAAGCGCCGAGGATCCTTCCATAATAATACCCGCCACTCGGTCTTTCTCACCCTCACCGAGACCAAGAAAGTAGTGGTTCCAGAACTTGGACGTGATATGTCTTCTTGACAAAAAGATAGTCTGGAATCACCCCTTTGAAAAATACCATCTCCTGTCCCGCTGCTATGTGAGATCATTTTATCATCTTTGCCTACGCTCAGTACTCGGGATGGCCAACTACGCTGGATCCCACAAGAGGACTTTCATTTCAAATAAATACTTGGCAGGCCAACTCGCTGCATGACCTTCGACATCAAATTTTGCTTATGATGAATCAGTTTCAATAAATTCTCCCTGCTCGCTTGGTCTGATGCGCCTTTGTGCGGTGTTGGTCAATCGGCGATCTTGAGCTGCCTCAACCTTCGTCTTCATCTATATGTACTGTAACCTGAGATATCGACTCCATGTGTGCCCTAGTTCTTATATCCGACGCATCTGTCTAATTTATTACTTCCATCTTACCCAAATCACCATGTTGCTGCTCAAACACACTTATACAATATCGGATCGATGAAGCGATTTTGTGATTGTAATATGCATCACAAGAGAAGGACCCCTATTCAACCAAATTTTAAAAAGAGCATTACGTTGCAGCAAAGAGGTCTACAGGTACTTGGATATGAATTCTCTTATGCACACCCTTATAACACTGATTCCAAACAGCGTCGAATCTATGATTAGGGCATATTTATGCCTAGGTGTAAGATCCTAATGAGAGAGTGATTCGAAAGCATTAGTGAGTCAAACACGCAATCTGTGATGCTTCTTCGGGTTTCCTTTATGAGCCTCAATGGTAGGCTGACATATGCAAAGGATACTTGATAATTCTATTCTTCAAATGGGGGGAAACGATTCATCACTTTCTCGGCACCAATTGTCTCGGCCATCAAGGCCAGTCGATGCTTCTCGCTCCGCACGTGAATCTCACACTCAAACGGTTGTGGTCGGATATTGAAACCTTGGGTATACGCAAAGGTATCATATCTTCTTTCGGAGCCATTAGCTTCACGCATCGGTTGTAATTCAAAAGCCCACAAGAGGCGTGCCAATGCAATGAACAGGGAATTCTGAGCTAATCCCGCTCCTGGACAGATACGTCGGCCCCAGCCAAAAGAGCTATGTCCCTCTTTCGCAGGATGCGATATTTGTGGAGAGAGTTTGGCAAGATCTTCTCTTGAAGTCTTCGGGAGATAAGTGAGAGTCTCTGGATCAACTTCCAAAAAGCGTAGTGGATCGAAATGGTGCGGATTTGGGTAGTATGTAGGGTTGAGATTGATTGCCCATGAATTAGAGAGGATGGTCGTGCCCTGCGGTATGTAGAAGCCCTTGTAGGTATCTGCAACCGAGTTTGCATGTGGCGTACCCCCCAGAACGGCGACCGGTCTGATGCGAAGCGTTTCATTGCAGAGGGCTTTGAGATAAGGGAGGTCCTTCTCATCATCGAATGTAGGAAGGCGTGTCATTCCCACTACGTGATCGAGCTCCGCGTGTGCAGCAGCTTGCGCTTGTGGGTTTGTCACCAACATAAGGATTGCACTGCACAAAGTGCTCGCAGTCGTATCGCTCCCGGCTCCGAAAAGAGATGCTGGCACAAAAGAGAAATCTCGTTCGCTTAGGACGCCGAATGTATTCGGGTCTGCTTCTCGAGCTTCGAGGAGAAGTTTCGATAGAGAGTCTGGTACATCAGAGGGTTTTTCGGCAATGCGAAGTTCATCTTGAACTCGGCGTATTAGTGCGACATTTGTCGCGGCTTCTTCGCGCCCGTGTCGCTGGATCTCTGCTTTCCATGGTGCAAGGAAGTTGGGAATGTATTTGAGCCATGGAATCGACTCAGCGAGATATCTACCCGGCACATTGAGAGACGCAGAATATTGCATGAACTCAAGACGTTGACGAATGACCTTAGAGTCCATCGAATCAATTCTGTGACCATATGCAATGCTAAATACCACGCTCGCTGTAAAACGATCAATGATTCCTTCATAAGACTTTGGTTGATCCAATAGAGCCCGGCACAGCCTCGCTGCCTCGGCTTCTTGAACAGGTTTGTACAATCTCAACGCGGATGGGTTCAATGCTTGATGCAACATCCGCCGGCGTATTTGCCATTCCTTGCCGTATGGTTGGACCAGAATGCCTGCGTTATCCCAGTACAGCTCGCCCATGACGACAAATCGCGGTCGAGAGCTGAACTTTGTACTGCGCTTTTCAAGCAGGTCGACTGCTACCTTGGGATCTGATATAATGATTGTCGGCCGTCGACCTATCCATAATGTGAAGATCGGTCCGTATACCTGTGACCATTTCTCGAACTGGATCCATGGAGAAGAGGATGGGATTATGAGTTTATTTCCGATGAAGGGGAGGGGCGTTGGACCCGGTGGAAGACGAAGATATAACAGAAAATCGTGTATCAGTATCGAGATTAGTGGGAGAAATATCACGCCGACGGCTGAGCAATATGGATGTGAGGCCAAGAATTGTGGAATGGAAGAAATAGAATCATTCCCGAGCAATGCGGATAATGCCATTTTGAGATCCGCCCTTAGAACGTGCGCGCGCAAATTATATTTCTGGCGTATGATGAATGTTCCAAAGTTTGAAGTCATTTTTTACTGCTAGTCGGCAGTGGTTGCGTTTATATTGAACTTTCGGCTGTAACCGAGTGGTGCTGGCCCCACGACGCCACATCGAGAGGGGCTTGCGGGGAGCATGAGGGAGCAAGTTCTCTGGGAAACAGTACCGGTAAAGAATAGGATCTCAAATGCCGAAGCCAATGAAATCCACTTGCTGCTTCCGCCTTTTTGTTTCCTTGTGGGGCAGCTTATGAGGTCCGGTCCACGATTTGTATCTGTTATATGGTAATAATCCTGGGAGAAGATCGTGCACAGAACTTTTCCCCATCTTGCCATTTCGAGATCATTTGGTTTGTGAAGGATCGTATCTCGCATGCCTCAATCCATATCACATGAAATCATTTACAACATCGGCAGTTGCGATATACTCCTAAGGAGAATGGAAGTAGCGCCTGTCCGAGCAATGACACATGGGTCTCTTGCTACGTTCGAAGAATTTCAGGCTCCTCTACTTATCTCGTATTTCCTGGAATTGTGACATCCAAACTTGCTCCTCGGTTTTCTTGTGCTAACGAAGAACTAATAGAGGGTCTACTCACTTCAGGATAGCAGCCTAATATCGAGGTATCTCGATGGCAGCATCCAACAACTATGAGACGTATCTACACGCTCTGGCACACGTCATTTAGCCCAAATTCATTTCGGAGCGATATAATGCGATGAACAGCGTCAACTGAGCTGCTAGAACTACATGGAGAGTTCCCATAACTTCAGCAACTTCCTGAATTAGTCTTGAGTTCACCGAAAATCAGCGAGTTTCCTTCATTTGACTCAATATGTGAGAAATCATTTCGCACTCTCTATGGTCGTCTTTCATATGGTGTGGTCGTAGAATGTTAGTTTGTCCTGGTAGTGGGTGGTTTCAATCAGGATCTTGTATGGATGGCTGGTGCATAATGATTGACACCGGGAGGACTTGGGAGTACTCGAGTCAGACCCTCAGGCTGGATCGGATCCTTGCAGGTGGAAGGGTCCACGGCGCCATTACATAAGCACGCCCAGTAGTTAACTAACCCTCCTTGGAAGCCCGCAACCTTAACCTCCATTGGGATGGCTTCGCCGTCATGTGCAGATCCCCCAGGACCGAGGTCGGGGATTAAATCAGGGCACGTTTCATCGGTCACACAGAGTTTGTATCATCAAATATTGTCTGGGGCGTTCCTTTGATTCGCTCATCTTTGCATTGTGCGGTGGCCACCTCCCGTCAATGCCTTCTCGTCGCAGCCATACAAAGTCCCGAAAGGGATGCTTAGAGTGCAAAAGGAGACATGTAAAGGTCTGTCCTGTCTATTTGTTTACTGTTGGGCTGTGGAGAACTTCCATCACCTATTCTGGCTGTCTATATACTTGGGCTGATTCAAGCAAACTCAATTGATTGCCGTGGCTTCTTCAAGAGGCTGCACCGCGACATGCGACCATATATCTGACAATACTTACAGTGCGACGAAGGGACTCCCAAGTGCACCCTCTGCAGAAAACGCAGATTAGAGTGCAACTACCCACCACCGCAGAGTGATCTCGATAGCGCTCATGGCTCACCGTCAGGTCAAGATGGCTCCGAGAGTGGGGGTCGAACGCCCGGTGAAGATCTGTCAATGCAAACGCGCATGCTGGAGATGAGGCTCTTTCATCAATATTTAACATCAACGTGCCACACGCTATCTCAACATGGACTCTCTGCATATCACCTGTCTATCGTCATACCCCGAATGGCTACCTCCTTTCCTTATCTACTAGACAGCATTCTTGCATTGTCTGCTCTGCACTTGGCCACTGTGGAGCCAGATAATCGCCTCACATGGCTGGACGCCGCGGTGCGCTATCAGAGTCAGGCATGCTCTGGAATGGGTAAAATTTTGCCAGATGTCACTCGCCAGCATTACGAACCGGCATTCGTGTCCTCGGTGCTGATCTTCTTATTTGCGACCGGACTTCCTGGAATCTCACCGGAAACCAACCAGAGTAACGACCCTCTTTCTGAAGTACTGGAGGGACGACGTCTTATTACAGGCTCCGCTATGCTCTTCGAGCGTTTCAGTGAAATGGGCGTCGATGCAGAACTGAATGGTTGGCTTTGTGCTCCGGACACAGAAGAGAACCTCGAAAAGAACGAGCAGAACAGGTACTTGACATCCCGCAAATTCAGATCGTCAAAAATACTAACTCTGTATGGAGTGATGGCTCCTCGGATGACGACGCGAAAATTTTATTTGATTTGCACAAGTAAGGTGTACAGACCAATCTTGTGAGAAATGGAACTAACGAATAGTAGAAGCATTATCAAGTCACTCGAGAAACTGCGAGTCACGATCGAGACGAACGAGTCTCCCCAAAAAGAGATTTATCAGACGATATGGCAGCTTCTACACAACTCTATAGAACCGTGGCCCAAGATCGGCCCACAGGGAGGGGTGATCGCATGGCCCCTTTTTATTTCCGAAGAGTACATCTCGCTACTGGAAGGCGGCGACTGGGTCGCCCGTATACTTTTTCTGCATCATGCTGTTGCCCTGCGGCTGATGTGCAAACGATGGTATGTGCGTGACAAAGGTCGCAGGCTAGTTTTGGCGACATTAGAGCAACTGGATGAGATTCCCCCTGAGTGGAAGGAGACTATCTCTTGGGTTCAAAAGGGCATTGGCACTGATCCAGTGCTCATTTTGTAGAGGACTGGCATAAAAAGAATAAATCGCTGAACCCAACTTGCATTAGAAATCAAAATCTCGTCTGACAGCTTCAGATGGTCGGCACATTTCAATTTATAGATCCTCCGAATGAGAACCTTCATTTCTAATCTTTGTACATTCAGATAGCGAGCTTTCTCGAGCCAAAACAACAATCATCGTTGGCATAAGAAGTGATGGCCTTTGGGTTTGCCATCTTCTTGGCTTCATGATTGACAACTACTGGTATGCACCTGATCTCAATCTTCTGATGGGGATTCTTGGCGCCGTATGAGTTGCTGTGATTTAATATTTGAAAAGGCTTCGATTGAAGAAGCCACTCATTGTCATTTGAATCTTTTGTACGTTTAAGCACTCATGATATACTGGACTCGTTTTTTTTTGGGCCAATGATGAGAAATTTCTGGTCGCTTGCGAATTGCACAGAGGCCTGCAAATGTTCGGTGGGACTTTGCTTGAGAAAGGGGGACAAAAAAAAGATATTGGCGCTGCCCGGAATCGAACCGGGGCTGGCACGGCCACAACGTGACGTCATACCACCTGTATGGTAGGTTGGTTAGAATTGGTTGGCTAATGCTGTTGACTGCAGGTATACTCACTAGACCACAGCACCGAATTGCTGACACATTTTCTTCAAACATGATACTTCACTCATAACAAATAAGTATCCCCTATTCAGGAAAGGTACGATGGAATGGAGATAGTAGAAGATTTCCGTATGACGCACTTCGTGATAAAGAGCTACTGTAAAGAGAATGAGAAGTCTATAAATGCACATGTGCCCCGCACTGGAATAATAAATAAGCACCAGGTTTGCGGTGCCTTGGCTCGTGGGTAGTTAACTTCCAGTCTGCTTGCTCCCGAAATATATCCCCACCAGAAACTCGTTTCTTACCTACGACAGCCGAGGTTGGCCTTCATTCAGGATACTGGATATAAACACGTCCTTTATAGACCTACAAGTGAGAACTATCAAACCGAGCATTAGTAAAACCATCGAGCCAGTATTACAAGAACGTACCTGAGATACAAACAAACCTGTAAGACATTCCCCATGCCGGTTGCTACAATTCAACCGCGACATCGAAACGACAGCAACGGCAAGTTACGTATGCAGATACCTATGAAGAAAGGGACGAGGTTGTTCTTCACCCGGGCACCGGGGCCAAGGTCATCTTCACATCGGTAGAGCCTACACACTCCGTACCGCCTACCTGATTTCACCACGATGAATCCATATAAGTCCATGGAAATGACCTCCACCATGGCATCCCGAAGTAGACGCTGTCAATTTCCGTGTAATTACCTCTGGTCAAGATACTGAATGAATATCTCAGTACCTGTCCGCACTGAAAAGTTGGTCCTGCAAATATTCAACCTATCCCCCGTCAAGGCTCTATCTGGGTTTAGTGCATCCCACGTGAATTTGGTTGGAAACTGATCGCTTAAATAACAGACTGCTTCATGATGTCAAAATCTTGAGTTCAATTCAACAATCCGGTGCTGTGGTCCAGTTGGTCAAGACGCTTCGTTGTGGAGCATATTCGTATTACCGAAGTAGCCCCGGTTCGAATCCGGGCAGCGCCAGTTTTCATTTTTATCAATGACGGTAGATGATTATTCTTCATCAGGCCTTTTCATTTTTGTTTTTCGTGATGTTTCACAGGCTCTCAATACTATGTAGATGCTTTCAATGCTTTGTCTTGTGTATATAGAAATTCCGTTTAAATACCGTGGCCTTTATAACGTTAGACAGAAACTAGCCATGGGTAGTTCGATTAGACACATCGAGGTTTAAGAAAGAGGTAGCTCGCTATAGGCCAAAGTCACGACAGCCACTAGACCGTAGAGATTATATGAATGGTGGTGGTTCAAGTTTAGACGAAACATGTGCGTCATGTCGAAAAGTCTACCGATGGAAAAGGAAAGGCTGCATACTGCATAGGCAAAGACAGAGTACCTAGAACAGGATAAGCCGACAACATTATCGCGGGAAATAGAAAACATCGTATTGCCTATCGGGATATCTGAGTACTCTACTGTTTCTCCCTTTTTCTCTACTTTCCAGCCCCGACACCTTGGATTAATTTCAATGTCATAGATTTCCACTCGCCGCCCAACATCACGCAAGCTATAGAACTCGGTTATTTTCGGAGTTTGTAGGGATTACTTATGAACAGGCCCTTCAGGTAGTCTCTCTCTCAAGTGGAGGGAATAGGTCAAGATAGCGTTTACAATATATACACAGCAGCCTCTTCACAATCTAGCTGACCCCTACGGTATTCTGTCATGCTCACAGACATGACAGCCAAGAACCCCACAAATGCTAGATCCTACTATCCTAGAGAGTAGGGAAAGTTATGGCAAAAAAAAAGGAAAAAGCAAAAAGAAAGTGGCGCTGCCCGGATTCGAACCGGGGCTACTTCGGTAATACGAATATGCTCCACAACGAAGCGTCTTGACCAACTGGACCACAGCACCTGTGTATTGATACGTAACGAAAATTCTGGCAATATATGCAAGAAGAGGCCTATGTTACATCTGCACCTGAGTATCCATCCATGGCTGCTGACCTCACGAGCTCCATTGGGAATGATGTCTAGAAAGCTCAAGGGCTCCAACTGCGCAAATCTATCTTTTAGTCACATTTGAAATTGTTAGAGCCTCTCTTGAAGTTCAAGACTCACTCTTTTTTCAGTTATCATGCGCCTCGTGCGGTCTCTCATGGACCGGACGAGAAAAATACGATCGTACGCTACTTGTGTGGTCTAGCATGGGACCTTGCTCAAGTTGTAACTCTCATCAAGGAGACTTCTGTACCCTTAAAATTATCTTTATATTCTTGTTGAGCAAGGTGACATGATGGAGCTACTCAACGAGGACTTCCAGGATGATTATTGATACCGGGCCATCGAGAATGCGGTCTCCGGTACCTGGCTAGTTTCTTATTCAACATATTGAGAAGTCAAACTTCATCGTGACCAGATTTCTTCTATTCTTTCGATGCATTGAGCCCAACAATATCCCGTTGTCCCTCCTGCAACCGACGGGGACAGAACTTGAGAAGAAAAAGCGATAGGCATCCTAAAAACCCAGCTCTTTACCACCTCACACGCTAATGGCAACTTTATCAGTATGAATCGACTTATTAACCTTGCTACAAGAGGTTGACTCCAAAAACCTAACTTCTTGCCAAGTCGACAATTGATACCTCCAAGCACATCAGCAGAATATTCCCCTCTTCCGACCCCAAGAACCGAAGTCTGTGGTGACAGTATTTACGTCAGGTCCAAAATCTTCTTGAAAGAGAAGAAATACAAACAAAGATTAGTGAAGCACTTACTGAGAGTATTATGGTGTGAATCTGTGAAGATGGGAGATACCACGAAGCGGAAAGACGTTTCCTGCCAATCCTGATCAGTAGGCACCAGAACCTTGAGCAGGGGGATCCAACACTGCTCAAAAGTATGTCATTGATGGTGCATATATACAGGAATCAAGGGAAATGAACAGATGCTGAAGAGTTGGGTATTCGGGTGTTGAATTCAAGGAAGGAATTTCTAGCCTCGAGAATATTGACGCGTTGAAGAGCATGGAAGATCTCGATTTAATATTTTGGAAGCCGTGACGACCTAAGAACGTAGAACCTTTAGACGATCATAATTTTTGAGATGTCGGAAACAGTTCCAGGGGTTAAGTATCTTGTTACCCTCATGAGCATGTTGAGCCTCGCAGCAATAATAATAAACCAAGGGCGTTTGAAGGAAGCCGAAGAGCTAAGCATCCAAGTCGTGGGACTACAACAGGATGTTCTAGGTGTTGAGAATCCTGATACCATGACGGGAATGTCCAATCGCACGTGAATAATCTAGATTTGGGCGATGGAAGGATGCCCAGGACCCTTTTACACCTAGGCGAATGCAGGACCTTGCGCGGACCTGGAAGATCTAACACCATCTCGAAGACGCCGTGGCTCTGCTTGAAGAATGAGAGAAGCTACGGGTAAGCTTCATTGGCGCTGGTCAGCCTGGCACAACCGCTATCAGAATTGCGTTTATGGAAGCAGAATTTGAGCGATAACCCTCTCCTGATTCCCCACCAGAATTCGCTGTTTCTTGGAATATGGGCGAAATGAGCTGCGATGGTTTTCACATTCCAACTCAATATAGCTAGCACCTCTATAACAGTGATAAACTACTGAAAACTCTCCACCGTTATGTACTCTCTGCTTTGTGGCTTTTGAGTAATGCCACAAAATTTGGTGAAAGGGATGATGATCTTGACGGAAGTTCAAAGGGTCAATATAAGCAAGTCAAATTTTACTAGCTATGATCTAGCCGTGCTTTGATGCTTGGCTGATGCTAGAATAATAATAGATCTGCAATATACAGCGGACAAATTCTCATACGGGTGGCTTATATTGACGTGTGGATCAATGGTTCCATTTGTCGTCCATTACTGATGGAGGTTTCCCTTCGGAAGATTCCTTCTTTGCCCATGGCCCTACACCGCACTGCCTGTCTTCGGCCTATAAGAGGCCTCATATTCCCGTTTTTATTCTTCCTCTTTGGATGTCTTTAGATTGACCTGTTCCCCAAGCTTCTTGACTGCTTCCTTTGCGTAGGTGTAGAGAGGTCTGTAATTACCAAGGGTCATGATCTCTCCAGGGGAAACACATTTGATGATTATTGACTTAGAAGTGAGTGCGCACCTTATAAATCAATTTTTGTGGCCTCACAACCAGAACTCAACTTCATCGAGAGCTTTTCCGGGTCCCGCAGGCGCACAATTGGAGCTTTGTTCTCGGTGAATCACAAGGTCCATAACGAACTGCATTCTTTTACACCTAGATACATCGCCAAACTCTATAGTCTATCACTTTATGTTGCCTTATTTGTGGGTTATTGCCTACCCTAGTCTACCGGTAAGCGTAAGCCCATTACATGCGGCTCTCGCTGTGTCTGGGTTATCATTAATGGGGTATAATGATAAAATCTTATGTAACGCTAACAGGAGCGCTCTGTCAGCAATTCGGTGCTGTGGTCTAGTGAGTATACCTGCAGTCAGTAGCATCAGCCAACCAATTCTAACCAACCTACCTACAGGTGGTATGACGTCACGTTGTGGCCGTGCCAGCCCCGGTTCGATTCCGGGCAGCGCCAATATCTATTTTTTCCTCTTACAATCTTCACATCACACACCTCTTGTTTTTTAAATTACCAACAGAGCAGATGGCCATTACCAAATTCAGGCTTCATGTTGTTCCTGACACCTGTAAGCAATCTAATATGGTACATCCACATGGAAAAAACCCTTTGTTTTATCTAAATTGAGATATACTCCAGCTTTTGACGGTACAATGTAGGGACCGACATCCTATTATCACATTGTTTGATAACAAATTATACCGCTAGTTATGAGTGCTGAAAACAAGCTCTTATTCAAAGATAATCTGGGTCCATCTGGCTGACATCCATGATCCAAAGAGGAAGGTTTATCGAGCTCTGGCCCACCGATTGGGCAGTGACTTGAATCGGTCCCTTGCAAGTTTCATTCGATTATTCTTGGAAGGTCCTAAAATTCGCACCCATACGTCATTTTCTCATGGTTGCAGGGGATTATTAAACTCGTCACTGTCAGAACTCTGTGTGTCGAAGGCAGATCGGATTGCGTTAATCGGGACCTCGGCAGGGTGAGCATAGCCTGGGAAACGATAGGCAATACTGGCGCGCTTTGATAGGGTTCGGGCTTTGATTGGATCCGGGGCTAACGCAAGTACGAGGATGCCCAGTGCCACGCGACTCCAAACTGTGATTAATAATGTTAATACTCGACCCCAACACACCACCGGTGTCACTCCTGCGGGCTATGTATCAGCTGAGGCATTGGTTCCCGTATAACTAACTAGTCCGCAGGTATTAGGTAAACGCGAGGATACAGGAAATCATGATTTGTGTTGCAAGGACTCTGGCTTTATGCTACCAAAGCTTACTCAGTGGAGCGGAACGGCCACTTATCTGCGGGGTCATGTTGATATCTCGAAGGGCCGCTGGTTCAGCGGGTCATGCGGACTGTGCCCGTAAATCGACGACGGGCTTACTGATTATGGCATCCTGAAAAACCTACTGAGCGCTTCTTGGTTGACCAGGGTGTAATCCTCTCGAGTCTCAACATCCCGTATGCGTGCATGGACTCCTGCATGTTACAATGATCAGCGCTGGAGATGTGGAGAAGCAGGTACGAGCTCCAAACCGACCCCTGTCAAATCCCCGTTACCCCCTCACACTGGAAGTCTGGCCATTCAGATAAATAATGGTGTTAATAGCCTCTGCTGGGGTCTCTTTCCCGGGCCAAGGTCAAGAGCACTGACCGGCATTCTGATTTGCGCAAAGGCCAGCGCAGCGAACTCAGGAGAATGCTTTATTCAAAGAACTGCGGCCTTTTGGCTGTGCTGTGCATGATCTTGTTGATCGCATGTTTACCCAGTGCATCCACATCGCCGCTTGAATTATCTATTCGGGGTGCCGATCACGATGATAGATCAAGCCGAGAGATTGGCCCTGGAAAACGGGGTGCGGTTGCGACGGAGAATGCACTGTGTTCGCGACATGGTATCGAGATGTTGAAGATGGGCGGCAATGCTGCCGATGCAGTGAGTGCACTCTCTTTGCATTATAGGAAGAAATACAGACTCGATGAAAGGTTGAAATGCATATCTTGTGCTAATGGAATCGATAGTTGGTCGCCGCGCAATTTTGTATTGGTGTCACCTGTGAGTTTATCGAGCAGACATGGTGACACAGCAGGCTGGTCAAAGCTAACTCACTCCAGCTATGTATCATAGTGGTATTGGTGGAGGTGGTTTTATGCTTGTCCGAGCACAGAATGGTGCTTTTGAGTTCATTGACTTCCGTGAAACAGCGCCCGCTGCCGCCTTCCAGGACATGTATAATAATAATACCGACGCATCTATCTACGGCGGACTGGCAAGGTAAGATCTCTATCGGCCACGCTTCAAGATTTGGAAGACATACGTTGACTCGCAACAGCGGTGTACCTGGCGAGATCCGCGGGTTGGAATATCTTCACAGAAAGTACGGTTCACTGCCCTGGGCGACGCTGATGCAACCTGCCATTCGGATGGCACGCAACGGCTTTCCTGTGTCTACAGACTTGGTCAAATACATGACGCTTGCCGTTGGTGATGGAGAGGATTTCCTGTCCAAGGATCCGAATTGGGCTTTGGATTTTGCACCCAACGGAACCCGCTTGGGCCTGGGAGACACCATTACACGGAAGCGCTATGCGGATACCCTTGAGACAATCGCCAAGCGGGGGCCAGATGCATTCTATACAGGCCCAATGGCAGAGACAATGATCAATGCGGTTCAAGCAGCTAATGGTACCATGACTCTCGAGGATCTGAAGAACTATACCGTGGCGATTCGCAATACCTCGCAAATTGACTATCGCGGGTATAAGATCACCAGTACAACCGCACCTTCGAGTGGAATTGTTGCCCTTAGCATTCTAAAAATCCTGAGCACTTACAAGGGTCTCTTTGGTTCAGAGAAGGCACTGAACATCAGCACGCATCGAATGGATGAGGCCATGCGTTTTGGCTACGGAGAGGTAGGTCTGTTCAGGCTTGAATATTGATTTGTTATGCTAAGACATTTTCAGCGGACAAAACTCGGTGACCCATCATTTGTGGAGGGCATGGACGAATATCAACAGAACATGTTAAAGCAGTCAACTATTGATACTATCCGTGGGAAGATCTCTGACACTACCACCTTAAATGTGTCTGCATATGACCCATCGGGGGTAGAGAGTTTGGAAACGTACGGACTTCCTGACCCTCGACGTGAATGGAACAAAACTGACCTGCCCTATAGTCCAGGAACCTCCCATCTCGCGACCGCTGATCACACGGGACTTGCTATCTCTGTAATCACCACTATTAATTTGTACTTTGGAAGCCATGTGCTGGTTCCCGAGACAGGAATTATCATGAACAACGAAATGAACGGTATGAAGGTCGAAGCACGAACAATCGAGACTGCCAACTGATGGATCAAATGTAGACTTCTCGATCCCTGGGTCCTCTAATCAATTTGGTTATATTCCTTCTGAGGCCAATTATGTTCGACCAGGCAAGCGTCCCTTGTCATCCATCACCCCTGCGATCGTGACTCGCCCAGATGGCAAGCTCTTCTTGGTTGCCGGCTCTGCTGGAGGCAGTCGTATCATCACGGCCACCGTCCAAAATATTATTCATTCTATCGATCAAAAGCTGAGTGCGGCTGAGGCTCTTGCAAAGCCTCGCTTGCACGATCAGTTAATTCCCAACCAGGTCACCTTTGAGTATTCCTATGATAATTCGACGGTCGCCTTCATGAAGAGCCTCGGGCACAACGTGACATGGGTCGCTCCCGGTCAGAGCACGGCCCAGCTCATTCGTGTCCAGCCGAATGGAACGTTTGATGCTGCTGGTGAACCGCGGCAATTGGCCTCTGCGGGCTATTCGATCTAGAGTTGGAATTGCTGAATGAGAGGTCGGGGTGATGGATAAGATTCATATGTGAGCAGGTACATTTTGCTAAAATCTGAATATACGTCTATAGTCATACGGTGGCAGCTTGTTTTTAGAAGTCGGTATATAGTCTATAGTCTTGACTTGGAATTGATGACATGCAACCAGTCACTATCAACATTTCCAATCCATACAAATCTTGCATTCTTATTCTGGTCGCGATTGCCATTTTCCCGAGGCATCCAAGGAGCGATAAGCCTATCGCGCGCTGGTCCGTGCGCGTTGACAGCTCCGCGCGCGCGGAGTTTCCTATTTTTTTGTTTGACATGTCCAAAGCTGGCAATTCTCTCATTTTGACCCATTTCACCATCATTTGAAGCTTTGAACCTCCGACTCTGTTTCTTAGCACGCTCTTTCTTAGGGTTTTTTTCTCTTGGGCCCCCGCCAGAACCTCTCCTCCAACAACCTACCCACCAGAACATGCTGAATCCCCCTCAAACTTCCCCGGATTCGCTGCCATCCAAGAGACACTCGAAGACCGTATGAGTTTTGGACAGCGGACTTCTTTTGGGAGCTTGAAGGCTAAATTTTGTGAGGACAGACCGTTTGTTACTTAACCAAATTTGAAACCACCGCACATATGCATCCCTCACTACCATTTCGCTTTGTTTGAATACCCGCCAGTCCGAATATGACTTACAGGACGGCCCCTCCTGACGATCTTTCCATCGTTCCACCTCCTCCTTCCTACCCCACCGACACCTACAAGGACTACAACCCATTTGACGACTTTTATCTGCAGAAGGTTGACGAGATCCTGCGCCAGGACGCGAATCAGGAAGGGTTAGGAGACAGCGACTGGCCTTGCTACTCAGGTGCTGATGGATCTGGAGACTCCCCAGCTTCTTACTCTTTGCAGAAGGGAGACACCCCAAAAGCAAATGGACCTCTCTCGACGCCTAGAGTGATGACGAAAAGCAAGACCAAGAAGACCACGAAGCCCACCAAATCCAAGAAGAAACGGCCTGCGGCCAAGAGGGAAATTACGGTCATTGATCTCTGTGACAGCGATGAGGAAGATCCTATGCCAAAGGATACGGGTATCGATCAGGACAAACATGATGAGCATGATGACCTCGAGAAGGTGAATGGCGATGACAATCTCCAAACGGGCAATGCGTCCCAGGACGATTCTGACGACACTTCAAAATTCGTTGAGGCCATGGAAGGTGGAGCTGGTTCTGTCAATCCGAAAATCGACAATAATAAAGAGATTCTCGAACCAACCGCCATCGATGTAAGGGCTCTGGAAGCGAATGTTGCCCCAAGTGATGAAATTGGTGTACCCCAAAATATGGCTACCGATGGAATAATGAACCCAATGGAAGACTCTGCAACTGAGGACTTTATTTTCTCCTCCGTTACAGAGTCTGTGAAAGTCCATGTGCTGAAATTTATTGGGAGGCACCCGTTTATGTCTCAATTTGTGCAACCTGTGAAACGCTCTGCGAGGCGTCAATTCATTACTGAGATATGCAATGAAGCCGGGTCAAGGGGACTCGACATTTCAGTGCTTTGGGACCTGATCAAGTATGTGCGCAGGGCATATCTCGCCAGAGCTGGTGTCAAAGCTGAACCCCTTGCGCCTGATCTTAACGACATTCCTTTTGGACAAGAGATTGAGGACGACTCCGAGTCGAATCATCACTTTCAAAAAAATCACAAAAGGAGCCGCAGAGAAGGATCCCCGGGCCTGAAGAATAAGAGAAGCAAGAGGCGTTTACTTGATGTTCAAGAATCCCCCAAGCCAGCCGCGACGCCGGAGGTCATTAAAATACCCGATGACGATACCAGCCCCTCGTCTCCCGAGCTACCAGATGCTCCAGGCTACGCGGAAGATGAAAACACTACAATTGTTCAAGTCCTCAGCACCCCCGACTCGCAACTTGATCCTGTCGTTGCTGACGGCGACGAATCCCAGGATGAGGTCGCCGGGCCTCTGCTTGTTCAGAGCACACTTGAACCATCCTTGCATCCACTTGATGTACAGGCACATGGAGATTACGAAGGAAATACTACTGTTCAAGTTGAGAGCACTCCTGAGTTGCCAGTTGAATTGAGTGATGCCGCTTCAACACATAATACAGAGACCATTCCGACAGAGGAGAACGTCGTCGAGTCGACTCTTCCGATCGAAAACACTCTTATTGCTCACGATAAGGAGGAAGACTTTGAAAACGTCCAAGAGACTAGCAAACTCGGATGGGCGGGAGAGCATGCGAATGGCGAGGTTGCGATCGAGAGCCTAGATGAACCCAAGATTTTTAACCAGGCTGCAACAGACGATCCGCCGGGGAATTTGAATTTAAGACTTATTCCCGAGCAGAACAAGGATCCTCCCGCCAAGCTGTCGAAAAGCAAGAAGAGAAAACAAAGAAGACAGATGCTCATGAAGGCTATTAAGGAAGGGAAAACCGCCGTTTCGGTGGATGGTGTTCAACTAGGCCTTCCTCTTCACACGACGACGCCTTCGGGCGACGACCTTGAAGGCCCAACAGCTCACAACTCCGCGAAAGCAGCAAAAGCGAAATCAAATGTGAATGGTGACTGTATTCCTCGCAACTTAGAAGAATTAGAGGGTTCACCTAAAGGCGCGACTGATGCGATCCAGGAGAATTTGTTTCCAGACTACCCTCATGAGACGCCCAGTAAAGTCTCCACGAAGCTATCCAAGAACCAGAAAAGACAGGAGAGAATAAGGGCGAGGCGGGAGAAAAGAGAGAGGAGAAATCAAGAGCAAAAGACGCAAATCGAGCTGAAAGCGAAACGACGGCCCGTAAACTCCTGGCTCAAGGATCACAACAAACTCAGTCCCCAAGACACCTCGGTACAGACCTCGGAGACGGAGAAACTGAAAGTTCTCCAGCCTTCGGTTAAAACACGCACAATAGATCCCGAACCGAGGAAAGAAAGGAAGCGGAAGGAGCGCGGGCACAAACAAGAACAGAAGAGAGAGCGGAAGCGGAAGAGGGAATCCTTGAAGCTTGAACTCAACAGCGCTTTCATCAACGATGGTCAAAATCAAGAGGATCTATTTGCGAACGAAGATCTCAAGCTCGACGAGAAAGAGCTCAAGCGACAAGCCAAGAAAGAACGGAAGCAAGAGCAGAAGCGTCAGAGCCGGTCTTTGGCGTCGCTCCACGACAATGACCGCATGGAAGATGAACCTATCCCAAGCATCCAGCTCCCAGATGGCTCAATCGAGTCTCAGAAACTTGCAAATGACCGTGGGGACGACGGGGTATCCTCAGATCACGACAAACCAACGACCCGAGTGCGCGCTGCACGGGAAACCCCCAACCTGACAATCCTGTCGTAGAGAAGGCGATTTTACTATCGCCTCCTCAGCCAGAAGCCCCTTTGGTCAAAGTACGGGAGCCCATGTCAACTCCCCAACGAGATATTCCTACGCCTGGCCGGATGCCAATGTCAACCCCGGCATCTCAATGCACGAGCGCTTCCCGATCGAGGTACGGGCCTTTGTCACCTGATCCGAAAGAGTGGGACTCGGATTTTTGATTTCCAGTGATTTGCCAGGGGTGACACCCAGCGATGAGGTGACGTCCAAATACTTCTGCATAGCACCACAAGCGGACATTCTTAGTCTCAAAACAAATACAAATGCATTCGCGGATATACCATATCCGCTACCCGCCATGTCGCTACCTGCAGAAACTCGAAAGATCTTGGATGAGCTTGATCTAGGCTCCGACTTTTTGCCCTCTGACTCCTCGCTGAGTGATCCACCTAGCGATCTTGATCTCGAACTTGAAGATGATGTTGCTTTGTATCCAACGCCCAAAGTGTTGCCTTCCAAGAGTCCGCATTTCCCTCTCCCAGAGTCTGCTGAGCGTCCTAGCACTCCCGTCAAGAACACCAAGTTCCTTGAACCTGAAATCTCCAAAGTCTCTCGACCAAAACGTCCCAGAATATCTCCATATTTTCCCAAAACACCAGATCCCCCCCAGTCTTGTCTTCCTTTCCCACCTATCGATGCTCTTTCGTTTGGTCTCGTTCAGGAGCAGCTTGCACACGAACCATTCAAGTTGCTTATTGCTACAATCTTCTTGAACCGGACGCGAGGTGGTGTAGCTTTGCCCATCTTGTTTAAAGTCTTCGAACACTATCCCACCATCGATGCCATGGCCTCCGCGAATTTGGTAGATCTTGTGTCCATGATCCATTGTTTGGGTTTCCAAAATCAACGTGCCAAGAAATGCATCGCTATTGCCCAACTCTGGCAGACCGATGCTCCCGTCAAGGGCAAACGGTATCGCAAGCTTCATTACCCGAAGAAGCTGGATGGTCGAGACGTCCTTGCCGATGAATGCCTTGATGACGAGGATCCTCGAGCAGCTTGGGAGATTGCACACTTACCCGGAGTTGGAGCATACTCCCTAGATAGCTGGCGCATCTTCTGTCGGGACGAGCTACGAGGCGTAGCTACGGACTGGAAAGGCACGGATTCAGCTGTACGCGGCTTTGTCCCCGAATGGAAGTCTGTTCTACCACAGGATAAAGAGTTGCGCGCTTATCTTACTTGGATGTGGCTTAAGGAAGGCTGGATTTGGGATTGCCACACGGGTGATTTGACTCTGGCTGGAGACAAGACGCTACGAGCGGCCCGGCGGGAGGGCGTGGCGCACGAAGAGGATGGAAATTGGGTATTGCAAACATCCCCGGTCAAGAAGGCACCGAATGGATTGCATGCGATGGACTAGTCACTGAGAACATACTCTGTGGGATGCGAAATACTTCCTGTTGGTTTTTACTTGTTTACAATGATACCCCCTTCCACATAAGGACCAAGCAGAAAATCAAAGTTCATCTCATCAATCATACTATGAACGATAAGTTGAGAAAATATCCCTGCGTAAATTAGAAAGGCGATGCAAAAAAAGATAAGCTAGGAAGTGTAAGCAACCTGGATGGACTAGAGACACTTTTGATATACGGAGTATGATGCTACCTCCCAGTTCAGGCCATCGTCAGGTGACCGTAGCAGGACCCTTTCCCGATCTCGGGGTTCCTCGTCGTTGCAGCCCGAGTTGGATCGATCCATCTTATTCTCACCACAAGCATCGGGCGTCCATGCAGCTGTCCCCCACTCCAGTCGAGCGGGGGCCAAAAGTATTCTCCTCTTTCTGTTCACCGTATTGCGAGTTGGTCCCCCTCCCTCCACGATTCCCCCCTCAGGGCGTTTTATGCATCGTACCTGAAAGCGAGCTTATTTCACTGCGCACTGTCTTTATTTCGAGTCCCGCTCGATCGATCGCCCAGACAGATAACGGCCATCAATCGATGGCATGCCCGGGCTTTTCCCGCAGCTCTCGTGCGATCGACGCAAGCGCTGTGCCACCCCGACCTTAAGCGACCAGTGAGAACTCACACCTGCCCAACCTAAGCGCCAGGCAGCACGCGCAGGAATTGGAGACGAAAATAGGATCACACTCCCCCCTCAGTGGCGGTGCAGCATTTCCTTCCTTAGCCCTTTTGACACGAGGGTTCGAGAAAGCACAGACGAGACGGACCGCGAAGTAAACAGACGGTGACCGATGAACTTGCGGGCCCAAGATTTCCTGAAGGGATCCACCTCGTGCGGCTAACGCCCCAGCTACGATTTCTCACGAGCCCGCCATGTTTTTCCCAGTGAGACCTAACAGCGTAAAGAGTCGCAAACCCAAGTCCTCCTCCACTACTTCCAATAAACAATCCCAACCATCAAAAAAGCGTGCGTCTCAAGGACGGACCACCTCCCGCACGTCAACCAAGGAAACCGAGCCTGAAGAATCCACGGCTCGCTCCTCCACTTCCTCGACCTCCCACAGCGCTGCCCCACGACGGTCCTCTATGCCAGGCCTCGACGCCGCAAGTCGAGCGGGAACAGCCTCGTTCCTGGAATCGAGGTCCAGCCTTCCATACCCTTCCTTCTCCAAAGCGCATAGCAAAGAAGATGTCCGCCACCGTGACATCCCTACCCCAGACCCGACCGACCTGACCGCTCCGAAGGAAAATGGACCCAGCCACAACCACACTGAGAATCATCATGCCCCTCCCAGTCCACCCTTGACTGGTCTCGACCAGGAATCATCTCAGAAGGGTAGTACGGTCGGAAAGCAAGATGACAAAGAGGCGGAAAAGCCCAAGGCGAAGAAGGCGAGCATAAAGATCCGGACCGAGGTGAACAGATCGTCATCGAGCCTTCGATCGAAGAGAGATGATTCATCCAAGTCCAGCAAGACGGCGCGGGCAGATACGCCAAAGTCGAAATCGTCCAGGTCTGACAAGGAAGCTTCGTCGCCTCGTACCAGTCACAAACCACCCAAGACGAAACTCTCCGATGAGAAGAAGCTACCTAAACGATCGAGTCGCTCGACGATGTCGCCCTCACAGTCAACAGTTCGTGATGTCGGGACAGAATCGGCCAATGGATCAGACGCTACCTCCATTGCTCCGAATCAACAATACACTGCTCCACGAAAACCAATGACCCCACCGACGAAGCCTCCCTCGCGCAATCAGACCCGATCGGCCGTCTCACACCGCCATACTCCCAGTGATGACTCGATTGATTATGGGAGACCTGTAATGCCCGGTCAGGGATTCGGTGCGCCACCTCCGCCTCCACCTCCACCGCAGGTGCCTATTACCATCCCGAGGGTCGACTACCTTCTTCAAAATGGAGGTCTAGATCATCGGGTGCCGCGAACACTGCTTCCTGAGCCTGCGACCCCCGATCCTTTCTCGCAATCGGCCAGTCAGCCTCAGCTGGCAGCTGCTAAGGTTTTCGATCCGTTCAGTCACCTGCTGGATGATTACCAAAAGGTCATGAGCAAGAACGGATCTCTGGCCGTTGCGACTGGATATCGATCAGTCGCACGCCGATTGCTGGATCGTCTGGAGGCTGTTTTCGCACGTGACATATCATCAGAGCCATGTAACTGTCTTATGTGTGACCGTGATGATATGGAGGTCCGTCCAGAGGGTGTTAGTTGGGGGAAGTGTTGGAGCTAGTGTCTGGACGTCGAGAGTTGCCCATGTGGCCGCCGTTCATGATGGTTGCCTCCACTGTGGATGCGGGTTCGCCTGGCGAAGAGCACATTCCCATGCAGAAGCTTGATGTCGACGTCCCCGAAGAATATCGCGAGCACTTCATCCGCCAATCTCGCAAGACCAAGGTCGCAGTGGACAAATGGCTTTCCGAACAGCCGGATTCAGCGAGCAGTGCGCCCGAAGAAGTAGATGATGAAACATTGACTTTTGCGATGCTCACACATCTTGAACCTCATCAACGCTCCGTGTTTTGTGCTCTCCTCGGTATCAATTCCTCGACTCCCGTGCCTCGCTCAGATGACGAAAAGCCTCGACCCCGACCGTCGCCACTTGTATCTTCGTCGCAGGCCATTCAGCGACTATACCGTCTTCCTTCTCTCCCACGCGACCCGGAAACAGCCATGTATATGCTGAACAACCCGGGTCTGCATCATGTCTTGGCAACCCTTGCTGCCATCACTGACGACGAGTGGGAGATTCTGATATCCGGCCGATTTGACGGGTTCCTCCGCAGTGGTATCGAAGATACTGTCCCGCCTAGCAATGCCCGCTGGAGCGGCAGCCGCTCCAACACCCCGTTCAGCGCTGCAGGAACCTCGCGCGGACCGACACCCAGCTACATGGACGGCAGCTTCCGGCCAGTAAGCCAACCCAACGGTGGTCCGACTTCTCCTGCTTCCTTTGGAGGTCCGATCGCCTTAGACGAGGAAACGGAAATCGCCGCGCTAGCTGAAATCGAACGGGACATCTTCCTCGGGATGGAAGCTCTGGAAGATGCCTTCGAAGCACTCCATCTCAAAGCAGAGGTTGTCCGCCGTGCACTGCGCGAACGTGGTGCCGGCCTCTCAGTCGCCAACCAAAGCCGACGTGGCTCCTATGTGGAAGCGCGTCTGGGAACTCCGGCCTCAATAAACACTTGGGAAAGCGGCACAGAAGATGACTTCCTAGATGACGACCGGTCCCTGGCTCCAGATGACTCCGCCAGCAATATTAGCTCGAATCGCCGGCGCCGACCTAAAAGACGCACCGAGCGCCGCACCCCAGCTCCCGTAGAGGAAGAAGACGAGGACGAGGACGTGGTGCACGTTAGTCGCCGCGACAGCCGAAACTCACGACGGAGATAGACTGTGTTGATCAGGTTTTGCACGATTTACGGTCTTTTAGTTCCAAGGTTGTTTTAAGACGGTCAAATGCAAGTTTCAGGATTGCATGTGAGGTGGATATATGATTGCATCGGGTGCTGCTGATTGATGAACTGATGATGATACCCACTGCCCACCCCTTTCCCCGATATGACAATGGCTTCTTGGCTTGGTGCATTCTTACAGTTTATGATCTTTTTGGTTTATTTGACCCCCTTCAGCTTGTTCTTTATGATTCATGAATGTCACGAGCGGTCCTAGATATGAATCGTTGACCTAAAATGAATACCAATCAAACTTAGTTTGGAAGTCTTTACAAATAACTTATCACAATAACATTCTGCCTGTATATGTAAAACTATTGACACTTTTTATGTGGCAAGGGCTGATAAATCTTGATGAATGCAACGGATATGACCGAGGTAGTCAAAGGTCGTTGAGGTGGGGGTGACAAGGCTGAGCGCCCGTCAAGCCTGATGGGAGCTGTGGAAAGTTTGCCTGGTGCCACAAACCTTAAGACACCTGACAGGTAGTTGGGGCTTACATGGAAGCCAAAGGTGGGATTGATTGATAAAGTTACCTCCACAACGTCGAATCCGCAATCCTCGACCTCTGAACGCATGCATTGGCATCTTGATTGCTTCGCATCAAACGAGCAAGATGCTCCCCGGCGGGGTCACGACTCAGTACGTAGACAACTGGGTCGCACAAGGTCTGTTCACACCAGAGAGTATACTGGAGAGGTTCCTACTGAAGCGAACGAACACATACAATATCAACGCAGAGGGTCTGGAAGCGGCTTTCGACTCGGTTGCTTCCGAAGACGAGACAGGAATACAACGTATCGACGACGCCGGATTTATCAAACTTCTCACGTGTTCAAATGTCCTACCCAAATACCTCACGAATGTGGGTACCATTCTTTTTCAAAGCATACATTACCTCTCGATATATCCATTCCGTCATGAGCACCCCTCAGCGCTCACTTTGAGTGAACTGACCCGTGGACTTCTCTGGCTGATGCCATACGAAAAGGGAGTCACATTCAAGTCATGGGGAGGTGGCTGGTGTGAGCTTAGCCCAGCAGACCATAGAAGACTTATCTTCCAAAGTCTAGCTACAGAGCGAAACGGCCACGAGCTGCCCTATGATGTTGATGACTGGAGAAGAGAAGCCCGTCGTCGTGCCTATGAGTTGCCTGACGAGAAGATCAAATCAACGCTTCCCCAACTCGGGGACCCAAACTACGATGAATGGGGAGATGAGCTGTACCATGATCTGCTCAGTGTAGTGATGACTGCCCAGCCTAAGAGGAACCTTCCTCTAGCCGGGGAGCCGCGCGATGCCTTTCGCCCTTTGGCATCGCGACTACATGAACGTGAGCCTCCTCGGCTCTACAGGTTTACCATACCGGCCGACAGATTGCGAGTCTTTGTACAACTCATGCTCTATCACACCTTCGAAATCTCCGGGTCTCCCTCTTGGATAGGCACCTGGGAGCTTGAGCTGGTTACTGACTGTATAATACGGGCATTCGTGCAAAGCTCTGATGTTGGGATCAACTGGCCAATGTTCGATGAGGGTTGTAGGGCTGCGGTACGTGAAATGCTCATGATTTGGGTTGGCCTTGCTTGCTCAAGACCAGATAATTTGACAACACCACATAGCCATTTCTTCTACATGCTTTGAACTATGTCATCAGCTCTCTCTGGACTGAATCACCTCGTCTTGAGGCGAGTATACAGCAGTGCATGCGGCAGCCTGGAAAATTGTTCAAACCCCCTATTGTTGCACAACTCAACACGATCTTCAACAATGCCCGCATTATTTGGTTCGAATATCTCAAATTTTCCTGGTTTCTTGGTAATCAAAACCTCCGGATCAGCGCATCAGAACTAGTAGCAACAATCGAGGAATCGGAGGATCGAATTCTCATTCTTGTGTCTGCAAAAGACACTAAAACACAAGAAGACTACCTGTTGGGCATGTTCATCCCATCTCCAAACAAAGACGGGCATCGAATACAGTCCAAGCAAGAAGCGGACTGGCCAATATGTTCTCTTTTCGAGCTAAGCCCTATTCAGAGCATTTTTGGAGGAAACCTAGAATGTCCTGCATGGACACTGAGTGGGGACGAACTCTCGTTCGGTGACCCAGAAAATGGAGTCGCTCTGGTGCTGAAGAATGGTCTTTCACAGGCATCATTTACCCAGAGGGTGAATGGTCGGAATGCGCCGATCTATGAGCCGACTCTCTGGCGGGGAAGCTTTTCTATAGACCTGGATGTGGATGGAATTGAGATCTGCTATGAAGATACCAGTAGCTCGGCGGAAGCGGCTACTGATTCGGACCAGGATAATTTCGGTTCCGTACCTATGGAGTAGTCGATCGGATCAGGTCCAGCCTAGTCCCACACAATAACACGATGCGCGGGCCATTATTCGGGGTTGATTTCATACTACTTCGTATCTCAGAAACTTTGATCTTTCGCACGGATACTGATCTTTTTAATATTACCCGATTTGCCGATGCAGAAACTTTGACCACTCGTTCATCCCGTTGTGAAGCTGACCTGGCTGATCACATCCATTGCTCGCCCACCTTACGAATTGTAGTATTTGCAGATCGCCAAGATCTAAGGGGAGTGAGTGTAACCCTTTCCAATGATCCACTAGCCGTGGCACGGGCCAAATCAATAGTACATGATTTAGCCTGATCAGAGAGAAGTAAAGTTACCTGCCACTACTCCGTACAGTACAACCGTTAACGGTCACATGCGAGTCGAATACGGAAGGCAGATTGCCACTGGTAGGTACTCCAACGGAGTACTGTACTACTGGATAGGGCGCAAGCCATGTTTACAGTAATCAAATAGGGAACGGCGGGGTGAAATGGAGATCGGCAGTTGAGTAGCATAAGGTTTGTGGCTGTTCGGTTAGCCACTAATCAATGTAAGAAGTTACAGAACATATCCGTGCCTTTCTGCCCACCCAGGGTGCGCCCGCAATCCTCGTCATTCTGCAATCCCCGTCACTTTGTATTTTGTATGGCCTCACCATACAAAAGGTACCTCGAATATCTTAGGATTTTATTAAAAGGGGGCTAGATTTTATATAATAATACAGTAATTAAGTACTAAATCTACTTATTTTTGGGATAGTTTATAAGTTTTACTCTAGTAATAATAGATTTAGAGAGGTTTATAAATTTCCTCATAGTAAACTTTTCTGAGAGAAATTTTTGATAAGTAATTAGTCTACCTTTTAGGGTATAAAATAACTAGTGGATAGTAGTAGCTACTAAAATAAATAGTTAACTATCTATATCACCAGAAATAAGAGGGAAATAATCAGTGGTCATCGAGATATCCGAGTAAATGTAAAACTAGGATGTACATACCTTTTGTATGGTGAGGCCATACAAAATACAAAGTGGCGGGGATTGCAGAATGACGGGGATTGCGGGCGCACCCATAAGCGGAAGCGGTGGGTGGGCAGAAAGGCACGGATAGTTGAATTTGGAAGGGGTATTCCCAGGCACCGAGACTGACAAACTCGGCAAGTTTAAGTAGGGTATGACAGGCGCCGAGAGCTTCTGGCCCTGATATTTGGTCTTTTCGACCGAGATGCTGCAGCTTATTATTATTGATTCTACTGTATCTCCGCTTCTCATCACGGACTCTTTTGATCCCGAAGATCACGACCCAGATTGGGGAATCGAATCGGCCTACTGAATGGGAACTGTATACTTTGTGAACTGAGGATGAATAGTCAATAGTCGGAGTTGACCCAGCAGTGTCTCAGATAGTTAACCCAAGGACGCTTACAAACTAGTTGGTCATCGATATCAGATTTGCTAGCGCTCTGTTTAATCTCCGCATGAGGTAAATATGGAGCATCTAACAAAGAGGGTTAATGATGTGCCATATTAAGTACGGCTTACGCCAATAGCATGGCCATGTGGCAACTACTGCAGCATTATTGCAGAGAGAGTCAAGGAAGAATGGTCCAAACTCTCGTTGACAGTTCCATGGCCCCGGGATTCTGATCGGCACGCCGAGGCGTGCAGATACTGAACATCAATAAATTAGAATAGGCAAGTCAAAGAGAACGGGATGACAGTATGTACGCTGCAGTAGCGTGCCGTTCGGGTCTAAATCGCAAAGAACCATGGAATTGGGGGAGTCTATTTGGAGCACGAGGGTTACCATTGTCCGTATTGATATAAGCAGCAATCTCAGTCTCATGGAACTCTCAATAATCTCATCTGTACCATATAAAATTTCAAAATACTGTACCTCACTGATTTCCAGAGATCGAGACAACCCGGGCAAGCTGGGCTGACAGCAAGTAGAGTTGAGGAAAATGCGGCAGTGGCCGCCCCGAAGAGTCGGTTTTGCCGAGCCTTAACTCCGTGACCGCTCTCTGAGTTCAAATTGTCCTCTTCTTGCCCCTTTTCAGTTACTAATCCGCCACTGGAGTCTAAAAGGCAGCAAATGATGGTTGACAAAACACCACAAACTCGGGGCGCACATTCCTGCGCCCAGGCCGCTTGATTTATTTTAATTTTTGACTGCAATTGCAAATATCTAAGATCGCTGCTAATGACTCTAGTGCGCGACGGCGCCAGTGTGTACTCATCCTTCGCCCGTCCGGCACTGTTGATCGCATCCATCCTGCCGCGTCTCCATCGACTAACTGCGCTAGTCATTTGCCTCAATGCACATCTTAACCCTTCGCGGCCGCTTCCTATTTCCTTGATCCTCGGCACAGAGATGACAGACGAATCAACTGCGTAGCTCTGCGGGTCTTCGAGATCCCCATTGACACCACTTGCATTCCCCGAGAAAAAAAATTCCCGAGCGGCTTTTCAGTAACTCGTTGGCTTCGTTGATGTGCGGAGATCCGCGCAAATTTTGCGGACCGCACGTTTGCGACTCGTTTGTGACTGTAAAACAATAGTTATACTTCCAGAGCGCTTCTCGTGCACAATTGTGCAGCAGATACCATATTCAGCAGTTGCATCTCCTCTGGACCCTCACGGTCCACAATGGTTCAATGGTTGCTTCAAAAACGACACGGGATTTTCAATGACGCGGCTCCGAGAACTGGCCAGAATTGCCCCTGACCCGTGTGGGTAGCTACAGTAGTTTCAGTCAAGTCATCCACGGTCGCCCAGGCCTGTAGGGTTCCATTCGATGGAGTCAATGGGACCACCAGCCTTGTTGCTGGCCTGTTTAAGGTGGACACAAAGCTTATTCTGGATCCAATAAGCCCCTCTGTCAGATCAGAAACTTACACTATCATTGTTGAATGATTATTTTGGTTTGCTTTCCGTGTCTTACGAAAGAACCATACAAGGAGGCTATATACGATCGACAAATTTTCTCTGGGCTACTGCCCCTTGGCAAAGCACATGCAAGGCACAGGGAATTGCTTTGAACATTTGGAGAACCTCCCCCGAGGCTGTCCGTTGCCAAAATGAGAACGGATGAGAGAGCACTAGTCTATGAAATTCTGCGGGTTTCGGAAATGCAGTCAGCCCCGTGGCAACCATTGCTGCACTACCGTTGGCTACTGGCCAATTAGCCCTGGAATCGCCGCAGACGATCAATGGCCTACGCTGTAGCCGTAATAGCCACGGAGGATCTAACCCTGTCGAGCAGACTGAAAACTACGCTTCGACCAGTGCTGATATTATGATAATCGTTATCATTGAAGACCTCGAATCTTGAAAATATGGCCACCGGGGCTGGTCCGCGAGCACGCGGCGAAGCTTGCCCGTGTCTTCCGCTAGCGTTCCAGAAGCCTCGCCCCTGCGTCGGAAAAACCTGAACTAGTCGACGGTGACCTCTTCTGAGTGGACTCGTTCAAATGGGTCAGCGCGGAGAGAGAGTTTGTGGCGCTGTATTTCCATCTCCATAACGTGCATCTCTCCAACGACTTTCACCCCCAAATTCAGGTTCATTATTGGCACGGTGTACAGCTGCACTTGACCAGCGCTTCCCCCTTTTCGGCAGTTTGCATGCCACGCATTACTACGGAGTAGTCGTACACTTGTGACGGAGGAATACTAGCCTACTACAGCTTGGACGCCTTAGATGATGATCTTGTGTGGGTTTAGCCGTCTCAGCCGAACTCTGACCCTCTTGTCGCAGAGATTTCTTCATACTGTATGTACGCCGTACACTCTCCACCCTGACCCTGGTCAAAGAGGGGTGATGGTCGTTTTGAAGTGGGGGCACTTGTCCCATAATTCTGGGTCTTTGCAATTATATTACGGATATTACGGAGTACGAAGTGCTGTCTGCAAATGTTATGGACTTGTTTGCCCCAATCATGTGTATCAAGCTAAATACCCCGCCACGGGCATGAAGGCCCTAACGGAGATGATCCTATCGAGACCCAGAGCAAAGGTTCCAAAAGTCCTAATTGTGTGGAACGCTGGTTCTTGACGGGAGAAGAAGGCCTGTTTGATATTTGCCTTCTATCATTCTTCCCCTGATTCTATTGCTTTTAGAGTTCACGCAGCCCGACAGCCCTCTGCTTACGGGTTCTTCTCCGTTGTCTCGGATCTGGGCACAATCGACTTTAATAATCACATCCCGCACTTTTATTCTTTGTTGGACAATACCCACGTCCCTGTCGTTCATTATTTCATCCCTCCCCCCTGTCAGCCGGTTAATCTGTGCGTGAGGTCCACTCCAAGCGAATACGCCACTCCCAACGGATCGAATCACTATCCTAGACATACTTAATTGGCAGCATTGGACATTTTTATCGGCGTACCTGGACCGAAATTTGATTCTCGAGCCTTGCTCGCCGAGAACCCCATCACGGTGCGGTTCAACTTGCATATTTTCGAACCCATCCAGGTGGTGGTTCGAGGGCATTACCAGGTCTGTCGATTGCCCTGAAGACAGCCTAAGATGTCTTCGATATTACTATACAGTCTCATGCCGAGGGCGCAGTCCTCTGGAGGTGAGCTGCTACCTCGATTGAACGGCGATGTGACTCTGGATATCGACCCATTGCCCTTCGTCCAACGGCGAGGTCTTATTGCAGTCTCGGTTATGGCATTCCTCTCCTTCATTGCCACCTTGACTCTGCTTGGCTTCATTACCTATCGACTCATTTTCTGGCGGAAGAACTACCAGAGATACATTGGTTACAACCAATATATTATTCTGATTTATAATCTGATCTTGGCTGATTTCCAGCAAGCTCTTGCCTTTTTGATTTGTGTGAAATGGATCGCTACCGACAAGATCAAGTCCGGTACGGCAGCATGCTTTCTCCAGGGCCTTTGGCTACAAATAGGAGATCCCGGTAGTGGACTTTTCGTGCTCGCCATTGCGTTTCATACCTTCTTGCTCGTTGTTTGGGGCCGGAAGATGTCTCACAAGGTGTTCATTTCCTTCGTCGTCGGCGTGTGGGGATTCATTGCTATTATTGTGATCATTCCTCTGGCGATGTACGGTGCAGATGTGTTCGTTCCCTCCGGCGCCTGGTGTTGGATCAATGAAGACTTCGAGACTGTCCGTCTCTGGACCCACTATATCTGGATTTTCTTGGCCGAATTCGGTACAGTTTGTTTATACGCCATCATGTACTTCCAGCTCCGACGACAGATCGCTGCTTCATCAATTCTGGGAAACAGCCAGTTGCAGAGTCTCAAGCGCCTGCGCCGCGTGGTTGGCTACATGACTATCTATCCTATCGTCTATATCGTTCTTTCACTTCCTCTGGCTGCTGGACGTATGGCTACGGCAAACGGCAACACCCCGTCCCTCACTTTCTTCTGCTGTGCCGGTAAGTCAGGTCTCTTTCAACAGTTTCTGTGCTCTGTTTCTCAACGAGCATGTCCGCTGACATATCAACAGGTGCCATCATTACTAGCTCTGGCTTGGTCGACGTCGTTCTATACACTCTCACCCGCCGTAATCTCATCATCGACTCCGAACCCAGTCAAGACCATTCCTACAACAAATTCGCAAGCAGCCGCGGCCGCCACGGGGAAAATCACCTTACCACGATCACAGCTGCCGAGCCCAAGAATCGCACCAAGCTTGGGGGCTTGGAAGGCACTGATCTCGACCGTGACGGTTCTACCGATAACATTGTCCAGCCGGGCGTTGAGATGGGCCCGATGGGCAAGGTGTACCAAGAGACCACCATCGAAATCACCAGCGAGCCTGCCTACACTTCAGAAGCTGCCAGCGAGCGCTCCAGCAAAGACGACTTCAATGAAGCCCCATCACGGATGTGGAGACGATAAACCTTCTTTTTCTTTGGCCTTTGATGATCTGCCATCTAATTGATCTGATTTCTTCCGAGACGTTGCTCAATTTTTACACTCGTACCGCCTAACCTACCCGGTGATGCACCATCATAATACGCATTGCCTTCCTTCCCTTCTTCATGACATCTACTTGAACGGTGGGAGCTGTTATTCCTCCATCCACCCATATCTATTCTCTTTTTATCTATGACTTGATCCAAGCCCTGCTCACTTATGACTGAACTTTGTACATACATTTTTTTTCAAAGGAGGCAGATATTGTCTCATTCTTCTGCTTGGGTGGCATGGAAACCGAGGACTCCCATGTATATCTACCCTCATATATCAAATAACAAATACCTCAATTAGGTACTTGCTCTCTAACCACATCTTCCAATGGTAACCGTGCTTGAAGAGACAAATTCAGTAGAAATTTTTGCGAAAATAGACCCGGTCAAAGCCATCTTCATGCTTCCTCTCAGTCTCAAAAAACCCCAGTTTCAAATACAAACCGAGATTCTCATACATCATGACATTTGTGTAAAGTGTCAGTGCCTGGTAATCCTGTGACCTTGCAAGGTCCTCCGCACAATCCATCAGGACCCGCCCGTATCCATGACCTTGTGCCGCGGGGTGCACAACCAAGTTATTAACCTTCATCGAGTCCGAAGACGGATTGAGTTCAAGAACAATTGCTCCGACCACCTGATTTTCTCCTCCCCTCAGAACAAGAATTGTGTGGGTATATATGGCTTGGTGGTAGTCCTCATCCATTGGCGCTGGTCGCTTGCCGATGCGATTGATGTATTTGGTGTATGCGGCTTCAACCATGGATTGAATAATTGGCACATCCTCTTCTGTCGCCTTTGTTATGCTCAGATCATCTCTGGTTATGCGGGGCAGCTCGAACATATTGCCCCGTACGATCGCGACGCGATTTTGGATATAGTCACGCGTTTTAGAATTATAGCGATGAAGGGGGTTTAGACCTTGAACGCCGCGGAGGCTGAGGGAGAGGCTGGTGCTAAATTGACCCCTTGAAAGTAGTTTTAGTGAGCATCAATTGATGTCGTCTCTTTGAAGGCTAGTTCATTTAAGGTCAGAGATGGAGGGGATCGGTTCGCAAAATGACTCAGAAAGTACCTGTCGACCGTTCGTGTGGAGCGGAGATGCCCCTCCAAGTACTTCAGGAATCACAACACAATGGCCGCAAAGCCCTCGCACAGTTGTTGAAAGGTTTCAGACTAAAATAAGATTGATCTGGCTTGGTATTTTTTGAGTACATAAAAATTAAGAAAGTGAGAGTGAACCCAGATTCAAAAGCGGAATGAACCCTAGTCGGTCTTCCAAGGCTGGTACGCGACTTATTACGTCATCGGCAAACGCTACTTTGGCATGCCCCGAGATATTTAATACCAGCCTGGAGGATACTCGATCTATATGGATGTGAAATCTCTTCACGAAGGTGAATTCGCTAAAATTAGAGACACGAAATGAAGACGGCTATCCCGAAGCTGACACCTTTGATCATCACGAGGCGAAGCGCAGGGACGGATTGACAGCCCTGATATATCTTCCACGGATTAGTTCGATTTCAGCATGTAAAGTTGCGGTTGCATGTTTCTGTATAACAGAGAAATTATTTGATTAAATCGCTCCCAAGGGCTCATGTTGAATCTTCCTCTCCCTTGAACATTCAATTTATGGCTGGCCTTTAGGAACAATTGTGAACAATAAATAAAAAAGCAACACAAGTCTGACCTATCTCTGGTAACACCACTCCGGAGATGTCACCAATAGCTGAGAAAAGGGCAACAAGGAATCATACGGGCCCACATCCTTGTAAGGGGCTGGGCCTGAGTAGCTCGCGACCCTGTGCTTGCTTTGAGCTCAAGTTTAATACAGTAGAAGTCAACAAGCCTCTGATCCTCCAGATCAATATCTAAACAAAACGATTGAGTTGGTTTTTATTCTTATATTAGAATCACTGTGCTTCGAGGGCGATATGAACATGTTTGACGAAGTCAAAATGCCTATGTATGCTAAGATCCGGTCGATCATGCAGATCAGGGGTCTCGCGAACGCGCAGCGGTGGACCTGTCCGACTGTCCCGGGCATCTGAGCCAATCAAAGCCGCTCCATCGCAGGAATGTATATTTATTTTGTTCTCGAGCCATGCGTCTGAGTCGCGCTACACAATTGAGCCATCGTATTTAAATTAATGTTTCCCGCAGACATCAGGAGTACTTCTCAATCCGCTCCTATTCAGGTCTTGAACATGTTGCTCTTAACTTGGAGCGCACTTTCTACGGTTCTGGTAGGGCTCATCATACCAAGACTCACGGCCGCCGATACTGCAACGTCACGGGCCCAGGTAGCTCTCGATACGTTGCAGACCTGGTATAATGCCACAAGTGGTCTTTGGGATACTTGCGGATGGTGGAATGGCGCGAACTGCATGACCGTGATCGCAGATCTGGCCGCAATCGACCCATCCGTGTCAGATACGGCAAATTATGTTTTTGATAACACGCTACGAATGGCACCAGCGCACAATCCTAATCCTGGCCCAGAAAACCAAGTCCACTCACGAGATGGGGTTGCTGCTAATTCCTCAGAGTGGCTAGACTCTGCGTATGACGATGATGCGTGGTGGGCGTTGGCTTGGATAGCAGCATACGATGTTACCAACGATGATACATATCTAGGACTAGCACAAGGCATCTTTTCAAGCTTAGTAGGTGTCCCAAAACTATGCCCGAGAGCTTTTCTTTTTCTTTCTTTCTTTCTCTTTTTTAAAAAAATGGAAACTAATGTCAGTCCAGACAAAAGCCTGGGGCACGCGCTGTGGAGGTGGTGGCCTACAATGGAGTTCGACGAGTTCTTATATCAACGCGATTACGAACGAGCTATTTCTCACGGTTGCAGCACATCTAGCCAACCGTGCATCATCAGACTCCGAGAGAGATACATATATTGGATGGGCACAGAAGGAGTGGGATTGGTTTGCTGCGCAAGGTTTCATTGGGTCAAACTACACCATCAATGATGGCCTTTTAGACAATTGTCAGAACAACGGCCAGACAGTGTATGTGGTATAAATCTATCTTGTCCCAAGTTCGCAAAACTATGGGTGACGTAGACTCCATTATGATTGTCTAACAATATGATTAGGTGGTCGTATAACCAAGGCGTTATACTAGGTGGTCTGGTCGAGCTCAACAGAGCAGCTCCTAACGACACATACCTGGAATCGGCCAACAAAATTGCCCAAGCTGCGATAATGACCCTTTCTGACGCTAATTTGGTGATTCACGACGTCTGTGAGCCGAACTGTGCCCCGGACGCGACACAATTCAAGGGAATCTTCATACGTAATCTACATATGCTACATCAAGACTCCCCGAATGATCTATACAAGAAGGTGATTGAGGCCTGTGCGAATAGCATTTGGGAATATGATCGAAACTATTTGAATCAGTTAGGAGTTAACTGGGCTGGTCTAGTCGCTTCCATCGATGCTTCGACTCACAGCTCCGCATTAGACGCATTGGTCGCTGCGGTCACTATCTAATAAAATTGAGTCGCAATGTCAAATCTCCAATTCGCATGGCATGGCGTGTCACTGTCAGCTCATCATGACTACCATAGGATGTCCACAAACTAGAGTCTTTTCCCAATTGTCCTAGTACGCGCCCAATCGAGGCTCCCAAGTTGGTTGAGGTGCAGGTCGTGGTTTGGCGTAGTCGGAGCGAATGAGCATACTTGGTGCCAAATCCAAACCACCGAGTCTAGCTCCCAGAGGATCCTGGGCCCAAAGAGTCAACGCTATGTAGTTGAGACCATTGTGATTGAGGATACCCTCCGGAATTGGATATGACTTCTGGGGTCCGAGGTTGTTGACTGTTCGGCCTTAGTATCAAAAAAAAATTTACGCGACATGTGAACAAGAATTGTGAATGCAAACTTACTATACTTTCCATATTGATATCCGTTTATGTAGAGTTGGCAGCGATAATTGATTCCGGAATTTTTCTGAGTGGAATCGCCTGCGGTGGAATTGTTGAGCACAACGCTCAAGGGGACATCCCAGCCATCGGGAAAGTCGAGACGGAAGGTCGTTGTGTAAAATCCAACCCCGGCCTTGGATAATCCGGTCTTGAAAGGGCTTGACACTTCCCAGTGAGAATTGGGTGGATTGGGATAGTGATAACCTTGTCTCTCGGCATACATAGCACCTTCATTGAGGGGGCCACGGGCCAAATCGCGATATTGTTCACCACCAAGGTTGCCGGTCAATTTCCAAGCTACATCCGATTGCACATGGTTGGATAGCTGGTATCCGAGAATGCCATGAGGGAACTTAATTGCATCTGTACCCGGCGCTTCCTCATCCTGGCCCATGTTGTCGATCAGTATGGAGATAACGTGTTGAGTTCCGGAAGATAAGGTCGTTGGAATTGTGAGATTCTGTGTGATCGTAGCGTCTGAGCCTGTGCCAGGCCACGATCCAAGGAATGTATCATCCAGCCAGACAGAATGACCGAATCCAGTTCCTCCCGAGATGTTGAGCCAAATGTAAGATTCAAGTCCATTTGCGGAAAAGTGGCCACGGTAAAGCAAAGATCCAGTATGGAAGCCGTAATCCATTGCATACAAATTCGTGGGCGTGTCCAGTTTCCGAGGATTGTGGGAGACGAGTTTGTCGCAGGACTGCCAAGCAGAGTCGTTGTAGGATGATTTGAGTTCCGGGAGCGAGTCTATGTATTTCCATTGTAAATCATTCAAGGCAGGAATGTCAAGCGTCGGTGGATGGTATTCGACAACAGCTGAAACTTTGCCCGTCTTTGTGGGCGATGTCTTCATTTGCTGTCCATTGAAGATCAATCCATCCAATTGCCCGACCGGCGTAGAGATGACTTCAATCTCTGTTGTCGAGTTGACATCCCCAGACAGCCAGAGGTGCTTGTCAACCAACTTAGCACTGCGAATAAGGTACCCACCCTTGACGACAACCAGCTCTTTGGAAGGCGACGAAAAATTCCCGATCGGGTGCGACGACGGCAGCTCCAAAACCCAATAGTTGTACGCTTCGTTGCGCCAAACAAGGTATATCTCCAAATTTGAGACATGAATAACACAACGGTTGCGCCCAACTTGCCAGCGTATTACCCAGGTTGAACCTTTCTCGTGGAATGAGATATCCTCACCCTCAATTATAGTCGGATTGCCAAGATGACGTGCGACAGCAAACTCGTGTGTTTCGCCAACACCGCCATACAGAACCAAGACTCGTGTCGATCCGGATCCCCTTGCCCATGTGAATATTTCTGCTGTCGAGTAAATCAAGTTGATGCCGCCAAGATCATAATCTGTGACATGAATTTTGGAATCACGCCCATTGAGGGACAGACTGCCTCCCAGCTGAGGGATGCTGACATTTCCGACGCTCGTGGAGACAATCAGGTTATACTGAGCATTGGCAAGGGAGCTGAAATCGGCATGTCTGACCACGTAGAAATTCGTCTGTGTGCCATTCCCGAGTAGCGGGGTGACTGCGATCGAAGCCGGCGCTCCATACGAACCGTTGACACCCAACTTCGATGTCGCAGTCAGGTATGCTGGCGACACCTTCAAAAAGTTTGCTTCCAATTTCTGCTCACTGTATTTCTCGCGCCAAAGGCCTCTTTCTTCTGTGATGGCTGCGCCGTAGTCGTAGGACGTATACCCGGCCTGATAACCAAGGTTCCCCCAGTTTGTGCCACCGTACGTCTGCGATATGACATTAGACTCAAAATTTTCCATACGGAGTCCTTGGAGTTTCCCTAACCATGTATATGTTGAAAAGCTTCACGCCAAAACTGTAATTGTTCTTGTAGACAACTCTGGCAGCCTCTGCGTTTACAAGGTCTGCACACATCTCTTCCGCAACCCCTCCCCTATGTTCAGTTAGCAGATAAAACTTGCGATCTAGAGGCACATTAATTACCATCCCTCTCCAGAACCTCCCTGGAATTCGGCAATCGCAAACGGCGTTTCAGGACTTTCACGTTCGTGAACGACCTGCCAATCAAATGGGAATCTGTAAGTCGGCCAGACAGTCGGATGAGCGCCTTTAAGCTAGTCAAAAACGGACGATTCTTAACAATAAAATTTCCCGATACTGGACTCACAGTCGTAACGTAGGGGGTAGGAATCAATTCCATAGATGTCTACCGCGCCCAGACCAGATCCTGGAGCCCAGTAGCCCATTGCCTCATTATCATTGACAATGAGTGGAACAGTGATGCCGGCGTCAAGGAGCTGCTGTTCCACAAAGTCCATATATCTTCGATTCATCGATGAAGGGAAATCAGTCACACCAGGCCAAGTGGAAAATTCGTTCTCGGGCTGCACTAATATCACTGGACCTCCGTGGGTGATTTGTGCCTTTTCAATTATTCTACCCACAGTGGACAAGTAATTGACGGTTGCATTGAGATACTCGGGGTCGTCTGATCGGATGGTGGCATTCTTTCGTAAAACCCATCCAGGAATTCCTCCTGCTGAAGTCTCTGCATTGATGTAAGGACCCGGTCGAGCAATGAGATAAATGCCGGCTTGGGTAGCAGCGTCGAAGAACTCCTCCAGGCTCCATATGCCATCTGTCGAGACGTGACCTGGGTTGCCCTCGACCAGACCCCAGTCCACATAGAACGAAACTCCATTGAAGCCCATGCTCTTGATCTTCTGAAACACATCTAGCCAGAGGTCTGGGACAGGTAACCGGAATGGATGGAACTCTCCTGAGAATATCATGATGCGTTCGCCGCGAACAGAAAGCGAGTGCTTATCCCATGTTACCTTGAAAAATTTGTGGAATTAGCTTCGGCAGATTTGATTCTTGGAAGTATTGACCTACTAAATTTTGTAAAGCATCTCTGCGTTGAGATCGATCAAGCAGGTTGGAGCTAAGCACTAAACATGGCGTAAAAATGAGCGCCACCCACACTGCAAAGTGCAGTGTTGAGTCTAAGAGACGCATCCTCAACTGTGTCAATCTTGACGTGAAAGAGACCCAGGGGCTTGGAAACCATCTGTCTCTCTTTAGTAAAGAGGGAGGCGGATAATTACCCAGATCCTTCTCATAGTTCCCCACATCACTTTGTTACCTCCATACCCCCACGCTTAGTAAGCGGAGGATTCCATTCATTTCGGAATCTTTGATTGAAGGAAGATTTTCGCGCTGGCGCAAAAAAACGGCTAAATTACAGACTTGAAGCAAAGACAAAATCTCGGACTATGAAATGCCGAGCTGTATTTTGTTTTTTTAGGCTGTGCCAAGAGACTCTCAGGCTAAATCAGCTCATGGCTCATCCCTGGATATTAGGTTCGCCATAACTGTCGGTGACATCATGGGTAGATCACCTCCGCATTTTCTCTTTCTTCTTGCCATCGTTCAATTATTCTCTATTCCAACAACCTCTGCTGTCTAAAATGGCCGCTCACATCAAGCCTCTTATTTTGCACGCTCACGCCACGGGTCCCAATCCCATCAAGATTGCTATCGCATTGGAATCGCTTGGTATCCCGTTCACAGTCAAGTGCTGGGACTTCAGCGATGACCCTAACACAGGTGTCAAAGGTGCCACATTCCTCAAGGTGAACGAGAATGGGCGTGTGCCTGCACTGGAGGATCCCAACACCGGCGTTGTCTCCTGGGAATCTGGTGCGTGCATGAATTATGTTCGTCGAGTGTACGACACGGGGAACAAAATCGGTCCTTCCGGAGGTTCAGGCCAGGATCTGGTTGATTTTGAGAAATGGGAATATTTCCTTCTGACTACCCTTGGCCCCATGACTGGGCAGGTCAATTGGTTTAGGTCAGTCTGAAGCTCACTTTTCTCTTTCTCCAAAGGAAAAACTGATTCACAATAGGCACTACCATGCCCGCGAGAACGAGGATGCCCTCCAGCGATACACTGCTCAGACCTATCGATGCTACGATGTCCTGGAGAAACAGCTACAAAAGTCCGGAGGTATGAGTATTCTGCCGAGTCGGGTCACTGCAGTCGACTACCATTTCGAGCCGTGGGTGAGACAGCATTCGTTCGCCGGTCTTTCACTGGATAACTACCCTATGATCCATAAGTGGTTGGGATTGATGCATGCTCGTGAGGAAGTTCAAGAGGCTTATTGTAAGGTTGAGGCTGCAGCAGGAAAGTAGCCCAATCCAGACATCGAGAACAAGCAACCATCTGGATTTTGCGAGTCCAAGAAAAGTTCGCAATTGTAAAGTACAAGTCCGGTATTGACATATGAGAATTAGTTACAATACTACTGTTTGAATCATCGTTCATCATGCCTCAGGTATCATTTGTTGGCTTCGTGTTCAATTCTTGATTCACGAGATGATTCTGAAGGGAGGTTCGGGTGATTCATACCTATGGAATCCCACTGTAGATGTCATTAACCATTACCTTGCGATAATGCAGGCACACTCACCGTCCTTCTGATTCTCCTAGTCACCTTTTCTAGGACTATTCATTGAATAGTTCCTGTTTATGAGATGTTACCACACTGACCTGAACGAATCTTTGACCATAGCTTAAATCAAGGCCCCATTTGCCATGAGGCCAGTCTAATTTTCTATCGATTAGGCACTCACAGGTTATATGCCTGCAATTGCTGAATGCAACCTATGGTATGCCATGACGTATTCTGGGTGCACAAGACCATCAATTATGGCATAGTTGTAATACGCAGAAGGACTAAATGAATAACATTCTGATTACTATCAAATGCAGCGGAAAAGATATCAACTTCAAACCACGACCAAATTGAGATCTTAATGAATATGGTAACTCCTGCTGGTTCCGAGTCAATTGCCGTACGTTATTACCTCAGGACCCTGATAAGTAGAGGTAATATTTTTGTTCCCTCTCATAAAACATGGTATCTGGTAACCGTGATGTTTCCAAATCGACCTTCATTTTCACAGCATCCACTGGAACCGATCCTGCCCGCTTCTATCCTGTCAACCATTTTGAACAAAGAAGCCTCTTTAGGTCAAAAGTCCGCCCCGTTAAGAAAAGTCCTCGGCATTGTAGCCTCGCAGTTATTTCACACATACAGGACCGACACAATTGATGCCGGCCATCTGTAAGCGAGGTTTTACCGTACTAGAACGGTAGTGGTATCGAGCCATTTTTACGAGCACCTTAGACGAAGTTGATGGTGCTCGGAGAGGTGGTGTCTTCGAAGGAGTCACCGCTCAATGAGGATTGCTCCCCCTCGGCCTGTTCGGCCGGTACGACCCACTGAGAAACTTGGAGACCAAGGGTGTGGGCTCGGTGGTTAAAGCGACACTGCCAGCTCTTCACGGCCTTGCAGTTAGGCTTCTGGCAAAGATGGCCCATGTAACATTTGATGGACCGGCAAGCCCCAGCTCGAGGGCAAGGGTGCTGAAGGAGAATGTATCTGAGTACTTCGACTATTGTGTCAGAGACATCACTGTGATCGTATTGGCAACTCATGTCGCCACATTCGCCGGAGAGGTGATAGCTGTTGCACACTTTGTGCTCTTTGGCGCGACGGTGGTATTCATCCATGGCATCCGCGGACGGATGGGGACAATAGGTGTCGATACGTTCGCCATCCTTATTGACGGCGATAAAGTCCTCTGCCTTGAGGCTCATTGGGGGCAGGTTGGTGAAGAGGAATTCCTGCGAGCGGCCCACGATAGTTGGAGTAGACCACGATTTGTCTAGCGTCTCATCCGCTGGCTTAGCAGAAAGGGGTTGAATTGGCATGACGTGCTGCTTGATGCAAGAATTACCGTACTTGCAAATACCCTGGATATACGTCAGTAAGAATATATCAGAAGTTGTTGTCATTGAGGGTGTGGGCATGCCTTTTGATAGTGTTTGCAGATCGGTTTGGTGCTGCCATTTGTGAGAATAGCCGCCTTGGTGTTGACGGTAGTAGTTGGTTTGTTGCTAGCAATAGGAGTAGACTTGAAAACCGAAGGTAGCTCTCTAATCGGTAGACCCAGATCTTCAAATTCCCGATGGAAGGAAGCAGCCTTGATGAGGGTGATGCGGTCACTTCTGCCCCTATACGGGGTCAACAGAGAGCCAAATCCAGTATCATGGCAGCCCGCAAAGTAGATATGTCGGCACTGATTGGAATCTGCGAAAAGACGGAACATTTCTGAAGTACGAAACAGCGATTAGTACTTACTGTAATTTGAGGCGAATGTCAACTGGTTTGGCGATTCTCAGGAACGCACCTCTGATTTTAAAATCACTGCCTTCTTTCTTTTCCGCGGCATCGACAAAATCAAAGAGATCTTGAGCACGGTTGAAGGCCGAGGTGAAGGGCGCAAGGGATCGAGCTTCGTGGCCACATAGGCCTGCCCGAGCAAGCGTCTTGGACAAGCCGAGCATATTGGCGTAGACGCGGACCATAATTCGACACTGATCAGCCTGCATGCCAATTGTGGAGTGCATGAGCTCTCTAACTGAGTCGCTTAGTTCACGGGCTGCGTTAATGCCACCTTCGGCACCGGCTTTGATAAAGTGCTCCTTGAACTAAAATAACAACAACAAAAGAAATTGGGTTAGTTTGGAGAAATGGTGACGATTGGAGAGATCTGGAGAGATCTTGAGATCTGGAGTCTCTTACAAGGTAGCCATCACCGTCAACGAGCACCAGCACGAATGGGTTGCGGTCCTGTCAGATTGTCAGCATTGTCATCTTTGGCCTCATCAGGCCCTCCAAAACGGCTGGAGCTCATTACCTGACCACGAGCTTGTCTTTTGTATTTCTCACGGCCTTCCTTCACTTCTTCATAGTCACTTTTGAGGGAGCTGTAGTCCTCCAAGAGACGCTTGAACTGCCCCAGTACGTCTTGGAGAGTTTCATGGTGTTTTTGGTTTTCCTCGGACAAGGCTCCAAGATGGGTAGTCAAGGAATCTATATCCGAATCCCTCAGCATGTTGGAGTTATCGGGAAGGCATACGCCTTTCCCACGAAGCAGTAGAGTTCAGCAAGGACCGTAAACATTCAATCGAGATACGAAGAGGGTTTAAGAAGCCAAAGAAGCAGGAATTCGTCAGCTTGGAAGTGAGCTGATACGGTGGGGGAGGAAGTCAAATTTGTAGCTTCGTGGCAGGCGGTCAAACAAGGTAGTGGGGGCATCAGGTGATTCCTGCAGAAGGGGTTGTCCACATTCGCGTTGTCCACAACAACTCGCGTATCCTCTCTCTTTCATCCATCACAGCCGATAAATATACCAACCAATCACTTGATTGGGTCCTCTGCATCCCAACAAAGGATTTCCTACTTCTTACATGAAGTTTTCTGAAAAGCCAAGGTGGAACCATCCAGAACCTCCCAAGTCATCCGTGTCGCGAAAGAATCGAGTCCACGGCATCAACAAACCCAAAAATACCTCCCTTCAGGGATTGAGCCATGGTGTTGATCCAACCGAAGCTGCCGACCGCAATTTTGAACTAATAGCGCTCATAATACAGATATTTTCGGGATTCTCGGATGCTAACCTGAGCTGAATGGCGTAGGTAATTCATGGTCAGTGCTGAACCGTGAAGTCAAGGACGCGGTCTACCAAATCCTTGAGCATATGCTTCCGTGACCTATACCCTCACTCGATCTCTCCTCGCCCTTTGAGCATCCAGCCTTCCTACCTACTCTGCCACAGTGGTCTGATACCGAACCGAGACACGCGCGACGACCCGTAGACGCCAGTCGGCTCGTTCGGGAGCAGATGCGTGACGAACCTGACGGTTCTACAAATGGATTGATCGCTCGCGCTTGGACCCGACTAAGATGACTGAAAGGTCGTAGTCGGTTTGAACTAGACCCTGCTCCATGAAATTGAACACGATTGCTGGAATTAAAGCTCTTATCTTCGGCGCGGTTGGTCAGAATGACCCTTCCCTCGAGATACGGATACCTGTTGGTCGGATAGTGACACAGACTGTTCTGACGCGACCGAGCTCCGGGGTGCTTCTAGACTTGGTATATGCAGGCAGAGTGTTGCACAAACTCATCGAAGCATCTGGCATGGCCAGCAGATGGGGTTGTTCCACCCGATCTGATACGTTACGAACCTTGCATGGTCTTCGGGTAGAGGATCTGGCTGCTCTTGACGAGACACGCATTGTTCCTTTCTCCCACTGGAGGCTGCCTACCGCCGATAGCCACAGTTTCTCGACTCTCCATCATAACTCCCCGTTTCTTGCTCGCCGTGGTTGAACGGCGACCATTACCAGGGATTCAAATAGCTTAGTATTGGTAATTGACCAAGTTCTGGGAAAATACGCGGTCGCAAATGCTCAAAGAGTACGAATTGGTAGTTTGGACTCGAGACGCGACCCACACTGTGCACTGAGTATCTAACGTACCTGACCCATAACATGGCCAGGGTACGTACCCCCACTGTTCACAGCATTCCTGTATATGAGGAAGTAATGTCATATCCCTCGTCGAACCATCATATACAGGAACAATTGGCCTGATCGGATGAGGATGAAGGTGAATATTCCTGGATGCTTATATAGATGTAGATGTTATCGTCAATAGACACTCCATTGCCTGTGGCCCAACACTTCCCCACACGAAGATCAAACAGACCGAAAACAAGCTAATCCACTTTGGGTATGCAGGATGCCACCACAAAACGGACAGAAGCCGCTTTGGGTCCGGGAGGCTCATGTGAAAATGAAAGTGATCGACAGCCAAATGCGATCGGCTACACAAAAAGATGCTGGGGAAGTTCGGTTCGCTTTCCGGCACAAGTCACTTGCCTCGGTTTCTTCAAGGATGTAGCCAAGCCACACATGATCCCAAAGGTAGCTGAGATTTAAACAGTCAAATCCCCCATCGTTGATATCCCCCCATTTGTCGTCTTGTCTTCTCAGTGCAAATTGACCCCACGAACACGACGCCATCATGAGATACGTTCTTTTTTCGCTGAGCGCATTTGTGCTCTACGCGATCTTCTACTTCTCGTATATCAATGGCCTTGATGAACTGGGCCGTAACTCTGTCGCATCTGGCAAGCTCCCTGGCGTAGATGCGCCGCTCCGCTCAGTCTATACTGGAGTCGAGCCCGTTGATCGTATTTTGACACTGTTGACGACCTTTTTCTATCCCTCGCTCGATGGTCAAAGCCCTACTCTACTGCTCCACAGCATTGCATTTTCGGGCACCTTTGGAGCTGCCTGGACCTTGGTTGTGTTGGAGTCATGGCGCAAGGGCAATGCGGGAACCGTCGCAGCTTAGTAGGTCGCCTTTTAACTGAATGCATGTCCGCGAGCTTGAAAATACTAATGAGTGTCGCAGCCCTGCTATTTTCGGTCTGACAGCCCAACTGATGACCTTCGCTTTCGCGACTCCATTGATCTGTGGCCTCCAACTGGGCTGCTCGGTGACTGCGCGTCGCCCCAATGCTGATAACATTCGAGTGCCTCGCGTTGTTCTCGCTGTACTGCCGCTCGTCTTCCTGATCGGATATATGGTGCCAACCCAAGCGATGGTGCTACCTGCCCCGTCCCTGATCTCCATCGACATGAAGCAGATCGCCATCGCGATCTGGCAGCCCTGGCCTGCCTACGTGTCCATTTTGACAACGGTCGCCTACTACGTGCTGTCTCCCTTCTTCCCGAACAACCACCGTGCGTCCATGTCCGGTCTGCGCTGGGTATACGCATCTGCATTCGCAAATGCGACCCTGACTCACCTTGTCTCGTGGATAATTTCCATTGCATCTGTTGCAGTTCCCAACCTGTTTGACGAGCGTTACCTTAGTGACATCCACCCGTCTAAGGTTTTTGCTATTCCTCTGCCTTGGTCTGGGGTAAAGGTCGAGACAGTCGCTGAGGGTGTGCACTACTTCTTGCGATGGGACTATCTCATTGGATCCGCGGGTGTTCTGCTCTGGGCCTTGACTTTGTACAGCGTTGCCCACAAGCAGATTCTGAGCACTGTTTCTTGGCCAGGCCTTTTGGTCAAGGTTGGCCTCCTGACCGTTCTGACGGGACCCACCGGCGCTGCCGTGGAATTGATGTGGGAGCGTGACGAGCTGGTTTTCAAGGAGACCAGTGGTGCTCGGCAACAGGCCATCAAAACCAAGAAGTCTCTTTGAATCCGGGAGAGACATATTCGAGACTTCCAGGCATAGTTCTTGACTGGAATTGGAGAGTTCGATATCAGATTGAAACAGATTCTCATTTTCTAAGTAAATATGATATAAGATGATTGAGAGATGACTCTAGACGGTTCAGGGCCAACCAAGCGCAAAAAATGGCTATTTCGATTGATCAATCACCTTGTATATCTCCTTGACATATTCGTGGGTGGTTTTCTCATTGCCCATGATAACTTGATGCATCTTATTCATCACATACGCGATAGTCATCCGGCGATCCAGATCCATCAAAAAGAAGGATCCACCCCAACCACCCCAAAAGCAGATACGGCCCTCGGGGATCCAAGGCAAACTCTGCGGCGAAGGTAGAGCAAAACCAAGACAAAAGCGTACATACAGGAACAAGACCGCATCAGTCCCGGCAACTTGCTCTTGGAGCATGTTATCAATGGTCTTGGGAGAAAGGTATTGCTTTCCATCGACGGTACCATTGAGAGACACTATCGAGCCGATACGAGCCAACGCGCGAGCATTTGAGAAGCCGCCGACGCCTCCAAGCTCGCTATTTCTGAAACCTGGGCTGTTGGGTGCCGTGGGAGTCATGGGAGTCCCTGCATATGTCTTTGCCGCAATACTCGTAGGATCAATAGCCGGGAGTGGACCACGGGTAAAGGGGACGATATCCGCCGCGCGGGGCTGCAGTTCCTCTGGCAAGCCCAGACGATAGTCTGCACCTAAGGGGCCAGCTATCTCGTCGATGATGAATTGATTCAAGGATTTGCCGCTGACGCGTCGCACAATCTCGCCGACCAGGTGGCCTTGAGAAACCATATGGTACCCGCTCAGTTCACCCGGTGTCCACAGGGGAGCCATTTCCGCAAGTTTTGTCGTTGCCCCCTCTACATCAAAGATCTCCTCCAATGTCATTCCAAGTGGCCAGGAGGGCACACCGGCAGTATGGCTCAGGATATGGGAGACCTTGACATTCTCTTTGCCGTTGGCTGCGAACTCCGGCCAGTAGGTGGCTACTTTCTCATCGGCGTCGAGCAGCCCGCGATCGATGAGGATGTTGGCAGCCAGGTTGGTCACGACCTTGGAAGAGGACCAGATCACTGAGATAGTATCCTTCCCCCAGGGCCGAGTACGGGCTTCGTCGGCGTGGCCACCCCACAAATCCAGGACGTTCTTTCCGTCGATATTGATACAAAGGGACGCGCCAGTTTCGTCTCCGCTAGCGATCCGCTGCTGTAGAAGCTCACGAACCGAGTTAAATATGGGGTCGCAATTGCCGTGCACTTCAGCCATCGTGGAGGTATAGTTATGAATTGAATGTCTCGTAGCACAGGTTGTCAGAAGCAGAATTCTTGGAGATGCTCTGAAACCGAGCTTTGTATCAACTGCTTTTTGGACTAAGAAAAATTGGGGCCAACCAGGTGAAACTAGCTAGCTGCTTCGGCCGTAGTCAGAACCCCTCTTTTCTCTCACAGCTGCTGATGACGCCGAGCTGAACTTCCCGGTCGGGCACTCAGCGCCTTGGTCGCATATTGGCGTCGTTTGTGTAGTATAATTGTTGATCAGCAGGTGTAAGCTGATGATAAATGCCATCGCAAATGTGAATAATCAGGTTCAGCTCTTAGGAGCTGAGGTTGGTAATAGATGCATCCTCGTTAGTAATGACAAGGCTCGCTGACACCATCGTAGGTTGTAGTTAGGTAAAGAAACAGAATGCCCCCCATATTGCGGAAGATTGATCTGAAAGAGAATATTGCGGCCTGGTAAGTACAGTAGTTGTAGCCTGGGAGTTCTGTCGCTCTAACACCATCTGACGACGTCACCTTAAAATCCACCTGAAATTCCACTTAAGGTAATATGGTCCGAGTTTGTATTTTCATTCGACTTGCTGAGTGCCGTATGTCCTAACCGTCTTGTGAATTGACTGCCGATGCCAACCGATGACGTCGGCACAGAATATTCGGCATCGCGGAAACGAAAACTCCACGCTAAAGCACAGAAACAACTTAGAATTGATCAGTTATACGCATAAAAAACCGGTGGATCTGTTGTCTTGACTCAAATCTCTAGTCTGCCACTATTATGTCAAGAAATTGTGTTCTATTCCATGTCGGATGTTCATCCCTTGGTTGGGTCGTGGCACGGTTCAACCGGGGAAAACAGCACTCGATGACGCTCGCTGTAGACAGCAACCGTCAGGAAGGGGAATAAGGAACGAACAACCTAATCATTGAGCCCGAGTCTTCCGTCATTCTAGAGTTCAAAAAGGTCTTATTTCTCCCTTCTTCTTTTCTCCCTTCTTCTTAAAAGGGCAAATAAGACCTAAAGAAAAAGAAAATTGTTCTTTCGCTGGGAGATCACGAGGCATACAACAGATTCCCAATCATCATGGAGCGTACTAGCTCACCTGCCCCGAACTCTCATGAATCCATCAGCAGCGGGAGCGATCGTCTGACTGCAATCGCAACAAGTCAAGATCGTCGTGGATCCCAGCACGAAGCCATTCTCGCAGACACACTAAGCCGTCGTCCTACCAACCTCAACGAGGTCGAACTAGAACGTATCGAAACCTATCGTCTCCAACACCGCTCGACCGTCGGTTCAGGAGTTCCTGTACCCCGCGAAGAATGGCTACCTATGGGTGCTGGGAAACCATATCCACCAGTTTTGCCGGACCCCGAACAATTTGTGGTGGAATTCACCGATGCCAATGATCTTCTCCATCCGCAGAACTGGTCCTTGCGCCAGAAGATCATCATATCTGTGGTTCTGTCCTACTCCACATTTGTATCCTCCTTCGCTAGTGCCATCTACTCCTCTGCCGTCGTCGAAATCAGTCCTCAATTCCACATTAGTAGCGAGGTCGCCATCCTCGGTGTGACTCTCTATGTCCTGGGTTTTGCTTCGGGGCCGACCCTGTGGGCACCGGCAAGTGAGTTGATTGGGAGAAGATGGCCAATCATTGTGGGCGTATTTGGTTTCGCTATCTTCACGGTTGGAACTGCAACTTGCAAGGATGTCCAAACTCTCATGTTGACTCGCTTCTTCGCGGGATTCTTCGCTGCAAGCCCAATTGCCATCGTTCCTGCCGTTTTCGCAGATATCTACAGCAATCAGACTCGTGGTGTGGCAATCGCGATGTTTGCCATGGCCGTGTTTGTTGGGCCCTTCGCCTCGCCCTTTACTGGTGGCTTTATCACAATGTCCTATTTGGGTTGGAGATGGACGATGTACATCTCTTGCATCATGGGCTTTTTGTCCACAGTACTATGCCTGCTGTTCCTTAAAGAGACTTATGCACCCGCCATCCTTGTGGAAAAAGCTATCAAGTTGCGCAGACAGACACACAACTGGGGCATCCGGGCAAGGCAGGAGGAGGTCGAGCTGGATTGGGAGGAGTTGATCACGATCAACTTCAGTCGGCCGTTTCGAATGCTCTTCACAGAGCCAATTGTGTTTTTGGTATTATAGTCCTGATTCCTCTAGGCTAGATGAGAACCTCACTAACGAACTATCAGATATCTCTTTGGATGAGCTTTGTCTACGGATTAATTTATGCACTTCTCAGTGCATACCCTGTCGTGTTTCAAGGACTCCACGGCATGAATCTCGGAGTTGGAAGTTTACCCTTCATCGGGTTGATTGTTGGGGAGTTCCTAGGTGGTGCTTATACTCTGCTGGATCAAAAGTCGTACGCGAAAAAGCTAGCGGCCAACAACAATATCCCTATTCCCGAGTGGCGACTCCCACCATCTATACTCGGTGGTATTTGCTTCACTATTGGGCTGTTCTGGTTCGGCTGGACAGGATGGACAAAATCCATCCACTGGATGGCACCAACTGCGAGTGGAGTTGTCACCGGCTTCGGGATCTACGTGATCTTCCTGCAGTGTTTCAACTACTTGATTGATTCATACCTCACCTTGTAAGATTCCTATATTGCTTTCCAAAATGCCCTCGCTAACCAATTATCCAGTGCGGCATCTGTGTTTGCTGCCAACACGATCATTCGATCCGCGGTCGGAGCAGCATTCCCGCTGTTCTCGAAACAAATGTTCAACAATCTAGGAGTTCAATGGGCTGGTACACTCCTTGGGTGCCTGGCGCTGATCATGGTTCCTATCCCTCTCGTCTTTATAAAGATCGGTCCGATTCTGAGAAAGAAGTCCAAATTTGCCCCAACTTTCGGGCCTCGTGAAAGTACCCGTGCGGAAAAGGAGCCGCGTGCATCGGTCTAGGGCATCGTCACATCGCAGGATCCCTGATGATGCTTCTTGCGAAATACGCGACTTTAAAATACCATTTGCAATTCATTTTCTCGTGCACGTTCCCAATCGATAATCTGTAGAATGGAGCCTGTTGAGCGTCAACTGCCGATGGAACATGATCGGAATTGGCCGATCTCTTTCGACCCCGATATCATTTTCTGGGAGATCAGTCTGATATGTAGGAAGCTGCTGAGATTATATCGGCTCATCCGCTCTATCAGTCTTTCCTGATATGGTTATCGCTGGACCATGGAAATTGTCGCGATAAGATAGCCAGTCCACTGCCAAGAAGACTGAGCGCAATCTTGGCGTTTCAGCAGCAGGCCCTAGGAGACAAACAAGGCTCTCCCCCTCAGTGATCATGATCACGATCGAGAAGGTCACAAACATATTCAAGCACATTTCTATCCATGAGTACGCCTACATATAACATTTTGTTCCGAGTCATGAATGCTGTCGAAATTTTTTTCAACGAAACCAGACCCACTGCCGAGGTTGCCGAGTTAGGACCCATGGGAAAATGGACTGTCGGCAACCGAGCGGCCAATTGCTCGGCCGGCAAGAGGCCTGTCCGACCCGCCAAGCCTGCCAAGGATAATGGGGGCGGAGATAGGTGGTCATCAACTGGCCAGGTGAATTTTTTTTGCTGTTGTAGCTTATCAGAGGAGTGTGGTTGGCGGAGGTAGCCGGATGGTTTTTCTTCGCCTTCAAAGCCTTTGCTTTTCTTCTGTTCACTGCTCGTCAACCACTTTAAATAGTGCGTCGTACCGACTGCAGCGGCTCTTGATACCCTGCGCGCCATAGCAGCAGTTGCGAAACATCCAGCTTGTGAAAATGGGGCTCAAGATCTGGATTCGAGATACTAACCTGCGGGTTGCACGGAGTCCCGTGGGGAGATGGTTTCGTCTGGAGAATTCTGGCCACGTGAGTTATCATACCTTGTCTATACCAACTGCAGAAATGATGAACGGTCTTATTAACGTGATATCGTTTTCCATTAGCCGATGGAGAGGAAGGGTAGCTTCTTCTTTACTGAGCTTCGTGCCGGCCTGGCCACATTCTTCGCGATGGCCTATATCATCTCCGTGAACAGCACCATTACCTCGGAGTCTGGTGGAACATGCGTGTGCCCGGCTGAGAGCATGTCTGACCTCTGCGCAACAAATGCCGAATACCTGGTCTGCGTGCAGGAAATCAAGCGTGACATCGTTACCGCGACAGCAGCTATTGCGGCACTTTCGACATTCTGTATGGGCCTCTTTGCGAACTTGCCCATCGCGCTTGCTCCTGGAATGGGTCTGAATGCCTATTTCGCATACACCGTTGTTGGCTATCATGGTTCCGGTCTCATCCCATACAAGGTTGCTTTGACTGCGGTTTTCGTCGAGGGATGGGTCTTCTTGGGCCTGACGTTGATTGGTATGCGACAATGGCTTGCGCGCGCACTTCCGGCTTCCATCAAGCTTGCGACTGGTGTTGGTATTGGCCTGTATCTTGCTCTCATCGGCTTGACTTATAGTGCTGGTATTGGACTAGTTCAGGGCGCCACAGACACCCCAATCGAGCTGGCAGGATGCGCATCCCAGTACATCGACTCGGAAACTGGGTTGTGTATCAGCAGCCAGAAGATGCGCAGCGCTACTATGTGGATTGGTATCTTCTGCGGTGGTTTCATGACCGTGTTGTTGATGATGTACCGCGTCAAAGGCGCCGTTATCATGGGAATCTTGCTAGTTTCGATCATTTCGTGGCCGCGTACCACTCCAGTGACTTACTTCCCTTACACGGAACTCGGAACTAGTATGTTCGATTTCTTCAAGAAGGTCGTTACTTTCCATCCTATCACGCACACCTTGGCTGTTCAGGAATGGGATATCTCTGGCCATGGCGGTCAGTTTGGACTCGCTTTCATCACCTTCCTGGTAAGTTTATGACCTGCATCTCAACTATATTACTCTACTCGACAATTCAGTGGCTAATCTGAGTTGTTAGTATGTTGATATTCTGGACACCACCGGCACTATGTACTCTATGGCCCGATTCGCCGGCGCCATTGACGAGCGTACCCAGGATTTCGAGGGCAGTGCCATCGCCTACGTAAGCATTCCCGAGTTTCATTATCCCAGCCCACACCGGCTAATCTATTACGTAGATGGTTGACGCAATTTCCATCTCGATTGGCTCCCTCTTTGGTAGCCCTCCCGTAACCGCTTTCGTCGAATCAGGCGCTGGAATTTCCGAAGGTGGCAAGACAGGCTTGACCTCGTGCATGACAGGCATCGCATTCTTCATTGCAGTGTTCTTCGCGCCAATCTTTGCCTCCATTCCACCATGGGCAACCGGCTGTACTCTCGTCATCGTCGGCGCTCTGATGGCCAAGTCAGCAGCGGACATCAACTGGCGCTACTACGGTGATGCGATTCCGGCGTTCCTCACCATTGCTATCATGCCGTTCACCTACAGCATTGCCTACGGTCTTATTGCGGGTATCCTGAGCTATATCATTCTCAACTCGATTGCTTGGATTCTGGAGAAAGTCAGTGGTGGTCGCATTGTCCCACCGAACAAGGATGAGTCCGACCCTTGGACGTGGAAGGTACCTGGTGGCTTCCTCCCTCCTTGGGTGAAGCGTGCTGCTAGCGGGAAGAAAGATTTCTGGCGTCGCGATGAGGAGCGGGCTGCGTCTGATGAGCTGGGTTCCCTTGGGTCATCTCAGGAGAGAGTGCCAGTTGAAAAAGGCCCCAATAATGCTGAGGAGCCCACAGCAAAGGCGTTGTGAGGGACCATACAGGCGCTGATTAATATGTCGCCTAGCGAATCTTCTCGACGTTATATGATATCATAGTTGTAAATAATTCATTATCTTGGGTAATCAATGCTTTTTTGAGGTTCAGCCACGTAAATGGTTTAAGGGGACAGCCTCGGACACATTTGGGTATATTGTTTGCTCATCAAAAAATCAACAGCATCATGTATCTCTGTATCTCACGCTTCGCATCTTACAAAAAGCAAATTTTTTGGGGATGTGGCTCAAGAAGGAGGTCAGAGTGAGGACCAAAAGCAGTGGGCAACTCAGAGGAATCATGAGGTCCCGCGCTGGAAGTAGATGTCGACGAGAAAAACCTTAGATATTCTGACCGGCAAAAAATCAGTTGTTTTGCGTAAGAGGGAGGTATCATTCATTAATATCATCTGCAAAATAGCCATAAAGCATATCCCCGCCGTGCTCCCCCATCATTGTCCACTCGCAGTCCTCCCAGCCATGCCAGATGGGTATTGGCCAAATGGGAGAGAAAGGACAAAGAAAAGCCGCAAAATTGATTGTCCTCCAACTTGAAAAAGGGAAGGGGATCACAAACGCCCTAAAAGGGTAAGAAAACCGACAAACTGTTGTAATATTGGCCCAGCAAACTCCTATCGAACATATTCGATCTTGTGCTCAAGGTGACAGCCCCAGCACCGAAGAAGAGTGGAGCACGGATGACCCTACTCGGCTGTCTCAAAGGACGGTTTTTTGGCTTTGCGTGCCATCCACTTGCGGTATGCAAACAACGCGATAATCCCGAGCGCAACGATGAAGACAATGCAGAATACCAAGATCACGCCAGGCTCTCGGCTGGCCCAGTTTCCTCGCTTTGCGATGAGGACCAGGCTGCCTACCTGGGTGCGGGTTTTCAAGGTAACGGCGGGCATCTTGGACCGAACTTGTGCGTGAAGATTGGAATCTCTTGTGCTGGGTGTCAGTCATGCTTCTCCTTGGCTGATGGGCTGGTATGGACCTACTCGATGCTCTGAGAGATGAGGGAGGGACCTCAGCAGAACTCGAGATCGGCGAGAGATCGAAATTCCGCTGACTTGAGGTTAGTGTCGACAAATCACTTGCTGGGCCGTGTACAAGCGAACCGGTCGACGTAGGCAGGGGTTGGTCTCAGTGAGATGATGCGTGTTCACGTTGGTTCCGAGGGCAGGTTGGTGGAAGACGAAGTCGAGAATGATGGTAAAGAGTTGGTTGAGTGGGAGAGTGAGAAGTGCTCAGAGGGAAAGAACGTGACGTCACGCTGGGCAGAGTACGCTGTTGGGAGAAATCACGGGCAAGTGACACTCTCAGTGATCTTAACAAACAATTTTATTCTTCAAGCTTGTCTTGGCTCTAAGGGGGGTAAATTAAATTGTCGAACTTGAGCGGCTCCGGCAACCTACGGAGCAGCGGTATCACCAGTCGATGATGCGAACGACCATCAGGTCAGTAACTTAACTGGGAGCCAATGAAATGGCTCCCCTGATTGGTGTCCAGAACCTCTGTGACCATGGGTTTCCTGGTATCCAAAGTCAGTCATGGACGTCAAGAAAAAGCTCCGCCAAATTCCGTTCTGATGGAAAAGCTTTCCTCGCAGCCGCAGAGACCCGTCAGCGTCGATCTCCTGTCGGTCAAGAAGACCCACTTATTAAGCTATGTACCAATGCCCACTTCTTGAGAATTATACCGAGGACGATCGAGAATCTCGATTTTATATCCTGGTAGGTCCTCCAGGGTCTTCATACAACATGCGGCCCTGGAAGAGTCAAGTTTGGGTGCGACCCGTTCCGAACCCAGTGCTGATGCGTCGCCACCACATCACGGCATGCGGATCATTATATGGCCTACTGTCGAGTATGAATCCTGTAACTATACTTCACGATATACAAGTGAAGAAAGATGGCCCTTCCATAGAAGCAAGAAGTTGTTAGGGTATATATGTGCATTTTCTTCGACGGTAGAACCATCCCAGCAAGCGGTCTCTTGACGTCATGAAAGGGGTCCATTGATGAGCCCGCTAACCATGGCAAGTCTAACTTCATGCTTCTATTTCTCAAGCGAAATAAAACTCCATAAGTGTGAGATAGTCCCCATGTGTCAATGGCGTCGCTAAGGGTCGGATTTCTATGAATAGCTACCGTATGGGCCAGGATCTTGGACACGACAATACGGGGTAGATTGTGGCCTGAGGCATCAATCTATTTTAGGCGGCTTGGAGGACGAGGAAAATGTCTCCGTTCACCTTCCATGTTCTTTTGCTTTCCTGGGCTTCCAGCCAATAACGAGACTGTGCTTTGTACGACTTGGGAAACCTGCCTGCATGCACGGATGATCAGACCCTTCACGTCTATCTCTATCGAGACAGACATCCGTACATGATCCAACTTCGAGACCAAGGATTTGCCAGCACTATCAATCTGCAAGCATCGCCAAGAGACTCTAGCTGATCTCACCCTTGAACCTTATTCCTGGACTCTTGGCTCATGCAAGCCTCGACGCCCCCTCGAGATTCAAACCCTCTAAGGTCCCGTATCAGGAGAAGACGCCTCGTCAAGAATTTTTGTCCCAACCGTTTCACTCAGAAAGGTCCAAGCCGCAAAAGCTTAAGCCTGGAGAGAAACCCAAAAAAAGGTTCCTGGCCGCCCACTACCTCGTATTTCCGGCGACGGGGCACCAATCAACGATCTCCATGCCGTTTGAGAGTTGATCCAACAACTTCACGTGTGTGAATGCTAATGGCCATTATGGTAAAATTTGCAACTGCCCGACAGACTTGGTGTCCTCGCCGAGTGGGTGCCTGCTAGCAATTCGTGTTCCTCACGCCATACACGGCCCATGAGAGAACGACCGGGGTCTGGGATACGAGGCTTGTCAACGAGGACGGAATACACTTAACAAAATAGCATTATTCATGTTGTCCGTCATTTCGGACAATAACATCATCATTTTCCTCAAGCCTTTTGTAATGAGAGTGCGCCAAAACTCCGTGCCCTCTTCAATGCTGGGGAATGCAAATGACGCCGAAATCTGCACGGCTTAGATTGCTGGGCGATCTTCTGCCCGTCACAGCAGCGATCTGCCCCTGCGCCCTGTGTGGGGTCCACCCCATGGTTCTCACTGGCCCCCAGGGACAATCATGCACAGATGAAGCCTCATCGAATACGAGATCGGCTTGTCGTCGCGCGTTGACGCTCTCCGTGTCTGCTGGTCCCATATTTAGAGACGAGTATCTTCCCTGATTCTTGCTTTGAGCTTAATTCTACCTTGTATTCGTTCATCTGGAACTCCTCCACGGCCACGTCGGCCGCGTCGTCAAGATGAATCTCTGGCTATACACACTCTCATTGATTCCGCTCGTGGACGCATGGACTTTTCTGTACACCAATGCGACCGGAAATGCCACCATCCTACATGACACTGGAACGGACAACTGCACGCAAATAGACCTAGCTGGAGGGAAACTCTTCTCCTGGGATCCCGAGGATTCGGGTCTTTGTATCTCGATATATTACGATGCTACGTGCACGGATAGAGGGGGTCTCTCTTGTAACGCTTGGAGCAAGAACGCGAGCACGACATTCCACGGCGTCCAGATATACTCCGAGTCAGATTCTTCTTCTACGTCTGTTTCGACCTCGACTCCGACTCCTACAACATCAGCTTCCAGCTCCACATCAACTTCTACCTCCACGTCTACGACCTCTATGTCCACATCGTCGACTCCCACCGCCACCTCCACATCCACATCCACAAACCCTGGTGCTGCGGGTAATGGCTCTTCATCCTCTCTTTCAGGCGGCGCTATCGCCGGCATCGTGATTGGAGTTTTGGGTGGAGTGGCCATCATCGGGGGACTATTCTTCTATTTTGGACGCCGGAACCGCAAGAGCGAGAACCTTACCGATGTCAAAGAGCTACCTGGCCCAACATCTGGCTCGATTTCCGGAGATCCACGTCGTCCATATTCCCCACAGTCACCAATGATGGTAGCTGGATATGCACAGCCGGCATATACGGACAACTCAGATAAGGCGCCTAATTCATCGAGCGGCATGTCATCAGTACGTCCTGCTCCGGGGTCTCGGGTGGTGGAACTAGCGGGTCATGACCGGGCAGTTGAGCTGGGGAATAGCCCGATCAGTGAGCTTGATGGTCAGCCATCGGAGAAGTACTCTTATCGATTTTAAACCTTCTTTATGTTGAATATATGCCCAGGCAAATGTAAAATAATGTTACTCAGCCCCAAAAATGCAGCTTGCGTCTATTTGGCTATTCATATCGAACCTCTCACCTGATCATCCTGAAGAATATCAGCAGCCTTTTCAGCGACCGCAAATACCGTTGCTTAAATATTGTCTCGAGGCTCCGACAAAGATGCTGGCGTCTACAACACGCAATTTCTTTGTCCCATAAATCTCCAGCTTAGGATCCACGACACCGCGGTCCTCTCGAGTCATCATAGCACACGTCTCACTGCCGTGATACATCGATATCACGGGCTCCTTGCACAGTTCTTTTGTTCTATCAAACTTTGTTAAAGGTTCCAGTGTGTGCAGGCGCTCACCCCTTTCTGAAGTAGCGACGCCATCGGTTCAGCCTCTGCAAACTTGTCCAGCCCAGCGACATGCTATGCCGGACATGTAGGTTGAGGTCAACTGGATGGCGAATGATTCCATAATTGATTACTGGCACGTCTTCTAGATTGGCAGATTGAATATGCACAGAGCCCCGGGAAAGAGGGTAACTGAGTGAAGTCACAAGACTGATGAAGAATCCTGGATGACTGAGACCAAAGATTCTCGTCGGATCATCTCCCTCTCGGGGAGAACCTGGACCTGGGCTGCTTTTCTGATATGCAGCCATTGCTGCTGCGGCAACTGCAGGGTCTCTGGCCATGTTCCCCGAGGGAAGTCCATCGGTTATCTCATAATCGAAGGGTACGATTCCATGGTCTTGTACGTTCTCACCAACACCCGCATGGCCAATGATCGGGATGATTCCACGGGCCTGAAGCAATGACGATCTTCGAATACTGGACAGCTCCGATATTTGAGGCGTCTGCGTCGTCCCTACAGCAAAGATATCTACCCTTTGGGCCGAAACCGTGAAACTCTTCTGATCCTTGATGAACCGAACAACACAGGCGAGAACACCCTCACTTCTCTGGTTCAACACAGCCCTCTCGACCAAGTCGCCCGCCCATCACAACCCTCAGATTTGGTCGAGCCTGAACATCTTGGCCCAGATACGCCGCGCTGGAATGGCTTCTCGTGTGGGAGACCGGATCAATGGAACAGGAGTGACAAATGGACCAGTTCCAGAACCGTTGATCGGATCTTCGAGTTGCGGATACCCCAATGCCTCCGAAGTTTCCAACCATGCAGAATGGAACGGCATGTACTGAACGCCGAATGACACATGTACAGGGCCATCGGTATCCTGATTATTCTCGTCATATTTCATCCCCTTGAAGAACTCTCGGTTGTCATCTGACGGGGTGTCGATTTCTGGAGTTTGCGAATATATGGCCACAGCCCTCACAAATCTAGCCGGGGTTCCCCAATACTTCCCAGGCATTTAGCCCGGGTCGTGATGGGTAAACAATCATGCCCATGCTGATTGCGGACGACCCTCCCAGAGTGCGTCCTTTGTCTGCTAGCAACTTGTGACCGTTGAATTGCTCCTAAATTGCAATATCTGCTCAAAGTCCCACTCTTTCAGGAATATCGAAGACTGGAGAAGCGTACCTAGGGAATCGACCAGAAATTTCAGTCAAAATATGTGGATCCTCGAACGTTGCCGGACTAACCCCAGAATCAGGATTTGGGGATCGTTGAGACGATTTGTTCCCGCTTCGAGAATAATGGCTCGGATATTGGGGTCTTCTGTGAGTCCCTGGCTACCCCAAGGCCAGATGTTTCACCTCCAAAGATACCGTAGTCGAATACTGCACCGTCGATATCTGCGGAGGATTCTGTGTCAAATGAACTCGTCGTCCGCACTGATCTTTTCGGCAATCCTTCTTCAGGCGTTGGAAGCCCAGAAAAACGGTGAAGGGTGCCGGGATGGTATCAAAAATTGAAGGATGAATAAGGGGCATATTATCATCCTATTCTCATCTCATCCCCTTCATCGCCGAGCCAGCCTCTGACAATGATCGTCATCGACGTGGCCGAAGCCATGCCTTCGTTAGCTGCTAGTGTCAAGATAAGGCTGGAAGAATTGCGAGGTTAGAATAGTAAGCAGCATGATGTCTCTGCCGTTTCCAAGGCACTTTGCATAATGCTACACCACCAAGCCCATATTGAAAATCACAGTCTATGCCAAGGTCACACGTGCATGAATTACTGCATGACGTGAGACTAATCGTTTCGATAGGGATCAATATCAAAAATAAAACAAATGGTATACAGTACAAGACTGGAACTCAAGGAGTCAGCCGTAAGCGGGGGCCAAGCTCTGCAACGGACATCAACACGCTCACGGTCCCCACTAATGCTGACACCCGGCAGTTGGTCAGTCTTCCGTGTCGACTTCTCCGTCGAGCCTCTGTTCCACTGCCTCGCACTTCTGACAGGCTTTTCCCCCCCCCCTAAAATCAGGGCAGTCAATGCCACTAGTTCCAATACTGAGAGTTTGGAGCATCATGAGGTGGGAATTATCATTACTCTTCGCGACTCGAAACGCTGGCCCGATGGAGTGCAGGCTTGGTGCTTTTGCAGTTGGTCTCCTGCGATGTGTATGGGTCTTGGAGAACTTGCCGTGGTGGGGAAGCGGAGAATACTCCAGTATTGTCAGCGTAAGATCAGCCCATGCTGATGACATTCCATTCTAGCTGTCACGGAGAAGGAAATCAGACTTGAAAGGCTTGTTGGTTCTTTTGTTCAATCAGAGTCCCTGATGAAGTACAATCCTACCCTACCTAGTTACCTGGAACTGTTCTAACAGGTTTACAAGAGTCCCGGTCTGACTCCACCGCATCCAGAACCTCACCTCCCAGCTGGAGTGCTAAGATATATATGTACACTTCGTACTTTGTCCACGGCGTTGGCCTTGCTTTTTTTCCCCCTCTTGAAACTTCAATAATGATGTTTTATTTCAACTATATATCACACACAACTCATAGTTCGAATTGTTTTTCATGCCACATGGGTAATTAATTAACTGGCCCAAGGTTGGCATTTGGGATTATTTGACGATATTGTATGACCGTCAAACCGGCCATTGTACTCACAGGAACATTTTTTCGGGAAAGCAATAATACAGAAACCGAAGGGCCGCTCTTGTTGTTTCAGGTGTGCTAATCATTGCCACTAACAGGTTTGTTTTCAAAACTTTATCAAAACTTTACGCATTATTCGAAGGCGAGGTTCATCAATGTATGCATTGGGACCCCCGGAAATGAAACCGGCGATCATATCTAATTCTTCCGCGTATCTTTACTAAGGATGTCTTGGTCAACAACTGTAGTTCTAGCGTCATCTACTCCGTAGTTATGCTCGCCTTGTTACCTTATTCAATATCTACAGAACACTCTCGGAATTTTGAGTATTCGCACTACTCAAATCGGGATAGCAAGTCTCAGCAAGCATCCGACCTCAACGTTGGCGATTGGCCTTCAACCATGCGCTCCTTGGTCATTGTGAGAGATTAACCTTTAATCAAACCGCAAACACGTCTGGCCGGGTCACGGCCCGATTATTGCGTGGTGGATAATTAATAGCGTTGCATCTTACGAGCGCTCATGCCCACTCTTACACCCATGCCCATGCCGACGCCACTCACCGTTCACTTGCAGTAGCCCCTAGCCTGACTCTAAACATGCTTCACTTGATTCTTAGCACACGGTCGGCACGCCGTGGCATATGGTCTCCGGATATCCGCCGTAGTTCCGGACATGCTTGGATCATCTTTTCGCCCAGACATGGCGAGACGGAGGAGAAACATGTCGGCCATCGGACGGCTTGAAATTGAGACGAGACGTGAAACCGGAACAATCTCATGGCATTCGGGCGCGGCATCTTTTTCGCGTGCCGATGCTCTGTCTTGACTGCCGATCTTTGCTCCTTGGACCGACATTATTTATGAGGCGGGAAACTCCTAGATTGCAGAAAGAAGGGGCGCTCATTATTACTCATAGCAAAGTGTGTGGATATTTGATTAAAAGATACGGACCCAAGCCCGTTGGCGGCAAGCTAGGCAGATATCGGGTACCAGGGCGATCGAGAAGGGGATAATTTCGATCCTGCGCGTGGGAAGGAGCACCATAACAAGCCAAATGATATCCGAAGGGAACTGTTGAGAAGTAGATTACTAGCATATGGTAAGAACATCAAAATCAGAGTATGCATCATTCGAAGATTGCTATCATGTGCATGTGCAGTCAAGCTATGTTTGAACGTATTTGAGCATAAGGCCTCAAAGTGTTGTAGAGTCTCTAGTATGTACGGAGTACGGAGTTACTTACCCACCAACCGTATGGGGTGATCTCCACTAGATAACCTCGGCAGATGAAGTGGTCTCCACCACCTCGCTTCTAACAGTCTGCTCTGCTCCAGCGAGTCAGAAATCCGCCCCCCAAAGTTGTGGCCATTCCAACCATCATTCGTCGCCCACATCTACGGCCCAGAGAGCGGAAGCTGCTCAAAGGAGTCTGGATATTGATTACTTGGCTCAAGAGAACTGTGGTGGAGTTCTTCCTGATCCTTGGCTCATTCTGGTCATTCTAGCCGAATGTTCCAACTGCGTAAAAGGCGTGGATGTCGACACGGCAAACGTACTCACGAGTCACGACCCAGTTTATTGGAATTTTCACTAAAGATCAAAAGACCTGTCAACTCAGAAGCTGTGTTTGTGCTGGGCTCCAGTTGGCTAGCAAACATACCAAAACTCTTGGCAGTCGGCGCGAGCTAAGAATTTGGAAGTGCTCACGGCCGCACGCATGACCTTCACTCGCTAAGTTTCAAGGTCTAAGTATGTGTCGGGACTGCCCGTGCAGCAGTAATCAATTACAGTATGTGTAGGAGCTCAGCTATGTATCGACATTCTATAATCTGCTCTCCTTAGCGAGGAAATAATCAAACTAGCAGTCGGTATGGCTCCATTTCTGCCCATTTCAAAGCAACCTGGATAGATGCGAAGGCGTATTGAATGGCTTCAAAGGCTAGCCGACTCGAATGCGTCAAGGACCTAAGCTTAACAGAAAGCCTCGAGGTCTAAGTTCAAGGAGCATGTATGGGCTCTCGGGCCGAAATTGAACAAACGGTCCTTTCCGAGAAAGCCCCTTGTCCGAGGAAGCAGGAAACCAGCCTAGCGAGCTGGATTTGCCCGTCTAGAACCGGCCTAGCGGTTTGTGGGGGCGGACCCGTGTAGAATTAACCACGGAGAGTGGCTCCGCACTAGCATTGGCTTCACGCGCAGCACAGTTCTGGTGTCGCCGAGTGGCAGACTTTGTTGGCTGAGCCTTCAGAATTCAAAGAGATCCACGATAATATCAGGGCAGATTGGGTTGAATGAATGTTCAATTTTCTAAGAACACGCAAGAACACCGGGGCCCCGTAGTCACGACGGGCTTCACAACAGGACCGCGGGCCTGGAATGAAACGGGACTTCTCATGTGCATCAGCTAAGCCTAATCTAGTTAGATTTTTATGACCACAATTCGAAGTGCTGGAGCTATTTCCCATTATGAATTTGCATTGGCAGCCCAAGAAAGAAAAGGTATAGGGGCGCCCACTTCCCCGTGGTACCGAACCAATTATTGCCTCGTTTCCAGCTTCCACGGAACAAAGGGCCGATACCCCAGAAACCACGTCCTGATTCTTTTTGGACGATCCTCGACTCATGTCTGCCACCTGGAGATATCTGGTCTCACTGGGGAATCCCCCGATTCCAATCAGGATACGGAGCTACTCGTGCACGCCACACCCCAGGATCTCTAGCTGCTGATGGGATCCGGGGGCCTGGGGTCACAGGGTTGTCAGGTCTCCGCAAGATCCCAAATTTGACTAGCCTCCGCCTACAGATTGAACCCTGTCAGGTTGTCCTCGAAACGATCGCGTGGTATATAAGTCTCAGCCATCCCCACTGTCTACATAGCCTTATACCTTGTATCACTTCGCAAACCGGAATCAGTACTGGCCAGCCGGAGGTATCCGTTGCACACCTTTACAACCATGTCGGAGAAACAGGCCCCCGAGGAAGTCCACGGCATTTCGACCGCCGTCGAGGACACCGCGCATGTTATTGCGGGGTATGGTGAGACGGCCAAGAGAGCTGGCGCGAAGACCAGGGAGGTTCACAATGTGAGCTTGGACAACTTCTTTTGAAGCCATTCCGGATCTGATCGAGAATAGGCCGAATTGTTCGCAGCTATCGAAGAGACCAAGATTGAACGGTGGAGCAAGACCTCGATTCACCTTTACTGTGAGTATTTTGAAAACCACGAGTTCATTTTTGAGCTCCGAAAGATTCAATCGCTAACTATTTCCAAATTCCAGTCTGCATCTTTGTCGCCTTCCTCTGCGCCTGCGCTAACGGTTATGATGGTAGGTCTACGTAGTAATCTCGACCCCCGATCCTGAATCGATGTCAGATTCTTGGGATTGCTACTAAAAGAGAGACACTAAAATCATACAGGTTCGCTGATGGGATCCGTCCTCGCCATGGACAACTACCAAAATGTGTTCCACACCGGTCTGACCGGTGAGAAGGTCTCGGTCGTCACCTCCCTCTACACAGTGTGAGTGTCAATCTTTCAATTACATATCCCGTTATTTGCGATATAACATGACTCACGACTTCGCTACTCCGATTAGTGGCTCGATTGTTACAACCCCATTCAGTGCGGTTATCTCCGACAGACTTGGTCGCCGAAAGTGTATGTTCATCGGCGCCTGGATTATCATTATCGGCTCGATCATTATCTCATCTGGAAGGACCCTGGCTCAATTCGTTGTTGGTCGTTTCATCCTCGGTGTTGGTATTCAAGTCATGGTGGTGTCAGCGCCCGCCTACGCTGTTGAGATTGCTCCGCCCCACTGGCGTGGACGTGCCGTCGGTCAGTATCTCTCTGGTCTTGCCGTGACTATACGATTTCTGACGAAGGACTAGGTTTCTACAACTGCGGTTGGTTCGGTGGTAGTATTCCTGCTGCTCTTATCACTTACGGCACAAACTTCATGGGTAACAACTGGCAGTGGCGTATTCCCTTCATCTGCCAGTGCTTCGCATGTGTTCTCGTCATTGTGTTCGTTTGGTTCATTCCCGAATCGCCCCGTTGGCTGCTCGCTCAAGGCCGTGAGGAGGAGGCAACTGCATTCCTGGTCAAGTACCACGGTAACGGCGACCCCAGCGCTCGCCTTGTTCGCTTGGAAATCGAGGAGATGAAGGAGGGTATTCGCATTGATGGTATTGATAAGAGATGGTGGGACTGTAAGTCATAGCCTCCTCCCGCTCTCAGGCACATGGACCTGCTCAAAAAACTAATTGAAAATCAACAGACCGTCCTTTCCTTTTCACACACAGCGGTCGCTGGCGTTTCGCACAGGTCATCATGATCTCCGTGTTCGGTCAGTGGTCCGGCAACGGTCTTGGTTACTTCAACTCGACCATCTTCAACATTCTCGGATACAAGTCTAGCTCTACTCAACTGCTCCTGAATGTTGTCAACTCGATTGTGTCCGCCATTGGCGCTGGTACCGCTGTCTGCTTGACCGACAAGATGCCTCGTCGTCCAGTGCTTATCTTCGGAACCCTGGGTGAGTTACAGAGCCAGTGTCTGGCCGCCATTGCTTGATAACTTGGCTAATCAAAATTGACAACAGCCTGCGCTATTACTATGGCAATCAATGCTGCCATCTCCATCCCTATCGCTCAGACCGGAACCATCAGCAAGTCGAAGGGTCAGGCTGCCTTGGCATTCTACTACCTCTTCAACGTCGTTTTCTCCTTCACCTACACTCCTCTGCAAGGTGTCGTCCCCGCTGAAGCTCTGGAGACTACCACTCGTGCCAAGGGTCTGGCCCTGTCTGGCTTCATGGTCAGCTCCATCAGTTTCATCAGTCAATTCGCCTCTCCCATTGGTCTCGGCAACATTTCCACCAACTACTTCTGGATCTTTGTCGGTTGGGATCTCCTTGAGGTCTTCTTCTGGTGGATGTTCTGGTATGTTTATCACTTTTTAACCCCACTAACCCATTTCCCTCTGCCCAAGAGCTTTTGTCAATACTAACTCCATTTGCTTTAGTGTCGAGTCTCAGGGCCGTACTCTCGAAGAGCTGGAGTGGGTGTACCAGCAGCCCAACCCAGTCAAGGCTTCCCTCAGCCTGGACAAGGTTGTCGTGCAGGAGGATGGTACCGTCACTGAGAAGATTGATGCCAATGCGTAATTCCAAAATTATTCATTCACATTGAATCAAAGACTGCTGAGTATGATGCCCCAGTTGTTAGGGGCTCTTTTGGTGGGGAAAGTTCTGAAGAGAATTGATTGTCAGGGCACTTTGCCATAATTGTTCTAATATTTAACTTCCTACAACAATTCAAATTATACCAAGGGGAGAAATATAACTGCGTTGTAATTGCATCTCACTAGCCCACTATATGTGTAACGGCTTGCAATGATTTGATCAGACGGGAGATCTTTGAAATTAGCGAAGTGACATGACCTTCATAGTCTAATGTGATACTAAGTAATATTCCAAATTTCAAAATTGTGAATCAGATCACAGTAAAGAACTGGTCCTTGACTGAAAAATCTTCATCGCCAGATTCCTCTCGCCTACCAATTGCCTCGGTGCTTCCAAGAGCTCACGCCTCCATCGACCAATAGGTCTTGTCCAGTTTTCCAAGTGCCAGAAGCGAGATAAAGAATAGCGGGTTTAAGCTCCTCTGGCTCACCCACACGCCCAAACATAGACTCTTGGTTGAATTGCTTCAGGAGGTCGGGGAAGGTTTGCTCCACCTTCTCATCATGTCCGTTCGTGTTGAGCCAGGGGACAGCGAATTGACCTGATACCGTATTGGGCCAGTTCCATCGCAAGGGGCTTTACAAGGCCACGCATAGCCGCCTTGGACCCTGTATAGCAGCTGATTTGCTGTACCGAGGTGCTGATATTGCAACAGACGAAATGAAGATGATAGAGCCAATTCGAGGAGCATCTTCTAGCTCCGGCTTACCAAGCTTCTCCCACTTCCTAACCATAGAATTGGCACAAGCCTGGGCAACTAGGAAAGAGCCAACGAACTATATCAATTCCATAAGCTTGAGTTAGGTAAACCTGGAAGCTCTCACTTACGTTGACGTTAAATGTGGAGCTAAGATTCTTGTCGGATGTAGCAAGGAAAGGCTCATCAGTAGCGACCCCGGCGGCGTTGATGCTGAGATTAAGGGTTAGTTTTTGAACCAAAGGTCGCACTAGGAATGGCGTACTTGACATCCACGTTTCCGAACTCCTTTTCGATGGTCTCAACAACCTCGTTCACTTGCTTTCTGGATGAAACATAGACCTTAGTACGCTTCCACCTTCACAAAGCATTTTGCAGCTAGAGACTCTAGCGATCCGGCTTGAGGTGTACCGATGTCCAAAATGGCAATATTCGCTCCAGCTTCAGCAAGGGCTTCGGCGAAAGCGAAGCCCAAACCTCGTACACCGCCGCTAATAACGGCCGTGTTGCCCTTAAGTGAAAACTTGTGCATGTTATTATTGGTCAAAACTCGCCATGATTAAAAGATCTTACTTGATCCACGGTAAAACCGTAGTAAGCAGCATAGGAACTAGTGCATTCTTAGGAATTTTTAGACAATCCGGGATCTTCACTCATTTATAAGTTGGTTACAGCTTTCCAGAGAAAGTGAAGACACTCATTGAAAGATATGATTTACATGCTTTGGTAAAAGTATCGGTCACAACCATCTCCGTTCAGCCTTCAACTCTGTCGGAGCGGAAAATTTCCCGAAAAGGAAGGCAGCGACTTACGTGTCAAGAAGACCCATCTGTGGCTATCACTTATCAAATTTTGTATATTTAGTATCATGATCTGGGAGGCAAATGAGGCAGCCATGGCACTGATTGAAGGAAGGAAAGAAGGTCAATATGAGGGGTTGGACGAGTCCGTCGTAATAATGGATGTCATGAACGAAATTCGAAGGCAAAACGGTTTGGTATATCCTGACAATATTGAAGCCATGACCTGAGTTGACCCCGTAATTTAATCTTCACGAAAGATAAACGAGAAGCATACACAAGAATTTCCAATTTGAAATAATTGTCAATTCTCCTTTTATCAAAGCGTTTGTTAATTGAGCTTCTACCTTGAAATTACCCTCTATACACGTAGTCTTCCAGGGCCGCTGGCATGATAGATGGGGCTCAGAGGGGAGTTGGTAATTGATGGAATGGCGATCGAAGCTAGAGGAGAACATACTCAGGAACTATGATAAATGTTAGATATATTGGACTTCATTTCTCAAATTCATTCGAATGCGTTCTTCATTTCAATCTGAATCCGGCCATTGCTGACAACCTTGACAACAACTACATATGGTCTATTGTGTTTTTGTCGCGTTTATGATGTGTCGATATTTCGGGTGACTTTTGCAGTTAAAGGGATTGGGCTAGTTAAATTCCAAGAAAAATGACTTTCACTGTCACCTAACTGACCACATGTCCATCCATTTGAACGGCGACGGCTTGAAAGTTGGAGCATGAACGTTTTTACCTTTCACTCACGATAACTCACTTTAACTATTCAAAGCTCGACTCCATTATCATATTCAGCACAATAGCTTTTGCTTTAAGCCGGTCACTGTCAAAACCTGTATCCAACGTTAACGCAGATTTTGACCCACCACCCGGGGGTTGGGGCACAAAACTCGAGGACCTTGAGTACAAGGATGACTGGAACGTAGATGATAGTATGAAGCTGGGTGCAGAATTGAATTTCGGAAAAGGTCCGATCGTGTTTAAATACATTGGCCTCGCTTACATGTTTGAAGGAGGCAGAAACTTCTACTTCTGGTATTGCATTGATCTCGCTGGCTCTGGAATCAACTCTTCGACGAATCTAGATGAAATCATAAACATTATGAAAGAAAGGGGAGAGAAAAACATGAAGACCAAAAATATTCTAAGACAAATAAACTTGGTACTCACTCACCAGCTTTGCTCCCTGACAGTAGGTACACACGGGGTTCTCCATCTGTGTTGGCTATGGCCGCGGTACAGCATATAGCGGACAAGTGCCCGCGGTGAGGTTAATATGTCGTCGCGGTCATGAAGTCACTTCTGTCCTCCATGATTATGGCGCCAAGCGTCCTGTAAGTGTGGCTCTAGGTATTATGTAGAACATAAAACATAGCGACAGGCTGAAAGACCTCAGGCATCTGATTTTTCCTTGGTGCCATACTTTCTTCTTTGAGTATACTGCCACGGTGAACGCAATTAAAGCACAACGCGGTCACAATGGACCCAAACAGTATATGTAGCCGGGAAGACTACGAACACTTACGAATTGATTTGTAAAGGCTCCATCTGGATTGTTTAGCAAATGAAGTCGTAAAAATATCTTAATCAACAATGTCTACAGCCACAGCCAAAGTTTTAGTGAAAGCGTTGGCTCTGTCATGGTGGAGTCCAGTACGCACACATGCAGCAACAGCCTCGTTTTCCCCTTCACTTTCTTTCGAGGCTCTAATTTAAAATTCATAATGATCATCTGGTCGGGAATTATAGTATCATAACTTGCTCTGAATAGTCAAACGGAAAGGGTGGGTCATAGCAAAAATGACAATGTTGTCAGAGCTAACAGCCACCACAGCGAGTCGACATCATTCTGGCGGTGTACTACTACGCTGCCAAGTTAGCGGTACACAACTGCGAGGTCGCTCTGATCCTGTCGGCCCCGCTGAACTTTCGCCTCCCAGCCGATCCTCGACAATCAACTGAACCTTAGCACCAATCGACAGGTCCGACACTTGAACATGCCATTGCAGACCATTTGGGAGACTCGATCGATATCTAACAGGATAGGCGAATTGACATCTCGGCCGCATTCACGATTGACCAGCAGTGCAGCTGTACTCGCGATCCTCGTACACGATACTCCCGCCCCGAGTACTCAAGCGACCAGCCACTGCCAACGTGGCAGTCCGTGCTTTTTGATCCTCGAATCTTCTTGTCCTTAGGCTCTCTCTGGCTGAACCTGGCCCCCGGAACCCTTTCTGAAATTTAACCAGTAAGCAGGTCCGGCGCCAATTGGGCGCTCGAATGAGGCGACGACTGGGAGCCTGGTCGTGAGCCGCTGCCACGTAGCGCGCTATCGAAATCTTGGGATGGTTTCGTTTATTTCCGTATCGTAAGGCGACTCGTTGAATGATTCATGCATGGCTGCTGCAAGACAACACAACAATCGCTTGTTTTCGCCTGGACACAGCTAACGTAAGGCCAGGGCGAAAAAGAGGCTGGGAGTGAATTTGGGTACAGTACGAAGCACGAACAATCAGAAATTGGATCAGTCTATAGCTTATCGGTTATACTATGAAATTCTACTATGGACTTGACTTTTGTAAACCTAGGTTCTTCCGACTGAAGACTCCAATTCGAAGCACAATGCTGAGGTGGGCTTATGTTACTCGTGCAAATCGAGGCTGGTGGGACTGCGTTCGAGGAACGGGCGCGACTAGTAATAATGATGATTACCTTGTGGTATCTGCTACGTATCCATACACTGTAAAATGGTCTCTATTGGCGAATTCACATGTGTATAATCGTATGATATGACGACAGTACGACGTTACCAATATCTCTTCTTTAGCTGCCCGAATCCAGCCCGCGCTCCGGTATCTCGCTCCCATGCGTCATATCAGGGGGAAATCCGTGCAGAGGCTTCGTCCTTGCGTGCGGTAAATATACATTAAAGAAAAAAGCACGGGCTGTTTCCCATAATTTATTTTTCAGCCATTGTTTCGCAACTCTACAAGCGTCGCAGTCGAGCGGACGGCAATCGCCTTGAGCAATTCCACGACACTTCCAAAGCTCTTCAGGGTGTGGCCGCGATTCTTCCCCGCACAATCCGATTGTGCGTTGGCAACGAGTATCGCTGGCCCTCGCGCCTCCCTACCGAGCGTGAGCGTACCACACGATGCGTCGAGCCTGCCTCCTAATAAACCACGAGTGTCCCCCTTTCCCTGCCTCCGACCGTGCCTTGCGTTGCTAGCTGTCGCGCGACTGCTGCGATACGTCCGATTTGAGTGGTTGAACCGAGGATAGCGCCTACCAATACGCGAAATACTCGACACTGTCTAAATTCGGTCAAATTTCGTGGTGTCTTTCAAGCGTTGTCGTGGTAGGCGAAGGACTTGTCACGTCCAGAAGGAAACAAGACCCATTGAGGCTGAGGCGACATCCTGAAAGAAGGTAGTTCTCGTCCGCAGTCTATCTCTTGGATCTACCAGACCGGCAGGTTCAAAAGTTCAGTAGCCTGGAAAGTTTGCTTGAACGGTGTGCGCTCAAGCCTAGGATTTTTGAGATCGGTCAGATCAGTTCTTTCAGATCTACCGAAGCGCCGAGATCGCTCGAGGTCGATTGGTTCGCGGGCAGGTTCGCGCCTCGGACTATGCTGCAGCCGCTGCGTTTGAGGGTCGTTTGAAGTTCTTCGGCTGGTATCGTTTGCGCGCGCTAGCAAGGTGAGTCCCTTTATTGCTTTTCTTTCTTTGTTTTGTCGCTTCGCGTCCTAAGACTTGCTTTCTTCCTTTTTTTTTTATCATTCCAACGAGCCTTGGATGCAAAATTCTCTCCTTTTGCTGAATTAGTTTTCTGTTTGATAATACCCACTAAAACCATGCACAACCAAAATCGACTCGAAATGGCATTCGACCACATGGCTGACTCGCCCAATCTGGATGATTCAGATTGTCTCGTGATAGATTTATGGATGGCCTCCTCCGAGGTGGATCAGAAGGCCTTGGGCAATTTTGCGGCCGGGACAGCCCTCGAAAACCCTTGCTTGTCGGCAATGCTCTATAGAGTACTCGGGGTGTCGGTGATGCTCTCTAAGAAACTCATTCGTGCCCGCCGACTGCGTCGATTAGATGTCACACGCGAAACGAAGTCGCTTCAGCTCTATCACCACATTATATGGCTGTCGCGTGAAGGCCTCGTCATACTCGAACATTATGTCTTACCCATGGTAGCCGCATTCGTCGAATTGAAGGTGCTATCATATAAGCTTCGCGCCTCATTCTACCATATCTTCGTGCTCTTTTACAACCGACCTATCATCATCCCACCCGACGCCGGGGCGCCAGCTGACATGAAGCGCGACTCGATCTATAACCCAGATTCCTTGGCAGCGGCGGAGGGAACCGCGTCCAAGCAAAGCAAAATGACGTCTCACCCGCCTGGTTTAGCACCGGTCCAACAACCCCAGCCCGCTTCTTCATTCCTTCTTCCTCCTCTTGACTATACAACTACGGCCACAGCGTGTTTTAATCACGCCGCCTTGCTTGCAGACAAATTGCTTCCAGGCTCACACCCCCTCCGTCTTTCCGTCAAGATGGAATATGCCGCATACCTTTATGACTGCCTACAAGACCCAGTTGCCTCCCGCCGTTTAGCAAAGCGCGCCATTGCGGACGTCTACAATGCCCAAGAAGGCATGGACGACGAAAGTTTCGAAGACGCAGCCGAGATTGTCGGTGTGCTCGGCAAAATGGTCAAACGCGGTGGAAAGTCTGGCAGCAGTACAGCTGGAAGCAGCGTTTCTCGCGGAGAGCAGTCCCAGAGCCGGAGCAGTCGCAGTCCTTCGCATCTTGACATCAGTGTCCCAACTACCGTCTCCCCTATTCCTGTCACAAAACCTACACCTGTCCCTTCAAGCGGTGCCGTGACTGAACCTGCGGTACCCAGCGCAAATATGATGAATCCGATTTAATGTCGCATGAGGAGTTACGATATAGAAAATCTGATGGGAGCGTTTGTTTTCTGTGTCTGTCCACTTCTATCATTTCTTTTACTGTGGGTGGTGTTCTTTTTGCACGTCATTTCCTTTCTTCACTGTACACAAGTGTTTTCTACAATCACCGACATGTAAATAATTTATTCTTCCACTTTGAATCTCTACCATTTGCACATGCTTGAAATTTTAATACTTCTTTGGCAGTACATATCCGCCGATAGTAACAAAGAACTGCATAGTGCGCCCCATGAACTCTGCAACTTCTGCCCCGATCCAGGTAGGAAGCAACTTCGTCCTGGACGACTCGAGTTCCCGCAGGTACTTGCCAGCGACCTAAGGATCCACTTGCATTAGCTTTGCCAATGGACGAGGGGTTTTCATTGCTTACCAGAACACAATCCCCCTGTCGTGTCTCATCCAAAGCAATCAACGCAATCGCCTCAGCCACACGCTCGGGCGTGTTCTCCTCAAGACCCTGGTCTCTCCACCTCTGCGCAAACCCAGCCGTGATATGTGTCGGAGTCAGGAAGGGTGCAATGCCGTTAACTCGGACTCCAAGGCCACGAGCCGTAGATTGAGATGCACGGAGAAGACCCAGGACGCCATGCTTCGAGGCAACGTACGCCGTGACTCCTGTGCCACCGAAATAACTAGACGTCGAACCGACCAAGACTATTGATTTGGAAGACGTTGATGTCGCATGGCTCGGTTGTTTCATGTGAAAAAGTCCTAACCGAAGTGCTGCTCCCAAATCATCTTTTTAATATCAAATATAAAAGAAAGGGGACAAGGTCAGGACAATGGAACCATACTATTTAATGTACCCTTCAAGTTAACCTCAATAATCCTATTGGCCTCGGTACTCTCTCTTAAATCCCCATTCTCATCAACGCAGTTCATATCGAGAACGGGACTCGACTCCATAATCCCCGCATTCGCAACAACAACGTCGATGCTTCCAAACCTCTCAACAGCAGCTTTAAAACAAGACGTCAACTGCGCCCAGTCAACAATATCCCCGGGAACAAATATTGCACGCTGTGGGTTTGTAAACGTTGACTCGATCAGATGCTCTGCTGCCTTTTGGAACTGGGCTAGATCCGCGATTACTACGTTTGCTCCGTGGTAGTTGAACAGAGCTGCTGTTGCGGCGCCAATGCCACGCGCAGCGCCGGTTATCAGGACGGTGTTGTTTGCGGACTGGGATAGTATGCTGGGGTTGATTTCGATCTGAGACATTTCGGGTTGATCAGTTGTGTTGTGGGTTGTCTTGCTTTTCAATTCTCAGTTGGGGTTAATACACGCGGAGGGAGATGTCCGAGAATGCGGAGAAGAAGGCTGCGGGGTTCTCGCCGATTGCGACATCTACTGTGCTGGGACAATCAGTCATGTCTTTCCCAGAAACTAGAGGGTTCGAAGAATACTTTTCACGTTGACCGGTAGTACTAGGTAAATGTCATTACAGTCCAATTGAAGGACAATCGTCAAAAGAGCTCAGTATATACACGCATTCAAAACGAGACTTCTCTTCAATCCTTCTTCTCGCGATCTGCCGCCTGAATCTCGTTGACGCTGACTCTCGATGGCGCACGTGAGGTATATCTCGAATCCGCAATTCTAGCATCCATCGTACTAACGGCATGGAATGAAAAATCTAATTCTCCAACAAGGCCCTTCACGTGCCGCATCAGTCTTTCGACGTCTCCAACAATGCAACGAGTGGAAATCTGCAAGACTGCAAATGCGGCAAATCCCGGCTCGGCAATGTGCTTGATACTCAAGATATCACTATCAAGTGCTTCCAAGCGCTTGGAGAAGCTGTAAGGTCGGGGAGCCTTGAGGTAGGGAGGTAGAGGTTGCCGGTTGGTGATGCTAGCCGACAAGAGACATAGCAGAGATGTAACCTCGTGGGTTGTGACGTTGGCAGTGCCGACCAGCCGCCGGAAGTCGTGCATCCAGGCTGAGCCTGTCTCGTCATCTTCGTCGTCCCCGAGACGCATCAAGGTGTCCGACGCGTACCCGAGTAAACTGAGGTAACTCACGATACTGTAGAAGAGGAGTTAGCGAGCAGTCATTTGAGGGAATAATGAGACAGAGGGGAACGCACTTTTCAACACAAACAATGATCGAGTCGTATTGCTTTTTTGGGAATCTCCCACCAACAGGAACCTCCCACTTCAGGAATTCTGAATAGGTTCGCAGCCCATTCAACATCAACATCTGTTTTGAGAAGACCTTGTGCCGAGCCTTCTCTAACTTCCGACCCGCAGAACTCTTGAGTGTCATATCCCCTTCGTCCCCGCGCATGCGAGCAGAAATTGTCTCATGAATAATAGAGTAGTAGTTGGCTAGGAGGTACAACGATGCGCCCAGACTTTGACGGAGTACCGAATGCTCCGAAATAGGATATGGGAAGAAAGTCCAGAGGAACGCGACCGCAATACCTCCGCTGACAGTGGCCAGACGGTACGGCGCGAGCAGATAGATTGGATAAAACGGCTGCCCGTTGGAGGTGGCAACCTTCTCACCCACCTTGCGAACCTGAAGCTCGTACCCAATAATCATGGTCGTAGTGACGATGCTGATAATTCCAATGACACGGAAACGGAAGATCTTGATGGGAACGTAGAATGCGCAAGACACAAAGAGGAAGAGGAACACGATAACCCCCGGGGTCTTCTGGCCCGGTATATACCAGACTAAAAGACTTGCCACCATGGCGATGGATGTACCTGCAATTCGTAGCACGAAGCTAAAAATGCTCTGCCCAGAAGTCGGGGACATGCTGAGATTTACCATGATCATCGCCCACACGAGACGTTGTTTTGTAAAGAAAGATTGAGTATCACGTAGCAAAGCCACAATTGCGATCGTCATGGTTGCGCATGCAACTCGGAATCCATAGGTAGATTCGAACGAGCGCAGAAACCAAGGAATCACCCGGACTTTGTCGCCGATCTTTTGGAACGCAGTATTAGGTGGTAGGTGCTCAGGGTCTTTGCGGTGCTTATATGCCTCGCCAAGCTCAAGGCTGCTATTTTGCGCATGTACATCGCCCATGTTGTCATCTTCATGGCTGTCCTCGGGCTTCAACCAGCTCTTGGCCCATTTGATCATGCGCTTGGAACCAGGGATGATGAGTCGAGTTCGTGACAGTTTCCCCTTGGCGGCAACATCATCAGCGTATCGAACGAACTCAAGGACCGTTTTTCCAGTCGAATAAAGCAGTTGCTCCATCTAGGGATTTATCGTCAGTATCAGCTCAATAGTCATTGGCCTGAAATGGAGTGGGATGAGACGTACGTAGAGGAAAAGGTATAGTTGTCGTCGACTTCGATCCTGGAACGAGGCAGACGCAGAGAAAAAGTCGCCCTTCAAACTTCCCATGGAGGAAGGGTGGTCAAAGAAGTCAGGTGGCAGTTTGATTCCCTTCTCCTCGGCCCAAGTCTGAAGAGCGATGCGCTTCGCGCTTCTAAACTCCCCCAGTTTCTTCTCAAAATGAGCTGTGAAACCCTTCTCCCCGGGCGCGGTATTTCCTGCCGAAGCTTCTACATCTCTCGGCTCTTCTCCAGCTTCACTATTCGTAGGTACTGCAGATGCCGTTTTCTTGGGCGGCTTTGTCAGTCGGAAGACATACGAGGTATGCAGTAGTCCCTCATCAATGGTCTGGATCATCTCGGCGAAAGGATCATGCACTGCCCGCATAATATCATTCCAGTCGCGCACAGCACGGGAGCGAATCTCCTCAGGAACCGTTTCGGCATTCGGGTCCAGCGGCGCATTCCATCTGTTGTAATCGGACAGCCTCTGGAAAATATCGACAACAAAGCTCAACCCGACCACAGGAATCATGATTTGTCGCAAGTGGCGAAAGATCAACTGCAGGTCATCCGGACCCAGTTTACCAAGCGCAAATTCTCTTTTTGCGAAAGATAAATCTCCATGCAATTTGGCATGCAGATCTGTGATTTGCCGGATCGCAGCTCGAATGTCCTCGGCCTCGGGACTGTAGACTTTACCCTTCTTGCCAAACTTTTCGCGCGAGTCGTCATATGTTTCGGCCCGACCGAACATGTCGTCGCTTTCTAAGGTTTCGAAATAGACTGCGTGGGCACCCAATGCAGAGCGAAGACCCCCAATGTAGCCTGCCATCTGCTTGAAGACAGCCGTGCGTGACGTCATGGGAAGGACGAAAAGCGAGACAGCGGTGGCAATGGCTAATCCAGATAGAAATGTTCTGAGCAGCTGTTCCACCATGGTAATTGCGGCTGTCATATTCACCATCTGCGGGGCATAAACAGATGAGACGTTGGCGAAAATGGCGTAAATGATCACGGGGAATTGGAATTGAGGGTATTTGGCACGGAACGTGTGTACAAGCCAAATCTGGAAGAAAAGCCATACTCCACTGACGGCAGATGCTGATGAGTTGTAGGATTGGCCGGTGGTCTGGTTGCTTGTATGTTCGCGTGCTTTGACACTGGAATACATCGTCAACAGTGCAAAGCAGGCCGCAATACAGACGGCCAACACGTCAAAGATTATCATTTGGATGAACTTGGCCCTCGGCATGATAGCGAAGCCAAGGATTGAGACAATGGCCATGAGGTAACCGAGAGTGGTATACTCATTCGCAACATCGGTGGCTTGATAGCTAGGACTGATCAGCGATATGCGCTTGAGAAGGCTGCGTGGCGAGAGAGTTGACTTACATTGACACAGCAATCGCTGGCGCAAGTCCACCTCTTAGAGTAGGATGTTAGAATCTTTCAACGGTACTTTTAATACTTCGCAATTGACAACCATAAAGACTTACTTCATCATCAACAAGATAGTTGGTCGGTCCAAGCCCGTCTTCTCCCATGTTTTCTTGATCCAACCCAAAAGGGTCTTCTTTTCATTGGTCGTCGTTGCCTTGGATGCATAAGTGCCGCGTCTCGACAGCGATGGACCCTCTGAAGAACTGTCCGAGGAATTCGTCTCGCTTGTAGTCGTGCGAGTGGCCATTTTAGGCGACTAGCGAACGGCGACGAGCCCGCGTGTCCAAGTTCCGAACACACAAAGCCGGGGATGTTACGAAGAGGTGCGGACTGCTCTGGGCATGACCACGTGATCTGACGCGATATCGAGAGTCTTGAGGCGGGCGGCGGCAGTTCTAACAAGTCGTCCACTCCGATGGCTGCAGAGAGTTGCCTGGTTGCGAAGATGAGTCGGGATAGGAAGAACCGAGAGGCAGGAGATGATTCCCGAGGGGTTTCGCTCCACGTTTCGGGTGGAGCCCCCGCCTTTTTTGGGAGGCGCAATTCGGAACCGTTGCGGGGAGCACATTACGTACGTCTGGGCCTTGCTATACATAGTTTGTCGCGCTAGTTGGAAGAGGTTATTTGGTAGATGAAATAAGGCTGCAGGAAGATACTCTGATCTGCATTGCTACATGCAATTGGATCGTCATTGGGCTGGAATTGAATTTCGGCGAAGGGGAGTGACCAAATGTCCGCAGCCGAAACTCTGTGCAGACGGGCAACAGTAAGGCATTGAGTGATATGTCGTGCAGGATTGAGAGGTTGACTGCTTAATCTACCTTAGCTACCCAGATATTGGCCTATCGCAGAAGGGACTGGAGTATGCAATCAGACTGGTTAGTTGCAAGCCTGTGAAACGTGCCCGCCATGGACCAAGCCCGGCGCTAAAAAGTGAGCCAGTAGCCCCTGAAAAGTGAAGGGACTCTGAAAAAAAGCTTCGTCCCTCAGGGTCTTGATTTTCCCCACCCAACAACACCCCACGCTCGTCGAGGATGCGAATACGAGATTCAATACTGCAGACATGACTTCCGAGAACAATGCTCCTGTCGCACAGCCTGCGCAAGACTCGTGGGGGACAATACCAAAGCGCAAGCCTGTGCCGACTACCACTGCAGCGATTGAAGAGGCAGCTTCCGCCTCTGGCCAAACCAGTCTGACAAATGACAAGCTCCCACCGTCTAACAGGAAGAAAACATGGCTTCCTGCTGGCGGTCTTGGACTTTGGTTCACATCGCAGAAGCGATCGCGCAAATTCCTCATCATTGGTATCGGAGCCGGGATTCTACTCCTCGCACTGATCATTGGTCTGGCAGTAGGCTTGACAGTGGGCAAGAAGTGCGCAGCATCTCTCTTTTCTACCATTCCAAAGATGATACTGACTCTACCAGGCATTCAAATCTCCCACTTCCAACCGCCAACGGCGGCCCCTATGAGGGTGACTTGACTTACTACAACCCGGCCCTCGGATCCTGTGGCTACACAAACACAGACTCCGATATGATCTGCGCAGTATCACATATTCTGTACGATGCCGCCTCCACAGGCTCAAATCCCAATGCAAACCCGCTTTGCGGGTTAAAAATCAGACTTCGTCGCAACGGGGAGAGCGTGGACGTGAAGATTGTCGATCGGTGCGTTGGCTGTGCAGTGACTGATCTGGATGTCACCGAAGCGGTCTTCAAGAAAGTGGCCGACTTGGACCAGGGCCGGGTTCCTGTGGAGTGGTCATGGCTAGAGACGCCGCCTGTTTCTGTCTCGTGATTGCCTTTCAGGCCTTGGTTTATCTTCGATGCTCTCGGGGTACTGGTCATCTGGGTCACTCAAGAAGCACAGCCCACCGCATCAACACGACAATTGACTAGTGTTGGCTTCGCCATTTGCGCAACAGTAGTTTATGGATCATTTTCCTTGCGGCAGCTGAGCGGTCCATCGGTCCGTCAAACCCGTACGAGTCAGCCACGGCAGGAACAAGCAAACGTTGCACTATCAGGGACCAATCTGGCAAGGGACTTTCAATCACGATATCTACGACACCGTTCTCTTTTCTCTGTTCATATCAATCGCGCGCCCACAACTATCCCCAGAGTTTACTCCTCTCGATCCCGGCTGCAACTTCCTTGACGCCCATCAGCTCGAGCTTAAAGTCAAAAACGAGACAATCACGGTAGCAAGGTTGCTCTATTGACCTTGAAGTCCGTTACTCCGGGTTGGACCTTTTCTGCGCATAAGCGATGCATCGCGAAAGGGTGTCGAGACACGCACAGAGACAGGGTTCCAGAGATCTTCCCTGTTAGCACTTGATTCTCAATCCACTGAGAACGAGAATACCGGGATAGGACCTTGGGTGTGTGTACTGTCTACATGCCACAATGTTCCGCTCTTATTGTGCGTGCGACTCATACGTTTTTAGCTCCTTACGATTCCAACCGCGAATATGATCGGAGAGTATACCCCCGGCGTTGAATTTTAGTGATTTTCTGCGGAAAGATACTTTTACACATTGACATCATCATTATATATTCAAATCTAATGTCATTCACGGCATCGTAAATGGAATGTTGCTATTGAATAGACTAGCTATATCGGCACATATTGAGTTCGTACACAATTATTACACATCCATCATTACCAGAGACGAGGTATTAAACTCATCTGCGATCAGCAGTCTCCTCCACATGCTCTGCATGCTGAAACTCGTTCTTGTGCAAAGTGTTCTCCACATCCGCACGACGCTGTTCCTCAGTAATGGAACCGAAGATCAAATCCATGTCCTCCAGGGTCCGGCCCTTGGTTTCTTTCACGAAGAGAGTGACAAAGACTCCATTGGCAGTGCAGAAGACGCCGAACATGATGAAGGTCTTCCAGCCAATGCTGTGGATGGCACGAGGAGTAATCTCAGTAATGACGAAGTTGAACAGCCATTGAGTGGCAGCTCCGAGACCGACACCGTATGAGCGAAGGCGAGTAGGGAAGATCTAAAGAGACATTTAGCATTAGCAAAGGTTGTCAAGGGAAAGGTCGAGAAAGGGAGAATATAGAACATACCTCGCCGAGGTACACCCAAGGGGTAGGGCCCCAAGAGAAGGAGTAACCAATAACGTAGAGATAGATCATGGTCACCATGGCAATGGAGGCCTGGGAGACAACAGTAGAGCTGGTGTCAGGCGGGTGAGTAGCCAGCACAGCGCCAATGATGAACATCATCACGGCCATCCATGCAGCACCGCCCATCAGACTGCGCTTACGACCCCAGCGGTCAATACCAATGACCAGGAAGATACCGGTAGAGATGACCTTGACAGTTCCGTAGATACCGGTGGCGAACAGGGAGGAGTTGGAACTACTGATACCGACCGACTGGAAGATCTGAGGCGCGTAGTATCCAATACTGTTGGTTCCAGAGAATTGCTGGCAGAGCATCATAAAGAAGGCCACGAGGAATCGGTAACGGTTGCTCTTCTGCAGGCACTCCTTCCAGGTGACACCCTCAGTCAGAGCAGTCTCCTCCTCGATAGCAGCATAGATCTCAGCAATCTCCTTTTGGACCTCCTCGCTGTCCTCGGACTCGTTCCGGATGTAAGCCAATGAATGGATGGCTTCCTCACGGCGGCCTTGCTTCATCAGCCAGCGAGCAGACTCCTTGAGGAAGAACAGGCCAATAAACATCAGACCACCGGGGATAAGCTGAATGGCAACGGGGACACGCCATTGCTTTGTGTTGGCAGGCATGTGCAGGGCGACTCCGTAGCCCAGCCAGTAGGCAAATGTACTTCCAATGACGAGGAACTCCTGGAAGAGACCGGCGATACGGCCACGGTATTGAGCGGGCGCGTTCTCACTGACGAAGACGGGGGGTGATACTAGACATGCCACCGATGCCGAGACCAGCAATGACACGTCCACCATAGATCATGCCGATCTCATTTTTGGCACCGACCTGAACAGCGGCTCCGACCATGAAGATCAGGGTGAAGATCATGAGCGAGTATCTACGACCAAGACGATCATTGATAAAGGCAGCCGCAATGGCACCGAAGAAACATCCAGCAGTCAAGAGACTGACCACATTTGAAGACACTTGAGAGTTCTTGTCCGACGCGAACCCACTCTTGCCGAGTGGGAGGCCGAAATCAATCTTGAAGCTGTTCAGGGCCAAGACTGAGCCCATAACACCGGTGTCATATCCTACAAGATGAGTATGTTAGATTTGGCTTTGGATTGCTCGGTTATAGAATGACATACCAAACAGCAAGGAGCCCAGGTAGGCGACCGAGGTGAGGACATACACCCGGGAGTTCTTGAGGAAGCCTACTTGTCCCATGGTGGCGGAGTAATAATATCTCTCAAGGTGTCGTGGGAAGATGGAGAAGACTTAGAATACAAATGAGCACGCCGGGTAAAAAACCGGGGAAAAAGGATACTTTGCATCCCGGATGGATACTCTTTTATATTCGAGGGATAGCACTAAACTCCCTTGTAACGGTATCAGTGGACTAACTCAATCAACTAGTAAGCCGAACCCGTTGTTCGGCTACTGCTAAGCACCGTCCAAGATCGGGTGGCACTCCTGCCATGCAACCATCCCTTTGCAAGCCACCCTGGTCTTCTTTTCCCCTTCTCCTCCTTTCGCCAGCCACGCTGACTGGTCCAGGGCAGCGGGCCAAGATGGAGAATGCATTCGACTGGGGTCGAATGGGGGAAATTTGGCGGGGGAGTCCGCGGGGTTCGCAGTGGGGATTGGTTCGGACGCTTTTCTAGCAAATTTTTCCGTCCAATCAATCGCATTTCTGCTTCGCTCGCGCATGGCATGAGGACCAGCCACGACGAACTTTAATTGGCTTTGCTCGGTAGCGACTGCACGGGCTAGCCGTGCTTCTTCGGCTGCCAAGAAGCATGAAGAGAGCCGACAAAGTGCTGTGATTCATGGAAATTGAGACCCTTCGGTCCGTCCGTCGGCCCACTTGCAGGACCCCCTTCTGACATAAAGTCTGGAGGGCGCGCATTATCAGTTGTCCTGTGAGGTTCCGCCAGTACTCCGTACTTCAGACAAAATGACACGCTTTGCTCAGTCAGCTTGTTCTCGACGGTTTTCATCTTCATGAAGTGAGCTTTTTCATGTCGATTGAGCTACCGACAGCATGCATGGTTACCAGCTCAATCATTCGCCGTCGGTAATTGAAATCTATTGCCGATTCAGCCAGAAGCTAGCTCGGCTCCTGGTTTTCAACTCATGACAAACACAATGAAGGACCTAGCGAGCAGTTTCCTCCGCTCTGTAGGGCGGTAAGCCGATTGGAAGCCGCATGTTATGCTTTATGCGATATCTGCCTCGATTATTGGTGCCCACCATTAAGTCTCGGACCTCGACTCCAGTGATACACATCGGAGTCGGCGTGGGAGCGGGAATGTTCAACTCCCAAGGCACCGAAAATCGGCAGTTGGTGACCTTCTTATGATCGCAGTCTCTAACCTTGTCGTCAGGCGGTGCACAAGCATGCCATCCGGCTAATGACTTTGTTGCCGACGATGCAACTCCATGAAAGGGCTAAGATGTAGTCCGTACTGACAGGGGGGCTAGACGCATTGGCCGTCCATAAGGACGAATGGGAGTGAGTGAAGTGACAGTCCGTGAGCTGTTGGGAATTCCAAAAGTCCAAGCATGTCATCACAAAAGACAGAGAAACGGGACGTGGTACATATAGTTAGTTGTTGTCAAAGACGTAATTCAATTAGCTAGAAATAGTTCTTACTGTTTGTTTCGGTGTTACTTTTCGTTCATGGTTCATGACATCCATTATCATGGTCAGCAAAATGTGATAGCATCCTATCATACCCATGTACCAGTACCCAAGTTATCGATCAGGGGATTTATCTAATTTGAGCTTCGACTACTGATTGAGTACCTGACCAGTCGCCATAGTAGTAATATCGTGAACTCATGAATTTCCAAAAGTGATACTAACCTACACACAATTTATGACCGATTCTGTGGACTCCCCCAGATGTGGCGTGGTGTTATGGCAATATCCCCCATGAACATCTTCATCATTACTCAGATCTCCTTCAGAACCATCGATGATCCTCTTTCCGTCAAGGGAGGAATCCCTCCTTCTGGTTCTTGAGCGCGTGGTGCTGACTGCATAACGGGAACTCAGCTCATGCGTATCCTTGCTGCTTATCTTTCGACTATTCATCGGTCGCAAGAGAGATCGAATGCACGGAATCGATGCTGTGATAATGACCAAGTACGTTTCAATAAATAGCCAGCGGTCGTAGTGGATTGTTGCTACTGTCGGTTCGCTGTCTGAGGTTGCAAGGACACGGCTCTGGACGGTTTTGATGATGGATGCGATCATTGCACTGGTTGGAATTAATCATCAATTCGTGAGCAGAGGTCATGTTTTCTCAAAGTGCTTACAAGATTCCCATTCCTAGTAGAGCAACAAGCCCTACTTTCACTCGAACTTTCATATTCAAATTCCAGAATACACATGTCGAGAACACGGCAAGGTATAGATCTGTGGCAGAATTGAAGGCTATTCGTGACGTCCCTTAGTCAGTTCTCTGCAAAGTCATGCATGGGAAATAATCCTTACCTCCCTGAAAGTAACCGTAGTAAGCCTGTACATGTGGATCCCAGCATTTGGCCTTTCCAGAGAGATCCCAGATGGCGGATGTATGTCCTGGGCATTGGACAAATATTATGATGATAAAGGTGCAATTGACGACAATTTGAAGGCCAACAAGGATCCACAGAATAATCCTATGGGATTTCTTCTGCACAAGAAGGCCATTGATGAAGACAATGAAGGATATTCGGCCCATAGCTCCGCCTGCAAGTCCAAATGTTTGAGCCAAATAATCGTGCATGATGATTTTGGAGACATTCGGCGTGTTGATACTCGATAACTCTTGGCCGAAGCCCAGCTTTATGGCCAAGGTGATCATGATCGATCCGATCACTGCTAAGCACTAGGTTTAAATCCAGGTCAGTTCATCTTGCAAAATTTTCTTAGATTCTCCATGCCTTCTACATTTCAATCGGTGAGAAGAGAGATGAACTGACCAAGGCAAAGACCATGAGGACATCATCGGCACCAAATTTCCCGATTCGCAACTTCGCGATAACCCTCAAAATTATGACGACGATGGCAACGGATGTAATGCCCCAAACATCTCTTAGCAATTGTGGTCCAGCATCATAGACTGAAGCCCTGAGTAAAAGAGACATTGCCACTATAGTCGGACTGGCTCGTAACCAAATCACGCGAGCATGGAATGATGCCGATGTCTGTCGACATACGACAACAACCCATCAACTTGATGGATATGAATTCATACCCATGTCAATTTGTTATCATCAAGAGGGAAAAGAGATTATACAGTATCGGAGATCTCCATTTTGTACTTATACGGACGGCTCTCGAGGCAAGACTAAGTTCGTTGGGGGCAAATAGGGTTTGTCGGAGGTCTCCGCTTTTTGGTTCCTTGGGACACATGACACAGATAAGAAGCTCTATGCGGGTAACTTTAACATCTCAAGCGGTTCACTAAAGCTTTGATCTCGTTGGCCAAGGTTGTGATAATGGATATAATTGTCATTGGCCCCAGCGTGAAGAAAATTTGAACTTCGGAGCACTGGTTGCGGTTGAGGTGGTCGTGAAGCTGGATTTGGTCGATACGTCCATCTCATCTGACAACTGACCCGTGGTTCGAACAGGGAAACTCATCGTGGGGGCGATCGCCTTAGCTCTTTGAAGATTTTTCGTATCCCTTTATTGTAGCAGTTTTGACAGTGATTCACCGACAAATGAAATGATCAGATTAAAAGAAAATTAAACAGGTCAAATGAACGACGAGGTCAAAGCTGAGCCTAGCCAACAATGCGTCAACTCTTTGAACCGCATGTCTCTTACTGCTATCCCTCCACGGTGGTGCTAAATCCATAAAGACGAGAATTTTAAACTTTTCATTGTTTTTGGCTTGCGCCTCTCCGAATAGAGCATCTGATGGCGAGCATGGTCCGTCATAAGCACTCACGATGGATTCAAATTGCTGCGTTTGCGCGAGCAGTCCCCTAAAAGGCCCGACTAGTTTCCGTCACTTCATACACTAGCGGACAGTACTGAATCAATCGATAGGTCAGTGTACTCAATCAAGGATATGAAGTTTCGTTTTCTTAGCTCGGCTCCTTATTTCGGGGGACTTCGGATTTCTCTTTCCACGAAACGGGTCTAGGTGGATTGTAGAGACAAAAGATCCCATGACACATAATCCGATTCCTTGTCGAAGTACAAAGCAGTCGCTGGCAAACTCAGAGGATGTTACTCAGATTCGCGTCCACCTGCCAGAAAGTCCGCACATTCGGGCCATCTAAGTATCTACCCTCCTAGGGAGTTGAAAGTTGAGGCATATGTTCAAGTGTAATCGACAATATCACGCTTTTTAAGACTACTATCCATTCTGAAACAACCCTGCATCTAGACTGTTGTGTTGTGTCGAATCACTGTAGGCTACCGAAGTCTCCATCTCCTCTCCATGCAGGAACCCAAGCGTTGTGCGTTAAAGTATCGAAGACGCCCGACAGGGTCCATGCCGGACGGAACTCATTCAAATACCGAACATGACTTCAAGGTCATGCTCGGCATAAATCGCATCCAACATGACTATATCATAAGCCACTGCTGACCTACTTCATACCTCTGTCACTGTGTCACAAAAGTGACTTCGAGCTTCTGTCAACCGATAGGACCATCCCTGATTCTGTTCAAGAATAGGTAAACAGGTGAGCTCCTACTCACTCCAGCACCCCCTATTATCGATCTGTCTTGAATCGAATCCCTGCCTTGGGAGAACTTTGGGCAAAATTCTACATTGTTTCATCTTCAGAGTTCCCCAGCCTAGAAATGTGGCATACATCATTGCTGAGCTTTGAATTCAGGACCCTGGATCCATCTTCTCCTCGTGGGCTTTATCCTTGCACTGAAAACAAAGTATCACATCTTTGGTACGAGGCCGAAGCAATGATTGCATAGCGCCCCAGGGCCTTCCCTTAGAGATTCAACGGTCGCATCTTCTGGATTTCCCCTTAAGGAGATTCCTTCCAATGCATCAAAATCCGGGGAATTTTGAGCCCACCTACTTCTAAAAATAAAGGGAGAAAGTCCATGCGGAATTTATTACCAATTGGTTGAGAGTTCGGGTGACGATCAATTGCCAAAAAGAAGGCCCTTCCGTTTCCAGGGCTCACAAGCGCGGCTATCCGACCGTTTTGGGGCCAACGAACCTTCAATCATACCTTGTTGCTTATTTGCATCATAATTAGGGCCTCTTTCTACACTCCATTGAAGAAATTCACGATACTGGAGATGAAGTGGGACTGCAATCTGGGGAATTTATAAGACTGCAAGATTACCCCAGAAAATCTTTGCCAGATCGTTCTCATTGACATCCACGCCATTCTCGAGTTTTACACTCCAATCTCAATTCACAATGAAGTCATCTTTCATTTTGGGTGCATTGAGCCTTCTCGCCACTGGTTGCGCCGCAAACATGACCGTACCTGACAGCCTCTTCCTCAAGTCCATCGCCGAGTCGGTCTCTTTGCCAATGTATACTTGGTCGGCCAATGGAACCCATACTGCCAAGGGATACACTACCAAGGCGGGCGATAAGACCAGTGTGGAGGGTATGAAAGAGGACTGCGACAACATCAATCTCAACAAGAAGATTGCCGTTGACTTCCGCAGCGACGTCTTTGGCCCAGGCTTGATCGGATACTTCTACAAGTGCGAGAAGATTCGTGATGACACCAACCTGTATTGGTTCACTATCAGCTCCGGCAATCCCTCCCAGATCGACAAGATGTGTGATCCCAACACGAATTACCCCATCGTTTATGACTCGCAACACAACACTTGGTGGATTGATGAGCCGTTTGACTGCACCCAGCGTACCTCTCCAGCGACGCACTCGCAGTAAGCTAGATAGATTCGTCCCGATATGCACGGTGGTAAGTACAACTAAGAGATGTCTGCCGAAAGCATGCACTGACCTATATGACAGATTCAATCCCTAAAGATATGGACATGGAAATGTGAACTAAAAGTAACGCAGTGGGGCAAATTTAGAGATGCTGCTAGCTTGCTTGCAACCCCATCATGTACATACACCTAGTGTTTCCGCCGAACAGACTCAATCTCATTTCCCATACTCACTGGTAAATCAAATAAAGATCTCAATGCTTCAATCCTTCCATATATTAGGCATACCGATTTGGGTCCTCAAGGATATTCTGAGATCTCTCCAAAACTTCAAAGCTAAACTCTCCTTCAATGAATTCTTCTTCAAAGGACTCTTGAGACACTTTTAAAATTCAATTTCCAACATATATCGTAGGCCAAATGGCGCTCTTCCTGTAATTCTTGATCTACTCTAGCAAAGGTCTTGTCTCCCCGCTGTCTCTTGCATCTTCTGCCAAAAATTGGCCCTGTTCATCTCTCTGGCGACTTCTTCCGACGACTCTAGCTAGGGAGAATATCAGCTTATTCGGTAGATTACCCAGTGACCACCTTTGCTCCTGGTCATTCAAGGGCTCAGAATTTATCTCCTTCCAGCGACGCCGCACGCTCCTCGCAAGGTATAGCAAGCCATATCCGGCCCCAATCACAGCTAATGTGACCAGAACTGATACAACAACAGATAGAACTGTCAAAGAGCTAGCACGACACCCAAATGGTCGTGCTCGGAGCTCCCATCTCTCCTCTGAGCCAAGTGGACAGATTTTGGCAGAGCCTATGGGTGACAGGATGGGAACGCGTGCGGAGTTAGGCACGCAGGCAGCAGACTAAGGGGGCAGTTAGCAGGTGAGCAATCATGATAGCTTCTGGAAGTTTGGTGTAGAGTGCGGAAAGTCGCATTGGCGTAATTGAACGGGAGAGGATAATCATAGGATGCTCTAGTTGGAAGGCAACGAATAAAGGTAATGGAGCAAAAAGCATCGACCAAACAGAACAGGTGAAATAGTGGGCGTGAGATAGCAAGAGGAAGCACGACTTAAACAAACAAATGCAATTATCCAGATAATTCTCGTGAAATGATTTGCATCCAAGACGTAGTAAACAATGTAACCTACTATCGGGCACCAGCTGCAGCTAACGTCACCCGCTAGACATGACGAACATGATTGGCGACGCCAGCAGAGGTGAAAGAGCGGGTCGTCGAAAGTGCTCTTAGAATCATTGCTATAGCTGTCTGGAGTCTCGCTCACATCCATTATATGGACTGGAACTCTGTTTGCCCAGTTTTGCGCCAAGGCCCGAATTAATCAAGGGCAGCGACTCGTATGTTGAGGGCGGCTGTTCAATCTATGTAGGAGATGAAGATAACTCTAGATAGGAATAGGAGAATTGCGGTCATATACCACAGGAAGAAGAGAGTCAAATGTCTTAGCCGGATCAAAGGGGGTTTGCGAGGTTAGAGCGAGCGGGGCAACGTATATAATCCTGAGAGTCGAGGTGGGCTGTGCCTTGACGAGTCCGGTCGACGTACTTTTCCAGTCAACCTAACTTCCAAGGGGTGACCCTGGCATGTTTAACTTGTCGGAAAAAAAAATGGCCACCCGCATTGTTGGTCATAGAAATCAGCGCTCTCAGGTGCATCCTTTTCGCTATTGCGAATTGGCGCCGCCTCGGTCTTGCGACAGGGTTTCTGTCATGCGGCTTTCACAGCTCAAGTTCCATATATGGCCTCGGTCGTCGACATCTAAAATTGACTGATGGTACATTTATATTAAAGGCTATCAAAGATGTATGCATGACACCATGACGTGACGTATAATGAATTTAACATGAGGATGAATGTGCCGTTTTTGCCGGCCACAAGCAAAAAGTCAAGCATCTGTCCCCCTAAGAGGTCTACTTAGAGGTCAAGAATCGCTGTCAACATCGCATTTCATTTTGCTTATTCGAAGAAAAGACGGCAGAAGGGGGAATCGCTTAGACGACGCGCTTGACCTAGGTATCCAAGTAGGGATTAGTCGACTGTTTTGCTGCATAGCCCATTAAGTACGACTGATGAAACTCACCTCGAAGAAGCGCTTCAACCACCAAACCTGGAAAATACCCTCTCCAATGACCACAGCCAACTGGAAGATACTCCACCACTTCACCCGACCGTTGGTGCTCTCAGCGGTATTCCGGTGCACTCGTTCACGAACCACGATGTAAGACTGCTCATCCTTAACCTGCATGAGGGCATCGGACAACTTGCGGACTATATATCTCGGGTGATTAGCCTCAATCGCTCCCTTCAGTCATTGATTGCAGATCCGTGTCCATTAGCTCTCTTACCTTCCACCTCCAGAGGGTCTGTCGACATCTCTGACTCCGGCACGTAGACAATACCGTGGACATTGAAAGACACCTCCTTCGAGTTCGAGGTCCAACCCTCATTGCTGAAACAGTAGTTGTATTTGCCGTCGGCATGTGCGGTAAAGGAATAGTCTTCGTTGGAAACAGCCTGCTTAAAGTATTGGCGGTTGCGGAGAGGATCCTCGACCTAGAATTGACCATCCTATTAGTTTTGTTCATTCGTGGCAAGGACATCAGTCTCCCTGTCCGACAGGGCTCCCCCTCCTGCTTCCTAAGCAGAGCTCGTTGCTAAAAGCCGCCGGACCAGGGGAAGCGTCAACGCCCCGCGCAGGCTTACCCAGAAGTCAATCTCGAGGTTTCCACTGCCACCAAACTCCCGGTCGCCAACCTGGAAGGTGACTGTCATCAAATCATCGCGGTGCAGAGTCTCGTGGAAGCACTCTCGTGAGTGAGCCTTCAGCTGAATGGTGTGTGCGGTCGCGGCAGAAACCAACCCCAGCGCGGTGACCAGGAGGGTGGTGGGGGAGAATCGCATGTTGAAGGAACGGCACCCGGTTTCTGCTCGAAGGCTTTGATCGAACGGGATCGAATTGGCGGGTAGAGAGGGACTGAAGTAGTGGTGGTGATGGAGTTGGTTTCGCTGCGGATGCGGACAACGCGCAAGGTGTCAATTGGTGACGCTCGGACCACTTTTGTAAACAGCCCGTTCATTCGCCCGCAGAAACAGGAGCATCGGAGGATTCAATTTCTAGGGTGTACACCATATGATAATGCTCAGTTCACAGATTGATCAGTCTAGTACGGCAGCTAGAATTCAATAATGAGATGGGTTTCTTACATTTAAGATCTTTTAATATTCTTGGTCCACGCAGTTATAGATATCCCATCATCGTTTCCACTCTGTGTGTAATTCCTTGTTCAAGAACCAGAAACCGGGTTACCTGCAGACTCGTCGGAGAATCAGTAAATAGTTGGTAGCTTCTTGAATTCAAAGATCGATAAATCCAGAATAGTAGGACACCAGGGGAATCTCCGATGCAACGGCCTTTATACCACACCTATCCCAAGCGTCACCGTGGCCCCCAGAGTGGCATTAATGGGTTTCATTTTACCATAGCAGAACTGATAGGACCAACTTAAGCTGGTGAGAGTGTAACTCTACTCATTTTTGAAATCATGGCAACTAATTCTTCTTTCGGCCCTGCGCTGTAGTTAAAGCAAGAATGGGCACTCAAGCTAATCTCGCATGGACATTATATGGTAACATCCAGCCCTGCCTACGGGATAGAAAGTGCTCCAATTACATTGTCCAAGTACGCCATAGTCAAATTCTCTTTCTCCTTTTCTTTCTGTAAACAGTTAATTCACAGTTGATCCGGTTGTACCTTGCACTGCGGCAAAGCCTCCATCGTTCCTATGGTCTCGTGCCCCGATACCACGTTCACATCTCCCTAGCCCAGTTTTTCAAGCTGCCCTTAGGTACCCCTGTACGCCCCAACCATCGAGCTAGTCTCGCCAAAAGGAGGAGAATGATTTGCATAGACTCGGCTGGAGCCTCCGAGGCCTGCGGTGGAACCAACCTACCCCAACGGCTCCACACATAAACTTCGGCAAAGAGGAGAAGGTAATAATTTCAAGCAGCCCGCACGGCCGGGGAAACGAGCGAGATCCATCCGCTTCGACAATTACAAACTTACTATTGGAAGTAAATCGTCTGGCCTGTGATGATCTAGGGTAGGTGGCAGCAGCCAAAGCTCCTCAACTCCATTCTTTACCTGCATCTGTGCTAGGGCCACAGTTTATACATCCACCATGACATCTAGAGCCCCGGCCTCGCGCATAGCGCGGCAAACGATATAAAGCTTGAGCAGACCTGTTGTCCTCGAAATTCTACCGAATTAGTTAGGCCCAAAGTTGGATCAGTCACGAAAGTATCCTGCGTTCTACAAGGTCAATGGACAGGAAGTATCTGCGCTCTCACGCTTGGATCCACGCAAAGCCTCCGTGGAGGACATCTCGTACGTCAAGAGTTGGCTCGGCACTCCCCCACAAGACTATTTTACTCATCTTTGATGGTTCTTGTGGGGCATAACCAGGCTTGAAATGCAAGGATGCAAAGAACGGTCGATTTGATTGCCGAATTGGACGCTGTACTGACAAGCTACAGACCGGGTCTGGAGCATACTAGTAAACACTTTGACAAAAAGATTCCTTGAAGCCGAGGGATATTTTTCCCATCGAGGGCTATAAAAGAAGATAGAAATCTTGCTGAAAGAACCTCAAGAACCATGGGTGACCATTGGCTTTTTCTATTTCTTTCTTTCCATTTCGTTGTCGGCTGTTGAATCTGCTTGCAGCTGGCCCATCAGATCTTGTATAGATATCTGATACCAATTTCCCCGTTCGAATATGTCTTCTTTCCCACTCAAGAACTACTCTCTTCTTACTTCCTTCACCGAAAAAATAATCCTCCTGTTAGACAAACATGCGAACACCTCACAGAGCCGCTCGGATACCCCATGGGACATAAATCCAACAACAGGACAATCAACCATCGAAACAGCTCCCTCATTTGGCATCGAAGATGGCCACCTAGACATCATGGAGCGAGTATACTCTCTACATACCCTCGCCCGCGAGACCGGAAGCTTGGACCCCGAGTCAATCTCTCAAGCCCTCACAATATGGGATGATCTGGAGCACTTGGAACCCCCAGAGACCCTCGATTCATCAGACTATTTTTCCTTACATGCATCGTGTGTATCGGCACTGTTTGTGTGGCTATATCTCGTCGTTCACCCGGAGGGAATGAAAGATGAAAAGGTTCAAACTACTGTATATACTGGTCTTGTTAACGCAGAGAATATCTCTGATGCCGAGTTCTTCCCATTCCTGCTTATTCCTGCTTTTTGCCTTGGTATAGCAAGTATTCGACAGGAGGATAGAGAGTTTGTCAGGGGTGTATTTGGTAAAGCTGAGCGGTCGGGTATATCAAAGAGGTTTAGGGAGATGGTTATTGAAAGCTGGAATAGGTGGGATAGTGGTGTGAAAAGGAGCTGGGACTGGGGTGATATATTCGATGGTGAAAAGATCATCTAATTTTGAATTAAAAAAGCAATCATTTTCGGTGTCAACCTTTCATAGTTGACTTGACGGCCCAGAAGAAAAAGAGTAATATGTATAGTATAAGGGAACACCTCCAAAGGAAGCGAGCGAGCGAGTGACAGCTTCACTATTAATATGTAAAATAGAAAACGATAGGACATGACGAGTGGATAGAATATGCCAAAAAATATACAGGGTAATTTAAGAAAAGCAAAGGAAAGAAAGCAAAAGATATCGATTGTCATATAACAATGACAATCAAGATAAGATAATCAAAACAGGGTGGTATCAAATCCGAAAGGACGTCAAAAATCACAGATCCGGTCTCGAAATGAAGGAAATATGTAAAGCGGGGTTGTTGCGGAACGAGTGGCAAGCTTGGTGTGAGAGTTACAAAGAGAGTGTGTGAGAGAGATGAGAGAGGATTGATGTTGGTGGGGGCCGTGTGTAGAGTAGTGCGAGTAAAGAAGGCGCTGTAAGCATCACATAAGACACGAGGGTAAAAAAGCAAAAAAAACAAAGCAAGACGAAAAGCAAGCAATCAGGCATCAAATCAAGAAGACAATCTCGATGAAAAAAAATTTTGGGTTCGGAGAAAACAAGCATCGCGGATGCCAGTGGGACATAAGTTTTCAGACAGTCTAATGAAATCGAACGTAACTCTGAGCGGAGAACAGATTACTCCTCGGCGATGGCTTCAGCAGAGATCGAAGGTCCAAAGGGTCCCTCGTCTGAGTCTTTGGGGGATGCCGAGACCATCCCGTCAACGGTGGACTCAATGTCATCCGAGGCAAAGTTGCCATCCTCATAGTTCCCCGGCTCGGCGTCGTGATCGTAGCTCGAGCGGCGGAGGAGAGGAGGGGTCTTGGGTGGCTCGGCGATGGGGACTTCCTGGCGGACTGAGCCACGGCGAGGAGTAGAGTTGAAGCCTCTCAATGGCCGGGTCTCTGCGTAAGCGCGTCCGGTACCACTAGTGTTAGGAGCATTCTGGCGGGCATGGGAGCTCGGAGGCGTTAGGAGGCCGGATAGAAAGGCGCCGGCGTTGCTGGACTTGGACGGGGTCTGCTCGGAGGGGGTGGAGCCCCCGTTGGCACTCTCACGGGCTTTACGCCAGCTACCCCAGGCGGCGGCTGCAGCTAGGGGAAGTGAACGGGGAGAAGCAGCGAGGTCAGTGAGAGATTGGAGCGATGGTAGACCCGACCCTGTCAGCGCACGCTCCCGCTCTTGCTGTTGCATCTGCAGATTAGCCTTCAGACGAATAGCAGCGTCGCGGACAGCATGCTGGTTGAAGGAAGGCTGTGAAACAGTCTTGATGATATCCTGCAGATCATCGATGCGAACACCGAGCAGCTCACGGAGCCAGTTTATTTCGCTATCCCTTTCCTTGACCTTGTTCGGGGCATCCTTGTCAATAGATGCAACTTCGTGCTCGAGCTCCTCGATGCGAGTCTCACGCTGCTGGAGCTGATCCTGCAAGACGAAGATCGATTCACGCAGGGCCTGCGGGGAAATCCTCTCCGGCTCCTGGGATCCCTTGCTGAATGACATGGAAGGCGACGTCGAGTGGGTGGGCGCTGCTGGAGCTGGAACTGAGATTGTGCTGGGGGCTGCCTTGGCAGTTTGAGCGGCTTCAGCAGCAGCACGGGCAGCGGACTGGGCAATCTCCAGCTTCTCCTCGAGATGCTGGACACGCTCCTCGAGGTGCTTGGCCCGGTCGTCCGCCAGAGCCAAGCGGTCAATCATATGAGCCTCGCCGCGCTGACGGTCCTCGGAAGAATTGTGCAGGGCACGAGCGTGGCGCTCGCGAAGGTCGTTGAGTACCCGCTCGTGAGTCTTCCGCTGCTCTTCGAGGGCAACCTCTCGTGACTCCTTCGCGGTAGCAAGGGCAGTCAGTCGGGACTCCTTTGCCTCCTCGAGGAGCATCTCATAGCGTTCGCGGGAGGTATCAGTGTCAAGACGGACATTATCCAGCTGGGTCTCAAGACGAAGGATCTGGGCCTCGAGCTCGGCGCGAACAATGTTGACCTGACTGTTAGAAGCCTCGAGGTCTGCCTCCATGGAAGTGCGAGTACGCTGAATCTCCATGCGACTACTGTCACGAGCCTCGTTGAACTCGCGCTCGAAGCGAGCCGCAGTCAACTGAAGATTGTGGTTCTCAGCCCGCAGAACGGCAATGGTCTCCTCCATCTTGGCATTTTCCTGCTGCGACTGATCGAAGAGGAACTTGACCTTGGCAGCCTCCTTCTCCTGTTTCTCGAATACAACAACTTCCTCCTCCAGCTTCTCACGCAGCTTCACCTCACGGTTAAACGAGGCCAACAGCTCATTGTACTTGGCAGTCTGCTCCTCATCCTTGCGGCGCCAAGACGCCTGCTCGCGCGCAACATCGGCAGTGACACTAACCATATCAGTCTGCAACCGGTCAAATTTCTCAGTCAGGTTCTGGCGGGCAGCCATGCTATCCTCAATACGAGTGCGCAAGGCATCAACAGTCTCATGCAAGGACAAATTCTCGCTCTTGGTAGTCTCCAATTGACGACGGAAGCTATCAGCCGAAACACGGTATTCATCCAAAGTGCCCTCGAGCGCGATATTCTTAGTCGAAAGCTCGGCAATCGTGACCTTGAGAGTCTCACTCTCTTCAGCAAGAGACTCGGAGCGGAACTGCATCTTCTCAAGATGGGGAATCTTCTCCTCCTTGAACTGGAGAAGACGGGCCTCCGCATCTTCCGCAGCAGCGCTATGACGAGCAGCATCCTCTTCGGCAACCTTCAGCAGCTGCTGGAGCTCACCGACAGAGTCGGTCGCTTCCCGACGCAGCCTGTACTCAGTCTCAGAGCGCTCATCAGCCAGACGCAACATGCTCTTCAGACCGTCGATCTGGAGCATAAGGCTGTCAGCACCGATCTCGTCCGCTTCCGACAAACGCGGGGTCTGCTGAGCCATGTGGCGTGCAAGTGACTCCTCGAGTATCTCTTGCATATCACCAACAGGATCCTGGGCCAACTTCTTAATCGTCAGAGCCTGAAGCTCCGCAATGCTTTCCTTGAGCTGGGCCATTTCGCTGTGGCTCGAGTGCTGAATGCCACGGTTCGGCATATCATGCATGACCAGAGCCTCCATTACAACACTCTTCAACATCTCCAGTTTGCGATCGCGCATGTGGTGCGGAGAACGCTCGCGAACGGAACTCTCATGCTCTTCGCCGTCATCCTCGTCATCCGCATCGCTGTCCTCCATCTCGGCGGATGTGCTACGGAGGACGCGACGACTAGCAGTCCCGGAAGCAATCGTAGCCACAGACTGCTGGATAACAGCCAAAGCGCGCTCCATGGGAGTTAACCGCTCATCGATGGCGGATCCAACAATGTCATTGACACGACGGTCGAAGAAGCGGTTGCGGTTGAAGAACTTCTCGTCCTCGCCCGAGGAGATCATATCATCCCAATCACTGACATGGTCATTCTCAGTAATAAGCTGGCGAACAGGAGACTGAATACGGGAGATAAGGCTCTTCTGAGGCGAGAAAGTAGCATTGCTGATGGCATCAATGTCGGAACCGAGCTTGGGAATGTTGAGCTTGTAAGTCTTTTGGCCACCGCCAGGGCTGGGGCTGGGGGCCTCGCTTCGGCCTTCGGCCGAGCCAAAGCGGTGCTCCTTGGTGGGAGCGGACTCGGAGACAAAGTGAGGAGGAAGGGGAGTGTGCTGTCGCTCAATGCCCACATCAGAGTCTTCATTGAGTTGCTCCATAATGGCGTTGAGCTCCTCGTCATCCGGTGACTCTTCGGCGGATTCTTGCCAGCGCGACAGATCAAGCTTCTGTTGAGGTGTTTGCTCGAGGGTATTCCTCTCAGCTGGTGCTGGCACAGGCTTGGGTGGGCTGGCAGTTGCAAAGCGAGAAGCCATAAGACCGCTTGGAGCAGGGTTCTTCTCGACAGGCTTCGGCTCCTTCTGCTCAATATTGACAGGCTCCGGCTCAACAGGCTTTTCCGGTGCAAAGTTGGAAGCGGGCACACTCGTCGGAACGAATGAAGGAACAACAGGCTTGAATTCGAAAGGCTGAGCCGTGGGCGACAACATAGTGCTCTTAATGGAGCTCTTAGAATCCTGAAGAGCATGCTTGACGGGCTTCTGTTCATTGGCGTTATCCTGAACAGGCTCGTCCTTGACTTCTTCGGTTTGATCAGGGCGAGCATTCGATCCAGCACGAGACCGGGTATCTTCACCCTCGTTCTTAACGTCAAACAAGGTCCAGGTAGTCGCCTCGCTCATCGGAGTACCCCTACGCTCCGCATGCTTATCCTCCTCGGGCGCAGCATTCTCCTTGCCCTCGGCGAGAGTGTGGAGAGAGACTGATGCTTGAGCGTTACCAGTCTCGCCCAATGGCTGCGTAGAGATGCTATACCGAGCCTCGCCTTGGGCATGGCCAATGGCACGACGAGCGCGCTTGTGACGGTCAGTGGGGACTGGTCGACCGTTTGCATCATCCATGGTTTCCTGCTCCTCTTCCTCCCTGGCAGATCCGGCTTCATCTGGGCAGACAATGGGAATGGCCTTGGATTTCTTTGGAGGCTTGGTAATTTCAGCGATATCGATATCTCCGAAGATCTTCGTCCGGCTACCGGAGGGCTGTTCAGAGCTGGCGTTCGAGTTGAGACTAGCGGAGGGATTGAACACAGGCGCGTCCACATTGAAAGATGCAGCAGAGAACTTGAACGAGCTCGGCTTCGGCTCGGGCTCGGGCTCGGGCACGGGGTTATGATGCACGGTTCCGTTCATCACATTAACCGGCGCGAACGATGGCGCAGGGGCAAAGCCGAATCCGGATTGGCCCATTCCATCCATGCCTCCAAACTGGAACGCGCTGTTACTAAATGCTGCAGATTGGGACGTGAATGAAGCAGTTGGGTCAAACGGTTTGGCTTCCACGTTGAGAGACGAGATAGACAGCTTCGAGTGATGGCTGGCCTTTGACTCGTGCCAGGGCCCTTGGTCGGGCAAGACACCACGAGCATGAGGGGTTCCAGTAAGACTGGGATTCGTTTCCAGATCCGAGCCCTCGTGGGCATTAGATTGACCAAAGTGGGCGTTGTAAAAGTCGTGAGGCTGCTGGGAGAAAGAGTGCGAGGGCTGGCGACCACTGTTCTGAATTTGGTGATGTTGATCTTGCTCATGCATCGCCCAGTGGTTCTTAAGGATGTTGGGATTAAAGCCTTGGTGGTGACCACCGTGCTCCTCATCTATGTGATGCTCCATCTGGTCATCCATGCGGTATTCGGAGTGGTTCATTTCGGCGAGTCCCCGTTGCAGAGTCTCACTCAAGTTATGACCATGGCCACGGGGCGTTGGGTGAGCAATCTCAATGTTCGACGCGTGGAAGTGATCCGGAGCATTGACTGGAGTCTGGGGAGTGGGGTAGGGCTGTCCCTCGTCTTGGCCATCATGTCCATACCGGGTATCCCACACATTTTTCTCGTTGAAGCCGTGGAATCCACCCTGGTCATGAAGCGGGGACACAGGAGACAGCATCGAATTGAAGTTGGGAAGGCTACCAGGACCCCCGAACCACTGGCTTGGCGAAGATTCATCAGGCCCTGGGGAGTCATGGAGCCCTGCACAGGAGGCGTAGGCTGGAATTGGAACGGATACCCCGGCATCATGCTCTGTTCCATACCCATGAACGGAGTCTGCACGCTGAACTGCGAAGCAGGCGATGCCAAAGATCCAATGCCGCCGCTCGTCATTCCTGCCGGCCGGCCAAAGTGCGGCGAGAAAGGATGCACTGAACCAAGCGGATTGCTTCCCGCCGAGGCAGTGGGAATTGGCGGCGAAGCCACGAGGCCAGGGAAAGGTGTCTGCGCAGCCGATGCGGGAGAGATCGAGGGTTGAGGTTCAGGGTCGCCGAATGAGACACCCAAGGCTCGCAGTTTCTCCTCCTGTAGCTCGGCAACATATGCATCCCATACGGCCTTGTCGGGGAATTGAATGAATGGCTTCTGCCCCTTTGTCTCTTCGTAAACCTCATATGGATCGGGATACAAAGGACGGCTCAGGCCTCCGAGCTCGGTTGTTGTAGAAGGATCAATTTCGTCACCAATTGAAAACCCACGTACATCCCATCCTTCCTCCTCCCACTGTTTCAAGCGTGCCTCCACGTCTTCACGGGTCAAGAGGCGATGGCCAGACTGCTCGGTACCACGCTGATCATCATTCGGCAGGTCGATAATACACGCTTTCCCGCGCCACGCGAGTTTCTTTCGTCGCCGCGAAATCGGGGTGGAAGATGTGTTGATATCAGAGGCCTGCCTCTTGACAGCATCCTGTTGTGACAATTCCTCTGTGTTCCCAGTATTCGTACTATCATCCGCTCTACTCGCTGGTGGAGGTGGCAGCGGCTTTTCCACCGGGGACACAGCCTCGGCGGGTGGTTGTTGGTCCTGAGAATCAGCCATTGTGTCCTTTGGTGATTCCTTATCGTATGCAAAGCCCCAAAAATCCTCCTGGCGCAAAGTATCCGCGCGCTTATGCTGGCTCTTCTTTCCCTTGGCGCGCGCAGCAGCCCTTCGACCAACAAAGTCCGAAAGGGTCGGGGTCTTCAGAAGGTCGCTTTCGCGAGTATCGTCCTCAAGACCAAGCCAATCGTCAGAAAGGTCGTCTGCAAGATGGTTCTTCGCAGTGAAAAAGGACGGCGCCTCGCTTCCCGAATCGTCACTCAACCAATTACTTCGCTCTGTTCGTGGTTGTCCTGACAGATACTGATTGATCCAATCCTGGGTGAAATCCCGAATAGACTTCTCTCCTTCCAGCGGTTGATCCGGAAGTCCTTCAGCGACACTTGCACGTCGGAGCTCGGGATTATTGGCCGCAACGGACGAGGCAGGCGAGGTCTCTCGCGAACCTTGGTCGACACCGGCGAATTGGCTGAGGGTCAATGATAGTCGCCGAGTACTCGGTGCAGCATACGGGGACCCCCAAGCCGTGGTGTAGTAGACACTGCTATCTGCTCGGCGAGTCTCCGGGGACGAAACGAGAGACTCCTGGGCCCGACGGGAGGCGGAGTGGGCTGACAGGAATGGCAGCTGCGGGGGTTCGAGGGTGATGCTCCGCGCGGAATGCGGCCGGGAAGGAGAACCGGTGGTTGACGAGCTCGACTCTCCAGAAGAAGGAGAGGACAGGAGTAGGGATGGGCCCAGATGCGATTCGTCACGTAAAATGCGCGCGTCTCTGGGGTGGAACGGAGAAGACGCCGCACTGGCGGAAGAGACGGCGTGATCTAGATCTGAACGTTCATCCACGCGGGGCAAGTTAGTGACTGGGAGTATTATCGTTGCTTCTGGAAATTCTGGAATGAGGCGGGGGTGGTGGGTGGGTTGAAAGGACATAAAATCGCGTGGCGACGTGGAAGGATCCGGATAATTGCAATTCATACGACGGGCTCGAAGAGCAGCGCATGAAGACAAGAGTAGACGAAGACCAGATGAAAACCAAAGGGAATCAAACACCCACCTTCCGTGTCGACTCCTGCAGCAAGCACTTGCTTGCCGCTCCGCTTATCGTCCAGAATGTTGACGCATGGAAATCCCGGAGGAGTAGACCTGGCAGAACGGACCTGTGATTGGCGATCGAAGGGCGACAGGCAGGACAGACCGAGCCCTTTGGCGATAACAATTCGATTCGACCTAGATGGAACCTCCGCGGGCGACGAAAGCGAGCGAGAGGAGGAGGGGGATAAAAGGGAGAGTGGAAGAAAGATCACAACGCGACAGAAGTATGGCCGAACACGCAAGGACAGGAGAAAGGGGAGGGTTGGAAAAAACGCTGGTTATGTCATGTCACGGCTGAACCGTCTCCGTCGAGGGACAGGCCACTCGATGTACTCGGTACTTCGGCGGTGATTGGGCTTCAGGGGTAAACGGTGCCCCTGAGCGACTACTTTACGGGGACCGCGCGAGTCTCTCTCGAGTACCTAGTACGGGGAGAGGGAGGACCCTCATGAACGAATAGGCTGTTGGGCACGGTAATATTCAGGCCCATACTACTAACTCGGTATAGCCAGAACACGGTGTAAAATAATTACCTCTCCTAAAGGGGACTAACGAGAAGACCGTTAAAGAGGTTTAGCTTGTTTACTATTCTGCTAAGGACCGCACTAACTAGCTTTTTAGTTAGTCCACCAATTTACCCACCGACGCACTTCCCGAGGAGGTTACTCCAGGACTGGACTCTGAAGAAGTGCAGAGCACATGTAACTTGCGGGAGGCGCTGAATGGGCCTACAGTAGTAGCAATGGATCCCCCTCCCCAACCCTTACCTGCGCAGGTACCCTCCAAAGAGCCCCAACGCTTGGAAGAACACCGAGGCCTGACCGCCACCGTGGACACGGACAGTACATCCAGTGGGCGCTTATGCTTATGTACTCGAGTCATTATTCCAGTGTCATTATTCCCCTTGCCGCAGTCTCAGATCGTGTGCAGTTGACTCGGGACATTCACAACAACAGAGTCGCGTCTCAGAAGTAAACAAGCCCGGCGCGTGGTTTGCGGAGAAAAGCTGGATTCGAGAATTTGGATGGATTCAGGGGTAGGCGAACCGTGGTTCCTTAGTCCTCCCGTCTGGACGGCCGATTGAGTACGTATGTAAGATTACATCTGTAATTATGTATTATGGCCATTGAAGGCCCTTGCCACATGATCATTACAGTATTACCAAAACAAGAATGACATAATCCGATCTCGGGCGTTATGGCAGGCCTGAGGCCGCTTCTTCGGGTCTGCCAACAGGACAAACATTGGGTAGTCATACATCATGGCCAAACAGCAGCTACGTGGTCCATTGATCTAGAACACGATCTGTAGGTTATCTCTCTCCCGGAGAAGGAACCATCAAATCATATCAGATCATACTGCATCGAATCATGCCCTCTCAATGGCCAGTCACATCCCCTCCGACCTCTTCCTTGGCTGCCGGGACCGTACCACTGCAGAAGACACAGCCTACACAAATTAACAACACACACAACGCAAGTCAACGCCAAGTGCATCCGTCTTACAATTCAATTCGGATTTTAGATCAAAAACAATTCGTCTATGCGCGATTCCCGAGACCCAAGGAGAATAGTAAAAGTGATAAACTGATCAACAACGAAAAGGAGCTTTCAAAAAAAAAAATGATACAATCTGAGAAAAACAAAAGTATCTACGAGTCTCTTTCTGACCCTTCAAACCCAGAAGGGATACATCCAAAATTCAAAAATCAACTGTCAACCGCACGTCAATGCGCGTTTATTTGGGGCAGCTGGTGTCGAACTTGGACTTGCGGTCGGCGGTGAACAGACCCCAATGCTTCTCGTCCATGGCCTTGCCATTGTCACCAACGCTGTCGGGCTTCCAGGACTCGTCGTAGGCCTCGAAGTAGAACAGGTCAACGCCCCAGGCGAGCATGCCACAGACACCGGTCTTCCAGAAGGTCTCGGCGTTTTTGGTACCAGCCAAAGCAGCCTCGTAGTCAGAGCCACCATCTGGAAGAAAATTGAGAATCGAGGTTAGCTAAAACGAACAGGATATTGAACGGAGCATTTTTGATCACTGATCACTCACCAGTGGGCCAGCCAGTCTCGCCGTTGATCACGTGAATCTTGTCAGCATTGGTGCCCGCAACCTTCTGGATGTGAGACATGGCACCAGCCATATCATCAAAGTACGTCTGGTAGGCCTTGTCGGCGACGGTACCCTGCCAGTAGGCGAAGGCGTTGGCCAGGACGTAGGTCACCATGGGGTTGGCGTCGGTGTCGGTGGTGAACAGGTCATCGGCAGTGCCATCGGCGAACTTGTTCCAGCTGTCGGCGGTACCGACGGTCACCTTGGGGAACTCCTTGGCGACGGCGGAGATGTAGTTGTGCAATTGGGGACCGGTCAGATCGCCACGGTAGAGGGTCTCGGAGCCGACGGTGATGGCCTCGATGACGTCCTCGTTGCCGGGGACGGTCTTCTTGAGGGCGGCAAAGTCCTTCTGGAAGGAGGCATCGTTGGTGCTCATATCGCTCTTGTCCTGAGCGCCGACCCTAAAAAGGAAAAACGCCGTGCGATTAGCTTGTGCACAACGGGACCACGCCACGGCGGGCGGTAGAGCAGGATGGCGTCGGTCTTACCAGATACCCAGGACAACCTTGAAGCCCTTGTTCTTAGCGGCGGGGATGATGTTCTGGGGAGTATCGCACTCGGTGCCGGAGTAGGTGCGGACGAGGGTGGCCAGGCTCTTCAGGTTGTCGAAGTCGGACTCGTAATCGCTGGTGGACTTGCAGGTACCGTCGGCATTCTTGTCACCGAGCGAGAAGCCCAGAGTCCCACGGGCCGAGACCACAGCCGGGGCAGCGGCCAGAATAATAGGAAGGAGGCCAGAAACACGCATTGTGATGGGGCGAGAAACGCGATGAGAAGGGGGTTTCCGGAGAAAAGAAAAAGCTGGGGAAAGAATGTAACGAAGCGGAAAAGGAGGGGAAGGGAATGACCAGAGAAAGGAATGGAGTTATTTTATAAAAGAGAGCGAAAAGAAAGAAGGGAAGGACGTCAGAGGTGGACGCAGTAGTAGTTGGTAGAAAGAACGAAGTGAAGGCTCCAGAGTTTGGGTTGGATAGACCGGTCGCCTCCTGGACTATTCCCAAAAAAGCTGCCAAACGGGGGGACAAGACGCGGGTGGCTCCCAGGTGGGTGATCAGCTCTCCCCAAGGGTCTCTTGGGTTTGGGCCCTGGCAGGGGACAGGCACTGGGACTTCTCCATCAAGGGGCCAGGGGAAAGAGGCCAATGACAGTCCCCAGGGGCCATCGGGTACCACCAGCCAGGCCAATGAGTACCCCCAACGGGCCGTCAATGGGCCAGAGGCCCCCGCTGGGCCTGTGCAACGGGCCCAACTTGACCCTTTTGGGACCCGCGGATGAAACATGTCCCTCTCAGGGTCTGGACTCCACTTCCATTGTGGCGTCCTTCTGACTTCCAGAACACTTCCCAAACGCAGTCGGACTGTTGATATCTCGAGATACTTTGCTCAATGCTTCTTTGGGAGCTCTCTGCTTTAACCCTATACGTCGCGTTTCGACTTATATCTTACTATACCACCACCACAGAGTCACCAGTTGGCCCACCGCCAAGCCTCGCATCGCCTTCCCAGATCGAGGGATCGAAAGTCATGATGTCACGGCGCCTCCAGAGCCGATTGTCCAGATACTCACGTACCCTGGGAGTTCCACGAGAATGAGCGCAGCAAGTGGAGTATACCCGGTCAAAGTCAACCAGATGACAACACAACGCTCCCAAGAAAAGCCATTGTCTATCTTCCCCTTCAACGGTCTTCCCACGGCTACCCGGATCCGATACTTCCCTGTGCATCCGCCAGGTGGGCAATGGAGCCCTCAGGTCCCAGTTCCTTCAATATCATTCTTATGGTTCATTGATTCATTGAGGTCTGGATAACTGTGTCGGTAAGATATCTTCATCATGGCCAGGAAAATCACATCCCGGCCTTTTGTATTGCCTCGGGATCTCCAGGGTCTTGCTCAAGAGCTTCCTGCCGCCGGACACAGTGAAAGGATAATTATATCGCCAATTGACATTAGATATACACATTCGTGTCGATATTGCATTGACCTTGGCATGACACCTTGACTCTACGCAGTTCTCCCACCGAGCAGTGAAAAGGATGTCTGGTTCATTCGGATATACTCGGGCGGATACGGTTTCCACTTATGGGAGAGTGTCATTGAAGTGGAGGTAGGTTGAAGACAGCACAAGGGCATGAAACTTAAAAAGTCACCGAAGTACAGGCCCTATTTCTTGGAGGTACCTCCAGACAAGAGTGGGCATACCACTCAAGATGAGAAATGCTATGCATAGAGGGTACCGAATGCCATTCCAGTATTAAATCCTTGATATACACCTATTGAACTAGGAATGATTGGAGTCTTTGTGGAAATAAATGACCCTATCTTCCAAGTATGGGAGAGTCATTCGGTGTAGTCAGACCTAGCTACGTAATATGCATTCTGAGATAGCGGGGGAAATGCATGCATCACCGGGCTGTTCCTGAAGATCCCTTCATTCCTACACAGAGCTTTACACTTGCTCTCGGAGTCCGACAGATAACAAGGTGCTCTAGTAATACATACAATACATACCTAAGCACCAAATCTGTACAAGTATATCCTCGAAGATCTAGAAAACAAGTCGGTGCCTTCATAGATATTCAATCCCTGCACCAAGCATACCACAAAGGTGAAAGACTTCGACGGATAGGGCTTGATGGCAAGTATCTATGTTCGAGACCAATCTAACCAACCATCACGAGTCAAAGAATCATAGTGGAGATTAAAAAGAAATGCTATTGTACACGCCAAGAGTGGAGTTGCCTATGCACCACAACGCCTATTCACACAAGATCGCACAAGATCGCACCAGTTCCCATCCATGTACCTAGGTAGCCCAGCCCAGCCCAGCCCATTGCTACCTACGCTGCCTATTCACAGCCCCCCTACTCTCGACCCTCACCGTGCTCACCACCCACCCACCAAGTCCAGATAGCCCTACACCAAAAATAAGTCTCAATACTCCCAAAACCCCCCAAAATCACCAGCAACACCACCTTCATATTCCGACTAATGCCTAGACCCTCAAATCTAAAGCCCCCGGCCTGGACTTCTGCGTCCGCCTGCTCGTGGGCACGGGTCTTTGCCGATCCGGGCTTTGCCGGGGATGGCGGGGCTTGAGGGGGTCTTTGCTGGAGAGGGATGAAGGTGTTGTCCGTGTTGAGAAGGTGGGTAGAGAGAAGGTGGTGGTGCTGGTGGTCGGTGGGAGTCTGGATTGCCTGCCTGGGCTGAGGAGGGCAACCGTGGTACTGAGGAGTGGAGGTTTAGGTTGGGGGAGGAGGTGGATCTTGAGGGAGGAGATGGTTGAGAGGCATCTTTTTGGGAGGTGGAGGGTTAGGAGGCTGGGTTTCATTATAAGTATGTTTGAGGTGTATGGGGAGGTTGTTGAGGGGGAATTGAGGAGGTGCTTACATGAATTATGCTTACATCTTTGGAGGAGCTAGAGCTAGACAAGCGTGTGGCTATGGTGCGGGTGGGGGCTGTAGATGTGACTCTATACGATACGCTCAACTTTAGGAGTATGGGGTACAGAAACTACTTTTGGTCTTGTATGAGGATTTGAAAAGAGAGTTGCAAGCTGATTATTGTTATCTTTCAATTCTTTATTGAGAATCTATGATGCTAGGATCAAAGATCGATAGTCATATGGAAAGTAAGCCAGTGACTAGTGAATATCTTCCTGAGCATCCTGTATCCTGTTTCTCTTCTTGTCGTTTGCCACAATAAGCAAAATCCCACTTCTATCTGTCTGTTGCAGATGGGGGACGTAGCCAAGTTCAGCAAAATCAGTTCTCTCTATCCTGTATTCTGGCTTCCACGACGCCGCTCTAAAGAAGAAGATTTCTATCGCGCGCGTAGGTTTCCTTCAGCAATTTTAGCTGATTCACTGACATTGTCTGCCGCGGCAGAGCCGCAGGCAGCTCAATAATGGCCCGTCGCATGAGGGCTAATCCAATTTGTCCAAAGAAGGCAAGAATGCGCTCGCTCGAATTCTGAAGCATCGCATGGAGCAGCGAAATCTGAGTATCCTTTATCTGAGCAGGGGGAACGGAAAGAAGTTTCTGCAGCGAAGTCCAAAACATCCTATTTGGGAATGGATTGGTTCGTTTCGCCTTTCCGAAATTCCGCAGAGTGAGAGCTGCATAGCCGGCGCCAAGGGCAGTCATGCGATCCATGTGGGTTTGTTCGCTGACGAAGGGACCCCCGGCTTCTTCCCGCCACCATCCAAGTGCCTGGCGGCCCGACTCGGTCTTGTCATTGCCGGTGGAGCCCCAGAGTGCCGGGCATAGCACGCGGTACTTGGCTAGTAGGATGTCGCCCATGTGGATACCCTTGAACATGAAACCCTCAAACGAGAAGATCTGCGCGGCGACGATACCAAGAGGTTCAGCGTGGCCTGGGTTGATGGATGCTTCGGTGATTAAGGCTGAGATCAGGGCCTTTGAAAACATGTTGAGCCCATAGATCAACATGGCAGGGACCATTTGCTCAGTCTGTGCAATCTCATCTGGTGGGAAGGCAATGAACTTGCGAATATCAATGGATGGTTCGGTCATCTTTGCGGCTTTCTCTAGCTCTACCCGAATTTGTGTGGTCTAAATTGAGGACACCAAGTCAGTAATCTGTGTTGCACATCATATAGCAAATGAACTAGAAACGGGGTAGACGAACCTGAGCTTTGTTGGCACCTTTGCCGTCCCGCAGCTGCCCAACACACTTCTTAATGGACCGGCGCATGTCGCCCATAGCCTTCTTGGCTTCGGGATTGCTCTTAACCACCCCTTGAAGCCACTCTCGCAACTGTTTGAGAGACTTGTGCAGCTCAACATATCGTGCGTGGATACAGGCTTCTTCCGGTGTGAGACCGCTAGCACCGACCTTCCGCATTTCCTGAGCCTTTGCCTTTTGTTCGGCTTCCAGCTGGGCCTTCTTGGCATCTTCAGCTTGTTTGTGCTTTTCCGCCTCAGCACGTTCACGGTCCAAACGCTCCTGGCGCTCTTTCTCCTCCAGTGCAGCTTTTCGCGTGCGCTCGGCTTCTTCCGCCGCCTTCTTTGCAGCCTCTTCCTTCGCCTTACGCTCAGCCTCGGCACGAGCGGCTTCTTCTTGCTGGCGGCGAAGCTGTTCTGCCTTCTCACGCTGGATGCGCTCAATGCGCTCCTTTTCCTTGCGCGCGGCCTCTTCTTGTTGTCGGCGCTTTTCCTCTTCCACACGGATGTATTCTCTCAGTGTAGCCTCGGCCTCTTCTCGGACCCGGTTATGACAGGCTGCAGCCTCATCAAGAGCAGCGGTATGGACAGCTTCCCGTTCGCGGTCGATCCGGTCGAGATTGTCATAGAATGCCTTGCGCTCGTAGGCGCGGACCTTCTTGAGGTCAGCATTGAAGATGCTCACATTCTCAAGGTCGCGAGCAAGATCGAGGATGAGCTGTTTCGAAGGGCTATCTGTGGCTGGGATAACATTTCGAATCGTCATTATGTCGGCTGTGGGGGACTCGCAGTAAGGTCAAGAAATGGGATGGAAGGAGGAGAGTCGTAAAGTTGTGTTATAGAGGGAGAGGTGTAAGTGTTGAGGTAGAGCGTGATCAGACCAAACACCCCAAGAGATTGAGTGTTAGAGAGAGCTTTAGGGTTCGACACGGTTTAGGAGGTTGGAGAGGTTTAGGAACAAGAAGTCGAGGAGGACAAAGTCGAAGAGAAAGAAAGCAATGAAGCGGAGAGAGAAGTTGCAAGGTAAGAAAAGTCGTGTCTAGCCGCCAAGAGAGAATGAAGTGGTCAGGAGAGGCATGTTCTGGAGGGAATGTGAACAAGTGGATTGAACCCGATGTCGAGGACCCTTTAGAAGGTTATCGTCGAATGTCGTTCAAGTGAGGGCGCATATGTCAATTGCTCGCGACAATGGACAAGCTCGGAGCTTAGTGCCTCTAGCCTCGTAGATGTGGATCAATTCTTTCGTACGGAAGGTGAATATGTGTAGGTGGTTTTCATCAAGTGTAGAAGAGAACGTGAGTTGTCGAGGTCGCGAGGTCGATGTAAAGGGAACCTTCGTCCAAAGCTGTCGCGAGGCCATTTGGTTAGCAAGGAATGAATTGCGGAGATCACTCTCGGCGCCCAAACGGCAGTCTTCAGGAGGCAGCAGTACCTGATCGCGTGCTCATGAGCCGTTGGCGTAGACAGCGATGTATCTTTTCAACCTGACGAGCAGCCACACCCAAACCAGCCAATGAATGCAGCGGGCGATGTTTATCGCGAAGCCGACAATCGACAATCGCCAGCGACCTCAATGCGGAAAATAAATTACCGGCTGAGTCAGCCAGACCCAAACTGGGACTGGGACTGGAACTGGAACTGGAACTGAAACTGGCAGCGGTGGACACTGGAACTGCTCAAACTTTGGTTCCTTTGCATCATCGTGAGCATCATCCACTCATGCTTAAAAAAAGGGAGAAGCTGCCATTGGAGCTTACAGGAATTGCTCTAGTGGGGGGTTTCTTTCTGTCAAGAAATATTTCATCCCTACAGCCAATGGTGCCGCCATGAGCTGGCCGTTGAGAATCTTGAGCCAGGCTCATAGGGCCCCGTCTGTCTTTGCGCTAGTTCGAGACAGTTGCTCCAGCTTGATAGCCATTAGCCACTAATGCCGCCAATTCATTACCAACGCCTAGCATGTCACGAAGGAGGGAGGGGGGAGGCGTAGATCGCTGATTCTAAGTGAGACCACCAATACTCACAGAAGCTCCATCACGCTAGGTCGTCAAACTCAAGCAGGTTCTATCGTATTCCAAGTGAGAATGGGTCGAGAACCACCATTTGGCTGCATCAGGGTGATGATGAGGTCGTCGGGAGCAATGGAGATCATCCATGGCATCCGCCTTCGGGGAAGCTCTAGTTTGGAAGAGTAACGAAAGGGTATTTACAGCGTGCCAAGCCTGAGGATCGCCCGTCATTGAACGTACTTTGTATTGTAATCTACCGTTATACTGGAACCATACTGTCTCTCCTTTCCGTACCCAACCCTCTCCCCACACCCGCTTTGTATGGATCCATCATCACCTCTCTTCTTCTCCTTTCCCCCTCCTCCTCCTCCTTCTTCTTCTTCTCTTTCCCATCTCTCTCTCTTCCCTCCCCTTCCATCGTTCCTTCAGGCCGAATCCGTCGATGCTTGCATCGTCTATTCTATCCTTCCCCATAATTACTCTTGTTGTCATTCTCTTCGGGGGACGTGCAACTATTCAGGGCTTGCCCGTTTTCTTGGACTGCTCGGAATTGCTCACGAATCCGAGAAAGCTTCTCCAGTAGCTTTCTACCTCGTGACTTCGAACCTCGACCATTCCCAAGCGGTCATTTAGGATCCAATCCGCTTTCTCCCACCCTTTTGTGCCGGTTGCTCGTTACCTGTGCCTTCTTGCACTCGTCGCTGCAATTCGCCGACTCGGTCCTTCCCAAACCCCTCTCGTCGAATCGAGCGTCGTCCCTTTTTCCAGTCGGTCTTTGGATTGATCGATTCACCGCACACTGAGCGTGCAATTGATTATCGACTGCCACTCTCCTCGATTCCGCGACTTGCTGGTGGCTTTCTCTGTCACCACTTCGTTGGCGGCTCTAGCAAATTTCCATCCCACGTTGGACAAGCGCAGACGTCATTTTTGGAATGCGAGGGTCCCGAGATACTCATTAGTCTCTCTTGCAGGTAAGTGTGCATCATTACTTGCTATTTGCACAGCTTGCGGGGGGTTGAAGAAAAGCGAATGTCGTTCGGGTGGAGCGGTTTGATCCTGGCGGTTTGGTTGCAGCTTCTCCGTCCCTCCTTCCCTCGAACGGTCCCTACCCTCATCAACTTGCTCCGCCCGCAATGACAGCGCTGCTGCTTCTGCACTGACGACAATCCCGTCATCACAATTTCCCCCATCTCTTGTCCCTCCTTCCTTCCGTGCCCGCTCCTTCATATTGACTCGTTCCTCTTGTTTTTGTTTCTCCCCCCTCGACTTGTTTTCCCCTGTTTCCTTTGACCACGCTCTCTCCAACTCATCACGGTCAACATCCACCCTTTACTAATCCACTCTTTTTCCTTACCTACAGTATAGCTCACCCTCTCCGTCGTCTCGTTCGAACATAAACCCTTTGCGGTCGGTTCACGATCCGAATTCACTCGGTTCGATTGCCTCTCGAGGGCAACACCAGTCTCTCCTGTCTCCGGATCGGCATCACCGTCCGTTACACATTTTACACTCTACAGTGCTAGCCCTCTTCCTCCATCCGGGATCATGGATCAACAAGGCCAGTCTGGGGTACCAGGCCCTGCTGGGCGCAAGCTTCACATCGCTCATCGGAGAAGTCCATCTGAGCTGACCCCTTTGATGAGTATGACCATCCCTCGAACTCCTCGCTACCTGGCCAAGGCCTCTCAACTAACTCACCTTAACTTATCTCTAGTGGAACAACTAGCTATTCAGCAACAAATTGAGCTGCTCCAGCAGCAGCAACAACAGATTGCCGCGACACACCAACAGTATGTGAACATGGGCCTCCTGCAACCACAGCAGCTGGGCCAGGTCGGCGCCTTCTCCCCAGGTGGCTCTATGGGCGGTGTTTCTCCTCAGGTCAACGCCTTCCAATTTCCCCAGCAGCAGCAGCAGCAGCAGCTCGGGGTGCCCATGAACGCACCAGCCCAACACTCCCACCGTCGCAATCAATCTGCTCTCCCGGGTCTTGCAATGGGCCCTCCTCCTGCTCCATCCTCTGGTGCTTCCGGATATGCCGATTACAACCAGCAAGGCCAGAATAATCACCAAAAGAGTGAAAACACCAACCACGGTCGCGGCCGTGGCGGGCCCCCTGGTGGTGGTCACCAGCGCCGCCACTCCCTTGCCCTTCCCGAGGCAAAGAAGGCCGCTGAACTGGCTCAGCAGAAGCGTACTGCCTCTGGATTCCAGTTCCCTGCACCTGCCCCAGGATCGGAGAACCAGTCTGCTCCGGACGACAAGCCTGGTTCCAGTACATCTCCAGCTCCGCAGGGTCTCGGACTTCAGCGTGCTGGAAACATTCGGGCCGGCGGCCACGGCCGCAGTCAGTCAATGGCCATTGGCGGTAACCGCGGTTCCTTGTCTGGACGTGGTGCAGGCGGTTTCCAGTTCCCAGCGCCTAGCGACGGCCAGCCCGACAATCAGCGCCGCGGTAGTCAGGCTGGTGGCCACGCTCGCACCGGCTCTCGAAACTTTGATGGTAACTGGCGCCAGCCCAACAACCAGAACCAGGGACAGGACCAACAGAAGTCCTTCGGCGGCCAGCAACAGCAAGGCGGGTTCCAACCCGGTCACCGCTCGCGTGCTTCTATGAACCAGTCGATGGGCTCCATCGGCCAGTTCCAGTACCCCGGTCAGCCTCAGCTCATCCAGCTGCCGCAGGGACAGGTCATGATGGCCACTCCGCAGATGTTTGCAGGCGGCCAAGCGCAGCTGACCCCTCTTCAGCTTGCTCAGCTCCAGGCACTCCAACAGCAGAATGGCCAGGGCATGGGCGGCCTGCAAGCGAGCCAGCACGCACCTCCTCAGTTGTCTGTTCAGCAACAGCAACAGCAGCAACAGCAGCAGCGGAAGACTCTCTTCACCCCTTACCTGCCCCAAGCTAATCTACCTGCGCTGATCAGCAACGGTCAGCTCGTTGCTGGTGTTCTGCGTGTTAACAAGAAGAACCGTTCCGATGCCTACGTGACTACATCCGACTTGGACGCTGATATCTTCATTTGCGGTAGCAAGGACCGTAACCGTGCATTGGAGGGCGACTTTGTTGCCATCGAGCTGCTCGATGTCGATGAAGTGTGGAACCAGAAGAAGGAGAAGGAGGAAAAGAAGAAACGCAAGGATATCACTGACGCGCGCTCTAACAGCAATGCTGGAAATGATAAGCTGGGTCGGTCTGACTCCAATGGTGACCGACAGGAGATCGGCCCGGATGGAAGCATCCGTCGCCGTGGCAGTCTTCGCCAGCGTCCCACCCAGAAGAAAAACGACGATGTCGAAGTTGAGGGTCAGAGTCTTCTCCTTGTGGAGGAGGATGAGATCAGTGACGAGCAGAAGCCCCTCTACGCTGGCCACGTCGTTGCAGTTGTTGAGCGTATCGCCGGGCAGATGTTCTCCGGAACTCTGGGACTTCTTCGACCCAGCAGCCAGGCTACCAAGGAGAAGCAGGAAGCTGAACGCCAGGCTCGGGATGGCGCTCACGGCCGTCACCAGGATCGCCACCAGGAGAAACCCAAGATCGTCTGGTTCAAGCCTACTGACAAGCGTGTGCCCCTGATCGCCATTCCCACTGAGCAGGCTCCCCGGGACTTCGTCGAGAAGCACCAAGATTATGCCAACCGCATCTTCGTTGCTTCCATCAAGCGCTGGCCCATCACCTCCCTGCACCCCTTCGGTACCCTGGTCGAGCAGCTCGGAGAGATGGGTGACCTGCGTGTTGAGACGGATGCCCTGCTCCGTGACAACAACTTTGGATCGGACGAGTTCTCTGATGCGGTCATCAAGAGCATTGGCTGGGAGGATTGGTCAGTCTCCAAGGAGGGCGATGCGCTTACTTCTCGCCGCGACTTCCGTGAAGAGACCACCTTCACCATTGACCCCGAGGACTCCAAGTCCCTGGAGGATGCTTTCCACGTCAAGAAGCTTGCCGATGGAAAGGTTGAAATCGGTGTTCACGTTGCCGATATTGCCCACTTCGTCAAGGGTAACTCTCTCGTTGACCGCGAAGCCAAGAAGCGCGGCACTGCTGTCTACTTGGTCGACCGTGTTATGAACATGCTGCCCCCTCGTGTCTCCACTGAACTTTGTTCCCTTGTTCCCGGTGAAGATCGCCTGACAGTCAGCGTGGTCTTCAAGGCCAACCCGGAGACCGGTGCAATTGACGACGACGTTTGGATCGGCAAGGGTGTCATTAAGAGCGCTGGCCGCCTCGGCTATGACGAGGTCAACTCCGTGCTCACCGGCAAGTCGGCCTCGACCGGCGCCGGCATCACCGCAGACAACCTGCAGTTGTTGAACGTAAGTCCTCTATTGACGGATCACCCTCATTGTACTTTATTAACGACGTTTTCTTTTAGGCCACTGCGAACAAATTCCGTGATGCGAGGTTCGGAAACCGTGCGGCTAATGTCCCCAGCCTGCGCCTCCTTCAGCAGCTTGATGATGAAAATGTTCCCGTGGAGTACAACATCTTCGACTCCACTCCGGCCCACGAGCTTGTGGAGGAGCTCAGCCGCCAAGCCAACTTCTACGTTGCCCGGAAGCTGGTCAGCGCTATGCCCGAAAAGGCATTCCTGCGTCGGCAGCCTCCTCCCAACTCTCGTCGTCTGACTCTGTTCGTGGAGCGAATGAACCGCCTCGGCTATAACATTGACTCTTCCAGCAGCGGCAGCCTCCAGAGTTCTCTCTGCAAAGTGGAGGACGTTGATCTGCGCAAGGGCATGGAGACTCTGCTCTCTAAGGCTATGCAGCGTGCGAAGTACTTTGTTGGCACTGGTGCCGCAGACGAGCAGCGCCAGCAGTACACTTTCAACGTGCCTGTATATACCCACTTCACCAACCCCTCTCGCCGCTATGCCGATATCATTGTGCACCGCCAGCTCGAGGCTATCCTTTCTGAGGGCGCTATTGAGTTCACCGATGATGCTGAATCCCTGAACAAGACTGCAGACCTCTGCAACAACAAGAAGGACTCCGCTCTCAATGCCCAAGAGCAGAGTGTACACATCGAGGCTTGCCGCAAGATGGACCGGAAGGTTCATGAGATTGGCGGAGATCTCATCAGCGAGGGTATCGTTCTTTGCGTGTACGAGTCCGCCTTCGACGTTCTCATCCCTGAGTTTGGCTTTGAGAAGCGTGTCCACTGTGATCAGCTGCCTCTGAAGAAGGCTGAGTACCGCAAGGACAGCCGTGTCCTCGAGCTGTACTGGGAGAAGGGCGTTCCCTCTTCTGCCTACATTCCCGAGGATGAGCGTCCCAAGCCTGGCAACTCTCGTGCAGCCCAGGCTGCTGCCGCTGCTCGTGAAGCAGAGGCCGCCAAGGAGCGTGCTCGCGAGCGTGATGAGGCCATGCGCAAGCAGACCGAGACCGGTACCATGTCCGCTGATGATGTGGATGCCCTCTTCGATGACGATGAGGACGTCGACGAGGTGACCGAAATGGCCGCTGGTGTGTCCTTGAACTCGGCCGACCGGTCGACCCAGAGCATGCCTCCGTCTCCCACTCGCAACGGCCACCACCAGCAGGGCCCTCACCGCACTCGCTCTGACCCGAAGATTGCTTCGAGCACCAGCGATGCTCCTGAGAGCAAGCTGACCAACAAGGAGAAGTACCTCAAGTTGTTCAAGTTGCGAGAGGAAGATGGCGAGTTCATCCAGGATGTCACTGAGATGACTCGTGTCCCTATCATTCTGAAGACCGACCTCAGCAAGAGCCCACCGTAAGTTCCCACCGCCTTTATTTCCCTTCGTTCGCCCTTCGGGGGTGCATGTTTTCCTTGCATGTTCATACTAACGTGATGTCACAGTTGCCTGACTGTTCGGTCCGTCAACCCCTATGCCCTGTAAAGGTGCCCCAGGCGGTTATCTTCCTCCTTTCTTGGGAAATATTATTGCATGTCTATGCTGCAGATTCTTTGGGTGTTCTGGGCATGGTCTCCATGTTCCCTCTACCCCCACGGACATAATTCTCCCCCAACATGCGGATCGAACATAGTATAACCAGAAAATTTCCTGGTGACACCCATTCCACCCTTATCTCTCTACCCCACCCATCCTTCCGACGTGTCCTGGGGGGCCCCGTATACTTATTTGTTTGTTATATGTTGTGCAGCGGTTGTCTGTTTTTACCTTTTTCTTTATATTCCTTGCGAGCATCTTGAGTTTCTTCGTCCGGAGAAAGAAAGTGTGGCCCTACGTTCCAGCTTGGTCTCCCGAAACCCTTTCCTCTTTCATGTTTCCGCGCTTTCAGAGGGCCTTTGCTATTATTTGCAGTCTTGCGCGATGCTTGAGGATGGTGGCTCAAGGAAGAAAGATTGATTGCAGCTCGATAGTTTCCGGAGAGTCCTCTATTAATCCAGGTATTCACATAATCTTTTCTTTTCAAGCGTAAGGATACAGAGTAAGCTTTTTTTTTCCCCCTAGGCCATGAGCGATTGTCACCAACTAGTCACTTCTGAGTTTCCATCAGCTTGGAACTTGATTGTGGTCAACGCGCATCCTGACCGTCTCCCGCGCTCATAACACATCTACAATAGCCAGAGCAACCTAGGCTGCACTCCTCTTATTCAATCCATTTCAACTCATCCGCCTATTGCTCAACATGTAGATATGGTGCTTCTCTCTCAGCTCTTCCACTTCAGTCCGTTTCCGGAGGTGGCTCAGCCAAATCAAATAAAACCCAGTACTTATCATGCCACTCCTCGTTTGTATCAGTATGGCCTGCGCGCGAAAATCCCGAGAAATGCCTAGATACCTATGTTAGCCTACACAATTCGACAGTCAATAACGGATAGAGCACAGAGCATACATATCCCTAGTTGCCTTATCAAATATAATCTTCGATTTGGTTGGCATGCGCGGTAGGTACCCATACTTCTTCAGCTTCCTAATCTCTTAGTTAATATTATTCAGGCTATTCAGGTTATCCAGGTAGAGGATGCTACAGACTCACAGAAAAAAATTCAGGAAATTTGTCTCGGATTGCTTTGCATGATTCCAGATCTAGCTCCCAGAATTCGTCTGCGCTTAGAGGCTCCCCGGGGACTTTATCCCAGACCACATAAGTGATGTATCCTCCTGGAACGATACTGTCCTCGCCTTGCTTCCTCTCCTGGTAAGCGAGAAGATCAGGGACAACATCGCATCCCATCTTCTTGAATATTTTTAAGGTTGTTAATTCAGCGTGGGCCTGTGGCTTAGCAGCCTGCTTTCGTCGAATCTGGGAGCTCTGGTATTGGGTGCCATGGATAGGAATTTGAAGATAAATGCGCATAAAGGCCTTATTTCTGGGATTTCCCTGGCGATGACAGAGAAACTTAGCAGCTGCAAACGGAACTCCAAGGTTATCGGCGATGTCCTGCTGCGTCGTCGGCTGAGATCGTTCACAGAGCTTCTTTTCGATCACCCAAATCTCTCGAGAAGACAGCGCAAGAGTAACCCGGCCTCCACTTAATGTTCACCAAGATCGAGGTCTTCTGCATGGTGTGGTCCATCTGCTCGGCCACGCTCATGAACCAGTGAGCGAAAAAACTGGGCTGTAACGGGTTAACCGCATCAGTTCTGATCTCAGGCTTTTCTGTTCCTGAAATCTTAAAGACGACGAGCTCCGGTTAAATGATAGCCTCGCTGGTTAGATCCACAATGACCGTTTGGGTCTTTTCAATGACTATTGCAAGTCCACTGAATTTCTTCTTGAGAATTTCCGAGCGCATTATGAAGCACTCTGAAATAACTCGTCCGAGGAAGAGATCGGCATCCGTCATAGTCAATGATCCGCTTCGCCCATAGCATGCTGGCCCAGGATAAGCTTCTGCACTATGGAGGCCAACATTAAATAGACCATTTTCCTAGAAGAGCGTTGATCCACCTCCTGCGACCACTGTGTTTATATCGAGCTGTGGCGTCTGGATACAGTTGATTTCGAAAACAGATTACCCCTCAGACACACACGCTTTCTTTCCCAGCGCCCCACTCAAACTGCGCTAAACTAAACCTGGTCAGCAATTATTTTCTGGACGTAATTCCGGTAGATCACCAAAATTACCGTAATTGCAAGTTTCGGCATCGGGTGAACCATTCTGCCGAAACTCACCATTGCCATACACTAAAATTTGGGCGGATGACCCATCAGACACCACAACGTGTTAGCTCGTGATATACATAGAAGTCGATCCACCGTTTTCTCCCGCGTATCTCTGCTATAGAGGCGCAGCGACGACGCGAGGATCCTAGCTCCTCGCTAGTGTAAAATTGTTGCCTGACACAAGATTACCGATTCGCCTGCCACGCCACTTGGTGTTTGAACTTCGTCGCTAAAAAATCGCACCCTCACGGGCAGGGGCCCAAGGTACCGTCTTAACTGCTGCTAAAGTTAATAAAGCTACGTTGTCTTCGTGCAGTGGCTTCTGCTTTCTCTGCGTATATTTACTTCTTCTGAATACACATCGTGTGTCTTCGCCTAGTGACGGCCCAACCACTTCACTCGTGTGATTAATCCGACTATTCACTCTTGATGAGTAGTTGTCTGAAAGATAAGCTCGCCTCTAAGTAAGGCTTCCTAATCCCCACAAAACTCTAGGCGTTGGATCTAATCTTCGACACCTCTAGTGCTGAGCTTGAAGCTTCCCCAGAGCTATCAAAACCAAAATGCACCGATTTCTTCCAAATTACTCGCGCTAAGCCCTGGGCTATCAACACAGGCAGCTGGTACACATTCTCGTCCGAACCCAAGCTGTGCTTCCAAATAAGACAAGGTTCCTCCTGGAGGGAAGGCTATATGTTACCGATATATAACATCTGGAGTCCCCCATACTTCGGAATCTCGCTACCAGAGCCAAACTCAACTCAAGACACGAGGACCATTATAGGTCTTGGGGAAGTGGTTCTGTCAGACCAAAGTTCATCGAACATAAAGAAGTCCTATAAGCTGAACTGCAACGACCTTATCGTGACCAGCTACGAAGACGATGCAGCATCCCTGAAGGCCAGAGGCACCGGGTCAATTCCGTTCGAAAGAGAGAACGTCGTCGGTGGTATTGATGTTGACTACCCCAGTTTCCTGCAATGCAGGTGTTGCCTTCGATACCGAGGGTGGGTAACCCTAGCCAACGGCGAACGCTGGCGATTTGACGAAATCATCCGGTCAAACCGCCAGTCGTATTACCAGTTCCAGCGCGTGGGCAATCGCGTTGCGCATCAAATGGTAAATCGCGTTGCGCATGAAATGGTATTCCCAAAGATATATCCTAAGACGCTCCAATGGGAGTGTTATAACGATTGGAAGTCGGAATATGGAGAGGCACCGGCGAATATGCCGTTCATTTTGGACCAGGACACGCGCCTCTGCCGCGTTAACCCAGACTGGCACGGACAACGGCACTGGGACGCTTCTAAGCTTGTAGCTCCCGTGGTTGCTATTATGAACCGAGAATTCCTCGTCTTTGTCAATGGGTTGAAGGAGGCTAAGGAGATTGAGACTGCTATTCTTCGAGAGCTGGTTCTCATGACAGGTCTCACGATTGCGAAGTTTGAACGCCCTAAATTGGACAAATAAACCTCGTTCCCGTGACCTCCAATTTCGTCATATGATGCTCATAGAGCCTTCCATGGTCGCTCTTGGCTTACTGTAACAAGGTTTCTGGGTAGATGAACGGGCGACAAGGCGGCAAGCACAGGCGAGCAGAGAGCCTGTAGATCTAGGTCCGAATCCAAATCTATACTTTCATTTAATTCCTTGCTTAGAATTGGCGACCCTACCTTCGAGGGTGTCTGAAAGCGAACATAGTGGGTTGGAAATGATCGTCGTATTTCTGACTGAATCCAGCTAACAGCTTCGTCGGTCTGGAAGAACCACAGAAGTCGGCCTCAGTATTTCCACCTGCTAATGCCACCTAGTAACACGTACCTTTCTTTGGGCATTCGGTCTGCAGGAATGGGCAAATACTCTCCGTGACACTTTAATATGGTCTTGAATTCAACCGTCGAAGTGCGGGACCTATCTGTTGCGGATAATTTTATCTCCGTTGTTCCGCTTTTCCATCGGCGGTTTCGACTCGCCTTGCCGCCTGAAGAGTCCCTTATACGATTATTTCATCTCGGATACGGGCCTCGAAAACCACTGTGAGTGTCTAGAGAGGTAGTCTGGTTTCTGCCTTGGTGCATGGCCTTTGGATGTTTCGGCAAATTTGGTCTTCCTAATGCCGGTATTTCAATTACGGTAATTTCGGCGATCTACCAAAAATACATCAAGAAATGGATCGCTGACCGAATTTAGTTTAGCGCGATCTGAGTGGGGCGCTGGGAAAGAAAGCGTGTGTGTCTGAGGGGTAATCTGTTTTCGAAATCAACTGTAGTCACTTGGACGATGGTGCTTTCAAAGATGTGCTCTCGGTTTAAGGCGAACCTGGTGACGTCCGCGCTGGTACCACCCACTGGAAAATTGTCAGTATGAGAAGCCTTTTATCGGGGTACGAGCTATCCCATATCCCTATAATATCATGACTTACTGTCAAAAGCCAACACGGGCGCTCGATTCTCCCTGTCGTAGCATGTTTGATAATGCTCCCAGCCGGTCAAGTCATCACACCACGAAGACCAGAGAAATTCGAGATCGATATCAATTCGGCATCGGGTTGATTCACAAAGACCCTTCTCGCATTCTCATCCTCCAATCCACTCTTAAACCCCCTGCTTAATTCATCCAAGTACTCCTCAGTCATAGGCAAAAGATAAGCATCAGCCACAGCCACAGCTGATTGACTGCGAGACACGATTTTCGCCATAGCCCGCAGCTCCGACGATACCGTAACCCAGAAGCCAAGTAGTTCTCGAGCAATCCTCGCCACAGTAGTCCCATGGACTTGGAATGTATACGAGTGCATAAGTACAAGGGCTGGCGGAACAATAGCCTTGGTCCCAAAGCGTAAGCAGGCCTGATTGAACTGCCTCCAGATCTGGAGTATAAAGCAGCTGGCATGGAAGTGTTGACTGCGCGGGGGGTATGGTACTGCAACACGCCTGATGTGTGTACAGAGGATGTCCCGAATACAGGGCTAGCGCTCGTGCTAGAGACGTTCCGGTATTTGAGTTATGCGCAGTGGTGTGCGCGGTTTGGGTGGCAGAAGAGTCGGGAGCTTGGGACCAAGGCTATTGATCCGATCCAGCGGGGATGGTTTGGGAGTTATTAGGGTGGGTGATATTGGTAATACGATTGTGCAGGAGTGCGACGCTGTGCTGGGGATGAAGATTGCGTATGAGGGTCCAAGGATGCGGAGGTGAGGTGAAAGGAGAATCACAGTATTATCTTCATCTGCTTTCGCAACGGAGTTCAAGGCTTAGGGAGGCCAGCCTTCGGGTGGTCAATATTGCTTGTGGAAGGATTGTTAATAAAGAGGCTTCGGTCTCTGTGCTAGAAGCAAGACAGGTTGTCGGAACTGGGCTTGACGTGCATATAAATGAGCCAAAGGTTCATGGCAAGTTAGGAAAGAACTGGATGCTCACTTTGCTATCGCATATTGCGGTCTGCTCAAACACAAGCTGGGCCAATCTTGAAGTAGGTAATTAGAGCAACCTCGAGGCTTTTCTGGCTTATGGGAGGCCAGAGACTCCAGTTAATCAAATATGAGCGGTTGGTATGTTAGTAGAAAGATATACACGCAGGAAACACAAGCATTAGACACTCTTCAAAGTACCGAGAAAGGGAGAAGCAATCTGCAGTTAATATCTCTTGAATTGAAGCTCAGTTAAATCATTCCCCCATATTTGCATACACCAAACACTCCGTTTCTATCAATCGTACAGTAGGGGGTATCGTATGACATCAGGCAAATGGAAATCCAATTGCAAAAAAAAACAGACATAAAAAATAAGCAAATGAAACGGAGAAATGGCAGAGGCCATTACAGTCTGCGGATACCGATCCGGGCCTTTTGTTTGGTCCCGCTTGCCTTGCGTGCACCTCCGCCGACTTTTTTTAGTGACCTTGGATGGATGTTTGGCCTTTGCAGGGGCCGAGGGCGCGGGCAGAGTTGGATTTGGGCCTGAAGACAGGGCATTGGTGCTACTACCCAGTGTAGCAGCCTGCATGTCGGGTCTCTCTTTCAGGCTCGGCATGTCAGAGTCGCGGTTCTCCTTTCCATTGTAGCGAGTTCGGTCCGGAACATCCTCGTAGATTTGGACATCCTCGCGCAGGCGAAGAGGGGTGTTGGTTCCCTTGCTCAGAGCGAGCTTGGAGGGCTTGCGCTGCGGCGAGGGAGACTTGCGTGAATGGATGAAGTTGGCGGTGATGTTTCGGTCTGAGGGAGACATGCGGGGAGGCTCTTCCTCAGAGTCCGAGTCGATGACCATTGTCTGGGCATCAGGGTCGTCGGGGTACGAGGTGGAGATGACGGACAGAGGGCGCTTGCCCAGTGCATTCTTGCGCGGGCTTGGAGGCGGCGGGCGAACTGGGCCTGGTGAGAGGGAGGGGTCGTTTTCTTTGCCTGGACCACTGAGTTCCTCGTTCTCGTCGTCGGTCATAGCATCATGGTGATCATTTTCCTCCGGAATGGTAGGCTGGGAGGGTTCTGGAACAGCTTGTGTCTGCTGCTGCTGGTTGGCGGGTGGATTCATTCTGCGGGTCGTCTTTTTGGGAATGCTTGATTGCAAGCGAGGCTGTTTTCTTGGGCGAGGGTTTTGTACGTCGTCTTGCTCTACCGGGATTGAGCTGGGGTCTTCGCCTCGATACTTGGCTTGCTTCACGGCGGCTTGGTATGCAGGTGTAATCGGCGCGTGAATAGAGGTCATCAACTTGGCTTGGTGGGCAAATTCGTCGTAGTCCTCTTGCAGAAGAGCTCCAGCACTCGCGTTGAGGGCAGAGTCTGGGTTGGGGTGAATGAGAAGGCACGAGATCGTCTGTCAGTGAGAGAAGACGGGGTCAGCTGAAGATCCAGGACAAGGGATCCGAGAGAAACCCCAGGCGACGTGAGACCTTTGAGGTGGCAAAACTTACAATGAGAACGTCGCGCAAGGTCAGCTTCGATTGCCAATCCTTCTTCAGAGTATCCACACAGACTGCGCCTGTGTTCTCCTCCACATTTGGGTGCCAGATCTTCGTGCGGAAGACAGCCTTGGGTGGGCTGTTTGGATAATCATCCGGAATCTTCAAATGCAGTCGCCACAGACCCTCTGCATACGGGGTACCTGGCGGGCCTGTGAGGAGCACATTCAACTGGGACAGATCGTCTGCGCCAGCGAACCGGCCATCTTCTGGTGGGAACAGGTAGTACGGGGGGAGCTTGTCACTGTGGAGGGCAGCATGCTCTGCGGCCAACCGGCGCAGGTTGGGGACCTGTACCATAGTGTCAGTATGATGAAGCCCTTTTTGCGCTTTCGATCATCCAGGCGCGCTACACTGGATGAGACTCTTGACACCGGACTTACCATGATGGCAGGTTGTGATTAGGGTGGTTGTTAGGTAGCTCCGAGCAAAACACTTGGTTACTTCGTCGACGGGTTGTTTAGATCCGCTAATCCCGAAACGGCGAAGGCGGTGACGCGTTGTGACGCGAGCGCGTCGAACTCATTACACTTCCTGATTAGGAAATCTCGCGTCGCTGCTGCTCACGGACTCTGTACAATGCAATTGATATAACTTATGGCTAGACTATGCTTGCCTAGCATTGGATGTATATCAGACAGGATATTGCATATACATCGAATCATGTGCTACTCCCATCTCTCGTAAAACCGAATGTGGCTTAGGGTCCTCTTTGATAGCGTTCTACTGTACGGAGTAGTTAGTGAAAGATCCACAGGTGGTCCCCACAAGGTATCCATACGATGGAGTAATTTGAGGGTTGTAGCTTTGTCTAGGTACTTGAACTCAGTAGTTAGTAGTCGACAGCACTACAGGAATTGATAGATTTTCGGCCTTGCCTTCGGGCTAGCCACGGGACTCTTGCTGCTACATATTCGACGGTTAACTTCCAGAGTCTACAGTTCAGGGAATAGTCATCGGTCCGACATTGTATTTACCATAGCATTGAGCCTAGCTAATCATGACCAAGGGAGAAATCGAAGTAATAAAAAAATGTAATGAGAAATGGGGAAACGGGTGCGCCGTGGGTATGCTGTCCGATTGACGAAGCAGATAAAAACAGATACAGCCAAATTACAGAATGTCCCCGAATATTAAGCGCAAAGAAGGAAAACAACGAAGAAAGCCCAGAAACCTTGCTAGCATTTTCATGTCCCTCGTCCCATGGACTGCCCAAACTGAAGAGCTTTGACAGTCCGCATATGCATGACCATGTTCTTCTTCTTCTGAGCCCGGGATCCATATCAAAGTATTTGCAGGGAATGAATTCTCAGACCGAGATGAAGGTCTCACAAGTCACAAGCACAGTACTTCATCAAGCTGCTTACAGAGCGAAAGCAGCCAGGGCAGCCAGACCAGCCAGACCGATAGGGCCAGCGGTGACCATGGCAGCACCACCAGAAGAGGCGGAGCTGGAGGCACTGCTGGAGGAGGAGCCACTGGAAGAGGAAGAGGAGGACGAGGACGAGCCAGTCTCAGTCGAGGTGCCAGTGCTAGTGGTGGTGCCAGTAGTCTGGGCAGAGGAGGTGAAGCCACTTTGGGTGGCAGTAGTAGTACTGCTGGTGCCGCTGTTGGTGGCGGGGGTAACCACTGGGGAGGTCAGGCCAGCGGGGATGGAGGCAGCAGGCTGCTGGGAGGTCACGACAGAGGGCTGGCTGGTCACGACAGCGGGCTGAGTGGTGACGGCATCAGGCTGGCCGGTGACCACGCCGAGGGAGTTGGTCTCAGTCAGGTACTTGGTGGCAGGGTTACCCTATAAACACGAGAGTTAAGAGTCGGTTAGGCAAGAACAGGTAGATTGTGGGGAGTTATCAATCCCAGAGTTATTACTTACCTCGCTGGAGCTGGAGCTGGAGCTGGAGGAGTCCTGGGCGATGGCACCCATGGCCAGGGCCGAGAGAGAGGCGACGATGATGGAGACACGCATGTTGGTGGTGTTGATTTGGGTAATAGGAATATTACTTGGAGGAAACGAAAAGTCACGGCGAGCAAAGCGAGCGTCGGCGGGATATTAATTAAGTGGGAGATGGTTGTCTAGGGAAACAAACACACAGAAATATACTGGAAACAGGGAACTGGGGACACTAGGAGGAGCCGTGTCTTATATCCTTGTTGGGATCATCTCCTCCTTGGTGCTCCATACACAAGCACTGACACGCCGTCAGCCATCCTCAGCCATCAGGGCTGCGGGCTAGCCAATGGGACCACCGAACAGGGACGCGAGAAGTGGAACTGATTGGGAAAGAGGAGAAAAATGGTCGAACCGAGTGGGCCCTGTCTGGGTGTCTGGGCAAGAATCGATGGAGCGGCGCTGGATCTGCAAGGTCTGACTCTGGCGACGGTTTCTATTTTGGTGAGTCTCTGGGGTCACACCGGTTGGCTGCCGTGCAGCAGCGTTGTCGTAAGCTGTTTTGGCCGACCTTCGTTACCAGTCACCACATTGTACTCCGTACGTCCATAATATGACTATTGACGACAATAACGATTCGATTGAATACTATCTCGATGCTTAAAATCGATTCTACTCTCGTACAGAAGTAAGCTATTAATTATTCGACCGAGCAACACGGCTTCTTCTCCCGACGTGTGTGGTATTCTCAGTTTTAGTATCATACGGGATCCACCTGTCATTGTATTGCAACGCATCAGTCATTCGGAGCCTCCTACGTACAGGGCGTGGCGATATCATGCGAAACAAGTATTTGGTCCATTGATGGAGAATTAATTAAGAGAGGGTCCAGCTCGAGGGCCGTCGTTGGAGCATCCAGTCTTTGCTTCTTTCCCCCTGAGGAGGAGCAGGGATGTTACAGATCCTTTCTTGGTACGGTACTTGGTGTGATAGTGCATCAGATAGTATGATCGGTATGATGGGGAACGGGAAAGTCGAGAGATCATAAGCATGGTAAGAATAGCAATGTTTGGAGCGTCCGTATTGATCAGAGCATTTTACAATTGAATATTGTTACAGCCTCGAGGAGTCCGCAGCAGAGTTTACGGTTCCAGGTTGCAAGCACCTCGTAATTGTATGTTCTAGCGTGGAGGAGCCGACTGAGCTCTGTACACTTCGGCGCTTCGCGCCGAAAGGCTCCATCGAGTCCACTTGGTAGCACCAAATCCCTGGGGAAACCGTAAACACCAAAATACGTGGATTGATCCTGCCCTTCGCAGACCGCGTGGCGGCCTACGCAGTCCTTCCAAAGCAGCCCAGCCATAAGAACAACACCATTTCCTCGCTGCTAAGCCCATTGATTATTGACTTTTGTCTTACAGCATTTTGTGTCCCTGAAGTCAGCTCATTTTCTCATTTTTGCGCCCTCGTTCCTCGGATCTGAGCTTCCACAATTGCTTGCTCTTTCGGTCTGTCCAGTTTCCAAGGCAGTGAGTGCACTAGCGCAGCCGTTCGACGTGGCGCATCGGGTGAGACCGCCAAGAAAGCAAGACAAAGACTAGCTTAGGGCGCGGATCGCCCGACAAGGTGAGACATCTACTGGGCCGCTCTGACATTACTTACCTATCACTATCCTTGGAGTGGCTATGGTGAAGGAATGACAATGAGGAGCCGGGCTGCCGCAATGCACACAGGACAGTTCGCCTTGGTGTTCGGTTCGCAATGGTGCCATTTTGGCTCTTATTGTGAGAGTTGTTCGTACCGAGTACCACACCACTGTATATGCGGATAACCAACCCCAAAACATACGCCGTACATATGCAAGGTCCCCTCCCCCTCCGGTACCGAACCTACACTTTTCTCATCCACGGGTCAGGAAGAACCAGAATAGTAACAAAAATGAAAAGCAGCACAATTGCCGACAACGGATGTCGAGCTTAGGCCTGGTCATCGGACTGGAGTGGATCTTTTCCTACCTAAGATCTCACCTGTTGATCCGCCTCTTGGACCTGTTTCCTTCAAATTCAGGTCTACTGTCAATCTGACCATCGCTAAGAGACACATACTGTATGCAAAGCGCACAGGCTATCCCAACAAAGTATACTGAAGAACCTCACCTCAGCAACATACACTGGACTCTAGGAAATGGATATCGGCCATGGCTACACCACCTCGTCCATTCCGTCATGGATGAGGCGTCGCAAACTAGAACAACAAAAAGCCCCGGGTGGACCTGAGGTTGATAATTGCTACATGAAAACTACTTCCCAAAGTATGATCAATGTTACTACCTAGTCCCTGCAGGGCCACCCGAACTTTAAGCTTGAATTCATCGCGGTGGAAAGTCCCTCGTCCAGGCTGCGGTTTGTACGACTCGAAACGCGTATATTGTACTCAGATCGGTTGGACGAATGATGAATACACTATAAAGGAAAGAGTAGCATCCGTATACTATTTGTCATCTGTAGTAGGCAAGCGTAGCTTCTCGGTTGTGTACATACATGCTGTAGTTCATGCAACCGAGCTCTTTACAGAGGATATCGATGATACGTCTGCCCCTCCAGTGCTGCCTTTACATAGCTGCACAGAGGCCAAGAGAAACGGCCAACCCCAAAAGAAATAAGGAATAATACAGATAGACGCGAAGCGTGATTCGTCCCGGTAGCTGTCGGCGCATGATCCTTGCTGGACGGCGGATCTTTATTTCTACTAATGCTTGCCACAGACGGCGATCGACGCGCTGGGTGGTGCCATTTCGCAGCGGGTCATAGGAATAGCTAATATCTATTATGCTGTTTATCACATGCAAACTGTCAATATCAGATGTCGTTACCAGTCTCGACATCTCCAGGCCACCTCACAATCCGTCCAGTCCACCCACGGATGCAAGAGGTGCAATGCAGCTCGAGGAGGTATATACCACCAAGCCTCCATCAATAGCGCCATCGATCACGGGATCGAGGAAAAAGAAGGGAAGGTTAAAGACCAAAAACACCGGTATCTACTGATCGGCAGCGACAAGTTTCCAATATGAGTAGTATCAATCGAGGCTCCCTCGCAGCGATAGCAATATCTATAATACAAAGAATGCGACGCCACGTTAATCTGCACCATTACGATAGCTCCTTCACCATAATCACTGCTTATTCACCACATCCCGTTCCCGAATCCACTCCGCAAACTCCTTCCGCTTAGCCTGTCAAGTAAAGTCGAGTGTTAGCGTCAATCATAGCAGAATAGAACAGTCATTTATATCAGCACCGACAGCCATTGGCACTCCAGGAAGCTCGACACACAACAAAGACACAGCCAGGCAAAATAAGAAAGGGAGAGCCAGGCTTTATCTTACCCGAATATCCCAAAACCCATAGCGTTCCTCCAATCCCAGATACGGGTTACGAGCACCACCATCCCTCTCAATCTCACCCGCCCAGTCGCGCCAGCTAATCGGCTTCAACTTCTCTGCACCGAGAACCAACCCAACAGAGACAATGACAACGGCGACCAGGACTTCGGCGATGATATCTTGCGGGAGGGCGGTGGAGGAGGAGAGGCGCGCGTTGCTGAAGAGCACGGTGTGTTCGTGGGCGGAGTAGCCTCTGCGGGTACAAGCAGCTTGTTAGTCTATCTGCCTCGAGAGCATAGTAGAGAATGCTGGTAGTGTGTAGGAACGTACGCATGGGCCAGCAGGACCAGGCCGAATAGTGTGACGAGGCGCGAGAGGAAGCTCATGGTGATGGTGAGGTGGTCAATTGGGATGGGATTGCGAAGCGGTGGCGTATCCGGTGTTGTGGTCAGGATTTATATTCCGCAATGAGTTCACGACAAACAATCCAGACGTCAAGATGGGCCAAGCGATTGATCGGTTGCTCGGGAGGTGTAGGCCTACGGTCCTGTAACTCTCTCCGTTGGAATTGGATGGTCTTTGGATGTCCGCTGTCCCGCGTTGCGATTACCTAATCATATGATAACCTGAGGCACCACTTGGGAGGAAAGCCGGCCAGCTATACAGAGGACTGTACACCTAAAGCCGCCGCAATAATTGTTCAACTCGGGCTTCGATAGAAGGTAGAACTATCCCATTGAATGGTAATATTATTAAATTTCACATGATTTATGGTCTATAGTTATCATTGTCATGTCAGCACTCCACGGGCTCCCAATTAGCTGTCGGGCATGTCGTTATATATATTTCGCCTTCCGGGGATCCCTTGTTAAGACCTAGACTAAGTTTCCTCAAGGTTGATGGGTATCTATGTACTACGATTGGCTCAAAAGCGCTAGCTTCGAGATAGCTTCCATGCGGATGTTCACGTCTACCACATTGCTATAGGAACATTGACCAGGGCTTAGTAGAGGTGGCCCTTCCGAAGCCCCGCGCCCGAACCTGCTAGAAAAAATCTCTACCCCGCCATTGCAACCTCATGCTGTTGGCTGTCAAATCTCCACGAGGATCTCACCAAGAGGATCACTATACTTATGGAAAGAATGGGAAGATAAAATAAAATGGGTCATGAAAATTTTTCAATTTTTTCATCAGACCAGCCATTATCAGACTGGATTCTAGGTTCGTTACTATTTGGGGGGTTCCTAAGACATCAAAAAATTCCATCATCACGCCATTGCCACATCGCAACATGGACATCATTTACAGCTTCTGCATGGCAGCAATGTCGGTGGACTGGACGTTGTCCTCATCCTCCTCGATCTGAGCCTGGAGAGCATCGGTGGAGACCTTCTCGTCCTCGACGACCAGGTTGATCTGGAGCTTCTTGATACCGAAGCCAACGGCGACCAGCTTGGAGGCACCCCAGACGAGACCGTCCATCTCAATGGCACGGACGTTCTCCTCCATGACCTTGAGGTCGGTCTCATCATCTACAAGAGCATGTTAGCATAGAGCACTCTAGTGAGAGGACGAATATCTCGCCAAGGACACATACCCCAGGGCTTGACCTCCAGGGTCACCAGAGACTTAGCAGCGGGCTTGGGGCCCTTGGCGGCCTTCTTGGCCTTGTACTCCTCAAGACGCTTGTTGCGCTCAGCAACGGCGGCGGCATCCTCCTCCTCAGAGTCGGAACCGAAGAGGTCCTCATCCTCGTCATCCTCGGGCTTGTCCTTGGGGTTGGCGGGGAGCTCGGTGGACTCGGGGCCGTAGGCAGTGAAGGCCTTGGAGGAGTCACCGGGGAGGGTAGAGAACTCGCTCTCGTAAGAGGCGATGTGCTTGTACCAGCGGGCAACGTGGGGGAACTTGGCAGCGTCGGGGGCGGCGCTGAAGGCCTTGAAGGTCACAACATCGGCCTGGCTGGGGGCATTGCTGTCGAGAACTGTCAGTATGTTGATGTTCATCGAAAGCAACTTCATGGAAAGACAGATTGTCAAGGTTGCAACAAAGATCAGATACGCGATTGCTCGCAATTGGATGTAGTCACACAGCGGGGTCTTAAGCCGCCTCCTAAACACGGACCAATTTTTTCTCATCATAAAAGCAAGGGGGTGAAAACACGACATTGGATGAATTGAACACGAAAGAAAGATGCACAATACCATCGAACAATAACAGAGGGCGGGAATCGCTTACCCAACGATGTAGCTGCGGGTGGCCAGGTAGGAGTTGGCCACTGAGACAACAGTCAGTCCATGAGCTCAGGAGAGAATGGCGAGGGAATGCCTACGAGTCAGGCCGGCATCAGAGACGAAGTCGGTGAAACCCATTGTGAATGTAGTTTATGTGGGTTTTTTGGGGGGTGAGGTGGTTGGTAGAGGCGAAAAGGGGGAGAGGAAGAAAACAAAGTGGGAGACCGAGGGGTAAAGTTTTTTTTTCCCGTTTAAATTGGGTGCCAGTATGCCACGTGACTTGAGTGGTGACGGAGCTTAGTCCAGTCGCTGCGGAGCTGCCGCCGTTGGGGAGCCACTGAGAGTCTCCGTGGTGGAGCTTTCGAGAAGCATCGCGATGAGCCCGCCAGTGCAGCTATTAAAGCTGCTCTCAGCGACCGCCCGAAAGGTCTTTCCCTGCTGTACACACTATCACAATCATGGCGGCCCGACTCGCTCTCAACTCGCGCATTCGGCTGCTGCGGACCCCCAACCTACCTACTTCCTCCCGACTTCTCTCTACAACTACACGCTCGGTGCCACTCTCGCGAGCTACAACACCGCTCCTCGTACCTGCTGCTCGGACTACTTCGGCAACCTCTGTTCGCCACTATGCGAATGGTCGACCACACCCTCCGGGCGGTACTCACCGCATGAACATGAGCCCGGAGCCTGAGAAGCCTGCTCTGGAACAATTTGGTGTGGATTTGACAGAGAAGGCGAGAGCAGGAAAGCTAGACCCGGTCATTGGCAGAGACGCCGAGATTCATCGCACGATCCAGATCCTGTCTCGGAGAACCAAGAACAATCCAGTCTTGATCGGTGCTGCTGGTACCGGTAAGACTGCCGTGTTGGAAGGTCTGGCCCAGCGCATTGTGCAAGGTGATGTTCCTGAGAGCATCAAGAACAAGCGCGTGGTCAGTCTGGATTTAGGATCCCTGATCGCGGGCGCCAAGTTTCGCGGTGACTTTGAGGAGCGTCTGAAATCTGTGTTGAAGGAGGTTGAAGACGCTGAGGGCAAGGTTATCCTCTTCATTGATGAGCTTCATACGCTGCTAGGACTGGGCAAGGCCGAGGGCAGTATCGACGCCAGCAATCTGCTCAAGCCTGCTCTGTCTCGGGGTGAACTTCAATGCTGTGGTGCTACAACTCTCAACGAATACCGATTGATCGAAAAGGATGTCGCACTGGCTCGCCGATTCCAGCCGATTTTGGTGGGCGAACCGTCCGTTGCCTCCACCATCTCCATCCTCCGCGGTATTAAGAACAAATACGAAGTCCATCACGGTGTCCGAATTACCGACGGTGCCTTGGTTGCCGCTGCCACCTACAGTAATCGTTATATTGCCGATCGTTACCTCCCCGACAAAGCCATTGACCTGGTAGACGAAGCTGCATCAGCGCTCCGTCTGCAGCAAGAATCCAAGCCCGATGCGATTCGTGAACTAGAACGTGACATTACAACCATACAAATCGAACTTGAATCCCTCCGCAAGGAAACCGATGTGAGCAGCCGCGAACGGCGCGACAAGCTTCAGGAAGACCTGAAGATTAAGCAGGATGAGGTCAGCAAATTGACCGAGGTCTGGGAGAAGGAGAAGGCCGAGATCGATACTATCAAGCGCACGAAGGAAGATCTGGAGCGTGCTCGGTTCGAGCTTGAGCAAGCTCAGCGTGAAGGCAACTTCGCAAAGGCTGGCGAGCTCAGATATTCGACCATTCCTGGCCTCGAAGCCAAGTTACCCAAGGAAGGCTCAGAGCAGGAGGCTGAACGCCAAAGTCTCATCCATGACTCTGTCACAGCTGACGACATCGGCAATGTTGTATCGCGAACAACTGGCATTCCTGTCAACAAGCTGATGTCAGGTGAAGTCGAGAAGCTCATTCACATGGAGGATACCCTCCGGCAATCGGTCCGTGGACAAGATGAAGCACTCGTTGCAGTAGCCAACGCGGTGCGCATGCAGAGAGCCGGCCTTAGTGGTGAAAACCGCCCATTGGCTTCGTTCATGTTCCTTGGTCCCACGGGTGTGGGTAAGACCGAGCTTTGCAAGAAAATGGCCGAGTTTCTCTTCTCTACCGAGACTGCAGTTGTGCGATTCGACATGAGCGAGTTCCAGGAGAAGCATACTATCAGTCGTCTGATCGGTTCCCCAGCTGGCTATGTCGGCTACGACGATGCTGGTCAGCTCACCGAAGCTGTGCGACGCAAACCATATGCCGTTCTCCTGTTCGATGAGTTCGAAAAGGCTCATCGGGATATCTCAGCTCTGTTGCTTCAAGTACTTGATGAAGGCTTCCTTACCGATGCCCAGGGCCACAAGGTTGATTTCAGAAACACCCTGATCGTCTTGACCTCCAACCTTGGCGCTGAGATTCTTGTCGGAGCTGATCCCTTGCATTCCTACAAGGACACTGGCGGTGCTGAGCTCTCGCCAGACATCAAGAAGGCAGTGATGGATGTTGTTCAGAGCGCTTATCCGCCAGAGTTCCTGAACCGTATGGACGAGTTTATCATCTTCAAGCGGCTCTCAAAGGAAGCACTGCGGGACATCGTGGATATCAGACTGAAGGAACTTCAAGGCCGACTGGACAGCCGACGGATGACCCTGCAGGTAGACAACGAGATTAAAGACTGGCTGTGCGAGAAGGGCTATGATCCCAAATTTGGTGCTCGTCCTCTTAATCGGTTGATCGCCAAGGAGATTGGAAACCGGCTGGCCGACAAGATCATCCGTGGCGAGGTCACCTCAGGCCAGACTGCTCGGGTCTCGCTCAATGACGACAAGTCTGGCTTGATTGTGACGACTGAAGGAAAGAAGGAAGAAGCATGACCGGGAAAAATTTTCAACGGTGTTAATAAGGGCATATGAGGTCGGTGTTTTTGGATTTTATATATATTGCATCGGAGATGGTTTCTCACTCTTGTTGGTATTATCTGTATCATATTGCAACTCTAGTCTACTGTAAATTAATGCAATTCAGCTCATGTATACTATCATGATCTCTCTACTGTAGTTCGTAGCCGATCTGCTTTGGGGCTCAACAACGTGACCTGCTCAACGTCCGCTCTGGGTCTTCTGTTCACACCTCATCTCATCCCTCTGATACCAGGATCTCTCCCCACTTTCACAATGCGTTCTTCTCAGAGAAAATACCGCTCACCAGCTGTCTCTAGGCTTCCTCCCATCACACCAGGTACTTCGGGCTCGAAGACTCGCAATGCAGCCCGAGCACCGAATGGCGCCTCAACGACCCCAAGGAGCTCGTTACTACCCCCAGCATCATCATCAGCAACTAGGCAGTTACGAACACCTTATCAGACAACAGAGACTACAAATGAGGCAGAGCAATATGATTCTGGAGAGGATGACTTGGGCCATGTCATTGCGGCCATTGACATGAAAGATTACGGAACAGTGGGATGCGCCTACTACTCTGCGGAAGAAGAGACACTGTACTTGCTTGGCGATAGTCGCTCCGGGGGAATGGAAGCAATTGATGCTTGTATGCCTGATTCGACTGATTTCTTCCATTGCAAAGTACTGATGCTCAAACTAGTGATTCTTCAGATCAAACCAACAATCATCCTGACATCCTCACGAGTAGAGATCCCTAGTGCACGGGGCCGAGAGCAGAGTTTAGCGCCTGACAATGGTAACCTCTTGTACACCTATGAGGACGATAACTGAATCTAATTTTCATCTGTAGAAACCTCGTCTTATCTACCATACCAGGTAGACGTCCGCCCAGCGCAGGAATTCAGCTTCTCCAATGCCCAAAACAGTTTGGTTGCCCTGGACATGTCTTCTTCTCACGAAGGACGCATCCGTTTTTTCGTCCCTAGCAGTGGCCTTGCTGGTCCAGAGGAGATCAATCCTGAAGAAATGGGGTTCTCACTCCATGAGGGAAGACTTTTGCACGTATCCAGCTCAGTCGATATGGAGAACCCGGTATCGATTGGTTGTGCTGGTGCTGTTCTAACCCACTTGCAAAGGCGTCGAGCCACAGCAACAAGCATAGGGCCATTGGACGACTGCCCGTTCAAAGTTCGATCTATGGAGATGTTCAGTCTGCAGGATTCAATGTAAGCAATCAGTCGATTCACATCGTCAATGGTACGTTTGACTAACCATCTGTGTCATGAAGGTGGATCAGTAGCAATACATTCCTGTCACTCCAGATCATACAATCCGAGTCTCACCCAAACGTGTTCAACCAGGGCCCCGGCACAAAGTCAGCTTCGGGCAAAGAGGGTCTCTCGGTATACGGCCTCTTCCACCGTTTTGCATACACCCCTCAAGGCAAAGCGAAACTCAAACAGATCTTCTTCCGTCCAAGTCTGGATATCGCCTCAATCCGACAACGACATGACTTTATCGGTGTCTTCTCGCGGCCAGATAATATGGCCGCTCTGGATAAGATCACGAAGGGCTTGAAACACATCAAGAATCTTCGGCCAGTCATGATCAATTTGCGGAAAGGGATTAGCACTGGGAGTGCGAAGATGACTGGATTCAAGGCTACAGTGTGGGCAAGCTTACTGGCAGTACGTTTCTCACAGGATCTGATTCTTATCCACTGACACTATACTTTAGTTTGCATTCTACTCGATTGACATCCATGATGCTCTACGGGAGGTCTCGGGTGCCAGCATCTTGCCCTTACGGACGAAGGTTAAAGATGCATCGCCAGCTATTCAATTCAGACAAACTGACACAGTGTAGGCTCTCCAAGCATTTGAGGCGGCCCAGCTATATCGAGTCGGACGGATGATCCAAGAGATAGTGGGATCCGATCCCCCACCCAAAACCGCAAATCACAGACTAATCTGTATAGGTTGATATTGACAACTCGGAAGAGCAAGGTAGAACAGTCGTCAAACAGGGTCTTGATCGTGAGCTTGACAGAATGAAAGACCGATACGACGGTTTGAACAGTCTTCTCAAACACGTCGCCATCGACATTGCCACAACAATTCCCGAGCAGTTGGATATCGATGTGAACGTGATCTACTTCCCACAATTGGGATTCAATATCGCCGTTCCACTCAATGACAAAGGTCAAGCAGCATACCCCGGCTCCAGTGAAGACTGGGAGTTGGTATTCATCACAGAGACTCGAGCTTACTTCAAAGACTTTCGAATGAGGGAACTTGACAACAAACTTGGGGATATCTATGGGCTGATATGCGGTGATTATTATCAAGTTGACGCCAATAGATTATTCTGACTGATATTTTATGAACAGAGAAAGAGATTGAGATTGTGTACGATATGGCCCAGAGGATTCTCCAGTATGAGAATGTGCTTGTGGAGGCGTCCGATGTCTGCGGAGAACTAGACAGGTGTCTTCCCCTCTATGAAATTGATTATAGCCACTGCTGACCCGTAAACAGTCTCCTTGCTCTCACACAGGCAGCCAGTTTCTACAAGTTGAGTCGGCCACGGATGGTATCAGAGAATGTTGTCAGAATCAAAGAAGGCCGGTAAGAAGACCCCACTTCGCAAGAGTCTATTGTTTCTAACAAATGCAAGTCACATACTGCAAGAGTTGACGGTATCTGCCTACGTTCCAAACAATGCTTTGCTCATGGGCGGACCCGAAATCTCGACAAGCACTTCAACTTCATCGTCACCGGCGGCACTGGCTCCCAGAATGCTAATGCTGACCGGTCCAAACTACTCTGGCAAAAGTGTGTACATGAAGCAGGTAAGCCTTCACAGTCCTGATTGGAGTCCCGAACAATCATATAATGTCTGTTCAGGTTGCCCTTATTGTCTATCTGGCGCAGATCGGGAGGTACGTCAAGTTCAAGTTCGCCCCATGCCGACGAATTCAACTAAGTGACCACAGCTTCGTTCCCGCAGAAAGCGCAGAGTTAGGAATCACGGACAAGATCTTGACAAAGATCAATACCCTGGAGAGTGTGTCAAAGGTATATTTATTGAAGGCGTTTGACTCAGGTTTCGCGAAAGAGAAACTGATGCATCTCTAGATACAAAGTACCTTCATGAGTGATCTGCAGCAAATCTCTCTTTGCCTAAAACAAGTCACTGGCCGGAGCCTGGTCCTTATTGATGAATTTGGGAAAGGAACGAATGAGAGTGGTGTGTCCAATTTTGATAATGCTTAGTACAAAACTTGCAAATCTGTCGGACTAACACATGTAGACGGCATTGGTCTCGCGTGTGGAGTTCTCGAGCATTTACTGAATCTCGAAGATCCTCCAAAGGTGATTGCAGCCACACATTTCCACGAGATTTTTGAGAATAATTTTCTCCCGCTCAGACCTGGCCTCCAGCTCGGCCATATGGAGGTGAAGGTCTGCGAGGAATCACAAGCGGTAGAAGATCAAGTCACGTATCTCTACAAGTTCGTTCCCTCGCTCAGTTCGTCGTATTCGAAGCTAATATGAACACCACAGCTTTCGTCTTGGTCGAAGCAACAAGAGCTTTGGAACTATGTATGAGTCACTCTCCTTTCTATCCTATTCACTGATACAAGGCTAACAACGACACAGTTGCGCTGCAATCAACGGCATTGATGCAGCTATCGTTGCCCGTGCAAACGAGATTGCATTACTAGCAGCCCGGGGTGAGAACCTGATTGCTGCATGCGCAGTCTTGTCCCCAGAGGAGACACAGGACCTCCAAGAAGCGGTATAAATGCGATCCTATGACTGTCAAGTTATAACAGTATGATTAACTTGGGGTGACAGAATCTCCTAGCGAGGAATTTCCTGCAACTCGACTTCACGAAAGATGACGATGTACAAGATACGAAAGAAGTATTTGAGGCATTGTTTACGACACCAGTTTGAGAGAGAGTGCACTGTCAGTGGAGAATGTTTATTTCCAAGCATCTCCTACCACGGCGGCCCGCTCAACACTGTGCACGCAGATGCGAATTTCGTCTTCATCGTTATAGGACACTATTCTCATGTCACTCTATTCTCGGGTATATGATAAACACGAAGCTCGGGCGAAAACGAACTGATATGTCACAATCCATCGGGGTCTATCGGGGTATACCTCAGTCAGACATGGAAAACTGTGCCACCTTTTGACTACGGCTCAACGTTGGTTCTGAGGGCGGTCCATTACCTGTTCCCTTTCCTTATCCATCTTCATGCAGCTTACATCTATCATATAACTAGATCAACTCGAGATTCAACGAATCCTCCTCTATGCTAATCCTACTCTCCCATGTGAATACTTAATCCAGACATTCCAATCCATGCCTCGAGGTTTTGGATGAACATAGATCGCAAGTTGATTCGATAGGCAACGAGGACATCACAAGATATGGAAACGGAAACAAAATTGGTAGGAAAAGGGAAAAGGAGAACTTAAGTACGTCACGATGCTCGACACCAAAAAAGTTCTTCAAAAGCGTGAATTGGACTTTATATACACATCAAATGCCTGTATGTCTGTCACAGACAGTAAACGCCGTGGTAACAAGAAGAAGATTTTACCCGTAAACAAAAGATCTGGAACCAATCCCAGCCTCGAAGGCCCATCCTTAGAACTTAACACTCTTAACAAGATTCTTCTTAATACCCGTAAGCTCACCACCATAGCCACCACGAGCCTCGCCACCCTTATAGACCTGGCGAATACTGCCGAGCTTCTTCTTCTTCTCCTCATACTTCTTGCGCTTCTTGACACGCGGGTTGCGCGCATCCTTGTTGCGCTTCGGCGTGAGACCCTTGTTCTTCTCGATCTGGTATGTGATGGCACGCTTGCCGTCAGGTCGAATCTCCTCCTGGATCTCGACGTGTCCGCCTTCGCTTGCAGCGGCGGCGTATGCGTCGGCACGGGCCTTCTTCTCGTCCTTGCGCTGCTTGGAGCGAGCAGCGACCATGTCGTAATACTCATCCTCGTCGGTACCGGATTCGTTGCCTCCGCTGCGAAGTTCCTTACGGACCCGGCGGTCCTCTTCGTCACTATCGCCGCCCAGCTCTTCACCAATGTCCGGTCCTTGACGTCCGCGTTTCTCGGCTTCGGCATTAAGACGGGCTTGGCGGTCCTTGAGACGTTCACGGTAAGGGATATCGGCGTCACCACCGGCATTTTGACCAGCAGCCTGGCGCTTGTTGGCCTTCTGGGCAAGTTGGGAGGTGTAGAAGCGGAGCGAGCGTTTCTGCTTGGCCTTCTCTTCAGCCTCACGGGTTGTCAAGGCATTCTCGTCGCCGAAGTCTGACTCATCGTCGTCCTTAGACTTCTTGGACTTCTTCGTCTTGCGCTTCTGAGTAGGTAGCGTGACCAGGTCGTCGAGGTCGGCCAGGCCAGCCTCAGTCTGGCGGAGACGCTCTGCACGACGAGCCTCGGCTTCAGCTCGTGCAGTCTCGGCTGCCCGCTCTGCCCTGCTCAGCTTCTTCTTTTGTGGCACTTCCTTAACTTCCTTGGTCTTGTTCGGTTGCTTCTCGACCTGGATCAACTTGGATGAAGCGACCTTAACAGGCTTCTGGGTAACCTCAACCGCCTCCAAAATCTCGAGGTCCTTGACCATCTCCCACAGCTTTCGGAACTTGACCAATGAACCCATTACAGGATGTTGGCGGAGTTCGGCGGTAGACAATGGCACGCGTGCATCGGACCCTTCGGGGGAAGAAGCGAGGAGCATAAAATACAAACTAATTGTACCAAGATAGGTTGATAGAGCGCGGAGCTTCACCACAGCCACGGGTGCTGGTTGGGGATCATCGGAATCTTCACGGGGTGTTGAAGTGGCCTTCGAGGCTGCCTGTTGCAGATCCTTGTAGATAGATTGAAGGCTGGCGAACTCTTTGGCCAATGGTTCGAACTCGGGGTATCTTGAGCTCAAAATCTTTCGCTTCTCATCATCGTCCATGTCCTCGGTGACTTCCAACTGGGGAAGAACTTCGGTAACCACGCCAGTGTCCTCTGCGTCATCCTCCGCATCCTTGCCAGTCTCCATCCACTCAGACTCGTCAAAGCCGAAGTCAGCCTCATTCATGGCCTGTAGCTGCTTTTGCTGGAGTCTCTTGGCTTCCTGCTCTTCCTCCAAAGCATCTGCCTCGGTCTCAATCTGGTCGGCGTTGTAGAGATCCTTCTTGGACGAGCCCCACGCAGCAATGCCCTCTTCCTCCTCGTCAGAACCGGTGCCGCGAGACTTCTTTGACAGACCCATATCGTCATCGTCGTCGTCGAGGTCCTCATCCTCTTCGAGATCATCTTCATCCTCGTCCACGGACTCGTAGCCTAGAATCTCCTCATCAGAGGGCTGGAGTAGTTCCTCTGTTTGATGAATAGTCAGCAATATGTCTCAACTTAATTTCACATATGAGCAATTGTCGTACCATCCTCTGCAACTCTGCGGCGGCGCTTGGCTTCTGGGGCTTCCTCCAACAGAATCTGGTCACGGTTGGCCTGGAACTCATCTTCCGAGTCCTCAAATCGCTCCTCAATGCTGTACTTTGTGCGCATTGGAATATCGTCTTTCTGCGCAGGGCGACCGCCCGCCTTTCTTTTCTTGCCCATGGTGAGTTGTGAGTGTACTGTCGCTGCTTGAAGTCGATCGATCACCGACAAAATAATTTTTTGGAGCGTCACTCACCGCCCGCGCAGAAGCTGCGGGTCAGTGTTTGTCTGGTTTGCAGTGATAAGGCGGTGGTGAGTATCAACCATACGGAAATATTACAGGCCTAGGTAGATCACCCCACGATTCAGCCTGGTATTGATGTTCTGGGTGGTAACAGGCACCACCCGCATCAACGCTCCTGCCAGCTTCAGAAACAGCAGCAACGACGGACTCCAACTTCGACAGTCCCAGTCCACCTCCCCCAGTCTTCTCTGTTTTGTTTTCTCCTTTCCCTTTCTTTCCTCATGCCTCATCTTCCCTCATTCACTCTACCTTATAATATCTCGAGCCCGTTATTGGGAGTATCGATACTGGTCTGCACCGCCATTGCCTATACGGTTGCCAAGATGTTCGGATTCACCCGCAAGAACGAGTTCCCCGTCGAGGGTCGAGTATGCTCCACTCCCAATTGGCTTGTTCTCATACGCAGATCCTGCTGCTAACCATCTCTCTTCAGACTGTCGTTGTCACTGGCGGCTCTGATGGCATGGGTCGTGCTCTCGCCATCCAGCTCGCTGCCAAAGGCGCTCACGTCGTTGTGGTTGCTCGAACTGTCTCCAAGCTCCAGAGCACTGTTGAAGCGCTCAAGGTAAATTATTTTGCTTTCGTTCTGGTCATTTTGTCATCTTTTCACTAATCATCTTCCCATAGGCTATTGCTCGGAACCCCATGAAGCAGCGGTTCTTTTACATTAGCGCCGATCTCATTGACAGCGCCGAATGTGAGCGTGTGATCGCCGAAGTCACTGCCTGGAATGACGACTGTGCCCCCGATGTCGTCTTCTGCTGTGCGGGCTTCTGCCATCCTGGTTTTTTCACCGATGTGCCCCTCTCCGTCCAGCGTCAGCAGATGGACACTGTCTACTGGACTGCCGCTAACATGGCTCATGCCACCCTCCGCAAATGGTTGACTCCCGTTCCCCCCAGTGGGCAGATCAAGAACCCTCGTCGACACTTCATCTTCACTTGCTCTACCCTTGCATTTGTCCCAATTGCTGGTTACGGTCCTTACTCGCCTGCCAAGGCTGCCATTCGCTCGTTGTCGGATACCCTCAGCCAGGAGATTGAGATGTATAATGGAGCCTATTCTCAGCGACACCGCAACTCAGCCCCTGCTGCTGATATCAAGATTCACACTGTCTTCCCGATGGGTATTCTCAGCCCTGGGTTCGACAACGAGCAGAGGATTAAGCCCGAGTTGACCAAGAAGCTTGAGGAGGCTGACAAGCCCCAGACTCCCGAGGAGGTCGCCCGGATTACCATTGCGGCTCTGGAGCGTGGCGAGTATCTGATCACCACCATGTTTGTGGGCAACATCATGAAGGCAACTGCTCTTGGAGCCAGTCCTCGCAATGCTATCGTTGGCGACACCCTGCTCAGCTGGCTCAGCAACCTGGTCTTCCTTCATGTTATTCCTGATCTCCGCAACAAGGCATTCAACTGGGGTAAGACTCATGGACTGCCCAAGTCTTCGAACCAGGATTAGACTTCGGCATCATTGTCACGACCTTATTGTTTCCCCTTGGCCGACTCTCCAGCCGGTGCTTGTACTATACCCTGCATGTTGCCCAGAAGGCTCTTCTCGCTCATTTGGTCTGATTGAGACGCTCCGCTCTCTTTGTTCGAGTGCGACCGGACACTGCCATTCTTAGTGTTAGTGTATTATTGATTGACATTTCGATTCTTTCAATTCTTTAAAGTTTATTTCAGTCTCTCCCATTCTTTGAATTCTCTTTTTCGTTTTAGATTCGATTGTCCACCCAGCATTGCATTGTGAGTGGCTCCTGTGGAATGCGGGCGGGGAGTGACGTAGTGTGGGTTGGAATCTCCCTCCACCAGCCTCCCCAGTTTTCTTTATTTCTCGTTGCGCCAACCCAAGTTTCACATTTGAATGAATGACTTGAAAGAAACTGGTCAGCTGCCAGAGCCCCTCGATCTAACAATGAATCTCTGACTATACAAATCTCGAGTCCCCGCACAAAATCTTCCAACAACATTGCTCGTCGGAAAACGTCCTCAGTTTCGCAACGTAAACAACTCTCGCGCACTTGAAGCTGCGACAATTGCACCCACGACTCTTGTCTGTCCTCGAGCCTTTATTTGAGACCTCTTCAATCATCGCTTTGAAACCCACGTTATCATGGGCGCATTCCTCTCTGTTCCGTTGCTATCCTTCTTCCTCGTTCCCACCATCTCCTCCTACACCACCACCTTCAATCTCCTCTTCTTCTACATGACTTGGAGCACACTAGTGTGGTCGCATACACCCCTCCGAGTGGAAATATTTGGCACGGCCGCGTTTCGATTAGTATTTTACGTGCTACCGTCCGTCATATTCTTCCTCTTTGACGTCCTAACACCGTCTGCCGCTGTCGTCGTCAAGGAACACGGCGAGGCAGGGCTTCCTGGCGGCAGGAAGCGGTTCAAGCTTCGGCCGAAGGAATTTAAGATTGCAGGATGGGCGCTTGCAAATCTTTTCTTGGGCCTCTTTACGCAAGCGGCGATTGAATGGTTCTTCACGCGAATTCTGCGTGTACGCAGCGCGATAAAGGTGTCTGTGAGCCTACCTACGCCGTGGACGATAATGCAGGACATACTCTTGGCCTTTTTGCTTCGAGAAGTAAGTTAATATTTTTTTTTTTTTAACTTGCGAGCTTTGAGCTTGGATAGCTAACTAATATCCTGTTCCTTAGGGTTTGACATACGCCTCGCACCGATACGTCCTCCATCACCCGAGGTCATATCTCACAAAGCTCCATCGGGAATGGTATCACGACCTCAGCCTACCCTTCCCTCTCACCGCACACTACGACCACCCACTCGTCTACCTAGCGCACAGATTCGTCCCCACCTACCTTCCAACCATGCTTCTCCGCTTCCACATGCTCACCTTCCTCCTCTACATTGCCGCCATCTCTATCGAAGAGACCTTCGCATACTCTGGATACACCTTCATGCCGACAAGCTTCTTCCTAGGCGGTATTGCTCGCCGCAACGAAACGCATCTGATTTACTCGGGCGAGGGTAATTTCGGCCCATGGGGTATTCTGGACTGGATCTTGGGAACTAGTATGGGTGAGACTGATTTCGAGGATGATGTGCGGAATGAGGCTCGGGATCATCAGCTTGGGCAGCGGGTGAGACACGCGATGGATGCGAATAATCGTAAGGTGCATGTTGATACTCTGCGGCGGAATGGTCGGAACGGAAGAGGTAAATGATGGAATGACCGGGTATGTTGGTCAAGTGTGGGAATGATTGAAAATTTGGGGGTTTTCGAGGCGCCTTGGTTATATTGGTTGGATGTATAGATAGATGTTGTTTTATAGGGTTGTTGTGTTTCTCATTTTCATGTTTCTCTTTTTTCTTGTTATGTGTCTAAGTATGTCGAGTTTGGGTAGGGCGTTGGTAGCAACGGGAGTTGTGGAGATATATATTTGCTGGGAGATCTTGCCCCAGATAAATGGAGCCAATTACGTCGTTATCGCACAATGGAGCAAAATCCACAAAAATACCGATATCTGTAGCAACGTGAATTATTGGAAGGCCCAGTATGATTTAGTAGCTAGAATACTAGGTATGTATGTATACAAATTACTGGTAGAAAAATCTATGAAAAGACCCAATCTTTGGATTTTGCCGCCTGAACCTGGAAATGGGAGGTGTATATGTCATACTGAACATGAAAGAGAATCCTAGCCGGACGGCTAGAGCGAGGTATTTTTTAATCTTTTTTTGTTTGGAAGTCTTTCTTCACATCACGGCTGATCCCCCCAAACTCTCGGGGCCGTCGAGAGAAGAAGCCATCGAGAGAAAGGGAGTCATGCAGGACCGGCCACGCGCGAAAGGGAAAGAGAAAAAGAAGACAAGGCATCGTGGAAACCAAAGAAACAACAGCCGGATATTCCGTATTAAACCGCCGATCCCTAGAAAAAAGCGAAAAAGCATGTGTAGACGGAATCCGTTTGTGGATTTACATGATTCATGAAACCTTTTCCCCCTCCCGCCACGCGAAAAGGGTTGCCGACGTGCAATCGAGCCGCCCCTCGTCTTGAAAGATGAGTCCTCCCCAACTATCTACCGAACCCGCGGCCGCCGCATCTCGCACTTTTTTACCACTTCATCTCGTGGGGCTTGTCACCGTTCCGGAGGCTGAAGGTAGTGGCGAGGTAGCTGCTCAGGAACTCCTCCTTCTTGACGCTGCTGAGGATGGACTGGTCGACGGCCTTCTGGTCAGCGGCACGGGCGGAGGCAACCTTCTTCTTCTGTTGAGAGAGACATGCACGTTAGTCATGAAAGTTCGAGTTTGTGGTCTCCAGATCCGTAGATCCATAGGCATAACGAAAAACGTACCTCGGGCTTCTCGCCCTGCTTGAAGAAAGCCTCCTCAGACTTCTTCTCGGCCTTCTTCTCCTTGGTGAAGTAGTCGGGAGTAGAGACCTTCTCGACGGTCTTGGCGTCAACACCGGAGATGTCGATACGCTTGGAGGTGGCGATCACATAGCGGGCGTTGACACGGCGGAGGGGAACGCCGTTGATCTTGAAGGGGCCGGTGACGAGGAGAACACCCTGGTCGAGGTGCTTGAGGAGGACAACACGCTTGCCACGGAAACGGCCAGCGAGGAGGATCAGGATAGTACCGGGCTGGAGGGTCTCGCGGACCTTGGCGGGGCGGATAGTCTTGCGAACCTGTAATGTACAGAATAGAGCGAATGTTAGTCACTGTTGTGTGGTGTGTTTTCGGATAAGTGGTTCCCCAGCAATTCGATCATTCTCGGTGGGAGGGCTCGAGGGCGCGGTCGGTTTGCTCGGATGCGATGCGATTCAATCTTTTCTTTGGTTCGTTTGCAATGCGTTTCAAGTGTGAAAAGATCTCGTCGTAAACTGTGATCACCAATTGCCACCGGGCTCGTTTTGGAATGAACTGGTCGCTGGTGGTGAACTGATTCCCACGAATTGCATTCCAAAACAAATCCGGCGTCAAATTGTTGTCGCATCGATCCGAGCGAAGCCTCGCGCGCCCATGTCCTCCTCGAGTGTGCGTATCGGATTTGAAGGTTGCCCGGGGTCTTCAACTGACCTTCTTAGGCTGCGACTCGTCGTCCACGGGGTACCACTTCTGAGCCTTCTGGGCGGGCACGAGCCGCTGGCCCTTTCCAAACTGCTTCGTCTGGCCGTCCGACATGGTGACGAAGATGGTGTAGGTGGTTGTCGGGTTGGGGGGTTGGTGTTGGAGGTTGATGTGCGGACTTGCCAGTGGAGTCCAGTTAGAGGGTTTGTGGGAAGGGAAAGCCCTATCTCACGTGATACGGGTTAGCCGAACCGACACAGGGGCTGACTCATCGATCAGGCGCGGGCGGCTTTTGTTGGTTGGGTGGGTCCAGGCCTGGTTGTATAACTACCACACGTCCAGTACTAACTCCGTACTGTCGTTCGAATTTATTAGGACGTACTAGATTATTATAGACCACGATAGACCACGAATGTCCATATTATACAGTAATATTTTTCCAGATTATGCTCAAATTGGTTCACTCAGTAGTAACTATGACTAGCAAGACTACTTACTCTGCGGATTGTTCAATACAAGGTCATCAGAGCCGAGTAGAGTATGTGTTATGATCAATGCTATCTATATGCGTAGGGTATTTTACTAGAGTTACAATGGCATGGCAGACATGCATAGTTACTCCTGAGCCTCATAGACTCGCCGGAGCTTCGGATAATCAGGCAGCTGCCAATTCCCATCTCGTTCAGTCGAGAATGTCGACATCAACTCGGGGACACGGATAAAACACAACGTCTGGAAGATAAATCTGAAATCGTAGTCCAACATCCGTAATGATAATTGATCAAAAGACGGGAGTCATCCATCTATGATTGGTGAGCTTCTCGTACTCGAGGTTCAAGTCTGAGTGCAAGCTCCATCTCCAATCTCTCTTTGCCATATGGCTCGTTTCGCAGCGTCGCTATTTGATCTGCCTCGGGTGGGAAGTCTGCCTCGAAAAGTGGCTCTCCGGATCCTCGCATATTAGCGAGAACGCTTTGTCGAAAGTGCCACCGCAAGAGCTCGTCCGCGACATGGTCAGGGTTATTCGGGTCTCGGCAAGCCGGATGAAGGACTTTCCCATCGATATCTTGAAAGCCAGGTGTAAACAAGATAACCTTATATCCATCCTATCCTTTATTAGTATTTATACTTAGAGGCTTCGTTGAAAAAAGATACTTACGTCGGGATTAATAGAGAGGAGATATTGGTCAAATAACTCATGTAGGTGAGACGACATGAGTAGGCCATTTTGGACCGAGTTAATCTTCGAAAGTCTCGTCGTATGGTCCATATTCGTAATCCAACCTCCGTAGCCATACTCATGCCAGAGATTCTCCGACCCAAGTGGGAATATATGGGCAGCTTGGAAGCCATGCCACCGACCCCACTGCGCAAGCTCGTTGACTCGGCCAGAGATTATGCATCTCCCATCTCTCTGACGAACCCCGGTGCGAAACGACTCTTCTCGCCCTGAGAGAGAATAGCTTGTGATCCGGGCAATCCACTGTTCGTCGGTCATTATAAGAGGGTCTATTTAGACTTTATAAGCAAAATGAGAGCTGTATCGTATGATTGAAGCCTTACCTTGGCAGAAGATGTTATAATTACCTGGGTTAAGAACATCATTCGATAACCCAAGGACCTGACCGGACCCCTGGTCCTGAACTGTGAGAGGCTTCTCCACAGCAAGCAACACCGTAGATAGTATTGTAAAAAAGTTGGCTTCCGTTATGGAACCCGCTTGAAAAAACCCTCCCAAGAGCTGCCCATTTGACCCATCGTAGAACAGGACATTGCGCCACTCGCTCCTGGTGAAGGACATTGTGAGTGATGTTTGGGATCAATCTCAATCAAACCATGAGAGAACGACATGCTGGAAGCCGTGGTGGAGCTGGGCCGAATGCCACGGGAGGTGATATCTGTGAGGAAGGACAGGAATCCCGAACGGCCCCACAGGGCTGGCCGAATTGTGGCTTTAGGCCAAAGAGGCCACAAGGTCACAAGGCCACAAGGCTCCCAAGGCCTAAATATTCAGGCCTAAATCACGGTCGCCCGCAAACGCCCCCGATGCAAGTCAGCTGTTCAGCACAAACAACAGCAACTGACGTATCCGCAAGCTTCTCTCCGCAGTGCTACACCCTTCTTCCACCACTCTTCGTTTTCTCCTTCCACCTGGTGTTGACTGACGAAGCTAGATCATTCCAAAGATATTGTCAGCCTCAGCACCCTCCTAATTCGCCATGTCGATAGCTCCAATCATCACTTTCAAAGCAGGCATCTGCGACTTTGATGTATGTCGAGTGCTGGTCCTCTCTCAACAGCTCAATTACTTCCTCTTTATCACTTTATATAGAGTCCACCGATCAACACCATGGAGTTGAGAAAAGCTAACCCGAATGCTTTCGTCTTCTAGGGTTCTTCCTCCCCCGCCACCGTGAAGCCTAAGCCGACTCCCGGCTACATCTACCTCTACTCCGAAGATGAGCTGATGCACTTCTGCTGGCGCCCTCGCAGCGCTCCTCTCGATGAGCCTAGTCTTGATCTGGTCATGATTCCTTCAGATGGAAGCTTCACTCCTTACAAACCGTCTGGCAAGGACGCTACAAATGGGCGTGTATTTGTGTTGAAGTTCTCCTCCAGCTCCCAGCGGTATCTCTTCTGGCTGCAGTCCCAATCCCAACATGAGGATGGTGACTCTAGCTGGTTCAGCCCCCGGGATTTGAAGCTGGGTGAGATTGTCGATGTGCTGCTGCAGGGTGAGGACGTGGATGTTGAGCATGAGATCGCCAACCTCCCCCGGCGGCCATCTGGCGGTGACGATGACGAGACCATGGAGGATGTGGAGGGAACAGACCACGACCCTAACCACAATCACGGCAGAAGCAGTGGTGGAGCTGGCCCGGATGCCACGGGGGGGGATATTCGCGAGGAAGGACAGGAATCCCGGGAGGGCGGTGCCGATGGTGGAAGAGCGTAGGTACATATCTCTGCCAAACCTCAATGTCGCATTTGGGGCCGTTTCTCGGAGCATGCAATCCTGATCAATCTTTTTCCTTCTTTCTCCAGTGCTTCCTCCGGCGACCCATCATCGGTAGTTCAAGACTTCTTGCGATCCCTGGGTGGTGCGCAACAAGGCCCCGGCCAATCCCAGGACCCTGAACGACCATCTACGACACTTCAAGACCTACTTACTCCTCCTACTACTCTCCCTTTCATCGAGACTGCTGACGATACTACCGTTGATCACCTGCTGAGCTTCCTCCCACCGGCACTACTTCTGCTGGCCCAAGGCAATGCCGAAGCTGCGGAAGCTGATACCGATCCCGAACTCGCCCAGGCGGCACTTCTCTCTCTTGATCTCCCCCAAAAGAAAGATATTCTTCGCCGTGTCCTCCGATCCCCCCAGTTCATGCAAAGTTTAGCTAGTCTGACCGTGGCTCTCCGAGACGGCGGGCTTCCCAGCATTAGCGAGGCCCTGCAGATTCCAGTAGCCAATGGCGGATTTATGCGGCGTGGCGGCGTACCCCTTGGTGGGGGTGACGCGGTTGAAGCGTTCCTGGACGGCGTTCGGCAACATGTCAAGCAGAAGGATCAATCGGGTCAGATGGAAACGGATTGATTAGCGTTCTTATTTGCAAGTTTTGTTTTGAAATACACACCCCATACATGATACATGGATATCGGAGAATTTCTCGTAGTTGTACGACTGTGATATGTTTATCTAGATTAACGTTTCCTTGCGTACCCTATGGCCTATTTTTGGCAACTAGAGGACCCCACCAGGCAACACTGTTTTTCTCCCCATGGCCTCGTCAGCAACTACGATAGTAAGCGTACATTGTGCAGCGTGTCAAGCAGACAGTAATTTCCGGCCGGATTGGCTCGAATCTGGTGAAAATCAGCCACGTAGAGGCCGATGTTGATTGTAGGGAATAGTTATATTCCGGAATATACAGAACTAAAACAGGCTGTGCATTCCTCAGCCACAGAGACTAATAGTTGGATAGCGGAGAAGTATAACAAAGAAGAACAGTACAGTACATAGTTAGTACAGTAGCTAGCTCGAGTACGCCGTAGAGAAATAAGTAAGACCAGGTGATTTCAGCTGTTTCAGACCAAAGGATGTCAGAAGTCCATCGTGAAAGGATAGTGGGCCAATGACAGCCAGCCGGACCAGCCCAGCACTTCCCGTGGCTCTGTTCGTCTTGCGACCGGCGGGTCGTCTCTTTTTTTGAACTAAACATCTTTCAGCTGCTAACTCGGCCCCCATTGCGCTGCGCGACTCTTGGCGGTATGACCCCCTCACACTTCTAATCCTACTTTTGTCTTCTCTTCGACAAGTACACGATCACTTGGACGCCTCCCCTGAACAACTGGAGCCCACCCGCCTTCTCCGACCCCAATCTACCAGCTCTATCTCTCGCGCTCCCCAGCGATCTGGAACGCCCCCTCTGCCTTGCCGAGTGAATGTGAACAACACGACCTGCGATGTCTCCGATCCGATAATCCTTGACGCTGCCTGACGATGGCGCCGAATAGCCAGACGCCTGGCCACCATGACAACCCGTCCGCGGACCAAATCCCCCTCCAAGACCTCTCCAGATTCGAGGGCCCCGCTGACGAACGCGGCAGAGGTCGCGCCAACAGCGCGGGGAGTGGTCTTTTCTCGCGACGGTCATTGATCAGAGGAGGGTCGCGGAGGCATTACCAGAGCGTGGCTGAGGATTCACCGGTTGAATTAGTCGGCGCGATCAGGAATCCCTTTCGGCCAGCTCCTTATGGCGGCCGTGAATCCGATGAGATCCCTCCTGAAGCGCTGGCGCAAGCCATGTCATTCGGTGCCACTTTCGACAATTCGCACCAAACAACAGCTACCGCCGGGCCCTCCTCAATACATGACTTTGATGACGCTGCTTCCGACCTCGATAATGTGCCGCTGGACGCCTATGCTACTCACGACCATGGTGGCTACCTGGCCCCACGCGTCGAAGATGAAGATGACACCGCAAGATTGACGGACCCACGGTATTTGCAGCCTATTAGTGGCGCCCCCGGCGAAGAGGGTCGACAGAGCAGTGACACGGGTGTTCACACTGTCCACTTTGGACAAGGAGCGCGACTGGGCGACGACCTGCCTCATCTCGAGGAAGGATTGTCGCGAAGCCGTGGCAGCAGCGCCCGGTCTCGCTCTTTGTCCCCGTCGGCTTCCGGTGGTGCTCTGCAGCGAGCTAGCTCGATGGTGAAATCCATGTCGCAACGTGTGGTCAACTTGAGTAACGAACCAGAGGTAATCGAACAATCCATCGAGCGGGAGGAGTCGCACAAAAACTCTCGACTGGAGGGTCCTCCACTGCTCCCCGCAATGCTGGACTATGCGCATGATCCTTCACCCAATGCAACTGGACGAGAGAAGCGGTCATCAGGGAGGATGTGGCGATACCAAAATAACCCATTCCGAGGCAGGTCACTCGGTATATTGGGTCCGGATCACCCCCTTCGACTATGGCTGTGTGATGTTCTCGTCAATCCAATCATGGAACCATTTATCCTGGGCATTATTATCATCCAGACTATTCTACTCATTGTGGAATCCTCAAAATCCGTTTTCAATCACCCCTTGGCTGTGCGATGGGGCAGCAGCCCGCTAGACTACATTTTCTTCGTCATTTTCGCCATTTATACACTCGAAATAATTGCCAAAATCCTGGTGTCCGGCTTTATGTTTAACCCAGCAGAGTACAGTACTCTCAATCGATCTTTGGGCATTCGCAAAGCGATTGCGGAGAAAGGCAGGAACCTGATCACGCCTCATCGACAAGCGACAACGAAAAAAGTCTCGTTTCTTCCACAAGAACCGCAAGGATCTATTCTTCGGACGTTAACTGGAATGAATTCGTTAGACCCTAACGCTGGTAGCTACGACGATCCCCTTCATAAACGCCGTGTTAGACTTGCCCACCGGGCTTTCCTTCGACATTCGTTCAACAGATTAGACTTCGTTGCCGTCGTGGCTTTTTGGGTTTCCTTCTCTCTCTCCCTGATGGGCGTGGAGTCAACGCATCAGCTATACATTTTCCGAATGCTCAGTTGCCTTCGAATCTTGCGTCTTCTCGCTCTCACCAACGGTACATCTGTATGGCACCCGCCCCATCTGCAGAGGAAACAGTCTTTTCCCTCTTTATATCTCTCTTCCACATGGCAATCCACTAACTGATTGATTCTTTAGGTAATTCTTCGAAGTCTGAAACGGGCTGCTCCTTTGCTGGTCCACGTTGCATTTCTCATTGGATTCTTCTGGCTTCTTTTCGCCATCGTTGGTATTCAAAGTTTCAAGTCCAGTTTTCGACGCACTTGCGTCTGGATCGATCCCGAGGGCAAGAGTAACTATTCATCCGGCGACCAATTCTGTGGTGGATATCTTGACAATGTCACCGGAGCGGACATGCCTTGGCTTGATCAATTTGGCAACCCCTCCACTTCCTCCAAGCCGAAAGGGTATCTTTGCCCGCAGGGTTCTCTATGCATGGAAGGGCCGAATCCATACAATGGAACCCAGAGCTTCGACAACATCGTGCAATCCCTCGAGTTGGTCTTTGTCATCATGAGTTCTAATACCTTTACGGATCTGCTTTACTCTACCACCGATAGTGACTACCTCGCGGCAGCTTTATACTTTGCTTTCGGCTTGGTCATTCTGAGTCTGTGGCTGGTCAACTTGCTCGTTGCGGTCATCACGCACTCCTTCCAGGTTATTCGCGAAGAAAGCAAGCGCAGTGCATTTGCCGTCCAACAGATCGATGCGGTGGACAGCGACGAAAACTTGAACAGGAAAATGAACCCTCTTAAGCGCATTTATGATAAGACTGAGTGGCTGTGGGTGTGCCTCATTTTCTTTGACCTGGTTGTCCAAGCTTTGAGAAGTGCCACCATGTCGAATGAACGAGCTCAATTCATCGATAACACCGAGACTGTCGTCACCCTCGTTTTCCTTATTGAAATTATCCTGCGGGTTGCATCAGACTGGCGTGTCTTCCATCGCAAACGCCGAAATTGGTGTGACCTTTTCCTTGTGGTGGTCACCTGCATCATTCAAATCCCTCCGATCCATAATTCAGGCCGCGCCTATACCGTTCTCACCCTCTTTCAGATTCTTCGAGTTTACAGATTCGTTCTAGCATTCTCTGTCACGAGGAGACTGATCATGGTTGTTTTCCGGAACGTGGTTGGTTTGCTTAACCTCATCTTTTTCCTGTTCTTGATGACCTTTCTTGCATCTATCTTCGCAACCCAACTGCTCCGAAGCCAAATCCCTTCCGAAGATTCCGGTGGTAATGCAATCAGCATCACCTTTGCTGATATCTACAACTCATTTTTGGGAATGTACCAAATTCTCTCGAGTGAGAACTGGACAGTCATCCTGTACAATGCCACTACTTACACCGTGGATTTCAATACAGCCTGGATATCTGCTGCCTTCATCATCTTGTGGTTCATTGTGGCCAACTTTATCGTTCTGAATATGTTCATTGCTGTCATTCAAGAGAGCTTTGACGTCTCAGAAGATGAGAAGCGGATGCAGCAAGTTCGGGCATTTTTGGAACAGAAGCATCTTGGTGGAAATGCTAAAGGCAATCTTGCTCTGTCCAGGATTCTTCGTTTAGGCAGAGACTCGGATCGATACAAGGACCCTTTGGACCATGGTCCTGCGGCGATGGAAATGCTTCTCAAGGACGCTGTTGTCCGCGACTTCCTTGACGAGGAGGAAGAGAACGCACAGGCCGAAAATGAAAACCGACGTCGCGAAAATACCATGATTCCGGAGAGTGCGAATCAGGAACCCGTCGAGCCCGGCTTTTTGTCTCGACTCTGGACGAAGGCCACCTCTCTCATTCTGGGCCGTGAACCAAATCCGTTCTACTCCAAGCTCCAATTCTCACGAGCTTACGAGGAGCTGGACCCACGGACTATGGCAAGAGAAGTCGCCTCTGCGGCTGAAGCCAGAAAGCGCGCACAGCGAGAATACCTCGTCAAGCATCCCAGCTACAACAAGTCGTTGTTCATATTCTCGCCACAAAACTCCGTTCGCAGACTCTGCCAGAAGATTGTCGGTCCTGGACGAGGTAACCAGCGAGTTGAAGGCGTGGATCCGTACAAGCCGGTCTGGTATGCGTTCTCAGCATTCATCTACGCAGCAATTGTGGCCATGGTGCTCCTTGCCTGTATCACTACACCTCTCTACCAACGACAATACTTCCGCACCACCCGCAACTGGTTCGTGTACACTGATCTTAGCTTCGCTATTATCTTCACGGTGGAGGCCCTGATTAAAGTCGTGGCTGATGGCTTCTTCTGGACACCCAACGCTTTCTTCCGCAGTTCCTGGGGTTTCATCGACGGGATCGTGTTGTTGACCCTGTGGATTAATGTTGGTAGTTCATTGAAGAAAGACTGGAACGTTTCTCGAGCCATTGGTGCTTTCAAAGCCCTTAGGGCTCTGCGTTTACTCAACGTCTCCGACAGCGCCAAGGACACTTTCCATTCGGTCATTATTGTTGGAGGATGGAAGGTCGTTGCCGCAGCGGCTGTCTCCATGAGTTTTCTCGTTCCATTTGCCATCTACGGAGTCAATCTGTTTAACGGACAGATGATCTCATGCAACGATGGAAACTTTGTGGGGAATCTCACGGCCTGTGTGGGCGAGTACGCTAGTTCCCCCTATAATTGGGACGTGCTGGCCCCGCGAGTCGCAGCTAATCCATACTACGACTTTGATGACTTTGGTGATTCCCTCTTCATTCTCTTCCAGATTGTTTCTCAAGAAGGTTGGATCGATGTACAGGATAGTGCGATGCAGATCACTGGAAAGGGCTTGCAACCGCAGGACGGGAGCGCACCGGAGAATGGCATTTTCTTCGTCGTCTTCAATTTGCTGGGTGCAGTGTTCGTGTTGACGCTGTTTGTGTCTGTGTTCATGCGTAATTACACGGAACAGACTGGCGTTGCGTTCTTGACCGCTGAACAACGATCTTGGCTGGAATTGCGGAAGCTCCTTCGACAAATCTCGCCGTCCAAGCGGTCGTTTAATGAGAGGAGCAATAAATGGCGCTTATGGTGCTATAGAATTGCCGTTAAGAAACATGGACGATGGGCGCGGTTTGTGACTTTCGTTTTGGTGGTGCACCTGCTGCTTCTGGTCCTCGAGTATTATCCCGAGCCTAATTGGTGGGTGACGACTCGCACGATCTTGTTCTTCGCCTTCATGTTCGTCTATATTGCCAACGTTCTCATTCGGCTAATTGGCCTCGGCTGGCATCGGTTCAGCCGAAGCTCTTGGGATCTTTACTCACTTCTTGCTGTGCCCGGTGCATTCATCACGATCCTTCTCGACCTGTCATATCCAACCCAAGTTGTGCTTGAGTTGAACAAGCTGTTTCTTGTCTCAATCGCGTTGTTGCTCATTCCACGGAACAACCAGCTCGACCAGCTCTTCAAGACCGCCGCAGCTAGTCTGCCAGTGATCGGTAACCTCCTAGCAACATGGTTCGTGTTGTTCCTCGTGTTTGGCATTGCCATGAACCAGGCCTTCGGCCTCACCAAGCTCGGCTCCCAAGAGAACCATAACATGAACTTCCGTGATGTCCCAAAATCCCTGATCCTTCTCTTCCGTGCTAGTTGCGGTGAAGGGTGGAATCAGATCATGGAAGACTTTGCGACAATGGTACCTCCACTCTGCACATATGATTCCAACTTCCTCGACGACGACTGCGGCAGTGCCGCCTGGGCTCGGACCCTCTTCATCATGTGGAATATCATCAGCATGTATATTTTCGTTTCGCTATTTGTTTCGCTTATTTTCGAGAGCTTCTCGTACGTCTATCAACGCAGCAGTGGACTGTATGCGGTTAGCCGTGAAGAGATTCGCCGTTTCAAACAGGCATGGGCGACCTACGATCCGAATGGAACGGGCTACATTACCAAGGAGCAGTTCCCCCGGCTACTTGGGGTAAGTTTCATCGCCTTTGTCGCGTTTTGCGCAAGGTCTCGTCTCTTTATATTGGACACTGGCTAATCTCGAGTTAGGAACTGTCCGGTATCTTCGCCATGCGAATCTACGACAATGAGTTTACCGTTGGAGCCATTCTAGACCAATGCCGGGAAACACCTCGCGACTCGGTGCATTCCTTGGCCTCCATGCACAACGCGCTGCCTCTTCGCTCGCGAGAATCCGTCCAGTCGTTACGGCCAAATGGCGAAAACACTCTCACAACGGGTGTCGATCTCAAGAAACTCGCCCGTATTATCGACCGCATCCCCGTCAATACCATTCGTGAACGACGTCAACGCCTAAATACCTTTTACGAAGAGGTTCTCGTCTCGGCGGACCCAGAACGAGGCATTTCGTTCCACCAGTGCTTGATGATCCTGGCGCACTACAACGTCATCAGCGACAGCAAGAGTCTACGACTGGAAGAATTCCTCCGTCGCCGGGCCCGACTCCAACGTGTCGAGGAGGCGGTCCGCCGTAACACGGTCATCGGCTTCTTCGATACGCTCTACTGGTCTCGCGAATTCCGTCGGGCTTGCGACCGCAAGAAATCCAGTCGCATGACTGCCATCCCGCAATTCACCGTTCCAGAGATTTACGTTGACGATCCCGTCGAAGAGGAACCCGAAGAGCACGCACCTGGCGCGATGACACCACAAACCCAACCAGACCCCGATTCACCATTTGCACCTATGCTCTCGCCAACGTCGACTTCGCACCGGCGGGCGGAGTCGAGCCCGATCGGACGGCGGAATGAGCTTCCTCGCTTGGACACCAACTTTGATGGTCGCGCCTCTGGGGCTAGCACTCCTACGGAGTGGTCTAGTATCAGTCCGTCGCGCACTCCGCGTCGGTTGTATGGCGAGCGCGTTTCCTTTGAGTCTGGCGACCGGGTCGAGTCGGTCTCGGGGGCCGATCACTCTCGCCAGAATAGCGCGATTAGTGTACAGGATGTCATGCACTCGCTGGACAACTCTGCTTGGGGCGAGAGTATCCGGCGGAGTTTTACGCAGCGGCGACCGGGTGATCGATCCAGCGAACACTAAGTCGGCTTTTTGGGCTCTCTGGGAGAAAGCACATTTTTGGTGTTGTATTCTCCCCATGAGAGATGAAATAGATGGCATGTGGAGGTACGGACACACGATTCCGGGGTCAGAGCCGAGATTATCTGATACCTTGGCCTTGTCACGCTTTTTTCTTTTTCTATTCTTCATTCCCTTTTTCCCTCCTGCTTTCCTTGGACATTCCTTGCATCCTCGAATGATTTGATCTCGAGGAGAATTTTCCTTTCCCCCGTTCCATTCCCATTGTGTGTTTTTGTCCGTCGACTGGTTTCCATTTCGCTGTACATTACCCTCCATGACCCCGGCATCCTTAGGTTTGGAGCATTTTCTGCATAGCAACGGCGTGGGCTTTTCTTGCCATTTTATTTGGATTCATTCCCCCAGCTTTGTTTGGTCCGTTCTCCTTACTTAGTATACCGAGTCTAGTTCATACTTGGGCTCAATAGGTTCAATAGATGGTGGTGTGTACATGGGCTCGTCCTACTACTCTAGTAGATCAGTAGGGAGACTCGAGAGTAACGATTCGGACTCTAGGAGGCTGAATCAGGGTGGGTCTGCTTCGCTCACTAAGTACTTTATTAGCTAACTACTCCGTACTGGAAGTTACTATTGGCTGGATGGCCTAAACGGGTAATCGATCGTACTTTTCACCAAGTATATTATTAGATGTACAGTACGGAGTAGTACGGAGTAGTACGTCCAAGGATCCTACGTGTAGATTGGCACCTCACCCTTTACTACTCGGAGATAACAAGGGTGCATCACGGGACTAAACCGGTCAATTGACATTGATCATGAACCTCTCTTTTGAGACTCTTATCTGAACTCCGTCCAGCTAAATGTAAATTCCTTAACTGCTTGCAGGACCCCCCCCCCAGAAACAATGGGGTTTGTGAGTGCCACGCCATTACCGCATGCGGCCTCTCCCAAACGGGGGGCCAGCGCCCGCAATTCGATGAATCCGTTCGTGTCTCAAACCCTCCCTGCAGCCGTCCTTGCAGTTCTTTTTAGTCTTTAGCAATTGACTTTGCCTCATAATGCCCTGGAATTTTCTCCCTTCTCTTGTTTCAACTTGACTCTTTTCCTTCTATCTTCTTCACGAACACTCGTCCAAACCCCGACCTATGGAGAGGAATCATACATCTTCTTCTACTACTGCTACTTCTACTGCGTACTGAAAATACCCGCATTCCACACATCATCACCACCAAACCAAAAAAACCACCAAAGACATTCAAAAAAAAATGCATCAATTCCCTTCACCATTCCCTCCTCTCAACACCACCACTCCCTCCCAGAGACACCCAGCCAGCGATACCTCCAGTCCCCCGAGTTCACGCACAACCTCGCCGCCAGCCTCGCCCACCTCCACACTCCGCCGACGTCACCAGCCAACGCAAGTGTCTCCGCACCACCTCTTCAACCTCTCCTTCCACCCCACCACCCACCCCAAGACCGACTGCGACACAGGGTCTAGACCAGACGAGAACCAGGACCACCACAGTCACAGCCACAGCCATGGCCATAACCACCAAATCCACCCATCCAATGCCTCAACCCAATGCGTAAGCATCCTGCCCTGCGCGGTGCTTCGAGGCCGATCGTCTCTTATGATCGTGCGACGCCGGCCCTCGGCCGTGGACATGGCACTGAGCGAGGAGCGGTGTCGCTGTGATGAGAATGCAATTGAGAGACAGGGTCTGGATCTGATGGAGCCGCGGCCAGTGGATATGAATGTCACCATGAACATGAACATGAACACGAATACGAGCCTGAGTCTGAATCATATGGGCGTGGCTCGTCGTGGTTCGGTTTCGCGGGCGAGTGTCGGCTCTGATACTCGGTCGGTTCTGGTGCAGCAGCCGAGATATGTGATGGGTGGGATCTTTGAGGTGATGGAAGGGCAGGCATAGGCCTTGTCCCTCTTCTTGGTTCTGTTTCTTTTTGCGACTATCATTTCAAAAGCATGTGGGCAGAGGTGTTTTAGGTGTTTTAGGTGTTTTAGGTGTTTTAGGTGTTTTGTTTGGGTTTTGGGTATTGGGTATTTCCGAGGTTGATGTGATTCTTCTTTGGTTGGGTCAGAATGTATAGGGTACGGGACTTAGCATAGGTGTATCGTAGCCAGATAGCAGATTGTTTGGTGTACAGATCTCGTTCATTGTGGGCAATACCATGGGCCTTTAGAGAGAAGAGCTTCATCCTTAAACTTGACTGATTAGATTGAACTCATACTTCATCTTTACCTTCAGTATCAAAGTATCCGTGATTTCGTTTCGCTTTGATGTGTTTTTCTCGATTTCTTAGCTCCGTAAATCTAGATGCGTCTTATCAGTCGGCGCAGTTACCAACTTACCGTAAGGGCATATGTATTTATAGGTCTCAAAGATCACGATCTAAGCCTAGGCGTGAGCCTTGCATTATAAAGAAACCAGGGATATACATCAATACTCCGTCATTATTATCGTCAGGATGGTATGAAAGACTTCCACAAAAAGGTAATGCGATGATCAGGGCGCCTCTCGCTAATGTATGCAAAGGATGTAAAAACGCGCTAAGAGGCAAACCGTAAAGACAAGAAGGAACATCGCTGCGCTGTTATGTTCGTGAAGAAAAGGGGGTCAAAAGCCCTAAGGCTCGGTTTGGATGCAAGACATGGTCAAGAAACCAAGATCATTCGTAGTTGTTGCCTTTCTTGCGAGTATTAGGCCACAGTTGGCCTCGGCAGTCCTTCTCGCCACAGAGACATTTCACCGCATTGGGGTCGACTTGCTTGGATCCATCCCAGTTCGGGTGGTAATCAAATGTCAGCTCGGTATTGGCGGGGATATCGCGAATTGCAAAGAAGGCGAGGTAGTACAGTCGCTGGTCTGTAAGACGATTGATCGAAACGGGGATAATCTTGCAATTAGGGTTGCAAGAGTGATTGATAAATCTCGTAGCTGCGCCGAACTTCTGTCCGTCGACGACATAGCTATCCTCATAGGTATGATCACCATTGCCGATCAGCCAGTCCAAGCTGAAGAGGTACGAGGGCTGATTCTCATTCGCGGACTCGCGAGCATCGGCGTCTTTCTTCGTAATGACCTCGCCGAAGTAGCAATCGATGAATTGGCCCATGATGACAGGCTCCAGGCATCGCAGGCCGAGGCCACGCTCGCCGGTATCAAAGACCTCCAGGCGGACCTGACGACCGCGCTGGATAACATGGTTCCAGCAATCGCTCTTCGCACACAGACACCGGGAGCTGCACTCGGAGATCATGGCCTTGCGATCCAAAAAGTCCTTTCGAAGGACGACTTTGCCGGATTCTAACCGTTCATATGCTACGATCAACTCATTCGAATCCTCCTCATCGATCAGACAGGTGCACGTTCTTGGATCACACGTCGTGCCGCAGTCGCAGCCGGCAAGAAAATCATCGCCAACGGGTGACACACCGGGGCCGAGACGATACTCGCTGACGAAGAAAAAGTTTGCAGACAAGTCCGCGAGCCTTTCGTCGTCAATATCGAATACAGTGTCTGGACCGCCACAAGTTCGCTTTAGCTTCTTGCGGAGCTTCCTGCGAAGAAATCTTGCAATGGAAGCCTGGGTGATTGGTTCTGTGGTGGCTGGGCTGGAGGCAGACGCGTGAGAAGGAATGCCGCTTCTCTGTAAAAGGAGGGAGTTCCCTGGCTTCTTAAGCCCGATCTCCTTCTCAGTCGGCTTCGTCACGGTAAAAGGAACGACCTTCTTGTTGACCTTGGGACCATTGGATGTGGTGATCGGGTACGCCCGGTGCTGGGCCTTGAGTCTCTCTTCTTGGCCAGTCGGGAAGTATCGCTCGCAGATGCCCTTGTATTCAGGTTGCATCTGCCTCCTCTGGGCAGCTGAGGGAGACGGGATCACAACGCTGACAGAGTCTGGGGGTGGAAATTGAGGTTGTGGACTAGGGGTTTTTGGTACAATCGCGGGCTTCTTCTCAAACGAGCTGAAACTCTGGGGTTTGGATGAAGAACCAATACCATTCTGAATGATGAATGGCTGGGATGAATCATCGTCGGACGAGTCATTCAAATCCGATCCCTCAGCGCTTTGGCTCTTGCGCTTTTGAGGGATAGCGGAAGACACGACACGAAAGGAGCGCTCCTTGTCTCTGCCGCTATGGTAGGGGCTATGCTGGTAAGCCGAGGACGAGGAATCCGAATCTGTTGAGAGATTGAAGCCCGCTTGTAACAAAGATTTTTGCTTCTGCTTTTGTGGGCTCAAAGATTGCGCACGGTGTGCTAGCGTTGACACGAAAGTGACCGCGCTACTATCAGCTTCTTTCTTCATAGGAGGCGATAGCCCGTTCAGTTGTGTTGCGAGATCAGTAGGCTGTAAACATAGCCGGAGATTAGCAATGATTTCCATGATGAATCCGAAAGATGTGCTTTGCTGTGCTTCTTCTGTCCGATATTGCCCTATACACGTAGGGTAAACACGACCCGTCAAGGAGTCGGGTATAGGAGCAATAAACAAAAACAGAATCAAAGGTCCAAAGAAGGGGTCACAAAGAAAAGATAAATCGCAAGAATGTTTAGAAGGATAACCACCGCACGAGCGGCCGAACCTTCCCGTAGGAAAAGTGTGAAATCAAGAAAGTGAAATTCAAGGGAAAGCAGGGACCAGAAAAGCGCTACTCGCTACGCCAGGCGAGCGCGACCGAGTCCCAAAGTAAAGACAGGAGGAAATTAACTCAGACTTACCCGTGTGGTTTGGACTTCATCAACGTCCATATCATCGAGGGTTAGATCGATAACCTCCCGAGTGGGTGAGGACCCGGATTTCGGGGCCGCCAAGGGCCCAGCGAGCCCCTGCATTGCTCTTCGGGGGGTGCCAGCACTGTTAGACGGGCCGACAGCGAGGCGATCCTCCTAGCACGCGTGTAACGCGCATAGGCGTGTTGGACAGACCACGACGGGTCAGGAAAGATAAATTTTCCGCGTAACGGGACGAGTGTAGAGGGGTCGGGTGGAAAAAAGAGAAATAAAGGTATAGGTTGTTGAGCCGCTTAGGAGACGGGATATGTGGGAGTCTTGGGACCTCTCCGAGGAGTGACGTGAAAAAGCCGCCTGGGGGATAAGGCTCTAAACGGACGCGTTAGGCGAATACCCTCGTGTGTTCTCCTGCAGGAGAGACAGTAGTGACGGAATAAATTCGGAGAAGGAGGGGGTGGTGAAGGATCACGAAAATAAAGAAGAGGACGTAGGATAGCGTGGGGAGGTGAAGCTGGGAATGAAAGAAAGCCGAGTTCGTGGGGGCTAATGCTATATGAGTAATTAATTATGTAAGCATTTACTAGCTTAGTCATGTATCAAACCTTGATATCCTATGATATCCTACCTACTAGAGGTAGGAAACAGCAAGAAAAAAGGCCCAAAACATATGAAAATGGCATTCCTATGTTCCTAACGGTAAATTAGAACCCGTTATAGAGAATATTAATGAACGTTGGCAAGGAACCCCTTGGACGGAGGATGGAGGACTTCTGGATTAGAGCTGGTGATTGGCCAAAAGAAAGCCAGAAAACCAGAGGAGACGTGTAGCGTATTTGCTTTGTTTCCCCGGCCGCGCGGGGGATAACCGTCAAGGGCCGATACGAAATTATGTACGTTTGATTGCGCTTTCCGGCCCCATCTACACAAAGAAAGGGAGTTTACAAAATAATTCCTGGCTCAACTAATTATTCTCCAGTTTCTAATTCGTTTTCCATAATTTTCAAACAAACTTGAAGCTATGGTGGCGTCCAATCGGCCAGGAAAGTTGACCTGTTTGCTCTGAAAGAAGTCTTGGCGTCATGGTCCATTCGCGAGCCTCGTCACCGCCCCATTCAGCTCCCACGCCACACCAATCAGATTGCTGCCCAACGCCTTATCTTGATGACTAATCAGTCCTACAGCGAGTTCTAGCGATACACCATCATATAGATCTACAGAATGAGATTGATGTATAGGGTCCTGGATCAGGAAAGCATTGTTTCTTGATGAGATGAAATGGAGCCTCCCCAGTATGTAGATGGAGAGTGCCCGAGTCTAAGTGAAGAACGTGGAGTCAAGCGAATATATATCGCTGGGCAGATCTGCCTCAGCAGACTTCACCTATCTTCGGTATCTCTGCTTGAATATCTAAATTCTTCAACTTCGTACAATACCCACATACCAGTTTTAATAAGCAAAAATTATATAATCTGCTTCTCACCCTTGCTCTCATTATATTCTATAGATTAGTTTTGTATGGGTACACGATCATGTTGATGGTCGCTCGACTTTCTATACCAGACTTGGTTGATAAGGATCTAGTCAACTGGCCAGTTTCCCCACCCCGTGTTAGGCAGCCCGACCCCCAACTTTAGGGATGGTCAGGCGACTGCAGGACAGCCCAGGGAACAACAGGATAGCCTAGGGGACTACAGGATACTCCTAGAGACTGTCGGATAAATCCCGCCAATGGATCACGCTGTAAGTAATCGACACCCTCCTCGCCTCCGACCAATGTTCCGGTCCCCCTGATCACAGCGTCTAGTACCTATAAACGAAGCAAAACAGCCTCTAACACAATAATCTTCAAGCGTAAACCACCTAAGATACTCTAAATCAAATCATATGGCAAGTTAGATTAATTTAATTGAATTTGACTCGGTCGGAGACCTTCTCGCTCATCATAAATCTAGTTTATAGACCAGGAGGCATGAATCATAAATCCCGCTATATAGTGCCTTTAGCCGGCTCACCGCCTAAGTTTCCGCTTTCCACGTGGACCTCCCTTACGGCTTGATCATAGATACTTGATGCTTGATAGAAAGGAAAGGATATAAATACACTTAATCAAGTATCAGACACTAAAGAAGGAATCACGAAGGTAAGAGTGTACGTGAGCGGAGAGTGAGAGGAGGAACAAGTCTTAATGTAGTGCTTCCAAGGTTAGGTCGTCGCACGGTAGCACCAAGATATCCACCATTGTCACGAACTCTATGAATCAAGCGACCGTCATAAAGGCGACTTGAACGTAATTTCTCTGATCGACGAACCTTCTATGATACTAATAAATTCATAATCACCAAGTTAAACCCATTAATTATGGCCCTGCCTTAAGAATATACATGAGAATACCTTTTGACCGGCAGAATAATATCAACATATAATAGCAGAGTCAAAGGCCGAAACCACCAAGATGTGGATCCGCGCTAAAAGCATCGTATTCTTGCCGCAAACAACACAAGGCTTTTGATCGTATATCCACATAAAGCACGAAACCACACAACGCCATTCCCCTATCTTGCAAGACCTTAGACTAGAAAAAGGCCTTGAAGACATAACTCAATGTAACATAAGAAGAAGAAACGGAAACAAAATAGTTACTAGCATCCACAAGGCATCTTCGCTTAACTCAAGGTACATCATAAGACCGAGCCGAACAGAAGGCCAGGCCTATCTAGTCCAACAATACATACTAAACAGACCAGCGTGCTAGAAGGAGGAATGGATGTAGACCGGAACGCTGGGGCTAATAGAGGAGTGAAACGGGATAAACAAAATATAGAAAGTGTGAACATGATAGATGTATGCAGGTGCTAAACATAGAGTATGCTCATGCGGATACGTTATTGATGAATGTACTCCGTACCGGGAAGATAGATGCACAATCACAGGGGGTGAAAGAACAGGAAAAGAAAATAAGACATAACGGGGTCATTTCCCAAAACATGGATACTCTATGTTCGTCTTATGATTTCGCGTGGTAGGATGCATATCAGACATTAGCGACCGACTGGCCCCCGAATCACAGTCGCAAAGCATCGAGAATCTTTTTCGCCATCTCGCGGTACTGCCACATACCGCCCGAGACCTTCTTGAACTGAATTCCATGCAGTGAAAACAGAGGAACCTTGACGATGAGAATCTCGAACCGCAGGATCAAGTTCTCTCCCGTGTCGCTCTGCACACGTGTCGTAGTTTCACCTACCACCCGATCGCCAACAGTAGTACTCGTAGGCGGTTCACGGGCGACGTACTCGTCCGAAGCATCGGAGTTTGTGGTGAAGCTGCGATCTGGTGGGCCCTGGGTTCGGCGCTGCAACTTGGGGTGTGCTGGGCGGCTATCATCTCGGCTGTCGTCGTGCCCGAGAAGACCGCCGAAGCTGATCCGACGACGGTGGGATACCTGGCCCTGGCGATCCGGGCTGGGTGGACTGACATCAATCACCTTCTCGAGGTCGATGCTTGGAGCGTGTCGACAGCTGAATCCGCCCTTGATTTCGACATAGTCCACGGCTAGCTGCTTCAGCACGCGAATGATATCAGCGCGGATAACGGACAGAGGCTTGCTGCTGGTGGTTGAGACACTGAAGAGACCCTTGAGAAACACCGGCTTGGACAAGTCCTCTCCCTCATTGGCACTTTCCAAGGCAGTCCCTGCACCCGAGATATCCGCGTCCGTCTCCTCTGGCACGTTGGCCTCTCGAGTAGCTTCACGTCTAGCCCGACGCGCCTGGATGCTTTCACGGCGGGCATGGCCAAGCGACATGGTTCGTGCCGTATGCGTGCGTCCGCCAGTCTTGACGCCGAGTTGGTCTCGCTGGTTCTCGGGTGCGATCTGATCAGAGCCGCTCGTTGAAGGGGGTCGGCGGTCGACATCCAAGGTATCGGCATCGTTCCTCCTAGCAGCTCTTCGTGTCCGGTAGTCGGCAGAGTTGACACTGGTAGACCGACCAAGGAACTTGTTTGACTGCGTAGACTGCTCACCAGAGCTCGGGGCAGTGAGCAGATCTTGCTGGGGCTGACTACCACCATGGGGGATAGGGCCAGGAGACGGCTCGGCCCGTCGGGTGCGCCGCATACTGAAGCCACGATGCATCGGTGAGGCTGAATCGGCAGGGGGTTGCACATTGAGGATGGGGGTGTTGGGGGTGCTGATGCGCTCTCGATCGAGGTCGCGGCTGCGGTCCTTGGCCCGGCGAGTACTGAAGCGTCGTAGAATACCAGCAGCGGTACTTTCTTTCTTGGAAGGAGTGTCCAGTTGCGCTGTATTCGGGGCTGCATGAGCGGATGGAGACGAAGCATGGTGGCTCGTCAGTGTCTCCGTCACTTCGTCTTCGCCATGGGTTCTGGCACGAGGGCGAGAACGACGGCCAGTGTCTTTCTCGCCCGGCAACTGGTACTGGTTGGTGTGAGCAGCTGCCGGAGGGGTCAGCTCGGGAACTTGTACATCACCAGGCTGACGGAGGCTAGGAGCACCGGGTCGGGCTTCGGTACGTTCCCGATCAAGCTTCTCCTTTACAAGATGGTAAACAGATATCAACGGGCTATAAGCGTTCAACGGGTCATTGCCCAACTGAATCGCCTCGGCCGAGGGTGCGGACAAGGTATCCCGACTTGCAGCCGAGTTGCGTCGCTTGTAAAAGTCAAACACACCACGCTTCTTCTCCGCCTGGTTGGTGATGGGCTGTTCACGGAAGTTAAGGCGCAACGCATGCTGGTACTCCTCAGACTCCAACGTCTTGGTCAACTGGGCTGTGATGTAGTCGGGGGGACCGAAATCGAAACCGGTCATTTTCTCAATCACCTCCTGGTCCAATGGAAGCTGCAGAGGTTCGCGAACAGGAAGGTAATTCTCCGGTGGAGCGTTGAAGCCCTTATTCATCCAGGGATGGGCCATGATTTCAGCCAAGCTGGCGCGCTGCTTCGGGTCTGTGACAAGCATGCGAGAAATAATGTGGCGACATTCTGGTGTTATAAAGATGTCAATTAGCCAAATGAAGTCGCAAGCAAAGGGAAGAAGGAAAGACCCGCGCGATTAGACGTACCAGTGGTGAGTCCAGGAGGATATTCCACGACACCCTTCTTGATCTTCGCATGAAGCTGAGGCATGCTTTGATCATCAAATGGCACCTTTCCGCAGACCAACACATAAAGGACGATGCCGAAGCTCCACACATCCACTTCCGGACCCGTGTACTGTCTTGCCTGAAGCAGCTCCGGGGCCGCAAAGTACAGACTTCCACAGAATGTTTTGAGAAGGCTTCGAGGCGAAAAAAGGTTGCTGAGACCAAAATCGATGATTTTGATATCACCCGTCTTGCTGATCAGGATGTTCTCGATCTTCAAATCACGATGGACGATGCTGTTGCGGTGGGAATAATCGAGCGCACTGGCGATTTGCCGGGCAAACTTGCGGGCCTGTTTCTCCTTCAACTTTCCATGAGAGATGATGTAGTCCAGCATTTGACCACCGTTGACATATTCGAATAGCATATACCAGTGATACGTGGTCCGAACCACGTCCCTCATGCCACAGATATATGGGTGGTTCACGAGGGACACAATGGCCGCTTCTCTTGCGGTCCGAATCTCTTTTGAGCGATCGGCTCGTTCAGTTTCGCGCGATGACTTGTGTTCTTCGGTTGATAAACGAGGGACGATCTTGACAGCGACCTGTGATATAAGAATGGATCAATTAGCGAACCAGACGGTACTCAATGGTGTGAGCCACCTCGTAAGAGATATCTCGAAGCGTGGAGTAACATGCGCAGAAAGAAGGAACGAGAAGGGGATAGTGACCTGTTCTCCGGTTTCTATATTCTTCGCCAACTTCACTTTACCCATGCTACCAGCGCCAATCGTCTTGCCCAGCGCCCAATTCCCAGTAGGAGTGGTGATTGTCGTCCGCCGCTTGGGCTGGGCAGGCGCGTTGGCTTGTGCATGATTTCCACTTGTGAGCGCTTGCGCATTATCTCCAGAGGCCAGCTCATTCTCACGCGGCTGCATAGAGGACGTTCTTTGGTGGTGTCTCCGGGTAGATTCGGTCAGGGCAGTGGCCGGACGCTCAGCGGAGACATCACGGTCGCGGCGAGACTTGGCTTCGGCATCTTGGCGGGCTATGGTATCCAGAGCGGCATAATTGGCCGGTGGACGATGATCATGCGAAGGGGTTTTCGAATGCGCATAGTAAGTCTGTGGAGGGGGCTGGGAGGAGTTGGACGATCGGACGGCCACGCTTCTCGTGCGATGCGGGAGTTCCGATTGAGCAGCCGGTCGCGAGGGCCGTGAAGAGGTCGACACCGTGCGCCTTGGTGCAGCAGACATTGTGGCAGCCTCGGTCGCTAGTTGGAAAATCGTCGAGATGGAGGGAGATGGAGGTGCTGTGCGAGTGGGGGGACGAGGAGCGCTGCTGACGACACAGTAGGGAGGAGGGCCACTGGGACCGCGAGGGAGCCCCACGGGCTCTCGCTCTCGAAAGGAAGGGGAAGATGAGTAATGCAAATGCGATGCAAAGGATGCAACGGGCTAAAGAAGGGAGAGAGAAGGAATGGGAGCGGTTGATGAGATGAAAGAGGAGGGAGAAAGACGGAGACGCCAGTTGCGATTTGGGGGGGGGGGCCGGGGCGGGACAAGCAACACTAACAACCGCACGGCCAAAAACTAACAAGTCGACCACTTCACGAGCACCGGCCCCCAGCTCTTGCCAACCATTCTGGCCCCAGTCTCTGCCCGAGCAACTGCCCGAGCAACTTCCCGAGCTGCCGGAGACAAAGGAATGGAGCGGCATGTATTTGTTTCCACTCGACCCGAGTACTGGCTATCGCTGCTTTGACAGTTGTTCGATACTATTTTGGACCTGCCTTGAGGACTAGAGAACCCCTCTTAGGCATGGAGGACTGTTCACTCATTGAGGTCTCCTAGGTAGCCTGTGATACGTCTCTTTAGTTCCCCCTCTCTACGACCTTAGGCATAGACCATCTGCTATAACCTATGATCAGGACATGATCTCTGCCATAGGCTACGGAGTAATGCGTATCAGTCATATGTTGGGCGGGACTAGACTCGGTCGGAAGTTTCACCGTCTACTTTCCCCCAGGCCCATCCCTCGGTTCTTTCAAGGCCACTGGAACCTAATCCCTCACGAACGAATCTGGGATGGGCTCGAGAGGAACGCCCATGACATAATATTCTAGTCCCGTCTCCACTATCCACCGTGTTCCAGGCACCGCCCGCAACGAGAGTGGGGGGAAATACTACGGTATGTATGTACGGAGTACTCCTGACTCCTTGCTCCTCTAGGACACTTCCCGGCATAGATCCTGGATCTGAGCCTCAACCTTTGATCGAGTTCACTAAATACAGACTGCATTGTTTTCCTCACCCACGCTAGATAGTCGACATATAATTATAGTCACCGATTTCCCATTCCACGGAGGATCGTGAAAGATTGTGGATCGTCCCGAGCGGCCCAGCCAAGAAACACGATCCGCCTCCGCTGTGTCAGGAGGCACGTGACTGCCACTATAAATAGGGCTGGAGTCTTGGAGATTGCTTATTCTGAATCTACAGAGGCCCTATATATTGAACTATAGAAAGCAGAAATGCCAAGACATTCTCTGTATCCATACAAGGTAACCTCACCAGGCCGCTAGTTTCGCAGGAGTATTGGTGGTTCGCCGATGTCCGTGTATCTGGCTCGCGCGATGCAAGGCACCTTGAGCCTGAGTCACTGAAGCTTGCTCCTCCAAAAGTGAACACCCCCCTATTGATCTCGATATCAACCTACTTTTCCGAATAGACATATATCGGGTGATTCGGGTCATTCTGCACACACACAAAGCCAGAACGCTTGACCCGGCCGCCAACCACCACCTCTCGATTCACCGTCGCAGGCGGATTCCACACAACCTCAGCGACACTACCGCAAGGGCGGGTCACACCACACCCAGTAAGATCCCGATCATAAACCAGCAGAAAATCAGAACACCCACCCTGCTTCAGACCGATATCTGAAAGTGACGGGTCTGATGACGACAGTCCAATCGCAGCGCGGGCACGAGTAGACACACACTCATATAACAGTCTCGCATCATCCTGCGTCCCAGCTTGATAGACGCCCACACCCAGGCAAGCCAGAAACAATGGATCTGGAGGGCCCCAGGGCGTGAACGCATTACCGACATTGTTAACGCCCATTACGGCGTCGAGGTCATGCTTGCGAATCATCTCAGGGACTCGGAGGGTACCTCGGGGCCGGTCGTGCGGGACTTTTTGCTCGGGCGAGGCAGCCATGTATATGTCGCTGGTGGGTAAGCCGACAAAGCTGACGGGGAGGTCGTTTTCATGGATGATACGGGAGATTTGGCTCCATTCCTCGTGGGTGAAGAGCGTGTGGCGGGTACAGTGTCCCAGCATTACACGTTTAGATGTGGTGGACGAGGTCCAGCCCCGTTGTTGGAGGCTGCGTAGCACGTACCAGACCAGAGCTTCCTTGCCCGAGTCCAGATTGTAGTCGAGGTGGAAATCGAGGTGTTTATTCAGTTGCAGGGCACGATCAACGGCCCAGTCGATGTTCTGTTTAGCGGCATCGATCGTTGATTCCACGTACGGGGTTGTCCCGACCACGTCGATCTGCGGGTGTTCTTCGAGTGCCTTTTGGATAAAGTCCATGTTTTCTTCTCCATGTTGGGTAGAGAATATAGGATCTTGCGCGAAGCAGACAATCTGTATCTCACAGGCATCTTTCCATTGCTCTTGGAGTTTGGTGGCTGCTTCCAAGCAGACTAGTTTCACCGTATGGTCGACCTCGACAAAGGCTCTCATTGCCGTGACGCCGGCCGAGACGGATTCGGCCAGCAGCCACTCCCCTCGCTGGAGAACATCGGGCACGGTGAATTGCTGCTTGGCCTCTGTGGTAAAAGACAGTGCCTCCTGGAAAGAGCCAGCGGACGGGAGAAGATGTGCGTATTGTCGGGCACTGTGGACAAATGCCTTGTCCAGATGGATGTGTGGATGTGTTAGGGCGGGTAGAACCAGTGGCGTGGGAACCGAGTCATCTCTCGGGGTTGAAACGTCGTGCGGGGTGATGGACTGGATGATGCCGCGCGGGGAGTTGGGCGGATAGTGGATGTCGATCTTCCAGGTTGACGGTGATCCCGGCAAGCGCACCCCTTGAATGGAGGTGAGTTTCTTGCTCAGTGTTGGGGGTGGCATTTTTATCGTAGGCAAAGGTTGGTCGTGGGATGTCTTCTGTCCAGGATCGTGGCTGGCTCTGACACGACAGCTGGGGATGGTTCTCCACTCGGATGGCTTCCCGCGGACAACGTCTCCCCCGGGACCTGGATGATCTTCATGGCTGAAAGCTACTTTGGTCTAGCTGTAAGGCTGACTGTCAAACCTAACGACTTCCTAGGGTATCATAATTATCGCACTTCTGCTGCTGATGCCGCTTATCGCTATAGAATATCCTCGTTGGCAGGTCTGTACTTCAGTAAGCGGCGCTGCAATGAAGCTAGCAATGATATGGCCAAGGAAAATAGGCTATTAACAAGGGCAGGAAAATCTAACCAGCGTGATGTCTTCTAGCCATGCGACTGGAGGGTAAGGGTAAGAGTAAGCGGGGTGCATAAAACCGGCTCTCGACCAAATCATACTATACAAAAAGGGCGACGTACAGGGGCTAAACTGTTAAAGAGTCGGTATAGTGATGTTGCAGCTGTTACCTGATTAAGAAAATATGTTTTAAGCCATGTTAATTGATGATAATCATAATAGCATCGTACAGAAAACGTTATTATGCGTTATCCTGGCTGCTGAGGCTATTCGGATGCCGACGGAGATGCTCGGAGCCGAAAACAAGAATGTCGATTTCGAACGGAAGAATTGACCCGATCGCATTTTCGAATCACAATCACAACCTGGGAATACAATTCATAATCTTGCAAATACTTAAATTACTGGGCTATGTCATGATTCATGGCCATGGGCGCATGCACGTGGCTCCATTGCATAAGGAGTGGTGTTATCTACCGAACTACACGTCATTGACTGCGCACCCGTTCCCAAATGCAACCACCGCGTCTCCAAATACAGGGATCAGGCCACTCCACTGTTGCCAAACTTTCTGTTCTCATTCATAAAAGGGGCAATTCCAGAGAAATGTTTCTAGACGGGTCGTCATATATTAGCAGCGTTGTCACAAACAATCTCCAACCACTGCCTTCCTCTCTTCCTCTCCTTCCATCCTAAGCGGCTATTGTAGCAACATACCTCAAGCTCACCACCACAACTTTCCCTCCGACTCAAGTTCCACTTAACTCTTAAGACCTCCACCCAACTCTCCGAGTTGAATTCTGTTCACACATCATCCACGTCATCCATCATGGCTTCGCTCTCGAAGCAAAGCGAGGGCAAAAGCATCTCCGCTTATGGAGAAGCTCGTTCCACCGTTCAAGGTGAATGTCTGACCTCGGAGGAGGTTCGGCAGATGAACGCCTACTTCCGGGCCAGCCTCTACCTGTGTCTCGGCATGCTGTACCTTCGAGACAACCCGCTGCTGAAAGAGCCACTCAAGCGCGAACACCTCAAGAGTCGCCTGCTGGGTCACTGGGGTTCAGACGCTGGCCAATCTTTTACCTGGATTCACATGAACCGCCTGATCAAGAAATACGACCTGGATGCTCTCTTTATTTCAGGCCCCGGTCACGGTGCGCCTGGCATTATCTCGCAGTCATACCTCGAGGGTGTCTATTCAGAGGTTTATCCCGACAAGACCGAAGACGCAGAGGGAATGCAGAAATTCTTGAAGCAATTTAGCTTCCCGGGAGGTATTGGTTCGCATGCAACACCCGAGGTATGATATACCTTCAATCTACCCTGGCATGAACTACACTAACGAGAAATTGTCCGCTTAGACTCCTGGCAGTATCCACGAGGGTGGAGAACTGGGTTATTCAATCTCTCATGCCTTCGGAACCGTGTTTGACAACCCGAACCTCATCACGCTGACAATGGTCGGCGATGGAGAATCCGAGACTGGCCCGCTCGCGACAAGCTGGCACAGCACCAAGTTCCTGAATCCAATCACTGATGGCGCCGTTCTGCCTGTCCTGCACTTGAATGGATACAAGATCAACAACCCAACTATCCTGGCACGAATTAGCCACGAAGAATTGACCTCCTTGTTCATTGGATACGGCTGGAAGCCGTACTTTGTCGAGGGAAGCGATTTGCAGAGCATGCATCAAGCCATGGCAGTCACCATGGAGCAGTGCGTCAAGGAGATCAGAGAATATCAACAACAAGCTCGTTCATCGAACAAGCCCTTCCGCCCACGCTGGCCAATGATCGTTTTGCGTACCCCCAAGGGGTGGACTGCCCCCAGAGAGATCGATGGAAAGCTACTCGAAGGCTTTTGGCGAGCTCACCAAATTCCAATTACCGATGTTTTGACCAACCCCGATCACCTCAAGGTTCTGGAGTCTTGGATGAAGGGGTACAAGCCCGAAGAGCTTTTCGATGCCAGTGGCAAGTTGATTCCCGAGCTGCGTGCTCTTGCCCCCGCTGGCAACTCGCGCATGTCTGCCAACCCAGTTGGCAATGGCGGTGTCCTGCGAAAGCCCCTGAACTTGAACGACTTCAAGAAGTATGCTTTACAGGACATCGTTCCCGGTAAAACTGTCAAGGGAGGTATGGCAAACATGGCCGGTTTCCTTCGCGATGTCGTCAGCAAGAACATGACCAACTTCCGACTTTTCGGGCCCGACGAGACCGAGTCCAACAAGCTTGCTGAAGTCTACAAGGCAGGCAAGAAGGTCTGGTTGGCGGACTACTTTGAAGAGGACAAGGATGGCGGTAATCTTTCTCCGTCGGGTCGTGTGATGGAGATGCTCAGTGAGCATACTTGCGAAGGATGGCTGGAGGGCTACATCCTCTCCGGACGCCATGGCCTGATCAACAGCTACGAGCCTTTCGTACACGTAATTGACTCGATGGTCAACCAGCATTGCAAATGGATCGAGAAGTGTCTCGAGGTTGAGTGGAGAGCTAAAGTCGCCTCGCTAAATATTCTAATCACAGCAACTGTCTGGCGCCAGGACCATAACGGTTTCACCCACCAAGACCCTGGCTTCTTGGATGTCGTCGCAAACAAGTCTCCAGAAGTCGTTCGCATCTATCTCCCTCCGGATGGAAATACCCTCCTTTCCGTCATGGACCACTGCCTGCGCAGCGTCAATTATGTCAACGTCATCGTGGCCGACAAGCAGGAACACATTCAATTCTTGAGCATGGAAGATGCGATCGAACACTGCACCAAGGGTCTCGGAATCTGGGACTGGGCTAGCAACGATCAAGGCTCAGAGCCTGATATCGTCATGGCGTCTTGCGGTGATGTCTCTACCCACGAAGCCTTGGCGGCCACTGCTCTACTGCGTGAATATCTTCCCGTCCTTAAGGTCCGGTTTGTGAATGTTGTCGACCTCTTCCGGTTGATCTCCGAGACCCAGCACCCCCACGGCATGTCCGACCGGAAATGGAGAGCCATCTTCACCTCCAACAAGCCCATCCTCTTCAACTTCCACTCCTACCCCTGGTTGATCCACCGAATGACCTACAAGCGACCTGGACAGCACAACCTGCACGTGCGCGGATACAAGGAGAAGGGTAATATCGATACCCCCTTCGAACTGGCCCTGCGCAATGGAACCGACCGATACAGTCTTGCCATTGACGCGATTGACTTGATCGAGTCTCTCGGTAATACTGGATCTAGTGCGCGCGAAAAGTTTACCAAGTTCCAGCTTGAAGGGAAGAAGGAGGCGTTTACTAATGGCGTGGATCCTGAGCATATCCGCAACTGGACCTGGCCTTACTCGAAGAAGTAATGTGTCTGATGGTGAGCCGAAGGAGTCTAAGTATGAGTTTGAGAGAAAGAAGGGCATGTGTTATTAGAGACAGATTGCAAAACAGTACATGATTAGCAATATGATTAATGTTTGCATCCGCCAGACTGAGCAATAGAATGTTGATCAAATCGTAGATCGATTATAGAACTTGAGCCTGAGGTGATAATTGATACTAGATGATGGATGTATTCCAAGATTGAGGTAAACTGCCCCTGATCCTAACACCAATACAGTACAATTAATTGAAGGAGAAGGCCTCAATACAGGCCACTTCCCCCTCCCACAATGGTCCATTTGTTCTTCTCTCGTTTAAAAGTCGCTTGTGCAACTCGCCATGGCAAGTCGCACGACAAGACCCACCAATCATCCCCTCAACCTGTACTCCGTACAAAGTCTGACAAGGCTGCCAAGAAGATCTTCATCACACTAAGTGCAGCTGGTGCCGCCCACATTACCCAAAATCCAGCAAATACGGCCCCCAGCTTGCATTAGCCTCAAGAACGGGGCGGAACTGCCCCGCGAGGTTGGAATGCGGGCGTGACCGACTCATAAAGGCCTAAGGAATAACGCAGCTATGCATCCTTTAGGAGATATTTCAAACTTCCCCGGGGAACTGTAAGCCAGCCAGCAACCATCCACAATGCTGACTTTAGACTTCACAAAGCGAGGGTTCCTCTTCGGCCTTGTCGCCGTCACCCTTCCAGTTGAAGCTTTCCATAGCTCCTCTTGTCGATGTCTTCCAGGCGATAGCTGCTGGCCGTCAACATCTACATGGAATGCTTTCAACCAGTCTGTCGATGGTCGACTCATAGCTACCGTGCCCTTGGGCACCCCCTGCCATACCCCCGAACTATAACGAGGATAAGTGCAATGTCATTAAAGCTGAATGGCTTCTACCAGACGAGCAGTGAGTAAATAGCACCAGTCAAAATGTGCCGAGTACTAACCCGTTTAGCTACAAAACCTCAAGTTCGATAATGGCACCCTTTTTCGGTAGCTGCGACCCTTTCTCCCCTATTTCCGCGCCTTGCACAATTGGAAATCTTGTGCAGTATGCAGTCAATGTCTCCGAGCCGGAACATGTCATCAAGACTTTGAGTTTTGCGAACCAGCATAATATTCGGTTCGTTGTTCGTAACACCGGGCATGACTACCTTGGGAAGTCTACTGGCATGGGCGCTCTGGCTGTTTGGATGCATAATCTCAAGAATATCGAGATTAAGGATTGGAAGGACTCGTATTTCACTGGAAAGGCAGCGAAACTTGGGGCTGGAGTTCAGGGCATTGAAGCCTTTGAGACTGCTCATAAATACGGACTCAGGATAGTCGGAGGCGAGTGTCCGAGCGTTGGACTGGCTGGGGGATACAGTCAAGGTGGCGGTCATTCAGCCTTGTCTTCGAGATACGGCCTGGGCGCAGACCAAGTTCTTGAGTGGGAGGTTATCGACGGCACTGGGAGATTCCTAGTTGCCAACCGTGAGCAGAATTCCGATCTGTATTGGGCACTCGCCGGCGGAGGTGGCGGAACTTATGGTATTGTCTGGTCTATGACTTCCAAGGCTCACCCTGATGGCATTGTCTCAGGCTTAAATCTTACCTTCTCTGCTACGGATATCTCTACAGAGACATTCTTCCAGGCTGTGGAGTTATATAATGCTCATCTTCCCTCGATAGTCGACGAGGGTGTGATGAGCCTTAATTTTTTGACCAGCACGTCCTTCACTATCGCTCCCATGACTGGACCGGATATTCCCTTGGGAAAGCTCGAGACTTTGTTCCAGCCAATTCGTGATGGTCTTGATAAGCTCGGAATCAAGTACAAGTATCAGTCGGAGGAGTTCGATTCTTATCTTGCCCAGTTCCAAGGTCAACAGGCGCCAATTGAGGTCGCTATTGCCCAGTACGGTGGCTGGCTTGTTCCCCGGTCGGTGGTTCTGGATAATAACCGTGGCTTGACGGAGTCCATTCGAAACGTTGTGAGCAGCGGCGGAATATTTACCACTGTCGGTATCAACGTCTCTAAGCAGGTCGGCGGTGATGTCTATAACGCTGTTCTGCCTGCTTGGCGCGAGGCCATTGCACACGTCGTTTTGAGTACCAACTGGGAATGGAATGATCGCGAGTATACTCTTGCAGCCCAGGAAAAGATGACCAACCACTTTGTGTCGAGTCTGATGAAATTGGCTCCTAATTCTGGAGCTTATCTTAACGAGGTATGTCATCACTGCTTCTCGGTCATGCCCTTTGGTCATTGAAAGAGCTAGTCCACCATATACTAACTGACCAATTACTCCTAGGCCGACTTCCGTCAGCCCGATTTTAAGACGGCGTTTTATGGCAAGAATTCGAGGCTTTGCGTCAAGTCAAAGCCAAGTATGACCCTCACAACATCTTCTATGGGCTGACGGCTGTTGGCTCTGATGAGTGGACTGCTTCGTCCAACGGACGTGTGTGTCCAGTAGTTTCTCACGAAGAACTTTAAATGCAAGACTGGGGGCTGGGGCACGATCACACCAAAAGCTGCTCTGCAGGAGGGAGCTATGGGATTCATCAATACCATGGTGCCGGCAAATGAGGAGAACTCTGCATCGTATTCTATGCCTCCAAAAAGATAGCTCTAAGACTCTTTTGCACGCAAGGCTTCTTGCCCAATCCCGACTAAATCCACATTTGAAAGTATCTCGCCACTGAATCCATGTAAAATCTGGCTGAGGATAGCCGCAGCAAGTTCGCTACGTCCCACGTTCGGAATGGCCCGCGAGAAGTGATTGGTCAATTGCAACAGAGAAGCCAGAGCAGCTCTCCCCCAGGTCGTGGAGTTTGTCACAACACCCGGACGAGCGATACAAATCTCGATATTTGCGTTGCTATCGGAAAACTCTTGTAGTTGTAGTTCTGTTTCTCGCTGTGTTTTGCAATGTGAGCAAAGCATACGTACAAATATGCTTATCATCCAACTATATGCGATGCATCGAGGCTCTTGTTTACTTACTCGCATAATTTGATAGTCTCCCATAAACATGGGTTTCTTTGTAGGATCGTCGGGTGTCCCCTCGGCGCTGAGGTACATGAATCGAAATGCTCGACCTCCTTGGGCCTCATATATCGTTTGCAAACCAGTCAATGTACAAGATTGGCAGACCCGTTTCACTTCCTCAAAGCTGAAGCTTCCTGACCTAAAAGGAGTTATAGCCACCGTCCTGCCATGCGTTATTAGTCTGCCATCACTAAATGTTCGTAAAAGGCTTTGCCGCGATACGCACCATATACAAGCATCTGCACCTGCGAATACAGCCTTGACATGATCGGGATAGTACTCATAGTCTTCAATCATCACACATTTGATCTTCAAAGATTTATTGCTCCGGTCGATTTGAATCGGGCTTCTTGCTAGGGCAATGACCTCTGTTACTGCATCGATGTCAAGACATTGGCGAATAATCTCAGATCCAACGAGACCCGTTGCCCCTGCGACTATAATCTTCATTGGGATGCGTTGCTTTATGGATACTTGTCCTCTTTATTTTCAATCGGGCGCAGGCTAGCATTGACTTTATTACGCGTGTAGATAGAGCGGCGTTCGGCGTGCCGAACTCCGATCAAGGATCCGGAGTTTATCTAAACGAACCCCGACTGTTTCGTCTCCAGCATCACTACGTTTTGACTCTTTTCACCTTTGGCTTCGGCGCCGGATAGTCAACGCCGTGTTTAGGCTGATTCGTCGCTAGGGAAGATAGCAGCACGAATATCAACGCATATGGGTCCAGATCGGAGATCAACCACTATGCAGCTTTATGGAAAAGTTCGCTTTCCCTTCTAGAACTTCCGTCTACTTCCGCGATCTCATGACTGACCTGAGCGCCAACCCAGGCATGTTCGCAATGCGCGAAATCCAAATGCAAATGCATCTCAAGACCTGGTGGTGCCTGTGAGCGATGCGATCGCTTGAAAAAGATCTGCGTGCCTGGAAATTCATTGCGGGCGCGACAGACCCAACGCAATAATTCGATCGCTCGCCTGGATCAGCTCGAGGGGAAACTAGATAACCTCGTCTCGATATTAGGGTCTGGTGGAGATTTGAACAGCCCGTCTCCTGGAATTAATCATGTATCCCCTCCCATTTCTACCTCCAGCACATCGAACTCATGGAGTGCATCAACTGTTGCGACTTCATTGGCTTCCACGGCAGCTCCTGGGCCTTCGGACGAGCAACATCTGAGTTATTTTCGGAATCACCTTCTAAAATACTTCCCTTTCTTGCATCTCCCACCAGAAACCGACTCAAATCAACTACGACGAGATCGACCATTCTTGTGGCTTTGCCTTGTGGCAGCAGCGTCTCAATCTACGCAGACGAAGCTCGCCTTGGGCGACCGAATCAAGCAGGAGGTGACACGGCGTATTTTCCTTGACAATGAACCTACGATCAACATCGACCTACTTCTCGGTCTTCTCATCTTTCTTGCTTGGGGTCACAATCAACTTCTCAATTCCAACCCTGCCCAATTGGCCAGATTTACGCAGCTGGCGACAACATTGGTGTTTGATCTTCGCTTGAATAAGCCTCCATCGGACGAGTCCAACATGCTACCCATAAGCCAATGCGTGAACCCCTCCAAAGGCCTGCCACGGTCCCTTGAGGAGAAACGAGCCGTCCTAGGGTGTTTTGTGCTAAGCTCAATGTAAGTCCCCATCATCCTTGAATGGAAAACCCCAGATTCTTACCTCATCAGTGTTTCCGTATACTTTGGGCACATTGATCCGATGCAGTGGACACCTTATATGGATGACTGCATCAATGCCTTAATACAAAGCAAGGAATCTCCATATGATGAGATGTTCGTCCTCCAAGTCAGGCTGCAGCGTATCGTTGGGGAGGTCGAGAGCGTCAGGGAGGCAACAAAGGCTCCGCCAGACTTTTATTTGAAATTCCTCCAGCAGAAGGTGGACGAAGTCAAGTCTAGTATACCATCACGGTTGCAGCAAGATCGTAAGCCTATCCTTTCTTTGCTTGCTCAGAATCACAATCACTCTCTCAAATGAACTGACCTTTCATTTCCTTAACAGGACTACTCTCTGCCTCAGTGTTCTACACCGAGCTATCTATTTTCGGCCTAGTCCTCTCGCGAAAAAGCCCCCCGGGCTTCCAACGACTTGAATATCTCTATTCGTGTCTCAGCACGGTCAAATCAGCCACGGAAAACTTTCTCACAATCCCAGTTCCCGACTATCCGGGGATATCTTTTCCAATTTTCACACAACTCGTTCGGTACATCATCGTTCTATATAAACTCTCGACTCTCAATGATCCAGTCTGGGACCTTAGCCTGGTCAGAGCGAGTATCGATGTAATTCAGGTAATCGACCAAGTGATCAAGAACACTGAACAGGCAATGTCCGAGATTGGCGAACAATGCTCCGGAGGGCCTCTTGAACGGGCTATCGGAATATTTGTGAGATTTAAGGCGTGGTGTCAACCAAATCTTCCAGCTGCTGCTGGTGCGGTAGCGACTGTGGCTGAAAATATGGATCTCCCAGGGATCGCAGGGAGTAATACACAGCTTGATGCTCTTTTCTTGGAAGACTGGTGGTTGAAAGATAATTTGTTCTACGGTTTGGAAGCCAGCGAGATGGCCTGAGGATCGGAACAGCTTATTAATATGCAATAATATGGTAATAATCAATGCCATGAAGCATGGAATCGTGACCGATGGGGACTGGTGGATCTTGAATAAGAAAAAAAAGTAGTGAAATTCGATGCTTTTTGACACAACTATGCTTATCAAGATCACCGGGATCAGGACACGGGCTAGAGCTCAGGACGCTCTTGGATCTCCAACCTGGTGCCCAAATGCAATATTTCCTTGCCCACCTTGTCCACAGCGGGCCATCTTGACTCCGAAGCCAGGCCACGTTTGGTTTCAACTCGGGATACTGATCTTCGGCCCTCAGCTGTCAGATGAGACGGATGCTTAGGGAAATGAGGGGGCTTCAGGATATAAGCCACAGGCACCCAATTTACCATCAACGTGAGGTAGCAGATGTGCAGCAAAGGTGGGAAGGCAACGCCGGTCATCAAGCTGGTAATTGTCCAGTCCTCATACGATGCCATCAAGGATGTGATCGTGAAGGAGACAGCCCACACGGTAGCCAGCAGTAAGGAAAGGTTGTAGAAGACGCCGTTCTTCCAGAGATCCAGGTACGCTTTTCTGCAGGCCGACAAGGCTTGTTGGTTCCAAGAATTGAGAACGCTTCCCGTGACAAATGAAGATCCCTTGGGCTTGGCAGAGACGAGGTAAAATCTTAATATGGCGAGTACGTTTGCTGTAGTCTTTAGTCAGATCTGGAAGTTTCGCATGCAAGAAGTGTTATACGAGGAACAGAACTCACAACCAGCTAACCATTTATTCTCCAGATGAGCAAATGGTGCACTTTGGAAATCATTATGCGCAACCTGAAGATACTCATATATCCACAAGACTGATACTTGACAGACAGCCATGAGAATCTGGGCCTTGACCAGAGAAGGGTGGGCAGTCGGAATTAGCTGCCCTGACAAGAAGAGCAATGGGACTGCAAGAAAGCCGAAAAAGCACTCGACTTCTCCGGCAACAATTCCAAACCCATCCCAGATAATGCTCCACCGTAAAGACTTCTTGTAGTGCTTGTAATCCGATGAAAGCATGGCGGGAATCTGTTGGGCGTGTCCAATATTCCATCGATTGCGCTGAGCACAGTGTCCTGTAAGCGAGTCTGGGACCAAACCGAACTGCAGAGGCTCCTGAACTTGGAACGTACGCCAGCCCATGCCATGTAAAATTTGGGACAACTGCCAGTCCTCGGAGAATGAAAAAGTTGGGTACAGACCAACTTCCACGATTGCCTTTCGTCGGAATACTGCCCCAGAACCCGCGTCAATTGCGAGACCGAGGACATCCAGCGCAGCGTTCTGGCAAGTATAGAAATGACTCCGAGTCTGAGAAAGTGGGTCACCATTTGGTAAATTAGAGAAATACTGACGCGTGGAAACTAGAGCAGCATCAGGGCTTTGCAGGAGGTGAGGCAGAGTTGCTCGAAGGAAGTCGGGACCTGGGACAGAATCCGCGTCGAGAATCGCACAAAATTCAGGCGGATTCTCTCTTTGGAGTGTGGTCAATGCGTAGTTCAGATTTCCTGATTTGGCAAAAACCATCCCAGACTGTCTTCCGCGGGAATGATATGAGACATGGCTCCATTGGGATTGAAGCTCTGACACAGCTTCTTTCAAAGCCGCCGACCCACCATCATCCAGGACCAGGACACGACAGCAAGAGATCGGATAATCGAGAGCACATGCGGCACGTACTGTAGCTATGATGACATCCACGTCTTCACCACAGCAAGGCAACAGCACATCCACGCGGGGAAGATCCTTAGTCCCATGCACGCGTAGCTTCTTGCGCGGGCCATTCTCTCTGACCTTGGACGCTGCAATGACTAGGTGCTGATCTTTTCGTGATAGATCTGGAAATCCATTAGACCTCTGCTTCTCTCATAGCCCATTACCGATGACACTCACGAATAAAAACGCCCTCGACGAGGAACATCGCCCACATCTGCCATGTTTGCGGGGAAAGCAAGATTGCCAATAAACGGAAGGCAACATAGATATTGCCGATCCAAATAGCCAGATGCGCTACATAAACAAGACAATTTCGGTATTTTTGCCCCGAGGGAATCCGGGGTTCTTCAGGGAGCTCTCGGATATCGTAGATCTGATCGGCAGCCATTGCCCGGGGAATGCCAACTCCACAGATAGTTAGATACCGAAGTGTTGTTGACGTGCAGTCGGTAGGCCGCAGCGCAGATCCAAGCGAGATAAGCTTAATCAAGTCTCAATCGTCACTTCCACGGCTAAATAAGAAGAGACTTTTTGAAATCTCCCAGCCGCGGGGAAGAAATTCCACGACATAAAACAGTCGGATCATCAGGAGAAAAGCCACATAAAAAGGGGGAAGGCGTTTGTGCGCTTGTAGAAAAGGCGGCGTCGAGCCATTCAGACGGCCGCTCTACCGCCACGAGTGGAGTCCTGGGTCGGATCGTGTCCAAACCTTCTTCCGCTCGTCCCGGCTGCCGACGGGCAAGATACGAGTTGAAGAACACGGTGCATGATAGTTATCTTGCTTCGAATTGGTTCAATTGCTAGGATAGCGGGTTTGTGGTGCTAAAGCAGTGTGGTGAAATGCAATTGATCGCCGGGCCGAGTATGGGCTGAAACGGTTTTCGGCACCAGGTGGTGGAAGGCTGACCCAAGCGAATTCCAGCTCCTTGACCGCTTGTCTTGTGAGCGGCCCCGAGGCATAGGTAGTTAATAATTCCATAAGTTTTTTGTGAATATTGTTTTCTAGCTTGCTTTTTTCATTAGGCCTTCCAGTGCACTCTTGCATAGATCAATTAATGCGAGAAACTAGGATCTGATCCGCCCGCGGACCGAAACAATGCTGCAATCTGCGGGGAACATTTGGCGGTATAGATCTGCTCTCGCAGCATAGAATATCTCTTCGGATAGGTATAAAATCAGAGATAGTTTTAACTGTGCCTTATATATACTGAGTGATGGAATGAAAAATGTCGAATTTGACCTATCAATTCAATTATTCAAGGGGTAAATGCGTAAGACGCACAGATGAAAGGTAAATCTAAATATAGACACAAAGTATTTGCTCCCAGTATAACTCCCGCGGATTACCCGGATGGCCGGTGTGTCCGCTTCTCCTGAGGTACTGTAGGATATTCCGGCCTTTTTAACCATCTCAACCAGTCGCAGAGCTTATCCCTCAATCGAAAGCCCCGCGATTCTCAAATCTTCCCTTAGTTACCGTGGTCATCACCGCACAATTTTGCTCTCTTGTTTGCGTGGGAAGGCTCGACCAGGTCAAAGAGGTTACCGTTGGTGGCATTGGTGTCGTTACGGCCGAGCGAGCCCAGGCCGAAGTTCTGAATAGCACCTCGCAACATACCGTACAGGGTGATGTAGCTGTCATCGGTAGTGTTGGGGGTAATACCGGCGCCAAACAGAATAGTCGCAATGTGATTGTCATTGTTGGGGTCAGAGTCAGCGTCGTTCCACCATGTAGCCTCGTCGAAGGTAGCGACAACCAGAGTGCCTTGAGCTTCAAGATGGGGCAGGTACAGATCCAAGAAGGCGTTGAGCCATTCACCGCCAGTGTTGGGCTGGTTGAAATAGTTGCTATCCGAGGTAGGGTCGTGGGCGTTGTGAAGCATATCCGGGACGTAGAAGGAGTACTCGGGCAGAGTGTGGGACATGACATGATCGGCGAAGGTGTTGTTGGCACCGTAGATCTTGCTGCAGCGCTCGTATTTGCTAGTGTAGGAGCTGAAGAGCAGAGCAGGGACGTCGAGGCGACGGTAAACCTGGGACGACCAGTCCGGGTTGGTGTTATCGATGGGGCCGTTCGTGATGTAGTTGTTGCAGTCGTTCGGACCACGGTGAGTGGCGATGGGGTTGTACCACTCAGCGTAGGTACCATAGGAGATGTTCTTAGCATCGAGGAGGTCATAAATGCTGGTGGCGTTTACATTGTAGAAATCCTCATCGGCCATACCGAAGAAGTCACCAGCGACGATAGCCGCGTAGTTGGGCAAGGAAGGGTGGGTGATAGCGTAGCTACGGGTCAGCAGCTTGCCACGGGTAGCTAGTAGCTTCCAGTAGGCCTGACCCATGGTCCACTTGTAGACCTCGTTCTCGAAGATAATATGAAGGACCTTCTTGAACTTGCCCTCGCACTGGGTAGCTGCACAGGAGTTGCCCGCTGCTGGGGTGCAAGTGCCGAACAGCTTGGTCTTGTTGATTGCCTTGGGGTGGCCCTCGCTGATCTGGAAGAAAGGATACTTGCCAGTTGCGCCGTCTGGAAGAAGATAGCCCTCCTTGGTGCCATAGCCAGTGAAGTTGCTACCGCTGACGGTGTCGTTGTTCACTGACCAATAGTAATAGCCACCATACTGCTCTGGATCGAAAGGAGAAGAATAAGAGAAGGGGTAACCGGCGACAGCTGGATCGTTGCTCTTGAAGACGTTGCCACCGATAAAGGGCACATCCTTTGCGGGAAGCGCATACTGAGCAGTAGCCACTGAGGCGAGGGCCAAAGCCGAAACGGCGTTGGTGAAGGCGTTCATCTTTGACAGCGAGGAGTCAACAACTGGCGGAGCCTAAGGGGCGATTGTCTTCTGTGAGGATCAATTGCCACAATATGGTTGTAACGCCTGTTTTTATGCTGCATTGGCATGATACATTGCACTGGGGATTGGTCAACGGCCCTAGCAACGCACGTGGGGAGACCTTGCTTCCAATCGAGTGGAAGAAGGGTCTAAACGGATCGTGGACCCTCCATCGCTGGACAGGTGTGAGTGCACTAGACTGGATGTATGCATCGGGCCTGAAGATCACTTCCAGAAGACCAGTGAGAAAGAGCTTTCCATCGGAGGTACCTTAGGTAGAAGAGAGAAGCCTTTCTGGATCCATCAGTTTGTTGGCCAAGCTTCCAGCCAAGCTTTGCGGAAAAAAGGGTCCGAGCCATGGCGGAGCGGCCACGATCCAACGCTTAAACCCACGTGCTGGCGGCAGAGCCTCCCGTTTGAGAAACGTCCCGTATCCATTGAAATGAAGCATCGGCATTTACCTAAGGCAAGAACATTCAATTAACCTAATTGGATAGTGCTAAACATTATTCAGCAAGAGATTAACTAACTATTGCGTGTTGGTATGTCATCCCTCGGAGATCTTCACCCACGGAGACTGCGCAGACCCCCAATTCGGAAGACTCGGAAGACATACTTTCGGATTGAAGCCGCGTTCGCCACGAGACTGGTACAATCCATGTCTGCCTAGAGTCTTGGCTTTGTTTCTTTCTTTCTCATGTTGGACCGACCCGAATTGCGCAAAAGTATTGACTTACCAGGACTACGGTAACGTGAAGTTGCTTTCTGCCGTAGGTCCGTGTCTGGGTCTTTGAATGACTCTCTAATATTCAAAGCTAGGCGTTTAGTTATGCTAGAGATAGTAATTTTATACCTTTTTTATTTTTATTTTCGTGCGAAATCATGTCACAATGACTCGAGTGGTATTTGTAATTTTGAAGATCTATGGGAGTATAACGGACCATACCTTCATGTACAGATCAAGTCAATTGAATTTTCACAATAGAGGATCCACTCTGCAGCGGGATTATAGTCCCAGGAGGGCTCTGGTATCCGTTGATCTGGACATCCTTGATCTGGAGACCAGATGGTAGTTGTAAGTTGCCGGATGTCCCCCGTGGCGCGGTAACTTTCACAGTCAACACTTTATTACCAAGTTCCCACTTCACCGATAGCTGTCCATATTGAGTCTTCACAGATGCAGTAGCCCAGTTTAGATCAAATCCTAAGATTGCAGGTTGAACAATCCAAGTCTTATGTCCTGGAGTAGCTGCACTAATCCCGGCAACGTGCTCGGTAAGTACATAGGTCGGTGCGCCACCCCATGGATGGCTCTGAGATGTAAACAAGCTCAATCCAGGGCTCAGATCTTGAGCAACATATTCCCAAGAAGCACCAGTGCTGTATTCATCATTTGTCATGGCCGTCCAAAGGCTATCCAGGAGATACTTGGCGATAGCGGTATCATTTACTTCCATAGCCGCCGCGAGCAGGAAGCCATTGGTATTCGGAGAAATATCAGCAGAGGCAGCATCAGTAGTGGAGATATCTTTGTAGCCGGGAGTGAGCTTCAAATCAGCAAGTCTAACCAATGACGAGGCAGCTCGTTCGTCGCTGGCTACACCTGAGCTGATAGCAAAAGCAATATCTACAACTCCAAAACTGGTGTTGGACGAGGTACTGCGCACATAAATCCCCAACTCATTATTCCAAAGGAGCTCATTGATGGCCTTTGATATCTCTGTTGCGGTGTCGCGGTATGACTGGGCGCTCTTTGTGTCAACCAAAGCATCGGCTACCACAGCAGCCTCATTCAGCGCCTGCACAAGTGCAGCGCTGATCGCAGTCCCCTTAGCGTCACCGAGGAATCCACCGAAGCTGACAAGCTGTGTATTACTGTCGATTTCACCCAGTATCCACGAGATCTGCTTTTGGATCGACGACCAGACACCTCTAGCCCAGGTCAGATCGCCGCTTCTCTGGACGTACCCAGTAAAAGATAGAACTCCTAGGATCTGGTAGTCATTCAGGCCATAGTAGGAGTAGAGAACTTCTTTCAGAGACGAAGTGTTGTATCCCATTTGTGGCGCAATGCTGACAAGTCCGTTTGACAATTGGGTACTGAGCAGGTAGTCTAAAGTTCCACGAACGTAGTCCCAGCGAGAAGTACTCGAAGTCAGGATTTTCGAGGTGTGGAAGAAATCCCCAAGCCAGACCAATCGATCTCGCTTCGCTCCATCCATACACAGAGCCTCGGTATTTTGTCGAACGCCGTACTCAGACAAGATGGAGGAGGATAGCATGTCATTTTCATAGAGAAGCGTGCCATTGCTTGCGTGAACGGTCACATCTTTCACCAACGCGCTTTGATCTTGGTAGGGTCCAAATCCCCAGCCACCGGCACTCAGGGCAGACACCCCATAGTCGGTTAGCGAAATGTTCAGGACAGTGGCCCCATCGATATCAATGGAAAGTTGAGAGCCAGAGAGGAGGGTGGTCGAGATCTTGTACCATATACCTTCCTTGATGTCGATAGAGATGGGAAAGCTTCCGACAAGTTGGCTATCGAGCGTCGTTTGATTCACGAAGCCCCAGCCAGAAGCAACAACAATTGAGTTCCGCGGAGTGAGTGTCTTATTAGTGTTGACAAATGTTGTTTCCTCCGGTAGGTTAGAGACCAGGAGGAGCACCAGTCCAGTTCCTGAAATAGGCTGAGAAACAGACCAGCCAGTACCCCCGCGAATGATCTTTGACGAGAAGGTCATGGTGTAGTCAGTCCAATCCATTCCGTGCACGCCAGGGCCTGGCTTCTGACCACGGATGTAAGCGCCTTCTTCCGTAACTTCCCAGGTGGATGGCTGGGAATTAGCGTCAAAGCAAGCAGCTGCGACAGCATTGGCCCCGAGCTTCCAAATTTCATTGTAAGTTGGATTTGAGCAAGAGAATGTGGAAGGAAGGTTGTCAGGATTAATGTGGTCGATGGTAGGTACAAATCCGACCTCGGTCAGCGTAATGTGCCCCTTGGTCAAAACTTTGATGGACTGCCATCGTTGTCCTCCTTGAACAAAGTAAGACTCGAGCTTTCCAGGCTTTGTGATGTTGAAAGTCTCGACCCGGAATGAATTGGACAGTCCATTTGTAAAGTAGTATGGCCCATCAGCCCAGACATGGTTCAAGCCGTCAAATTGTTCCGTGTACTTGACTTCGATCTGCACAGGACCTTTCACATTTGAGATTTCAAAGTATGGGTAACCTGCAACTTCGCGTCCGTAGTCCAAGGTAACGACAGAATTCTTGTCGAAATCCAGGGTGACGGATTGGCCGGTCTGAAGTCGTTTGGTGGCTCTGCTTGGTTGAGTACCCAATTGGTACTGTTGAGGTAGAAAATTGCTGTACCAACAGCTCATTAGTTCCGATTTAATTGGAAGACAACATAAAGGGTAGCCTACTCGGTCGATGCATTGCAGAATGCAAGTAAGGTGCTCACGAGAAACAACTTCCCAGCTGCCAGAGCCCTCATTGTTGCGATAAAGGACTGTGACTCCAACCAGTAGGCTTACTCTGGTGGCAGCAGCGTGGAGTATTTATTTTCCCCTTTATCCCCCCGGGTTTTCTTCGGCAGGGTCTCCGCGAGAAAGTATCCGAACTCGTCATTGCGGTTCAGGGATTTCGTTTTCATTGGACTTGAGGCTAGTCGGCACACCCGCAACACCCCCACAACCCCACATCGCCAGTCGGCTTTTCCGGGGTATCCTATATTCTGCTCGGTGTTCGGTGCAATAACCATGCTGTTAACCTCAGTAAGGCTACAGTTACTCGCTCCACTCGCAGAAACTTAAACGAAGTCATCTGCCAGCCGTCGTGCAGACTTTAAGCCTTCGGTTGTGGGCCTGAAGCTTTTCGCCCCCCACAATGGAAAGCCAATATGTCGAGCCTAGAAAAAAATTAGAGGTTATGGAGACCAAAGTGCCGCCCTATCTTGCCGACGTGTGGGGAAGTTGGCGACTACCTCATCTGAGGGGATATTTTTCAGTTTACAATGGATATAGTATAGCTTGCGTTTCATATCAGTGCAATTTCAAGTCTTAAGAAGTGATGATCTTTTGCGCTTTCAAGTATCATAAAGAAGCCATGCTATGAGACCAATTTTAGTGGCGGAGTGCTCCACGTGCTAAATCCGGGTACGACACATACCAACATGTCTCGGTGAGCTCCCATTGACTGTGAGTCTCCACTATCTTTATCAACATATGACACCAGTCAAACGGAACGCAAAATTGTAGTCGCTTCCACTCTCGACTCAAAGCAAGTGTGTCCCAGGGCGCTACGATCCCATTTATATCGCTATGATTGACATTATGGTCTTCGAGTGCTGGTATACGAATCGTCACTCGTAACGAGTGAACATTGCAGAAAGATTGTTTGAGAAGCTCAAAGAAGGCATGGTAGACGGTGATCCAGCTTCTAGCCTCTGGCGACTCATCGAAAGAGCTCCAGATTTCAAATATTATATCCATAGATTGAATAAGCTTCAGACAACCAGGCGATAGAACTCTCGACATGATAAACGGAGAGTCAATTCCCTTTCGTGGAATGAATACATTCGTCCCGTACAGAACTGGCAATGCTTCTTCGTAGCTAGAGAATGGACATATTAGGCATGTCTATATCCAAGCAACGTAGTAAATTCAACGACTTACCCAACTTGACAACACCTTAGCCACTCCGCACCCCCGAGCTTTGTCCCAGGCCGCGTACTTGTTAGGCCCTCATGACGGTTTTTCCAACTCTCTTCAGAGCGGTCATCGCACCGGTCCATATAGGCATCCTCGGCAAAGGCATTTGTTTGTTGGCAGACACTGTGGTGCCAATTCCAGTACCTCACTGTGCCATTGAGCATAGACAGAAAACGCCTTCGTTGAAGAAAAGTCGGCTGGAGAGGCTTCGACTGAAAAGATTTTGGCTCGAAAGGCGAAGCCCACATCCATGAATACTCGATATGTACACGTCGATTACCCATCAGCTCGATGTAGATCATCCTTCTCACTTCCACAGGAAGCTCAAAAAACTTGCTCTGTTGCTGAGGGTTGCGTTGCCGAGCACATCGTATAACGCTTTGATTTTCTGGGATTGGTAGTTTCCACCCATTGAAAGGGTCACCGTTCACTTCGCAGGTCGAATCGGAGACCCCCGGGGCGTGTGGAGAGCCAATCCCTCGCCATGGAGAAGGGTTGCATTTTTTTAGTTCTCGCCGTTCTCGTTCTCGTTTAGTAAGGAACTTGTCAAAGATTTTGGACGCCATGATGTTTGTAGTGAACACAAGGGGGCGGCGGGGACCGTTAATAAATACGCGGTGTGTGGGGAAAATAGGGTAAAGTGCGTGGCAGAGACCCTATTCCACTGCGAGGCCCTTCAAGCTATCTGAGCGGACTCACGAATCAATTTTGACTGCATTATTTCAAACAAAACGCCGAACTCATAGCTAGTCGATAAACTTTGAGCTTCATTTCTCTTTATTCTTTACCATAAAGTAGCAATTCAGGATCAACCGTGCCAGATGATCATAGCACCTGCCTACGTACAGACCCTGAAGTGCTATATTTTTTCAGTCCTCCCGGTCGTCTTGTCCTAAGATTCTAAACTACTCACCTCAGATTCAATTAATCTCACCGTTAAGGTGTAGGATCCGAAGACAAAATACTTACAGATCCCAACGAGGAAAACGAACCGTTTACATACTAGCAGCCTAGAAAAATGTGGTTGGCGAAGACGCAACGAAATGCTTAATTTCAATTGTGATATCAAGGAAGTCAACTACCCAAGAATTGTTCTTTAAGAGCTCGCAGTAAGCCGGCGCTTAGTGCACTGCTTGCAGTTGCAGTTAGGGAACGCTTGGTTCAACATGGCGAAACTCTTCTCAATCTCCTTGAGGTTATCCTCATCGGCCTTATGTGCCAGGGGCTGTCGAGTAGCTGCTTGGGACACCCGCGAAGCAGCAGAGTTCTCCATCAGCTCAGCATAGCTATCGTTCACCTGGGATCGAAGGGTCAGTCTACCGACCTGAATTCGAAGATAATCCAAAGCGGTACGGGTGTGGCCGACAAGGTGCGAGCGACCAGCAAGCAATGAGCCTTGCCGATCAATGGCATCGCGAAGCAAATCACACCGAGCTTCGAAACAAGCGGGGACGTTGCTGCCTTTCTGATAAGCCTCGAACTTACCGTTGCCCTTGACGTTGACTTCAAGCAACTTTGCGGCGAGTTGGATGTCGACGGCAACCTCGTTGAACAGGTTGGGAAATTGCTCGAGCTTGTGGATTGAGTCCACAAGTCGGTTGATGATATTTTCCCGGCTGTAATTGAAGGCTTCTTCGTAACTCTCCATTTTTGCGACTTGGGGTTGGGCACTTACCGAACGTGGGTTTGTGATGGTGAAGAATTTGGCAGGTTGTTTTCTGATTGCAGGAGGTGAGAATGTTAGGAGGATTGGAACTGTGATGGATGGAGAGGGATATGATGATGAGAAATGGTTCCCCTTTTATATGTGCGTCAACGTGGTCGAGGTAGAATCATCAAGATATTTTTAAGAATTAGACAATGTAGCCGCTTTGTTCGACTACACATTGTCGAAGTGAATGGCTTTTTTCTCTTTGCCCCAGAAAAGATATCAATGCTGTTGTTTGATTCATTATACACCATAAATAGGCCATTGTCTAAATTTATCAGGATTGAGAAGCGGTCGCTCAGGTGGTCAACCGGGTGCAAGAAGATTCCTTTGAACCCGGGAACGGACGTTTCCTCAGGGAGCTGCGAGGCATTCACCAACCTTTGGGGCGCAAAACATGCACCTGCGAGTGTCAGCCGCGACAATATTGATCCGTAATGCTATTTTTGACCAAAGTTGTCAAAATTGGGGACACAAAGAAGGTCGAAGGGAGGTGTTGGTACGGGGAGCGATGCGACCTAAACGGGCGGACTCGCATTTGTTTCATATAGACAAAGGTTGGTCACTCAAGTGTTGATGTCAGTTTGGCCGAGTGGTCTAAGGCGCTTGACTTGAACTTTGGGGAAACCCTTCCATGTTTGGGCATCAAGTATCTTCGGATGCACAGGTTCGAACCCTGTAGCTGACGTTTCAACTTTATTTTTGTTTTCCCGAACGAGATCACGCCGCCCACAACGGTACCGGTAAAATACATTTCAAGGAAGGGTAAAATTTTTAGCAACTAGAATAGTCTACCATGCAATAGAATTTCTACCCATAAATGACAATTGTGCTGTATATATGGACTGAGGCTCCTCCATCTTGTGCTTAATCCAGTCGGAAGAAGACTATCCCATCGAACCAATGGCACATCCTAGAATCGTACGGTAAATACTAACAATGCCTCTGATCGGGCGATAGACATGATATGTTTTCCATTCAATATAGAGTATGAAAATGAATACTTAAAGAGAAACACAATCCTTAGAAACCTAATACTGCTATGCATGATTCGCGGCAAGCTTCGGGCTTGCGCTTCGCATCGCATCGCAAACATCGGAATATTCCACGAGGGAGACTTTCTAAAATACAAAATAGATTTTATTATAGCACAAAAGAGAACGGTTGAGTCAACGTCCAAGCCACCATTGACAAAAGTCCAGAAAAAGTAATTATCAAGGCATAATTCTCTATCGTCACCCCAACCTCCTTCTAAATCTTCGCTCTCGGTCTAATATACAAAGCCTCAGCCTCAGCAAGAACTAACCCCTCCCCATCCAGAATCTGCCCCTCAACCCTCCACTTCCGATTCTCCTTAACCTCCATCATCCTTGCCTGCACCAGAATTGCGCCCGGCGTAGGCACAGGACGCAAAAACTTCGTATTCAGATACGCAGTCACAGGACCCGGCTGTGCATTCTTGGCCTCCCGTGTCGAAGCATCCCCGACATGGCCATTGAGTGCTAACAAGAGGCCGGTCGCTTCGTCTAGGAGTGCAGCAACTATGCCGCCGTGTAGGATGCCGGGGTATCCATTTAGATCAGAGCCGAGGATGAAGAATAGGCGGAGTTCTTCAGCTTCGGCGGGTGTGCTTGACGCGGGAGATTGGGTTTGTTTGGGGGGTTTGGTGGGATTTGCTGGTGGGCGGTACTGGCTGAGACAGGCAGATAGGGTTGTATTTGAACTAAGGGTTTTGGAGAAGAGGCTATCTTCCCCGGAGGATTTGATTGTTCTTGAGGGGATGGAGAGGGTCACGAAGGAGTCATCTTTTAGGAGGGTTGATATCCAGGGGATGGATTGGAAGGGGGTTGGATCGCTGGTTGCCATGTTGGCGTTGAGCAAGCTTGGTAAGATGAGAAGCTTGCGAGATCAATAAATGAAGGGTCAATCTGCAGTGAAGTTGATAGTTCGTCGTTAAATTCACTAAAGATTCGAAGCCGAGGGTGTCATTTGTGCCTAGGCTTCTTTCGGGGCGCGGGGAAACTCGCGGTCTGGCCGCGGGAAGCTAAAAAGATAAAACTCAGAAACTCTCTAGGCGCTGACATCAGCTGGAAGATCTGCTAATACATCGAATAGATATAAGGAGAGCTCTCATCTCTAAATACACTGACCTCCGAAAATCATTTCATTGGTCAGGTAGGTTGATTATCTCGAATAGCTGCAGCCTAGTAAACTTCTAGATCACGGGCACCTATTAGCCTGGTCCTGGAATGCAATGCTTTATATAGAGGCGTCAAGAGACGACACTGAGCTATTCAACCTTTTGAAAAAGCAAAATGCTATCTGCTATTTCAGCATGAGCACACACAAACAGAACTCTCCAAGATACCCCAGGATTCTCCAAGCGATCCAATAAAGACCCGACCAAATCCAACCCAATGCCCGGTCCGTGACGGAAGGGAAGCACTATTTACCCCGCAAGATCCACGATCCAACGGGTTCTTGTGTCTGTCTCTGTTTCTTGTTTCCTGTTCTTTATTTCTTGCTGCTGATTCCCACTTTACTACGTCACCTCGCTGGAGAACTTGCCGGGACTATAATTAACATTCAAATGCCCTGATTTGACCCGAGACTTGTGACCCTCGTTTCTCTCAGCATCACCTACCGTACCTCCTTTTCAGCTTATGCTACAACACACCCCCTTCCGTACTGATCACTACCAGCACCAGCCAATACCCTCTCCGCAGTTCTCAGGAAGAAGATGAACAGTGGCATTGATGACACGGCTCGTTTGTTTTGGATCCTGCGACCTGATAAGAAGACCCGGGCCTGAGATGCTGCTGGCAAACTCATCGTACAGCGCCTATGAAAGAGAGTCTTGCCTCTTGGGGCAGTGACTGTTACACTAATAAGCAGCACTTTCGCTGAACTAGATGCTAACAAACCCGCGAACAAGACCGAAAGTTTGAAATCTCCATGATTCACAGAGTGGATTTGAAATTAATGACCGCATAAATGAACGACGGCGAAAGACGATCTTGTATCATCGACAACGACTCCCATTTGGAGCTGTATCCAACAGACTCCCGTCCTTTTCTGCTTCTTGAGTTCGCCGCCAGAATACCTCCAGGCAAGGAACAACACAATTAAAATCTAATCAGGTCCGGTACGACCAGCGCAGCCAAGGCGAGCCCGCATATACACCGACAACACAAAAGACGGAACATATAAAGGTCAAGATCCGATTATAAGAGGGGTTGAAAGTTGTGAAACAAACACAAAAAAAACGAAAACTCCTTTTACAGCATCATCTTTCTCTCATCTATATTCTCAGCAAAAAAACAAGAAATCTCATCACCAGAGAAAAAGAAAAAGAAAGAGAGAGCGAGAGCTGTGTATGCGCACGCAACATGTATACACACACAAAAAAAGAAAAGAGAGAGATCAGAAACTAAATCGACAAAGGATCACAGATCACAAAACACGACAGATGCGGAGCAGGTGGGGTGTTGGTCTCGTCTCGCTGTTATCTATTCGGCAACAAGCTTGGTGGGGGAAACACCAATGCCGTTGTGGTTGCGGTAGAAGAGAACGCCCTTGCTCTCGCCCTGGGCGCCTTCGGTGGGCTCAACCCACTGGCAAGCACGGGCAGAGGTCCACATGGCCTTGAAGAAGCCGAACGAGCCGGTGTGGGCCTCAGTGCGGTAGTGCTCGCCCATAACAGCCTTGATGGCCTCGCTGGCCTCGTCGGCGTTGTAGAAGGGGATGTTGCTGACATAGTGGTGCAGGACGTGAGTCTCGATGATGCCGTGGAAGATGTGGCGGCCGACAAAGCCAAAGTCACGGTCAATGGTGGCAGCGGCGCCGCGGGCAAAGTTCCACACCTCGGGCTCGTAGTGAGGGAGGGAGGGGTCGGTGTGCTGCAGGTAGGTGATGGCAACTGCAAAGAGAAGATGTTAGTGAGATTGATACGGTTGGAAGGTTGATTTTTTGAGCTGACTGCGTGCAGATCGGGTATAACACTTACCGAGCCAGTGGTTGACCCAGAGGTACGGGATACCGTACCACACGAGCAGGTTCAACCAGCCATAGGTGGAGCCGATATAGTACAGAAGAGAGCCGGTGAGGATGAGACCAAGGTCACTCAGGGCAATCAGCTTGGCATCCTTGGCCTCGTACAGGGGGCTAGAGGGGTCGAAGTGGTTGACACCACCACCCAAGCCGTTCTTCTTGCCCTTGCCGCGGCCCTCGGGCTGCTTCTCGTGGTTGTTGTGGCCAGTCACGTTGGTGATCAGGTACAGCAGCCAGCCAAAGAGCTGCTGGCCAATCATGTGGGTGGCAGTCGCAATGGGAGTCTCCTCGACGAGCTCGCTGAGCTCGTAGATGGTCTTGCCAATGCGAGTGGAATAGTCACTGCGGGTCTTGGGGACGAAGACCATGTCGCGGGCAATGTTACCAGTGGCCTTGTGGTGCTTACCGTGGGAGATCTTCCACGAGAAGTAAGGGACCAGCAGAAGGGAGTGGCAGATCCAGCCGACGGTGTCGTTCAGAACCTTGGAGGGCGAGAAGGCCTGGTGACCGCACTCGTGGGCCAACACCCAGACACCAGTACCGACGAGACCCTGGACAACGGTGTACAGCGTCCACAGGGCCACGCGAGCAGGCATGAAGGGAACAGTCTCCGGGGTGACATAGTTGTGGAAGAGGTAGAAGACGGAGGCCAGGATCGCCATGTCACGGAAGACATAGTACAAGCTGGTGACGGCGGAGCGGTGGAAGCAGTGGGCGGGGATGGCATCACGAATCTGCTTGATGGTGAAGTCGGGGATCTTGAACTCGTTGCCATACGTATCAAGCATCTTGGTCCGAACCTCCTGCTCCGAGGCCATGGAGGACAGCGACGTCGATGAGGGCGACTGGCGGGGGCTGTCGAAGGGCGAGCCCGAGACCGAGGAGGGCATCGACGAGTCGGTAGTGGGGTTGCGGTGCAGCGCAACGCGCTTGGGAAGAGCAGTCGACGACATGGTGAAGACGATAAAATGAATCAATCCCAAGAAGAACGCAACAAAAAGATCTTATAGCGTGGGATGGCGAGGTTCTTCAAAGGCTTTCCTCGACTGGACTATAATGCGCTCGCCGAACCAACGGAACCGAATCACAGCGAGGATGTTGGGACGAACGAAAAGAAAAGAGAAAAGAGAGAGGACGATGGACGGCGACTAGCTGCAAAGAGGCAAAGCCTGAGCAGAAAAGATAGGGCAAATTAAAAAAAAAAAAATTAAGAAAAAAAAAGAAAAAAAGGCAAAGCTGAACAGCCTCCTGTGGGGGTTGGGGAGAGACCCGTCAGTTTCCAATTGATCGTCGGGTCACGAAAGTGGGTGGGTGTTGAAGTGGTTCAACTCACAGGTCAACGGTCGTGACTCGTCTGCTGCTTTGGGCCTGGTGGTTACACAAGAGAGTGGGGAGGGGGAGAAAGAAAGAAGAGCAAGACCAGAGGAGCTGAAGGGATTGATAAAAAAAAAGGCAGTCCCGAAGCCGATCAGCTTATGGAAGAATCGCAGTCAAAAGGGAAATGGCAAAAAAAAAAAAAATTGAAAATGCAAAAAAGGGACCACTTGTTTGTTGCCATCGTTCCTTGGTTCCATCGCCCCAGAGAGGTAATTTGCAATTAACCTCAATTACCCGGCCCTGCCAATCTCTGCTTGACTCTGGTCCCTGGCACCACCACCAGCCTCGATGATTTGGTGTATTGCCATTTTCCAAAATTACACCGTTCATCGACGTTTCTAAACGAAAATAAGAACATAAAGATTTGTTCTATCGCGTTCTGCTCCACTTCACATTGGAATTTTTTTTTTTTTTTTTTCTTCTTTCTTTTGGCGCCTTCCGCCACTTGACTCGCTCGCCTTTTACGGATACACTTCGTCCTGCATGAACTCCTCTTTCCAATCTTAAGTCTTGCATGACAAGGGCCACGGCCCTCCCGACCAAGTCGATCCATTGGATAGATCTGGACACGCCACCGAAGTGGACAGCAACATCCTTTGAATTTTCGTCCAGCTGGAGCGCAAGGATCTATACACTTGATCTTTCAATAGTATTTTACTTCCTTGCTCACCTTCTCTACAAATATCATAATTGTCATTCTAGGATCTGTAGTATCGAGTCTACTATACTAAAAACTGGAGATTCCAGTCCAAATGAAAATTACCAAACCCGTCTCGCAGTCGGGGAGATACGCCACCGCCTACGCGACACTAATCCTCTTTGGGAGCCCAACATTTCATTCATTCCCCCTTATTTTTCGCCTTTGTTCGGAGGCGGTGAGAGATTAATCTAACCACCTGCTTAATGTAACTACAGTACTTGAACACTGTACCGAGCGCAAGCATCAACCCGGCCATGTACTTCGACTCAAGGTTACGTAGAGAACTCAATTACCAGCAATAAGCATCTTCAGAACCAGCACGAGTCCTGGTCCCAAAAAAAAACCCTCAAGTGATGAAATCATCCACCCCTACTCCACCGAGCATGCCTACAGCACAGAGTGCAGAGTACCAACTGTATCTTATCTCTCCCTCTCTCATCCCCCATGCAATTGGACGGCGGCAGTGATTCTGCCAGTTTTCACATGCGCGTCCCGAACCTTACGATTGGAAAGCATGTGGACTGGGCCGGCGATCGACCGGCCTCGGCGGGTCATTTTCGTGGGTGCGCGTTGACGTGTGAATGTTTAATATGGGGGGCAGCATTGGTGGGATTGGCCCACGGTCCGCTGTGGTGATCGAGGGGGCAATTGGTACAGTACGAAATGTAAGTGGCATGGCATGCAGAAGGAGAAGGGAATGGGACTTTTCAAGTCGGTGAAATACATGCAGTACAACAGTACTCCGCTACTGTACGGAGTCCTGTTGTTCGGCGAGGAGCGTGTTCTGGCATGTGAAATGGGACTTGGGTGGTCGGGGAGGTGCTTGTTGGGCGGTGCCGCCCTGGTATTGGCGTGAGGGGACAGGTACATACATTCATGTATCTCATATGCATGGTGTATGGCAATTGTACTGGATACAAATGGAACCTGATATGGACCATCGCAAAGCATTTGCACTACTATGGCTCTCCATAGGTGAACGGAAATGCGGAATAGAGAGAGGTACGGAGTTATACATCCAGGAATGGCTCTTCGGAATATTCTCGGCCGACCAAGTTTAGTGCTTCCATAAGCAGAGTACTGTACATTCAACAGAGTATTGCAGAGAAGTAGGAGTACTGGACAAGTATACTTGGTGGTCTCTTTCGTGGGGGAAAGGTTCCCTCTTGTTGGGCGAGCGGGTCCTGCTTGAGTTTTGTTGAGGAGCGCCCCCGCCAATGAAAGTGCCCCACTTTCCGACCCTTTTATTTTTTTATTTATCTTTTTTTTTTGCAAAACGCATGACCAGAGGTGGTCTGCTGGGCCGAGGATAAATGGTATGATTGTGATAACCATAAAGTAAATATACTTCCAGGAGAAGCAATGCGATAGAATATGTGGTGAACTAATAATTAATCCCAGTGATCCTCAGTATCTGAATCTGACTAAGGTTCTTATCATGTCACTAGTTACCCACTAACGTTAGTTAACTAACACGGAGGGGGGATGTCAGCAATTGAATATCATGACCTTTACACAATTCTAGAAGAGGTTGATTCCAAACAAAAAAAGAAAAGACGTTCATCATTCGTACATCTATATACATACATCCCAATTCCTACAATTCGGTCAATAGCCTGTACTCCGTACTAGGCTCACATCACAGATCCAGAATGCAGACCATCCACCCCCATCTTCCTACCTATCAATGAACCTCCGCGCGTCGTTCAGAGTCCACCAGCCACGACGATCCCCCCGGACTACCCGACGCACTCAGACTGACTGTAGTCTTTCGCAAATCCGGCAGCACGAGCACCGTCTCGCCATGATTTCGATAATCCACCTCGCAAGCAATCGGCTGGCGTTGGATGGGGACCGCAGGACCCCCGGCTGCAACATCCGTCGCTGGGGGGGACATCGGGGGCTGTGGCTGGGTTGGGGCGAAGGTGCGCACCTCCAAGCCCGGGAGGAGCAAGTGGCCGGGCTTCTGGGGGAGAAGCAACACCGTGAAACGAATGGTCTCGCCATCGCGAGCCAGGAAGTTGGCGCGTCGTCGGCCGCCCAGCAGCCATAACTCTGTGTTGGCATGTAACTCGTACGAGCATTCCAGTGGCTGATCTGCGTAGGCTTGGTTCTTGGAGGGGCACCATCGTCGAGTGTGGCGGATACAAAGCTCTGCCGCGATCATCTGGCCCACGGCCGCGTGGGAGGATGAGGGGTCTGTGTTGGCGCTTGCAGCCTTGGGCTGGAGGTGCAGCTCGGCCGTGTGCACCACTTGGATTTCGGGGATATCGACTGGAATGATGATACTGCGGGTGGGGATGGAGGCCTGCTCGGGGAGACGAATGATTGGGTTGCTCTGATTATGGCAAAAGCCTGTTTAGTACGACAAAAAATGATAGGGAAGGAAGGCACCAATGACTTGTCGTCAAGGTGTGATGTTCTGAAGGGGAAGCTGCTCACCTCATGCCATGACGTGAGCCACTGTCTCACATCTTCCGTGCGTTCCTTAAGCGCACCCAACAATTCTTCCCAGTGAACACTCCGATATGGGAGCATCTCGACCTCCCGTACGAGACCAATGACCTCTATGTCAGAGGTCGATAGTTGAGCGCGGAAGCTACTGACAATGTGCGACGTAAGGAGAGTCGCATACTGACTGAATGGGCTGGACTGGATAGCAGAGTGGAAGAGCTTCTCAACCGCGTCGAGGCACTCATCATCCACGCAGGTAAAGTCCACGCGGAGACGTAGACTGCGGGGTGTTTCTGGGCCAGCAGTGGCACTGTTCAACCCGCCCGGACGGATCTTGTAGAGCAAAGATGCAGGCTGTTTTGGGAAGACATCCATCGCCACGGGGCCGGTAATGCTGGTTTGCACGTCATACACATCGGAGCTGGGCAGACTGCAATTCGTTATGCGCAGTGGGATCAACATGGCGGGGCTGATTGTGAAACGTGAGAACAGCAACTCATCCTTGAAAATGTCCTGCACGTTGACCGATATGGGCAGCGTGGCCACAATGTTGTGTGCAGTCGAAAAGGCAAATTTCCCCCGATCAGTTTCATAACTGATCTCGGCCCGCGCGGACAGAGTTGTGAAGGTTTCTTCTACCGTGTAAGGGATACGCAGTCGCACAAACCTTTGTGGTGGGAGCTGGGTAAATTCGATCGTACCAGCGTCAATATTGGGGGTGACATCGATCCGGCCCTCCACAACCTCAACTTCGGAGATTCGAAGTCGGAGCCCTGCCGTAGCCGGCCGTACGCGAATTATGCCGGCCTTGATATCATTCCGTCCGCTGTTGAGTTCCAGCTCCACCGTGCGCATAGCTTCCAAGTTAATCAAGTGCGGTGAGACCACCTTTGCCTGCAATCCCTGCGGTGGGGGGTAACAGTAGATATATGGTCGACGATCAGTCTCTTCGTCCTCGTCCGATTCACGGAAACCAATTGGCAGAGCCGAATTGTTCCCGTTATTGAATGAGAAGGTGATATTGCCAGACTTCATTTCTAGGCGATCAACGAAATATTTGCCATGCAGTGTAGTCTAGATAGCCACCGTCAGCAAATTCAATCCAGGAGGCTATACAAAAAGCCACTACTTACCGAAGAGTCAATGAGAATTGTAGTCATCGACGACTTGACCACGAAATTGGTTGAAGCCTCGATCCAGTGCTCCGCGTTTTGGGAACTAGTTTCGCTGACCAGCCGCACCTTGATAGAGTCAATGTTGATCTTAGGGCCCAAAAGGAATCGAAGGGAAAGCTTGATTTGGAATCCATCTTTGTCCTCGTATAGTTGAATAGCTGGATCGACACGGAGATCCGCAAAGAATTCGACCAACGATGCCGTGACATCTTTTTGCATGGCTGACGCTCCGCTAAACAGATCGGTAACGTATCCAGCCAGCTGTTCCAATTGCAAGATGGACGGGGGAGTAGACAATGCTCGCTCCCTAACCGACAGCTTTGCCTGCGCGTATGCGGCAAATTTGGCCAGCAGGCGAAGCATCACGCGGACAAAATCTTCATTTCTCTTGAGTTCCTTGAGGCACCGGGCATACAGTTCCAGCATACTTCCTTCTAGGACTACCCAGAGCTTGCTTCCATAGAATGGTGCCATCTGATGGAAATAGGAAGCAGCAGCTTCGTAGTCACCCTGTCGGTATCGTAGAATGGCAATATCTGCGAGAGCCGTCTCTGCGGAGTTGGCACGGTTCGCGACCATATAATGACGGATGATATGGTCGGTAAAATCTTCATATAGTGACAAATAGGTCTCTCTCGATCGCAGCGCAGCCTTCAGAATAGCAAGCTCAATCCCAACCAGGGAGGTGTACTTTGCCTCAGATGAAGTCTCCTTGTGTGACGCATCATTATCCTCGAGCGAAACATCGCTCAGGCCGCCTGCTCCAGCGCGGTGGCTGTCATCAAATAGTAGACCAAGGTCATTCCACTTTTCAGACCAGCCCCGTCGTCGAGCGATTTCTTCAAGGGATCGCCGAGCCAGTAGAAGCAGCTCTCCCCTGGCTGAGGCCAATTGCTCAGAGCCAGTCTTTTGCAACGAGCCGGGTGCGGGTTTGGGGTGGTCCAAAGTTGAACGCCGCTGAAGTGTCCCAGCAGGAGTATCAGAGAGATCCTGCGTCATCGGACGAATAGGTCGAGATGCTGTTGAAGCTATCAATGAACTTGACCGGCGTGGAATCTCTGAGCGGTTCTCATTTATCCACACAGTGGGGTTTGCGGGTTCGCGAGCTTGCGTCACAGCATGCAATGACGACTCGGGAAGGGCCAGGTCGGGAGTGAAGGTTTGGTTGAGGATTTGCAGGGCTGCCGAGTATGCCCAGGAAGATACAAGATTATTGATAACGTCTGCTTTGGTGTCGTTTTCCACATCCTCCAGGCCACATTCAAGACCGTACCGAAGGTTACGAGCTGCAAGACTGATAAACTCCAAAGACCTTGCGCAGATTTCTGAAAGTAGGATCAAATCTTCTGGTTTCCTGTCACGTTTTGCAGGCTCGTTCGCAACGACAGAGGGAGCTCTGGCCGCTCGGAGAAGAAGGGTGAGTTGTCGGGAGAAGACGTAAGTGCGGAAATCGAAAATGGAGATATCGCTGGCCAGAATCATCTCTCGATAGGGTAACTTGGTTGCACTGAGTGGGAAATCCTCTGGATCGATCTCTAGACTTGGACCTTGATCATTCTGATCGCTGTCGTTTGCTGATGAACCAGACTCGAGTGTTTTCCGTGCCGTTTCCACCCATTTTTTGCTGGAGTCGAGGAGGGTGGTGCCGTGCTGCTCGCTATTCCCATGTAATTGGTCGCGAATGGCCGCATCAAGTCCAAACGATAGCTCGTCATAGCCAAGCAGCGCATCTTCAAAAAGCCCGACATTCTCAAACCCTCGCGCAAGCCCCTCCTTCAGAATGAAAAAAGTACAGAAGTTCCACCCAGGGAGACTTCGCTGTGAGTCCTTCTCCTTGATATCCTCCTCGTACTGAGCTACGCGCTGGTCGAATGAAGCCAGAATTCCGTTCTTGACCTTGTCAATCAAATCTTCTAGCTGCTCGGCGAGCTCAGGAGATTTGGCCGTAGTCCCTTCCTTCGGGATCCTTAGTTGTGCCACACGATCAACAGCCGTCTTGGAAGTCCCATTGAAGTCAGCCTTGACCTTCTCCAAGACCGTAGTGGTGCTTCGGCCCCATTTAGAGGTAGACGTGGGGGTCTTCTCTGTGCCATCACCATCCTGAACCACATGCAGAATCAGCCACTCAAACGCATCGTGCTTCTCCTGACTGCTGCCGGTCGCTTGCGTCGAGCCTGATGAGCCTTGAGCCTTGATCCATTCCCTGAGGGTTTTCCTTGCTGTCGCCTTGTATGTATCGTTGTCGTCGCAGCGGAGGAGGTAGATTTTCAAGTATGGCGTTTGGCGCAAACCGGGAATTTGGTGTCGTCGGTGTGGCACAGTAGCAGTGCCATCGCTAGAGGACTTGCGCTCGGTGGCATCGGCCGGCGCAGGCGTGAAGCCAATACGGAGGGACTCGATCGAACGAACGGGGCGAGTGGGCGACTTCCAATGCAGGTTCTTCAGGGGGAGCTTCGACTCGATGGCGGGTTGGATCAGGGGGAATAGCCCAGATGGGTCCGTATATTCAACTATTTCGTAGCTGCTGGTTAGCACGAGTTGCGGGCAAACATTCCGGACATTAACGGGGGCTTCGAACCGGTCACATTGCTCGAGGCCGCCTTTGAAGGGTCCATGATTTTCCCGGGCGCAGGTTCGGCGATCCAATGGCAATCAGAGCATGCCGTTCAAGCACCACGAGCTGCTGGGGACCTCTTCAGGGGGTAGTTTGGCAGCAGATGTTTGCGGGGAGGAGGAGATGTTTAGGAATTGAGGCCAGCTCGGAAGTGGGTCCGCATTAATTAGCCTTGGCGCTGTGTCCGCCGACGATGAAAAGGAGAGCCAGTATGAATTCAACAGTATAGTACAAGCAACTTTATCCGAAGATTAGCAAAAGAGATATGTGGTCAGAGGCCTTGCTTGCTTCTTTGCTTGAGAAAATCACTATGCTTGATGCCAAAATGTTTACATCATCTCCGGAATATCATCCTACCATGCCCCAGGGTCATTCGACAGTGATATGACAAAGAGGGTAAAGTGGAAATCTTGATCTACCTTCAATGATATCTATCTAATCATTTCCACCAAACCTAGAATGCCCAATGCCCATGCACCGTCCACACGGTAAAGCCCTTCTCTATAAGCGCGGACAAACTCCAGCCTTGCATCCATCATCAACCAAAACACTCTTATTCTTCTCCTGCGTCGAGACCGCAACATCCAGACCAGGATTGCCCGTGAAGAAATTGACCGGTTTCAACCCCACCAACATCTTCTCCGAAGGCATGACTGGCCAATCTTCGATGCGTGGGTTATGAGTCGACCCAAACGTGTGCCAGATCACAATATCTTCGTTCCGCACATTCGACGCAACGGAATCATTCTTGCGCTGCGCAATCACCGAGCTGATTCCCTCACCTCCAAGAGACTGCATCGTGTGTCGGCCTGATGGGAACAACTCATCGTCTTGATAACGTGTCACCCAGACTGCATGGCTGCCGAACTCGGAGCGTCGCGCGTGGTAGGATTGTGGATGCGCTAGGAGCATCTGGCTATAACAGGGCAGCAACTTGAATCCCACGGGAGTGCCGGTAATCGGATTGATCTTCTTTTCATTTATGATTTTAAAGCTGCGGTTGCTCGCGAAGTCGAGGTCATGTCCGCCTTCTTGAGTGATAATCTGGGACTTTGTCGTGTAGCCCACGCCGAGCGGGTTATGCACATTTGGATCGTTGATGGGCATAGCGTGCGACTCTTCGACTTGCAGCGAGTTTGCATATCCGTCGATTGCTGGATCGATGCGAAGAGAGAAGAGATGCTGGTGGTAAGGTGCGAGTACTCCTGGCGCAACGACAGTGCCATAGCCTACTTTGTCACCGTTGTTGATGGGGCAGGTTGACAGAATTCCAGTAGCACGCACTTCATAATGGATGGATGCATCTTGACCAAAATGGAAGGCGAAAATGTACTCGTAGTTGCTGACCGTGATGATAGTCTGCAGCACCAGGATACGCGAGCGAGTCACGACAGCATTCTGCGTGCGGTGGTTGGTATGCTTCCAAAGGATTCCATCATCTTGCTCATGGCAGCACACCGCATTAGGCAGCTTAAGTGGCTCACCAGAGGCGGTGTTATGCCAGCCGTCGAAATACTTGATCGAGCCTAGGCAGTCACAGCCAAGGCGAAGGTTATTGGCGTTGAGACCAGCACCGTCGTTCCCAAGATCAAAGGCTCCCTTGCGAGGGTACGGCGTTCGAGGATCGCCGTAAGGGACGAACATCTCCGACAGCGACAAACGATAGAAGAGACTTCGACCCTCATACCTGATGTTATGCAAGGTGAGGCCTTCGCGGTAGTTGAACCCCACACGCATGGTCCACTTCTCCCAGCTAAGCAAGTTGCCATCCACTGTGAATGAAGGTCCTTCCGGCTGAACCACTTGATAAGGCTTCGTGGTAGTGCGGGGCGGAGGTCGCAAATCAGGGTGATACTCGCTGAGCTCAGGCGAGTGGGCCTTGTTGTGATCATACGGCCGCGCATCTTCCCGAAGACGCTCATCCTCAGACGAGGGCAGATGATAGATCTTGGTGACTTTCAATTGCTCAGAAACCTCTGCACAGAGATCAAGCGGGTATGCGTAGTAATTTGCATCCGGGTGGTCGAGAAGACGCAGATAGAACCAGCACTAAATAGGTTACATCGTGAGTAAGTTGGATTTCAGTCTCAAGTTTAACGATTCTCACCATCGTAGTACGTTCAGACACATCATTCATTCCATCAGTCGCATAGGCCCATGGTTCAACTACAACTTGGGAACCAGCAGGAAGCTTGAGCTTCTGGATCTCCGCTTCGATTCTCGGATCTGCCCGACATGCTTTCTCGGCTGCTTGCATGTAAGCAGAGTCGATATATGGGTGCTTCCCTACAAGGTGCTCTTTCTTGATGACAGAACCAGAGTTCAGATCAACAATGAGCTCTACCATCTCGTTTGGCTTTGCATCACCGCGAATGGTAACTTGAACGCGTGCAGCGCGAACTGGTCGTGGGTGGGTTTGTCCGCGAAGTTCTCCTTCTAGGAACGAGATCATCTCCTGCTTGGGTGGCTCCAGGAGAGTGATCACGCGAAAATTAGGATCTTTCCCATGGAGCTCCTTGCGTACAATTGCCGCAGCCTGTGGATTTGTTTCGAAATCAGCTTTACGATTCTTTTGCTCTGCGATTGGAAACATCTCACCTTGGCAATCTCCGCTGGAGTGAGGGGGTCAAATGGATGAGGAGGTGCCATCTAGATAATGTCTCGTGGTAGAATCACAGTATCTCCAGTATATTGAGTCAGAAACGGCCCCGATAACGAGTCTATATAGTTGCCGAGAATTGTACAGCCAAGCAAAGATAAGAACGGATTCGTGTCGATGCGGGGAAGTCGGCATATACGTCTGCTGAGATAAGATATGCTGGGTGGTTTTCGAATGGCTCAAAACGAGCTGACGGACAAATGTCCGACAAGTACCCAGCTTATTATAGTCCTGCCTTGACCTTACAGGATGGCAAGACTGGAATCCACAAAGGCTAGTAATAGTCGAATATCGACGATCATTATTCAGTGAGCAATTACTGATTCAGACCGACGAATGCGCGATATTCGCTAAGGTATAAGAGTAGCCGGCGCAAGACGTGGCATTGACTGAGCACGTAGGGGCGGAAATCCGCAAAAGGTTAGGATTAACCGGATATGACAGCCTCCACCTTCCTGGAATCGGATGTAAATTGACAAATGCGCGATATTCGCTAAGGTATAAGAATAACCGGTGTATGGCTCGATCTCGGCTTACCGCGTGGAGAGGGGAATCCGCTAAGGTAAGGAATAGCCGGGGATTAACGATCTTGGTTTAGCGGGCGGTTAACTTCAACTCGAAAGGTAAGGCGTTGTTCAAGTGGATATCCACTCGAATCGCAGTATCTTACTTTGTTAGAAGAAAATTCTCGATAAGGAAACATCAGGACATTGGGTAATTAAGGGTGTTGTCGGCACATTAGATGCCTTGTTTCCTTCATTATTCAAACGCTATATCTGACCAAAGCTTAGCAGCTTAGGAGAGTTGTTCTCATTTCATGCAACTCGTCCAACATCGCTATATTTTGGTACTTGCTGTGCATTGAATCTCCCTTCCTAGCTCACAACTATTTATCCTGCTTAGCCTTCCACTCCCTCGCACAGTTCTCATAAGTAACAAACTCCACTTCATCCCCCTTCTGCTTCAACCATGTGATCACTCGGTCAATCATCCCAATAACATGAGCCATACCACTCGTATCAGGGTGCAAGACCAGAGGGAAGACAAAGTCCTCGGTCTCGTTATAGAGGAACTCGAATCGAGACTTCCAGTTCTCTTCAATCGCAGTTGGGCTGACGAATCCGTGAGAGTTATTGCACGAAGGGATAAATTGCATCGGCGTCATGTCCTCCAAGTACCAGTTGCAAGGGATCTCCACGAGGGTCTTGTCTGTTCTGGGGCCGGCCGTCGCAAGGGGCTTCATCCATGTGGTGGCCGATTGAGAAGGAGAAAAGTCAATCGGCTTGATAGGCGGAAGCTCAGGGAGGAAGTACAATGCCGAATCGTGATGTGTGAGGGAGGTATCTGCTTTGGAATTAGTATCTGAAACGACTCTTCGGCAATTGGAATACATACCGTACAAGAACCCAAACTCTTCCAAGACCTTCACCGTATGCTCTCTCAGCAGATAGAGCGGTGCTCTCCAGCCGCGCGGCTTCTGCCCAGTCAACTCAGTTGCAAGCTGAACACACTTGGTGATAACCTCTCTTTCCTGCGCCTCTGTCATTTGAGCAGCACCCTCGTGTGCGTAACCATGGCATCCGACCTCAGCGCCAGAATCAACAATCATTTTGGTCTCGTTGGGGAACGACTCCATCGAATGACCTGGCACAAACCAAGAGACCGACGAAGAAATTCCATGCTTCTTAAAAAGTCGTAGCAAGCGCGGTACTCCCACCTGAGCTGCAAAATATCCACTGCTATAATCGGACAGGCTGTTGTTTTCAGATGCTCCAGTTCCAAGGAAGCCTGAGACAGCATCAAAGTCAACAGAGAGAAGAATTTGAATGCGTCTCTTTTTGGTCATGACAGGTTGAGTGATGTTCGCTGTCATGGCATTTGCTTGGATAGGAGTGTTCTCTTTACCCAGCACTTCATCTGCCCTCCAAATCACACGCCCCTCCATGCCTCCATCGACAGAAAGGCATTGTCCAGTGATGTGCCCAGCCGCTCGATGACTGGCCAGGAACGCCATAGTACGTGCGACATCTTGGGGCTGTGCGATCTTCTTGAGTGGGACCGTAGCCTGAGCCTCATTCCACATCTCCTTAGGGTCATCCAGTCTCCCGGCGATCAGAGGGGTATCAACCCATCCAGGTGCGACGGCATTAATGCGTGCTTTCGAGTTGATCTTGACGATCTCATTCTTAACCCCGCGAACAAGCCCGTACTGCAGGCCCGCCTTGCCAGAGGCATACTCGGTATGTCCCGCTTGGCCAAACTTGCCAGTCTCGGACCCAGTGACGACGATTGCCAGATTCTCGAGCTCCGCGTTGCCCGCCGCGCTCTGGGCCTCCTTAGCACTTTGCAAGAAGTGTTTAATGGTGAGGAATGTACCCCGAATATTGATGTTATAGGTCTTTTCCCAGATATCCAAGGGAATCTCCCAAATGTTATATTCAGAAGACTCGTCGGTGATTCCAGCATTGGCAATCAAAATATTGATGGGTCCGAAATGCTCCACGGCAGATTTGATACCGGATGCAACTGACTCCTCAGATGAGATATCTCCAGTCACAGCAAAGAAGTTGGAGCTGTTTGCAGTAGTCGGTGCAGGGACCTGACGGAGGTCGTGCCCTGTAACCTTGCACCCTTGGCCTAGACACAGCTTATCAGCATGGGTTCGTGATAGCGCCACCATGATAAGGGAGTCTCTTACCAAGGAATTCTTTGACTGCTTCCTGGCCGATGCCACCGGCTGCTCCGGTAATGAAGACATGGTATCCTTCGATTCCGAGGAAACTCATTGTGGACTCAATTGATCTGATCCCAGGGGCAAGTTGTTGGGTGTGAGTTCTGGCAACTGCTCTCCGAAAGGCGCGGGGCGGGGTATGTCCGCTTTATATGGTGGCCGGGTGGATCATCTTGGTCTGACCAAGAAAAAAAGTCATCCACGATTGGCTCCGGATACTTGAAGAGATTGATGTAAAAGGGGGCTTAAGCTAGCTTCTTCGGTGCTCCTCTTTTATTTTGGGGGTATAGACGAGAAGGAAAAAAAAATTATCGGAGGCCAGCCAGGCTTATGGTGGCTGTTGTAAGTCCTAACAGGAGATCTTGTCACATCCCAAACATCTCAATTCTCAGAACGTAAGCTCCGTAAGCCTCCCTCCCATACCTCGAAATCCACCTTGTTAGCCCTTCTACCTGTTGTCTGTCCCCAATCTTGACTTTCGTTCGCGCCGGGATCTTGCGCACCAGCTGTCCAGGGGGCAAAAACGAGTTTCATGGTTCGCCGTGTACTGTGCTCAATTGCAGGAGGCTCCATAGGTATTGGCAAAGGAGTTCCCTTGTTAATGGAACTTGGGGGCTGATCCGTCTCGTTGGCCAGCTTAGAATCTCCTTCGGACTTGGCGGTATGGGCGTCACTGGCTGAGGAACTGACAGTGGTGTGTTTGTTCACTGTTGCCTCCACGCTGTTCTCTTGAGAATCCTCCTTTTCTGTAGGGGTAGGAGCCAGATAGGAAATAGCACCACTATCCCAAGGCGCAGCCACCGAGCGTCTTTCCTCCTTCTTCAAAGCAATTCGACAAGCAATCTGTGTCGACCAAAAATATCCCAACGCCGGGGTCTTGAGATTCCTTTCAAAGTGCGAACCATCACCCCATCCGGTGAAAAACCGCTCTTGATGTACCAGGCTCAGAATACTATTCCGAGCGGGGTTTTCGATGATATATGAGCCATCAAATTTCTCATCATCTGGGGCATGGTACGAAGATGATGGAATTGCCTGGGATGAGGAAGGCCCTTGGCTAAACTGGGACAATTGATCAGTATTGTCCGATCTGGTCCTCTGTAACGGCGATGAAGTCCCGGCTTCACGCGCCACAGCACTCTGGCTCTGGATCGATGGAAAGCCTGATCGCGAAGCCGGATCGGCACCGATACCCTCCACGGGCTCAAATCGATCGGAGACTTGATTCGCTAATATAATGGCAATGTTTTCCTTTGCGGCAAGGTTGCGCAACAATTGTCCTAGCTTGGCAAGCTCGGTGGAACGGGTAGAGATGGCGAGGATAGTGTTAGAGGAGTGTTCGACACGATAATTGGACGTGACAGAATCAATGATCACCAGGCCAACGTTATAATTTGCCAGAGCGACGGGAAGCTGGTAGTTGAGGATGTGGTCTTGGGATTCCAGGTCCATCGCGTTGATGGCAAGAATGTTCTCGAGAGTCGGCGCCTTGTTGGCGGGGAGGGTGGATAGTTGTGGGTGGCATTCGAGCATTTGTGAGAGGCGACTTGTTGCGAGAGGGTGTTCAGTTGAGATGTATACAGCCTGCGACGGTAGGCCATCTCGCTCGACCAATTGAGCCGCCAGAAGAAGGCTGAGGAGGAATTGGGTCTTGCCGCTGCCACTGTAGAAAAAAGTTGACTAAGTCAGAGCTCATACCTTTGATCTCAAGCTCAATATTCCTTCAAACGTACCTTTCGCCCGTTACCTCCGTCACATATCCCATTGGTATCCCACCTCCCAGGAGTGCATCCATTGCGGGGTCTAGCGTGCTGATCGTGCTCCATCGCGACGCCTGGAGCTTCGTGGAAGGCCCGGGTGTGGCGGTAACTGTATCTGGGTTGATGCTGGAGCTTGGCTCAGCATCTGAGGATGGTCCTATGTCTGCTCGGCTCTTCTCAAATCCAAGGTCGGCGTGGAGCGCCTCGATGACCTGGGCGGAGAGCCGCCGCACGTCTGCCGGGGGCACATGGGCGCGTTTCGCGATCTCGAGCGTCTCGAGCGTGATGAGGTCGACGGTGGTAATCTTACTTCGCTCGAGCGGAGGTATAATATGTGCATATGATTTCGTCGAGAAGTCTGGGAGAACAGATAGAAGATCCATAAGAATGCAAGGCAACGGACAGGTTGGGGACCTTCTGGCGCGTCGCGATTATCCAAGCTTCTATCGCGTGGGGCCAATCACGGCGAGCCTCCAAGGGACAAATAACAGGCGAGGAACCTCGGGTCAAACGCGCTTTGATTCGGAGTTTCTCTTAAGAATTCGGATAGACTGGATGCGGAGGAATAAGTGCTTGAATTAACATGGCCTGTCTGAGATGTCCTGATCATTTATTTGTGTTAGGGATCAGATGAGCACCACAAGTTGCCAACATACATATATGTGGTCCGGCAGCGTCCATCCACGACATCCAAATCAATCATAAATCATATACTGGCTGAGAGAATTACGAAAATGGTACCACAAGCAGTCCACATTTAGACACCAGTATACAAGATTGGAAGTTATCTACGCCATGATTCTGGGAAAATGGTAATGGTTGATGGTACGGGACAAAAACACACTTGGCTCCTCACAGGTATCCCTAGATAGTCTACCAAGGTTGGGCACCTGAAAGAGGTATCCGAAACGAATGTGAAAATATGGATGATCTTGTAGAAATGCTAGAACCTCAAAGCTAATGATTGTCTATCATTCTTTTCCAGCCATCGTTCATCGTGCATCGGAATATAGGACATATTGACAGCTGCATTTCCAGAAAAGGCAGGATGTTGGAGTCCTCTTTACAAATATTTTTCAATCAAAGTCTCGAGAAAGATGAACTAGACAACCTTCGCATACACACGAGTCTCATACCTTATGCGTTGAGTCCTCGAAGGTCGCAAAATTAGAGAGCAAGTGGACAAAGGCCGAATAACGAGAGACAAACACCGTCATGACTGAAACCGAGTGGTGTTTTCAAACTGGGGCTTATAGATCTATCTTCAAACGGCTTTTGTTTCAAATGTAGACTGTGTAGTATATAAGAATAACAATTCAAACCCTTGAGCTCCATAATGGTCTCATATTCTCTCCACCCTTTGAAGAGGGCGCAGTAAGCGATGCGACCTCAATGACTACAACAGAAGACCGTCGCATCAACGACACCCGGTTGAAGTTTCGAGGACAAACCCGATAGTGATCAGTTTCGGCCGAAACTTTGGGAATCGCTTACATGTCCGTAATAATTAACTACCCCATCTAGCATGCTTTGTCAATAAGCGGATAAGCGAAGAACTAAACGGGATGCCTCGATTTTGCTCCATCCCAAAGCGTCACTTTTTTACGATCCTTTTTACTACTCCGCCAATATGATCGTTGCTAAGAAACGCCGACTTGGCTCTGTACTCTTCATCTGGAAAGCTGGTGGGATTAAGGCTGGGCACGCGGCTCGCGGCCAACCCGGATAGGAAGGTCAGTCTAGAGGAGCCTTCTGTCTCAAAGAATCGGCGATGATAGGTCCGTACCTTCCAGATTCAACTTTAAAAAGCTCTCAGTACGAGAGTATTTGTCAGTATTATTAGGTTGTTTACAGTACTACAGTCGCGATTCAGGTCTAGATATCACTGGTCCCTATTGAGCCTCTAACTACGTACTGGGACCGATCGCATTAAGTACGGATCAAGCGATCATTAACTCGACGCACACAAGAAATGACACAGATACTGTACTCCGTACAGACTTTACAATGACCTTGTGTACAGCCTTGAAATTGTACGGTATTCAATTTCGTACTGGCATGACGACGATCAACCCACTAGTCTCCCTAGCCTAACCGATGGAGGCCTTGGATTGGGCAGGTAGATCAAGTGGATGCCGTGATCTGAGCAATCACAACCATGATCCTCGATGGAGGAGGGGGTCTTCGCATGGCATGGCATCGGGGATTCGGGATCCTCCACTCTTCAAGACTAGATGATACAGTACTATCATCATGTCTGTAATGTGCCGTGTTCTTCAAGGTTGTGGTTCGCATGGTTTGTGTATTACTTCTCGAAGGTAAAAGGCCTGAGCACGAATCCTGCGCTGTAGGGCTTTTCTATTTCTCTGTATGTTTATTTACCGAGTCCGTCTGGTTAATCTAGTTTTAATCTACTGCCGACCCTGTTTTGGTTGATGGTGTGCTCTAGGGTGGGTATCGTGAGCTCCATCGTTTAGTATGGCCACGTGGTGGTGGCGGCGGATCGCCTGGGCTCACTGATCGCGGACAGTTCACGACATCTCGTGAACTTGGGATTATTTAGTGGCACAATGTGTCAATACTTACCGATAGATCATAGTAGAGAGTACAAGATGGATTGAATGACTCGAGGATAGATATGGATAGAAGCGGCAAGGACTGGGAAGAAAAAGGTACCCCATATGCATGTTGCTTACTGTGAAATAGCCAGGGAATGGCTTCTAGCTGCTCCATCCTTGAGAACATGCAACGATCGCTGTGCAAATAGAGGGTTTGCACTCGTGCATCCTATCAAACCTTACATCATAGACTTCAGTGACAGAAATCGAAACTGTTGAGATGCACTCGGCCAATCATACATACACCTGCATCTGCATAGTGAAGCCAAGCGGCTGCCTTGTAACCCAAGGGCTACCCACGACTCACGATTGCATTATGATACAAGTTCCAATCCGCCGACTTTAGCACGGACTAACGGGATGGTTTAAATGGTGGCCATTAAACCATATCAAAACCTCTTTATTCGCGGCAGTTATGTGGCTGGCTGCAAGCCCCTCAACCTCTATAGAGGACTGTACTTCGTATCATCGATGCCTACACCAACGCGCGTTCTAACCGCGCCAAATCCCGAAACCTCCCGCCAGATGTCAACGGTCCTCGTTCACATGACTGTTTTGCCCTGTCGACAGGCTGCAACCAAGGCAACAGCAAAGGGGGCTAGTCCGACTGGTTAATTAGTCGTGGCTTCGGTGACAGGGGTGAGCTAGGGGCCCGCGCAGATCTTTCCCTCCAGTGGTTTATTTACTTGCCCAGAATTCGAGGGATGGTTGGGGCCGCGATTGATAGGATGAATATCCCTTAAAGTTGTAGTGGATAGCCGTTGCTGTTGTTGCGTATTTAGCCACACGTACCAGGGCTTGAATACCCAGTCAATCGGGCAGATGCAAAGAACTGTATGCTGGGGGGCTTGATCCCGTTGCAACCCCTTCTGGAAGAGATGACGACCTCGGCGGAGCTGGAGGTGTCAAGAGTAGCAAGCACGAGGCCGTTGTCGATCACTGAATAGACAAAGACCAATATACACTCCGTACTTGGGTTACATTTCATATCTTGAGTTCATCCTCGACCTTCCGAGTATGTACAAGATGGTGTATCTCCGTGCCAAAGGGCGTGGGGTCTATAAACCGCTTTTCGATGAATTAGGAGTAAAATGCGACGTGAAAGTGATCCCTGCTCTTTGAGAATACTTCCCAGCCATCTGAAAGAGCAGGATCCTAGATGCTGATACCTATGTGAGTTCGGCTCTGCGAGATCCGTAAAAGCTACCTGTCGTTATTTATGCTGGACTCGGAGGTTTCGATGACCTCGATATTCCCGTAGACAGAGGTAGCATAGGCAACATGTATTTGACTTGAAAAGAACGCTGGGGTTGATCTGCTTCGGCCGAAAACAAGCCCATAGCGGCATAACCTTGCCAACTCCCTTGTTCCAGGTAATCTCTACCGTCACGAACGGATTCCGCGCCAGAGAACGCGACATTTACAGTACAGGATGGCCAGCGTATCATGAAAGCCAAGTGCACTACCTCGAGTCATGCCCTTCGGTCCGGGCTTCTCTATAGGGTAATTGTCAATCTCTTCCCCTAGATAGTCTGAGACGTCGTCTGGGGGACATAATAGTGTAAGAACACGGGTGTCGCTTGACGGATATCGGTAGTATCAGGATCAAAGAAATGATACTCAGATTAGTGAACACTGAACACACCCCAAAACGAGTGGTGGTCTACCCGCATAATCTCCCATGTTCTCCGACTTCCCCGGTACAAGGCAGAAGCCCAGGGAACGTTATCAGCATGATCTTCCATAGAAGGAACATTATGAACGACGGAAACGCCATCGGTATGATCGTCGCCCTCTTCTTCCATGTCTTCAGGGGAGATATCTCCCCGTCCATAGAGGGAACATCATGAACGACGGAATACGGAGTACTGAAAATCGAATGACTCCACTTCAAGCGCATCGCGCTAGACCGTTAGACGTCGCCTTGGCTGGCGGAAGATCCCTGTCGTGTACGGTACGGTAAGACCAGGGTAAGCAAAACTAAATCTGCAGGTTGCAGTCGCTATTTTTTCCCGTTTCCGCTTAGCCCTTGCCTTTTAAAAAAATACAACGGACTAACTGTACCGCTCTCAACGGTCTCAGTATCATGACAGGCCGTTGCTGACCTGAACTAGGGCAGAGTAAGTAGTTCGGTGCGGACCGTCGTCAAGGTGGGGGGGCGGCCACGATCCCGGTGTTTCCCCATGTTGGCCGGACTGGCACGAAGTATTGTACATCCAATCTGCAAGCAGTGTTTTGATACACGGTCGGGCCAACCGATCCTCGCTGCCCCCTTGATTGACATCATTTGCGAGTTTGGGAGTTTTGCTTTTGCGGCGGAAACATCTAGCGGATACTTCGAGCCATACAGGATTGTCCATAGACATTTAAACAGTGGTGAGGCACGATTACGGAGAATAGAATCTCGATAGCTCATATTTCAGTTCCTCTCAAGAGCTTCCCAGGCGCAAGCGGCGCTGAGCCACCAGCAAATCACGACTGCGAATCAGGCGGAAATGGTGGCTGCGCCAATGGGGAGCGGGTATTTGGCGATGATCAGGATTGAAAAGGGATGTGTAGATCAGGACTGACCGCACGAACGACCCGCTCGAGACGGGCTGGACTGGATAGTCTACTGCATACTGAAAAGTGAGAACTGAACAGACTCTTGTGGCAGCCTGAGGTAGTCGTTGGTGGCGTTCTCCTGCGGCCAAGACATGCCCATTGAGGACCAGGATCGGTGGTTTGATAGGCTTCGGAGCGGGTTCGGGCTTGTTATGACAAGGGGGGAAGTGAATCAAAACGGGCCTGACTACGGAGACTCGTACATATTCCGTCTCAAGCTGGGGCCGGTTCCTGGGGTTATTTTTGTTAATAATGTTTACTAGTTAACTAGTTAGTTAACTAAGTTACTCCGTAGTTAGTTACGTCTCAAGCTGAGTAAAGCAATCGGCGTGGGCCAGACGGACAGAAACTCATTCCGATGGTGCTAGAAGGCCTTTTCAGATGCTACAACGAAACCATTATTCGTCTACTTGATCGTCTAGTTACAATGAATCGAGCAAGGAGAGACCTGCGAGATCTGATCGGAGTGTCACTGTCCTCATTCTGACGAGGAAAGCCCGATCTGGCTCAGGTTTAGGCTTGGCAATTCATCACAGAGTCATGGCCGACGAACGGTCAATGGTGAAGACGGAGATTCCATTGGTATCCAAGCTGCCTAGCCTCGAAATGCCTAACAATCTATCTATCTGTACGGAGTGTACGAATGGTATGTGACCGTCGGTACATAGTATAGTCACCATACGGGGTGTTCCTACTCAATTAGGGACTAATGTCTGCACCACGTCAGCGGGGAGGAATGTGTTGCTGGCATTGCATGGCCCCCAGTTTCCCCTTCGGCAAGGAAGACAATTATACCATCTATTGCCCTGGTGAAAGCGATATGGTTTTAGCAACTATATTCATAAGGCTACAGAGGCTTGTCCCCTCATCATGGTTGACGTTGAAAATAAAGAAAGGGGGATCTCTCCGGTCCGTTGGGCTGGGATTTGTGGCAGCCACCCAGCACCCTCAACAAGCGCGGAACGTGGAGTCGGTCGCTGTCCCAAGGTTGCGATCGTGAGCAATGCTCGGGTAACCCAGCAAGCAATCGGAGTGATACGCTCGGGCTGTGATCGCATTTTGCAGAAACGTAGGGAGAAGGGGAGGGGGAAGGGGGGTTTAGAGTCGAACGAGCTAATAAGAAGTCAGAAACACAAACACAGGGCCAACCAAAACCCGTCGTAAGCAGCAAGCCTGTGCGCAGATGGAAAAAGAAAAGAGAGTAGCAAGTCCAAAGGTACAGTATGTGGTGGAAACAGGATTGGCCATGATGGAAGTGACGCTCCGGATCACCCAGGATCTACGGGTCCAGGGGCCCAAAGACCAAAGGCTGGGAACCGACCATACTTCTTTTCGATGATGACGGGACCCGTCCGGTGGGAAAAGGGGAACCAGACAAAAGATTAAATTTTGAATTCAATATAATTCATAATCATGATGGCGCTATAAGATAATAATAATACTGAATACTGAAACAAAATAAAATACGGAGCCCTCTTTTCCGTACAGTATGCGACTATCAGATCATTCATTTCATGCTGAGGCCATGCATCCAAGGATCCGTTCTTTATTTACGCCTAGGGACAAAATACCGCTGGCCTGCGTATCTTTGAAACGGAAATCGGGAGTCTTTTTCCTTTTATTATTCCTCCAATCTCTCTGAGCCGTCCGTTTCTTTGTACTTTTGGTTGGCATCGCACGAAGGAGCCCGAACGGCCTACGCTAGCACCAACTGGGTCAAGTTCGAGGAAGCTTGCCTGAGACCGCAGATCACACCCGATAGCCCCGAAATCCGCGAAAGAGAAAAGAGAGAATGTGCATCCAAGAATGGGCCCCCCATCAGCTCATCCATGGATAGAGCTGGCCGATAGATAAGATGGGACCTTGGTTTATCATTTAACCGACTCATAGAATGGCCACAGATGGGAACCATAGGCATCATAGCAAGGCATCGCGCCTGTTTTTAGAAAGCCTGGGTAACTAAGAAAATAATCAACAGCCCAGTCGTTGTGGGACAAGCACCATCTCTATGATTATTATTATTATTATTATGCTGCTGATGATGAGGGCTGGCCATAAATATGTATCGTCATCGTATGTATCAATACGGCCATACCGGGCCCTGCCATTCGTGCCACAGTCCAAGACTGAGGTACTTCTGTACTTCTGTACGGAGTACTGTACATCAATCTTGTATTGGCACTGCCATACCTCCCCGTACCGTACGAAGCACCTCGTAATTTGACGATTCCTCGATTTCGCCCAGCAAGTCACGGCTGAGTCTGAGAGCCTGCCTTAGTGTCAACTGTTCCCCCCTCTCGACTTTCCCCCTTCACCCTCCTCTCATCAACCTCCAACTCAACTCTCGCCCTTCGCGATAATCCTTTTCGCTCTATCCCTCAGGGCCTCTTATCCAGCGGAACCCTGTTCAACACTTCTCGACATCCGTCCAGTTCGCAGGTCCCAAACATCCCAGCCCGACCGCCGCCCATTGACCGCCTGCAATCGTGATCCAGCAAGGGTTGAATCCCCCGACCAAGGCCACCGGGAAACAAAGAAATTAAGATAACCACCACGCTTGGGAGGACTGACCAGGGCCGACAACCTTTCGAGCCCGACTCGATTCCGATCGGGTTGTGCATCAGAAACGTACAGGAGGAAATTCACGTCCATGTACGTCGCATGCGTGAATCCTTCGACTTGAATCGACTGTTCCACCGCTTCACTGCGTCCGATTTACTGATATCGTTGCGACCGATAGAAAACATCTTTGGAGGACGATAATTATTTCATAACATACCCAAAATGGCGACCCGACCACCCATGATGCCGCCTCATAATGAAACGCAACACTCCGTCAGCCGAATCACTCGCGAAGGTAAAAAGCTCACATACAATTTGAGTGTGATGCAACAACCCGAGCGGGCCAGAGCCTGCGGGGCTGGCGCTAAATGTAAGTTGTCTCGCTCCAAGTCGAACCCGACCAGGGGTTGTTTGCTGATTATTATCATCATCAACAGCGTCGGCCGACCGTCGCCCCGTTGACCCTCCACCCGTGGTTGAACTGCGGATTTACGAATCAGATCCCGCCAACGAGGCACAGAAAACCGATATCACCTTCGCCTATAATGCCAATTTCTTCCTTTACGCAACCTTGGACACGGCGCGCCCCATCGCTCACGGGCGGGTGGCTGGTCCGCCGTCGTGTCCCGTATTAACAGGAGTGCCCGTCGCGGGGGTAGCATATCTCGACCGCCCATCCCAAGCTGGCTACTTTATCTTCCCCGATTTATCAGTGCGCCATGAGGGTCGATACCGTCTGAGTTTCCATCTATATGAAGAGATTAAGGATGCTAAGGATGCTGATCAAGATTCAAACACGCCACTACCCAACCAGGTAGGCCGCGCGAATTCAGCAAAGCCTACCTCACCACAAACATACTTGCATTTCCGCCTCGAGGTGAAGTCGGTCCCATTCACCGTCTATAGCGCCAAGAAGTTCCCGGGTCTGGCTACTAGCACATCTCTGAGTCGCATCATTGCGGAACAGGGATGTCGCGTTCGCATTCGTCGCGATGTTCGCATGAGACGCCGGGGAGACAAGCGAGATGAGGAATACGAATATGACGAAGGAAGTACGGCGGTGTACCCCCGGTCCGATCGGTACTCGACGCCAGATCGTTACGTCGCACAGACAGTGGAACGCCCTCGGTCGAACAGCAATGGCAGTGGTGCGATGGAGTCGCCCTATGGATTTGGACCCGATATACAACGACGACCTTCAGCTCCCGACTACGGCTTCCAATGCCCACCACAGCCCTACCAACGGCCCATGCCACCCGCGCCTATGCCTCACGCCCAGACCCCCTCCTACTCATCCCACCTTTCCTTTGGCTCCACACCCAGTCACTATCCTGCTCCTCACATGCCTCCAACGCCTCCGCCAGTGGCACCACCGGGCACGTACTCTCCTCACACAGGCTATGCCAATATCCGACATCCCTCAGCTGCAACCGAATACGAGGCGTCACCCGTAGGGTATCCTATGGCACCCCAGATGACCGAACCGAGCGGTTATCCAAAGAACACCATTACCTCATACCGCGTGGAGCCGCCCAAAGTACAACAATACATCGTGCCTGATCCGTCTCAATACCAGACTATGCCTCAGGGCATGATACCCAGCGCACCGACACCAACACCTGGCCTTTCTGCTTACCCTGCACCTTCTCTCAAGAATATGTCCAATGAGTATGTGAACCTAGATACAACCATCGAGGTTGGCTCACCGAGTCCCGGATACGATGCCGTTTCAGGGAAGCGGATGCTGTACCATACCGGACCCGTTGGCGGCAAGCGATCACACGAAGATTCATTCGGGCTTGATGACCGGTCGATGCAAAACGGCATGCGTCCAGACGTGGATCCCTATCCAACTGCCTATCGTGACTTCTCTGCCGAGAGTCGCGCTGCCTTGATTGCTGAGCTGGGAGTTGATATGGCATACAAGCGTGCGAACGGGAGAATGGTCATGAAAGTTCCTCCAAACGTGCAATAACGTCGTCTCTCAACACAATTCTCCTTGCTCTGAGAAATGAGTCTTTCTGCTCGTGATCATTTGATCTCAGAGGGTGTTTTCAATCCTGCTGAGTCGGATCAGAAGGGGGCTGTTCATCCCTGGGTTGGGTTGACCACCCCCGGAATGGCGCCCTTTTGCATTTTCTTTTCCTGTACATGAATTCCTCACCCTCCGTGGATCTTCCTTACCTGATGCCTAGATATTTGGGATGCATTGCTCCAGGATGTCTTTCTTTGTTGTTCTGTCCATGTTCCATTGGTCTGCGTGGAAACCGGTTGGTCAATATTGGGGGGTTATGGTTGCTTCGATCTTTCTATCTCTATTCCCCGATCTGTTGGTTGATCTCTCTGTCTGTCTTCTCCCTACACATTCATTCTTGTGGGGAATATCTGCATTGATGTTCTTTTTTCTATCCATTTACTCTCATTTCTCACGGGTGGTCAAAAGGTTGGTTTCGAGTCTTTCTCATCGTTTGTCCAGCGATTGATGTTTCCTGCTGCAATTTTGGACCTTCTCTTGGGAGGAAGAAGGACTGGGTATATTTACGAAAGTGCATCTTGAAGTGACGTTGCGATGTTGCGATTCCCTTGCTTGTTTGTGTTTGTCCACTACAGCGATCTCGATCTCTTCCGCTTCTTGAGGACTCTTTGGCTGAATCTGTGTCCTCTCTGGTTACTGGGATCTGTTTGGCGTTGTGGCATCTCTTTGATACCTATTCTAGCATTGCTTGGCCGAAATCGGAATATCCTGATTATGATTACCGGCATGGAATGATTGTAGACACTATCGATTGTTCTACGTAGGTGTATAGAGTAGAGTATACAAGGAGAGTTTGCGTTCAACCTCCCCCGGAGGCCGGAGGCTCTGATGATTTATCCATCTATCTACAGTATTCCAGACTCATTGCATTCCCTCTATTCATTCCTCGGGGAGCAGTTTGGGCACATGTTCCGTCTGAGACACGCGGAATCCTGGCAAAGGTCCCGATCGATCTGCCCCGCAAGGTCGAAATCCCTTTATACCTGGATGTCCCTGCATTATTGTTCCTTCGAGAAGGAAGGAGTTTAGTATGTCAATAGTCGATGGGGATTGTTTAGAAACATTCTATTCCTAGCTGGCACTCGTCATGTGGATAATTATTATCAAGTCGATAATACCAGGATGGTTGGTGGGTAGATGGTAGTGTTGTTTCGTAGCGAGTACTTCCCGAGACTGGGTGGGTTTGGTCCCCACATCAAAACAAACTTCCTCCCTGGGAATTGCGTGGAGTATGCGACAACACGCCTGACCGCTACTGGCCATTCTGGACTTTTAATACCTTTGACACCTCGTCGACCCTAACAGAAACATTTGCTCTCCTGTTTCCTATTGATCTCGTTGCCTGTATCTAGACGGCTGTTCTCATGCTGCACCGCCTGGTCAGCTCAGCGCAGTACTGAATCTCTCCTGTCTGCCCGCCCCACGGACGCGGGGAGCAAGCAGGGATAATGAAGGACGTGTCTGGCACAATGGTGAGTTTCTTATTCCCCCTGCCCGATACTGTGGCCTATGATCTGGTTCCCCTTGGGGGACTTTATCTCCCGAACACCTCGAAAACAGCGAATCTGACTCGTTCGACGCCACATCTAGGCACCTTCCGACACCGTCGATATGGACATCGACTCGAACCCCGCGCACCAGCGCACCTCACGGAAACACCTACGCAGCAGTGACGAGGAGGATGACGCGCCGGATTGGAGCTCGGATGTCTCCGGTCGCTTCGATGATGCCGCCGAGGAGCCCGAGCTGGAAAACTACAAGTCACCTTCAGCAAAGTCGGTGAAACGGCGTCGCTCCAATGATTGGCCTTTGCCCGAAGAGGCTGCAGACTATGGACACCATGATCGCCGACACGTTCGCATTGCCCATGCGGCTGGGCCCATTGCATCTGGTTATCGAGCGTCCCCAAGGGCATCGCCTCGCACTTCGGTTGCCTCGCTGCGTGGTCGGCATGGAGGCGCATCGACTAATAGCCCTCGTATGCGGCTAGGTCGGCGGTCGCGGTTTGTCGAGGCGACTATGTCGGATAGTATCAGTGAAAAGCCGCCGAGTATCTTCATGCAGGATGCGAAGCCGATTGGACTGCGGCAACGGCAATCGGGAATCTTTAGATTTGGCAAGGCAATCGCCTCGGCGTTCAACCCGTTTGGAGGTTGGGGCAAGGGTGCTGCAGAGAGTGCCAGTCCAGGGCCTCCCAAGGATGCTCTTAGCCAAGCAGAGCAGGCCTATGCTGAACTCAAGAAAGCGGGATACAAGGGCACTAACAAGGGTGCTTACCTGCAATCCAAAACCAATTCCAACTCCCACTGTGCCGTTGACCCGACCCACGCCGACCAGACATGGCAAGCAATCCAAGCCAAGATGAATTACGATACAGGCGTGACTGGCACTACTTCCCAATCGGGCGATCGAGTCGAGATTCCTACGCCTTCACGATCTGCATCCAAATCTTCGAAACGCTCGTCCTTTCAAGACCTGCGGTCCCTTGGACTTCCATTCATGCGGCATCATGATCAGTCGTCAATGACCTCCATCTACCAGGAGCAGACGTCAGAGGATTCGATTGAGAATACCGGACTTCGCAAGCAAAAGTCTCGGAAAGAACTCTCGCGCCAGACAAAGCTGCTCAAGAAAGTAAGCAACCTTGAGGACAAGCTGGAACGGGCCCGGCGAGAGCTTCGCCAACTATCCGGCAACGAGGAACGACTGCCTTCAACGACCCCAGACCGAAAGTCCATGAGCCTCGATATGGACCCTGGCAGCTATCCTCGCAAATTTGTGCCTGGCGCTCTTCCCACTCTTCCTTCTGAACGACTCCTAGATCAACATGCCGTGATCTCCGAATCGCCCGAGGCCATGACTTCCGAACTAACCGCTTTACCCTTTGTGGAGGGTCGAGGAAGTACCTCGCTTGAGGAATCACAACCGTCGTACAGAACTGCTGCGTCTCGGTCGCCGAGCAGACGCCCACGAGAGGCGCGGTCATCGTTTATGAGTAAGGAAAGCTCTTCCCGCAAACGGAAGTCCCCCGTTCCTGAACATCTCGATAGTCGGAGCCCGAAACCCTACGAGTCCCGTCTGGCGAACCGCATCGACGTCGACATCAACCCCAACGACGACCGTCCGCCAGAGCAGGATGACGACCTGATCGACTTTGGCCTCCTCAGCCCCCCGCGTCAGGCAAAGTGGCAGAAATTTGAGGCCGGCGATAGCCCTGGCTCCGTCGAGCGCAAGCGCAACGTGGACCCCTCTGCGCGAGACGCACCAGGTTCAATGCGCAAAAGGTCCCCATCCGTCAAGCCCCGAAGGTCTTCTCCGGCCGTCGCCCGCTCAGCAAGATCCAAGGCCGTACAATCATCGCCACTGCGTATGAGACGTGGTAATTCGAAAACGCGCTCTGTGTCGCCTACTATCGCAGCGGTCATCCCTAAATCGCCTGCCGCGGCGGCGGCTGATGATGACGATGTATTCTCGTCGTCTCCTGCATGTACTCAAGCATTGCAAGCGTTTTATCTACAGCCGCACCGTCAACTAGACCCCGATCGGAGCCCGCACTCGTCACCGACCAAGTCCAGCTCGAGTCGGAAGCGAAGATGGCACGATAGTGACATTCCGCCTGTTCCACCCCTGCCCAAAGAACTCTTGATGAATGCTGCCAAGATTAACACGTCACAAAAGAAGGAATCGGACCATGTGAAGGAGCAGGATGAAGCGCTTGAGCTGCAGACGTCTACTGTGCAGAATTTGAAACCCTCTGCCCTGGAGAAATACCCATGGCCTGATGATTTCTTTTGAGATTGGCTTGTGAGAAGGGGAGAATGGGGATTGATTGTCATGGTTTCATTCAGCGTTCCTGGTGTGTAGACCTACGTGATGTCACGATGTTACGACTTATACCCTGGAGTTTGGTTTGGGCTGTCGGCTTTGTCTTGTGGAGTTTTTGTAGGAATTCATGATGTGAACTTTCTCGTTTCATATTTCCTTGTCATTGTAGAGGTTTGCGAATTGTGAAAATCTCGATCTTCTAGTCCCGATGAAGCTCGATAGGCTTCGGAAGAAGTAGCCAGCTGATTGCTGTGGCACCCAGTAGTCCAACCAGTATCGGCTGCAAGACCTTGACACCGACCTGTGCGGCGATGACACCTGTAATGGCCGGGAAAATGGATCCGCCGATTTGGCCGAGGACGAAGACGAATGCTGGTGAAGTTAGAACTCGTAGTGGATTATTTTGGGTTGCTTCGTGCTTACCGATTGCTGAGGAGACTATTTCTGGAGGAAACATCTTGGATCCGACAGAGATGCCCTGTGTATCATGATTAGCTGGATGTTGTATGCAGAAGGCATAGTGAATATGTACGGTTGCGAAGAAGGGGCCAGCGAAGAAGCCTAGCAGACTGACGGCGACCGCTTCGGTGATGATATTCGGAACCCTGGTATACCCATTCAGCATCCAATCAAAGAAATTCGTTCAAAACGGAGAACTCACAGCCAGAAAGCAAGTTGCAATCCAAGGCACACAACGGCATAGATGAATATCATACGGCGTTCTCCTAGTCGGTGAGTTGGCTCTGCGAGAAGCAGACGGCCCAGGAAGCCACCTCCATAGTAACCCGCGGGGACATAACCCATGTCTTTGACATCTCCATTCCGGACATTGACGAGGTACTCGACCATCCATCCACCGGAAGTAATACCCGCACCAAGGAAGAAAAAGAAATACAGACTCAGCAGCCACACACCTGGCATAGAAAGAGTGGCTTTGATTTCCTTCAAGGCAGTCTTCCCCGTCGACTCACGTTCAGACTCGGCAGTATCCGATCTCGATTTCCTCTTCGGTGACAAGAGCATTCGATCATGGAACGATAAGCCCACCAAAACCATATTAATAACTCCAACACCCAAGGGGAAAATATAAAACAGATTCCACTTTGAGTGAGCGTTCGCAGAGGCAACCGCCGTAGCAACGAAGGGCCCGACTAGACATCCAGCCATGTACATGGCATGTATGAAGCCGAGCCAGCGGTGGGCCCCACGCACGGAAGTAACAAACGTGTTAGCATGGGTGTCGTTGTATGCCTGGCCGAGACTTGCGAGGAAGAAGGTCACGGCGTACAGCGGGAAGGGCGGGAGCCAGGTACGTAAGACGTGGGCGAGGATTTGTAGAGTGGCGCCGAGGGAAAGGATTATGCCTAGATCGAGACGTTGGCAGATGAAACTGTTGGAGATGGCCGCGAATAGCCATCCGAAGAATGTAACGCCGTATCTGGTGGGGATTTGTGAGATTGTGTTCCTTGACTTTGGTGTCTATCGGTTGTATAATGGAGTGTAAGAGTCGGTTGAACCGATCACTTACAGTATAGCGACCATGTTCGTGTCGATGGCATAGCTGCGTATTATGTATGGAACCAGTGAGCCCAGACTGCCATCATTTATCCCGGCCATGAAGAATGAGACTCCGGCGCTGAGGAGCTTGGGGTAGAGCCATTTTGGCTGTGGCGGTTCCTCGACTTCTGGTTCCCGTAGAATGGTGGGTTCCTCTGACGTTGGCTCAGCTGGAGGTTTAGTTTGGAGGACGAAGCTCTCTGTCTGGGTTTGTGTCTGTGTGACCATCTTGGTAGCAAAGCAAAGCAAAGCTAAATTGGATAGGCCAAGACGGGGGTGCCAGAGGGAAAGTAGATTATTTAAACCTGGGAGAGGATCAATCTGTCTCGGAGGGAAGAGCGGCGGCTCGACGGGCCGGCTTCACGGTTGTGAACCCCACAATAGCTTGCTTCAATTCGTAACGCTTTATATGCTGGCATTTGGCAACGTGGCGAACGTGGAATTGGTGGTGTCGCCCGAGTGAAGATGGGGAAACCTCCGCTCGCATGTCGCAGCCAATCGGCCATTTGGCGATGGGCGGGGCTTTGTTGGTTGACCTGCCGAATCCGGGCAACCAAACCACTGGGGTCCACCTTATGAAGTCCATGTTCATGACGACTTTTATTCTGATATGTCCTGCAATTGCATTCAAGAACTTCAGTCCATCTTGTCACAGTTACCTTGTGGAAGAAAAAATGCTATGGCCCTCCTTTTTTGTCACAGGATGATAGTCAATTCGGGCTACATTACCTCCCATTCTGGGGACGCATCGGAAATGTCCGTCGTAGCTTTTTCTTTGAGAAGTGGTTCTAAAAGATTGCTTGGTAGGAGAATGATTGCTATATTGTTTGCTTGGTGACCTTGTATACGTCTGAAGGATAAGCTTGAAGTGTATTTCTAGTATATAGGCCAAGTCCGTTGCCATAAACAAAAGGTAGTTCCTCTATGCAACACCCTTGCTGCGAACTCTAGCTACATCATTGATCTATAACACCAGTCATATGGCTCGGCCCAGCTGCTTGGGCACAGTGATCTGAACTCCCAGAGTTTTTGCCGCGTGATAAACCCAGTCTGCTTGACGAAGGAATTGGCGTGCCAATAAAACAGCATCGGCCCGGGGAGCCGAGCCTGCTACCATTGACTCTGCAGCATGTGCTTCATCCAGATCAGACCCTTGCACAAGTTGACTTGCGGCAGTAGCCTCAGTGATCAATCCCACCGCCCCGATCAGTGTCTTTTGTCCGACTTCTCGGATTTCTTTCCGAATCTGGGCAGCAAGATCGATCTGGTAGTTGGTGTGAGGCTCCAGTGTCTGATCTTTGTGATTGCCTCCAGAGCTGACATCAAGGAAGTCAATACCCAGATCTGGAAGGGTCTTAGCAAGCTTGATTGACGACTCGATATCCCAGAACTCGGGAAATTTGCCGTCAAGCCACTCCGTCGCGCTGATGCGTAGGAATAGGGGCATGCTCTCCGGAATAACAGCACGAATGGCCCCCGAAATTTCGCGAAGAATCCTTGTTCGATTCTCGAATGTGCCGCCATACTTGTCTGTGCGCTTGTTGGTCACCGGGCTTAAGAATTGGTTGACAAGATAGCCATGTGCGCCGTGGATTTCGATCAAATCGAATCCTGCTTTGACAGATAGCTCAGCACTTCTCGCAAATGCCTTCACTGTCTCCTCCACCTCGGCAGTGCTCAGCTCGCGAGGAGGCCAGAAACTATCACCGGGTGCCCATGCCTGTTCCTCGCCACCGGATGGTCCGACAACATCGTGTGGCCACCCGCCCGCGGCTTCTCCGGCTCGAAGACTTCGTTTGCCAGCTTCCTGGGCAACCCAGGGTGGCATGCTGCTCGCTTTGCGACCCGCATGAGCCAACTGAATCGCAATTTTAGCACCTTGACTGTGAACAAAGTCCACGACCCGTTTGAGCGCCTTGAATTGCTCCGAGTCTGTGCCCTCTTGCCAAAGGCCCGAATCGTTGGGTGAGATACGACCATTTGCCTGTACGGCAGTTGCCTCGATGATGATCAAGCCTACGCCCTTCAGAGCGAGGTTACCAAGATGAGCAATGTGATAATCCGTCAATGCTCCGACAAAGGGTGACGATGGATCCGATTGGCATGAGTACATGCACATGGGAGCGACCATGATTCGATTTTTCAGCGTTAACTGGCGAATATGGAGCGGCCGAAATAACGTAGGAGTCGAGGGGTTCTCTGGCTCTGCTGCTGCCCCGCCATTGTTGGCAGGGGTGAAGTACGGTAGGCCATCATAACCAATGGCCCCGATCTGACTACTAGTGGGAGAAGTCATGGCTCTGTGTATTGGTAAAGTGATGGGAATTCGGAGAGGTGAGTGGAAACAAAAGGAACCAGGGCCCAGCGGACAGAAGAGTAAGAATGATAGTTTACAAAAAATTGGCTATGTCGACGACATTGATATTCTCTGGGATTTATCTTATCTCCCCCTAAAGAGCAGTGTAGTTAAGTTACCTCTTAGGCTTGGTAAGCAATGGCGTGAAAAGGCAATTTGTCAGACTGTCAGACTTTTTCGGCCACTTTACCAAACAAGCAGTTGTTGGTCTTCTCCGAATTGGGGAACGGGTACCTACCACCGGCTTTGTCCTGGCCAATAACAAAGATGGGAGGAGGTCCACATGGCGGGAGTCCGGCTACCACGGAAAGGGGTGATGTTGAAGGAGCCGCCTCTTCCTGTCCAGCCGTCATTTGCTATAGTTCGATGCGAGCGAGAATACTTCTCTGCAGGCTGTTTCCACGATACCCTAATGAAACAGCCAAGATACTGTCAGTACGGGAACAGCTACGCGTGCAAGCAAGTGACATCAAGCGTTTCGCTCGTTTTGACAATGTAGTTGCGGATCAATTAGATCTGAATAGTGGTAAAGTCACAAAATTTCATTATGTAGTTTCTATGGGCCATTGATAACTGGCAAATAGTCACTCAATCTACAGTGCCAGAAGCAAGCCAGCACCCAAGATACCAGGCAGCAGATGGTTAGGATTGTTGGTGGGCAACGCTGCCAGTCCCTTGGAGGAGGAGGTACTAGTAGCAGCACCGTTGCTGGCCGTTCCAGTCGTACTGCCAGTGGCGGCGTAGATTGTAGTTCCATGCGACTCGGATCCGGCGGTTGCACTGGCTCCATTACCCGTCGCCGAAGTGACAGCAGAGGGCATCAACGTCGCACCCGGGACCGCAGCCGTTCCAGTGCCAATCTCGAGAATATCATCATCACCACCGTCGTAATTGGTGTTGGCGAGCGAAATCTCGTTATTGGCGAGATCGTAGACCACATATGCGCTACGCAAGAACGAGTCGCCCATCAGATTCACTCCGGGTTGGCTGTATGAAATCCCGAAGATGCAGTCGCCATCGGGGAAACCGGGCTCGGCGTAGTTTTCAAACACCAGTTCACTGATGGGAATTGTGACTGTAGCGCCGGAGAAGCTGAATGTCACATTATAATCGGCCGTGGACTTGGTGCAAGGGATATAGGCGGCACCATCGCTCGAGGAGTATCCGGCGCCAACTTCCTTGAAGATGGGATCCACGATTTCCTGGGGCAGTGCAATGAAAGGGCTCCCATTATCCAAGCTGACGGATAAGGGAAGACCCGTCGTATAACTCTTGGTACCACTGGAGCTCTTCACAGAGATGTCTGTCAAGGCGATGGCCAGAGAATAGTACTTGCCATATAGCGGCAGAACGGGGACGGTTTGCAGCTCGCCTTGATATCTCGCCTTGTTGACACCTCCAAAGAGAAGGTTTCCAGTACCATCAAACTTGTTCAACCACAGGCTATAGGCGGCTGACTTGATAGCACCGCTACTGACCAGTGCTTCTGGGAGGTTAGGGTAGTTATGTCCTTCGCTGGCGGCATCAGTACTAATAGCATATCCGATTCCTAGAATACCATCTGTACAGACCATCAATTAGCCAGATGTGGAATTTGGAGATCAAAGAACCATAAACTTACGAGGATTGTCGCTTTCTTCAGCCACCGCAAACTCCATATTCTTCACCGTGGCACCTCCAATAACCAGCGTGTCGGTGGCGTAGGGGCCTGCAGCCAAAAACGCACCGACATAGGTAGCGTTCATATCATAATCGAGCAATTTGAAGGTCGACGAGTCCTTTATGTTGAACAAGCCAGTCGAGGAGCAAGGGTCATCTTTAGCTGCACAGTAGGTGGAGTTTGGGACGTTGACCCAGATGTCACTGCTGCCGGTATCGAGACTGAGGGAGAGATTTTGAGGGGGGTGCCGATGGTGATGTTCACCATGTAATACATGTTTTGCTACCTAGGAATTTAGTATAACGTTCTCTTTGGATCATATCCTCTGCACTAAATTTTCTTTTTCTTTCTTTGTCTCCTCTCCACAGCCTGAAACAAATTGACCGAAATTGGAGTTTTGCATACCACATTGTATAATGCCGTGCTGGCAACTTTAGAACTGCGCTTCTGTAAAGCTTGGGACCGTTCACTGCGAGCAATTGGGAGCGCAAAGACCGCGGGATCGTCGCGCTTGTGTAGAGTAATAGCATTGGCGCATGGCAGAGTAGCCAAGGCAGCTAATGACAAGATTGAGGCTCCCCACATGATTGCCGCCGCAGAATGCCGATCGTGACGATCGTCGTGAAATTCTCCGGATCTTAGCGGCTAATGTAGAACTCTAGCAAAACGGACCAAAAGGACCTGCAGCGGGAGGGCAAGGAAGCAAGCAGGCTTTGTAAATATTAGAACGAAAGACGAACAGGAAAAGTATGAATGGGGCAGAGGGAGGGATAATAAGCGACCTCTTTACCCCGACTCAGAGAGCCTCTCTGCCTGTTCTTACTTGAGTCACGACTAGCGCTAATGTTCAACTAACGAATGACCCTACCTTTCAGTAAGAGTTCCCTGAATCAGTGGAGTTTAACATGAAATTATCCATCACTAATGGCCAATCACCTTCTAGCACAAATTTCCCAGTGAGCCCTAGAGGCAGGCTAAGACTGTAGCTAACGGGGAGGAGGCTGAGATACCACGCAATGGACAGTCCCCGTGCGAGGACTCGCCGGACGAACCGGCTTTGACGGAAGTGAAATCTAAATGCGGTCTGGTGCCATTCACAGTTCTTAGCGAACTGGAGCTTTGAAATGGATGAAGATGCTCCACTCTTAAAGGATTCGGCGCTTCCCCCGAAGGAAAAGGGTGCGACCGTGGGGGCGAAGCAAATCTTACGGCCTGGCTAAACCCAATTACAGTATGTGTCTCTACTCTGTACATCACGCTTAAATCTTATGGCCAACCCTATTGGTCCGTCCTCGGTATTAAATTGACCAAGCTGTGATGACAGGACTGCTATTATGGTCTAACCAGTACAAAGGACGAGAGTGTCAAGGGCGAATTGTCGGTCCCTACTAGGTATAGCACTAGTTTATGGGTCTAAATTTCATCGTGTCAGCGATATGAGATACTACCTATATATACTCAAGATGGTATTGTTCTCTCTTGGGTATTCTAAGGCTCGACTGATGTATCTATCTTTAAGGATTTCATTGAGTAGCTTCTTTAGAACTATAGAAGATGGCCTAAGCTAAAGTCTGTGTTAGTTATGGCCAACATATCCTTTCATCACTCCTGCTGCTGCGTCCGGGAGAACAAATCAACCACAAATACGTCGAGTACACGACGAGGTCAGTAAGACCCTTTTGGCACACGGTGCCGACGTTGAAGATGAAAATCTCCACGAAGCTATCTTGCACCGCAACAAGATAGCACTAGAAATGCTTCTCGCCAAACACGACCGTAGATCAGGATCAATCTCTCGGCTGTGGCCAAAGAGACTAGCGACAAGAAACGTTCCAAACGCTCCTAGGCAAAGGGTTCAATGTAGAAGCTACCTTCGTTGACGCAATCAGCACGATCAGAAGGAAATAGTCACCCTCCTTCTGGCCTATGGCACAGACCCGGACTTTGCCAGATCTCCGTGAAAGTGCAATCGGCCAAGCGATCTCAGGAGAGCATTGCTGCGCCATGGGGCTTGTATCTACCCGGAGGATCTGAAATTTGTTCGAGCCTTCGCTCTCGAGCGTATTACAAGGCTAGCAGAGGAATTACCTGTTCATCCTGTCATCTGTTTGTTTCGCGCAAAGCTTGGCAGCAAGGGCGATTTCCCTTCAGAATTGGGGTTCAATTCGGAGGAGGCTTTGGTGAGGACATCTTCAGTATAGTCAGCAGGACCAAGCATACCAAGACAGCATCGATTGCGGTTGTTCTCACTCAAGCAGCTGGATTTGGGTACTCAAATTGAAAGTATTGTAGTACTATGCTCGAAGCTCATATTTGGATTAGAAGGTCACTTTGGTTCTAGCTTTAAGCGAACAAATCTCCATTCAAACGCATGCTTTCAAGTGAATTATCTTATTATAACCAGTTACAAAAATTCAAAGATTAACCACCGTAGTAATAGTGGTATTCACAACAGTACTAAACACGAGGAAAGAGGAAGCAGGAATGACTCGAGGAGATCCAAATCACACGTCTATGCCGGCGGCAGCTGGTACCAATCAACCAGGCATCAGGCACCACGTACGTGGGTCCCCAACAAATCCACCATGCCCCTCAAAAACCTGCCAAAAACACATCTTATGTGCCCAATCCCAAGAAAAATCCCATATTTGTATGAGTTCCGCTCGATCGAGTTCAGTCGCTATCCTTACCCTCCGCCTCATCGGCAGTCGCGATAATCGCTGGTGGCTTAGGGATATTCCGGCGGAAGATGTGGCGCTTGATGAAGTAGGGAAGCCACACGGTGAGCTCGTGGCCGATGAACTTGCTCGTCGGAACGGAGAAGACCTCTGTGGGGGATGTTAGCGGGGTAATTGGAGGATATTCTATGTGGGTTGTCACTTACGGTCCAACTCTTCCAGGGTGAGTTGCTTGGTTTCTCTGACGAAGCAGAATATCATGAACCAGGCGATAAGGTTGAGGCCAGCATAGAAGCCGACTATAGTTGGGTTAGTACTCCCTCACAGCAGTACTCGGTGGTGGGTACTTACATGCTCCAGTGGGAGTCATGACGGTCGTCATGCGAGGGAAAGTCAAGCCGAGAATGCCGGCTAAGCAGGTATGTCAGTAAAGTTCAAGTATGTGTTTTGAGTTTGATCAACTTACCGAAGGTGTTGTTAATGCACACGGCCCACGCCATTCCTTGCTCACGCTGGATGGTAGGGAAGACCTCGGCAGAGTACTGGAAGGCCACGGGGCCTTCACCCAGGGAGTAACAGATGGTGAATAGATAGACGAACCTATTGGAAATTCTCTGTTAGGTATTTCCGATGTTTAAATCTCGACATGGGAAACATACAGCACAACAGGTCCAATATGCGCTCCTCGGCTGCGATTATCGTCTGAGTTCAGAAGAGACAGGCCAGCGGCCAAGAGGAAGATACACATCAGGGGGAAGGTCTTGAGAGAGAAAATGTTAGTCGTATTCTGTTTATACCGTCACGAACAACTTACGGTCAATGTCAAAGTTCGACGACCCTTGGTGTCAATCAGGAACAAAGTAGGAATTGTCGACACGACCTGGATGGCACCGTAACCAAGAGAAGCGTACAAGGCCTGGACTGCGGTATAACCAGCATTCTCGAAGATAGTTGAACTGTAGAACGAAATGACTGCAAGGTGTTAGAGATGACCGTTGATTGAGGGCGATGTACCACTTACTGTTAATACCGCACATTTGCTGAGCAATCATAACGGTCGAAGCACCGTAGTTGGCACGTCTGATTCTAGGCACGGTGAACAGATCCCGCATACGAGAGAAGTAGCCCGCACCACGGGCCTCCTTCAATTCCTCCTCGTAAATAACCCACGAGTAGTAAAAGTCTCGCGCGCCAATGATAGGATGAGCGCGGAGACGACACATCGATCGGAAAGCTTGGGCGTGCTTGCCATGCTTCATGAGCCAACGGGGAGACTCGGGGCAGAAGAAAATGCCAATCATGAGGATGAACGATGGAATAAATGCCGACCCAAGTTGGAGGCGCCAAGAGATATCTCCAGTGTCCTTGACAATCACGTTGGCACAGAATCCCAAGAAGATACCCGCCACCACCCAAAGTTGCCAAAACATGACCAAGGCTCCTCTGATACGGTGCGGTGCCATCTCAGCCGAGTAGATGGGAACTGTGGCATTCTTTGCACCGATGCCGATACCCATGATGAAACGTGCGGCGAATAGGCCTTGCCATGTCTTTGCAAAACCAGAACCAATCGGGGTAGCAGTAAGACAAGCAGCTGTCAAGAAGATCTCACCTCTTCGGCCCAAGTAGTGGTTAAGTGGATCAACAATGAAAGCACCACTGGATGGGAAATTAGTTTTCTGTTCTTAGAAACAAGAAAGATCGGCGTTTTCCTAGATACTCACATGAGACCAGCAGTCAGGAAAATGATCGAGTTGACCAGTCCGACAATCCATTCATCACGTCCCTTGCCATTAATACCCAGAGCCTCAGGGAAGGACAGGTTGGCTCCGTTGGATCCAGTCTGATCCCAACCTTGTGTAGCAGCACCAATAGCACACAGTGCGATCGAGTACCACAGCATGACCGGGCCGTGCCACTTGTGGTCTCGCTCATAGATCAGGGCTGCACGTTCATCTTCAGTAAGCTCGGTGATGTCCTCAAAGTCCTTGGGGCTGCGAGCAACCAGGGCAGCACGGCCAAACAGGTCAGCGTGCTCGGACATGTCGTGCATTTCCGCGAATCCGCGGGCATCCTCGTAGACTTGTTCCTTGGAGGAACGCTGTGTGAAGCCAGAGGGTCAGTTTGAATATTCGATGCCTCCCTGATAGAGTGCGACAAGCGCAGTCTTGGAGTTGACCTTGGCAAAGCTTACCTTCAGAGGGTTCACGACGATGTTGAGAGCCGCAGCGTGAGATGGACGTCTTTCCTCGCCATTGGTGGGCGACGTAGCCTCAGTCGCAAACTCATCATGGGCAAGAGGGTCCTTGCCCGTGAAATCTTTTTCGTCTTTTTCATTCATGATGGATGACGAGTTGGAGTTAACGCAGTGGTGCGAAGAAAGTGGTGTCTAGATAGTGGGTCGAGAGGGTGATGTTGAGGAGATGAAGTTGGAAAGGTGTGCGGAGAGGTGAAGGTGCAGCTCTGAGAAATAGCGTACGCGATGAATCCTTCTTTGAATCCTCACTTGAGTTGACTACACAAGTCGGCGCGCAAAACCCTGTGGGGGGGAAAAAAAGAACAAACATTGGCGACTCCACGGCATTTAAAGCTTCGGCCTTTCAACCCCCCGTGGGGTAAAGGCAGAAACAGTCATCACACCAGACACTCCTTCGGGCAAGATACGACTCCATCGAACGTCAGCACTCACTCCTTCTGGGTGGCTTGCCATCCTTGCCCCCCCACAGCCTGGAATCGAGTCAGCATTAGGAAAGTTCGGAAGTGGATCAGTGCACACATCGGCCGTAAGCCACGGTAAGCCACCGGGCGGCCCATCCTTGTATAATTGCGCCATTTGTTTTTTAGGGTTTGATGCTCGATGGGGGCCACATTGATATTCATCAAAAGCATAAACCTGAGTTCAATGGCTAAGAAAGTTGCTAGAGACTTTTCTAGATTACCATCCACTCGATATCTCCGTGAATGAAGTTCAACTTCCATCGACCCCCCTCGATCAGCGCCCCCGAGAAACGTGGATGTTCGGCATCTGCAACGCCGTCCGCTACGGGCCATGTGGTGCGGGATTGGATGGACCGATTCTCGGCGGGCCCACCGACTGCGCTCAAAGCGTTTGCGGGGAGGGCAAAGGGAAAGAGTCAGAGTCACTGGGCGAACGACTGGGAAGCGTCGATTGGTCGTTGAAGTCTCGCCCGGGACGCCTTTTCCGGCTTGCGAAGCAGCTTAGCTGGTCCTGCTGGGCCTACCGAATCCTCCAACAAACGCCCCAGTCTTGCGGTATATTTATGGGGCGTTTGAATCATCCTGCTGTCGTCTGCACCGAGCTCAGTCCAGTGGACTGAGTAGAGAGAACCATGCATTAATCACAATGATGAACATGCCCCAGGGCGCGCTTACTTGCCCAGCACATTCAGCCCCATGACTCTGGTGATTCAGTTGGATCGCTGGCTCCGGCAGATTGGCGTTTCAAGTGGCTTGGTGGCTGAACTTAGGTTACATTTGGAATCAAGGTATATCCACAGCAAGGGAGAGATCCCCTCCTCCCACTGACGTCTTCGGCCATGCATCCAGTTCCCTAGCTTGGAAGAATCATCCCACTCAATTGGTCCGCAACAATTGACTGGTCATGCCCATGTGGTTAGCTCATGGTGAAGCACGAGCACTCCCTAGGGGCCCCGCATGCACAATCGTACAATACCGTACATCGTCATGTCCTCCAGCATTTACCCAGGCGGAGGTTTGCCCTGGATATGCCGCTGACCTGGCTAGCACTGGGTCTGAACAAGCTACAAGACAAGAGACCTCCTGTGACTCCTGAATCACCGCCGCTGACAAATCTGGATAGATTTCCGATTTGCATGTCTACTAGGAAGGTTCACGGCATCTCCGCATACTTTCCGCCCGGACCCAGCGGAGAAAGCCCGGAGAAGAAAGCGTTTTACGGTTTGAGAGAACCACAATCGAACCGACCGGGAACCGGGCAATGATCTGCATGGCTGCCTCAGGCATAAACTCATCCCCAAGAAATCTTAGCTGGAACTTACCATTTCGTTAAAGATCATAAGCATCGAGGAATTCCAAAGGAGGTATTCTACTTCAAATGACTTTTTGGTGAATTTTTCAACATCCTTATGATATCTCATAGTCGGATGAATCGTGTAGTTGTATGGAAATCCCGTGTCATCGCTGGTAGCAAGTACTGATTTTGTGAACCATAACTCTACATGCACTCCCCAGGTCATATGTGATATCCCTATATAACTTACCAAAACAGATATTATGCTGCCCTATATACCTAATGGTACCACCTTAGTTCTGCCGTGAGAATCAGCATCAGGCCGGACACTGGTTGTGAGCACTGACTTGTGAGGCGTCCATACAGGGGGCCTAATACAGACTACTGTACAGTATTTTAGTCTGTCTCCACAACCCGAAGTTGACCTGCTTGCATGTTTCATGATTCATGCTTGAGTGGCCTGACTTTATGCAGCCTAATATGCCGTCGGCTCGCCCTACTTGTCACGCCGCTGAGTGTATTATTGAAACTGTATGAGATATCGAGATATCCAGTCTAAGAGCCTCCACCTGTTTAGTGGCTGAAAACGCCTAAAACTTGTATACTAGAATCTACGTAGATCCCCGTCGGTGGATGAAAAAGTAGAAGAAGTAAATTTGAGGGCTGGATGGCAAATGGCAATCTACACACGAGTTGATAGTAATCATGAAAGTCCCTGCTGAGCTCCACCTCGACATGCATAATACAGCGCCGATCCATGATCCTGAGGTCCTGTTGAGCTCCACTACTACATCTATCGTGAAACATCAACGAGTGGGACTCTTTGAAAGCGTTCGCCAGGAAATTCATATGAATACTAAGTGTCACTGCTCTTTTCAACATAGGAAGCACTCCTGGCTTATTGATAGTCGTTATGCTACCAGACTTTCGTTGCGCAAGTTCCTAGTACCCGAACAGATACTTCACAGCATCCAAGCTTGGCGGATAAGAAACTTGATCTAGGCTCAACCACTGACCGTATATCTGATATTTCACAGAGGCCCTGGGAGTCTAACCTACTAAAGGCGCATGTATCCGCCCCCAGGGTTCGGCCCAAAACCAGGGTCCACCACGCAGGGGCTGGTTAGATAAATGCCGGAGCCAAAAGCCCACCCTGTCAATCAATTCATCAGCGTACACGCCACTCTGAATATCATTTTTTGACACCCCTGTTTCGCCTCGGGTGATCATCATAGCCTTGTCACTATGGAATGGCTAGGATTGATCAAGGAAAGCTAAGCTTTGCGGCTGATGTTTAGATCTGCGGGAATAGGCCAAGCGCTAAACGCGTTATTCGAGTGTTTTAGGCTCGAGGATTACGTTTCTTGACTCCAGGAAAAGAAAATTTGCTGTCGTGGTTGAAGTAGGCATTGGTTTGCTGCTTCGTTTTGGGTATAGGTTTTGGCGGTCTGTCGAGCCCCATAAAGCACCGTCTACACTGATCGTAGGCTGAAGAATACACAAAGCTTTATGTCTATACTTTCGGCAATTTATGAAAGACATAGTGGAATTTTTTGCTCATTGACTGTATGAAATCTATGAAGTGAGTTAATCTGCATAAGCTCACGGTGTTGATAGCCAAGTTGGATGCAACTCAGATAGTCTAGGTGTTGACCTGGAAGATCTCCGGGTATCGTCCACCCGCTGGGGTGAACTTGGCCAAGACATCGTCAATTTCCGCCATCTCCTCATCCGTGATTTCGATAAGCTTGCTGTTCTCCTCCACCCGTTCCGCGGTCGTGGCACCAGGAATGGGAATGATAGTTGGCATCCCGGGACGTCTAGAGAGTGCTCTTGTCCAATTGATCGCCAACTGAGCTGCGGTACAGCCCTTCTTCGCGATCTTCTCTACTGTCTCTACCTCCACATTTTTCTCGAAATTCACCCGCTGAAAGCGCGGGAAGTTGAACGAGAGCAACAAGGAGTCTTGTGGGAGGTCGTCAAATTTCTTGAATTGACCAGTCAACATGCCTCTGCCAATTGGGGAGTAGGCGATTATTGGAATTTCATACAGGGCGCAGGCGTCTGCGACGCCATTCTCCAGGATGTCGGTAGTGAATCTATTTCAGTTAAGCACCCATGATAATTTTGTGACGGCTTGGATGACCTACAGGGAGAGCTCAGCCTCTACTGCGACGACCTTGGTGTGTTTGACGGCTTCACGGATGGTCTCGGCCCGCACCTCGGAAAGTGCAATGCCTCCGATCTTCCCGGTCTGTATATACTCCTTTTCGATCAGCCCAAACGTCACATCCATAGGGACAGCCGGATCACGACGGCCGAATTCAAACATGTCGATCTTCTTGCGCCCTTTCAGCTGCGCAATACAATCATCCAGACTCCTACGCGTATTCTCCGGTGAGGCATCTGTCTGGTGGGTTTGTGGGTTCACTCCGCCTTTGATATTCAGTACGATCTTATCCGCATCTTCAGGGTACCTCTCCTGATACTGCTCGAGGAGAACGAGGCTGTTGTAAGTAGGTGGGCCATAGAATTCACCACCGTTCCAACAGGTACCTATGGCTATGTTAGCGGAGAAGGGAGACGACATAACTCGCCGCTAGAAAAGCTAGTTACATACATCCATTCTTGATCGCTGCGTGCATGGCCTCAAAGGCCTGCTCCTGGGAGGGTGGCGTTGGTCGCCAGGTCAATCCCAAAAGGCCAAAGCCAATGGGGCCGACTCCCTTTCCACCAAGCTCGGGCATATTTTCTCTGCGCGTAGGCTGTGTGATGGTAGAATTGTTCTTAGAAGTAGAGTACACTTCGATGACCATGCCCGCTTTTTGAAACCCGTCGAGAGGGCTTCTCCAGTGAATGCATTGATCCAAATATCACCGACATCTCATCGGCGTTGAACGTAACTCCGGCCTAATCCCGTTGAGTAACAGGTTCAGGAATAGCGCTAACCAGGGGTCGAAAAGGTAGCGTCGCCGACGACACTTACCGATCCCCCTTGGAAAATCTGCATTCGCTATTTTCTTCATTCATATATGGCTAGCAACTGCTACTACTTGGAAGCCATAGTTGGATGCATTCACCGCTGTGGGATTCCTTGCGATCGCCCCTGATAGCCCGGGGATTTAGAGTCGATTGCTTAGCTACTCTTTGGTAGATAAATCCCCTCGTCGAGTAATTTAGTTCGTACGTAGCTATAGACATAGCTTTACGTAGCCCTTCATAGTACTCTAACACTTTCCTAACAGGCTACTCGATAAGACACCTAGTCGGCCTAGCAATTACCCGCAGGCTAGTACATAGTCTATTTCTATTAGGTCTACTCCTAAGTAGCCTTAGCATCCTAGCGTATACCTTACGGTGTCTAACCGTAGCTACTAAGATAGTAAAGCAATTGTCTTTCTTATAGGTAGTTCGTAATAGTACGCGCTTAGCTACTGGGTCGGCTAGTTCGTTAACAATGGGTTTAGATCTCAGCGGTGCCAAGGATAATGTCACTTGTGCTGGAGAGCAATGGATGTATACCGGGCGTTGATCAGGACTCTGGACATTTTCCTACTTGTCATGCCGTACGTGATATTGTGAAAACTGAGAATGGCTACGCAGTCATTGTTGTACCTGACAGCGAGGCCGTTATTGTGATTTTCAGTATAGGTGGATTGTCTGTTTGCGTACAGTTTAGGCGAATTGGCACATTAGAATTCTATCAACTTGAAAATATTTAAATCAAATTCGTTTCATTCGTATAAAGTCGAGCACTCTTATCTACAAAATAGCCGTGGCGTTTGCATGCGAGCCAACTCCCCCTAAAAAAAGATTAACCATAATTAGCATCACACTTATCAAAGACGGAGAGGTGAGAGTCTTACCAGGCATATTCGCAGGGGCACTCGTCATAAAGAAAGTCCACTTTCTACGCTGCCGACACTTCTCTGCCAACTTCTCCAAATCCCACATCTCACCAATGGGACACCCCCAAAGCGCGAGCAGGCTCTGATGCAAATGGTCCGTTTGAACAGGCCACACCTCGAAAGTTGGCGAATCACCCGTCACGCCAGCAAAGTAACAATCATGCAGCCAGTCCCGAACAGCCTGTTCACGGGAGACACCTGCGAAGGCGAGGTCATCGCGAGAGCGAGTCGCGGCTTGGTAGCGTTCTTCAGGGCTTATCTGGTGGTATTTCTCGACGAAGCCGGAGCGGATTAGTAGGAAATCGCCAACACGGATGTCGCCGCCCTCTGATTCGGGGCGGATATCGAGGCCTTGAGAGGCTGCGCAGGCTTTCAGATCATCGAAGGTGATGGCGTGGGATGTGTATGGGTCGTAGGATTTGTTGTGAGTTAGGGCGTATTGGCGGTAGTCGAGTAGCACGCCTCGTCCAGCGATGCCGTGTTCTGCCCAGTGGTGAATACTGCAACGGAGGTTGGGGTTTTCGCCGAAGAAATCTTGGCTTGTGGCCTGTATGAAGCCGTGAGCTTTCATGAAAGTGTAAGAAGCCATCAAGAACATTACCTTGTTATAGAATAGCTTGGTTGGAATGTGGGAGAACTACATCTCAGTCAGTAATTGAGCTCCTGGTCCCTGCTTTCCATTAAACTTACATGGCGGAAGCCATCCCATTGAGTGCCACTTTGAGTGTTGAGCGAGTAGCAGTCGTCGTAGGAAACATCCTCGGCGAGGGTCTTGTAACTATGCTGGAAGGTTTCGCGACCGAACGCGGGTTTCTCAGGCACATTGAGAGGAAGACTGTTGAATCTTTAGCAAAGTTCCACTGTTCAATCTCCAGGCTTTCTTTTTACATACTCCAATCGTACCATCTCTCCCGTGAGTATCTCCTGAGCAGAGGCCTTGACTCGCTGTGGAGTCAAAAGGTTCAACCTTCCCAGCTATTTCAATATCGTTAGCGTATTGACATGAATTGACATCGCCCACTGCACATACTTGATCATCTTCTCCCCATACCCAAGCCGCACCCTCAGGTGCACCAGGAAGCTGAGGTAAGTCCTTCCGCGAAGGGAACTTTGTGCAATCAGGGTTCCAGGGCAACGAGTCCGGAGCTTGGGTGGTCTCAGCCATGGTATCAGGCGACTTCTTCTGACCTACATGACCAGATATCGCAGAAAGTCTCTTCAAAGGGTCGTGGGATGCCATCGTGGTTGAAATACCCGGATAGATTGAGGAAAGCATAAAATCAAACAAGAAGGTGTAGAGCCAATTCAATTATATAGCGAGTGGATCAATCGGCTATGGGGTGCGGGGAGCAGAGAGTTTGCGCTTTGCTCTGTCTTCAACCGAGGATAGAAGATGAGCGGGGGTTATTCCAAGGACTGAGAATGGGCAATCCCGAGGTTATATTTGCGGAGTCTGTTGTCAGATTTCTAAGAAAGTTATATTGGTGAAAACTTCTGAGGTTCGTGTTCTATCCATTCAACAGGCTTAGGTATCTTAGTCCATGTCTCCATAGAAGACGCAAGGATCCCGGGAACAACATCTTACCTATGTCACTCGCTCATGGATCCGCAGCTTCTCCGCATTTTCTCTCCACTAATATGACGTCCGACTTTCGGCAGAGAAATAACCGTTTTGTCCGACGTAGGACAGGATGGATCATAAGGAATAAGGGGACCCTAGCTCCGTGTAGCCTGGCAGCTAAAAAGCTTGGACGGTTTGACAAGGACGTTCTCCACATTACAGTTTTAAAGGTACATTGGTGGATAGACCAGAAAGGTCCTCTTTTTCCTTTTTGTTAACTTGAATGGAGTTATTCTCCAGAGATATGGTTATGATACATTTGCATTGAAAATGGACTGGTCTTCAGTCAACAGCCGACCTTGGCCGAAGAACCTTGCGCTTGTGTCCCAGATTGGCATTGTGCACATAGAGATCCCACCACATCGTATCAATTGCTTTAAAAAAGCCATCACACCAAAGGTGTGAGATATCCGCCCAAAAATAATGGATACCAGGAGTCGACGCTGTGAAGGGGGTATGCTTGACAGAGAAAAAGATATCGGAAAGCAAAAGAGCAAAAGAAGCATGAACATGAAACACCAGTTGCCGATCGCAGAAGAAAAAGACATTGTCGTGCCGTCCTAGAATGCCCAGTTCCGTGATTCATTCCCATTGCGCCGAAGAGACGAGATAGATTCAAGCATTATCAATCGTTTCGTTCATAGGTCTGGACAACCCACGAAGTGAAGAGAGAAAAAAAAAGGGAAAGACATAGCAATCATTTAGAGACGTGCGAAATGGTAGATGGCTTGATTTAGACCTGCGAGGGCACGCCGGTGGATTGCGAAGGAGCACGACCGCCTCGAGAGCCGCCGCGGCCTCCAAAGCCGCGATTGTTGTTGTATCCGCGGCCTCGACCTCCATAGCCGCGACCACCCCGGCCGCCCCGGCCATAACCGCGTCCGCGGCCACGGTAGCCGTCAACGCTACCTTGTCCAAAGGTTTCAATGTTACGCTTCTCTTCCTCACCACGCCATTCGCGACCGCCAACGCGAATGGCGTTCTCCTCACGGTCACGAGCCTCACTGGAGATGTTGTCGAAGAAAGAGGTCGAACGGTTGTAAAGGTTGTGTGAAGTTCCAGCCGCGGTGCCATTGGCATCGGTCTCGGGCTGGTGGGCGACGTCGTGAGATTCGGCATCGGCAGCGGGGGAACCGGTGGCAATGGCCTCCTTGATCAGATCATGCTTGTTAAACTTCGCATTGGCAGTCGCAAAGTCATAGTCGGACTCGGGGACTTCGATCTTCTTGTGCTGAGCGCGAATACCGCCGCGACCACCACGAGGGTGCGGCTGGTGCTGGTGCTGCTGCTGCTGCTGGTGACCACCGCGAGGAGCACGAGGACCACTGTACGGTTGCATGTCGTTCATCTTGCGGGTAAGAGCGTCGACTGAGGCATCCTGGCCGGGCTTCTTCTGAGCACCGGGCTGAGGCAGCTTGGCCATCGCTGCCGCAACGGCCTGAGTCGCTGCGGCAGTGGCATCGATAGGAGCCGCACTGTGAGCGGGAGCGACAGGTCGCGGCGCAGCCATCGGGATAACTGGCATGACGCGGCCGTTCTTCTGAGCGGCGGCAGCGGCAGCAGGCGCAGATCCCTGCACAGCCTCAGCTACAGAAGGCTTAGACTCAACGGGAGGGGTGGGTGCAGTCTGAGCAGGGGTTGCATTGCGGCTAGAGGGCTTCTGGTCTCCGCCAGGAAGCTCGGAGGTGGTCTGAGGGGGTGGGTGCAACAGGAGGGCCGGGGCGCTGCTGAGGGGGCTGTCCTGGTGCGCCGGGGGGCATCTGAGGTGGGAATGGACCAGGTCCACCGGGAGGGAAGCCGTGGCCAGGAGGAGGAAACCAGCCAGGAGGAGGGGCGCCATAAGGCATGTTGCCAGGGAAGCCGCCAGGACCTCCGGGGCCTGGGGGGCCTGGGGGGAATGGAGGCGGGGGCCCATTGAAGCGTTGTCCATAAGCTGGGTAGAATCCTTGCTGCTGGAATGGCTGTTGTGGGGGATATCCAGGAGGTGTCTGCTGGGCTCCCTGGGGGGGTTGTGATGGTGGCTGAGAAGGGAGGCCTGGAGCGGAAGTTCCCATCGGAGGGTTCGGCATAGGTCCGGATCGCGACATGTTCTGATTTGGCAGCAGGTCAGTAGGCCGAAAGAAGCAAGGCGTAGAAAGACTTGAGCAGTAATGAATATGGGGAAATTGATCAATCAGAAGGAAGGCAACGGAAATATCGACACGGTTTTGCGCATTCCGAACAGGTCTGTGAGTTTACATCCGAAATATTTCATCATCTGATCAATTGGCCGATCGCGGTGGAGCGGGCAGCCTGATGGGTGTATTGTGTAGGAGCGAGAAGAATGGAAGAACAGAGGATCAAAATCGGTGACTTACACCAAGAATAGCAGGGTCATCGGGAACCCGAGGAGGCTCTGGCTGTGTGGTCTCCTTTGTCTCCTCATCGGCGATGCTGATATCGCTCACGTCGCTACCACGGAACACGATGTACTCATAGACAGTCGAAGAGGGAGGAACCTCCTCCGCTGGGTTCTTGCGGCGGCCCTCGGTACCAAATGACTGCACATTCTCCAACGCTATCGTCGATGCCTCGGGGTTGATCTCATGAAGTGTGCCGACATAGCTGGGAAATAATAAGCAACAAGCTCTTGGCGATTGGTAGAATTGGGGAGATCATACCGAATCTCGCTCTTGGAGATCAGGTTGAAACGCTGACTGCGACGTGTTAGCTCCAGCCCAGCCACACAAACCCTGGTTCCGCCCGGGAGTTGCAGGCGACTGACCCTATCAAATGGTTCATATCCATCTTGGCGGACTGCGCGGAATCGCGCGATGAGTGTAGAATGAGGGTTTAGAAGGAGCAAAAGGGGGGGAGAACGAAAGGAAGAGCTAGGAGGGGCGAGGGAATCGGGTGACGTGGAGGGAAGTGGGTAAAGATGGGAAGAGAAGAGAAGAGCGAAGAAGCAAAATCTGTGGTTTTGGGGAATTCGGGCTACGGCGGACCGCAGAAGCTCGGTGAGCAGTTCTCCGTGGGGATGGTTTTTGTGAGAGATCCAACGTTTCTTCGATTGTTTGGAAAGTGAAGAGGAAGAGACAAACGAGAAAAAGCTTGGCTCTTAAAAATGACAACGACTGCGAACCGAGACCATTTCTTCCAGACCTCGTAAGAGAAATTGTTATTCTGGTGTCTCGGTATATCACATTCCATGCTGACCCGTTCCCCCTCCTTCTTTACAGTGCTGCCTTGGATGAGCAGCAGAGGAAAGAAGCCAAGTCTCAGAATGAAAATGGCAATCCCATCAAGTTGCAGAGCAAGATCCTAGCTGTCTTCTCAGACCCTTGGAATCAGGGATCAGTCTACGTTGCCCAAAGTAGTGGCGTGGTGAGAAGGGTGGTCCTAGCGGTATATAATTGACATTCCCTTACACTTTGAAGTATAGACGGACTATTGACTAATTCTGTTTACAGACTGGTGAGACTGCAGCCCTCTTCAAGGGCCCCGAAGCTCCGTTGACAAGCCTATGTCTCAGCCCTGACGGCAAACTGCTGTTTGCCGGCTGCTGGGATAAGACCATCTGGAGCTGGGATGTGGCCTCCCGACAGCCTCGACAGAAGTACGAAGGACACAGTGACTTTGTGAAATCTGTGATTAGTGCGCGACTTCAAGGTCAAGATGTCCTAATTTCCGGGGGTGCGGATGCCAAAGTGCTTGTCTTCAACATTGCCAGCGGCGAGCGGATTGAGACATTTAAAAGCCACCTCCGCGGTATTCTGGACCTTTCTCTTGACCCCGAGACGGAGGATAGTCAGGCGACTGTATTCAGCGCCGGAAGTGACCGAGAGATCCGTCAGTTCAAGCTCATTGGTGGAGGTGACGACGTCGAGCCCCTTCTTCCACATGAAACCAGTGTGAACAAGCTCTTCTTTGATGCGGATGGTGATATGTGGACAGCATCCGCTGACAAGACTGCGAAATGCCTGGTGCGCGCCGATGGTTGGAAAGCCAATCTCAGTTTGGATCATCCTGATTTCGTGCGAGACATTCTTGTCGATGAGGCTGGAGGCTGGGTAGTGACTGCCTGTCGGGACGAGGAGGTTCGGGTATGGAATCGATCTGTAAGTTGTTTCGCTCCGAACTCGCGAATAGCTATAAACACACACTAACTTCATACTAGACTGGCGAACTCCACCACACATTCTCGGGCCATTTTGAGGAGGTTACTGGCCTGGCTCTGGTTGGGTCCACTATTGTTAGCGTGGCCATTGATGGTACTATTCGACAGTGGTCTCTCCGACCTGATGAGCTGCAGCAGGCTGTGGAATTGGCTAAAAATGGCCCAAAGGAAGAGGAGGAAGCGAATGCTGAGCCCCTGCTGACAGAAGAAGAGGAGCGGGAGTTGGCTGAGCTGATGGGTGATGATTAGATGTTGCATTGATACCCCGTACCAAGATATGATGATGTGCATGATAAGGTATCTTAACATTAAAGGCTAGAGGGCCTAAGTAAAATAATAAACTTACAAAGAAGCATTGCCGGTGATAATTTGGAGTCCCCAGTCATACTATACAGTGTGTATATACCTCTACCCCGGTAAACATAGCCTTGGCCTATCGACGGATCAGTCTAGCCACGTGACCATCTCGACACATGATGACGTACGGGGCCGATCTCCCATGCATTCCCCCTCCAAAGCCCCTCCCCCCGGAAGAACCTCCTGCAAATTCCCCAAGCTGAGCTCCGACCTCCCTGGCTGCATTTACCCCCACTTCCGGCCCTTGCACACCCGCCCAACCCTGCCAGACCCTCTTTCTAACTCACCATTCATCTGATCGGGTCTCGAATTGCCCCCTGGTACATAGCTCGTACGCGGGGTAGTATCTGGTCCGCTTTAGATCAGGCCCAATCTTGCCGGATTCCGTTAGCACCTCCGACTTGGGCCGAGAGATAACGTGTTGGAATTGTCCCCCGCAGACTTTCGAAATCTCACTTCACACGCGTCGCCCAGCATGCAGTCCCAACACGAGACATCAGAAGCGGGACCGAAGATGGTCAACCGCCTGCGCCAAAGCAGATCGCCATATGTGAGATTCGCAGACTAGGCCTGCCCCGCTCTGTCAAGGAGCCGCGTGAAGCTAACGGTCGACTAGGTGCGCGCGCACATGAACAACCCCGTCGCATGGCAGCTCTGGGATGCAGAAGCCATCGAGCTTGCTCAGAAGCATAATCGGATGATCTTCCTCAGCATTGGGTACTCGGCCTGCCACTGTACGTGATCGACCGGGTCTGGTATTCTCGTGCAGATTATCTTAGGTAACCGCGCTGACATTTGTAGGGTGTCATGTCATGGAAAAAGAGTCATTCATGTCCCCCGAAGTTGCGGCAATTCTTAACGAGTCTTTTGTTCCAATCAAGGTCGATCGGGAGGAGCGTCCAGATATTGACGACATCTATATGAACTACGTTCAAGCCACGACCGGTTCTGGTGGCTGGCCCTTGAACGTCTTCCTCACCCCGGAGCTCGAGCCTGTCTTTGGTGGAACATACTGGCCCGGTCCTAGTTCAAGCACATCACAGGGCCCGGGAACGACAGGTTTTGTGGAAATTTTGGAAAAATTGAGCGACGTTTGGCAGACACAGCAACAGCGCTGCTTAGAGAGCGCCAAGGATATCACGAAACAGTTGAGGGAGTTCGCCGAAGAAGGCACACATTCCCAGCCTACGGGCCGTGAGGATGATGAGGATTTGGATATTGAACTTTTAGAGGAAGCCTATCAGCACTTTGTGTCCCGATATGACTCCATCAACGGTGGCTTTGGTCGAGCCCCCAAATTCCCCACCCCTTCCAATCTCGGCTTTTTGCTGCGACTGGGCGCATACCCGAAGCAGATCCGAGATGTTGTTGGGCAGGAGGAGTGCGAGAAAGCGACCGCCATGGCCGTCACGACATTGGTGAACATGGCTCGGGGTGGCATTCGCGACCATATTGGTCATGGATTTTCCCGATATAGTGTCACGACTGACTGGAGCCTGCCGCACTTTGAAAAGATGCTATATGATCAAGCACAGTTATTGGATGTATATGTGGATGCCTTCCGACTGACCCATGATCCTGAACTTCTAGGCGCCGTCTATGACTTGGCTGCCTACTTGACGACCACCCCGCTGCAGTCACCGACGGGGGGATTCTATTCCTCGGAGGATGCAGACAGCTATCCCAGTCCCAATGATACTGAAAAACGGGAAGGTGCTTTCTACGTCTGGTCGCTCAAGGAACTCACCCAGGTTCTGGGCCCACGGGACGCTCCGGTGTGCGCCCGTCACTGGGGTGTCCTCCCGGATGGGAACGTTGCTGCCGAATACGACCCGCATGATGAGTTCATGAACCAAAATGTTTTATCTATTAAAGCTACACCTAGCAAGCTCGCCAAGGAGTTTGGCTTAAGCGAAGAAGAGGTGGTCAGGATAATTAAGGGTGGCAAGCAAAAGCTTCGTGACCACCGTGAAAAAACAAGAGGCCGGCCTGATCTGGACGATAAGATCATTGTCGCGTGGAATGGACTGGCGATTGGTGCACTGGCCAAGTGCAGCGTTCTGTTTGGGGAGATTGAAAGTTCCAAGGCAGTGCAGTGCCATGAGGCTGCTTCTCGTGCTATCAGCTTTATCAAGGACAACCTGTTTGACAAAGCCACCGGGAAGTTGTGGCGCATCTGGCGAGATGGCAGTCGCGGCGACACTCCAGGCTTTGCTGATGACTATGCATACCTGGCTAGTGGCCTGCTCGATATGTATGAAGCGACTTTTGACGACAGCTATCTCCAGTTTGCTGAGCGTCTTCAAAGTAAGAGCAGCCGTCTCGCGTTTATGATATGGCAATGACTGACTCTCTCGAACAGAATATCTTAATGAGCACTTCTTGGCCAAGACGGACTTGACGTCTTCTGGATACTATAATACCTCATCCGAGGCGACTCCTGGTATGCCGGGTCCTCTTTTCCGATTGAAGACTGGTACCGAGTCAGCCACGCCATCCGTGAATGCCGTGATCGCTCGGAACTTGCTACGCCTAGCGGCTCTAGTTGAAGATGAGGGTTACCGCACCCTGGCTCGACAGACATGCAATTCTTTCGCAGTTGAAATCATGCAGCATCCGTTCCTGTTCGTTGGACTGCTTGATGTTATAGTGGGGCTACAAATTGGCACTCGTACGGTGACTGGCGTTTTCAGCACAGCTGAAATCTCTCAACCATCTGCTCGTGGCGACAGTCTCCTCAGTCGAAAGGATGAGCCCATGGCGGCTCGTGACCTCATCGTGCAGCGAGTGCGGGCAGAGGCCGGTGCCGGCCTGTGTCCAACGCTTGCGGCCGCCTCGTTGGTAGATATCCGGCCCTCACATCTCAAGGATTTTGTTGGCAACCAGTCCTTCTGGCTAAAATCTCGGAACCTTCTGTTCAAGGACTTGAAAGCCGGTGACCCAGCCAAGAATCATCTGATGGTGTGTGAGGCTGGGCGTTGTAGGATTGTGGATCTTTAGAGTGATCATATATCTTTCTCGTTTGGGGTTTGGACTTCCTTGGGGCTTACCATTCTGCTTTCTTCGGAGTATTTTCTGGTCATTTCTGTGATAATCGTGCTGTATGGTTCCGTGCTTCTGAATGGGCGGCCCAAATGACTCTCTCGGTAGTGTTGGTAGATGGAATAGAAATGCAACTAGCAAGGGTCTTTGCCTCCTCCATCTGTCATGGTATTTTATGGATCTACTAGATATATTACGCTAGCTACGCCCCTCTCGCTTCTTCCTAGATGTGATCGTCAGTTACAGTTAAAAGTCCCATGTTGAAAACCAGCCCAGTCGGCTTCCTCCATGACATCGCGCGTCCCTCTGCCTCCTCCCCTCCCAAGCATCGAACCCCCTTGTTAACTGAGTAGTTAAAGATATAGCACTATAGCTAGTCGCTACTCTCATCATCTCTTCTCTCCGCTCCTAGTTTGCTTGGCATGTAGCTATTGCCACCCGGGTTTACACACTTTTAGCATCGCTAGAACCCACGGTTATTCCTAACAAATTAGCCATGCTCTCGCATCAATAGCACATCTCACGCACCAGCTCTGTGACTACTCCTCCGTTTCCCTTGAAGACCTTTCCCTTTATCATTAGCAAAAACCACTGACGTGCCAGGATGTTGCAACCGCGAAGCAGAACAGCCATGGCTCCACGAGCTTGGCGACGAGTACCATTTTTGGATATTTACATTTGCCCACTTTGCCTCAACATTCAAGTCCTAAGAGGAGAGAACGGAGTACCGGCTCTAAAGTCAGACGAGGACTGATAGAGTCTACGGATTCTCATATCAGTATAGAACAAGATGGAGTCTAAGCGAGCCGCATGGCTGCCAAACATTATTTGTAATAACATCGCCAATGACTGTGGCTTTTCTGTCTTAGTAACCCTAAATTACCGGAGTCAGCAACTCCAACGCGGCCAATTATTCGTGGCGCTCTTGGGATGTTCTTGGAGACTTGGCGGGGACCCCCTTTCGGAGATTGGAAGTCAAGGGTGTGTGTGACTGTGGAGGGCGGGCTACAAAGTACGAAGCATACATAGTAGACGGTGGAGTAGTTTCAGAGCATGTAGGTGTAGTATTTGATATATCTGGTACCTTGAAAACATCGAAGATCCGAAAATCCGACATGTCGATTTTGTGGCTCCAAACTATGGAGTCTGGAGTCGATCAAGGATTGTTGTGTTCTGGAACCTCGGGAAGTACAGTGGTGTTCCATTAGTTTCCGACCACCCCTTTCACCGCTAAGGGCTTACCGCCCACTCCGCCTGCCTAGTAAATCTCCGTCACGCGCGTCGCGTGAGTATAGATCCTGCGATTTATAACGATTTCTGGCGATTTCTAGCTACATTTCTATTCAAATCGCCTATCTCTTTAGCCGATATGCCTCCAATTCGGTCAAATCAGGCTAGATTACCTGCTACAAGGGCCCCTGTACGCCCGCCCCGCCGGCGAAAGCAGGAACTTGACCTATTTACGCGTACTAAGCTTGTTGAGCTAAAGACCGTGGCTAAATAGTCCTACGGTCGAATCCACAAGGAATATCCTACAATTCCCTTATCGACTATCAAATATACGGTGCTTCAAGCTTCAAAACGTGTGGATAATCATTCACTACCACGCTCTGGCCAACCCCGAAAGCTTAATGAAGAGGATATCAAGAAGATCGACGATATGATTGAGGATAATCCACGCGTTTTAATCGAAGATCTTCTCGCAGGCGTCTCAAACAAGATCAAAAGAACCTCGATCTGGCGACTACTTCACGAATAAGGCCGTAGAAAGTAGCTTGTTCTTGATCGACCGAGCCTTACGCCCGAACATGCTGCTGCTCGCCTTCGCTGGGTACTTGAATACCAGCACTTTACGCCTGAAGATTGGGCTCGAGTCTTTTGGTCTGACGAATATACAGTCGAAAGGGGTATCGGTGAGCGCCGTAAGTATACTTTCACGCCTCGACATAAGCAGATTGCTGAGCGTGATATTCGTCCAGTCCCGACGAAAGGTAAGCAGACGAAACAGATGTTTTAGGCTGCTTTCTCGGGCGCAGCAAGACGTATAGGCCTTATCCTACTATTCGGTGATCCTGCTATAGGCTGTAGTGGTGTAAATCGCTTCGTAATTCGCGATTTATACTAGCGAATCCTACTAACCTTAATCGATCATGAGGATAGTATATTTCAACAGGATAATGCATCAACACACACTGCAATCGTTATACGCGAGGCCCTACGTGAAATAGGCTTTACTTTAATGGATTAGCCTGCAAAATCGCCTAATTTAAATCTAATTGAAAACCTATAGACGCTGCTAAAGGATATGATCTATAAGATTTGCCCAGAGCTTAAGAGCATACGAAATAACGATACTACGCATACGATTCTGATCGAAAAGGCCCAGGAAGCGTAGAACCTATTAGATCTAGATATTTTAGTGCATCTATCTGCTACGATGCCACACAGGGTGTAGGCAATTATTGATGCAGAGGGGTGGTATACTAAGTATTAGAGGATTTGGATGATTCATGTAATTATTTGCGAGGTTTCTTAGGGCCGGCAGAAAAGGCTTGGCGTGGCAGAAAAAAAGGGGTAGTCGGAAACTAATAGAACACCACTGTATACGGGCCTAGTGAAACTCATGGCCCCATTTTCCTCATTTCATGCCTTGTACTCTCCGAAATTACCGATCGCATTTTCATGAACTGCGTAGGCCCTGCGGTCCCAAGTAATCAAGTAATTTGAGACCCAATGCAATAGATTGACAAGTATACCGTCAAATCGGTGTATGGATCGAACATCACAGACGGTCGCGGCATGCTCGAGCCTCGTTACGAATAAGAGCGGAGTACGATCATCCTTTGATTCCATGCAGCACTGAAGAACCTAAATGCATGGCCTTTTAGGGTAATCATAGGGCTGCGCGCTTGTTACCAGTTTGATTTTGTGGGTGATTCAACCATCATCACAGCACAGACGATGGCTAAATCTCATCCATGCGAGGGTCACCCAGCGGCACAATGGCTGAAACACGAAATGATGAAACGGCGCCGATTTAATCAATCCCAGATTGACGGGCTGGCAAGAATGGAGACCCGAATGGACCAGACTCGAAGCCAAGTTTCTTAGCGGCGCTGCCGTTGCGGTGGGTAATTTCCCGAGGGACGGCCGGTGCGTCTGGGCGTTGATTGGCAAGCCTGCCACTGCCAGACCATTCTGAAACTTGCTCGTGTCTGGGTATTTCCACCGTGTTACAGATCTCGATCGAGCTTGTCTGGGAATGGAGGATGAGCGACGCCATTGTTGATGGATTTGCTCCTGGGTCTAGGCTAGACATTCAGGGTCCTTCTTCCCTTTCTTTTCGCAACTTCAATAGAGTCATGGCAATGCCCTCTTGTAGTTCTTCACGACTTGGGGGAAACTCCAGTCCCCTGTACGCGCGGCCGCTAGTGCAGCCTCTAAATGGACGACTGGCGCTAGTGCCGAGCAGAGTGGGAATTGGGGATCCGCCCAGGGGTCAAATATCACCGTCCAATCTGGAAAATCTGGTCGAGCCCAGGCTGACACCCTTCATTATCTCCCGAATTTCATTCTGGCGTCCATGACCCAGCCCTCTTTGCGACCGGATTTGGGCCAATCACAAACCCGTGAACAGACGCGTTGGAATGTAGAATGTCCCACGCCAGTCAGTGGCGGGACGCTGTGTGGAATGTGTCGCGGATATCGAGAGGTTGGAGAAGGCGTCTAGCAAGCCGCAGTGAGAAAGCAATAAAAGGGACGGGATAGACAGCGTCGGAGGTAAAAGCAAGCACAATTTAATGAAGACAAGACAAGTCACGACAATCCAAAAAGGAAGAAGCCCCAAGTCCTGAGCTCATCTCCCCTAATTAATCGCCCGGCCCCACTTCTCTCTCTCTCTCTCCTCCCCTTTCTCTACTTGATCTCCTCTCTTCTCTCTCTCCCTCCCACGCTTACGTGCTTCTTTATATCCCGCCTCGTGGCACTTGAACAGTGTACAGGCCTGTCATTCCTTTAACCCGCCCAAGCGTACATACACTCATTTGTCAATTCTAAACTGCAGTCGACCTGCAGTTGTTGACCTCTCCCGCCCCTACGCTCTCTACATCGAACTTCCTGGGGAAGTTCTCCATCCACTCAACACTCTCAAATCTCAAGATCCCAAATTACATCTTGGACCTGATCTGTGATCGCCCATCAAACACACACAATGCGCTCTACTCTGTTCCTCGCTGCTCTTGCCGCTGGCTGCGTCAGCGCCTACGAGAAGCGTGTTTATGTGACCGACTGGACCACCGTCACGGTCACCAAGACCGTCACTGCCCCCGCAGTCACCGAGACTGTCCAGCCTGCCCACCAAGCGGTTCAAAACACTGTGACGACCACCACCCAGGGCCCCGGCGCCCCTCCTGTTCAGACTGAGTCCTCGGAACTGGCCAAGAAGTCCACTGTTATTGTGCCCATCTCCTCTACGACCCAGGCCGTTCCCTCCGTTGAGATTGTTGAGCCTTCGTCCACTCTGGCTCAATCCACCTCTACCACTGCCCCCGCTGTCTCTACTACCAGTGCCACCACCAACACCTATCAGTCTGCCGTCCTGTACAACCACAACATCCACCGTAGCAACCACTCCGTCTCCTCCGTTGAGTGGTCTGCGGATCTCGAGGCCAGCGCCCAGACTCTGGCCGCTCGTTGCGTGTACCAGCACGACACGTAAGTGCAATTTGCCAATTGCAATGCGATTGATACTTTGAAGGTTCCGATAAAATACTGACATGATATTTACACAGCTCTATTGATGGTGGTGGCTATGGCCAGAACATCGGCTACGGCGTTGATGCGAGCGATGTGGGCGCCATGATCACCAACCTGATGTACAACGATGAGATCGAATTCTTCCCTACCCCCTACGGTGCTGCCGACCCCAGCATGTCCGACTTCGACAAGTGGGGCCACTTCTCCCAGATCGTCTGGAAGGGTACCACCCACGTCGCCTGCGCCACTGTTACCTGCAACAGCCTGGGCAACGTCGACTCCGGTTCCCCCTTGCCCTTCACTGTCTGCAACTACTCGCCTGCCGGTAACGTTGACGGACAGTACGGCGAGAACGTGCTCGCTCCCGGCACCGCAGGCACCTACACTGCCTAAGCAGCTTTTCCTTTTTTAAAGGAGATACTCGCCTGGGAGGGCCCCAATCTTCTTTTGGGCTATCTGTCGGGATAGTTCTGATGCATGTTACATCTCGATGTCTAGCGAAGCCTGCATTCGTTTTCTAACATTGTGTTACCCTTTTTTTTATCCATACTATCTTCGCTTCTCTCAGCACTCTGCATGTTCCAACCTGACCAAGCACTCCCGCTGGAGACCTTGGTCAGGCCCTTTTTCCGAGGTCGGGATTAGCATTTTGGTTACACCCCTTGGCAGGGACTTGAGTTTCCTCTCAGCGCAAGTCCAAGGGGAATTTTTGTCTTGTATGTACGCAGAGGGTTGACCTGTGCTTATCTCTTTCTTTCTGCCTTATTTGACCTCGGAAGAAGGGGAACGTACAGAGTTGCGACCCCGTTACAATTGTGAATACTCCTTTTTTGACTTGGTGTCTCCTAGCGAATCTTTCTACGCCCCGTTTCCTGTGGATAAAAAAGATATGGTCCCCCCGATGTGATGTACTGCTTTATCTGAATGCGAGATGAACCTTGCCTACTAGCGATCACGGCACTTGTACACTTCATAGACCCGTACACTGTAATTCGTCAATCAGCTCGAAATCCTGTTTGTGCTTGTTGATCATCTCCCCACGCCAAGTGGATCCCGGCAATTTACCCCTGAAACGTCATGATCACCCAATCAGCTCGTCCCGAGGTCCCGCTTGACTCTGGTGTTCGATGTTTGGTCGCGCTGGGAGTGAGTTCCGCTTGAAACGATTGGGTCTGGAGCTTGGGCACCTACGGTATGTAGCCGCCGTGCCCCCCCGTCCAACCTGTCCCTCGCATCTCACAGGACGGGATTGAAATTCAAAATTGAAATCATAATCGGGGTTTATTCAAAGGGAACTTGAATCAGGTAGTTACTGTCATTGGCTTACTCTGCAGCTGTTGGCCGATGCGCTCATCCCAATTTTGCAGAATTCGCTAGTCGCATACTAACTTGCTAGTTCGTTGCTTGGTGTGTTGATCTGCACATCTGGATCTGGCTGGGAACAGTGACACTCTTATGTAAGTGATTACTACTGTATCAGGATTGAGATGAAGATTCCAGCGCGAGGGTGACACTGCGATTGAATTCATTTCATCGGTGGAGATGTGTCATAGTAAGTGCTGTTTCAAAATACGAGATGCGTGGATTTTTACTAGATGCTATCCCCGTTGGGAGGTCGAGTAGAGATGGAAGTGTGACAATTATCAAACTAGTAGGTTGTAATTTGGGTCATCGCTGGCGATTTTCATTCGGAAGAATGGCGAGGTATGACAATGAAATCAGCTTATTTGATCATTGTTTTGGAACTCTGCGTGGAGGTCGCCAACCACGGGTCCATTCTTTGTGTGTACTCGACGCTGTTTCAACTCCTTGATCTTGCAACGCCTTGCCGACTAGGGTCAAAATTATCATGGCTCGAGGATTTGTTGCAAGAATGAACACTTGACAAAGGGGTCCTGCCACGATCCGAAACTAAATTATGGAAATTGAGATCAGGTACATAGTAGACTTAAGATTCCAAAACATCCTCATCATCACCCCAAATTACAACACTCCTCCCGTCCATACCGAGTATCTCTCGAGACCATGGGTCCTCAACATACTTCCTTGACCGATTCAACCCAAGAGAGCAGCGACGGTAAGCAGACCCCGGATGAACAAACCGAAGAAAAAAGGATAGAAGAAACCCTAGACTTCTACACACAACGAAAAACCCTCGTCAAATCACTAGAAAAACACAGCATAAACATCCAAACACGACCCTTCACACGCCTCCAAATCCTGCGTTCTCTAGACCTCGTGGCAAAATCTCTCATTCTCCTACGTTCCACGCCAACCTTCACCCACGGCTCGAAACTAGAACGCTGCGCACCACGTCGAATCCAAAGAATCCTCCTTTCCCTTAGAAAAGCAAATCGGATTTTAGAGCATGGATTGTTCTGGGAAGTTTCTGCAGCATTGGCACTCATTAGCAGGCATGTGGGACGTCTTCGATTGGTGGGCGTTGTAGATCTTTTTGCGGATGGGAAGGATGAGCAGGCGAGGGAGCATCATTTGAGATATGCTTGGAAGAGCGGGGATGATCCTGCTTTTTCTTATATTTTGCATTCTATGTCGGTGTTGATGGGGTTTGTTGATTCTTGTTGTGGGTGTTGTTATTGTCGTTGGTGATTTCGATGGGTGGTTTTGATAGTTTTTCTGTGTAATTCAAGGCTCTTTGCTTGATAGTATTCCTTTAATAGATAACTCTGCGAACTGATTGGAATATTCAATAACAAGTATTTTGTGTCTTGTTTTATGAATTACAACGGCCGCAGTAGAATGTAGAGACGGCTTTTTACCTTGGATAACGCTTCTCTGGTCAACTGTCCCAGCAGTCATGTTTCGAGTATGCGACTTGAGATCCCTAGAACTGACTTGATACCTTAATCCTTGAGTTTCTGTCAACAAGCTTCTTCTTCTTTGTTTCTCTGTAACATTCATCAATATAGTCTTTCATTGATCCTTTTGAAAACTACCCCTAGTGAGTTGCTACATGGATTGGATTGGCCAACTCAACGAAATCTACACTTTCGATCCCTTGGCCGAGTTATGGAAGCCTTGCATGGGATGAATTTGAAACTGAGTCTTTCTTCATGAGGCTTTGATGGTTAGTGTGGAGGCATTTGTCCCTGCCTTTCGTGCCTATTTTGGTGAGTTTAGTGAATGTGCACAACGAGCTTTTGACTAACAAAGACTTGGAAAACTACCTCTCACATGAATCTTTCTGGGAGACCGTAGGACCCAGAGATAAGAACTAGTCAGGTTAAATAGCGGTACTTACCCCGACGTTTCCTCTATCAAGAAAAAATCATCTCAAAATTTCATCAAAATGTCTTTCTTCAGTACCGGGAGTACTTCCATCCTCGTTCAGCCCGAAAAGCAGCTGGCACTCGAGGCGGCACGATTCCAAAAGTCGCGCAATCGCATCGCGCAAAACTTGTCTCAATACAATACCGACATCAAGTTGGTATGGTCTCAGTTTGGGCCAGACCAGAACGAATTCAACCAGATGCAAAAAAGAACTGAGCGCACAAATCCCCAAAGTGGAAAATTTGCTTGGAGTCGCCGCCCTGGCCCCCTTGGGTGATCGAACGTATAATTGCGCCGAGAAAAGACAACTGGCAATTCTCAATTGTCTGAGATACGTGACTAATCTTACTTGGAGGTGTGGTCCTCGTTGGGACGCCGGGATGGCGTTGGAAATCATTAGCAAGCGGATTGGAGGTATCCGCTTGATCGGGCCCCTTGACGAGACTGCTGATGAAATGGATCGCCAGGCACGAGTCCTTTGGGAGCACTGTGGTGGCAACAAGGACAATTTCTCCTCGGGCTCCTTGAAATATTTTGAGTGTGGAGAGCTCGATTATCTCGTTCCAGACATGTATTCCGTCGACTCCTACTGTGGCTGCCCTTGGTGCCGGGGATGAATTAGTGCGCTTGACTTTTCGTTTTTGAGAATGTCTCTGTTTGTGCTCTTTATGAATATATTGAATACTATTGTTTTGTCCCTTTTGATCCACCGAATGTATATGAATGTCCAAAGTGCAATACTAATGTCAGACTCCATAGATCTGGATATTGTATGTCACGTGACTGTGGGTTTCTCCCCACAGCTCCCTTCGCCCGAAACGTCATCGCAAGCCTAATCCCCATGCCAAAGACTCTCCCACACGTGGTTTGCTGTGGTGTTCCGGTTTCAGGCCAAACCACACGTTATAATCATCTTTTCGAGAGGCTCCATATTGCTTCTCGTTTTTATTTTGCCCTCTCTCTCAGCTGACCGACCGAATATATCAGCTTGGACTGCTCACCTGTCCACACACTCGGGCCCTGTCATCCTCGAGGCTCGTTTGGTTAAGGTCGGGTGAGTTTCCCCTCCAGATATCAAGCTTAAACCCGTTCCCCATGCGCATAAAGCAGTCAACTTTCCATTTCTTTCCACCTTTCTCTGTTTCACTTGACTCTTATCTCGTCATGTTACTGTGCCAGTCGAGTCCACCACTAAACCTCTTTGGTTTTGCAGGCTGCATGTTGCTTGGCTGAAATCATCTGACTGCACAGTTCCCAGAGAGGCTCATCCGTTCCTCCGGCGCTATTCGCCTTCAGCACCGGCCGGCCCAAGGACCCCCCAACCCACATCTTCTCCCTTTCTGCTTGCCATTCCCCGTAAGTCCTTTTCTCCGTTGGCCCCTTCAACCCGAGTCGGCTCCACAATTTCACGGCTCCCGTGGAGGTTCGGAGCTGGAGGGGGGTTATATAGTTCTTGGTCGTATAAAGCATGCACGGCCTGCTGGCCGGCTTCCTTTGGTCCCCTTCCATCTGTTATTATACCTATCGTCCCACTATGCTCTTATGAGGTAGTCTCCATGCCACCATACTGCCTGCAAGACTGTCACTATTTCTACCGCACTGCTTTGCGTCTCCTGTCCCTCCCCACCTGCCTCGCCTCCGCCTACGCTTGATCGGAACGAGAGGAAATAAAATAGTCACTAATCATTATGTCCTACTCACGAACGGCAGTCCGTTTCTTTACTGCACCTAAGCCTCTTGGGAATGCCATGGATTCCGATGCAGCCAAGCGCACCGCGGCTGAGTCCCAGGGCCACACTGTCGTGAGGCCAAATGTGGCGCCCGAGCAGCCTTCGTCAGAGGCTGTGAAGGTCCATACACCCAAGGAAAAGGGCCTGACCTTTGCCAATCAAGATTCACTTCCCAAACTCCCCATTCCTGATCTTGAGGACACATGCCGAAGGCATCTGGACGCTCTATCCCCCTTGCAGACTATTCGGGAACATCAAGAGACCAAGGCAGCGGTCAAGGACTTCTTAAAGACCGATGGACCTATCCTTCAAGAGAAATTGAAGACATATGCTTCCTCTAAGACAAGTTATATCGAGCAATTTTGTAAGTTCGAGGCCTTGAGATGTTGCGAACTATCGGCCGCTAATGGTTCCAGGGTATGATTCTTACCTGAACTTCGACAACCGTGAGTCTATCCAATTTCTTTTACCGTCAATTTACATATCACTGAGATCCAACCAGCTGTCGTTCTCAATCTTAACCCATTCTTCCTGTTGGAAGATGACCCAACACCTGCTCGAAACCACCAGGTCACCCGCGCGGCCTCGTTGGTAGTGTCAGCCTTATCTTTCGTTCGTGCTGTTCGTAGGGAGGAACTTCCCCCGGATACTGTTCGTGGCACTCCTCTGTGCATGTACCAGTACTCTCGCATGTTTGGAACCGCCCGTCTTCCGACCGACAATGGCTGTGTCATCAGTCAAGACCCTACAGCCAGGCACATGGTGGTGATGTGTCGTGGCCAGTTCTATTGGTTTGATGTTTTGGATGAAAACAGCGACTTGATCATGACCGAGAAGGATATCTCGCTCAACTTGCACGTCATCATTGAAGATGCGGCGCAGACTCCTATCCAAGAAGCCGCCAAGGGAGCATTGGGTGTCCTCAGTACGGAGAACCGCAAGGTATGGTCAGGCCTGCGCGATATTATGACCAAGGACGCCGCCTCGAACAACGCCGAATGCTTGAATATCGTCGATACCGCTCTATTTGTACTGTGTCTCGATGACACCGAACCTTCGAGCACGGCCGAGCTTTGTGCCAACATGCTTTGCGGTACGAGCGAAGTGATCAAGGGTGTTCAGGTCGGTACATGCACCAACCGGTGGTACGACAAACTTCAAATTATCGTTTGCAACAATGGCAGCGCGGGTATCAACTTTGAACACACTGGCGTGGATGGCCATACCGTTTTACGCTTTGCCAGTGATGTTTATACCGATACCATTCTTCGATTCGCCAAGACAATCAACGGCCAGGCTCCAAGTCTATGGGCTACTTCGAGCCCTGACCCTGCCAAACGTGACCCTCGCAGCTTTGGCAATGTCAGCACCACGCCTCGCAAGCTGGAATGGGACATGACACCGGAACTGAACATCGCGTTGCGGTTTGCCGAATCTCACCTGTCCGACCTTCTATACCAGCACGAGTTCCAGGTCCTGGACTTTGAAGGCTTCGGCAAGAACTTCATCACATCGATGGGATTCTCACCCGATGCATTCGTGCAGATGGCTTTCCAGGCGGCGTACTACGGTCTCTACGGTCGCGTTGAAAATACTTATGAACCAGCCATGACGAAAGTCTTCTTGCATGGTCGGACCGAGGCTGTGCGCACCGTGACACCCGAGGCCGTTGAATTTGTAAAGACATTCTGGGGCGAGAACCCGGCAGAACAAAAGATTGACGCCCTGCGCACTGCAACCCAGAAACATACCGCTATGACGAAGGACTGCTCGAAAGGCCAAGGCCAAGACCGCCACCTGTATGCCCTGTACTGTCTTTGGCAACGGTCCTTTGACGAGGGCCTCTTCCATGACGGCAGCTCTGCAGGTGGTTACTCGAGCCCCAGTGATGGAATGCTCTCCGAGACATCGGAGGATTGCTTCTCCTCATCCCCCGCCAGCGGGAGCATCCGCGGAGCGCGCACTCCTACTCCCCCGACACCTGCCATCTTCAGCGATCCCGGCTGGGACAAGATCAACACGACCGTCCTGTCAACCTCGAATTGTGGTAACCCGTGTCTTCGCCACTTTGGATTTGGCCCAACGTGTGCTGATGGCTTCGGTATTGGGTACATTATCAAAGACGAGTCCATCTCATTCTGCGCCTCGTCGAAGCACCGCCAAACGGGACGATTGATGCACACGCTTGAATCGTACCTTTTCGAAATGAGGAAGTTGCTGCGCGCTACCAATCGCAAGGCCGCCAGTCCACGGACGAGCCGTGCCCGAGAGACTGAAATGCTACCGGAGCGCTTGCAGGCTGATACCAATCGACGTGGTCGGGTTGTCCGCGGGGATAACCGCGGCGCGGACACACCGACTACTACGACGGATAGCGGGGAAATAGAGGATGACGGGATGGGTGGTTGTAAGTATTACCGTTTTCCCGAGACATTTCTCATAGGGAAACAAGAGCTGACGTTGGCTTGTAGATGGATTCTTCGATGCCGGTATGCTTCTGCATGCGCTTAAGGGCGTCAGCGCAGAGCGGGAACGTGGTGATAAGCCCGAGAAGCGGAGATTTGTTGGAAAGAAGCTCCATCTCAATGAATATTGATGATGGTGGTGAAGTATTAAGACTTGTATTTATTGGAATTTCTAACGATTTACCCGTCCACATGGAAATGAGAAGCGTGTCCTGATTTACTGTCTGTGAGACCTTTGTAGACCTGCGCTATAGATAGTAGCATAGTAGCACTGTGCGTGAACCCTACACTCACCAGCCACGCGATGAATAAGAAAAGATCTTTGAATCTCGGCCGATTCCGGGCGATCCTCCAAAGAGGTCTGCTTTGCGAGGCTATTATCTCACTGCTCGTCTGTGGAACCCTGAGACATGCAGCCAAGCTGGTCTGATCTGCCGCCGCCGCTCAGCCACCCGTGGGTGGCCCTACAAAGCAACAATGTGACGTAGCAGTCCTATCAGTTTATTAATTTTTCTCATGTACCCCAAATCCTTGTGGCTTGATGTTGCTGACATAGTCGATTATTGTCTTGGAATGGGGAATGTTACATCTGCATGGTTTACTGGACTTCTGGATCTTCATTTGCCGGGTTTTCAAGACATGCGGGGTTGAAAGCAGCTGCCTTGATGTGTAGCTAACGGAAAGGATGCAGGGATAAAAATAGAGCGAGTTCTACGTCAATGATCGACAACGATTCTTTAGGTTCCGCAATCGTCTAGATCGGGGTTTGATGGTTTACCTTCGAATAGTAAACAATCCTAGCAAGCAAGTTTCTGGTTACAACGAATAATTCACTCCGATAAAGAGGTCGGTAGATACCGTTGCGAAATTATCAATTCATAGTAAATAGTAGTTAACATTAATAGTATTCTAAATCGAACGTCGGTATACCGAGAATCCCGATAAGTTGACAATCCACTGAAACAAGGCTGAGGTATCACACAAACACCACGCAAGTTCACGCCTGATCTGTAGAATGCTCTCAGAGTTAGTCAGATTCCAGCATGTGTTTACGTACAATGTCTTTGCCCAGCATGCAACACGCCCACGAGTCGGTATACGCCTAAGAATGGAAGGTAAGCAAGTCAGGCATCGGATTAACATCAGAAACTACTTAAGAGCCCCCGATCGCCTCGATACTCAACATCCACAAGCATCACCAATAACTGTCCTCATCCTACATCTACAACCAATCTTTCCCAGAATCTACCACACGCAAAAATGTACTTCGCCACCATCCTCGCCTCTGCCATCGCCCTTGCAGGCGCTGCTTCTGCGGCTGCCGTGCCTACACACCGCTACGCCCAACTCCGTCTCTGGGGCGAACCCGAGTGTGCGACTCTGAACCTCGGAGAGGAGGGAATCTACGGTGACCAGCTTGCCAAGTGTAACCCCTTGGATGAAAATGATGTCGTTCGATCTGTGAGCTTTGAGGCTGCCGATGCCGGATGTACTCGTGAGTTTATCGACCGTTGATTTGTTGCGGTGTTTATTGCGGTGTTTAACAGTCTATTAGTGTACATCTACAGCGATCTGCAGTGCCATCTTGATAAGCACGAGGTCCCTGTTCAGACTTGCTTGAGCGGAGACAAGTATTACCGCAGCTATGAGCTGTTCTGTGATGTTTAAGTTGGGGTGACTAAGGTTGTCAGTACATAATGTTGAGATGGAAATATTTATGCTGTGACGAGATAATAGCAAGGTTTGAAGACACTGGAAGGTTAGGGTCATTAATTTGTTAGTATATAGCTAGCCTTGCAAGCTGAATATATATACATCTGATTTGAGTTGTCGATAGGTAGTATAGTTCCAGTGTAATGGAGGCACACGGTATTCAACTGGTCACCTACATGTTGAGGCTCCATGATTCAAGTTGACGCCAACGTCGGTACTCATCTTTTGCTATATTTCGACTTCAACTGTCTAAGGGGAGATAGTGTGTGAGTATGGGAGATATATCATTAACAAGAACCACCAAGTTTGTTATTGCAAGCCAGTCTTGGCTCTCGGGGCAGGATATCTCCGATTACTCAGCGCCATGAGACCCGCATCCATCGATTTAGGTCGCTCAGCGGGGCTAAGACCTCTTGCGGTGCACCCAACCCGATGGAATATCGCCCCGATGAGTGGCACAGACGCCCCCAAAAGCGCATGCAACCTATGCCGGCATCGAAAGGTCGGGACCCGCCCCCGCCTCGCTTGGGGGAAGCACCTGGTGAACGCTGACCCGTCGTTGTTTCATAGATTCGCTGCGATAGGGCCAAGCCTGCCTGTGAAAATTGTCAGTTGGCTGGCGTGGCTTGCGTCTTTACTCCTTTGCCTCAGCGTAAAAGTCCCCGCGAGTAAGTGTGTACCTATATACTTCGCGATCAGGTTGTTCAGTCTTCCAATCTCCTAAATCATGAATTAGACAACTGGAAGAAGCCAAGGCTCAGATTAAACAATTAAAAGAAACCCTGCGCCTGGAACGGGACGAATGGCGTCGCTCTCAGTCTTCCACTCCAGCACCGACTATTACTCTCTTCGATCCATGCGGATTGGACACTACATTAGCTGCCTTTAGATGGCATCTCCAGTTTTGTATCCCGGGGGTTGATCCCGACAGGCGACTGGATTCGCTTTTCAATTTTGACGCCTTTTCTCATGCGCTAAAACAGTCGCTCGATTCATCACAGACGACCCCGACCAAGGTGGTCACACCGAAATGGCCTTCTCGTCTGATGATGCAGCAGTCACTTAAGTATTATGAGACCAACAAGCTTTATGCAATCTTTCCCATGGTGGACACAGTGGCCTTGAAACGCCTTCTGGATGCCGACGAGTTCGGTCTTCACGAAGGGACGATCGATGCTGCTAGTCATGCATGTTTAACTGCGCTCACAGCTTTTATAACTCGACTCCGTCATCATGAACCCGCATTTGCCGAGGCTGATTCCAGTGCCTATATGCAAGCTGTGCTTTCGATGCTGCCCCAGCTGGTCATGGAACATACCAACATCCGGGTCTTGGAAGCCCTATTGATCCTCGTAGGTCCAGCATGCTATTCAACCCTACATAATGGATTCTCTGACTACTTCCAGACAGCCGATCTAGCTCCGCAGGGCCAACCGCAGACCGCGGAGCTCGTAATGTCCCTGGCAGTACGAATCCTCTATAACCTCAAAGGCAACATCAACAAACCATCTTCCCCGGACCCCGAACAAATCCACCTTCACCACCATCTCCGCGCTCTATTCTGGGTCTGTTACTCTATCGACAAGGAAATGTCTCTCCGAAGGTGCCAGCCACCAATCATCAACGACGCCGACTGCGATCTGGATCTACCAGCAACCTACGTCTCCGTGACCTCCGATCACCAATTCTTCCACTCCCCGCTGTCCCTACAAGAGCTTCTATACCCGACAGATCTCCGTCTGGCCGTGCTCAAGTCGAAAATCTACCGTCTACTATATTCGCCCTCAAGTCTGACACAATCTGAAGGTGCACGTCTCCAAGTAATCCGCCAACTAGATGAGGAACTGAGCGACCTGAAGTCTCAGTTCCCGGCTGTCTGTCAACCCGACATGTATGCAAATGGAGACGTGCCGGACTCGTTGCTCCATGATCTCAGTTTACGGGGTGTCAACACGCACTTGGAGTATTACCATTGTCTGTCCAAGATTCATGGCGCCTGTATCAGCGGTAGCAGTGGCTCTGTCATGAGGAATCTATCGCCACCATCCTCCAGTATGGAGCTTTGCTACCAAGCTTCGCGGTCAACGCTTTTATACATCTGTCGGATTCACCATCTCATTATGAAAGAGACGTTCTGGTTTGTGACTCGACTGTTTGCACTGTCACAACTTTCGACTGACTCGTGTCCACTACTTTCTCTCGCAGGATCTATGCGCAGTTTATCCTGACTGCAGTCTTTGCATTATACCAGCGCATCAAGATGACTACCTCTGGGTATCACGTCCATGAGGATCTCCGGCTTTTAGAGAAGGTCCACGAAATCTTCGTCAATCTGCGAGTTGCTGATGGGGAGGGTACGTTTCCACCGTTTGCTGTGACTGAGGCTCTCATACGAAGTTTGGTCTCCTCGGTGACGTAGTCATGTTATGGTGGTTGATAGCAAATACTGAGACCTTGAATGGCTTGTACAAAATCACAATGTCAACTTTTTGAGATAGAGATACCAATTGCCATGGTTACCTTGTTCCATGCTTTCTACCAAGTTTACGACCTTGTTTACTAGAAGACGCAAAACAAGAGATAAATTACATGGAAATGAACCAACTTATTGTTTGAGAAACCAGTAGCATTGACTTGAAGAGTAAGATGTCAAGAAGTAAATAGAGTGACGTATTAATTAAAGATCACAAGCCCAGACCCCATAGATCCAAGTCCATCAAAATATTCAGCCAGAACCCCCAAGCATCCCAAGTTTGGATTCAACGCCGAGACCAGGCGTGTCCCTTTGTTTTTTTTTTGCTCTTGTTGTTGTTTTTTGATGTCTTTTTTGATGTCTTTTTTGATGTCTTTTTTGATGTCTTTTTTGATGTCTTTTTTGATGTCTTTTTTGATGTCTTTTTTGATGTCTTTTTTGATGTCTTTTTTGATGTCTTTTTTGATGTCTTTTTTGATGTCTTTTTTGATGGTTTGTTTGTTGTTTTGTTTTGTGTTCTTTTTGTTCTTGTCCTTTTTTTTTTTTTTTTTTTGATGTTTCTTTTTTGTAGTTGTGCAAGGTTGGCGCTTCCTCGCCACGTAGTCACCATGTTTTGCTCGGTGCTTCTTCACCCTGAGCTCCTTGACCAGCGGCTTGTGCCTCCCCACCGCATGCTTGGTGCTTCTTCACCCTTAGCAGTTTCACCAGCGGCTTGTGCCTCCACACCGCAAATGCTCGATGCTTCTTCATCCTGAGCTTTTAACCAGTGGCTTGTGCCTCCACACCACTTTGACCGGTAATCGAAGGGAGGAGGGGAGGGGATGCGAGACTTCAAGGCAATCTTCCAGATGGATGTCGTGAATGACACAAAAGAGGAAGCAGATTGTTGGTAATCTTCCAGGTAGATGAATCGTAAGAGCCACAATGGAGGAAGGAGGATGTAGCGGTCTGAAGTGATGAAGGTTAGTGATGAATACCAAAGAGGGAATAAGTGAGTCGACATACTTTGCGTCGAAGTCATCGCAGCCAACACGTCGGACAAGGAGTCAGTGGTTGAAGGAAGTAGACTTCAGTTGCTGGATCAAGTGTTGGGTGGGCTTGATGTGGAGTGAGGACCCAGTGTAGGAAAGACTTGATTTATACTAAGGTCAAGTCAAGATGTCAGTCAATATCAGATGGAAGATGGGATGGGGAAGATGTATCATACTTGTTGAAGCAAGTGAAGTCATGTTGTAGTATCATGTCATCCGATGTCATGTCATGTGTGGATGGAAGTAGGTTGAGGTCTCATGTATGACTAGGTCAAGTCATGTTGTGTTATGACAAGGTCAATATACCCAAGGGTCATGTTGATAAACAAGTCATGTCAACAAATACTTGTCAGGTGGGTAAGAGTAGATGAAGGTTGATGACCTGAGGTGGGAGGAGACCAAGGTTGGATGACAAGATGTTGAGTAAGAGGAAGTTGGATGAGAAGTCCCAAGTATAAACAAGGGTAGATCGGATGGGATGGTCAAGGCTGGGATGGACCAAGGAGGATGGGATGGAGGATAGAGGAGGAGGAGATGGAGGAGGAGGAGATGGAGGAGGAGGAGGAGATGGAGGAGGAGGAGGAGAGTTGGAAGGTTGAAAAGTTGGGGATGGGAGGAAGAAGGAGGAAGAAGAAATCCTTGGGGGGGGGGGAAGCATTTAAAGGAAACCAGAAAATGGGACTAATCCTCTTTGGGATTTCACCAGCAGGCCTGGCTGTTTCGCAAAATAAAAGCTGGGATGGTGAAGCTGATGGGAGATTTTCTGCCTTTTGCAACTCCCAGACCAGCTGCGAAGCCCCCTCGCGCCCTCCATATTTTGGCTAAACACCATCGAGTTACCCTGTATTTCCAAGACTCTCTGTAGAGCAGACTCCATCATGTAGCAGTAAACACGTCTTTGTAACACTACGCAGTTTCACGAGAATGGAGTTGTTGTTGATCCCGTTCAAAGGTGCTTCATGTGTATAGTTCGCGAATTTATATTGGTGCCTTGTTTTGCAGGCCGCATTACCCCCAACGCCTCGGATGTCTGCCGTGTGGGGAAGCGCCGACACCGGATAGCCGACTTTGTAACGAGTAGCCGTTTTACAGGGAGCCTTTCGTCCCCACGTCGTGGAAATCATCCAGTACAATAGTCAGCGCTGTATATAAGAGTCTCTGCAGGATAGCAAAGCGGTGGCTGGAGTTGTGTAGCCAGTTACGCCTCAATCGCCCGAATTGTCGTCCTAGTCGGTAATCCCCCATGGCTCTGCACAGTCTGCCAAGACGCGTCCCCCAAATGGGGATGCGCTGGACTAGACGGTTCTCGACTTCCCCGCGAACAGCTGATTATGCGGATACGCTGCCAAATCTGAAGATTGGTGCTCATACGCGCGTCTTGTTTCAAGGATTTACTGGTACGTTTGTGTTTTGGTGTCGGGCAGATCGAGCAATGGCTAAAGCATCTTTACAGGAAGACAGGCGACTGCCAACGTCAAAGAATCCTTGGAATGGGGCACCAAGATTGTGGGTGGCGTCAAGCCTGGTGTCGAGGGAGAGCATCTGGGGCTTCCGGTGTTTCCCTCTGTGAAAGTGGTACGCAGAAGAGCAGCTCGGTCCGGTCTACATTGTCACATACTAATCTGTCATTCGGGGATATTCAGGCCCAGAAGAAAGCCAAGCCTGATGCTTCTGCCATCTACGTGCCCGGAAACCAGACTGCGCAGGCTATTGAAGAGGCCATCGAGGCGGAAATCCCTCTCGTGGTAGCAGTGGCGGAACACGTCCCCATCCATGACATTCTCCGGGTAAGCACGTTTCCCGCATTTTTATCGCGATTATCAGTTCTAACTATCAGTCCAGATCCATTCTATGCTTCAAACACAGTCCAAAACCCGTCTTGTTGGCGCAAACTGCCCCGGTATAATCTCCGCCATTGGCAAATGTCGTATCGGCTTCCAGCCTTTGCCGTGTTTCGCGCCAGGTAACGTCGGCATCATAGCCAAGTCAGGAACGCTGAGCTATGAAACTGTCGCGTCCACAACGCGAGCTGGTCTCGGTCAGAGCCTGTGCATCAGTATGGGTGGTGATGTGTTGGCCGGTACCAACTTTGTCGACGCGCTGAAGATCTTTGAACACGATGACGATACCCAAGGTATCATTCTCGTCGGTGAGATTGGAGGTACTGCGGAGATGGATGCGGCTGAGTGGATCAAGGACTACCGACGGAGAACTGCTGATCCCAAGTGAGTTGGTCCTTTGCAACTGGGTGCGCTGTGGATATCGTACTGACTCTCGACAGGCCCATCATGGCTCTTGTTGGTGGTCTGGAGGCACCTCCAGGACGGATCATGGGACATGCGGGGGCTTGGGCTGCACCTGGTGAACCCGATGCTCAGACCAAATACCAGGCTCTGGAACGGGCTGGGGCGGTCATGGTCAACCATCCCGAGAAGTTTGGCGAGGGAATGAAGACCCTACTGGGTAACAGAGCCACCCGACCAGGAACAAGCGTGGGTTCATACAGAGTCATCTTGGCTTGGATTGAGCTGACATCCTACAGTCTAACTTAGGTGCAGGCTCTCAAAAGCGTGGATTTCATACGATGAGACGCGTTACTCCAACCTCACAGTCGGCTGTCCAGCAAAGGCGTAACCTGTCCATCAAACCGTTTCAGGCACTCGATATCCTGAAGCAAAGGTCGATCGCCGTCAGCGAAACGGCCTCGGACTCCGACGGATCAGTCTCCATCTCAGTGGATAGAACAGCCTTGTCCCCGTGCATCGTGGCATCTTCGGGTCCTAAGTTTGAGCCAGCTCGATCTCGCAAGTTTCCCTTCAGCTACAGTCTGGACACTTTTGAAAACAACGCGGTCATCCCCGAGGTGGCGGCTTACTTGAGTCTACCCATCTCAGCCCAGGGCAAGCTGGCTAGCCTGGTTCAGGCGTTGTGGGAGATCTTCAAGGAGAAGGAGGCCTTTGTTTTGGAGACTCGCATCGGGCTCTCTACGGAGGGTAGTTTGGAAGTCCACAGTGCCCACTTTGGATTTGATGATGCAGCTTATCGCAGCGCCGGGCGTCAGGAAGACATTCACAGTTTGCGAAACAAAGCGGAGGAGGTTCCGGAAGAGGTCGAGGCTGAGAAGGATGGAATCGTCTACGTCAAGTACGATCATAATGCCCGCAGTAACTGAGACTATGCTAATACATCAACAGACTGAAAGGTGAGGGCAGCATCGGCACACTAGGTACGCAGCTATTATCTCCGGCCTCTCGAAGAAACCAATCGCTGACCCTGTTTACTAGTGAACGGCGCTGGCCTTGCCATGAACACAGTCGACGCTCTCACCATCCACGGCGGACAGTGCGCCAACTTCCTCGACACTGGCGGCAAAGCTACCTCCGAGACCGTCAAGTCGTCCTTCCGAATTATCTGCTCCGACCCCCGCGTGAAGGCTGTCTTTGTCAATATCTTCGGTGGATTGACGCGCTGCGACATGATTGCAGAGGGTATCATTATGGCATTCCGTGATCTGGATATGCAAGTGCCTGTTGTTGTGAGACTGCGTGGGACTAATGAGGAGCTTGGTCAGAAGATGGTAAGTCCATGTACGAGTTTGTTTAGACATCCAAAGGTGAACTAACGAGGATCGGTTGGTAGATTGCTGAAAGCGGACTCCCTCTACATGCATTTGATGGATTTGAAGATGCGGCCAAGAAGGTGATTTCTTTGGCTAACAGCGAATAGACAAGCATTCTATAGAAGCATAGATAAGATTGTATAGAGGTCGATGGCTGATGAATCCATGATGTCGTATCCCTCCAGGTTCCATCTGGCAAGATAAATATCTTCAGACACAATTTCTACGTCATTTCCCTGCATAATCCCAAATAGTCTCTAGCTAATCCCTAATCATGATTGAATCATGCAACATTGCAAATCTCAAAAGTCGATCATACAAAATGTACTGCCTGACTGGTGCCTTGTGAAGCCAACCCCGCCCGAGGCCGCTTCCTTCCCGCGTTGGTCTAGCCCATTCTGCTTCTCCACGATCGACCAAGGATACGCTAAACCCCCCACCAGCTCTGACGCCATTGCCTACGATCTTTGACTTTTAAGACTCCCACCTCCAGTCTCTAACTATCCCAATCCCTTTCAACAACCTCCCTATATACCTATTACCGTATATACCTACTCTATACACCCCCCTCCACGTCCTCCCCTCGCCCCAACAAACCCAGCCAAACGCCCCCGCCTCACGTGCCATGTCTGATCCAAGCGCCGAGCTCCAATCCACACTCCGCGACCTGGCCATTGGCGAAAAAGGACCAGTGCAAGACATCCCCCGACCAATACCCAGCAAAACCACACCACCAAAATCCGCCCCATCAACCTCCAAGCCCAAAAAGCCCGCCGCAAAGCCCGTCGCAGACTCCTGGGAAGACGAGGCCAACCTCTCCTCCGACGACGAGCCCGGCTCCACCGCAGACACAGCCTCCCCCTCCGTCCTCTCGCCCGCACTCAGCGCCGAGGGCCCGCTAGACCCCCTCCAACGCCCATCTCACTGCAGACGTCGTACACGTGGGCTGGTGCAGAACCTGCGTCCCCCGGTGCGGGGCCGAAGAATCCGGCCCGGCGGCCGGAGAAGCAGACTGCCGTGGCGGGGAGGCTGATTGCGGGGGCGTTGGGGATTCGGGCGCCGAAGAGGACGGAGGAGCAGAGGGCTTATGATCGGTCTGTGAAGGAGCAGGAGATTCGGCGGCGGAATCGGGAGCGGGAGGAATTGGCGAAGGCGAGGGAGGAAGATGAGCGGGCGAAGGCGAATGTTTGGACTGACTAGATCTGGCTCTTTCTTCCTCCTTCTCTTTTAGGGGTATTTGGTTGCTGTCATTTTGGGGATCTTGTCTTTATATAGTCATGTGTATAAATGTGCGGTGCGTTGTTCTTATAAGGCGCTTGAAGTTGATTATTGTCTTGGTGGAGAAGTGAATGGTCCAAGGTTGGCTGGTCATTTGTTGGCTCCTTATTTATGGTCCAGCTTTGCTCAAGCTGCTTGATCAGGTCTTTTGGCGGTATGCTGTTTCATTTCGATATATAATTGTAATGGGAATGTCTGAATCATGTTACCGTTGAAGAGGTAACAAGCAATCTCCTACTGAGAAAATCAATCTAAACCATTATACCATTCAGATTCAAAGTTTGGTATAAGTAGGGTAAATATGTAGAACACCAAGATCAAGTGGTGATTTGTGTAAATTTCATAGCCTCGTAAAACAGAACAAGTGCAACTCCTGGCGATGACTGTCCACCCTGCCACACTTCAAGTTTCCATCAATTCGCCAAGGTGTGAACCACATCGTCCTTCCGTCCACCGGCACCAGGCTACCTTGAATATGGAAATATCGAGATCCTGGGGAAAATCAGCCTCCGATTTGCTCTTGGTGGACTTCCAGGGTATCGCCGTCGGCCATATCAAGCTATAGAATACAGAAATATATCAGTCATCTTAAACATCGAATAGCTTTTTGTAGGTAAATGGAGGGGATAAACATACCGTGTCCGGGGTGTCCTCAGGTCGCACTCGGGTTCCGTCGAACAAGAAGCGGACAGTGGACATCTGCTTGCCCTGGCGGTCGCAGAAGGCATCCATAAGCTTCTTAAGCTGTGTTGACCGCTTGATCTTGAAGAAGACCTCGTTGTTGTTATCGGTAACCTTGATGTTCAGGTGCTCGCTGGGAGCGGCACCACCTTCTTGCTCAGCTGACATGATGGATGGGTTTGTGTAAAGACTGCTGCTTGAGTCAGAGGGTCGTTGCGCGCTAGAAAGTAGAGGAACGCGGGGCACGAACACGGTGGAAAATGGTGGAAGGAATTCCAAGGACGGTGTTAACCCTGTGGGATATAGTCAGCGAGTGCAAGACCAGGCTGAGCGTGAGAAGCCCAACTTACTCAAGAGAAGTGATGGTAAGGTAGAATCGCAAAGAGAGAATCTGGAAGGCGAAGAGGGAAAGAAGTGAGATATCAACGGCAGAATGGCGACTCGCCCCACAGAAAGCGGAGAATCTATTATTGCGAGCAGGTCAATCTGCGGGCGGAACGGGCTGCTTAGCTAAGAACAAAGCGTCTCTGGGTAGATTCCTTGGAAAGATGATGCTTCTATGAGCTTCTTTCTTACGCGTTTACATTGCCAATAATCATGGTAGGGAAACTTCCCAAAGAAAGAAAATCAAAATGACAAAATTACAAAGAAATTGGAATATATCAAAGGCTGACTTTTTGTGTGACAGGGGAATCTCAAGCAAGATCTGTCTCACGACCCTCCTTGTCATCCACGAGCCGTATGTCTCTCCCAAACCTTGGAATATCCGTCCATGATAATGACTAGAAGAACCCCTGCTCATACATCCTAGTGCGCCATTCAAGGTACCCAGCCCATAACTCCACACCCAACCCATTCAGATGTGACAACTAACCCCTTCTAGATTGCTTGACCAAGAATTCCTACAAGGAGGAGAAATGCCAGGCACAGATTGATGCTCTCTATGAGTGTTGCAATGCCTTCTATCAGCAGCAGGGTGACCAGGCCTCGACCGTGAGCTGCCCTAAGGCGCATCTACTGCGGTTAAAGATGAAGCAACGGGCCCAGTCAACAGAAGGCCAGAGCTAGATAGATAGCGTGGAGAGATTACGTTCAATGCTACCGGCAAATTGCACATTGCATATCTCATGTTCTAATGGGTTCGCAATGGCATGTAACAGGCCCCTATAGGCTAAGCTCCCATCTGGAGAGAACTAGACTGTTTAAAGGAACTGCTAGATTGCTCTAAGACAATCTTGAGCACGCTGAGAGGCCGCTTGGACCTGAACGACCATTGAAAACTTTCGTTCCGAGACTCTAATGACTGCCTATATGACATTTGTTGAAGAAAAGAAAAAAAAAGGAAGAGGAAAGGGCGAAAATTGCTGGGCGATTAAATAAGAAAAAAAATCCCGTGCCGATGCGCTAAGCCACTTTGGGCGAAGGGCCTAACGCGCCCAAAACCAAAAGAGACAAACACGAATTCCCGTTCTCTTCCCCCATCACAACCCCAAACATCTCGGCCTGGAAAGCTTGCTTGAGATCATCGCAAGCCATGGCTCCTCTCACCAGGTCGGCGAGATCAGCAGCGTCGGGTGCTACCACGCTACGATCGCAGGTAAGTGCGCTCTTGGTCTTGCTCGAGATCGTTGCAGCTAAGCAATTCATTGTCTTTAGCCTCCGCCCAAGGAACCGGAAATCATCAGCATTGACGAGGATGACGAGGGCGACCAGCTCATGGAAGATGAGGAATCCTATGAGGATCAACCAGAGTATGAAGATGAGGATGAGGCCATGGGTGACGAAATCGACGATGAGCACAATGAAGTCAATGGCGATGCTGCGGAGAATGGCTCCGCTGTCCCAGTGCTGGAACCCAACCTGAAATCCGTCAAGGGCTATCGAAGCAGGGCGCAAGGTTCGTTCTGATATTCAGCTCTAAATTTTGATGTAATCGTCATGGCTTATTGACCGTTTTCCAGCTTCCCCTAAGCTATTCACCGAGTCAAGCACGGGCGCCAGCGCCCAGGAAATGTTGCGCCCCCTTCGCAGTACCGCAGATCGCGTCACGCGCCAGATTGAGGCCTTCGCCGAGAAGCTGGATCAGTTCAAGCGAAAGAACACCACCGATGAATTCCAGAACGTTCAGGCCGCCTACAAGCTGGTGGAGAGCTATCGGGACTTCACGCAGAATGCCATGAACGAGCTCAACCGACAGCAAACCCTCAAGAAAGCCAAGTCAGGTTACCGGACAAGTACTGCGACCGACGATACTCAGGCCGAAACCGAAGCGCAGCGCTTGCAGCTGCAGGTCGACACCTGGCGCCTGCTTCTCAATCTGATCAGCATTGACGACCCTGCCAGTCGCGCCAGCTTCAAAGAAGGCCAGCGCGACGCCTTCCAGAATCTCCACCGGTATTCGTCGGATCGTGAAATTTGGGAGGAATTCCTGAATGCGGATCAGTACGCGCTCGAGTGTGTGGTCTCCATGCGCTGGCTGGAGGAGACTGCCAAGGCCGCGCCCCAGGAGATTGACAACATGATCAAAGAACTGGAGGATCAAGCTGAGCGAGGACAGGGTCTGTGGGCACATGGCTGGCTGTTCACCAAGGAAGCGATCAAGGGACACAAGCGACTCCGCGTTTGGCCGCAGCCTTTGGAACCGAATGACCCTGCCATTTCCCGCGCCCTTCTGAGCAATGACACACAGGCCCCATTGATTACACAGTTAGATCCCGATGCTCTGACGCGACAGAAGCACAGCTTGCAGAAGCAGGATGCATGCTACGAGCGCGCTACATGGATGGCCTGCTGGAAGATGCTTCGCCGGGGCGAGAATTGGACAACTATTCGCGAATGGGCTCAAAGCCGTCTCGAGAGCTGGAGGGCCGTCAGTCTCTGCGGTTCTAGCGTGGATGCGGCTACTGCCACCACGCGGACGCCGGTAGATGATGGATTGACCCGTCTGAAGAATAGTCGCTCCCAAGACTCGTGGCGTGCTGCTTGCCATGCTTTGACCAAGGATCCAAACACGTGTGACTACGAGAAAGCAGTTTACGCGCTTCTCTGCGGTGAGTCCGAGCCGGCAGCCAAGATTTGCAAAACGTGGGATGATCATCTCTACGTGTACTTTAATCGCATCGTCCTCGCCCGGTACCAGGGATTCTGCCGACAGTTCCAACGCAAACTGAGCCAGTCGCCTGGTATCCCTGTTGCATTCAAGCCGGAGCCAGCCGGGCATGCTGATCTCCAGAAATTCGTCGAATATCTGCGTGGTAACGAAGCGCTGAGCACCGAGGCACGCGAGCCATTCCGCCATATCCAAGCTGCTATCTTGACTAAGAGCTATGATACTTTCTTCCACCTGCTTTCTCAGGCGGTGTCTCAAGTCGGCGTCAAAAAACTTGGGGCCTCCTCCTACATTCCAAACCTGGGGGTATATCACGTGGATAAGGCATTGGTCATTGCGGCCGAAGACCTTGATGCCGTGCAGATGGCGACTCATATTTACGTGATTGTCAATTCGATCGGATACGCGCATGGAGATAGTCAATTTTCGGAGGCAGCTTCTGTCATTGTGGCCGGTTACATTGCTTATCTGCAGGACAAGTGCTTGCCTGACTTATTCCCATTGTACGCTGCTCTCCTACCAACGGAGATGTGTAACAGCGTTCTCGCTAAGATCCTGATCGATATTGTGGATTGGGACGCCAGGAAATTCCAAATTCGGACCATGCAGAAACATAGCATTGACATCAACGCTGTTCTCGATGCACAATGGTCGTGGCTTAGGAGCGGTGTTTCCTCCATGGAGCACTCCGCTGGGCTGACTGGATACTCTCGAGTCAGACGGTTACCGGATGGTACTCGTGTCTTGATGCCACCCAAGAAGGACCTCATTGGGAACAGTGTCGCGCCCGAGGATGAAAAGATGATTCGCAATCTGGAGTGGCTCCGGTGCGTAGGTGGCCAGTGGTCTAAGATCTGTACCCGCGGAAAGTGGTTGTACCGCCAGTTCTTTGGTATGTGAAGCCATGGTCTCTTGATTATTATTCGCTGTTGTTAATTTGATATCTAGTCGCTGGCAAACTTGCTGCTGCTCGCGATCTTGGCCATCGCATCCGCATGACGGATATTTCTCACGAATCCTTCAATGTGGATGTTTTTGAGTTCCCGGATCTGGCTCCATCGCTAGAAGACGCACCTCTCAGCCCAGTCAAGTCCAAGCGGAGTCATGCTCACCGACGCAGCCTGTCTAGCAGTAACGGTACCATCACCAAGTCTCACCAGAGCGCCTATCAACAAGCCGTTCATATGTGGAATCTTGAGACAATGGCTCTTGGCTTTGATGCCCTAGAGCAATTCGCCATCGTATACGACCAGTCTTCGAAGTGAGTGATATTTCCTGGGAACCTAGGGGTGCTCGAAATCTGACTTGATATAGGACCAAACGCCGGCGAGATTCTGGTTCTGTCAGAGACTTCCAAGCCGAACTTGAGGCTCTGCTGCAGGAAATCGAATACAGCGTGGGACTGATCGTTGATGAGTGGCTTGTGAAATCCGAGATTGGTAAGTCATTATCATTGTCTCCTCTTTAGTGGCGATTCACACCTCAAACAACACTCATACTAATTCTCGCCACAGAGGAGGAAGAACGAGACTTTGAACACATTCGCCGGACCTATCTCCCCGAACTAATCCTTGACTACCACAACGCCTTGTACTACGCCAGCCACTCTCTCGACAAGCCCAATCTGCTCACCCAATGCATGACCGTGTCCATCTGGGTCGCCAATAATGCCCACTTGACGCGTAGCTTCACCGAGGCGCAGCGCATGTCCGAGCTCGTGGATTGTTTTGCCTTGGCAAGCAAGGCGATGGTCCTGACTGACCCGAAAAACGACCAGACCTTCCCGAATGGGCAGACGTTGGGCATCTGGCGGGTCAACGTCTCAGAGGATGATGAGGCTGCCCTGCTCCAGAACAGGGAGTAGATGAGGTGGGTGGATGAGAGACGTTGAACGGGTGAGGCTGTGTAGTGTTGTGGGAATGTACATTAGCATTGATGGTGGAGCGTGGCGGAGAGAAGTGGATACAACTATTGAACCATGCCGAGGCCATGTCGGACATGGGCTGGAGCGAGATTTATTCAGGCCAATGGGAATGGTTAGGATAGGTAGGAACAGGGATTTCTACAGTACAATGGTACTACTGTACTGGGAATGCAACGGGATGGCACCATTCTCTTATTCTGCCCCCTATTTCGCGATAACAGAAACTGCAAGTAAATCATTCTCGTGTAATTCATTCTTCTCGTGAGACCACAGTACCGCCATTTAACTTATTCCGAATCGAACATATACTACGAGCTCAATAGACCGTGCCCAATTTAGCTCTTTGAATCCTAAATCTCTCATTCATACGGCCGCATGAGCGTATTAGCCAGGACCTTCGCAGGGAACTCCTCCTCTCCCAGGGCCGTAGTATGAGCCCAAGGCTTCAGCCCGTTCTCCCGGTGAATCATGTCCGTGAAGCAATTGCTCCACTTGAGACGGGGGAAATGCTCTGAAGCGTCCTTGATGGTTTCTGGGTGGACCAGATCGGCGTATGCGCCGGTGTTATCTGTTACAGATTGTCAGTCAAAACAAGAACAAAACACATCAAGCCGAGACAAAATAAAGTTTTAATGCATGTTGGGTTGGGTTGGGTTGGGTTGGGTATCCACCGGCATCATAGGCGCAGATCCCAGGGACAGAGGATGAAGCGGTCTGTGTAGCAGTGAGAGAGTATAGACTAGGGATCACTCTGTGCTATCCTGGAGAAACGAGGCGAATAGGGAGAGATATGAAGAAGGAGAAGGAGACAAGTGAGGCAGTGCAAGGCATGGCTCGATGCCAAGCTTCGGATTGCAATCCCCGTCAATGCACTCTGCAAGCATGGAAAAATAACCTACCAAAGATCGTCGCCAGCTGCAACAGCTGTCCGACCGCAGTAATCTTGCCAACGGTACGGAGTACACAAATCCTGATGGCGAATAATCACCTCAGCAACGCTCTCGGCCTGAGCGCGTGGCGCAGCGTCGCCGTCACTCTGCTTCTCTTGCAATAAATCCAACGCCAGATAACCGCCCACCCACTCAAAGCTCAAACGGGTATTCTGGATATTCTCCTCCGTAGTGCCGATGTCATGCAGCGCACACGACAAGAAGTATGTCCCGTCGGAGAAATCCCAGTCCGGGAAGGGGAAGCGGTGACGCTTAATCGCCAGGCCGAAGTGGTAGATTCGCAGGGAGTGGTTGTAGGTGGGAGCCGGGAGGTGGGCCTTGGCGTAGGCGTTGATGCGCTGGGCGAGCGGGGTGTTGGGGACTGGAGTGTCGGCGACGAGGATAGGGATTGGGCCGGTGGTGGGCGGGGGATAGGCCGGGTGGAGGTGAGGAGGGCCTGGGCGGAGGCGGGGACGGCTGTGAAGCCGTACTGGTTGACGGGGTCGGTCATTGTTGTTGGATGATCGACAGATTAAAGAGATGATGGGATGATGGGATGATAGGATGAGGGATGATACAGGTTGGGGCATTGTTCCGGGGAACTCTCGGAAAAGGGAAGTAGTAAGTGGGATGAGATGATTTGTCTTGGTCTTATACGAGATTGCTGACAGTAGCGACGTGGGATAACTAACTAACTTGCTAGGGGAGAGAGAGTAAGACGAGGCAGCGTTAATCATCCTAACCCCGCTTGCTGATGCTTTGATTGGTTTCGTATTGACAGTTCTTCCTAAATGGGTATTTGGATGTACTCCTATCTACTGGAGAGAAGAGTAGGATTCGGTACAGAAGTTGAGCAACCTCCGGGGTAGATATGGCAGGTACGGAGTATACTGGTATAGAAGCTGTTGAAGGTTTCTGGCGTTTGAGGCTGCAAACTGATGCAGAGGTAGTGGCTTGGCAAGGTGCTTACTGCAGTGTTGACAAAGAAAGGGTTTTAAGCCTCAACCTGTCTCATGAGAACTGTGGTCGACATGTAGGTGGATATAGGTATTACTTTATTTATGAATATAGGATGGGGGTTGAACCCGGTTGAACCCGGTTCAACTAGGTTCATCCAGGATAAGGCCACGATACGAACTATACCATCCGAATACGAATAGTCCAACCTCCTCCGTCCGTGTCTTCTTTTTGCATTACATGGAGTTTAGAGACAGGGCCGAGGGACAGGATCAACTATTGAATTAGGAGTGGAGGACTAGAGTTAGCCAAGAATACCAAGAAGTCTTGATTGGACCTGGATAGTCTACCTCCAGATATATATTTGCATCCAACCCCTGACTGGAGTGGGCACCGTTATTGACAGCTCCACCATGTCTTCCAAAACATTACAGAAAACAACCTTCTTAGCTTACTACATATGGAGACAGATGTACGATAGATATCGGAGTATCAGTTTGTTATGAACTCGCGATATCCACGGCCCTAGATTCAGGGCACAGTACATACTGTACGCGTTGGGCTTCCACTGCATCGAATTGGGCACGGAATTCCGCGAAATAAGCTCTTTTAGGCTCGGATGTACGGGGTATGTCGTCTGCATTTGTCTCCGAAGGGATGTTGGGAGTAATTGGATTATTAGAACTGACGTAGGGAGTGGAGTAGCGAGTGATCATATTGAATTATGTATTGATTATGCTTGTCGGTGCCGTGCATCTACGGATGAGTACTGGGAAGTTGGAACTGGACTGTACTGCAGATGACCGGACCGAGGCCAGGAAGAATTACCTCAAAGCAGGGTGGAAAACGGGGGTGGCGCATATTGGAGACGTCATCTTGAAAACAGACTGGGAGCACTCGCTTAAAATCATACAGTACGTACTACTGTTAGGAGTAGTCATATCGGGGACGGTGTCCTTCATTGGACGGATCGATTATAGTGCATACAGTAATACTGTAGGCTTATAGTTAACTTAGCAGTATCCCGTGGAATGATTAAAAAGGATAGACTGAATTTACTGTGGTTACATACACTACAGTACTACTGTAATACACAACCTCACTACGATAATACTAGTACTATATCGTACAGAGTATAATTCTCCCAAGTCAGGTGGAAATTCTGCTTGTTTTCTCATACAGTAGTATGACACGTTCATGATGATTTGACCCTGGTCGATTTGCTAGGGCCCCCCTTATTATGTATTGACTTGCCCAGACTTTCGCCGATTCGTCCATTAATATTGAATGATTCGCCTCCCTTGCCCCCAGACGGGCGCGAAGTCTTGGCAATGAGGCAGTGCAATTAGGGGGACTCTGTTCGCGGGTCGATAATGCCACGAGAGCGGGATGCCACTGATTCATGCAAATCTGGACATGTCGGGGCTCACCATCTCCGGGACTGGAAAGTGAATGCTGGATTTTCAGTCGGATTGAGTCGGTGTGGTATTTGCGAGCAGCCCAATACAGTAGTTGGGTGTGCCAGGTAGGCCAACGCAGAGAAAACGAAATCGATCTTTCGGTCCACTGGGGCTGTGCTAGCAGTGGAGACACTGCAGTGCGGGTACGCTTGGGACTTGGGAAAACAATCCTCGGCACTCTTCTGGCTGTCATTGGGGGAAACCCCCAGTCGAGACCGTAGTGGATCTGCAAAGGGGGCTTTTGACACTGAGATGATGGAAGATGGATGGAAGAGAAAAGGTAAACGGACGGACTGAGGAAGACGACGACGAGATCCCTTGACTCCCGTGACTGTGACTGGAGACGGTTTCTGCATGCGGGTAGAGCTCCTTTTGATAGCACTTGAGTATCAAGGTATTCTTTTCGCCATCACCACCTCCACCACCATCACCACGACTCTGCAATCTGCACGGAGGACGGAGTACTGGTCCCAGTCTCCTCCGTACGCACGATACGCAGACGCCTCCTGCGCCTCCTACTCGACTCCTCCCTTTCAATCCTCCCATCCTGCTGCTTTCCTGTTTGCTGCCCATATGGAAGCCCTGCTTGCCCAATAGCCCGATAGACTGCAGGCTTCACCTCTACGAGTCCCGCCTTTCCTGGTATCTCGATCCTCCTACGTTCCGCTGCTCTCTTCCCACCCCGCTCGGATAACTCTCCTCTTCCCCCCTCATGCAAAAACCGACAGGCTCGTGAATGTGCGAATCGCGTGAATCGCGCTCGGTTCGACCCAACCTTTCATCATGTCTGAACCGCGTCGAGGGGCCGACGAGCTGGCTCAGACTCCCACGACACCGCTGCGAAGGGAGCGCGCACCCACCATCACTATCGATACCTCCGCGGTGAGCTCTTCAAATACGAACGATGGCCCCGTGCAGATCCTCTCGGACCCCCAGCAGTCATCGCTCCAGCTGAATACCGACACAATCGAGTCCTACGATGCTGGTGCACATCACGATGGCTCCGGTTCCCCCACCGACATGCGATCCTCGGCCTCCCTGCGCTCCAATGCCTCCTCCGAAGCTCGAGATCGCGAACGAGACCGTGAAAGCCGGCCAACCTCGCCCCATAACGTCTCGTCTCCGAAGACCAAGGTGCCCGAGACGCATTCCCATTTCTTGTCGGTGCCCGGCACGCGGTCCCGTGGTAATTCGTTGGAGTCTGAAGGCACTAGTCAAACCTCCAGCACCTATGGCGGTGATACCTACGTGCCTACTGCCTCTCACGCATCCAACTCCGATGCAACCAAGAATACAATCATCGACGACGAGGATGCCCTCACGCCGGACCCGGGTCGGGAAGATGAATTCGAGGTGGAGAATAACAAGTTCGCCTTTTCTCCGGGCCAGCTCAACAAGCTCCTGAATCCCAAGAGCTTTGGCGCGTTCCGGCAACTCGGAGGACTACGAGGACTGGAGAAGGGATTGCGGACCGATGTTCGGAGTGGATTGAGCGTGGATGAAACTACTTTGGAAGGCGTTGTCGAGTTCAGCGATGTCACGTCATCAGAGTCGATGCCCAAGATTGTCTCGCCAACGATACCGCCTCCCTCAGCCCCCCAAGAAGGAGCTGCAGTATCAGAAGCTGATGGGTCATTCGTGGACCGAAAGCGAGTCTATGGCAAGAACCTGCTACCGGAAAGGAAACTCAAGACTATCTGGGAATTGGCGTGGATTGCATATAACGACAAAGTGCTGATTTTGCTGACGATTGCGGCGGTCATCTCCCTGGCTGTGGGTATTCCACAGTCACTCCATCCAGCGAAGCCTGGTGAGCCGGGCGTGGAATGGGTGGAGGGTCTTGCTATTCTGGTTGCTATCATCATTGTGGTCACGGTTGGTGCTGCAAATGATTGGCAGAAAGAACGACAATTCGCCAAATTGAACAAGAAAAAGGAAAACAGATTGGTCCAGATCATTCGATCAGGCAAAACCATCGAGATCTCGGTTCACGATGTACTCGTTGGCGATGTGATGCACCTTGAACCGGGTGATCTAGTCCCGGTCGACGGTATCCTGATCGCAGGGCACAATGTCAAGTGCGATGAATCTTCGGCCACTGGTGAATCTGATCTCATGCGAAAGACCCCCGGCGATGAGGTCTACCGAGCAATCGAAAAACACGAAGATCTCCGCAAAATGGACCCCTTTATCGTCTCCGGCGCCAAGGTCTCTGAGGGCGTGGGAACATTCCTCGTTACTGCCGTGGGTGTCCATGCAACTCATGGGCGGACAATGATGTCTCTCCAGGAGGAGGGCGAAACAACGCCCCTGCAAACCAAATTGAACAAGTTGGCCGAGTACATTGCCAAGCTGGGTCTGGCCTCTGGTCTCTTACTGTTTATCGTACTATTCATCAAGTTTCTCGTTCGACTCAAGGATATCGAGGGCGGTGCCGACGCCAAGGGACAGGCTTTCCTACAGATCTTCATTGTCGCCGTGACTATTGTCGTTGTTGCTGTACCTGAAGGTCTCCCGCTGGCAGTAACCCTTGCCCTCGCCTTCGCAACGACACGAATGATTAAAGATAACAACCTGGTGCGTTTCCTCAAAGCGTGTGAGACCATGGGAAATGCGACAACTATTTGCTCCGACAAAACTGGCACCCTCACGGTGAACAAAATGAGCGTCGTCTCGGCTACCCTGGGAACGACGTCTCGCTTCGGGGACAAGTCTGGCTCCAATCAGTCCAACCAGTCCGGTGATGTTTCTGCTGCCGAATTTGTCAAAACGCTGTCCCCCTCCGTCAAGGATCTCCTGATGCAGTCTATCGTCCTCAACTCTACCGCATTTGAGGGAGAGCAGGAAGGCGTCAAAACCTTCATCGGCTCCAAGACCGAGACTGCTCTGTTGACCTTCGCACGCGATTACATGGGCATGGGGCCTCCCGCCGAAGCCCGAGCGAATGCCAAAATCCCGCAGATGTTCCCGTTCGACTCGGCGCGTAAATGCATGGCAGTGGTATATCAGATGGAGAATGGAAAGTATCGCATGTTGGTCAAGGGCGCTGCGGAGATCTTAATGGCAAAGTCCACTCGAATCATTCGTGATCCCACCGACGCTCTGAGCGAGGTACCATTTACGGACGACAACCGGTCTACGCTGGATAACATCATGACAACCTACGCCAACCGATCGCTGCGATGCATTGCTCTTGTCTACCGTGATTTCGACCAGTGGCCTCCGCGTGGAGCGCCAACTTCCGAGTCTGATCGCACTCAGGCAACTTTCGAGCCCATCTTCAAGGACATGACAATTATTGGCCTCTTCGGTATTCAGGATCCTCTTCGACCCGGTGTCGCAGAGGCTGTGCACACATGCCAGCGGGCTGGTGTTTTCGTTCGCATGGTCACTGGTGATAATATCATGACGGCCAAGGCTATTGCTCTGGAGTGTGGAATCTACACGCCGGGTGGTATTGCTATCGAAGGTCCCAAGTTCCGCAAGCTGAGCACGCGTCAAATGAACCAGATCCTTCCCAGACTGCAGGTGATTGGTCGATCCAGCCCTGATGACAAGAAGATCCTCGTGAATGCTTTGAAGAAGCTTGGCGAGACTGTTGCGGTTACTGGTGACGGCACCAATGATGCTCAGGCTTTGAAGAACGCTGATGTCGGTTTTGCGATGGGCGTCACTGGTACCGAGGTGGCCAAGGAGGCATCGGATATCATCTTGATGGACGATAACTTTGCATCCATCGTCAAGGCCATGTCGTGGGGCCGTACTGTCAGCGATGCGGTGAAGAAGTTCCTTCAATTCCAGATTACGGTCAACATCACCGCCGTGATCCTCACTTTCGTCTCGGCAGTTGCTAGCAGCTCAGAAGATTCTGTTCTGAGTGCAGTGCAGCTGCTCTGGGTTAACTTGATTATGGATACCTTTGCCGCTCTTGCACTTGCCACAGATCCGCCATCACCTTACGTCCTCGACCGTCGGCCAGAATCCAAGGCTGCTTCGCTTATTACCCTCACGATGTGGAAGATGATCATTGGACAGTCGATCTACCAGCTGGTGGTGACGTTCGTGCTTAACTTTGCTGGAAAGTCGATCTTCCCTTGGGACGAGGGATATATGCAAACCGTGGTCTTCAACACTTTCGTCTTCATGCAAATCTTCAACCAGTACAATTCCCGTCGCATTGATAACAAGCTCAACATTTTGGAGGGTATCTGGCGCAACAAATGGTTCATTGGTATTCAGCTCATCATCATCGGAGGTCAGGTCCTGATTATCTTTGTTGGTGGCGCTGCCTTTTCGGTGAAGCGTCTCGACCAGGGCTCCCAGTGGGCCGTCAGTCTTGTGCTGGGAGCTCTCTCTGTACCCATCGCCGTGATCATCCGCCTTATCCCGGACGAATTCGTTAGTAAGCTTATCCCACATGGCTGGCACGGACGTCATCAGAAGAAGGGACCTGAGTTGGTCATCTCGGATGAAGACCGCCGCTACGATTGGAATCCGGCACTGGAAGAAATCCGCGACCAGTTGCACTTCATCAAGACCGTTCGAGGTGGTCGCCTGCGACACATCCGTCACAAACTGCAGCACCCGCAAGAATTCCTGCCTCGATCTCGCAGCGGCTCTCGCTCGCGCGAGTCATCCATTCCGGCCACTCCAAATGGTGACAATGGAAGCCCACCTCCCGGTCTCTCTACACCCGAGACTCGTTCCCGTCGCAATACCCGGTCCCGCTCGAACTCGACATTCGGACCTGCTGCTGCCATGGCTGGTGTCGTGGCTGGTAGTATTGCCGGCTGGTCTCCCATTGAACGGAACCACGACGAGGGCGACTCCATCACCTTCCCTGCCAATGCTGTACATGGCGGTCTGGACAGGCAACAGGGTATCGAGATTCACCCGGACACTGCGGCCGACGACCGCATCGTCAGCGAGTACTCTACCAATTTCAAGACTCCTCCCAGTCAGAACCCGGACTTGATTCCATTCTTTGAACACGCGCCTCCGGCGATTGCAGAGCGAGCGCCGTCGAGTCTGGGTCGCCGGTCTTTCTCCCAGCGATCTCACACCAGTCAAAGCCATTCGCAGGTGTAATATACAAAGCTCACCACAACACAACATCTCGCAAAATCGCACACGATAGTTTGAACCTTTGAACTCCTCCACTAAAAAAGCATTCCCGAGAAACGGCGTTGTCGGATTTCCTTCCTTTTGCCTGATATCCCGGGCTCTCTACAGTTTTATTTCTGTTGCCCTCCCATCATATTATTGATTACCATTGCCCTATGTCCATCTCGGGTATTCCTTGATTTTAATTCCTTTTGTGCTCTCCTCTACCTTGTGTACTCCCGTCCCTGCTGTCGTGTTTCTGGTTTATTTGGTGGAATCGAAACCGGCGTACTGCACCGTTGTTGGGGATTATAGAATCCTCCTTCATAGACTTGCACCCCCTCCTTGTTGCATGAGTTCCTCATTTGCATTTTTGGGATGGGGGTGGTTGTGGCCTTTTTGTTTTCTTTTTGGATTGAGGGCGTTTTCTGGGGCTGGGCGTAGTCGATTGCCTTTTGTCTTGGGTTTGGCTCGCCTCGAGGAAATAAACTCATCGCTGAATAGCGGGCTTCCTTAATGTCATTATAATCTTTCCGTTCTTGTTCAAGGCTATGTTTCTACATAATCAGACTCATAATGATCAAATCTCTCTCCTTGATTAGGTACGTGGTGAAGACTGGGAGAAGGTTCAGCCTCAACTCGCTGCCTGAGCCCCACCTTCCCACTCCCCGCCATTCACACTGCCACTCATGGTCTTCTGAATAACTATCTTAATCCAACATCTAACATACTCTCCCACACGCCTGGTCAACTAGATTCTAAATTTCTGCAATCACCATGGAATCCCTCGAGCTCCCCTCACAGGGACAATTGTTCCAGCGTTGGATCGGAAAGGATATCGCGGACGTCCCCAAACCGGCCGCCGTGCTGGACAGGGCCATCATCCGCCGGCATTGCAAGCGGATGAAGAAGACCGTGCAAGCTCTGGGTGTTGGATTCAGGGCGCATGTTAAAACGCACAAGGTCAGTTGATATGTTACACTTTCATATCGTTATATGTGATCAACGATGAGTTCGGCAATAACTGACATCATCGGTAGACATTCGAAATCGCCAGAATGCAAATGGACAACGGCGATCCAGAGACCAAATTCATCGCCTCTACACTCCTTGAAATCGAAATGCTACATCGACTACTAAAAGGCGTCAAAGCCCTGAAACGTCCCGCCAACGTCCTCTACGGCATCCCCCTCGTGCCCTCGCACGTCCCACGCCTCGCAGAACTAGCCGCGGACATCGGGGAAGACAGTATCTCAGTGATGATCGACCATCCAGACCAAATCCCCTATCTACGACAATTCTTCGAAGTAACCAACTTCCCAGCCTGCGTCTTCGTCAAGGTGGACACCGGTTACCACCGTGCAGGCCTACCACCCGTCTCACTGAACAAGAACGGGTTACTGGAGAAACTCGCTGACGCCGAGGCCGAGGGATGGGTGCGTCTACTGGGTCTCTACTCACACAGCAGTCTAAGCTACAACGCAAAGACAGCAGCAGAAGCCATGACCCATCTCATCGGCGAGATCCAGGGCTGCAAAGTCGCGCTGAACCGATGGCTCCCTCTTCTCCCCAAGGATAGGGAACTCATCATCAGCGTCGGTGCGACACCACAAGTCTCATCCTCGCATAACCTTGTCCGGGAAGATAACACTTCACCCGAGGCCGAAGAACTAAAGGCCCTCCTCCGTAATCCCTGCTCGGAAACCGCAGACGTCAAGGTCAAAATCGAGCTGCACGCTGGCAACTATCCCATCCTGGATATGCAACAGATATCCACCAACGCCCGCGATGGCGCGGGCAAATTCGAAGAAGAAATCGCCATGTCCGTCGTCGCAGAGGTGTGCAGCGTCTACAACGACGGCGAGCGCGAGAAACCCGAAGCCCTCATTGCAGCGGGAACACTCGCTTTGGCCCGCGAACCCTGCGCGAATTACCCCGGTTGGGGTGTTCTTTCATCATGGAGACGGAAGGAAGATCCTGGTGCGCCGCGGTTGATTGTTGACCGGATTAGCCAGGAACATGGGATTGTGGGGTGGGAGGCTGGGACGCAGAGGGGGATTCCGCTAAACGTGGGACAGGTGGTGAGGGTGTTTCCCAATCATGCTTGTGTGGCGGCTGCGTTTTATGGGTGGTATTTTGTTGTGGATTCGGAGAGAGATCGGGATGGGTCGCAGATTGTTGATGTTTGGGTTCGAGGGCGAGGGTCGGATGTTTCTGATCCGTTTTTGATGACGAGGTTTCAGTAGGGAGCCGTATAGATGGACAGTTTTATGCTCGGTTTTTGGGAACATTTGAGGGCTCGGGTGCAATGGTTCACACGCATAAGAGGTAGCTTCTACGTATAGGTATCATGTACGTACATAACTGGGATTTGAGAGCGCTGCTGATGGGTGAAGATATGCCGACAACTACTATCGCCGACTTGACCTAGTTCAGCACGGTATTATGATGCATACCTCAAGCAGAGCTCCCCTTGCACAGTTAGCATCATTACCTGGCAGTATTTAACTGGGATTGGCTTCGGGATTCTCTTTACATGGGGTCAGTCAAGGACCTCTTCATCTGAAACTTAGGTACCAAGCATTAAAGATATGCTAATGGAAGGACCCAAGGTCAAACCCCGGTAGTAATCACAATGTGAGTAGAGCCAAGTAACACATAGCTGATTAAACATAGCAGTACCACCTGTACTGTATGTAGTTCTACAGTCTGAAAAAGATAGATGTTGGTGGGGCCTCGAGGGATATATGAGTCGTCGAGCATGCAGGAAAAGGGCGTTCGCGCAGGTTATGCGCATAACAGATCAACTTGTGGGGGCAGAAAGGAGCTTGACTTCTTCTAACGACCGTCAACATGTTATCAGAGTGAGCTGCTTTGTAGTAATTTGACATAGTTCGGGATTATTAGCTACAGGTATGGCTTGGTTGACTCTGCTGGTCAACTGACCAGATACCACAAGCGAAGAAGCTGGCACTGATACACGATACACCTACAGCTGGTATAAGCCACTGAGAACCGAAATTCCAGAGACAAGTAGCTTAAGCTTTCAAATCGATCGTGCATGACCTCTGCAGAGAAAGTATGATCGGGATCTTTAGTTTCCGAACAAACTTCCGAGTCTCCGACGGCGAGGGGAACCGACTTGCTAAAACCTTCTCCCTCACAAAAGCCAAGCTATGAACAGCAATGGGCATTAATAGACAGAAGAGCCGCCTCAAAGTCCCTCCCTACATTGGTATCTTTGTTGGAGCCCTCCATCATAGCCAATCATCGACCTAGAAACTGTACTCGGATCCATAGCAGGGCTGAACATTCTATCGGGACCGTATTGACTGTGCATAAGAAAGAAAAAATACCTTCAAGCGAAGGACTTCCGACTCGCCGAAAAGCTCCTTCAATATGATGGCCGTATAGGAATAGAGGAGGAGATCCCCATCTCCTTGCAGGTCTAGCATTCCAATAAAAGTATTCGCGGAGCTTTAGGGTATGCTGACTTTCCTAATTGGGAAATACATTGGCGATCCTAAAAGCGCTCGTCGCGCAGCGTGTTCCTCACTCGCGCGGTAATGGGTCGCAAAAAGCAAGTCTATCATCTCTCGCTCGATGGCATTATCGAACAGATAGGGCGTAGACTCATGGAAAAATGCATTAGTCTTGCGAGTCTTGCGTCTTATTGTTTCCCCACATGCATCACGCTTGATGACGGGTTGTTTCTCCACATCCCAGCATCATTTATGATCCTGTGCGCGATTGATTCTCTTGTTTCTTTCTCTTGATGCTCATCCCTTCTGACGAGGTCATTGGTTCGGTGCCCGGACCAGCTGGCCTGCGTCCTTGATTGCTGAGGAATGCCTGTATCATAGTGGTGCGGGTGTTACACCAGTAGTGTATGTAGCCTCCCTCTAAGACAGGGTGATGTCAGGAGTGGTTCCACGGTGAACGGAGTAAATGGAAGTACGCAGAGGACCATTCTTCTTTTCCTGAATCTGATTATTCTATTTTTGATTTTCTTTTCTTCTTATATCTATCACCTCTTTGCCTGGTATCTTGAGAATCGACTAACCCCCAATTTTCCGCTTCTTGTTTACAGTGGTGCCGGATTGTGTTGGAGGGTAACCATCAAAGTATATGCGAGATTTGATCTCGTCAATACTCTGTCGACCTAAACTGCACAGACATCGACAAGCCGGACCGGATCCTAGGAGAAGGCCACCTGGGTCACTCTACAGTTCCAACGAGTTACGATTGAAAAATCACGAACAAGAATGAGGCCCGACGATATTGAAAAAATCCATGGATCACCCTCCCTTCACAGCATGAGCCAACATGAGCTCACCAACAGCTCCTCAAACGACCCCATCAAGGACCCCATCCTCGAACCCAAACCACAAACGAAATTCCGACGATGGCTCGCCAGCTTCAAAGGTGTGGAAGCCAGAGGCATCGAGCCTGTGCCATTGGAAGAAAGAGAACCATTGAATTCATCTACATCATTGCACATGATGCTCCTCTGGTTTAGCATGAGCTTGGCGACAAACAACATCGTCGTTGGATCGATGGGAACGCTGGTGTTAGGGCTGAGTTTCAAGGATGCAGCTATTTGCGCGGTACTGGGGAATCTGGTCGGGACTACGACGATTGGGTATATGAGTACATGGGGACCACGGAGTGGGAATCGCACTTTGGTAATTTTCGATCCAAGAGACAGAAAACAAATGTCTGTTTACCAGTCATTTGGATGTTTGCTAATGGTGTCGATGGGGACGATGATAGATTGTTGCGCGCTACTTCATGGGGTACTACCCCAGCAAAGTCTGCATCGCTCTGAATATCCTCACCAATCTTGGATATAGCATGGTCAACTCCGTGACCGGAGGTCAGATTCTCTCGAGAATTTCTGGCGGGCACATTTCCGTGTTGGTGGGTATTGTCGTGGTTGCCCTCTCGAGCTGGGTAATGGCCATGTTTGGAATGCGCATCTTCCAGATCTACGAACGGTATACTGCTATTCTTTCCCTCCATCAATCGGTCGGTACAACGGGTGCTAACTAGTGATCTAGATTTGCATGGCTACCCCAATTGATGGTTCTCTGCGTGATGCTTGGCTCCGCAGGCCCTCAGTTCGACTTCACAGTCCACACGCCCGTCTCACGAGGCCGACTCAATGCCAAACGAGTCACCTTCTTCTCCCTCGCTCTATCCATTGCCCTCGCCTGGGCTCCCCTCGCCGCAGACTACTACGTCTACTACCCTCCGCACGTCAAGCGCTGGCGCACCTTCGCCGTGACCGTACTAGGCAGCGCCCAAGCTATGATAATCACTTTACTCCTCGGCATTGGACTAGGCACAATGATGGCCAGCTCGCCAACCTTACTCACCAAGTACGGCTCCACCCCGGGTGGTCTGCTGATGGCAGCGTATGATGCACTCGGAGGGTTCGGCAAATTCTGCGCGGTGATCAACGTCCTGGCGCTGGTCACTAATAACACGCCCGGGGCATATTCGATGGGGATGAATTTCCAGATGTTGGGTGGGTTCTTCTGGCGTGTTCCCCGGTCTATCTTTACTACTCTGGCGACTGTCATTTATACTGCGTGTGCGATGGGAGGCCGCAATTCCTTGTACGAGGTGTTCAAGGGGTTCCTGCCGCTTATTGGGTATTGGGTGATGATTTGGTTGGTTGTTGTCATTGAGGAGGATGTGTTCTTCCGTCGGTTGAAGGGGTATGACTGGTCGGCGTGGAATTCGCCGCAGCGACTGCCCGTGGGGATTGCGGCGGGCGTGTCGTTTCTAGTTGGGTGGGCGGGGGCGATTATTGGAATGGTCAGTTACACACATTCTGTCTTTCCTTGAGAGTAGTGGCTGATTCACTAAACTTATGTCTCTAGAACCAAGTCTATTATCATGGTCTTCTTACCCAGATTGCCTCTGGCGCAGACTTGGGCCTGTGGACGGGTGCTGCCTTTACCGCCGTGGTCTTCCCACCACTCAGAGCAATGGAGCTTTGGTATTTCAGGCGCTAAGCAAGCCCAGCAGGATTAAGAAAATTTAAACTTTGAACAGGAGGGGAACGCGATCAAGGCCAATGAGTGATCGTTGTTAGAGCGCATTATTATTGCATATGATACCGACAACCCCGGTCCGCGGCCTACGAAGATGTAGACCCCCCGACCCCCCCACTCCCTCGGTCTGTGCCGATAAATGAGTACATAGCATGCTTTTACCAGTTATGCTGTTGCATAAGTCTGTAAAGAGGATATTTGGTACTGTTTTGTTCCGATGGAGCCACTTGTGATTTAAGGTTGAATGTCGACGTATTAATTGTGAATTACAAACAAAGATGAATACAGGACCAGATCATAGACATCGTAATCCTATGCCGAGTTCTTCGCACTCCCCTCAACAAGCGAGGCCTGCAAATGCCATTTCCAGTAACTAAGACTTACTCAATGAGCCTGTTAGTTCCATCCGTAGCTAAGAAACTGGAAACCTCTCGACGCCATCTTTAGAGAGCTTCAACCAATAGAAAGCCCTTGTGGAGGATCCCCGCAAGGCGTGAGCCAAATCACAAGTCGCCGATTTCCAAGTCGCCGATTTCCACCACACCGCATAAGCAGAAGTGCTGACAAGCAGCCCTGGTCGCCCTCGTGCTGGCCAAATTTCTTAGAAAAAGGCTTGTTCCTCCCGGTGCAGTGCTCCTGGGTATCCTGTGCTTTCCGTATACTCCCAACATTATGGACAACGTGACCTCTTTCCTGGCCTCGCAGTCACTTTCCGACGCGACGAGAGCTATCCTTGATGCTGCCCCGCGGCAATGGCTTCCCTACGCCCTAGGCATACTAGTAGGCTATCCTCTTCTCGCGAGTAGCCTGCGATACCAGCGACTACGAAATATGCACAAAAAGTACCCGTATGCTACTCGAGAAGACATGGCCAATATGACCGACGACCATGCATTCGAGATCCAGAAAGCCACAGCACAGCTCGAGTTCCCGTTTATGTTTGTCAAGGCACTACAATTTGCCTTGTTCAGGGTATGTATAATCTTGAGCCATATCCATTCATAGCACCACGATATCCCAGCTATATAAATCATTTCTATGCGTGTTTCTAACATCCCCCAGACCTACGGCATCCCATCAATCTCCCATGTCCTCACAAAGACCAGCCAATTCTCCAACCCGGAAACCTCTCTCAAGCGCTACACCGACACAAGCGCCCTCGTCCAAGAAATGGTCGCTAACAGCCCAACCTCCCAACGATCCTACGAGTCCTTTGCCCGCACCCGCTTCCTGCACTCCGGCTACAGAGCCTCTGGTAAAATCCTCGACGACGACATGCTCTACACACTCGCCCTGTTCGCCCTCGAACCTATCCGCTTCATCAACCGCTACGAGTGGCGCCAGCTCAGTGAGCTGGAGCGCTGTGCGATCGGCACCTTCTGGAAGAGTGCGGGCGATGCGTTGGATATTACTTATGAGAAGTTGCCGTCTGGACAGAACGGGTTTAAAGATGGCATTCAGTGGTTGGAGGAGATCGAGGCCTGGAGTGAGATGTATGAGGGGAAGTGTATGGTGGCCGATGTGAAGAATCGGGAGACGGCTGATCAGACTACGGCTATTTTGCTGTACATGTTGCCGAAGGCGTTACATCCCGTTGGATTGCAGTTTGTTTCGTTTATGATGCAGCCGCGGTTGCGCAAGGCGATGATGTATGTTGGACAGCACTTCTTCACTTTTGATCTTTGTCACTAATGAGTCTTCTTTCTAGCTACGACCCACCTTCTTCTATCGCGGTCGTCGTCTTTTCAACTCTGCTCACCATCCGCAAGCTATTCCTGCGGTATCTATCTCTGCCTCGGCCATATTTCATGCGCTCCTCTTCTTTGACCGATAAACCGGATGAGAACAACCGATTCTTCCTCACCCAGTGGGAGGCCGCGCCGTACTATGTCAAGCCGACATTCTGGAATCGCTGGGGTCCCATCGCATGGCTTACCCGGATTCTCGGACGGCCGGTACCTGGTGACGCGGGTGACAAGTATCATCCCCATGGGTACGCTATTCAAGACGTTGGGCCGAAGTATTTCGAGGGTAAGGGACGGAAAGCAATTGATGAAGCGATGGAGGAGTATAAGGGGTATCGAACTGGGAAGTGCCCATTCCACTAAAGGTAACTAGAGAAGAAAGAAAGGAGATCCTTGGGTAGATTGGCCATGCTGGGTGACATAGATGGGTCTTCATGTTGGTCGTTGGAAGTCCATTTAGCGGAGCTTTTTCTAAGATCTACAGTAAACAGAGAACAAGATACGCTGGGTGGGCATCTTCACTATGACAAATCAAGTCATTTCGTCAATTGCTTTTCCAGTATGTATTCTGGCCCAGCGGTCGGGGCAACCACCGTGAACCGACAGGAAAAAATAGAGACAGAATAAAAAGGGGTACATTAGGCGCTCAAACAAGATACTTGGGGTCGGAGCCAGACCCGTGTGGAGCCTAGCCCCGTACACATAAGAGAATGTAGGCTTATCGAAGGGTATTACTGCGAGCAAGTCTGAAAATGCCGGGCAATCAGCACATTTAGACCTCCTCCTCGAGACCGCCCTCCTCAGCGAGGCTGTAAGAATAAGTGTGGTTAGTATAAAACATATTCATAGAATAAAAATGGATGGGGCGCTTACTACTCCTCCTCGCCCTCGGAGACGGAGGCCTCCTGGTACTGCTGGTACTCGGAGACAAGATCGTTCATGTTGCTCTCAGCCTCAGTGAACTCCATCTCGTCCATACCCTCACCAGTGTACCAATGCAAGAAAGCCTTGCGACGGAACATGGCAGTGAACTGGTCGCCAATACGCTTGAACAGCTCCTGGATGGAGGTCGAGTTACCAACGAAGGTGGAGGACATGCGGAGACCACGGGGAGGAACAGAGCACAGAGCGGTCTGGACGTTGTTGGGAATCCACTCAACGAAGTAGCTGGAGTTCTTGTTCTGGATGTTGCGCATCTGGTCCTCAACCTCCTTCATGGAGACCTTACCGCGGAACAGAGCAGAGCAGGTCAGGTAGCGGCCGTTGCGGAAGTCAGAGGCAGCCATCATGTTCTTGGGGTCGAACATCTGCTGGGTCAGCTCGGGAACGCTGACCTGGCGGTACTGGTGGGCACCGCGGCTGGTCAGGGGAGCGAAGCCGACCATGAAGAAGTGCAGACGAGGGAAGGGAACCATGTTGACGGCTAGCTTGCGGAGGTCGGAGTTGAGCTGGCCGGGGAAACGGAGGGAGGTGGTAACACCGGACATGACGGCAGAGACCAGGTGGTTCAGGTCACCGTAGGAGGGGGAGTTGAGCTTGAGGGTGCGCATGCAGATGTCGTACAGAGCCTAGACAAAAGAATTGAGTGAGTTACTTTCATCTTCAGGGGAGCAAATAGTCGGCAACACGGGGGTCCATACCTCGTTGTCAATACAGAAGGTCTCGTCGGAGTGCTCAACGAGCTGGTGGATGGACAGAGTGGCGTTGTAAGGCTCAACAACGGTGTCGGAGACCTTGGGGGAGGGGACGACGGAGAAGGTAGCCATCATACGGTCGGGGAACTCCTCACGGATCTTGGAGATCAGGAGTGTACCCATACCGGCACCGGTACCACCACCCAGGGAGTGGGTGATCTGGAAACCCTGGAGGCAGTCGCAAGCCTCGGCCTCACGGCGGACAACATCGATGACCTGGTCGACGAGCTCGGCACCCTCGGTGTAGTGACCCTTGGCCCAGTTGTTACCGGCACCGGACTGACCGAAGACGAAGTTGTCGGGACGGAAGAGCTTGCCAAAGGGACCGGCACGGACAGCGTCCATGGTACCGGGCTCCAGATCGACCAGGACGGCACGGGGAACGTACTTGTCACCGCTGGCCTGGAAAATAAAAGGTCCATTGATTAGAGTCGACTTTGATATCTCACTGTTGTATGGACAGGCAACTTACGTGGGTGAAGTAGACGTTCAAGCGCTCCAGCTGGAGGTCGGAGGAACCATTGTACCTAGCCAAAAATATCAGACCGCCATTCCGCGTCCAGAGGTATTTGTTGAGGGGTATCGAAGAAACTTACTGGCCATCGCCGTCAAGGCCGTGCTCACCAGCAATGGTCTGCCTGTAGTTCGAGTCAGTATGTTCTTGCCCATTGTGACACACAATTGGGGGGGGGGGGTTGTTTTGTTGTGCTGGGGGGTTTTTTGGGCGGGCGTGGCACGTACCAGAAAGCGGCACCGATTTGGTTACCCTACAAAGCCCCAAATTCAATTTAGTCAAACCATCATTCTTCACCTAACACATCTTCCACGTGTTTCTGGACATCACTTACACACTGGCCGGTCTGGAGGTGGACCTATATCATCGTCGAGAAAGAGGAGGTTAGCACAGGCTGAACAGGTGGGGTTTGTTGGCTTCAGGGGTAAAGGGAAAACACAGGACGCGTCGAATCGGGGGTGGACGTACAATCTCACGCATTGTGGATGGAAATTGGCGATATGTAGTGGGAGAAAGGGGTTTGAAAGGAGGACCAGGAGGGTTGATGACCAGAAGTCCAGGAGATGGAGAGAAGGAGAGGAGGAAAAGGTCGGTGTGTGGGCGTGGGGATCAACAACAAACCAGGCCAAAAAGGAACGTTCAGGGGGGGAGGGGATGTCCCAATTGGGGTTAGCGCCATTGGGCCAGTCAGGTGGGGATCAGGTGATCTCACTGGGCGGGAACTGCGCGAACCACAGTTTGGATGTTTGTTCCGTTTGCTCGTTGGGTATCCTTGGGTATCGTTCGGCCAAACCACAGCTCTCTGAGCGGGCACATGCACTGTCTTGAATATTAGCGATGAGCTCTGGGCTATGGAGTAGACAACACTATGATTACATTTGCTGGATACATGGTCCATCCTATCCATCTATCTCCATCATGGTGGCTCTTTTGATGAGCAGGTTCTCCCGGGCACTCTTATTTCTCGCTCTCCAACCAGTCTCCGAAACCCTGCAGGCGCTGGTTCTCGTCTTCGTTCTCGGCATCAAGGCCCCGCTCCGCCATGTCCTCCAGAGCTGCCCGTCGCTCATTGGTCTTTTTAAACTTCTCACGTCCAACCTGAACGTAGGCCTTAATCTGGGTGCCGCCAAAGAATCGACCATCCATCCGCTGGAGATAGTATTAGCATCAGTAAACATTAAACGGGTGTCAACCCTATCAGACTGAACAGAAATCTGAGAGAAGCACAGATGACTTCGTCAAATAGACGATTGGAAGAGATGTCAAGGAAAGGGCAGAGGGAACATACTTCAACACATGTTTGTGCATCCTCGGGCTGGGCAAATCGAACAGTCACCACTCCAGCTGGCTCCAAATCATAAAGCACTACGTTAGTGACCTCTCCGATTTTAGAGCATTCGGTTCGGACATCATCTTTGATATCCAGGATTGCCTCGACATCGGTCTTTGTCACAATGGTCAGTCTCACTAGATTTGCACCTCTCCAAGGGCCATAGCAGCAGGCTTACCTGGAGCTCCTCCAACGTGAACAAGCCTTTCAAGACCACAGTCCGGTCCTGGCGGACGGGAATATTATTGCGAGCAAGCGGGTCATCATCATCCCAATCAGTCAACAAACTGTGTACACAGTAAATGTTAGCGTTAAACCAAGAGCACATGATTAAGGGCCAGACAAACCGGTTTAACTCCTCAGTACGCTCCATGATCTTCCGTCTGTCACGAGGCGCAGACTTAGCTGGAGCCTCCGTTTGGGTTTTGAAGGACAATTCCGCTGCCTGTACTCTCATCGGTGCCTTTCCTGCCAATTGAATATTGCCCTCGCGAAAATCAGTCTCATCAACCATCTGAATGGCTAGGGAGACCGATTCGGGTCGGAAATAGACCACCAGGGCTTCGCCCTTGAAATTGCCACTATCATCGTAGTACATCTTGATGCGTGGAGCGCCGCTATCAATTTCTCTCGCGATCACACCCCAGCGAGCGAAGTTTTGTTCAATTTCTTCCTTTTCGGCGTCCAGAGGGAGGCCAGTGATCCAAACCGCATGATTTACACGTGGCTTCTTGGCTTTGTTTCCCTTTTCCTAAGAGAAGATCGTGAATAAGTTGAACACACATTTAGTCAGTCTGCAGTATCATGGCACTTACATCGCCAGCTGGCAACTTCCGCTTCTTCATGTCACGGGGGTTGACCATCTCATTTTCATCCACGCCTGCAACTTTGTAGGCCTCTTGTTGTTGCTTAAGGAGCTCCTCATCAACCTAAAGTGTTGTAGTATGTTAGCACGTGAATGTACAAAGAAAGCAATTCCGACTGCGCAGTCGCGGCGGAACAGCCAGGCTCGCAGATGCGAGGAATGCACGAAGCCCGAGATTATACAGAACATACCTTCTGAACCCAGCGCTTGATGCCGGTATCATATTCAAACTCCTGTCCATCCTCTGTTTCCAGGATGAACTTTTCATCTAGCTTGGACCACGAGATGCGTGGGTCGCTATCAAACTCCGCCGGGTCCTGCGGGAACGCAGGTGCGTCCGCAGAGCCCTCAAGCGAGGCCATCTCGAGACGTTAGAATGGCAGTTAAGCAATGTAACAATGTAGAATGAAAATGGTAGGAATGGTATGCGCTTTGTCAGCGGATCGCGGGGGTGTGGGAGTGCGAGTGGGAAACAGAACAAGAGGTCGCGGGGGCGCGCGGGTCGCAGGTCGCGAGGGTCGCGCAAGGCGGGAAGGGAAGCTTTTGGAAAGAACTCTCTCCCCAGCGACTGAAGCAGCCTTACCCGTGGTTCACTTTCCTAATTAATCGCTCTACATTTATTTCAACTATATACAGCTACACCGTAATTACAACCTAGAAAGAAATGTGTTGATTTTTTTAATTATTGTATTGAGAGGGTATCTGGAACATGCTAGGGAAAATATTTATATAAAATAGATAACAGCCAAGAGAAGGAAAGCAATAAAAAGTATCCAAAGCCGTTTTGCTTGATGGACATAGAGAATTGAGAAATTGAGAACCACACCGAGAGTGCGAAGGGTAAAAAAGCAAGTATTAGAGAAAAATTGACTGACTAGGCGAGATCAATCAAGCCTTCGTGTCAATGGACGCACCATGTTCGGGAGTCATAGTGCGCTTGGAGCTGTCGTCGCTCTCAACGCCGTTGACGATATCGCGAGTAACCTCGACATAGTCGTACTAGAGAGAGAAAAAGTTAGTAACGAGCCGATTAAATGCAGAAGGTTTGAGGCATAACTTACGGCAAACTCGCCAATCTCGGCATCATCAATACCGAGGATTTCATCCTCCTCGGGAGCACGCAGGCTCAGGCCGGGGATGAGGTTCATGATAAACAGGATAATGCAGGTACCGACAAAGGAGTAAGCAAATCCAGAGACGGAGTCAGCAAGCTGGTAGCCGAGCTGGATGTAGTTGTGGTTGATCCAGCCACCGGGGATCTCGGTGACGCCATCGAGGTGCGCGATGTAGTCACTAAAAACAATTAGTTCTAATCTTTGAGAACAATTTGTGGACTGTCATAACTTACGCAGCAAAGAGACCAGTAAGGAGGTTGCCAACCAGACCGCCAACAGTGTGGACAGCAAAGATATCCAGAGCATCGTCAATGCGGAGCAGGAACTTCAGCTTGGTGGCATAGTTGCAGGCAATGGCACCGACCACACCAAAGACGAAGGCAGCCCAAGGAGTAACAAAGCCAGAGCCGGGGGTAATAGCCACCAGACCGGCAATAACACCAGAGCAGAAACCGACAGTGGACCACTTGCGCTCCAGACGGTAGTCGAGCAAACACCAGGTAACACCACCGACCGAGGCAGCAAGGTTGGTTACAACGGCAGCCATGACAGCACGCAGGTTAGCAGAAAGCGCAGAGCCAGCGTTGAAGCCGAACCATCCAACCCAGAGGAAGACGGTTCCAATAACGACATGAGTGACGTTGTGGGGACGGTAGTTGAGCTCGTGAGTGCCGTGCCCACGACGCTTGCCCAGCATCAGGGAGTAAGCCAGTGCAGCAGAACCGGAAGCAATATGCACGGGAGTACCACCAGCAAAGTCGAGACCACCCAGCTTGAAGACCCAACCGGACGCATTCCAGGTCCAGCAAGCAATGGGGTCGTAGATAACGGTGGTCCAGATGAACATGAAGATGATGCAAGGCAGCATGCGGCCACGCTCAGCAACGGCACCAACGGCGAGAGCAACACTATATCAAGTCAATGGCCCATTCCTAGCAATAACTCGTTCCAATTAATTGTGTACTCACGTAATAGAAGCGAACATGCCCTGGAAGATGGCGAAGAGAAGATCCGGGACCTTGGAGCTGCCGACTGAGGGCGCGGCCAGGACATCCTTGAAACCAAAGTTCGACAGATCACCGATGAACTTTCCACCCGTGTGGGAGAAAGCCAAAGAGTAACCCCAGAAGAACCATTGGAACGAGACCACACCGACCGACATGATGGACAGCCATATCAACGAGAGGGCAGACTTGCGGCGAGCGAGACCGGAGTAGAAGAAACTAGGAGACGACGTGTTAGTGAGGCTTCGATGGCTGATGTTCAACTGCAACTTACCCAACACCGGGAATCATCAGCAAGACGAGGGCGGATGAAGTTACTACCCAAGCAATATCACCAGCCTAGATATCCGTGTCAGCCACCATCCACCTAGAGGGAACACACTCTGTGTCATCAATTCATACATTGTAATAGATGTTCAGGTCCTCCGTCAACGAGTCACCACCGTTGCCCGTGGCGGAGCCGTTGTAGGCCACCGGGTAAGCAGACATGGTGAAACCAGATATGCCTAAATGTGCTCAAGGGTGACACAGTAGTAAAAGACAGTGGTCCCAGCAGCAAGACTCGACCAGCACAGCCAGACAGGTCACTCGAGGACCGGGCAGGCAACTGATAGGCTCAGCGATCCCGAAAGTCTACCGAGATGATACGACGGCAGAGGAAGGGAGGACAAGGAGCGCGAAAGTCGAGGGAAGGATAGATCAGAGGATAGATCAATTCTTAAACCAACCGGCCTACGGAGTTGGAAAGGGGACGATGGATTGGGAAAAAGGAAAAGCTGATCTATCCAGGACCTGCAGGGACTGGGTCTGATAATTAAATAGCAACAGGCAATATTGGGTATGTCTAAGCCAGACACGCAGGGCTCCACCATCAGCCACGCTACCGGTAGAAGAAGGAGCATTATGTTCGATCTTGGGGCGCTCCGATAGTGGGCACCCGCTTGTGGTCATGATGATTACTGGTATGATTCATCGGTTTGAACTGATAGCCAGGGCCAAGCCCGCCCCCATATCAGCCATGTCCAGGATAGAGGAGGACTGTGGGCATGGTTGTATGGAACCAGACGGGGGATTACGGGATGGGGTAGAGAGTATAATTACGGGGTATAGAGTTGCTGCAGGATCGTCAAGATATTAGCTACCAAGCAAAAGAAGAAACCATTATTTTTGCTTGTTGACGCAGACAATTATGAGATCTTAATAATGCATCACAGGATGCTGTGCTGCTATTGTTTACAGAAATTCTCCGGTCATAGCCAAGTACAGTCAGTATTTTTCTGTATGCAATGCCAGGGGAACTGAACCATAGAGGCCGGATTGGGCTGGTCAGCTTACAGAAGAGCGATAAGCAGGGATCGGAAACGTCAGGGTGATAGCATGATTGGGTGAATTGAGTGACAGATGGAGGCGAATAATGGGAATTGACAGGGAGACCACTGTAATCGCCAGCAATCAGCCCAGCCTTCTCGAAGATATCAGGGAAAATAACTAGAAAAAAATTAAAAGATAAAAAAAAATGAAGAACAATGGCCAAAGGGAGACATGGGGATACCCGCAGTGGACGTCTACGACTGGCTGTAGATATGAAAGTTCCCTGTGGGCCAATCAGCGGCGGCCGTGCTTATCTTCAACCCTCATCTTTAAAAGTACAGATCCTGATCGGGTCCGCCAAAAGGTAGAAACACGCCGCCAGCGTCGCCTACCGCGGAGGTTCCTGTGATATTGATTTCCAGCGATGAAGATAGTAAATCAATTTGCTAAATCTATGAGAATCATGGAAACTGAACTTTTCCAACCCAGCGTGTCACGGTCCAAAGTGTAATCCGGAATGGTTGAAAGGTACTCCGTACATCGACCAAAGCTGCGCTTATCAGACACGTTATGATGGACCAATCAGCGCCCGGTCCATCCCCACTCTCTGGGCTGCTTATCGTTACTTCATCCAAAGTCCAAACCCTCACGCCTTCCCCTATCTCACGCCTCAGCATCATCATCATCATCTTACCCTGCTCACATCAGCAGACCTTTTGGATTTTTCTTCGTTCCTACCTACCACAACAGAGTCTTACACTCGGCCATTCTCCGCCGCCGCCGACAATAGCGCCCCCTCCCCCCAAGAAATCCAGGAACAATGAGATTTCCACCAGAGCAAATCTACATCTATTCACGTTGAAGATCAGTCTTTGAAACCTTCAGCCGTTCAATGATTGGCCTCGCCCCCTCGCGTTTAATAATGCACTAAACGCGAGTCTAGAGTATTCCTAAATACGGACTAGTCCCTCCCAACTCTCCGGGATTGTATGGAGACCCCTACTCCACCCGACAGGGACATGCCTCCCCCTCCGAGAACGCATGGAGCGCACTGCGACGAAGTTGTCTCAGCCACGCGGTCCTCGGACTGCCAAGCCATGATAAGCCTTACAGTCCTCATTGGTTGTGGAGTTACTGCAAGTTGACGGAGGCACTGGAGGGCTGGAAGCCGGCATCCCGACTTACTTCTTGGCATCGCTTCTACTCCGTACAGGGCTTCGACTCGTCACTCCCCAGAGAGTTCGTTCGACTGACGTCGAGATGCAGGATCTATTGTGCCGCTATTGACTTCTCCTCGCCTCTCAATTGGTAACTTTCTTGTCTACAGTCGATTCTTTCCTTCTATGAGGCGTAGACTGGCCGATGTCGCCACGGGGCCTGTCTCGTCCACCAGCGCATGCCATACTCGTCGTATTAAGAACTTTTCTGGGCAAGGACCTTTGAAGTTACTTGTTCCTTTATGACTGCAGGATCAGATGAGTCTCTACATGCACTATCCAACCTTCAGCATGATATCAGTTTCGATCAGGGCCCACTGATCGACGTGCATAGAGGAGTGTTCATGCTCAACCGATCTACTGTAGACAGCAACAAGGTGGAGATGGAGGGCTTTGCTCCATGATCCATCGCACCCTAGCACAGACCATGCCAATCTCTACTAAACATTGTTCTTGATGCTCAATCGATCCTTCCTAGCTGACCCCAGTAGTTCGCTGATCACGGCACATCTGGGGCTGCGGCTGGCATTCCTGCAGGAACACCCGCAATAGCGGGAAGGAGTGGTCCCAATATTGTGGAAAGGCTAAAAGTTACACATAGAAGATGATAATGCATGCATGTACTGAGTAAAAGCTATCAGCCAAGGTTCAAAGTATCTTGATTGGATACGCTGTCATGCGACCCCTGGAAGGATACTGTGTTGATACACAACAGAATGCTGGTCGAGCCGTATCTGACAGGAAGTCAGTGCCAACAAGTCAAGAGTGAGTCAAGGAGACTATGCCAATACAATCAGCATTTCATATCACTGAAAGAAATCAGTCCGACTTTGGTCTGGGCAGTGGCTGAAGTAGTGAGTAGTGACTACGAAGGATCAATACGCTTCCTCGCAGCCCCTTACATCCAGACGTATAATGTCCACACTTGACGGCATGGAATATCTCTCTCTATTGGCTTTACTACGGTACATTTGTAAGCATGGTACAAAGACTATACAAAGGTTACTTCGGATAGTTCTGGCTCATGACACTCGGGGCTTTTCGGAAGTTTTTTCAAATCCAAAGATCCGATTTAAGCAGCTTTAGGCCTTTCACCAATCCCCGTAAGTATTGACTAACGCTGAATTAGCAAGTCCAATGCTCTGTGAAACTGAAGTTGGCTATCGAAGGAATGTCTCCATCATTTAGAAGCTATTTCTACCCTATCTTCCTAATTCTCATGTGGCTGGCCGAGATGATAGAGATATTTCCCCTTTACTTCGTACAGCCATTCAGACGCGAGCTTTAACCAGATACCTATCATGACTAACGAAGCCACTCGCCAATTTAATCGTCTCTTTCTATCCACGGATCGCATCAATGTTACTCAACATCAAGTCGACGTAATAGTTCCATCATCCATGGATAACCGCCGGCAAAGAGTCCATTGCGGCACTTCTAAACTATCTATATGTACGTATGTCCAGGCCATTCTGTCAAGTGGTTACCCAGTTGGAAACACCACTTTCTGCATTGTACTACAGATCTGAAATTTAACACCAATCTGTCGTTGTCAACTTCGCATATTCCAACGAAAAGGTCGCAAAACGTTGTGACCAGCAATGGATGAGATCTCGTTGCGGTCGTCACACAAGGTGCACTAAATGCACAACTTGCCAAGCTATCTCCGGTTCACGTTTTGAGATAGATGGGAATGAATTTCCTTGGCCAGTTTGTTGGCGCTGATCTTGATGTTACATTGGGGCCGCCAAGTCTGCATGTCAAAGATGGTTCTGGACGCCAGATTGATGCTGTGCTGCCCGCCTCAGGTCATATTACTTATTTGGTCCGATCTTGGGCAAGATTCCGGCCAACCTAAGTGCTGGGACGGTCCTGGTTGTGACGACACTGTTGATGCAAATCAAAGAGCATGATAAGATACAGCCTAAATGCCCAGATGACAATTTACAATCTCGTTATCGACTTTGAAAGCGACGAGGCCATCGTTGATCTCAAAACAAACGATTTAGAATCCGGAATTTTGGCACCTCGCGTACAAGTCTTCCGTCAGATTATAAAAGATCATATCAAGAATGGCTATGAATGCCAGGTGGCAACGTACATACTCTCCAACACCGAGGCCACTGAATATCAAGCTTTAATTCCATGCGTCGCCGACTTCTCGTTCGTCCAGAACAAAGACACACCTTCCAAAAGCAACCCGCTTGTTCTGATGTAGACCGTATCGCAGAGCCCGGGCAATATCTACTTTAATGTCCCGTTACTTGCCCCTGATCAAAATTTTGCTGTTATCATGCCAAACGAGCTCTTTCTTCGGTACTATGTCATGCCCGGCTGTGATTTCGGGGCTGGCTCAACCTCGGTCGATGAACCCGGACAGCTTGCCACAACAATTAGCACCTCGCAAATTGTCCGAGACTGATTTAATCTATGAGGTCGTCAACACCGGCAGTATTCCTCTGCAGAAAGACAATAATCCGTGGATAAGTGCAACAAACTACGCCATTGACACTAAAGAGCAGGCGCTGTGCCTGTACATCGAAACTCACGCTGATGTCAAGATCGGTCTCGGTGAGCAGGTTAAAGCATGGCACCGCAGTTGGCAACAATTCACCTTTGATAAAACCACTGAGAATATAATCTCGAAACAGACCAGGGAGGAGAAATACACCAGCACCGATGTGGAATGGTGGAAATGGCTCGTTGCGGCTTTGATGGGCCCCCTCGGCTTGAGGATAGAAGGTGTGACTGTTGCTATCGTTGAAGGAAATGCTCCAAATCTTGGAGGGACAATCGCTTCCATTGGAAAGAACCTGCTCCAGTGGCTTGAGCAGAAAACAGTCATGCTGAAGAAAATCAAAACCCCAAATCATGTTGTTATCTCTCTTGATGTTGATTTTCATCCGGCGTGAGTGGTAGAGCTGGCCGTCCGTGGTTTCCTTATATCCAAGTTCTTACTATAATTGGCGATTTTAAGTCCACACAATTCAGTCTATACTCAACCGGAATTCTATACGAGCCCTATATCCACGGAGACCTAGTTACTACTTCATTAATCTGACCATAGTCAACTTCTCCTAGGGCATAGGTATGTATAGCTAGACACAGATTTTTCAAGTTCATCATTTTTTGGGTTGATCACTTCCTAAAACATGTTCCCAAAAAGGGCCTTCTGTCATGCCCTTTTTAATCAAAGAAACTGCATCAGTGGCTAAAAAATTCCTTGATGTGCGTCGCATCCCATGTCTGAATGGTGATGTTTCCATAAGCCATGACATTCTTCATGATCCCATAATTCTCTTACAATAAGGATGGAGTTCTTGGACTTCCACCCCAGGGCTTTCTCCAATGCTACACTACTTTTCAGGGTTTATGTTAGGACATCCAGCTTTTGTCCACCACTACTGAGTCCGTGCAACATCTTGCCTATGTCATCTTTTGTATAATACAACAACATGAATTGTGTAACCCTCTCACAGACCACCAGAAGATTCCATAACCAAAAAGCATGATCCATTTAATGTCAAGCAGTACTCAATGAGCAACAGCGGCGAGAGAGTGAGCACAAGAACCAAATGAGAACGCCAAGAGTTGTTGGTCATTGTCCGGTATATATACACTCTCCATTGGCACAGCATGCATTCAGGAGTAAATTCATGGAAAATGCAACATATGATGAAAGTTATCAATCTTTTTGTACATCGTTTTTCTTCTCGCTTCCTCATTATTGCCGGGCTATATAGTCCTTTGTAGGCCAAGGGAGTGCATCGTAGAAAATATTCATTCCTTCTATTTCTATGAAAGCAATATGTCATCGGACGACTAAGCAGGATCTTAGAGAGACCCAACTTCTTCTTCTTCCGTTTCTTTTTTCTTTTGGAGAACTACAAGGCCCAATTCTGCGTCTGACCCAGGGCTCTCGGGTTTACTCTGCCGGTTTGTCAAGCACTTTATCTCACAAAGACATGTTTCATATTCAACTAAATCCTTGATCTGGGAAGCTGACCAAGGAACAGGGCACAAGGATGTTATTTAATATCAAATCAGACACAGACTTACTGCCACGTACGTGGACGTTACTCATGGGCCAACTCAATGGAGTAGCACAAGCAGTCGATCGGGGTCATTGCAAGCTGAATGGCCAAGGCGGTCAAGGCGAAAACCAGGATCCCCTTGGGCGAAGCGGCCTGCCATTGGGTCCCCCGCCACCCGCGCACCGCCACAAGGCCCCTATCATTCCTATCGTTCCTATCGTTCGCTGATGCTCAGTCCTCCCATCGCCAGAGCTTTCTTGCATCACACGGTCCACCATGGAGCATCCTGACATCGTCAGCCAGGACTCGGACGGCTCGGGGTCGTCGGATGACTTCCCTCCGCAATACCCTCTGCGGGGCAACTCATCCTTCGGTGAGCCCTTCATCGATGGTGCTCAGGTCCAGACTCCGGCCACGACCATCACCTCCTCCCCTCCGTCCCACCCTTCGAGCCTTAGTTCCTCATGGTCCAGCACTCCAACTGCACGGCCACGAGGAGCTAGTGTTGGAGCCTCTGCGGTCCTCGACAAAGCTGACCCTCATGCCATGGCTACTGATCTGCGCCTTCAACGCCCATCGGCCCCCGCGAGAACCCCCTCCAATACGTACGCTCCCCAGCGCCGTCCACCGCAGTATATCAGCCTTCAGAGTGACCGGCAACGCTCGTCCTCCACGAAAAGGGGCACTCGACGCGATCCAAACGCGCAGTATCGCGCCCAGGAAAAGGCTTATGTCCAGCGCATTCGGGCCAATCCGCAGGCCTGGTACAACCATTTCGACGACACGCAATCCGCCAATATGATGGTGGCAGATGCAGATCTCGAGGATCCCTCCCCCTCGTCGGAGGTGCCCTTTGATGACGACTCTTACGACCCTGATACCCAATTGTTTCTCCCCGATGACAATATGCCGACGATAGAAGAGTTGAAGAATCCGAAGAATCAGGAACGCCTAGAGTGGCATTCAATGTTGACATCCGTCTTGAAGGGAGATGTCGTTAGGCAAGAAAAACAACGTTTGATCGACTCAACGGAATCCAAGCGATCAGCTGCTCTGGGTCATGCGCTGTGGATGGGTGTGCGAGCGAGAACTTGTGGACGAAGCCTCGCCCTGCAACGGAAGCTCATTGAAGATTCTCGGGCACAGCTTGGCCCTTTGATCGAGGAGATCATCAACTTCCAGATCAAGGGTGAGACTGAAATTGGTAAGCCACCTAGACAACAAGTGGAGGATGTGGTGGCAAAGGTCGAGAAATGCGAGGTTCTCTATTCTACCTCCAAGGAAATGGAAGCCGCAAACCCTCGTACTGCCTCTGAAGAGTTCTATTCTAGCCGCTCCGCCATTTTTTCCTGGCATAACATCACGGCTCTCATTAACACTGAGCTGGCGGTCTTGCAAAGCTGGGTGGGTAACGATGCTTTGGATTTCAGCCAGCCCAGGCAAAAACATGAAAACAGCGAACTATCTGAGGATTCATCCTTTTTGGATCGCATCATGAAAGAGGATGGTCTGAAAACGCTTCAAGGCGACCACAGCATGCTGAATGGACTGGGTAGAGTCATTCAGAAAGCAAAGGGTACGCTGATCGAGAACTCCGAGGCCTTTGCTGCCCGACACTTGCCGCCATATATTGAAGAGCTTTTGACTTTGATCAACTTCCCGTCCCGGTTGATTCAAGAGATCATTCGCGTTCGATTGTCCTACGCTAAGAACATGAAGGATCCCGCCCAGCAATCTCCCATCTTGGTGGATCAGATGATTTCGCAGTTCCAGATCTTGATGAGGGTAGCAACGCAGATCAAGCAACGTTATCTTGAAATCTCAAGACCGGAGCCTGGCTGGGACCTGCCGCCCTGCGTTGACGAGAACTTCGATTCTGTGGTCTTGGATGCGATGAAGTACTATTTCCGGATCCTAAACTGGAAATTGAACGCCAACAAGAATACATTCAAGGAAGCTGAAATCCTCGAACAAGAGTGGGAGTTTTCCTATGTCATTGGCCGGCAAATTGAGAACGGCGATATCGAGGTGGCTGAACAGTTTAGGTATGTTCATCAGCCCGGTGCTTACTGGGTCTATCGGAAACTGACGGTTTGATCTTCTTCCTTCACAGTGCTTTGACTGCCAAGTCACTTCAACGACTTATGATTCATTTCGAGCGCGAGCTTGTACCAAGACCTAATGAGAGCGTCGCGGATATGGACAAGCGCTACAAAAGTATCCTCGATTCCACGCGTATTCGCCAGCGCAAGCTGTACCGATTCTCGAAGTTCCTCTGTCAGCTTTTTGAAAATGCCACCGAATACAACCTGACGACCGATATCGCGTATGAATTCTTCGAGGCGCTGCTGATCTCCGATCATTTCCTTGTCACATCGCCCACTTCAGTTGGTCAGAAGGGTGTGTATTTGATTGCACACCATTCGTTGTGGAATCGACCTGCCGATATCCAAGCCATTCTTGCTACCTCTTTCCGTGAAGATGAGTCCGCGAAGGACGGGCCACATATTCCGTATGTCTTGGTCATTCGCCCTGAGAAGCCCCTGGCATGGGCTGGCAAGGAGATGAAGGTTAACTTCCTGGAGCAACCGACCGACGTGCGTCTTGGAAAGCTGCGTCTTGTCGTCGAGGGCATGCAGGAGCGTCTGCAAAATGCCAGGATGGAGTTGGCTCAACTTACGGGCATTCAGCTCGATATGGCGATCGGACAGCGCGCCAATTTGGGCCGTGTCAACGTGGAGTTGAACAAGATCAAGAAAATTTCTTTCAAACTGTCCATGGCTATTATGGATAGCGTGGCTGTGATCAGGAATCAACTCCGGGAGAAGACATGGGAGAACAACGACTTGATTCAGGCTTGCTATGCGTTCGCAACTGAATTTGGTAAGCGTTCATCTAACTATGTCGACGCCAACCGACGCGCCATGAACAGCGCCCGTCTAGTGGAGTTGTCTCTCGACTGGGTCTCCTTTATTTGTGATGACTGTGATGCTGCGGACCGCAAGACTTTCAAATGGGCAGTGGCGGCGCTAGAATTCGCGATGGCCATCACGTCTAGCCGACATTTGCTGTCCATGGACGAGGAGGAGTTCAGCCGTCTGCGGCTGAAGGTTGCGGGCTGCATGTCCTTGCTGATCTCTCACTTTGACATTATGGGCGCCCGCTCCTCTCTTGCTGCTCAGGCTGAAAAACAACGTATGGAGGAGCGTGCCGGCTACCGCAAGGTCGGCGCTGGTCGCATACTCGGCGATGAGGAAGCGTCAAAGCTGATTCGGGAACAATGGCTCGCTCGCTTGGTGGAGATCGAAGACCGCAGAGTGGAGGAAGACGCGAAACGTCAAGCGCTCGGCAGAGTTCTCGAGGGATCCAACGAGGCGGACCGCTCTCTGACGGTACTCTCATCATCGGCTACGAATGTCAGCTTGCGTTGGCAGCAGGGCCAATTTATTGGTGGAGGCACCTTCGGCTCTGTCTACGTGGCTATCAACCTGGACAGCAATTACCTGATGGCCGTCAAGGAAATTCGTCTGCAGGATCCACAGCTCATTCCTAAAATCGCGCAACAAATTCGCGATGAAATGGGCGTTCTGGAAGTGTTGGATCATCCCAACATCGTGTCCTACCACGGTATTGAGGTGCATCGCGATAAGGTTTACATTTTCATGGAGTACTGCTCAGGCGGCTCACTTGCTAGCCTGTTGGAGCACGGCCGCATCGAAGATGAAACGGTCATCATGGTCTACGCACTTCAACTTCTCGAGGGTTTGGCCTATCTTCACCAAGCGGGTATCGTGCACCGCGATATCAAGCCCGAGAATATCCTGCTTGACCACAACGGAATCATCAAGTACGTTGATTTCGGTGCCGCGAAGATCATCGCCCGTTCAGGTCGTACAATAGCCCCAATGGACGGACCGAACGGCGGCATGCTCGGAAAGGATGCCCAGATAGCCAACCAGCGGGGCAAGAACCAGAATACCACCACAGGTACCCCGATGTACATGTCTCCAGAAGTCATTCGCGGCGACTCTTCCGACCTGGTCAACCGACAAGGTGCCGTTGATATCTGGTCATTGGGATGTGTAGTCCTGGAAATGGCGACCGGTCGTCGCCCCTGGTCTGCCCTTGACAACGAATGGGCGATCATGTACAACATCGCTCAGGGTAACCAGCCAGCTCTGCCAACCCAAGATCAACTCAGCGACACGGGAATTGACTTTGTGCGCCGCTGCTTCGAATGCGACCCTCTCCGACGACCTACTGCCGCCGAACTACTCCAGCATGAATGGATCGTTTCAATTCGTCAGCAAGTGGTCATCGAGCCTCCAACCCCAAGCAGCGAAAACGGCAGCTACAGCAGTTCAAGCTCGATTAGTCGTCAGAGCTCGACCTACGCGTGATTTTCTTGCCTCCAAACCTCTTCATATTTCTTTTCTGCCTTCTACTTGTGGCACTTCGCCATTTACCAACCTTTCACGGTATTGGCTCCAATATTTGATGGAAATCTTGCAATCTTCTATTTCACCATACGCTCGCTCGATCTCGATTTTGAATCTTCTCCATCCTCAAACGGCATCGCATGTGATACCCCCTCCTGTGCCAATTCTTTGTTTGTTATGATCATCTGCTTTGCGTTCCAATTTTGCGGTTACTACATTTCCTCCTCATTCCTCGCATATGGGAGGAAGCTGAAGCTGAGTTTTTCTGGTTATCTTGAGGTTCAGATTTCTGTTTGGCGCTGGGTCTATGTGCTCGTTGATTGTGTATGATTTTCTGTGTGTACGAAAACGATTCTCCCGGTTTTGATCTTAGCGTTCGACTTGACTGCATAAATATTGTTGAGTAATTGTCGAAGCATCCGGTTTCCTCTTAAGTGATCTCAGTTCGTAATAGCAATCACAATCTGGCATCCTTTGGGGAACCTATGGAGACAGGTGGACTTGTGGACATAGGTCTATACTTGACAACCTTACCCAAATATATGTTTACGAGATCAGATGAAGCACTTGAAGAGTCCAGAAAAGCCTGCGCATTGATTTTCTCAAGCAGGCTGCAAGGCCTGGACTAGCCTGGTGATTGAAGACATCTCACAAAACAACAGACAAGGAATAGATGTAGGTGGCAGATGAGGTTAATAGGAAATGTCGTAAGGTAAAAAAGAGTCGGAACAAAGAAAAGGACCCATCTCGCCCCATGAAAACACAAGATAGAAAAAAAAACGCCATTTCCGAGATCGCGGGTTCGTGAGGCATGAGATACAGTTTGACAAGAGTTGGCGCCAGGAGTTGACCAATGTGGGGGGTATATGTGTGGAGAGTATGATGTTCAACAATGCCGTGAGATCACGGTAGTCCAACAAATAGAGAAATCGGAGGAGAGGTCGAGTAAAGAGACATTGCAGAAGTGAGGATAGGGTAAAAGCTTGGCGTACAATCAATCTGCGGAGAGGGAGGACCAAGGCCAAGCTTTGTGGAGAGTAGGATGTGAGTGATGGAAGTACGGAGAGGGACGCGCTCGACCGTGCTCTACGATGGGAGAATAAAGGGTGACGGAATATTTGCGTTGAGAAGGCGAACCAATGCTTGCAAAAGCGGGTCTGGATCGTTTCAGCGCCAGCAGTCGAGGTCCGGAGAACTTAGCGGAACTCGACTGCTGGCGCACATCCTCGATCTTCGACATGCTTCAACTCAAGCTGTTGGAACCTAATATGGAAGTCAGCAAGATTTAGCCTTATCTTTTAGAGGCAGGTTGACTGACCGCTCGCTCTTCGCATGGAAATAAACGCCGCTGACCGATCCCTCAATCTGATTGAAACAGATATAGTAGAATCCCTCGAAGCTGGCACCAGAGATGGTTCGCACCCGATGGTCCGGAACAAGGAAATATTCCTTCCATCTCATGAACACGTGCTCACGTTGAGCAAAGTTGCGGTATGTGAAATCAGTGCGTTTCGCCTGTTTGGCAAGTGGTTTCCAAGCGGGGAAACGGGACCAGTGGTGGATATCCGTCTTCTCGTTGGCGCCCCATTCCTCATTGCGAGTCTGGAACGTGTGTTTAGTACCAATGATCTCTCCTTCAAAGAATGTGGTCAGGGTAGGGTGATCCTCCGTAAGGCCTATATCAGAGTGAATCAAAAGAGTGGTTAGACTGGTATCCGATATTAGATTGAAATGCAGGTGAGTCACTGACCTTGAATGCGAAGATAGCCGCAAAGATAGGACTCGGCCATGTCCACGTGCTTGATTTCCACGTCAACTTTATACACCTGTTGGTCAGACATTTGTGTGCCGACGAATCTGCTCCCGGAGCGGAGATAGGAAGACGAATGGTTTGGCAGAAGCTGTCACAATAGGTTAGTAACTGAGTATGATGGGGCGGCGAAGCGTGACACTGGGCTGGAAGATAAGCTTACCCGAACATTGGAAAATTCATACCGCAGCAGCGAAGAGTTTGGCGGCATGACGGGCGACCGACTGCGAGCACATAGCTCCGCGGGCGAACTAGATCGCTCGCGTGTAGTCTCATCGTCCGTCGCGCCGGGTATCTTGCTCTCCACTTGCAGCGGGTCAGACGCCAAGAGCGCGCTGCCATCGTCGGAACGACTCAGCACGGACGGCGCCGTAGCACTGGCCGGTGTGAGAGCATCTTCAAGAGCCTCGCTGGCCGAGACAGTTGAATCCGGTGAGTCTCTCCAGGCCGAAACGCGGTCCAGTTCCGGTGGGCAAGTACGGGTGGAGATCACCTCGGCGATCGAAGTTGGGCGGTTGTCACTCGGGGTCGGCATTGGGGGCGGGATCAAGGAAGGAGGAGAGCAGACATCGGATCGAGCCAGGCGCCAAGAACGAGGAGCAAAAATCACGAAATACGATAAGAAGGGAGAATGGAGCGGGGGATGTTCGAAGGGGTGGAAAGATTGAAGGTTTTGGTGGGAATCTTGAAGGGGAGAAAGAAGGATTGATTTGGGTCCAGAGTCTGAGAGTCCTGACCGGGGGGGGGCCATCATGGGGTCATGCGAGCGCGGGGGAGGCGTTGGTGGCCTGAGGCTGCCAGATATACGTCAGGTACAGCGTGAGCGCGCGCGGCTATCGCGGAGAAGCGTGCGACACGGAGATATGTTGATGGGACATGATCGAAAGGGTAGAAAGATCTTGGGGATTCAAAATGACTACGTTTAAAAATGTCCATTCAGGCTGGGAAGGTCGGGGAAAAGCACGTGTTTTTGTATTGTCTGCCTGTGGGTCCGCTTCATGATGAACCCATGCAAGAAAGCCTCGATCAAACGCCCGGTATCATAAAATAAACCAATTCCAAACTCTATTTGCCTCGATTTTAGATAGGCTTGATCTGGAAGTTGAGAAAGATCGCCGTTAGTGCAGTCCTAGAGTGACACCCCCAAACAGTAAGCCAAGCCAGCCATACCTTGAAGTGCAGAGAAATGAGCGAGAAGACCAGCGCCTTGAGATCCTGCACCAAATAGTAGAACACTCGAAGACCTTCGGGGTCGGCCGATTCGGTCACATCCACCAACGAGCCGATTTTCGCAGTCTGGAAAGAAGTTAGGACATGATAGCTGTCGGTGGCAGTCGCGCCATCTCTTGTCCACTCGGGTCATACCTCGAACGAAATGTGTTCATTGCCCAGTCGAATTTCCAGCTCCTGGCGTCCATCCTTGTTCTTCTGCGGCCACTTTGAATCATCCTCCCTAGGGTCGATGGGTTAGCATCTGGTTCTGCATCTCCTCCCGTCCTCTCGAAGGATTGGGGTCGTACTTCAAGATCTCACTCTGCTTGATGATGCGCTTGATCTCCTCAATCATCGCCGAGCTCACACACACTATTATGAGGTCAGATCGTGTGTATTTGTGTTGGCGCGGGGACCCTCCCACTCACTCTCTTTGCGAATCAGGGAGTCATTGCGGTAGTTCGAGTTGTTCGCATATCGCACAGCAGCACTGCTGCCGTCGGCAATGGTTCGGAAATCGAATTCTAGTGAAAATGTTAGCGCAATGAACTCGGCTACCATACTCCCAGAAGGAGGCACCGCGGGGGACATCACTCACCAAGGAACTCGTGCCCGAACCGCCCAGAGTGACCTGAGCTGTGAAAGAGCTGTCAGCAGCCGCGGAGACTTGGGCTTATCATCGCATCCTCATCCTTACTAGTAACGGAGGTAAAATGTCTCGTTCGTCGACATTTTGCAGTTGGGGAATTTGGTTGGTACTCGAAATTGGCCGCGATGAACAGCTCAAGGCGGACTTCCAGAAAAGCGGCAGGCTTAGTCATCCACACAGAGGGGACCGGGGCCTGGAAAGGGACAGGTTGGTTGATGCTCCCACTCACCCCCCATTAGCGCATCTTCAAACCAACACGCCCATGATTTCCTGGCTGGCGAGGGGTGTTGGACTATTTTAATTGCGCGTTTCTGACATTGGTCTGAAACTCCTGTTCCTGGGAGACCTGTTCCTCTGGTACGTTCTACACTGGGCGAGTGGTCCGCTGAGGTGTCCAAAACATTCCCCCGACCTGACAACTTGCAGCTCTCCTTCGACCCCAGCCGTCGCCTCACAATCCCACCACCATGGCGTCCTTCCTTGAGAATGCGTACAGCCTGGTCCATTTGGACAACACGGCAGACCAGCCGACCCAGCAGGAGCTGAAACTCCAGTTGGAGAAGGGCAATGACGAGACTAAGATGGAGACGATGCGGACAATTATCACGATCATGCTCAATGGCGATCCCATGCCCCAACTGCTGATGCACATCATTCGTTTCGTTATGCCTGCGAAGAGCAAGTCATTGAAGAAATTATTGTATTTCTACTATGAGATTTGCCCGAAGGTCGATTCGAATGGTAAACTCAAGCAGGAGATGATCTTGGTCTGGTAGGACAAGCCCAACCCTTTCGGCGAGACTTTGTGGATGAAGTCAATTGACATGGCTTTTACTCTGCTTTAGTAACGGCATCCGCAATGACTTGCAACATGCCAACGAATACGTCCGAGGAAACACTCTCCGCTTCCTGTGCAAGCTGCGCGAACCCGAACTCATCGAACCGCTCCTTTCCTCGGCCCGCTCGTGTCTGGAACACCGCCACGCATATGTGCGCAAGAACGCCGCTTGGGCAGTTGCTTCCATCTTCCAGCACTCCGAGGCCCTCATTCCAGATGCGCCCGAGCTGCTTCAGACCTTCCTCGAGGCGGAGACAGATGGCACTTGCAAGCGCAATGCCTTCGCCGCCCTCATGTCCATTAGCCACGAGAAGGCTCTCGAGTACCTTGGTACAACCTTCGACACCATTCCTAACACCGATGAGCTTCTTCAGCTGGCTGAGCTTGAGTTCTTGCGGAAGGATGCAGTTCAGAACACCCAGAACAAGGTGGGTCGCGTACCTAGTTAGCGACGAAGTTACTTTGCTGCATTGTGCTAATGGATTGTACTAGTCTCGATACTTGAAACTTATGCTTGAGCTCCTCGACGCTCCTACCAGCACCGTCGTTTACGAAGCCGCCACCTCTCTTACCGCCCTGACCAGCAACCCTGTCGCCGTGAAGGCCGCCGCCGGCAAGTTGATCGAGCTTGCCATCCGGGAGGCTGACAACAATGTCAAGCTCATTGTGTTGGATCGTGTTGATCAACTCCGGATGCGTAACGAGGGTGTCCTGGATGAGCTGACCATGGAGATTCTGCGTGTCCTCACCAGTCCCGACATCGATATCCGCCGGAAGGCCCTCGGAATCGCCCTGGAGATGGTTTCAAGCAAGAACGTTGAGGAGATTATCATGTTGCTCAAGAAGGAACTCGCCAAGACCGTGAACGAGCAATATGAGCAGAACAGCGAATACCGTCAACTCCTTGTGCAGTCAATACACAACTGCGCGATTAAGTTCTCCGAAATTGCAGCCAGTGTGGTCGATCTCCTCATGGACTTCATTGCCGACTTCAACAACAACTCCGCCGTCGATGTCATTTCATTCGTCAAGGAAGTCGTCGAGAAGTTCCCCGATCTGCGTGGATCCATTGTTGATCGTTTGGTGTCCACGCTAAGCGAGGTCCGCGCTGGTAAGGTGTACCGTGGTGTTCTTTGGGTTGTTGGAGAATACTCTCTGGAGGAGAGTGATATCCGGGAAGCTTGGAAGAAGATCCGCGCCAGTCTAGGTGAAATCCCCATCCTGGCCTCTGAGCAACGACTCCTCGACGAGGTCCCCGAGGACAACGCACTCTTGCAGGAGCAGGCCAATGGCCACTCCAAGGCCGCTCCTACCGGATCTCGCAAGGTTTTGGCGGACGGCACATATGCTACTGAGAGCGCTCTCACCAGCCAGTCTGCTGCCGCTGCTCGTCTTGAGGCAGTCAAGGCTGCACAGAAGCCTCCTCTCCGTCAACTCATCCTGGATGGTGACTACTACCTGGCCACCGTTCTTTCTTCCACCCTGACCAAGCTGGTTATGCGTCACTCCGAGGTCTCCCAAGATGCGGCCCGCACCAACGCTCTCCGCGCCGAGGCCATGCTCATCATGATTTCCATCCTGCGCGTTGGCCAGTCGCAATTTGTCAAGGCCCCGATCGATGAGGACTCTGTTGACCGTATCATGACCTGTGTTCGTTCCCTTGCTGAGTTCTCCGAAAAGAAGGAACTCGAGACTACTTTCCTTGAGGACACCCGCAAGGCCTTCCGCGCCATGGTTCAGGTTGAGGACAAGAAGCGGGCTGCAAAGGAAGCCGTTGAGAAGGCCAAGAGTGCCGTGCAGATTGACGACGCCATCCCCATCCGGCAATTCACCAAGAAGAACAGCGTCGAAGGTGCCGAGGAGGTTGAGCTGGATCTGGCCAAGGCTACTGGTGGTGATGCTGTTACGGAGAACGTCTCTTCAAAGCTGAGTCGTGTTGTGCAATTGACTGGTTTCTCTGACTCCGTCTATGCCGAGGCCTACGTTACCGTCCACCAGTTCGACATTGTCCTGGACGTTCTGTTGGTCAACCAGACCGCCGAAACTCTACAGAACCTGTCCGTCGAGTTTGCCACTCTAGGCGATCTCAAGGTCGTCGAGCGGCCGTCTACGCACAACTTGGGCCCCCGCGATTTCCTGAATGTTCAAGCCACCGTCAAGGTTTCCTCAACCGACACCGGGGTTATCTTTGGTAACATTGTCTACGATGGTGCTAGCTCCACCGAGACCCACGTGGTCATCCTTAACGATATCCATGCCGACATTATGGACTATATTCAGCCCGCCCACTGCACCGAGACTCAATTCCGAACCATGTGGACCGAGTTTGAGTGGGAGAACAAGGTCAATATTAACTCCAAGGCCAAGACTCTTCGCGAGTTCCTTAAGCAGCTGATGGAGAGCACCAATATGGCCTGCTTGACACCCGAGGCATCGCTCAAGGGTGATTGTCGATTCCTGAGCGCTAACCTCTACGCACGGAGTGTATTCGGTATGTTCTTGGCCTCGACTTAGATCGAATATTTAACACTGACTTACTTTCTCTTTAGGCGAGGATGCTTTGGCCAACCTGAGCATTGAAAAGGAGGGTGATGACGGTCCGATTACTGGGTTCGTTCGTATCCGCAGTCGCTCACAAGGTCTAGCATTGAGCCTGGGCTCCCTGAAGGGCCTGAAGGCTGCTGCGACATGAGTAGATTTTGTTTCTTTTTTTCCAGCGGGCTACAGTCTATATGATGTCTCCTTTTTAACTTGTTTCATTTCTCTCCCCAGACAAAGTTGTGTTTTATTTTCTTGTGATCATTCCTATCATGTATTGAGACCGGGGAGTAGTGGAATAGATAATGGTCTTGGCTATACAAGTCGCTGTACAGTATCTTATTGCTAGATTCCTTCCCCTTGGGGAGGACATACCACCTACTGTATTCCATCTGCCGGTGCCTTTCCTCCAAGCTGCCCAACGCTTTACGAGGGCACTCAGACTCAGACCCGCTGATTGAATATTAATCCTGCCCAGACTCCCAGTGACGTGTCTGTGTAGCATGAGAGAGGGATTCCGATGGTTGGCATTTGGGGACGACTCCATGAAAGAAAGGATCGAGATTACAACACATGAGGGCATTTCCTACTTTTGGGGAAACTATAGATAAATTCAGGATGATCAAGGGGATAATATTTTTTATCACTCTGGAGAGTACTATACTCTCATAAGTAAGAGAACACGCTTTGAACACTTCAGTAACGATGGCTTCCTGGAGTGATCTCCACGAAGGAAATCACTTGACCCAAGTCAGATGGTAATGGCTCAGAAGAATTACTCTGATACGAGTATTCTGAGGCGAGAGAATTCGACTTTGTATCAGAGTGCTCTGAATGATACCTTCCGCATTTTCCTAGTTTGCCTTTATGCTCACTGCCCTGGTCACATGGTCAGATCTACGATGGAGAATGGAGTGACGGGAGCAACAGCAGCAAGAGAATAAGCACTAGAGCGGGATCCAAACGTTCTGACAGGGTAGAGGAGAAGACAGAGAGATGCACTACCGTACTGTCGAGTGTCCTCCGCCAAGGTCAACCTGAGACACTCGGAAATTTATCACAGTGAACTGGGCCGTTGCAGTTGCAGTTGCACCGCAGACCCCGTAGATCCGAGGCACGCTTGGGCCACCCGCAGCCCAGGAACCGGAACTCGCGGCTGTTGAGCTTCGATCTGACAAGCCGACTTATCTTTGTTCTCCTTTCTCCTGAGAAATCTCCGCTGCGCATAGTTCCTTCTGTCATGCGCTGAATTCACTTTTTGACTCTCGATTCTTTAACAGAATGACCTCCTCCGATCTCGAAACAGAACATCCAGAAGCACCGCTGCTGCTGCATGACTCGACCGTAGTCCTCGACAAGGCCGTCTCACTCACCCTGAGCAGCGACTCCTTGCTGATTGTCGGTACGATCCCCAATTGCGCCCTGGATGCTCGCGACGGGACTATTCTTGTTAACTAGCGCTTAAGACGATCGCCCTCATCGCAAATCGGCCCGTGGCTGCTGCGGTTTATGCAAGTCGAGTAAGCTGGGACCCTCTTTCTTTTGCCCCTCCGGCGATCCGCATTGAAACTTTATCGGTGCTAATCACGATGTGACGTTCGTTGCAGAACCCAAGGAAAAGTCCACGTCTGCGATCTCTTTGTATAATGTCCTTGACGCCAAAATCAATCCCTCCACTCTGGTGATCACCTATGCCGAACATTCAACAAAGGATGAAGTCTCCGTCACTGCCCTCCACTACCCCGTCGGCGAGAAAGAGAAGCCTGCCGTTGAGGCTTGGATGAACAAGCTGCTGGATCTGGCCTACGGCACGGCCCAGCGCAGAAAGCGACTCAAGATCCTGATCAACCCCTTTGGTGGTAAAGGCAACGCCGAGAGCCTTTACCAGAGATACGCCGCGCCGATCTTCGCCGCTGGACAGTGTCAAGTGGATGTCCAGACCACCGAGTACCGTGGACATGCCATTGAGATTGCGGAACAACTCGATATCGACGCGTACGACGCGATTGTCTGTTGTTCTGGTGACGGCCTCCCGTACGAGGTCTTCAATGGGCTAGGGAAGCGCCCCAATGGCCGCGAAGCATTGGCTAAAATGGCCGTGGCACTGCTGCCCTGTGGTTCTGGAAATGGTCTGACGTGGAGCTGCCTGGGCACCGGCAGTAACTCCATCGCGGCGTTGGGCATCGTCAAGGGATTAAGAACCCCCCTTGATCTGGTGTCGGTCACGCAGCAGAACACACGCACGCTGTCCTTCCTGTCCCAGTCTTTTGGTATTGTTGCCGAGTCAGACCTTGGTACCGATCATATTCGCTGGATGGGCGCTCAGAGATTCACATACGGGTTCCTGGTCCGTCTGTTGCAGCGCACAATCTGGCCTTGTGACCTGGCCATCAAGGTCGAAATGGACGACAAACAGGCTATCAAAGATCACTATGCCGCGTTCAAATCTAAAAAGGAAGATGATGGCGTTCTTGTCGATCAGAGCCGTATCGACGCCGCCAAGCAATCACCGGCACTACCAGAACTTCAGTTTGGCACCGTTCAGGACGAGCTTCCGCAGGATTGGGAGGTCATCCCAGGCGAGACCATGGGCAATTTCTATTCCGGAAACATGGCCATCATGTCCAAGGACACCAATTTCTTCCCTGCCTCACTTCCTAATGATGGTCTCATGGACATTGTGACGATTGACGGGACCGTTAGTCGCGCCACGTCGCTCAAGATGATGACTGAGATTGAGACTGGTGGCTTCTTCGATATGCCGGACGTGAAGATCCGCAAGGCAATTGCATATCGCCTTGTGCCCCATCAAAAGGAAGGATATATCAGTATCGACGGTGAACGTGTACCCTTTGAAGCGTTCCAGTGCGAGATCCACCAAGGCCTAGGCACAGTACTCGCGAAATCGACGCATGCGTATGAAGCTGATGGGCCGAGGTGATCCGTGTCTCGACCACCTCTGAACCGCGTGGGAGTGGTGCTTTTCATTTTTGCTTTTGTGCATGTTTAATAAACTTATACGGTGTGTCTTAGGCCCTTCTTGCTATCCACACTCATGATACCCTTGCGCAAGAGGTCTGGCAGTTGAATATATTGTTTGTCTTGGTTTCTGTTTTTACAAACTGTTGATATGCGTTCCTTCCGACGATTTCTGTCTGCCAGCTGTTCAAGACTCCCTACTCGCTCGAGTGAAGCTGTGTATATAATCATACATTTTCGAAATAGATGGCACTCTAAAGTGTTCTCTTTTGCTATTCATTGGAGTCACGTTTCGTAGATATGATTTGTCCCTGGCAATCATCATCATGAGTGCTTTTGAATTAGATCCATGTTTCGCTATAAGAATGCTGTACAGAAATTCGAGACCAATTGGCTGCGCTTTGCAACCACTAGTCATCAAATCCACCCCACTCTCCCTCGCTATCTTCCTCCTCTTCCACCTCTCTCGTACGAATTCCCCACTCTACCAACCGGTCATCATCAAGAGCATCAATTGCTCTTGTCCGCACGGGCTTGTATGGGCTCTCCGCACGAAGTTTCTCCAAAGGCCGCAAGAGCAACTCCATAGGCACATCGCCCTTGATCTTTCTATTCTTCGATTCACTCTCCGAGTCACTCTCACCTCCCTCAAACTCTAGCACTTTCTCCAGTTCATCAACCCACAGGTCAATTAGATGATAGCGCAGCCCATCCGGTCCATGCGGCATGGGAACAAAGTTTGGATCTTTCTCGTCGACAACGGACTTGCCTGAATTGTCAGGGTCAAAGTTGACAGGGCACAGAGGGCCCTCCTCGATGATGGAGATAAAAGCCTCGAGATCGGCCCACTTGCCATCGCCTTCTTCGGTCTCGTTCTCTGCGGGGACGGGCTCGCTCTCGGTCTGCTTCTTTTGCTTCTTGCCTCGACCCTGCTTGCCGTTGTCTTGGCGCTTGCGCTTTTTGGCATCACCGTTCTCGGTTTTGTTGGAGCCCTTGACGAAGATCTCGAATGCGACTCCGACGTAGCAACGAATTAGGAACAGGTACTTGTCCAGTCGCAGACGGTCCAGTGAGTGGAAATCCCGGCCGATGGTGATCCAGAAGGCGCGTAGGAAGCGGTGGAGGGTAGCATGTGGGAGAGAGGGGACGAGGGAGTAGGAAAGCGCGCGGGCGAGGGCTTGTTGCGTGAGAGGTCGGTCAGAGTGGTAGAAGCCTAAGGAGCAGCATTGTTAGTTGATCAATCTCGGAATAGTATGATTGAGAAATCACCAAGTCCAACTTACAGAAGAAAAGACCCTTCCATAGCTTGACGAGGTCGACGAGAGTGAGATCGTTGCGCGAGCGCAGGAATAGTGTGAGGGACTCGAGGGCCTTGTCGCGGACTTTGCGGTCTGAAGAATAAACACGTCAGTACAGTGGTTTTTGAAATAGACTACAATGCAAAGGGAATCATACCGCTTGAGGCGAGCTCCTTCACAAAAGGAGTCTTTTGAATATCCGCCATAATGCCAATATGAATGGTGGTTGACTGGCTGAGCTCTGTCGATCTCGGCGATAAATCTTTTTTTTTTCTGTTCTGATAGCGGGTTTGCACAGTTTGCACAGCCACAGTTTAAAAATTGTGGCCTGAGGTGTCGATAATCTTAAAGAGCACCACATCCAACGAACGAGTTCCGTTTGACAATTCCCTACGAGCTAGTGGTTGTATCACATATCTTATCAATATGGAACTCGAATCTGATGGGCGAGTAATATGATTAATGTCGAGTACACAGTGTCTGGTACCTGACATGGAAAGCAACAGGAGCTCGCAACAAATCAGATCGTCCGAATCGCCGCATTTGGCTTCTCCATACTCTGCCGCCGGCTCCCGTCCAATGCCAGTGCAGTATGAGGCTCCGCTAGGTCTTGACATCATGACTCTACAAATATCATATGAGAACATTGCATTAATGGTGCCAAGGGCTAGAAAATAATGGCTCAGGGCAACATTCTGAAGAATTGGTTGAGCGTAGAGACCCAAAATGTTCACTCTTGCGACCCTGCAATGCGAGAGAATACCACGTATAAGTGACATTGGTGCACTCGAACTTTGTCCTTTTCTGCTGTAGTTGGTTTTTCTATCATTCAACCTCACGGCTTTGTGCCTTAATTACCATCTTCCTCCCGTTCGAGTGTAAACCCATTGAGCCTATGCAAGATGGCCGACAATGACGAAGACGCCGAGATCACCCCAGCCAGCTCCTCTCCTCACGCCCGCTCAAGCTCCGAGGCTGTCCCCGACAATGAAAGAGCCGTGCTCGAGTACATCCGACCTGAGGATAGGGAGGAACTGACTCGCATCGCCTCCAATTTCCCCCGGCGCCGCACTGTGGACTCTGGAGTTGGGGACATGGGCAACATTGAAAGGAAAGATACCTTGGAAGATGTCGAGCTCGGCGATCCCGTCCTCGATCCTACGAGTGACCAATTCGACCATTACAAGTGGGCAAGAATGATGCTGAAGATGATGGATAAAGAAGGAGTGCCATTGCGCAAGTCGACAGGCGTCGTCTGGGAGAATCTGAACATTGCTGGCTCTGGCTCTGCCCTTCAGTACCAGAACAACGTTGGATCAGTTCCCCTGGCCCCGTTCCGGCTGCAGGAGTACATATCCTTTGGGAAAGGTCATTCGCAAAAACAGATTCTCCGCAACTTCGACGGGCTGTTGAAGAGCGGCGAGCTACTGATTGTCCTGGGAAGGCCTGGTAGTGGGTGCTCGACCTTCCTCAAGTCTCTGTCTGGAGAACTTCATGGGCTTAAAGTGAACAAGGGCTCGGATATTCAGTACAATGGTATTCCCATGGAAAGAATGCATCGCGAATTCAAAGGCGAGGTCCTCTATAACCAGGAGGTCGACAAGCATTTCCCACACCTCACAGTGGGTGAAACGCTGGAGTTTGCAGCTGCAGCACGTACACCCGAGAATCGGCTCAATGGAGTCAGTCGGGCCAGATTCGCAAAGCATATAACGCAGGTTTCTATGGCTGTTTTTGGTCTTAGTCACACATACAATACCAAGGGTTAGTGTACTTGTCTGATATGCCCCTTCTTTGGTCCTTTGGGCTGTAACGCTAACAGACAAGTCAGTTGGCGACGATTACATCAGAGGAGTTTCTGGAGGTGAGCGGAAGCGAGTCAGGTATGCTGCAATCTCCTCATATCCTGAGACCCAAAGGCTAACGACCATTCAGTATTGCGGAGATGGCATGTAAGTTTGTGTTTAGACGTGAAGATGACACGGATGATTCTAACCACTTTTAGTGTCGGGAGCACCTGTCGGAGCTTGGGATAATAGTACTCGCGGTTTAGATTCTGCTAGTGCCTTGGAATTCGCCAAGGCACTACGAATTTCAGCAAATCTGACAGGCTCTTGCCATGCAGTTGCGATCTACCAAGCCTCCCAAGCAATCTACGATGTCTTTGACAAGGTAATCGTGCTGTACGAAGGAAGAGAAATCTTCTTCGGACCATGCGGTGCGGCCAGAGACTACTTCATCGATATGGGATGGGAATGTCCTCTTCGTCAAACGACTGGCGATTTCCTAACTTCAGTGACTAATGTGCAAGAACGGAAAGCTCGCGAGGGTATGGAAAACAAAGTCCCGCGCACCCCGGACGAATTTGAAGCGTATTGGAAGAAGAGTTCCCAATGTGGTACACTTGAGAAGGATATTGCACAGTATCGCAAAGAGTATCCGCTTGGTGGATCTGCTGGGCAAGACTTTGATGAGACCAAGCGTTTGCGCCAGGCAAAGCATGTTCGGCCGAAGAGTCCATATGTCATTTCCATTCCCATGCAGGTTCGACTTTGTGTAAAGAGAGCTTATCAACGGTATATCAATATTCTATTGTTGCGAGACTGCTGGAGTGGGAGAGAACGTCAATCTAACTGGCGTCAATAGCATCTGGAACGACAAGCCTTCTACCCTGACAACCGTCATTGGGCGAATTGTTATGTCCTTGATCATCGGTTCGATCTATTTTAAGTAAGTACCATATCTTTTCCTGTTGTCGTTCATGCATCCATGCTTGATACTGATCGTGATTTCGTTCAGAACGCCGAATGCAACTGCAGGTTTCCAGAGCAAAGGCGCCGCTCTGTTCTTCTCGGTCTTGTAAGTCTCGATCGATCAAAAGAGTAAAGTACCACTCCTCACATTGCCCCCAGGATGAATGCTCTTATCAGTATCACTGAAATCAATTCGCTCTACGATCAACGACCTGTAATTGAGAAGCAAGCCTCTTATGCTTTTGTGCACCCCTTTGCAGAAGCCTTGGGAGGTATCGTCGCCGATATACCGGTCAAATTTGTCGCAGCGGTGGTGTTCAACATCATCTTCTACTTCCTGGCCAGCTTGGTACGTTCCTCTCATTTTACACTCTATCCATTTATTCTAACTCTCTATATAGCGATATAAACCGTCTCAATTCTTCATCTTCTTCCTCTTCACCTTCCTCAGTACGCTTGCAATGTCATGTGTCTTCCGAACTCTGGCAGCATCAACCAAGACCCTAGCGCAGGCCATGTCCATGGCCGGAGTCATCGTGCTAGCTATCGTCATCTACACAGGCTTTGTCATTACGACCCCTGAGCTGAGCAACATCCCTTGGTTCAGCTGGATCCGTTGGATCAACCCAATCTTTTACACCTTCGAGGCTCTGGTCGCAAACGAGTTCCACGGACGGCAGTTTGAGTGCTCACAGTTCATTCCTGGTTATCCAAATCTATCCGGCGACTCCTTCATATGTGCTGCCCGAGGCGCTGTTGCGGGAGAAAGGACCGTTTCTGGAGATGCTTTTATAGAAGCCCAGTACCAGTACACCTATGCGCATATCTGGAGAAACCTTGGTGTCCTTATCGGATTCTGGATCTTCTTCATGGTATTGTACTTGGTTGCTTCTGAGCTCAACTCTGCTACCTCTTCTACTGCCGAATTCCTTGTTTTCCGAAGGGGCCATGTGCCTGCACATCTTCGACATCTTGAGAAAGGTGGAAAGTCAGGTAGTGCAGCTGAGGTTACTCCGGTCACGAAGGATTCCTCAAAGGAAGGAGACACATCAGCTATTCCATCACAGCATGATATCTTTACTTGGCGAAACGTGTGTTATGATATCCCTGTCAAGGGTGGCCAACGACGGCTATTGGATCATGTCTCTGGTTGGGTTAAACCTGGAACTCTTACAGCTTTGATGGGTGTTTCTGGTGCTGGAAAGACTACTCTACTCGATGTCCTGGCCAAGCGTGTGTCAATTGGAGTTGTCACTGGTGATATGCTCGTCAACGGCAAGCCACTAGACACTAGTTTCCAGAGAAAGACTGGTTATGTCCAACAGCAGGATCTTCACCTCCCAACCACGACTGTTCGGGAAGCGCTGCGGTTTAGTGCTACGCTACGTCAGCCGAAGTCTGTGTCAATGAAGGAGAAGTATGAGTATGTGGAAGATGTCATTGACATGCTCGGAATGCATGATTTTGCAGATGCCATTGTGGGTATTCCAGGAGAGGGTTTGAATGTTGAGCAGGTAAGTCTTCGTCTAAAAAGGACGCTATTGACCACCGACTAATCCCTCTCGTAACCATATTCTAGCGCAAATTATTGACCATTGGAGTTGAGCTTGCTGCCAAACCTGCACTTCTTATCTTCCTCGACGAGCCGACGAGTGGACTGGATTCTCAAAGCTCGTGGGCTATTTGTGCGTTCCTACGAAAACTCGCCGAGCATGGCCAGGCTGTTCTTTCAACAATTCATCAGCCTTCCGCGTTACTCTTTCAGCAATTCGATCGTCTACTCTTCTTGGCTAAGGGAGGAAAGACTGTCTACTTTGGGGAAATTGGTGACCAATCTCGAACTCTATTGGAATACTTTGAAAGCAACGGAGCAAGAGTTTGTGGCTCCTCGGAAAATGTAAGAGGTCAGCTCCCGTGATTATAAGCGTCCATAACTAACAGAGACAGCCTGCGGAGTACATGCTTGAAATCATCGGCGCTGGAGCTTCTGGTAAATCCACGAAGGACTGGTCTGTTGTGTGGAACGAGAGCCAACAGGCCAAGGCTGTGCAAGCAGAGATTGATCGCATCCAAGATGAGAGAGCGTCGGCCACGTCGAGTGAGGATGAGTCCCAGCATGGTGAATATGCCATGCCATTCTTATCACAATTGTGGTGTGTCACATATCGATCGTTCCAGGGATTCTGGCGCGAGCCGAGTTATGTGTGGGCCAAAATAATGCTTGCCACATTGTCCTCTCTTTTCATTGGCTTTACATTCTTCAAGCCAGATGCTTCGCTTCAGGGGTTCCAGGATGCTATTTTCAGCGCATTCATGCTGACTTCAATCTTCTCGACACTGGTCCAACAGTAAGTTATATATACAACGAAAATTTGGTTGGGAGATTTATTCTGACTTCTCATCGTTTACCAGAATCATGCCCAAATTTGTCGTACAGCGATCTCTATATGAAGTTCGCGAGCGTCCATCCAAGGCTTACTCGTGGGCTGCATTCCTTATTTCCAACGTCATCGTTGAGATCCCGTATCAGGTCTTCGTTGCTATAATTGCATGGGCTTGCTACTACTTCCCAGTGTATGGGGCGGAACAGGCTCCACAGAGACAGGGTTTGATGCTTCTGTTTGTCGTTCAGTTCTACATGTTCATGTCCACATTCGCGGCTTTCATCATCGCCGCTCTTCCTGATGCTGAGACTGGTGGCACTATCGCAACTCTGCTGTTCATCATGACCCTCACCTTTAACGGAGTCTTGCAGCCACCGAGCGCTTTGCCTGGTAAGACCGAAAATACTGCCTGATAAGCAGAGATGATTTATTGCTTTTCAACTAACTCGCCCATTAGGATTCTGGATCTTCATGTACAGGGTTTCCCCTCTTACTTACTTGATCGCCGGTATCACAGCGACAGGCTTGCATGCTAGGAAGATCGTATGTTCTGCCGCTGAGCTGAGCGTGTTCAATCCTCCAGCTGGCCTGACATGCGGTGCATATCTGAATCAGTATGTCACTGCCTCCGGTGGGCAACTGTACAATCCTACAGCAACAAGCAGCTGTCAGTACTGTCAACTCAGTAACGCAGATCAATATCTTGCACTGAGCAATATCTGTGAGTGAATTCCTCCCCAGCTTTCCACGGCTTATTTCTCTATTACTTGAACTCCGTTTGCTGATGAACCAATAGACTACAGCCAACGCTGGCGCAATTTTGGAATCGGTTGGGCTTATGTCGGCTTCAATATATTTGGCACCGTGCTCATGTACTACATGTTCCGTGTCAAGCATTACAATCCCACTTCGTTGGTTAGAGGGATTCGTAACGGTGCTTCGTTCTTCTGTCGTGTGCTCAAGCGGCGCTCTGGTACCACACCCATGGGTAAAGAGGCAGATAATGGCAGGTTGGTTTAAAACCACTGCGGAGATCTCCACCACCGTCGCCCTGTTTGCACTAGTTTCTTTCTTCTTGGTTTGACAGGTCTCCATATAAGAGGCATTCTCTCTTCCTGTCGGATTTTTTTCTTCTTCTTCTTCTTCTTCTTCTTCTTCTTCTTCTTCTTCTTTGTCTTTGTCCGTCGTCTATTAGGTACCTTTTCTGTTAGCAGTTCGATGCACGTCATTTGTGTGCGAAACCTGGGCTTGCCTAATTACCTAAGATGTATCTATGTGATTGTAAGATTGCCAGAGATATTGACTGCCGCACGCGCCAGGATATATAACTAAACAGCGCGAATGCAAAGCTCGTTTCTTACAAACTGGTGATTGTACAAAAGAGAGACCAATAATAGTCGCTTCAGCCACCTATATAAGGCCATTGACTGCCTTGGAAATGTGATTCGTTGGACTATTGTGCATAAGAGATGCCTGCGGCTTGCATGAGACGAGTATGCCGGGCCTGATCTGAACGCCATTGTGAAATTAAAATATGGAGCCAAAAAGTGAGCCACTTCACATGAACCAGCATCATTGGTCTAGTGGTAGAATTCGTCGTTGCCATCGACGAGGCCCGTGTTCGATTCACGGATGATGCACTCGAATTATGTTTTTGAAGTTTTTCTCCAGTATTTTGGCTTGCGGCAGCTCTGATTACTCCACCTAGTACCCCACTTCCAAAGGGACTAGACCTTAGGTTGAAACTTCCTAGTTTTTCAATAGGGAAAGTTGTATACCTAGGATACAATGATAGAAATCACTCATCCATTCGAGAACTAAACTGTAACTAGCAATTTCAAATTTTGGTTATGCATTGCCAGACATAGTTAGAGAGGAGACACATCATATCCAGGTGTTGAAGGATAAGCTTGATTGCAGACTGAAGGGAATATGATGCGCAAGAATCAAGATGACAAGAGGAGGGAAGTAAATAGGGGAAAAGTCAAAAGACAATGGGGTATTGTGCAGAAAAAAACCAGAAAGCTGAGCGATGCCAAACGCTGAATGGACAAGGAAGATAAAGCCAAAGTTAGGCGAAAGGGGGATAGACGTCCCTGAGACGGAGGGAGAGAAGCAGGCTAGACTCTCCCAATTAGAGCAGACCTCGGGAAGCAATTAAGGCGTTGATAACATGGCCATGCTCCCAACCCTGACTGAGTAACGATTCATGCTCTTTAAGCATGCGGCCCAGGTAGACGATGCGTACCCGCTGATGATTTGGGATCTGGAGAAGGGTCAGAACAAAGAGGCGCCAAGAATATAACGACAAGACGTACCCCTGCCTCCTGCTGGATTTTGCGGGCCAGAAAACCAACGCTCTGGCCCTTGCCTATTGACAGCACCAAATCGGGACCACCACGATCACTCAGTCGGGCCTGTACGCGGATAAGGTCTCGCTCACTCGTCTTACCCTTCTCATCCCTCCGGCGCTCGATATCCTCCGAGATCAATTCATCCCCCGAGGCATCGTCCGTAGCAAGCTTCCCATCCGACAGCGCCTCCATATCCTCTTCCTCCTGCGTCACCTGACTATCCCGAGCAATATCATTTGCAGCAGATAAATTCGTCTGCGCCATGTTCTCCGGATCACTGACGATACACTGTGGGAGGCGGTATAGCACGCCTTGCTCATCGTAGCAGCCCTCGCAAAGATCGCCCGTTGGAATAGTCACACCCGCCGCATCAACTATACTCTGCGCCGTGGCGAGATCACCCCCACGCATGAGGGTGATGGCAGACGAGAGCGCGGCCCATACCTCGGGTCGGCCGGTGACTCGAGTTTCGAAGAACTCGCGACGCTCGCGGTCTAGGTCGGTGCGATTCCAAACGCGACGCTTGCTATACCAGACGTGTAAGCGCACCGGTGCGTTGTAGTGCTCGCTCAGGGGAAGATTAGGGGCGCGCCGCACGCGGCGACGGCTGGTCTGTGTGGTTATAGAGGTATCGGTGCTGGCATTCCGAGTTTCTTGCGCCGAGCGATCGTCTGTGATGGCTCGGTCTTCCTGCGGATGGTCGTCGTCATGCGACGGCACGGACGAGCAGCAACCCTGGCAATATGAAGGCAGGAAGCGGTTAGTTATACAGTGCCAAGATGGAGAATAATCCCTTGGTCAAGAGCAAGGCTTTGAGTGTTGCCTGGCAGATGCGGAGACACGAGGAGCAGCGAGTCGTGTGACAGGCCAAGCATCGGTCATCAGTTCAGTCATCAAGAATCAGACCACTACCAGGCGCTTCTCTATTTAAGATAGAGAGGAGAGACAGATATCGAGATGGGAAAGTGACTTACCATCTTGCATGCGACTTGAACACTCCATAAGCCAAGGAGAGAGGGGGCGGTTGAGAGGTTTGTGAGGGGAGAGAGGGGGGGAGCCAACTGGAAGAGGAAGAGAAAGGGATCCAAGCTCCCAGACTTTTTATTTTGGACGAAGCAAACTACGCCCAGGAAAACAACAAAGGCCCACGAAACTCACGGACGAATTTGTGAACGAGAGGGATGTTGATCAGGGAAAAGACACGGCCGAGTCGGATAACATTCCCCAGATCTTTTGGTGGCTTCGGACAAGCATTTATGATGATGTCAGGCAATTGGCGCGTCTCCGATGCGGCCGAGTTGGCGATGCATCACAATCGTTGCACGATGCAACTTACAAATTGATGGTGCTTGTGACTAGACGGCCTCTAGGGCAATTCCATACTTTAATAATTCATAACCTATATATGATACATAGAGTGGTCCAACCTAAGTTGGGGCTATTCTTCTTCATCTTCGTCTTCGTCGTCGCTGCCAAAGATGGCCTTGAACACAGCATCGCCCGGTCGCTCAGCCTCGAGAGCTTGATTGCGTTCTGGTTCAACGACTCGGACGGGCGGTGCCTCCACGGCAGGCTGTAAGCTGGATCCACCAGCGCCAGGACTAGCGACTGGAGGCTGTGGCTGACGGCCAGATTCCATCAAGATCATGTTCATCACCTCCTGTGAGACGAGCTCCTTGCGTGTAGTAGCGTCGGTCTGGTAACCGCCCGATTGGAAGCGGGTTCCAGGTCCACTCTCCGGGCCCCCAGGGTGTTCTCCAGGATCAAGCTGTACATGACCGGGGGGTTTGACATTGAAGCGCTTGCAGAGCAAACGAGAAGGGTAGAAAGAGATGGAACTGCGGGTCATTTGCCCAAACATGCCAATCTTTGCAGCCGCCACAGCCGGTGTGTCTGGTTTCTCAGTGGGCCGACTAAGAGGAGAATCGTCTAGACGATCGGGCGCATCGCTAGCAACCTTGGGGCCTGAGGAAGCTGAGGTGAATCGCGACGCCATGATCCCGCTCATAGGCTTGAAGACTTCGGCGGCCCGCGCAAACTCTTGCATCTCAGTCACCCATTCGTCGGTACTGGAACCAGGGACGCGGTCTGGAAGAGAGTCGCGTACTTCGGCTCGCACCTCGAGGAACTTCCTGTAGCGGGCTCGCTTGTTCTCGTCTTCCGAATAGGGCATCCACCCGCTGACGGCGCGAGTCAAGGCCTGGACTGCAATCTGCTTGTCCAATTTGGGGACGAGATCCCACAAATCTTTCCGTTTTTGAGCACCTGTGGTCTCAAAGCCCTTTGGAGCCTTTTCACCTAGAGCTGGAGGTAGGTTGGTATTCCCCGTAAGCTTCGCAATGCGCTCACGGGCTTCGGGTGTCATCCAATCAAAGATTGATTTCCCAGGCAGCTGGGCTTCTCCCAGAGCTGCCGCTCGTTTTGTAGGATCTAGTGAGGATGCTTTGGCAGCATCCGCCGTCGAGACGTAGGTGGATGCGTCTCGCTCAGCCTTCGTAGGTTGTTTGGTAGACTTCCACCCCTCCGGGATTTGAGGAGGCTCGTACTTCTTGTCTGATATCGATAGGCCCGACAAGCTATCGGCCAGAACGAATCCGTCCAGCGGCAATCGTCCATCACGGCATTTCCTGAAGCCTCCCGTCGTGCGGGCTGCGGCGACCTTTTTCGAGATGAAGACAGGTTTGGTGTCTAGTAAAGGGTTGGCAGACGCGATCGTTGGCTTGGCTCCATCAGCCTGGCCCTTTTTCTTCTTTTTCTTGTCGCCGCCAATGGTTTTGTTGTAGGCTATCTGCGGCCCAAGCGAATACGGGTCTTCATCATCCGATCCTGTGTCGTTGAGAATGCCGACCCCAAATCCACCACGGCGCGAATCCTTTCCTTTCACCTTCGACTTGGATTTCTTGTCCATAGCCAGGCGATCCCCAAAGAAGGAATCCGAGTCCTCGTGTTGTTCATCACCGGCCAGGTCTGGCGTCACCAGACGGGTCTCGCCCTCGAACCCCAGGCCTTTGAAGTCTGTTTTGCGTATGAAAGAGACCATTGGAGGATTCTCGGGCGCGAACAGATATGTCTGCTCGACGCCATCACCTTTGGCAGCTGTTCCCTCATCCAAATTGGCTCCACGCCGAACCTTGGGACCAATACCCTGGCCCTCACGCCAACCCATCCGTTTCAGCAGCTTCACTCCCATGGTCTCTCCACCAGTCTTGAGCAGGTCCATGAGGCCCGCTCTCCGCGTCGCATCAACATCAGTCAACCCGAACCCAGCAAAACCTTCTGTCGTTTGTAATTTTCGCGACTCCTCCTGCTCCCGCAGGTCTTCTTCGTCCATAAAGTCCTCCGGTCGTTGCTGTGTGGTCTGTTTCGCATCGCGCACGCGGTTCTGGCGGGACGAGACAAAGGTCGCGGGAGTCCATCCTTCCTTGGAGCCGACGGTATTGAAGTAGCTACAGGAAACATCCTAGGTCAGCTGAATGTGCTTCTATGGTTCTGCATCGGTGGTGGAATAGCTTACCCAGCGCTGAAGCCACCAGTGAAGGCGCCATGAAGCCGCTTCCGCCCCCGCTCATCCGTCACCTCTTGCTTCCAGACTGGCATGTACGAGCCATCGTCCCGTCCGCCGGCCTCCAGCGAGGGTAAGGGCGTTCCGTAGAAGGCATAGGGAGCCTGTTTGGCTTGTCCGAGCTGGTCGGCCTCAAAAGCCGCGTGCGGACGCTTCGCGGCCATGGTCTAGGACACTCTCTCAGCTGGGGCAAGAAGGGAAAGTCCTCGGCCATATCCAGAGAGGGTGTGATTCGTGGGTTACTCGGCGATAGCGGAGCCCACCGACTGGCGTTTCTTGGCAATGCGAGTCCAATCACCGTCCAGCACCCAAGCCAAGGAAAAGGCCGCCAGGATTCTTTCGGGAAGGGGAAAGGTGAACGCGGACGGTTTGGGAAGGGATGAACCTCCAGTTTGAGCCGCAAGCGAGAGGACCCTCGACCTGAGCCGGACAGAGTTAAGGTTGGAAATTTAGGTGAGCACGAGGGAGGAAAGGGTGACTAAGATGCTTCCGGGCGGAGAATATTATGGAGGAGAAGTGTGGAGTATATGGAGGAGTTGAAGAATTGAAGAATCGTGATGGAAATACAAGACACCCGCCACCAGAAGAGTCTCTGACATCCACGCAGTCGTTCCCCGTGGCGGCGGCTGGCCCCCAATGGCCCCAATGGCCTCATTGCCTAACAAGCCCCCTCCAGGAAGATGGTTGGACAATGGGTAGTGCGTGAATAGGTACTCGTATCCTCGTAACTCCCATACAGTATTATGTACAGTACTCCGGTATGTACGACGGTGGTCGGATGGGCCCCAAAGTACCACCGGAAACTGGCTTCGGATGGCGTCCATCTCCACTTCGAATCCTTTTGACTGCCCGTGGGTTTGGCTTTAGCCTTTAGGGGTTCGTTGTCTTTCTCTCTCTCTCTCTCTCTCTCTCTCTCTCTCCCCTTTCTTGTCTCTGCCATGTCGTCGCCATAGCCAGCCGTTCCTCACTTGGTCTGCCCTTTTCGTGTGCGATTCTGTTTTCCCCCCCCTCAATCTTTGTATTCCAGGAGTCTCGTCATTTCCCCAGTCCTGGCGCCCGGATTTCGCCTCCGGTGTAGCCCTAGGAATCTCCCTCCCTCCCCTTCACCTTGAGAATGCTTGGCGCCAACAGCTTCGCCGGGCGGCGCAAGTCGCTCTACTTGAGCCTGGCTGTCGCTGCAGCGCTCATCTGCCTGGTGAACCTCATCTTTCTGACTCACGCTGTCGACCACAGCATTATTCGATTGCCAGGTCTATCGTTATTCCGCCCTAAATCAAAGCAGCTCGACGGCAGCCTTGCGCGCGATGAGCACCCGATTGTCGGGTTAATGAACGAAGCGAATAATCGCTGGCAGGAATATGAGAATAGTCGTTCGACCAACTTCCGCCAGGCCGTCGCCAAGTATCGCCAGACCTACGGGCGACACCCGCCCCCCGGCTTCAAGGAGTGGTACCAGTATGCGCGCGAGAACAATGTCCATAACGTCGATGACTTCCAGCAGATCACGGGGGATTTGCGCCCGTTCTGGGCCGTTCCGCCCAAGGAAATTCGACAAATGGCGGCGCGCCTGCAGCAGAGCCCCGGGATCGCGGGTGTACGTATTCGCGACCACCAGGTGGTGTCGCACACGGAGGGATGGCGCGTGGAAACTCTAGCCGCGGCTGTGGACAAGCTTGCCAAACATCTGCCGGACATGGATATCGCGATGAACACAATGGACCAGCCTCGCGTTATGGCGACCTATGAGGATATCCAGAAATATCTAAAAATCGAGGAAAGCACCAGGGCCACTCCTCCTGATGCAACGGACGAGTTCACCCAGGGTCTGGACGAGTTGTACAATGAAGAAGCGGGCATCAACGAGGAATTGGACCCAGGATGGTTCTCCGTTGCTGGAAAGCTCTACATGGATTTCGCCAAGGAGGCCTGCCCTCCAGAATCTCCTGCCCGAGATGCCAACATGACCGTGGCAGATGCGGACAAGCTGTTCAAATCCTCATTCGGCGACTTCATCTCCAACTTCACCGGCTCCACGGACCTTTGCACGGTGGGACCTGATCTTGGAGACAAGCACGGATTCCTCTTCTCCGCTTCCAGTAACACGATCAGCAGAAAATTGCTTCCCGTGTTTGGCGAATGCAAGGTCAGCGTGAACAACGACATTCTCTTCCCGGCAAACATGTATTTCTTGAAGGATCCGCGCTATGTATACGACCCGAAACACGACTATGAATGGGACGACAAGACCGACTCTCTGCTCTGGCGCGGTGTGACCTCTGGCGGTACCCAAGTGGAAGACAATTGGTTCCGCCTCCATCGCCAACGCTTTGTGCACGTGGCCAACGCCACCGAGATGGACTTGGAGAAAGTCTCCATCCTCTCCAAGGACACCCATGAGCACTACCAGAAGATCGATAACTTCCGCCCCGCCGACTTTGCCGAATCCTACTTCGATGTCGGTTTCACTGAGGCATGGGGCTGCATCCCTAACTGTTCCTTCTACGAGGGTGTCTGGACCTACAAGGAGCCTAAGGCATTTTCAGAACAATTCAAGTCCAAGTACTTGGTCGACATTGATGGCCACAGCTTCTCCGGTCGCTGGCGTGCCTTCCATCAGAGCAAGTCGCTCGGTATCAAGGCCACCATCTTCCGCGAATGGCACGACTCGCGCTTGTTCGCCTGGCGCCATTTCGTCCCAATGGACAACCGATACGGGGATCTGTACTCCCTGATGACCTACTTCATCGGGCTCCACCCTTCCGCCTCCAAAGATTCCCTGTCCAGCCACGGCCCTTCTGTTCCCCGCCACGACTTCGAGGCTGAGGTGATTGCCTCCCAGAGTCGCGAATGGGCTCACCTTACCCTGCGTGATGAGGACTTGGAAATCTACCTCTACCTCCTTCTCCTTGAGTACGGGCGTATTGTTGACGACAACCGTGACAATATTGGGTATAGTGGCGATGGAAGCGAGCTTGACCATTTTGATGCGCAGTACCCATTCCCCGAAACAGTGCGGCCTTTGGCCGGTGTATAATTGAAGAAATCATTGCGGGGGGTATTAAATATGCAATCATCTGCATCTTCTTTTTTCTCACATTTGCTTCCTTGTTCTTTTTTTTATCCTTTGATTCCCCTTCATGCATGTATCTATCCCATGTCCTAATGACCAACACTACATATTGTCACGATCTATTACCTTTTTGTACCTGTCCGATTTATCTGCATAGAATTGTGGTTCAGGTTATGTCAATGTATACTTAACAAGATTATCGATATTCTAATACACTTCAAGGCTCATCTGAAACTTTGCTTTCCATTTTTCTGATAGCTCTCTAGACACCTCCTTCGTAGATAAGAATGCCGCATCTAAATCAAAGATTGCATGGATGTATTGCAATCGGGCTTGGTCGAGTGGCTCTTAGGAAGAAGGGATACTGCAATTTTTGCAAAATGATATAATCAAATTCACTATCTTCTATAATCGTCATCATCATAACAAGCATTTTTGTACTAAACGAGAGCAGTTTAAGCGTTCTCCTTCTGCTCAATCTCAGCCCCCTTCTCCTCTGCCCGCATCCACACATCCACCTCAGCAGCTTCACCCTGTGGCAGGTGTCGAGCCATACTGACAATCTGCCAAGGTGTCGAGGCATCACGGAACACATGGTTCAGAGCCTCGAGGTTGCGGTTCGTAGTCTCGGGGTAAAAGAAGTAGACTGAGACGGGAATACATGCTGAAATGACGGCATACACAATATAATACTTGTACCCGATAGTGTTGAGGGCAACCGGTGTGATCATGACAACCACAAAGTTCCACAGCCAGTGGTTGGCGGTTGAGATGGCGGACATGGCGACACGTAGACGCATAGGTGCAACCTCAGTGCAGTAGAGGAAGTTTCCACCGAGGAACCCGACGGGGTAGAAGCTGTTGAAGAGGAACATGAAAAAGGCAGATGTGATCGATGCAGCACGGTTACCTTTGAAGCTGTTCGTGATGGCCAGGACCGTCATGCAGACGCACATGCCCGCACCACTAATCATGAAGATCTTTCGGCGACCGAGTCTGTCGATGGCGAAGAAAGCGATAAAAGAGCACAGGAACTTCCAGGTCATAGCGCACGAGCTCAGAATGCGGGCAAGATCACTAGTCATTCCCAGGTCCTCTTCGAAGATGGTGGAGATGTATGTGGAGATCAAGTTACCACCGCACATTTGCTGGAAGAACTGCAGCGCAACACACAAGCAGAAGCGGTATAGCAGACGCTCCTCGTCAGGCTTATTAAAGTTGAAGATATCCCTTAGAGAAGCGCTATCGGCCGAAACCTCCAGCGAGGTCTCGATACCAGAGATTTCAACACGAACCGACTCATCGTCATCCGGGACGCCCTTGTAGGCAGCAAGACTCTCGGTGGCCTCTTCAATACGGCCAACGCTGACAAGCCATCGAGGGGACTCGGGAAGCAGGAATACCGAGGCCAAGACGACCAGCGAGAAGAGAAAATGAGACAACCAGCGGAACGCGCCATTGCAGAGAGCCGCTGACTTTGCTGAGACCAAAGTCGATCCAATTGCACAAGGTATATCCCAGACAAATACAGATACCGTCAACAATAACGTGTTGCCCACGATGTTTGGCGGATGTACATTCAGATTGCCAGACAGGTACAGCAACACTGAATTGACCAATACCAAGACCAAGAATGACACGGCCAACGACAAACTGGGGAAGACCGTAGGCGGCAGTTTGTAGTAATTGCCCAATGATTGTAAGGATACCACCGAGGAAGATAGTCTTGCGTCGACCGATTTGGTCACCGAATGCTGTACACGATAGAGCTCCCACAAGGGCACCAAGTTGCATAGAGGCAATTACAACACCTTTGCTGGTAGAGTTCTTTGAGCGCTGGGCACCCTCCGTGTTGATAGTGTCGATTTCAGGAAAGACTTCCACCCAACTCTGCAATGTTGCGAGGGGTCCCAGTCCCGATTGGTTATAACCGAAGACAATAAATGCTGCAAAGGAGTAGTTACGTTAATATCTCAATATGTTAAGCAGGAAAGACAGCACACATACCAGGAGCGACAATGAGCAGCGCCTGAGCCACCCGAAGGGCTTTGCCATGGAATAGTGAGACCATTTTTGACAAGGTGAGATGTACAGGAGGTGGGAGGCACTCTAGAGAGGGAAGAAGGAAGAAAAGCGAAGAGTCTCTCGGTTTATATCCGCTCGCCTTCGGCTTGGAACCCTCGTCAGGGCCGTGGAGACCCCGCAAGATAATTTTGATTGAATTATGATTGTGTGTTTGATGATTACATACTGGTGGGTACGGGCTATTCATCTGGGTCGCAGAATTCCAAACACTTTCTGTGACTTGATGGACGCGCCGACGGCTCCATCGAAGAGGGCTAGCCTGTTGGCAGATGCGTCCCCCATGGGCAGGTACCCCGACCTCCTGTAGCATCCGAATCTGTCCGAGTGCTGTGCATAGGCTGGGGATTGTTAATACTAGGATGGGCCACATAGGAAGTTGTCCGAGAAAACTAAATGCATAGTCATGATACAGTTGAAGACAAGGCTGGCTCTCTGATCTTCTTGAGTGGGAACTTCAGATTTCTCATGCCGAAATATCTCCGGAGGCTGGTTTACTATATTCAGCCTTTCACCTGTACTTCGAATTCGGGTCAGTGAACATTCACCGGACACCCATCAAGCAATCTTCTCTTTCTGCCTTGACCGAGTGCCTCGAATTGTGGGGTGTTTCAGAGAAAGGCCATATTCTCCGATGTTGCCACGGGGTAAAACTTAAAGGGTTTTAGTTGGAGCCACCATTGAAGATCACTTACTCTCGGGCCGACCTCATTGGCTCTTCGGGCCGGAGATTGCCAGAGTCGGGATCGGGTCAGCGAATTACGGGTACAACAGGATGTGTACATATTGAATAATATTCATCAGGCTCGACCTCTGTACATAAGTGACCTGTTAGTACAGTAGTAACGTCGGTAATTGTGAGAGTTACGGATGTCACCGGACAATTTGTTGATCAACAGCCTCATGTCCCCGGGTTCAGGAACCTATGAGGAGCTTTTCCAAAGACTTGGCATGAAGTAAATATCAAAGGCTTATTCGGCCTTGTCTCGCATTTCCAACTGCCAAGAAGGTCGCCAAGAGATGGCCCATATTCTCTGACCCAATATAGGATACGAATCAAGGCAAGGAAGTGGGGGAGCGTGGTATGGGACCTCGTTGCACTCCACAGCTTCGGACAGGTTCCGGCGGAACACGGCCTCGATGCAAAGCGGAGGACATACACACCAAGGTACCGGCCTTGTTGGGATCGGAATGGTTGAGAACAGACTTCGGTTTCGTAATTGGTTGCTCATTAGCCTGAACAGGTGAAGAATCGGCGTCTCGGAGCGAGAAGGTATCGCGAAATCGGAGGAATTGGCTCCTACTCGGACCGTCACTTACATCATGCCATTGAATTCGGATAATTCAATAGTAGCAGTAGAATCTCTGGAGACTCTCATAGACCCTCACAGTAACATTGTGAATCGCCTTTTGTCACTATCATTAGTCGGAGAATGTAATCGTGGTCATCGTCCCATCTTTGTTAACCTTTTACAGTGCGTCCCGAAACTGGCGCAATCTCATACATCTTCGATCTTGTCCCACCGCCAAGATACGCTAGTCCATATTAAGAATAACTCCGGAATATCAATATTCCTGCGTCAGTCTCAATACCATGACTGACTCTCATTGAACCACGATGCTTTGTCTCCTAACTGTATTGACGATCCAAAGGAAGGAGAATTTTCCATTGTAGCGGAGTATTATTACTTCGAAACACTGTCGATGTTTAAGTATTTACTGTATGTTTCCTGGAGCATAACACTGCGGACGGTAAAACGAACTAATCATAGGCATGTAGATGGCGGAACAGACACCTCCGAGAGTTCTCGTCAATATCTCGGACAAGAATAAACATTGGGAGCAGTCCTGGTCTGCTTCGGAGGACATATGTCTAGTTGCCCTTGAGGTCCTCGAAGACAATCATTTACTGAAGCACATCCGCCAACTTAAACCGAGGCTGCTGGCAAAACAGAGGTGGGAAACTCGCCTGTTCAATGTATTTGATATCTCAAATACTTTCTATGATCCTGCCATGGGACATTTACCGGAGAAAAATAAGCTTCCTGTTTCAATTATTCGACTAGGTCAAACAGTGCAAGCTTACCCGGCAAACCTCCCAACACAGAACCAGGTGAATAGAGATATTGCCCGAGCTCATAACGACAACAGTATAAATAGCCTTCCGCCCTATCGTTACGGATTACACCTCCGGTCCACCATTATACCTCAACCCACGAGACCCATCATTACTTCTTTGACCTCGTGTGCCCTGTGTTCATGTCAGCAGATATAGTGGATCGACTTCTTAGTTTTAGATAGTTTGTCACTATAGATTATGTCAAAGATAAGCTTATGGTTAGAAGGAGCTAGGTTCGGAACTATCTTTGGTTGAACTACTCATGATTGATTATCAAGTATGCCTCCCGAGTAAGGCTGTCTTAGGAGAGAGGCATAGAGGGGTCAGACGTATTGAATTTATAGGCGAATACATGCCTGAATTTACTATATAATCTACGTACGAAGCAATACACGCGTAACTTACAAGAGGACTTCGGAAGAACTCCTAATATAGACTAGTGTGTCTTAGCGTAGGGGGCAGGAAAGCCAGTCGAAGAGTGTGTGGAAGTAGTCGCGCCAGTTTCGGGACGTACTGTAAGAGCAGCCCCACTGCTACACAAAAGGTCATCGGGGGTTGAGCGAGAACCTAAAGCTTAACTCTAATATCCAAGCCACGGATGCTTCATTCCCAAGGAACACTGTCTCTTTCGGGATAGATCGGTCGCTCAGCGGGCCGAAGAGATTATTCACGCATGGCATCCGCACATCGTACATTTCGCTATTCTTTCCAAAACAAATCGAGCTGCCAACAGTCTTCCTGATTGGTCATGTCCTTCGGTTGAATTCATGTAAAGCAATCGTCGCGTTAAAGCTTTGTTTGAGCCACTGTAATGGAAGTTCGGGAGTATTTGAAGACGCTGAAAGTCTGGCCTGGCTTTTGCCATTTCAATACTAAAGGGAACTTCGGGTAATAAAGTGTTCTCCATACGCCCAGAGCTTCTCGGAAACGGTAATTTCTTAAACCACCAGTAACATTAATTATTATGCGATAATATATTCCCCCGTGTTTATCGAATGCCATCTCTAGTCTGCAGTCAAATCGAAGTCAGGCCCTTTATCATCATCCACAGCTCTTTCACTTGCACATAATCCGATCCCACTTACTTGCTTTGTTAAATTTCTCCTCTCTATCGCCCTTCTCTTCCAGCCTTTCATCCCCATGGTGATAAAGATTATACCATTCCAGAACCCACGCAAGGACCCCAATGCACTCACAGCCAGCAGAAGTGGATATGAGTGACTATTTGGATGAATAAATAAGGAGACACGATTGATTGTTGGTGTAACCCATGTTGTTAGAAGGGCTAGGAAGAATAAAGATGGCATCAGGATGTATTGTTTGAAGGACATGCGTCTCTGGGTTGGCGGACTGTGATTGGGGGAGCCAAAATGTCTTGAGGGTTGTCGTGGGGTGGACATTCGCTCCAGGGACGACTGGCTTATAATGTGTGACTCGGATACGAGGCCGGGTTTAGTGTTCATGTCTGTCTCCACGATTGTGGAGACGGTACTGTCGTTATTATCAAACGGCCGGCTGCTCGTCGAGTGGGAGGTAAGAGCAATGTGATCGTCCTCTGTCAGTTTGAAATCGTCTCGTAGCCTCGATATTTCGACGCCAATCAAGAAGTAAATAACCAACACAACAGCTATAACGATCCTATAGAGTCACAATAATCATGTTAGAGGATATCGGAAACAAATGCCTGACAAAAATACGTACCACACTGGCATGTAGTAAAGCACGATTCGAATTAGCATCCACCGGGGGGATATAGAACACCAAATCTGCCAGGCCTATTAGCAAAGACTGCCACATGATGAGCTTTAGCATACGCATGTCAAGCTTACCGTCTCGCCACCATAAATTGGGCCTCTCTCAGGAGTTCTTATAAAAAGAAAAACAATGGCGGGTATGCCAGTCAACGCGGATATGGCCCCCACGTATTTAAGTTCAAGCTTTCGCAAGGAATGTGCGTCAAAGTGATGAAAAACGACGAGGTATGTGTCAAGACTCATTGCAAGTGTCCATAAGACATCTGCAAGTGGAAACCTGTAGTGCGACAATCAGCCCTGCTCAAGTTCCGAGCAACATGCCAACGTCTCAATCCGAAGGTACATTTGAAGAGCAAATCCCTGAAATTGGCACAAGGATGAAGTATCACCTGCAGCAGGCCCCGATACTGATATCATCGTCCCAGCTGAGTCTATCAAATTGTAAAAGGAGTTGAAGAAAATGATCCGATGGATAGGACTTCGAAAGTATCGTGACAAACAAAATGCTCCGATGATAATGAATGACCCTAAAATAGATAGGACCGAGGTGACACGCCCCGTGATCCCTATCATTTCCAACTGCTCATCGGAGAGCGTCATTTTAAGTAATCTCTCCTTTGGAAGGAATCGCGATACAACAGGCAATGAACCACTGATCAGCAGAAAGATCCATTAGCATATATGAGAAACTAAACTCGAAGATTAATCGACACGAGACTAAGCTTCATTATGAATGAGCACGAGACGAACTTTTTCCCTCCACTTAGAATCACACCTTAAAATCGTCCGTGCAGGATGACAATTGTTTGGCCCCAATGACGTGATAATGTGAGAGGTTGCGATTCGCGATGTGGACTGCACGAAGCACTGTGATCGCGCAATTTGTGGGTCCGATTAGCCGCGAATAAACCTCGTGTTTGGCAGCGTTCGTTCCCAATAAATCTCAAGGGCTTACGATCTAATGCAGGAGACGATCGAATAAGATGATATCTTTCTATATTAGACTGTTCAGATTGGATGAGAAGTCTACAGAAGAAGTAAAGCTGGGGGTTGATCACTTCTCATTATGGAGTGATTGATCACATCAATGACATTTCCTATGGCATGGCCGGACTAGAAGACTCCAGACTCTCGGGATGCTTGGCTTATTAAATAGGGGCTCTAGTGGATGAATAGTGGGAGCAGACGCGACTGAAACTCTTCGAAGGTCTTCGTACATACGTATTGAGGACCGAAACATGTCTAATAATTGATTTCAAGCCGCAGTTACCGAGTTCCGATAGATGACAACCTCTCGACGATCCTGCCTGTCGGCTTTTATGACCAGATAGCCTTGAAAAAAGCTTAGAGTGTGAAGAGCACGCGATGAAAGGCTTGATTTGGCCATTTAAGAATGGTCACCAGGCCGTAGTCATTGTTGCGATGAGTGATGGGAGGTTGGCCAGAGAGGGGCAGATGAAAGATTTTCTGCCCACAAATCAATTCCGAGGACAAGCTGTAGAGTCCTGAAGAAGAAGAGCCTGTATCATGTCACCAAGTTTCTTAGATGGCTCTCCTATTCTCATAGTGGCGGTATTGAGTGGCTGATCAAATGTTTATCTTTGACCCTCTTTCCCGCTAATGTGTAGCAGCTGAGTGTTAATTGTGCATACGGTATGTATCGCTGATAGAGAGCCTGAGAGCGCCCTGGTCCGCCAATTACAGCATAACACAAATTGCATATACATGATTTTGTATGGCTGTAGGAACAGAAATGGCATCAATGGAAGTTCAGACAATGTCGCTACGTCTCTGAAGAAAATCGAGCAGTACACTCCTCCTTATATGCCTTCAACTGCTCCATCTTAATCTGCGTAAATGACTCCATCTCTGAACGCGTCTTGTTGTCAAGCAACTCGATACCCGCACCGTTGTTATGTAATGCAGCCTAATATATGGTGTCTATATCAAAGCTCTTCCTTGCCGCATAGTCGAACCAAAATCGCCTAGTTCTCCATGAATCGCGCATCCTGGTAGAGAGAGACGGTCCACCGGGTTGTTTGACCTCTGATGCCATTTCAATTTCCACTCGCTCCAAAGCTCGCAAGAATTGCTCTATTCTATGCTCATAGAAAGTCAAAAACTCTTCTATCGCGCAGCACTCAAGCCACATTTCCGGTCCAGAGAGCAACAGCCACCAGGGTGGGTCATAAGCGAACTTAGCTGGTATGGCATTCGTGAACTCGAAATCGAGAATGGCAGTAATTCGGAGTGTTTCTGGGTCTATAAGCATATTCGAGGGTCGTATATCGTCGCAGAAGGGTATAAATACCCCGTGGTTATCAGGATAGTACTTTGCAACTAGTTGTGCGAATCGATGACGGGCAATGAAGCGCTCCTGAGCGATTTCCGGATCGTCGGCAAGGTTGCGCTGGGTCTAAAGGTGGGTCAAGTGCTCGTTCGCGACCGACTTTAGATAATCGCTTGTACGGTCAAACGGCGCGATTGGGAATTGACTACCAGGGCAGCCGGCGATACGTACCATTTGTAGAGGAGGGTAGATGTAGATTGCAGGTCTTGGAGTTGTAAGAGGGAAAGTATTAGAAGTTTGGTTTAATCAGGCAGATCAAGACCCTTATATGGGAGATAAACCCCCATCGCAAACTCCCTCTGGCCACTTCACTTTCTTTTAACCCATCTTCCACTAACTTCCTCCTTTCCTTTTCACCAACTTCTCTCAGCGTGGCTCTCACGTCAACACTCTCAACACCTACCATCTCACACCAACCTTCTCAGAAGCATCCCCTCCACCACTTCTCCCTTCATATTTCTCAAAGTTATCGCAAGCAAGATGAATGCGACCCCCAATCCCACTCAGGATCCTCCCCAGGATATCACCCGGCCTGGCAGCTTCGCAACATCTTGGGTTTGGAGCTCATCGACCATATCCACATTGCGTTTCATATCTGCCCATGCTTCATTGGCCGTTCTCTTTGTGATTGAGGGCTTATTCCGTTGGTGGCCCGGTTTTGAATCCCCAGGGTCGCCGGGTCCTGCTCGGCCTGCCAGAAGCTGCATCGCTCATATTCTCCATTCCAGATGCAGTTTGCACAGGCACGAGAATACCCCTCTCCTCCGGCCAGTTGCACACACTTTGACTATTAATTCATCAGTCACTTTAATTCTCACTGACTGTTAAAGTACTTGAAAGGAGTAGCATACCCAGGGGCCCCATCCTTCCTGACAGTGGTTGCACATATGCTCGTTGTCCTTCACCACTCCCTGGCAAAAGATCACCGCAGATTCGACATTGAACCGTTTTTGGGCCAGCAGCTCATCCTTGCGTCTGCCAGACATAAAATAGCGGGACCCGAGCCATAAGCTCCCGTACTGCAGGGTTTTTGAGCAGCTCGGGGAGTTGGCCGTTCAAGCGTTGGCCCCTTCGAGCGACCTTGTAAGGGGCATCCCATAGGAGTTTGGCCCACTGCCCAGGAGGCCGATCCGCAGAGCCTGCATGGCCTTCGGGGATTGTGAATGTGTCCCCGATTTCAGCAAAAGCGATGACGATGGGGTTGCTATTAATCATATGAGTTTCATACCTCACTTTCATCCAATATGCGAGACTTACTATGTGGAGAGTAGGGGGGCCAGTGACCAGGCTCTTGCAAATCAACAATGGGCAGTGGCAGATGCTCTGGGGAAGCAGCAACGGCGCTGGTTGGAGAACCTCAAGCGCCCACGTGGCATTCTGGACCAAGTCCACCCTACTGAGCCTAACTCGGCGCAGCAGACTGATCAAAACTAGTTAGGCATGGTCCGCAACAGTGTCTTTCACACATAAATTTGATTTAGATACTGGATCTCACATAGTTAATTGCAATCAATGCGTCCCATTAAATTCTCATTTCTCATCCATGGAAAATGTAAAAGGATATAGATTGTTTATACGCAGCTACCTCTTGTAGCTATATTATGTCATCCCTAGATATACTTGTACGGATTCATAATGCCGTTCTGATAAAAAGAACTCAGCAAGGCTATTATAGTATAGTTTAGAATCAAAGGATAGACAATACTTACTGTTATATAGCTAGCGTCGAATAGTAGGTAAAACTATTGCTGGCAATGCGTCTGGTGCATAAAACCGTAATAGAAATAGTTCGTGCGCACTAATCTTAGTGCAACGATTATGGAAGAGAGACTAATCAGGATAGAATACAATCGGCTAATCAGACAGAAGAATCACGCAGTAGAAGGTTGATTCGGATGGTCTACTATACCCGGTAATTGTTCCTAAGATAAAAGAGATGTCAAACTTGTTTATTTCAACTAGGAAACAGAGTGCAATTTATAACATAGGGTACACAGCAAAAGGTCGTATAAGGAAATCAAGAACATTCGAGATCATTTTGGAGTGTTGCATTATCTCCTGCCTATATAGGCGTTTTGGTGTGATCGTTGAGGATCAATCTGATATATCTCATAGACATGCAGATAGAGGTGTATAGGGTTTTATCCCGCGGTAAAATCGTAGTTGCCTTCGGAATCAGGCATGATTTCTTAATATGTATTGACAGACAAAAAAAACGGCCTCTGCCCTCGTACGATTTGAGTTGAGGATTGATGACTCGACAACAGCATGCGGCTTATTGCATGCTTGGCGACTAGCCTGGTATTTGAATATTGTCCACACGTATCACACGCCTTCCGGACTCCGTCGTATCCCGAACAACCCGAACAAGTAAACGATATCCAAACACCTCACTATGCTTTATAAGTTAAGCCCCCTCATGAAGATACTGACTTCGCCACGATCAATTAGGAAGGGGAATTGTCATTTCACACAATCCAGGAGACCAAAACCCTCATTCATTTTCAACATGGAGCGATCTACTTCATCCACCATGAATCAATTGACCCGGTCCCTCACAGTTAACGTGAAAATATTGACTGACTATCTTACATCTGCGGGCCATCCATTGCCGTCATTTGCTCCTGACACGCCTACTTTCACCCTGCCTGGCAATGCTTCCTCGGAAGCGCACTTGGCACGCTATCGTATCCTGGACCTCGCTCGGAATCTTTTCCATCTAGCTGCAGGGCCTAGCGAGTACCTGACTTTTTTACAGACAAGTGTTTGGTACCCACAACTCGACGGATCTGATCAATACTGATGGAGAAAATTCAGTACCAGGATATCGGCTGCTTGCGCTGGCTTTGCCATTTCGGAATTTTTAGACTTGTTCCACTCCAAGGAGCTATATCGTACACCGATCTTGCCAGTCAAGCAAATGTTTCCGAGGTCAAACTGAAAAGCATTGTACGCATGGCAATCACCAACGGTTTGTTCATTGAGGAGCCACCGAATCATGTCGCACATTCTGCCAGGTCAGCATTACTGCAAATGAATCCCTATTTTCACGACTGGGCTGCTTTCGCGATGGACGCTGGTGCCTTTTCCGCATTCTCGATGGTGGACGCAGACAAGAAATGGTCTGGATCCGTGGACGTATCCCAGACAGCATTTAACTTTGCACTCAAAACCGATTTGCCCTTTTTCAAGTATATGGGCGAGGAACCAGAACGAAACCGTCAGTTTGCGGGGTATATGCGTGCCGTGACAAGTGGTCAAGAAGTCAGCCTCAACCATCTTGTGAAAGGTTGGGATTGGAACAGGCTGGGAAAAGCATTAGTAATTGACGTGAGTACTCTCCTTCTTCCTAAATTGAATATGTAATTTACAAGGAAGGCCAGATGGGCGGCTCAACCGGCCATGCATCCATCGCATTAGCTCGGCAATACCCAGAATTGACATTTATTGTCGAGGATCTCCCAGAAGTCATAGCCCAGGGCCCTGAATATGTTTCCTCTCAGGAAGATTCTCGGAGCTTAAAGCGTCGTGTTTCATACAAAGCACATAGCTTCTTCGACCCCCAGCCGGTCCAAGATGCCGATGTGTATCTATTCCGGACGGTCATGCACAATTGGTCGGATGATGATTCCGTCCGAATTCTTATGCACTTGGTTCAAATTCTTAAACCAAGGGCGCGTATTTTGATTATGGATGTCGTTCTTCCAGATCCAGGTACACTGCCGGCATCCAAGGAGCGATTACTGCGGATGCGAGACTTGAGTATGCTGCAAATTTTTAATCATCCTGAGAGGAGTTTGCAGCATTGGAAGACTATTTTCAGTCGTGTTGATAGACGTCTACAGGTGACCAGGGTTGAACAGCCCGCCGGAAGCGTATTGTCAATCATAGAATTGGGGTTGGAGGAACCGATGGAAATATCTGGTAGTTTGGGTGAAGAGATCATCTAAGGTCTCACAGTCGAGAAAGAAGACTCTATGGTAACTGTACCTAGAACACATCAACGAGTCGCGATACTTGAGATTTGGAAACTATCTGCGACCGCAAGTTTTCTGGGAAGAGTAATACTAGATCCATGTTTCATTTTCAGTGGAATGAGAAAAAACTACAGCCTTGAGTATGTGTTTTTGGGACTGTGATACGCCTCTTTGAGCATCGATGGAATTTTGAGCATTGCAACAAGCTCATGATCTAAAGTATTACGGCGTAATCTGATCCAAATAAAGTACAAGATAAATTACTTGCATTTATGGTTAATACAGTGTTGATGTTCCCCCATCAATCAAAGTCAGTGGCTGGCATCCAGTTCATCGCAATCGGCTCGTGTTTGCTTGCGTGGATCCGTTTATCTCGCGACCATAGCTGAAACGAGAGATCAGCTGGCCCGACTACTGTAGTCCCTTTTCGAATTTCTTTAGACTCACAGAATCCGTCGACAGAGTCTTGGAGGTTCAGGGAGCTACAGAAGGCACTTTTTGACGACATTTCCGTTCCCAGCTCATGTACAGGAATTGCCTCAGGAACATGACTCTCTGTAGATGGGCCAGTACCGCCATCAGGCTAGAGTGACATGCTACTAGCCGATCCTTTTTGTCTCGTGCTCGCTGGCTGTCCCGATACATCCAGCGGATCTGTGTTCCCAGACTGAGCTTTCCATTTTTTGTCGCTCTCTCGACACGCGTAGGTTCCAGCAAAATTGCAATATCACGAATCGCTTCTTCAATATCTGAAATTGTGCCGTCATCCCAGTTCATCTCAGTCGGATCTAACACTGGCTTCTTGAGTTGACGAAGACGCTGGGCCTCGTTGAGCTGAGTGGAGATGTGATTTTGCGCTTTCAGAAGCTCTTATATATGCTCATTGACAGAAGTCAAATTCTTTTCTTTTTTTGGCAATTGAAGCCAGCTTGTGGTTCCCAGTGTTGAGCTTTGGTCGGATATGCTTGAAGGCTGGGCATCGGACAGTGATACAGTAGATTGTGCTCTCTTATGGCGCAAATCGAGAAAACGACTCCGACTCTCGCCCATTCCCATACTTTGCCGTCGAAGACAGACTCGTTCCTTGAAGACGATGTGAGTTGAAGGGATGGCAAAAAGGTATCGTTTCTGTCTCGGCAGCTAGCGTTACAGGGTATCCAAGAGAGTAATCAAGGGGTCACCTGGGATGTCGAGGACCCTGGTCTATTTCGGGCAATAGTACATATCTGCTCTAGTGCTGCATTAGTTCATGTTTGGGGAGCCCACCTTGCAGGTCTCTCCGCAACATGGCTTCCACGAGATCGTGCCGCGCGCCCGCACACCTTGATATCTGTTTGGGCATCGAGGTGGATTTCATCTCTCATTGGCAAAAAATGGTTAACCACGATAATCTACAAAGCAATTTCGGCTGTGCTCCGGTTAGCGCGGTTGCTCTGGATTATTGAAGTGGATGGGAGGTTAGATATGATATGAGCGTCCTGATCCAGTGGTGCATGCACTGCAATGTACATATCGCCTCGTAGTTCCAGACTTGGCTTACCCCATGAACACCCTTCCTCTTCTTCTGTCTATCGATGCTAAGTCCAAAGCGATATGGGAGTTCTCAGTATTAGTGAACCAGACTTTTAAGTGCTCGACTGCTCTACCAAAGGCAAGTTCGTCTAGCCCCAGGGCCCTCTGGCTGACCACGGCTAGAGCTGCATGAACACTCCACTTTCCGTGCCCCGATGCGTTAGTTCCACCAGCGGCGCATTTCTCTCTATTTTTATTGGTGCCCCAGTCAAGCATGACTCGAGATTTCATTTCAAACCCGACTTTGCCCCTATGGGAAACTTTTCAAAGAGATCTTAGCTGCGCCGTGCCGCGCCGTACCGTTTTGGCCCCTATGCGGAGGCCCCGCCAGGGAGATTTTAGGGAGCGATGTTTGGATTCCCTTGCGAGGGCAAATAATGTTGACGACCGAATTTGGAAGGACTATTTGTGACCTCTAAACACATAATATGCGGTATGAAAACTACACAACAAACTAAGGGCGACCCAACTCTCGCGTGTCATGCCAGGATTCGCTTGCTTGCTTGTACATATTTGGGGCCAGAACTACATCATATTTTCGAACATTACCTCTCATCACACATACATTGAATAAGTCCCATGTTATACTGATTTTGGTAGAGATAGAATTCCAATTAGTTATCGGCCATAGTGGAAACGCAGATCGAAAAACAAGAATCATAGTCCCTTGATCGCAGTGATGCATGTGCAAGAAAGCAATACCCGAGCACATCTAGTCCTTTTGGGTCTTTAACTGGGTTTCTGTTCAATTTCATGCTAAATTGCATTCACCAGAAGCCACAGTGTTAGTGCTTACGCGTCTGTATCCCTGCTACATAAGCCCCATTAATATGAACACCTACCTAAGGCCAGAAAGACAGAGGAGACATGATTTGTGCGTGAGGAAAATTACAGTGATATCTTCCGCCGCAATTTTCGCTCTGGTTCAAGTCTATTTTAGAAGGAACAAGCCCCTAAGTGCCTGAGACAACAGACTTCTATTGATATCATATGTTGTTGCATGAATTAATGGCTCAAGGGAACCTGAAGATGTTCGGTCTCGTTCCTGTACTTGGGCTTTTTATTACCGGAGCCTTTGCCGTCGCTAGCATATCCAACAATGCCCTTGGGACGACAGATGAAGATATTGTTCATAAATTTGGGCACGCTCAGAATGCAGCAAGATTACAATCTCGTACCAACACATACTCAATGGACAGAGCCTCCCTCGCCAAAAGCTGGGATGGCGCAACTATATTCACCACGGGAACAAGGTAGGGTACTCATGACCGCTGCGATGGATCCCATAACCCCGAAAAGTAACTTGCTAATCTTTTATCAGTACTGGCATTGAAATTGTTTGTTCCACTTGTTATGTCAATGGCTCGGTGACTGGTGAACTGATCCTCAACGGAGACTTCAACTTGACTGAAACGGTCAATGAGGTTTGGGATAATGTCTCAAACAAGACAGAGACAGTTTTTGATACGCTTGAAAATTATGCCAAAACAGTGGTCACCGATGTTTCAACTTTTCAGGTTGAAGGCATTCCATCTTGGCCGACTATTGACGTGGACTTCGATCTCGACGGTGATACTGCCTTTCCAGAAGCTCAGATTCACTTCGAGTTTGACGATTTGGAGATCTATCTCGACCTTGATATCAAGCTATCAGCGGAATCCACATATACCATCAACATTTTTACGTCTGAAACTGTTGCGGGAATCTCGGTTCCCGGCCTCACAGTTGGCGCGGTATTTAGCGTGGACTTGATTCTCATTGCAGACGCCGATATTGACATCGGAAGTGGCATTCATGTCAAGTTTGATGATGGGCTGAGCTTTGATCTGGGAATGTTCAACTCCAACGTGTCAGCTGTCACGGTGTAAGTTGCATTTAGCTTCTGAAAAAGCGGAACATAACAGACTGAACTATCTTCTGCGTAGGCCTGGGGGGTCTTTTGAGTTCCTTCCAGTTACTATTGGAGGGGAAGGGTCTATTCAAGCTATTATTAGCTTACAAGCCAGTTTGGGAGTTGATATGGATTCGCTTTCCGGTGCGAAATATGAGGTCCTAAGCCATCTGTTCAGCCTGAGTGCTGGTATTCAGTCGGATATATTTGCATACGTCGCCGACTTTGCTCTGCGGGTCAATGGTACTACAGCTGCCGATGAAGAGGACTGTGAATTGGCTGCTGTAGCCGAGTACACTATGGCCCTGGGAGCAGCTGCGGGCGCAACGGCTGCAGTTGACTCATACACATGGGGACCAGCAGCCACTACAACCGTTCCTGTCTGGTACACGACCTTGGCTAGTGTGTGTGCGACGAGTAAAACTTCTTCCGCTTCCTCTGCTGGGATTACAAAGCGGGCGGAGCTCGATTCACGGGATGATGTTTCTACGACGGCCGTGTCAACGACAGAAGCCTTCACAATGGTGACCTGTTCATCCTCCGGGCTTGTCAATTGTCCCGCTAACCTTCAGTATACAACTTCATACATGCGTACCGTGACTACTGATGTCACTGTGCAGTCAGGATCAAAACCGACGTTCCCTGCTAGCACCTATGCCTCAGTCTCAAGTGCTATTCCATTCGGAACGAATGTTCGTCGTCTGGCTGCCACATCTGGATCTCCCACCTCTTACACCCCCACGTCATCATCAACGAGCACGGGCAAGGTGTCAGAGATTCTTGATGGTAGTACGAATGGAACCAGCAACAAGCTCATCATCGGACTTTGCGTTGGGTTGGGAGTTCCATTCCTCATCGCCCTCGGTGTCGGAATCGGGTAGGTGTTGTTCATGGTTGACTACTTTGACTACAACTGACTCATCGTAATCTAGTTTCTACATTCGCAAGCGGCGTAATTATTCTATGGTTGCTACCCAGCCAGAAACAGTGCCGAGCCCGCCGTCGTCGACATTCAAAACCCCTGTTATTAGCACGCCGAGCACTATGCAGATATCTCCTCTCTTATCATCAAAGGAGTAATGAGATGATGATGATTATTAAGAGCAATAGACAGACCCGACTCAGCATCACATGGTAGCCTAATGGCCCTAGGGAAAGAATAGAACCTCTGGACAAGTCGTGGACGCAGTCATACGAACCCGCAGGCTATGTTTGAGTGCAATATGTCCTCAATGAAGCTCCCTACGAGTCATTGTATGCATCTAGATAGTATAACCTCCCACAAACACCGCAAAAGTGGAATAAGCTTGGTATCAGATCACATATTAAATCTACAACGCGAGGACGTTGCTCCTAAATTGTTGAGTGGACACGGTCCTGCTGTCCCACAGGTCTGGTCTATTCCCTCTTCAGGGTTGGACGCATTATCTTGACCGAAGCTCGACCCCACGGAGTGTACAGGAGTAACGTTCTTCATCAATGTACTAATTATTCTATTCTAAACGCAAGCTTGAACCAGCTTCCATGCCGACCTGAACCGAATTCACGTGCCAACGGGTGAATCGGGGCTTTATCGCGGTCGAAACAGTCCTGGTAGGTCTACTAGAGGACAGATTCGATAGATTTCGTCGGTTTTAGAATGTTTTAGCAGCCTGACTATAGGTAAAAGGGTAATGGTTGACGGAGAATTATCAAATTATATGGCTTTCAAAACCAGTATGGTCCACCCTCAATTGCAAACGATTTGGGTAGAATTCGCCATTGGTAGAACCGAACGCTTCCTGCAAAAGCTCCAGGAAAGACGTTCAAAATGACATTCAAAAACTATCATATAGGTTGAGATTTTATTACCCTATCTTATACGTACGCATCAAGAGAAATTCGACGTGCAAAAATATCAAGGCCCTGCTTATTAGACGGCTCCCTGACCAAGGTTGCTATCTGGATGTCCAACATACTGCAAAATAGAACAACTATGGGAGACTTGAAATATCTACATATACAACCTAATCTCAAGAAAACAATGCGTCGCCTTTGCAAGCTCGAATATATGTATAGTCGTATCCTCTCATTATACGCAGAACCAAGAAGAATTTAAAAACAAAGCAGCCAACTACAAGAAAATAAGGATGCCGTGTCGCGACAACTCGCTGAAGCAAACAAGAAAGAAAACACCGGATCCAAAATACCGAGGGGCCAAGGAAAGTAAAAAGAAACCAAGAAAAATGAACCGACAAAAAAAAAAACAGTTCCTAAATGCCCAATCCCACAGCCCGCTGTGTATAGCGAGCCTTCACAAAGTCATAGCTGTCCGTGACGCCTTGCCAGATCCCGGGCACGTAATTCCGAACCCAAGCGCAAATAACTAGAAGCAGAAGAGGAATCTAGAACGAAAGTTAGTAAATGGATTTGGACGAAGTGGGAATGTGAGTTGACTTACCCAAATGAAGTAAAGGTTCCGGTCGCTGCCTAGGCCCTTCATTCGGCGGGCCTGGTGCTCTCGGAGATGCTTCTGTTGCTCCCGTGAAATGACCTTGCGGCCGATAGTGATATCTTTGAGATCATCCTGGACTGCATGGGTACTGCGCTCAAACGCAGCAGCCGCTGTTGATGTCGATGAAGATGGGAGACTGCTTTGTGCCTCAAAGTGTTGATCCACGGCCGCCTCCGTTGCAGCACGCAGGAGAGACGACTTCTTCAATTCGGTCGCTTCTGCGTCGTCTTGCTGGTGCGGATACAATTCATCGTAAGAAGGCGGCTGATTTTGGTTAGGGACGGCGGTGTTGCCCTTCAGCAGATCCCACCATCCGTCCCGAGCCGTGGGTCGATGAGGTACGAGGTTGGTGATGCGACGCATCATTTGATTGGCCTGATAGTCCGGCATAGCGGGCATGGCAGGCATAGTAGGCATAGCAGGCATGGGAGGCAATGCAGGTATGTTGGGGAAGGCATTAGCCACGCTCTGCTGGAATTGGTTGATCTGACCCGCGAGGTGATTACGCCAAGCAACGATTGCTGCCGTAGTGAATCCGCGAGCGTCGGGTACAGCGCGCTGCTCGCCAGCGTCTACAATGGGCGGGATGGCATCTTGGTGCATGCTCGACCGCCGGGAAGCGCTGAAGAAGAGAGGAGTTTCGGAATCATCGGTGTCCATGTCTTCACTGTCATCAAGCTCCTCTGAATCATCGACAGCATGACCCAAAGAGCCCGATGCAGACGACGCCTCCCAAAGTGAATTGAGAGAAGCAGAGCTGCTGTGTCTCCGGCGTAATGTAAGGGATCCAACGCTGCGGGAGCGGTAGTGGCGGGATGGCAGCAGAGCAGCCTGGTGGGCAGGGAGGGTTGTCGCCAAGTCCGCAGGGGTGAAGCCACGCACACTGCGAGCATTGGCATTGGCGCCTGCCAGGCGGAGTCGGTTGACGATGTGAGCATGGCCGTGAAGAGCAGCTAGGTGCATAGGTACATTGCCAGTGTTGTCCTGCACATCAGGATTGGCACCACGAGCCAGCAGCCCCGCGACAAATCGAGTCAGGCCCAATGAAGCCGCGAAATGAAGGAGGGTCTGGCCAGTGGCGCTGCGAGAGTTGTAGCGCGGTGGCCGGGGGTTGTCATCCAGGTCAATGTACTCGAGATAAGTCAGCATCTTAGAGTCAAGATCGCTAAACTTGCCTTGCGACTCATGTCCGGGCACCTGGCGTTGGTGACCGCCCGAGGAACCACCACCTTGCATGTCCTTCTGCATATTGAAGATAGCATTCGGATCGCTTCCCATAATCTGCTGAGCAGTTTGGAACGCATCCGCTTGGCTACCCAACTTCTGTCCAAGAATGTTGAGAGCCAGACGATACATCTGGAGCTCCCGATCATCCACATATCGGAAGAAAAGTTGCTGTTTGGGCATAAGTGGTTGGGGCTGCTGCACCTGTCCAAAAGTAGGATGCTCGTGCTTAAAAACCACCGATACCAATCCTGGCTGCAGAGCAGGAGGAGTGAGGCAGTTGAGACACTTGTCACCCCAGAAAGTAGTAGTGGTTGCCAACGTATCGCCGAATACCACCTCCATGCCGGGATAGAAACCACTTCCCAACAATGTGACTTCTGTACCTCCAGTGATTGAACCCTCGGCAGGGACCAATTTGTGAATTACAGAAGGCAGCCGGTTAGGTGTAGTTGCAAGAGAAGGCCAGATCTGGTTCGCAGAAGTGGCACCGAGCGCAAGCGCAAGATTCTGATCCTGGAAAGCGTTACGACTTGATGCCCCCGGAGTGCCAGGACGACTGGGTTGGGCGGAGTTAGGCGCGGACACGAGGTTCTGTTGAGCCAGACTATCCAGACTCTGTCGTTGAGCAGGCGTCGGGTTGAAGAAGGGGTTATTGTCATTGCTCTGGTTCGGCGTGGGAGGTCCGTTTCCGTACTGTCCAGACATCGACGAGGGGGTCACAAATGGCCGCTCAGTGGGCGAGGCGAAGCCACGAGCAGCCGCAAGCTGTGCAGCACTATTCATGGCCGAGCTAGATGACTGAGGAGTCTCCATTCGGGTCATCGTCAATTCCGAGGGGAGTCGGCCAGAGCTGCTGTGCTTCCGTCGCTTTGTCTGCGGGCCCTGGAAGTCCGTAGGCGATGCTTGTCTCGACAGGCTTCGGGGCGTTTGGGAATTTGACGATACACCATTGGTGACGTTCTGAGTAGCAGCAAACGAGCTCGGCGTAAGTTGATACTGGGAATTGAATCTTTGCTGGAGGCCCTGAAGGTCGGTTGGTGACTGGGGGAGGCGAATGCACCATTTGCAGTCTTGCCATTTTCGCCCGAAGAGAAGACATTAACACCCGGCAGTTGAATTCCATCTGGTAGAGATGGAGAAGGACCAGCTGCTGGGGGAGCGGAAGGTGCTTGTGTCTTGTGGTCATCCGTAATCATAATGGAGTTGGTGATTGCCTGGGCCACAACGTTGTCCAAATGATCTTTAACAGTAAAGATGACCTGGAATCCAAACTTCTCATTCTGATGTCGACAGTAGCAAGCAATTCGCATGGGTAGTTCAACCTGCATCGACCCCGGAGGAACCGGAGGCATTTCGCCGTAACCAGCGGCAGCGGTTTTTGGTGGCTCGGTCCACTCCTTGATCTCGCTGGTGTTGAAAACGATGACACGCTTCTCCTCATCTTTCTGGAAAAGCTCGTCCTCTTCGGGTTTCCGTTGCTTCTTCCGAGAAGCACGCTTCCGCTCTCGTTGAATACAGCCAGTACAGATCTTCACGTCTCCGCCATCCAATGGTCGGTCTTCCTCCGTTCCGTTTGTGCCTGTTGAATTCTTTTCGCCTCGTGTCCGTGCAAATGCCCGTTTCAGCTTGTCTCGGTCCTGCATTGCACTCGTACACACCAAACTCGTATATAATTGGAGGGTGTCAGGGGTGGATTCGGTGGAGGGAGGGGCGAGGAATTTAAGTTTGGAGATGGTGTGAGAGGGGAGGCGCAGCTTCTTGACGCCGGCCGGCAGCGGAGAAAGAGTCAATCGAATGGGGATCTGCGTTTCGACACGCGATTTGAGGGAGGTTGGATGCACAGTCAACACGGGCTGCGTCGAGTTGGCGGCATCAATCTGGGGTTGAGCTGGGGAAGATGCGAAGTTGGCCGAGAATGGGAACGCGTTGGGTGAGCCGAAGTTCATGTTGGGCGACATGGAGGTATTCATCGGAGACTGTCCATTCATATTGATGCCCCCAAAGCTTTCCTCCAACAATGATGACGGAGATTGACCGGACCATTGGGGTGCCGAAACTCTGTCAGTGCCGTTGGGGAATTGACCTCCAAAAGGAGACTGTTCCTTGTATCCAAACGGATAGAATGTGGATCCACTCTGGGGTACCTAAGAGGTTCTAATGTTAGGATTCGATCCGAATGCTTCCTCGAAGTACGCATTTTATAGGAAGGTGACTCACCGAAGATGCGGTCTGTCCATCATTTGAATTATGTACAGCCGAAGCATTCGACGGACTCCAGATCTGTTGTTTCGACTTCTTGCGCCCGTTCAGTTGAGGGGGGTTCTCTGTCTTCAACGGACTGGGGCTGCTTGCTGCGCTCTCAAAGTCGAACGCGGCATCCATTGCCTTGTTGCTAAACTCCAGATCGGGGTGATCCATGGGAATGCCGCCATCCATAGGGTATGACGGATCTATCGTGAATGGCGATTCTTCTTTAACGGACGAGAGATCGGGGCGCATCCAGTCTTCCGACGCAAATCCTGTCGATACTAGCGGGTTTTCGCTGTGAGCGGCGGAGTTGGTGGATGCGATCGAGGCGTGGCGCAAGTGGTTTCGTGGAGATTCCGAGGACGAACTGCGACTCGAGTTGTCGGGCGACTCTGCAGGAGAATCGGCCGTCAAAACTGGTTGTTGCCTCAGGGGGTTCTGGTCGCGGTAGCGCTTCGAGGACTCCGGGACCACGTTGGAGCGGGAGTGGGTGACGTGGGAGAACAGATCGTCAAAGTCTCCTCCAGCGGACTGGGAGGGCATATCAAGTTTGGATGGGTCGAGGAAATCCATGTTGGCGTCGCGGAAGGTGGACTCCATCTCGTCGTCCATGATGATGGGGTCCAGGGTAGGGAACGCGGGCGAGGAGGGTGTCTCTGCTGGTCCCATACTTCGTAGACCCTTCTGGCTCAAATGGCACCAAGTATGACAACGGGAGAGAGAAGAGCGACCGACCACTCTCACACTGGTGCCCGACCGGAGACGGTGTGGTTGTCGCGTGTGTGGACGGTTGGGGGAGGTGGGCGGCGGAGTTCGGAGGAACGACGTCGGTGGGAGAATCTAGGGGTGGTGGAAATGAGAACCGATGCAGAGCGTCAGAGTCGATGTGGTTCACTCGATGTACCAGGACCGGTCTCCTGAGACCATGGCTCCTGGAACAACAGGTGAAATGAGGGCTTGACGATGGATGAGCAAAGTCGTAGTTGTAGTAGTAGTTGCTGGGGTAGGGGGAAACTGACTGCCTTGTGGAGTAGGCAGTCGAGAAAGGAGGGCGGGAAAAGTGCGAACGCCGATCCAGACCGGCAGAAACCCTCTCAACGGAACGTGGACCTCAAGTACTAATGATTCTTCCCTCTCCAAGAAGGGCTTGATACTCGGAGTATCGTGATGAGGGTTTTTGGAAGATATCTTCTAGCTGCATAGACTCATTTCAGTCAGACCTAGGGTCTTATGTCTGTGTGCTGTTTTTCTTTTCCTGCTTCCCGGCACGAATCAACAATTTTCCCACCGCGATCAGCCATCGACACCTCAGGCTGCACTTCTGGCGGTGACTACCTAGCCAATACACTCGTTACCAATTTGGTCTTACCAGATACCCGTTACTTACGGCTTGGCAGAGGACTCACTGCGTCAAGACTGGCCCAGGCTCGGGTTGTATTTGGATTTCACCGGATACCCCATTCCGCTAGAGTGGCGTCTTCTGGCATCGACCATGTTCGACCAAAAGGCGCATTCCAAGTGTCTAACTTCTGACCCTACATTCTGATGAAATCAGACTGTTTTGGACCACCCACATGGCAGTCTGACCCATCTCGGCTCTTCTAGCCGGTCGACCTGACCTCTGTGTGACTGCGGCAAGGCTTCTGGCTGGTTCGATGAGCCATATAGATCGCGGGATTCACGATGCACTCAACCCCCATACGAATGATCGGCAGTGCAAAACTGATTATACTAACTCCCCCTTTCGAATCTTGCTCCCCCCACGCTATCTGTCTTGTAACAGCATTGCGGATTACCCATGGAGTACAACATACACGACCGTGCCGCACGCCCCCCCCTCTTTGACCTGCATGATCTTAATTCCTAGCCGCCCGGTGATGACGAACACGAGTTTGGTTATCATGACTATCAGGTTGTCCCAAGGTACACTCGCATACGCTTTTGTGTCACACTATCACGGCTTGTGCCATTGTTCCACTATCTTGCCCGAGACCGGGGACGCAATACAGCGATAAGTGATAAATGATAAAGCATAATCGAGGTCAACCGCCTAGTCTTGTTCTAGTTTCTATCAACCCCAACCACCATACCATAGATGTAACATCTCTGTCTGACATGCCCTGATTCTGGCACACGGGCAGCGCTCCGTATTGATAGTAGAGGCAGTAGTACTGTAAGCTACACAATGTGCATCACCTGAAAATAAGCCCTCGAGCCAGTGTGCAAAGGTCGACAGCGGCAATTGGCCTGAACTGTGCTGCGACTAGCCTTTCTACTGTGCGAGGACAACCGTAGATGCAGATGTCATGGTGCAATGAAATAGATGATTGAGGACCCCGCTAACGTCCGTCAGCTTCTCAACGGCACCTTTTTCTCGTCATAAAAGGTCCAGCCCGCAGTCCGATCAAAGCTAGGCTCTCAACCTTCCGAAGGTGGATATATATTGAGGTTCAATTGCTGCCCAGCTAGACTGGCATGTCGAAGTCTCGTCCTTGAGCTACATAGCCATTTCACATTTGAAAGTAAGACTGCTCTCTTACTTCAATTCTGGAATTAGGGCCTTGAAATTACGAAACTAGTCTTCAAAAACGAATTATGTTGTGTCCATAACAGGGTTGATCTCCCGTGATCTCCAGACTCGTCGCTAGGAATGCGGGGCTTTCCACGGTACTCGACATCGACGATATTCAGAAATTTGCTGCTCTAGGAAGGTAGTGCTACAGGTTAGGTAGTTCTATTGAAAGGTTTTGTGTCATACATCCGATATCGCCCGCCTTTTTGTACATTTCCATGAGAAGATAACCTTCCGGACGATGCACTCAACCGTCGCTTCCCGAGACTCAAAGCATAATCAGCCCGCCGCCTCCCGAGAAGGTCAGTGCTCCAAGCCAGCATGGCCTAGTCCTCAACGCCTTTCTCGAGGGGTGATGAATCGCCAATGATTGGCCACCTTGTACAGCGTGTATAGAGCGGGATAAAAGAATTTGCAAGCAATGAACATACCACAACAAGTATGGAACTCACTATATCTACGGACGCGCCAAACACGCTCTCGGGAACGGTCCCCCAAGCAGCAGGGTCTCCAATTGACTTGCACAGGGCACAAGGAGCATGAATTGCATAGTAAATGAAGGAGGCCTGCAGCCAAGACCAGACGCCAACGGCCACTGAAAAGTCCCAAAGTGGTCTCGGTCTGGGCTCAGTCTTTGGGATGACTTTCCGTGGAAGCACCTTGCACGCACCTCCAGCCCTGCTCGGCGTGCCGAGCCCACCGAAGGTTTCAGAATAATTCTCCGAATACGCGCCGAACTGCCACCACCCCCTCTGACTTCCTCCTCCGTCGCTACGGGGGAAATTAAATTCTCACCGACGGTTGTGAGTCCCGGCGGTTCGCATGTTAGCGACTACACTATAATCTGATCCCAATGTGGATCAAATGTTGCTAACCGTGCCGCCAATATGGTGAGATTGAATGAGCTCAATCGCAATGTCACGCTCCCTGCTTATCTCAAAGCACCTACCTCCCTTGACGTGGTGGGATCTTCGCAGTGGGCCACCATGATGGCCCTAAAAGTCACTAACAGTCACTAACTTGCGCCGGTCGCAACGGCTTTGATTCACCTTAACAGCTCTTTATTGACAGGCCCGAAGCTATGGGATGACTAACCAGGTCCGACTTGAAGATTCCCAATCTGGCCATGTCATGGTCACCATCAAGGCCACGCCCACCGTTTACTACTCCGTGCTGTTTCATACTTTGACCCCGGAGATTTCTTGATGAACAAGAAACATCGCATGCTCGTCACATCATCATGTCGAACATGGATGAATTGATCATTCTGTTCTAGCCTCCACCTGATGGTGACGGGGCTCCCTAGCCCAACTCCAACCCAAGCTTTTCCCATCTTGGACCGAGATTAACCTCCTCAAACGCCGACCATCCAAAAGTCACTGACCAGGAACTCGGATGAATGACTCGGATGGATGATGCAAGTGATGATGATATATCGCACCCACCGACGCAGGGACCAACTGCCAATCTGAGGGACTGTTGCCGTTAGGATGAAACCTAGACCGTCGCAGACTGCCGCCCACGATCGACAGGCACCAACTAGCTCTTTGATCGAGCCCCAGACGTATCCTCCATCGAACCCCCCGAAACGGATGCATTGAAGGTATCGAGTATAGCCTAATTAGCCCTGGTGGATAGGACCTGTCTAGCAACTACCCGCCAGTCTGGAAGAGGGGAACTTCCAAGGCACTTCATCTATCTGGGACCTCGGAGTGCTGCCCTTTTGGTCGCGAGAGATTCTCCACCTATGACCGACCAGCCCTTTTTGGTGGAAACCATCCATCGTGACAGAGACATGCTTGAATTAAGGGGTCTCCCACCATCCAGGAACTGTCAGGCCCGGTAGAGTTGATGCTGCTGTTTGCTCTCCCATCCCAAAGAAGCAATCATGCCGACGAGCCTCGAATGGCGAGCAGCATATAAAGCAACGCGGTCATGGTCGACTTGACCTTCTCTTTCTTTCTATCATCAGTCTCTACGTTCCATTCTTTCTTTTCTCAAGGTCTAGTACCTTTCCATTCTCTTCCCTTGGGTTGACTTCATTGACTGAAGTCCCCATTTTCATTCTTTTCGACCTTCTTTTCCCTCGCGGATCCAACTCAGAAACGCTGTGCGTTCATTTCTCACCAACCGACTGAAACAATGTCTTTCTCCAAGATTGCCGGTGTTGTCCTCGGCTCGGCCGCTCTGGTCGCTGGCCACGGTTACGTGTCTGGCGCCGTTGTCGACGGTACCTATTATGGTGGATATCTGGTTACTCAGTATCCTTACGAGAGCAACCCTCCCGAGATCATTGCCTGGTCCGACACTGCCACCGACTTGGGCTACGTTGATGGTTCTTCGTATGCCTCTTCGGACATCATCTGCCACAAGAGTGCCCAGCCTGGTGCCATCTCGGCTCCCGTCAAGGCCGGTGGTAGCGTCGAGCTGCAGTGGACTGAGTGGCCCGAGAGTCACCATGGCCCGGTCATCACCTACCTGGCCAACTGCAATGGCGACTGCGCCTCCGTGGACAAGACAACTCTGAAGTTCTTCAAGATCGACGAGGGTGGTCTCATCGACGACAGCACCGTTCCCGGCACCTGGGCCTCCGACAACCTGATCAGCAACAACAACAGCCGCACTGTCACTATCCCCAGCAGCATCGAGGCCGGCAACTACGTCCTCCGCCACGAGATCATCGCTCTGCACTCTGCCGAGAACAAGGATGGCGCCCAGAACTACCCCCAGTGCCTAAACCTGCAGGTAACTGGTGGGGGCAGCGACTCTCCCACTGGCACCCTCGGTACCGCCCTGTACAAGGACACCGACCCCGGCATCCTGGTCAACATTTACCAGTCCCTGAGCTCCTACACCATCCCTGGCCCGGCTCTGTACACTGGCGCCGCTTCTTCCTCAGACTCGACCACCACTGCCGCCTCTGTGGCCGCTACGACGACTGCTGCCGCCGCCACCACCGCCGCTCCCTCGTCCTCGTCCTCGTCCACCGTCGCCTCTGTCGGAGTGATCTCCAGCGCTTCCCCCGTTAGTGTCACCCCCAGTGCCAGTGCCACCTCCATCCGGAGCCCCCCATCCATCCCGCCCTCCTCCAACTCCACCCGCCTGCCCCGTCCCTCGCACGGTCGTCGTCCAGGCCACGGCCACGGCGCCGCTCCCTCGGGCCGTCCCCACTTCTCCCAGCCCAGCGGCAACGAGAACCAGGCCTCCACCGTCACCGACCATGCAACTGCCACTGAATATGCCACTGCCACTGCAACTGTTCCAGCTCAGTTTACTGACCCGCCCGTTGTCCAGACTCCTAGCGCTGACGACACCGTTACCGTCACCGCCAGCGCGGGAGGCCAGTCTGCCGCCAGCTCCACTCCTTCTACTGGTAGCTCGGGCTCTTCTTCCTCTTCCTCCTCGGGCTCTTCGTCTAGCTCCTACAACTCCAGCGACTGGTCCTCCTACCTGAGCTCTCTGAATGCTGAGCAGTTCCTCAACATGCTCCGTCAGACCCTCAAGTGGCTCGTCAGCGATCAGAAGGTGCACGCGCGTGACCTGACCGTCTAAAAGCGCCTCGCGCAGTCTAGACATGAACGGGATAGTCAAGTCGTAGACTTTGATTATCTTCGCCTGTGTTTGAAATAACTCTTTCATTGATCTTCTTCTTCTTGGCCTGGATCAGGTATCCCGTTCCTTGGTGAGGATTTTGGGTTTCCGGAGCGCTGTGTAAACATATGGTGTTACCATTTTCTTTCTTTCTATCTCTCTTTACAGAGGGATAAGAGATGTGGTCTTTTGCTAGATCTCTTTTATATACTTTTTTTTTCATGAATGGATTTGTTTGACTGCTCTCAATTACTACAATATGGGCAACACTCTGTAATATCCTCGTAGAGTGGGTTGTATGTTAAGACTCCGGTTCATCTAGGGTTGCTCTGGGAAATACTAGCGTCATCAAGTACGCAAAGTGAGTCTGGTAACTCGGAAATTACATGCTGATAATAGCTGTGATAGAGCGACAGATGATCGTAATCAAACTTGACCCCAAAAGATTCTCCCTCCACAACCATGCGAAACCAGAACCAGAGCTAGAGCCACACCAGCCTACTTCTTCTTCTTAGTCTTATCCACCACCTCCACCCACTGACTCTTCAACCCACGACGTGCAAGAGCAGCATCCACAACTTTCCGCTGATCCCCTTGCACCAAAACCTCCATGACCCCCTTCGGCGCCCCAACAGCCTGCGTGACACTCGTACTACTAGCACACTTCTTCTGCAACTCCTCCGCCAACAAGCTCGGGACAATCCCAAAGATCTCCAAATTAGTCACTTTAGTGACAGTCTTGGATCCCGTGCGCTTCTCAAGCGTTACCAGGGCTTTGGGGATAGCGCCAGCCTTGGGCTTAACGTCTGCCAAGGTCTGGCCTGGCTTGAGGATGGCGTAGTGAGGTTGTAAGAAGGTGTGGTCTTCTATGATACGCTTGAGCAGGCCGTCGCGGGTGACTTTGCCGCGTTTGAGGGTGCCTTGGTCTTCTGGGGATGGGGAGGTAAAAATGGTGTTTGCGAGGAAGGGGTTGAGAGTGATGATGCGGCGGTTTTCGGGGGAGATGAGGCTTTGGGATTGGAGGTATTGGTCGAGACAGCTGGAGACTTCGGCGTATTTGTAGTAGTTTTTGGGGTTACTTGATGAGGATGATGGGAATATGTCTGGGGTTAGTTTTTGTGTTGGTCGGTAGAGAGTTTGCACATTCAGGGTCTGTCCCACGGTGTGATCGGCGTCGTCTGTTGTAGTGGGCTTCTTGGCTTCCGAGGTTGATGATTTGTTGGTAGCCTCGAGGGCATTCTTCGATGGTAACTTGTAGGGGACGAATTGCTCAACACGGCGGTCACCAAAGTCGATATCCAGGATGTATGTCTCCTGGCCGCTGCGGTCTTTGGATTTGACCAGTTGCATCTTATCGAGGTGTTTGATGAATTTCTTGACATTCTTCCAGCTGGTCTTTTTGACGTTGTAGTATTGCACTTGTTGTGCAGAGAAGATGGGAAGATAAGGGGTAACGAGGTTGGCGATCAGGGTTGAAGGCGAAACAGGGAATGTGAGACCATAATTGGGGGCTGACGGGTTATCCTGTTTGAGTTTGTAGATGGCATAGATGAAAGCATTGAAAAATGCATCATCAATTTCTAAAAGAGATGTTAGTTATAGCCAGGAAGAATACTTGAAAAAGATCCGTACCCTTCGTTGTGGGCTCTTTTTCCTGCTCGACGGGCTCTTCTTCTTTCGCCACGGGAGGTTCATCTGAAACCTCGTTGACTTCATCACTCTTCTCCTCGAGGTTAAGTCCCCCAACGGCTTCCGATACCTCTTCAGTCTCATCTTCCTCTTCATCCCAGCCCTTCAGATACTCAGGGGCTGGCCGACCAGGCCGAGAGGAAGAGCTCCAGGCCCACAGCTCATCTCCTTCCCAATGGAGACCCCGAACAGCACGACCCTTCGTACCCTGGACCTCTCCCAATGCAGAGACATCAATCTCGCAAACGCCAACAAACAGAGGGACCGTATGTCTGTCAAGCCCTGCCACGGCAACCACCGCTCCCTTGACAGCGCGTTCGGGGAATGGCGGCTCATTTGCTAAACCAGGAGTCATAAGGTCTGCGCCGCCATGTAGCTTCCGCATAACCATTTCCGGTGTATAAAGCAGAGGCACAAAATTTGGGTTGTGCCACAGGGTATAGACCGTGGGGTATAGACGCTTGTCCGATCCGGGCCCATGTTCAACCTTGAACCAAAGCACTCGTTCGTCTCCATCCGGATGTGCGCCAACGTACACAATGCCTTGAAGCTCACGTAGGTCAGGACCTGCTGTCGTTGTGAAACGAGCAGTCAAGGCATTCTCTGGAAGGAGGGCATTCCGAATTGATGCGAGGGTCGGCGCAGTCGCTCCGTCGGCGGGTGTTTCGGTTGTAGCTGCAGGGATAGTGATCTGGTAGTCTTTGATAATTTGGTCCGCAATCTTCCTCCGATCTGAAGACCGTAGCGGAGAGAGGTTTTTGATCTATTAGATGGTGAGCATAGGCTCCCTTAAAGAGATTTCCAAGGGCCCGCGGGCTTCAATAGCTCCGAATGGAGGGGCAGTGCGGGGAGAGAGGGGTGGTCATACAGTAGGCTTCTTCTTGAACATTTTCAAAGATATAGAAGCTAGAGAATGAGGCCCAGGAATTAGATAGCAGCTCCAACACCCCTGGGATGTAAACGAAGGGTAAAGAAGAGAGTGTCAAGGTCGTTGGAGCTCTGATCGTAGCGGAGTCATGGTGATGAGCGGACACAAAATTCCCCGCCGCCCTGCTCCACACTTCCGCCCGAAAAGGGAAGAAGCCGCATTTCTATCACGCCTTTTTGGGACGGATTTGAGATCATCTGAATTTCTAGAGAAATTGAACTGATATCACTACGAGTTTGAACTAAAGGACTGATCAGTAATCTGATCAGCGACCCTCGAGGACTTCGAGTTTTAACCAGATCTTTGCAAGCGACTGTTATTGGTAGTACTAGGCGGGAATATGCACCTTTAAATAGATTTAACCTATAAAAATTCGGGATTCTGGGGCTGTATATTGGGATATTTTATATCATACTGTAGGTACATAGTAGAAAGAGGCTGGATAATGAGGATCCTGATGTTTGAAAGGGTAGCCGAAAGAAGAAAAAACTGGCGCTAGGTAGTATAGAATGCAGGAAGATGGAAGAGTCACCATGCTAATATGTATGGAATCATTATATAAGTAAGTCGTCCCCAGCTTGCCAGTCTGCCTATAATAAGATCTTATAGAAATCACAAGACACGCAATCATGGGCTATAGTCTATACCTAGAAGCAGCCAATATTACCTTCCTCATAGAGTAGCTGAGATCAAATTTACATTATTCACAGCAAAGATCACTAGTCTCTTGTATCCATTGACATACCACAGTCAAGAATTTGAATCGAACAGAAGTTCAAACTAGTTAAACGTCGGACTAAATGACCAACAGGGAGCGTATTATCACAGGGTGGCTGATTCTGTCGGGTCAAAGAAAGTACCTCGTAATTTAGCCTCATGGAAGACTGTAATCAACGAGCCTAAATTTCTATTCTTGACCATAGGTGAATGAGACGGATAAATAATGAAATATGATCCTCCGTACATTCACCAGTCGGCCGGTTGGAAAGACGAGAGTATCGGAGCTTTCCCGATGTCCCCCCGCCCTCGGATATCGTCACGATAAACCGCCCATCACTCCACATCCGAAACTCCGACCTACTAAGCATCATCTTATATCTCAATCTCCATTCTACATCGGTATTATACTTATATTTTCCCTAGCACTATACACCCAAAATGCCCGTCTACCACATCGGTAAGCACCCATCTAACCCCCCTCCCTACCAGCCCCTCCGATCCGAAGAATGCGGGGATGCACATCTACGTCAGTCCTAATGAATGACACACTCCATAAACAGTGCTCTTCCGCCTCAAGCAAGGCGTGACACCAGCCCAGATCAGCATCTGGACTCAAAAGGCCAAGGATATGGTTGGCAAGATTCCAGGTTGGTCAAATCTTCCTTCAACTAAATTCCCATCTCTAAGGGTTCGAGCAAAGCAAGTGCCTGGCTAACACTGCCGATGTAGGACTGGTCTCGATGGAATGTGGTCAGCCACTACCTATCTGTCTCCCCCGTGCAAAGGGATTCGATATGGGTCTCGTGGCGGTCCTTGAGAAGCCGGAGCATGTTGCTTCTTATGCCGTCCATCCGGCTCATTTGGAGTACGTTTGATAGATCTCTATATATGCATTCCCCAGCCAGGTGGGAAACGGCTGAATCATCCAATTATACTGACTTGGCCTGCAGAGTTCACAAGATGAGAGAGGAGCTATGTGATGATACTTTGGCCTATGATTTAGAGTTCTAGAAACGCACTTTGGGATTGGCGGTATAATTGAACAGTTTAAACCACCACCGAAACACAACGCAAGACTTGGACTTGAAACTTGAGTTTGAATCATGATGAAATCAGAATAATTGGAGAGACATAAACGCCTATGTAACTGTGTTCGTATCATCACACTTTTTGATCCCGACCCGACCGATAAGAAAAAAATGCAAATTGAGGTGACGAGCGATCCATCTACTCCTTGGAATCCACCTTCTTCGCTGGGTGGTCACCGTTGGACTCCTCCTCACGAGCGCGCTTCTCACCAGTCGCCTGCACGACGGGAACACCCCGAGCGTCCTTCTTGAAGCCGGTCTTCTGGTCCTCGTCGCGGCGCTCCCGCCAGTCGCGTTTGTCCTCGCGGTCACGATCTCCACGACCACCCCGTCCGCCCCGGCCACCACGACCACGACCACGGCCACGACCGCCACGGCCACCGCGGCTGGTGTTGGCGAAGACCTTGCCAGCCTTAATGTCTGCCACCTTCTCGTCGCAGTACTCCTTCTTGCTCTTCACGATGAGCTCCTGGTCCTTCCACTTGGGCTTCTCAGCAAGCTCCAGGAAGGCCTTTTGCTTCTCCTCGTCGGCGAACTCGACGAAAACGCTGGCCTTGAATGTCTTGTCCTGAGTGCGACGAAGACGGACGGCCTTGATGGGGCCGTAGGGCTCGAAGAGGGCCTCGATATCCAGCTGAGTGGTCGGCTCCTCATCGCCGAAGTTACCGAAGCCCTTAGCGTAGATGCTGCGGGCCATGGCCTTGTCTTCGAAGACCTTGACAGCCTCGGCGTTGTTGTCGTTGTTGACGGACTCGGGCAGAGGGACCTTGCGCTTGACGGCGGTGTCATCGTCGGTCAACTCCAGAGTCTCGGAGTCCTTGAGGGCCTTGACGATGGCCTCGAACGGCTGGAAGCGGCGCATGCGCTTGAAAGAGTGGAGGAGGCTCAAGGGCACGGCGTTGTTGGCGCTGCCGCCAACCTTGGACAGGAGGAACTTGTCCATGGGCAGGTTCGAATCGGAGAAGTAGAACTCGACCTAAACCAAGTGTATTAGAGAGATAATTCTTTCACACCTCACTCATGATCAGTTTAGATTTTTACCTGTTTGCGGATCTCGACGGGGTCATCGGTCTCCTTCTGAGAGGAGGGGTCGAACTTGGCGTTGTTGGTCCGAGTGAAACGACCGCCAGGGCCACCACGCTGGGAGCGCGAGTCGCGCTGCTCCTGAGACTTCTCCTCGGACTGCTCTGACTTCTCGCCGAGCTTGGCGGCCTCGGCGACAATGCGCGCCTCGTCGGCGTCGGTCTTGTCGGCCTTCTCAGCTTCAGTGGACGCACCGTTCTGCTTCAGCTCGGCAAGGACATTCTGGACGTCCTGCTCGGCAGCCGTGTTAGCGGCGGGCTTCTGCTCATCAGCCATTGTGAGAGTTATAGGTAGAGCGATTGCGGCTCGGGAAATGAGCGTAGAGGATGACTCAGTTGCGACGAAAGGCTCCGCAATAGGTTGAATGGTCAAATTGAGTTTTTCAGTGCAAACGGACGGGAAGAAAAGGTAGGAAGAGAAGCTGAAGAGTCAATTCAGTGGGGGCGCAGTGACTGTCTTAATAGAAGAGCTCAGCGGGGATGGGATTTTTTTTCGGAGCGCGGAAGCTGCGTTGTTGCCTGAGGCTGCAGCACTAGGCTGAAGGCGGCCTAGTCGGCGGACCCACTTTGTATAGAGGCCTCCGCAATTGTATGGAATTGTTGTAGACTGGAGAGGCGGGAGAAAGTAGACAATTGGTAGCCTGGACGAGGTCCACGAGGCTTGATTGTCATACACAAGTGGACTCGTTAGTGGCATAACGCTGGCCCCAGAATGAACAAAGTATCAGGCAGGAAGACACCCAGGCAGGCCTTGGTCGCGCCTGCCTCACACTCTCGTCCCAATGTCAAAGCTTCCTTCAGGTTGTCATCTGTCTATCTCAAACGGTAGCCTTCCTCCAGGGGTGAACCTCCGCCTGACCTGGCTGCCATTGACACAACACCGCCTGGTTGTCACCATTTGCGATACTAGGTGCTGCATGCTGCCGACCTTGGAGTTCTGATTGATTCAGACACAGCATCCCCAGCGAGTCTTCACCCTTGCCTTCGGAGGGTCTTGCCAACCTCAAAAGTCGGTCCCCCTTCCAGATTATAGCATCCTTAAGCTGTACCACCCCGCTTGTGAGGAAGGCTACATCAATTTGAAGTACCTCCGCATGAGATCGCATTCAATCTGCTGGTGACAAGCGATGAAAATGACAAAGCCTGGAGAAACCAAGCCAGTAGATGGCTGGCCAGCCAAGGATGTATGTTGGCATTAGTGGTGTTGTGACCTGACTCTAACCTGGTACTTCAGATTGCTTACTTGGCCATCGTCGGCCCATTGATGCTGGCTGCCGCTTTCGAATGGATACTATGGCTTGCAGCCTTTCTTTACTGCCTGGTGAAAGTATATCTCAAGGCAGATCATTGGAGCATAAAGGCTCTTGCAGCAGTGATGGTTGTGCTTTTCACGGTGTTCCGGTTCGTTTACCTCGATCAAGACTAATTGAAGTAGATGACTGACAAGATGAGCACTTTCCAGACTGGCCTTTATTCCTGTGATGGTTGTGACGCTGCCACTACCGCCTCATGTCACCCAGTATGTCCCTGCCCGCATGACAAATGTGTTTCAGTGGTTTGCTTTCTGGTCTTTCTCTATCCTGCTTGTCGGACCGTGGCTCTTCTGTGTTTACGGACTCGTCACGAATCACGTTGCCAGGAAAAAGAGAATCAAGGAAGCCTTGGATGAGCGAAATGCTCCGAAGACCGTGGTGGTGATGCCTGTCTACAAAGAAGACCCCGAGGTGCTCATCAAGGCTGTTGATTCAGTCGTCAACAGCGACTATCCCTCGTCTTGCATTCACGTTTTTCTTTCCTGGGACGGTGGTGCGGTTGACGAGCCCTACCTTCGTGTTATCCATCACCTCGGAATTCCAATTTCCCTCAAGAGCTATCCCCAGAGTATCGACGTGGTTTACAGGGATGTACGAATCACGGTCTCACGCTTCAAGCATGGAGGCAAGCGACATTGCCAAAAGCAGACCTTCAAGCTCATCGACAAAGTCTATGCGGAATATTTGAAACGGCATGACGATTTATTCGTAATGTTCATCGACTCGGACTGCATTCTTGATCAATACTGTCTGCAGAATTTTATGTACGATATGGAGCTGAAACCTGGGAGCAAACATAGCATGCTGGCCATGACGGGAATCATCACCTCCACGACGGAGAAAAACTCTCTTCTGACCATTCTTCAGGATATGGAATACATCCATGGGCAACTTTTTGAGCGATCAGTCGAGTCTGGATGTGGTGCCGTGACTTGTCTGCCAGGAGCACTGACAATCCTTCGATTTTCGGCTTTCCGCAAGATGGCCAAATACTATTTCGCCGACAAGGCAGAACAGTGTGACGACCTGTTTGATTATGGAAAATGCCATCTTGGAGAGGATCGATGGCTCACTCACCTCTTCATGATCGGCGCAAAGAAGCCATATCAGATTCAAATGTGCACCGGGGCCTTTTGCAAAACTGAGGCTGTGCAGACCTTCAAGAGTCTCTTAAAGCAGCGCCGTCGGTGGTTTCTGGGGTTTATTACGAATGAGGTTTGTATGCTCACGGATGTGCGACTGTGGGCGCGGTATCCAATGCTCTGTACAGTACGCTTTCTGCAAAACACCATCCGCACTACTGCACTCCTGTTCTTTATCATGGTCATCGCTCTCATCACAACGTCGAAGAAAGTGGAGGATCTCCCAGTCGGGTTTATCGGGGTCTCCTTGGGACTGAATTACTTGCTGATGTTCTACTTCGGGCTGCAGCTAAAACGGTTCAAGGCCTGGCTGTATCCACTCATGTTTGTCGTGAACCCATTCTTCAACTGGCTCTACATGGTTTATGGCATCTTCACAGCCGGGCAACGTACCTGGGGTGGACCACGGGCTGATGCGGCCGCGGCAGATACCAATACTACGCCAGCAGAGGCGGTGGCATTGGCACGAGCTCAGGGCGATGAATTGAATGTCGACGTCGACACCTTCCGTGCAGGACCTGTACGCCGCAGATCAGTCCCGGTCCGCCCCTCTGGGACAGTTGAAGGACGGTTTGCTCCTGCTGAGCAACTGCTGGATGGCTGCTATATCAACACACGTGGCCCAGGTCCGGCTCAAGCCCGGTTAGAGCCTCCTTTACCTGATGTTCCTCGGATTCATTTCCCCGGCCAGTTCCGTTATTCGTCAGACTCTTTGTTCAGCGGGTCGTCAGATTGCGGTTCTAACACTGTTTCTCTTCCACATAATGTGGAAAGCCTGATGAGTGAAGAGGACCAGCGAAAGCTCTACTACGCCCGCCAGGTTGGGGATGCTATCGGGATGTCGATCATCGAAGATAAGCGCAGCTCTGATGAGAGCTGGTCTGTTGTCTGTGAGCCCGTTGGGACTGCCGTCGAGGCGCTTGATATCGAACCTGCATTGGCCCAACCTGGTCTCCGAGAGTCTGTCTCCACCAATCGTATCTCCCTGCAGTCTATGGACATGCATGAGCCACGAGGGAAGGCTGCAAGGACATCTCGGCGAGGGTCGCGGGGCTCCGATGTAACCGGTGAGATGGTGTAGAAGATGTTATTCTCTGTCTGACGTCAAGTTTTCCTCGTCCCACTTTTTCTGTTTCTTCTCTCTCGGAGCCCAGCACTTTTGCCACGTTGTTCCATACATTCGTACGTATTCTTATGTTCTGTGGCCCCTTGTCTCTTGGCGATGTTTCTTCTTCTTGTGCCTCGTAAGAGGCATGTTCCTCTGTCTCTCTCTCTCTCTCCCGGTTGATTTGACTCGATGCATACGAAGCCGCAGGACTGAGATAGTACAGTAGTATTCTCTATGTTAGAATGAAGCGGTGCCTAATCAGCAACGTCTCCTCCTCCGACGTACTACTATTTCCTGTTCTACCAACCAGCGCCTCGGAAAACCGACCCTGGCGGACCTCGATTACGTAATACGCCACTGGAGGCGGTGGAAATGAAATTTCTTTGCCCCGCCCCCTCTGCAGGCGGTGAAGGCCAAGAAAAGATCCAGCAGCCGCCAGAAGGTTCGATGGGCGCACATTTCGGATCAAAGACAACACGTATTTAGACCACTCATTATAGAATTTGCGGCGCAATAGGCAAAAGATTCCTCGATTTAGCATTTGATTCTCCATCTCTTAATACCACAGAACTTGCCAAATCCATCAGTATTCCCCTGCGGCCGAAGAGAACCTCCAGACCGCTCGAGTATCGCTGGTTATCGATCCCCTCCAATCATAATAGTGGAGTGGCGTGCAAATTCTCCCCTCCAAACTTCTCTCCATCTCTGACTTCCTCCTCCTCATCCTCTCACCCCTCCATTCTTTCCCCCGATATACCCCCCCACATACTCTCCGCCTACAATGTCTGTTGTCGGTATTGATTTTGGTGCGCAGAGCACTAAGATCGGTGTTGCCCGGAACAAGGGTATTGACATTGTAAGTGTTTGCCCCACGGAGCCCAGCCTCGCTGGAGACCTCCTCCCCAATCCTTTTCTTTTTTGATCGCACGTCGCTGGAAAAGATGGTCCTAATGGATTTGTGCTGACCAAAGTTCTACTGTATTGTTAGATTGTCAACGAGGTTTCCAACCGACAGACTCCGTAAGTGACCATCCAATTAAGCCCCTCGTGGCTGCCCAACCTCGCTCGCATCACAATTCAGGAACCAACCGCTTACCTATTTATCTCTATTTTACAGTTCCCTGGTCGGATTCAATTCCCGCAGCAGAGCCATCGGCGAGGCCGCCAAGACACAAGAGACTTCCAACTTGAAGAACACCATCGGCTCTCTCAAGCGCCTGATCGGCCGTTCTTTCAACGACCCCGATGTTCAGATTGAGCAGCAGTTCAACTCCTCCAACATCTGCGATGTCAATGGATTGGCTGGTGTTGAGGTTAACTACCTCGGCAAGAAGGAGAAGTTCACTGCCACTCAGCTGGTTGCCACATACTTGACCAAGATCAAGGATATCACCTCCAAGGAACTCAAGCTCCCCGTCTCCGACGTCACCATCAGTGTCCCCGCCTGGTTCAGCGATGTTCAGCGCCGGGCTATGATTGACGCCGGTGAGATCGCCGGTCTGAACGTCCTCCGCCTTATTAACGACACCACCGCTACCGCCCTGGGTTACGGTATCACCAAGCTCGACCTGCCCGGTCCCGAGGAGAAGCCCCGCCGTGTTGTCTTCGTCGACATTGGTTACAGCGACTACACTGCCACTGTTGTCGAGTTCCGCAAGGGTGAGCTGAACGTCAAGGCTACCGCCTGCGACCGTCACTTTGGTGGCCGTAACTTCGACCAGGCTCTGACCGAGCGCTTCGCCGACGAGTTCAAGGAGAAGTTCAAGATTGACATCCGCACCAACCCCAAGGCCTGGTCCCGTACTCTGGCTGCCGCTGAGAAGCTCAAGAAGGTCCTGTCGGCCAACCCTCAGGCACCCCTGAGCATCGAGTCCCTCATGGAGGACACCGATGTCCGCACCTTGGTCAAGCGTGAGGAGCTCGAGGAGATGGTCAGCCCTCTCCTTAACCGCCTCACCGTCCCTCTGGAGCAGGCCCTCGCCGAGGCTAAGCTCACCATCGAGGACATCGATCACATCGAGATGGTCGGTGGCAGCACTCGCGTTCCCTCCATCAAGGAGACCATCAGCAAGTTCTTCGGCAAGACCCTGTCCTTCACCCTCAACCAGGACGAGGCCATTGCTCGTGGTTCCGCCTTCTGCTGTGCTACCCTCTCCCCCGTTTTCCGTGTCCGTGACTTTGCCGTTCACGACATTGTGAACTACCCCATCGACTTCACCTGGGAGCAGTCCCCTGACATTCCCGACGAGGACACCAGCCTGACTGTCTTCAGCCGTGGTAATGTCATGCCCTCGACCAAGATCCTCACCTTCTACCGCAAGCAGCCCTTCGATCTCGAGGCTCGCTACTCTAAGCCCGAGCTGCTGCCTGGCAAGATCAACCCCTGGATTGGCCGCTTCTCCGTGAAGGGCGTCAAGGCCGATGCCAACGACGACTTCATGATCTGCAAGCTCAAGGCTCGCCTGAACCTGCACGGTATCCTGAACGTCGAGTCTGGCTACTACGTTGAGGATATGGAGGTCGAGGAGCCCATTCCCGAGGAGAACGAGCAGAAGGATGGTGATGTAAGTTTTGCAAACCCCGTAACTTATATTTGGTATCTAGATACTAACACTTCCTTTTGCAGGCTATGGACACCAACGGCGAGGAGCAGCCCAAGAAGACCCGCAAGGTCAAGAAGCAGGTCCGCAAGGGCGACCTGCCCATTGCCTCAGGCACCGGCGGTATCGACCAGGCCACCAAGGAGACCTGGACCGAGCGCGAGAACGCCATGTACATGGAGGACAAGCTCGTTGCCGAGACTGACGAGAAGAAGAACGAGCTTGAGGCTTCCATCTACGAGCTCCGTGACAAGATCGACGGCGTCTACTCCGAGTTCGCCAGCGAGGAGGAGAAGGACAAGCTGCGGGCCAAGCTGACCGACACCGAGGTGAGTAACTTTACATGCACACGCCCAGTAACTTGAGATAAACCTAAACTGACTTGATTTCTCTAGGACTGGCTGTACGAGGAGGGTGAGGACACCACCAAGTCCGTCTACGTCTCCAAGATGGACGAGATCCGCTTCATCGCCGGCCCTATCATCCAGCGCTACAAGGAGAAGGTCGAGGAGGAGCGCGCCGCTGTCCTCAAGGCCGAGGAGGAGGCCGCTGCCAAGAAGCGCGCCGAGCTCGAGGCGATGAAGAAGGCTGCCGAGGACCTCCGGAAGGCCGAGGAGGAGCACAAGAAGAAGCTCGCCGCCGAGTCCGGTGATGCCGAGATGCAGGATGCTCCCGCCGAGGGTGAGGCTACCCCGGCCGAGGGCGAGGAGAAGCAGTAGATATTGTCGATCCTTACCTAGACTATCTACGGGTTTCCTCGCGAGTTGACTTATGTGATTGACGGGCGGGAAGCATGTTGCATCTTGGAAGAAAAACATATTGATGCATGTGCTCCTCTCGCATGATGACGAAAAGGCTTTTTAAGAGATGTTTTTCACGGACCCCCCTAGACCCGACTGGTGATGTTGCTGGTTGGACCATTTTTTTTTTCTATCTTTGTTCTGCTTTTTTAATGGCACCCCAGTTATGATGTAGATCGTTTCTTTCTGGATGAATAGATGAATTCAAATCATACCTGAGGATTTTTGTATGATCGCCTAAGTACAAGGGATTTAATGGGAAGGACCTTGTAGAATGACCACAGGAAGCAGAGACAGCCCGGTCATCTTCTGGCCCCCTTCGGACTCTTCAGCCCTATGATGATCGCGGCGAAGATCACCTTTCCCCGGCGTCAAGGTTGCTTCCGCAGGATCATCGCCGAACCAGTGTTCCTCTGCGCGATCTGCAGCGTAAGGCTGTGGCAGGGAAGGGGCCAAAAGTACCCTATCTAACTTACGACCGAGCAGGTTTGAATCCAGCAAGTTGAAGTATCTGGCTATGTGCTACACAGGGGAGTCAATAGGGCAGCCTGTATAAGCTGAGTGCTTTGGTGGTCGCATGTAGTCAGCCCTAGGCTCTATTTGCGTAGGACCTCGCTCGGACATTTAGACAAGCGGTTGACGGGAATTATTGATCTTCCGCCAGGTAACTGGGTACAGTACATGGTATCCACGATTGGAAGACTGGCTTTGTGATCCATTATTATTCGCCAAGGCTAGCCAGGTGAAATAAATCTGGTTGCCGGTACGGCTCAGGGATATAGGACGAAGGATACATCAGTCCGGAGACGGACTCCTAGGAAACCAAAGGAGCTGTGTGCAAAGGTCACCTCCACAGTAATTAGTAACTAAATAGACTCGCTAGTTAACTAGTTAGCTCGCCGTTGCAGCTGAATAGAGTAATGACCCATCAGGCAACAATGTTGGAGTTGTCACCACTCGCCAAATTATTAAGGCCGTTCAAATTCCTGCAGTGCACCGAAGGGGGGTTTCTTGGCGGGTGCCAAGAAAATGCACTCGCTTTCGCTTGGGTTCCGGTCCTCGTTTGCGGCCCCCTGTGGGTCGAGGGGAGACCGTACGAGTTCATGATTCATACATGATTCAAGTCCTGGGTAGGTTAAGGTTTAATTATCTGGAACTACATTAAGTCATGGCCCCGACGGCTATTCCTTTCCCCCTGATTCTTCCATTAGTGCAGTACTAACGACTCCGTCTTGGAGTAGTGCGCTCGGCGGCTCCTCGAGTGGAGCCCGCTGGGCTTAACCGAGTAAGCCGGCACGCGAGTCGCCAAGTTGGATGGGAGTGGTAATCTTAGCTGCTTCAGTTCTTCAGGGATACGATCCAAGACACCCGAATCCTCAATCCTACCCTACCATTTTGCGACTTATGATCCCCCTGTCGAGAATGATCAGAGGAGACACTCTCCTCCTCCCCCTCATTCTGAAGGTTTCCTCCCTTTCCTACTAGGGTATGGGGTACGAAGGATGACGTTTCCCCCCCGGATCGTCGTATTCGCATTCCTTTCTGAGCTCCTCCTTCTCCTGAGGGCTCGCGCTCATTAGATGACACAAAATTCGACCATTAGGAAGATGAAATACACAGTTCCCATTCTCACCCTGGGGAATCCCTGCTGCCACGACCCTAGAATTGAGGCAATTGACAGGAGAGACGGCATTAGGCCCTTCTCCCATCCATCTTCTGCTTGTATCCTCTTCCCTGCTTCTCTCTCGCGTTCAATCTGTAATTGTCCACTCCTGGATCCATCAGTGGGGAAGGCCATCCGGCTGAATCCGCCCCGCTCGCACCTGTTTGTACGCGCACTTCGGACGCTTTGCGCTGGAATTTCTGAACAGCCCAAGCCAAGGCCCTGATCTTCGGATTGGTCGGATCCAAGTCGGATGGGTTCTTGGTTCTGCGCCTGGTTCTTGCGGAGTCTACTTATCACTGACCTGTTCTCCCTTTCCCCCCTCCCCTCCCCTCCCCTTCCCTCTCCTCTTGCTTGGCTGGGAAATTTTTTCTATGATCGCAGTGTAACTTCGCCGCTTCCTTGATTTTGGTCATTCTTCGACTTTTTTTTCTTTCATTGCTCAAGGTCTCACCGATATCCCTTCTCCCTATTACTATTGCTATTGCTATTGCTCTTGCTATCGCTCGTGTATATAGCGAATCTCCAAGGTCTAACGGGGAAGCAACACATCCTTCGCATTCTTTCTCGTCGGTCCATGCGAAACGAAACGAATCAACTGTGCTCCGGTTTTGCTTGTACTGCCCCGACTTGATCGCAAATCACCAATAGCTCCACAATGAGCATTGGGCTTTCCACGCGCGCAAATTCGCTCCGCCAATAGACCTATCGGAATTCGCACGACTCCCATCCTCGGCCGGAGATGCAGTGGCGAACGTGGGCGACGCTCGTCTCTGCACTCTGGTCCACTGCGGTGACGGCTTTGCCCGGCTCCGAGGCACCCCGCGATAGTAGCAGCAGCACACCTTACACCGACCCAACGCTCAAAGACCCGTTATGGCTGAAATACAGCCTCAATGCTTCTGCCGAATATAAATACTTTCATGAACCGGGTCACGACGATATCCTCGGCCACTACGATGTGCGATTCTTCACCACGCCCGTGAGTGATTCGGAGCGCGCAGAAACCCTGACACACATGATTCGCGCATACCTGAACTTTTTCGACGAGAATGACCTGGAAACCTGGATTGCGCATGGGACGTTGTTAGGCTGGTGGTGGAACGGGAAGGTGAGCACGCGCCGGGATTCCTATTTTGGAAGCGTGGATGGCGAAGAGGGGACTGTGTTAGCTGACATGAGGAATTATGCAGATTCTCCCTTGGGATTGGGATATGGATACTCAAGTCCCCGATACGACGCTCGCATACCTTGCCGACCACTATAATCAAACCATTGTCGAGTACGTGACACCCGGAGGAAAGGATAAGCGCGACTACCTGCTGGATATCAATCCATGGTCGCGGCAGCGAGAGCGCGGCAAGGGCCATAATATCATCGATGCACGATTCATTGATATTACGACGGGTCTGTATATCGATATCACCGGGCTCAGTAGGCTCGAGCTGGATGATCATCCGGATATCTGGCAGTGCAAGAACTTCCACAAGTACCGGCTGAAGGATATCTACCCGTTGCGCCACACGACGTTTGAGGGCGCTCCGGCCAAGGTACCTTTTCAGTATGATGCACTGTTAATGGAGGAGTATACCGAGGCGGCACTGACTACGACTAAATTCCACAAGTAAGTCTTCTTTCGCTTGCAATTCCCTTGCATAGAGTTACACTCGCATCCAATTTGAATTCGTCTCTAGAGAGTTTATGTGCTAATCATGCCTGCCGGCAGTCACACTTGGCTCCCAGCTTTAGCCGAGTGGATCCCAGACGAGACGATTGCGAACTTCGCCGTTGATTTGCCTGAAGATGGACGATACGAATAATTTTCTGTCCCACGTTTCTCCTTGAATGCGCAGAATACTTCTTTTCTTTTGGCATCATGGGCCTACTTTCGCCCTTTCATTCTTTTTTGGGTTCTCGATCGAGAAGGACTTTTGCCCCGATCTCATATTGGACCATTATTCCTTCACATATTGCATATTCCACTTTTTCTGCATTGCACCTCCCAACCCGATGACTGTTATACTTGGTCCATTCGGTGCTAATTTTGTTGCACATATGGCATGTCACATCTGACATTTGGGAAGGGAGTTGTTCGGGGTTCTGGTATCTACATGTTGATATACATGTTCTGCGGCGTTAGGATCTGGAAGGAACTACCACTCTGGAATGCCATGACTATTGAGTTCTTGTCCACCTTTAGGACGTACAATCCATCCCTTTAATCGTGTATCACGTCATCACCTATTCCCATGGTTCTCCACTTTTTTTTTCTCTCTGCCTCAGGCCTCAAGGGGCCTTATCTCCGCGCTGACAAAGCTATCACCGTGGAACCCCGTCGAAGTTCGCCTCAGCGCCTGCCGCTTTGGGACGGCTCCTCCATTTATTTAGTTAACATCGTTGGCTTCTCTCCATCATCACCCCCTCCAGTTCACACATACTCGACATAGTCGTTCTGAAAGTGTCCTCTAAACACATCTGAACTTCTCATGGACTCGACCATGGACCTCATCGTCCACTACCATGGCACCCCGCACAGCTTTCAACTCTCTGCCTCGGCAACATTACAAGATCTCTCCGCAGAGATAGAATCTGCCCTCAACATTCCCACGGAGAACCAGAAGCTCCTCATAGCCCCCAAACCTGGCATGCAAAAGGCGCCCTTCCCACCAACTCAACTCACAACCCTCCTCCCCCTCGACTCGCCCAAATTCAAAATCACCCTCCTCGGCACCCCAGCGAAAGCCATCGCAGACCTCCACGAACAATCCGAATCCATACGCAAACGCCAGGAAGCACGCGCCTCCGCACTCGCCGCTGCCCGGCGCGCAAATCACAAACCATCCCCATCCAACCGCGGTGGCATCCACACACTCTCCTCCTCATCCGCCAACTACACCTTCCACCGCCTCCTCCCACTCTCCTACCTCCCACGCCCAGAGCGCTCCCTCGAATTCCTCAAACGCCTCCGCGACGACCCCGGCATCCGCGCAGCAATGGCCAAACACAAATTCTCCGTCCCGCTCCTTACAGAAATGAACCCAGCCGAGCACACGACCAGCGAGTCGCGCACGCTCGGCCTAAACCGCAACAAAGGCGAGGTCATCGAGTTGCGTCTACGCACCGACGCCTACGATGGATACCGCGATTACCGGACTATTCGGAAGACGCTGTGCCACGAGCTGGCGCATTGCGTGTTTGGCCCGCATGATCGCGACTTTTGGGATTTGACGGCGCAGATTGAGCGAGAGGTGGAGCGGGCGGATTGGAAGTCTGGGGGTAATCGGTTGACGGAGCAGGACTTTTATGATCCGGGGGATTGGGAGAGGGTGCAGAGTGGGGAGGAGGTGATTGATGAGCAGGGGTGGACGGGTGGAGAGTTTGTGTTGGGTGGATTGGGGGTGGATGAGGCGGGACGGAGTGCTGGAGGTGGAAATGGGTCTGGGTCTGGGTCTGGGACGGCGACGGGGTCGTTGTCCAGGAGGGAGATTCTGGCTAGGGCTGCGGAGGGGAGGATGCGGAGGGAGAGTCCGAAGGAGAAGCAGGATGATGCTTGATGATGCTTGATGATTATTAGCGTGGGCTTTGGCTCTCATGTTCATGACTTGTATATTTGCATTTGCCTTTGCATTGTTGATTCGATGATTTGATACCCTACCGGTCGTCTCACTATATAGACCGTTCTTCCGTTATTACATGCTTCTCAAAACCATACAGATTGATTACCCTGACTAGACTCTAGAGGTCCAAACAAAAGATCCCCGGGTGAGCAAGAACTTAGTCTTACAAACGGGCACCCAGCAGGAGCTAACTGGACCAACGACTTATCCGAGACCTCTCGTTGAGGTTCATGCAAAGATTTACTCACGCTCGATTCCTGAGCCTGGAAAGAAAGAGTGAAGATATGGAGTACAATGAACTGAGATGGTTGAATTATTGCACGGGCTACGTGAGTCCTCGTTGTTGCTCTCCACTTTCTTATAGCTTGAACAACGCAGTTGTTATGGAGGCTGCCGGTGGACCTGTAGTACATCCTTGGATGTCTTGTATAAGTGGATATTACTCTAGACATTAAGAGGGCTCATATGTATGTCGCTATGGTAGCCCTAACTGCGGGTATTTGTTAGTAAGCTGAGATCGAGACTGCCTCTCTCTTCGAACGAGGTAGGACACTCGAGATAAGATTGAAAAGCTTTCATAAAGGCTCTTGGATGAAATTTAGAAACAATAGATAAACGCGAGTCTAGCTGTACATGATCAATAAATCATCACTCAAGATAGTAGCTCGAGCAGTCGCTCGCGTAGTATGGACTTGAACAAGAATGCAAATTAATAGCAGACAATTATAAAAAAGAAGATATGTAACATTAAAGATTGTCCTTTGTCCTTTTTGACTTCTTCACATAAAAAACTCCAAGGGTATATCATTGTGCTTGCTCACGGCGATGAGGTTTAATTTCAAAAACCAGACGTCAACGTATCCGCATAGATCCTGTCCATCATCATGGACCCGCAACTTCCCTACTTGATTTCATTTCAAATATCGAGGGTGTGCACATAGGCCAAAAGTCCAATGCGACTTTTAGTTGCCAGTACCACACTGAGGGCAGAACCGGCTGGACACAGCAGTACCGCACTGGCCACAGTATCTGAAGGCAGTGGCAGTAGCCTCCTTAGGAGGGGGAGTGCCAACGCTGGCCGGGTAAGGTGCCGGGCTGGCAGGCGAGCGAGGGAACTGGGCAGCCATAGGCTGAGGAGGGTAAGTTGGCTGGGGGGCAACGTAGCCCTGCTGAGGCACGGGCTCCATGGGAGTCGGGTTGTTGACGTAAGTGATATTGTTCTGGACGAAGCGGCGGCGTTGCACGCAGAAAACAATGAGAAGAACCCAGCCGATGAACTTGCAGACACCGCCGAGGGCGATCATGGCGATACCGCCGTACCATTCGCCCGTGTTGCCATCGAAACAGGAGTAGTCGTAGCTGTAGGAATAGTAGGAGCTGGAGTAGCAGTTGGAGTAGCCGGAGTTGAGGTAGGTGCCCATCAAGGCACCGCCGATGATGAAGAAGATGATGGCGGCGATGAAGAAGCTGATGCACCACCATTTGGATATCCCCTGACGGGGAGCTGTGCCGTATTGCTGCATTGTTGAGGAGAGATTTGAAGGATTGAAGGGTCGATGTAAGGAAAAGAAGGCAATATGAGAGAGAGAGAGAGAGAGAGAGAGTTGATAGTTTGTTCGATGGATATCAGCCCAGTTGGGATGGGAAAGAGGAAACGAAGGAAGAAATCAAAATTCAGCCTCAACGGCAGATGAAGGGAGGAATGAACGAGTCTTAAAGGGGGAACCAGAATTAGACTCTTCAGCATTTCCTCCCAAAGAAGCAAAAGCTCGAGATAAAAATTGAATTCGCTAAAAATAATTACGATGTGACTAGTCTGTAGGTTCACCAACTCATCGACGAGAAGGCTAGTCCGCTCGAACACGAGATTTAGCTCATACTTTTCTAGCCCAGTGGATTCTTGTCTTCCAATGAGAAGCATGGATGAGACCATTCATCCTCTTGGCTACGAGGCTAATTTGATCCTCATTGACCGTGTGAATGACAGCGTTCGTGATCCTCCACCCCACTGAATAATATTAAGGTAAAAAGCAAAGTTAGACACTAAAATGAAGGAACCAAGTTGATGGATGCTGCATGTTCCTACTTTTTTTTTCCGAAGCTAGAAGAACACTTTCACGCCTGGCTAATACAAAGAAACAGTCATTTATCATTCAGTGTCTCGATTGTTTACAAGATGTGTTTTCAAACTCTTTTGAGTATATCCAACTTGCCATACCCAAACAAGGCACCACTCTGGATCGGCAGAGCCTCTGCACTCAAAACACGAGGCGGAGTCTCGCCCAAAGCAAGGATCAGGGATCGGCCGATTTTCTTTCCAAGAATAAAACCCACAAATCTCCAGTCTTGCCTCTGGCCGTCTCGTATTCATGAGGGTCCCTGCGTTATCCATGCCTAGGATGACCCTTTTTTCCATGTCTATCGTGACACACCAGAGAGCCGCATCTCCTTGGCAATAGACTCTGCTAAGTTGCTAACCCATTTTTACTCAGCCTAAAGTTTAATGACCACCACCTGAACAACGAACAATTAAACACAGCCCCACTGTTACGAGATGTGGAGGATAGCTTGGAGAGCATCACAGGAGCACCGCCGAGATGGGCTTGATTTTACTCCACTAGACCCTGATTTCTTTGTTCTTGGCTTGGTTTTCTTCGTGCTCATCTCGGATCTTACAACGAAGGCGACTCTCTACCAAGGACACATCCTCAGGAACACATACAGAGCCATGGACAGAGTCAACAATATGAGTAGCAAAACAAACACCCCATTTCCAAATGGTGGAGGATCGGTTTCCTGACCACGTCGCTCATTTTCATCGCCATCGGCGAGGCATTAGTCGGCGATGCACTTGGAAACATTTCAGCAAACACCGACACAATGCTATTCGCCTCATTTGCTTTATTCGGTGTCGCATTATTATTCCACATCCTCTACTGGGTCTGCTGGGCAATCCGGCGGCGACACATAAACGTATTTAACAACAGAATCTCACAATCATCTATCTTGATGCCGCAGGTCGGCCCTACGCAACTACTACTATAAAGCGAACATACAGGCATGTCCCCCCCCCCCCCCCCCCCCCCCCCCCCCCCCCCCCCACACCGACCAACAATCCTCCGATGCAGTATCAACAACCGATGAAATATTCCGCTGCGCAACATCGCCATCCCCAGCCACAGCCACAGGCGCAGGCGCAGGCGCAAGCTCTGAGGAAACAGTCCGATGGATATGCAAGGGCAGAACAGGGGACGGATGCGCCGCAGCCTTCGGAACTTGCATTACAGCAGCCATCACATATCGCTACTGTCGAGTTGGCGGCCCAACAGCGGGTGGAAATGGCTGGCAGTTCTGTACCTGTCGCCCACTATAGCCAAGAATTCAACACGAAGGTAACAGCCACGGACAGGCTTGACAAAAGGTGAGTGGCATTGAGCTTCCAAGTTGGCACCGTCATGTTCCTTTCTGGACCATGGGAATGCTGCTTCTGATATAGTATCGTATTAAATAATGTTTATTCTAAATGCTGGCTACTAAAAGAAGGAACCATAGGCGCGTCCTTATCTCACACAAATCGAACTATGCCGCACATAGTCTGAGCCTCAGCATTGACGGTGAGAATGGCGAAGTAGTAACCATTTAATTGGTGGGACTATGAATCCAGCGTCACGAAAGAGAGCAAACAAAAATAAAAAGACTGAGTTGACCCTCAAATAAGCTTATCCTATTTCGGTCCTCGCTAGCCCCCGGACAGTCTCCCGCCAGTTTGAGTTCTTACCGCGTCCACAATAACCCAAGCCATACCTGAAATTGACACATGCCGCGAATACGGGTTGATTATATGCCAAGCGCACGGGTGCAAATTAAAGGAGTTTCGCAGAGTTTCGCACGATGCATTTATTTGGTTCGATCTGATACTATAATTGAAAATATTGGATATACATATTTACAGCTGCTCATTGACAAACAATCCAGCCATACCCTGGCCAGTGCCAATACACATACTAGTGACCAGGATCTTCTTCTTCGTCCGGCGCGCCTCGCTCAGGATCGTGGCGATCTGGCGCGCGCCAGTGGCTCCCAAGGGGTGGCCCAGCGCGATGGCGCCACCACGCGGGTTAACCTTAGCGTGATCGAGACCCAGATTTTGGACGCAGTACACAGCCATCGAGGCGAAGGCCTCGTTGATCTCGTAGATGTCAATGTCGTTCTTGTCCAGGTTGAACTTGCTCAGCAGCTTGGGGATGGCAGCGGTAGGGCCAATACCCATAACGCGAGGGGGCACACCGGCAACGGTCGCGCCGCAGAACTTGGCTAGGATGGGCTGGTTCAGCTCGATGGCCTTGGAGCGGCGCATCAGGAGGACAGAGGCGGCTATCATCGAAAGTTAGTATTTTTTTCTCTTTTTAATTCGATTGTGATATTTCATCGCAGGGAGACGGGACAAAGACATACCACCATCGGTGACCTGGCTGGAGTTTCCACCAGTCGACTTGTCACCGAACTGAGGGAATGCAGGGCGAATCTTCGACAGAGACTCAAAAGTAGTTCCAGGGCGAATACCATCATCACGAGTGAGAGTGACCTGGTGGACCTCACCAGTCTTGGGGTCCTTGACCTTCACGGAAATGGGGGCAATCTCATCGTCGAACCAGCCGGCCTTCTGGGCGACCTCGGCACGACGGAAAGACTCCGCAGCATAGCGATCTTGCTGCTCACGCGAGATGCCAAAGTCCTTGCCAACATTCTCAGAGGTCTGACCCATGGGCTGCATGCAGTCAGCGGCCTCCTGGTTGCGCAGAACCTCCTCATTGAAGGGACGCTCGAGACGGTCGCCAGGGGCAGACATCAGCTCCGCACCCATGGCGATACCGACATCGATGGCACCCATGGAGATCTGGTTGGCAATATCCTGCACGGCCTTCAGGCCGGACGAGCAGAAGCGGTTCACTGATGAAGCGCCAGCGGTGTGCGGGATGCCGGCGGCCAGAGACGCCGCGCGGACCATGTAGGCGGCCTTGGCCTCGTTGACCTATCTCGAGGTTAGACGATTGAAATGGCCTAAAATAGCTTTGAATTTGCAGGAGATGCATACATTACCCAAGCAGACATCCTCGACAAGGGCAGGGTCAATCTTGGACTGAGCCAGGGTCTCCTTCAGCAGAGCGTACACAATATAGTCCAACTCAGAATCCTTGAAGCCACCCTTGCGGGCCTTGGTCAAGGGAGTGCGCAGGGATAGTGTGATAACGACATCGTCGGGGTTCTTCTGGGTACTGATTCCATTGTCAGTTTTGCTGAGCCTTGCTTTGCCGAGTTGCCGCGGATCTTACATAGCACTGACACCGCTGCTGGTGCCCTTGAGATGGCTCAAGATAGAGCTCAGACGGTCTGCGGCCATGATGAATTATAGAAAGAGAAACTAGATGAACAGAGACTGTCAGTACATTGCTCGCCGCGTTGTGTATGTCGGGGTCTTGAGATGCGGAGAGGAGATTTCGGTTATTGCGGGGAAGTTTGTGGCGATCGGTTGGACGCGGGAGGAATACAAGGTGCTGCTATGCAGGTATACAGATCGCAAGAACTGATTCACTCACAAATTAAACAGTAACACACAGGTCTCTGAGAACAGAAATGAGGGTGAGATGGAGGAGGGAGGAGAGGACAAGAAGTCGAGTTGGAAGGGCGGAGACTCTTTAAGCTGACTCCGAAAATGCCGAGGCTCTTTCGTTGCCCGCAGAGTACCCGGTCGGGTAAGGGGTACCTAGCTGGAATACGCGAAGCCCATACTGTTCCAGGTATCCAATACTTCACATCGTCGAGTGGACTTCTGTCCGCAATCTGCGGAGTCAATGTGCCTAGGCTTATGTTCGGGAACATCTTATAATCAAACTAATAACTAGTTAACTTAGGTATTTAGACTTCTGATGAATAATAAGAATGAAGTTCAATGACTAAGATCCTCCCAAATCTGACATCGGCTTAATCACCGATTCTCTACCAAGGCACAACCCCATTCTCATCAGAGTATACTCCCGACTCTCCATCAGTCGAAAGAGTTGCCAGTCTCACAATGTTCACCGCAGACTCCGAGGCAGGTCTACCTTTCACCCACCCACGCGCAAAGTTGGTATCCGTCAAGTTCGGACATGACCCATTCACCTTCCACCCCTTGTCATTAAATTTGGCCGCATAATGCAAAGTCAACATGTTTAAAGCCGCCTTGCTACTGCGGTAAACCGGGAATGAAGGACGAGACCACTTTGCATATTCAGCGCCCAAAGAATCAACTCGCAGACCCAAGGACCCCGTGTGCGAAGACACAAAGACAATGCGGGCTGGGGCAGACGTGGATTTTTCCAAAAGTGGTGTGAATGCCTCAGTGACCATTGCCGCGCCGAAGAGATTGACGTCGTATACGTCCCGGAACAACTTGCGCTGCTGAGCAAGATCAACTTTGCCAGGCTGAGATGCACCCTCTTCCCGTTGCTTCTTATGTTGCTCGATCATGATATCGATCTCGGTGTTGATGCCCGCATTGTTGATTAGGACATCTAGTCGGCCGTACTTGGATTCCACCAGGTCGGCTGCTTGCTGTATCGATGCATCGTCTGCCACGTCGATGGTGATGGACTGGATGAATTCACCGGTAGGATCGAGCTCATTTGCCGCCTTGGCACCGCGCGAGGCGTCGCGAGAGCCAAGTAGAATGAAGTAGCTCTTGTAAGCAAGAAGGCCCTGGGCTACTGCGTAGCCAATCCCTTGATTGGCCCCGGTAATGAGCACGATGGTGCGAGGTTCAGTAGTCATATTGGAGATAAGACAAGAAAGACAAATATGGATGGTGTTAATCCCACGCTTTCCCTACAAAAGAAGTCCCCTCATGAACTGCTTATATACATTTTTGATGCTGTTCATTCCTTGAGATATTCTCCGGAGATTGGCCGTTAAGTCCGATCATCCTACGATCTGATCAGTTCGCAATCTCCGTCATCACGTGACTCGCCGCCTTTGAAATTTGGATGTTTGGTTGATGGTTACCCCACATATTTTCTCCTTAAGCTCTCGCTGCCTGATATTGCAGGACAAAACTTTCCTGTAGCTGTCAGAGTGGCCATTAAGTTGGCCATATAGCTATTAGGGCGGAGTGTTATCAGAAAGGGGCTTTTCCCCCTAATATTATGGTGGTCTTAAGAGGTCTCCCCCTAATATAAATCATATACTAGCATCAAGACTCCGAATTAGCGGTCAGATTAGCCATTGAATTGGCTGTAGCCTTTAGCCGTGAGATTAACATATACAAGTAAGACTACGCTATATAGAAGATGGACCGAAAATACTATTTAGCGTATATGATAAGGCGCTACGCTTCGCACTTTTGGGTGTCCCACACTCCCACTTATGGGAGGCCCTTGTAGTAAATACCAGTCAAGTTACCAAAATTAGGGCGCTACGAGCTTAGCTGGCGAGTGTGTATCTGAGATTGGAAGCATGTGGCGCTTTTGATGCTACCAAGTTCTCGATAGCTGGGTATTCTCAGTGCAGGGTTTTAGAGCGCTACCTGCTCTGTTATTTAATGTGGTAGAAGGCGAAGATAATGTCAGTTGAAATTCGTGATACCATTCGGGTATAGGGCTGCCATAGGTGTTGCAAAGTGAAACACACGGAGACCACTGCCGGAAGCAGTACCGTTCTTAGGCAAGCAATCCAACATAACAAACCTCTCCCTGGGCGATATGCTCAAAATAGGGTAATACAAAAGTTAGAGTTCACTCCCCGTCACAAGGAGCAGCCACAAAATTGCTTGAAAACCTCGGCACCTGATGCCGACAGACGAGGAATTTTAGCATTACATTGTAAGAGCTACAGCATCATGATTGATTTAACTTTTGGCAGGTATGTTGCAAGTTCCATCAGTTAAGCATAGATAGCAAGATAGCGAGGAAAAGTTGAAAGCACCTAATCCGAAGGCATCGGCATCGGAATAGAGATCTGTCCAGGTACAAGTTCCCTCTCAAGCTCGCGCAGCCAACGATGTAGGCAGGAAGCATAAATATTAGGATGACCAAGTTGTCTTTCCCACTGCCCTCGAACCCAACAACAATGTAACACGAAAATCACAATGTCACAATCACGTAGATACACTGAGCTAGCGTACTCTACTTGACTCTTGTGGATATCTCCATGTCTCTCCGCATCATCTTCATATGCTCGCATATAAGGAGATTCCTCAATAAGCTCCTTAGTATGGATAGTTCCGTACCAGAATAGGCCTTCTTCAGGCAGCGGGTGAAGACGGGCACGAGGTAGCAGATAGGCATTAACAACGTCGCCGATTCGCAGTCGTTCTCCCTTCAACTGAACTTTCACTTCGGTGTATGCAGGACCATCCACTGCCCCTCCGTCCTTCTCCACAAGTCCAATACATGATCGAGGAGGTTGCTGAAACAACATTCGTGACCAACTTGCCCCCTCTCGGAGAAAGCAATCGTCATCCCCAGGTCTAATTTCAGGTATCTTTGCCCCGCCTTTAACAGGGGCTGCTCCCCATTTCTTCGTATGTGTTGAGCAAAACCATGGCCAAATACGTTTATCCAGTAACGGATTGCGAATGGCTGGTGTTCCGTGTGGTAGGGTATACCTTACACGCTTAAAAAACAGGGCAGCTTGTAGGTCGGCCGAGTATTGGATTAGATCATGCCATTTATGACAGACCCTTTGAGCTGATGTGATTAGTGTTTGCATATCGGTCTCGACCAAAATCATTTCCAAGATTTCAATTACCAGGAGAACTCTGTGTGGCTCTGTTGATGCCATGATTTCAAGAGAATTTGATATTTGATGGTGGGAATGTTGGAAAACATAGGATGAAGGAGAGAGAGTCTTTATAAAGTATGCTATAGCACGATGCAGGGGTTGTTAAATCAAACAGATGTCGGCCGTCTACAGTGTTACCATACTGGGCAAGCTTGTCGCAACTCGGGCTGCGGACAGGGGCCGCAGCCCTTTTTAGCAAATCTCAACAAAACCCCCGCATGTTTATTATAAGTATTGCTGTACTATTAGCCTCGGCTCCCCACTGGGGGTTTTTTTTCCGAGTGACCTGGTCATCCTTTGTAATGTTTAGCATGGCCCGGAGGCCAACCCAACACTCTCTGTAATCTACACACCAACCCGAAATGCCGAAGGAACATGAGACGGTGGAAGCTGTGTTTGATCCCAATGAGACGTTAACCGGAAAGCGTAACACTACCTCCTAGTAATAATGGCCATGACCTCGGAGCCTCTCTGCCTCTACATATCCTCCATTGCTTCATCATCGCCGGCCGAGCTTCTCAACTTACGGCGACGTGATTGTGACCCGCGACTTGAAACCGGAGATTGGCTGGATAACGCCCCTATAAGGCGAAGCAGAATTCCGATGACTTCCCTCCGCCGTTTTTCCCAGTCCTACTTGCCCCGCTAGTTGATGCGGTAGAATTTGAACGTGACGCAGTCTGTCAGAATCCCGCATACGGTTATGTCGGCATGCCGGAGCTCGATCCGGCCGGCATAGACTAGCCCTACAAACATATTAGCGATACTTTTGGGTATGATGATAAGGTAGGCTTACCTATGTAGGCCAAGAGCTGCTACTCTCCATGGCCAATCGTTTCCTTTCTTTCGCTTCCACGATCACCAGGTTGGTGTTGATGTCCTTCTGTGCACCATACCACATGGCATAGTCCGGTCGGCCGCTCAGTTTCAACCTCCCTGACTCTTTGCAAATCCGAGCACTAAGTTCAGGATCATGTCCAGGCGGGAGCGCACATGTGCCTCATTTTCGGTGGACTTTCCTATCGATTAAGACCAGGAAGAAGGAGGATTTAGCCAAGGAGGAAAGGAAGCTAGCCAGGTAGTTCAAGAAGGTATATGGCTACGAACCCACACAGCGTTCAGAGGAATCTATTCAGCGGGCAATTGCAAACGAGGAAGCGGCTAGGCAGGCAGGAGAGCCTTTTTTTTTAATTGATAATTAGCTAGTTGGGTGGTAAATTTGACGATTTCTATACTCAAAGGTCTCAGGACACCGGAAAGGTCAGGAATGCGGGCGCACCCAAAGCGGGAAGCGGTTTCGGGTGGGCAGTAGGCACGGATATAGGGAATGGAGACGATATTTCCAATACCCGGGCTAAGCGGGTGGGGAAGTCACTGTTACGGGTAAATTCTGACTTCTATCTCCTGTGATAGACCTCGATCTGGGCTAGGGGCGTCCGGGTTGAGCTGAGCTGAGTCCTGACTGGTTCACCGGCTGATATTGTACCTTCCCCGCAACCCACCTCAACGTGCCCTATTATTAAACCACCCGTTGTCTGTCCCTGGCAAGGATTTTTACCGCGATATGAGCGTTTTGTATTAGAGCATTTTCATTAGCTAGACCCTGTAACATCTCGGTAATACAAAGATATATTATAGAGCCTAGCGAATAAAAACGAAATAATACAATATGCTGGTTTTGCGCTAAAAGTCCTCCCCAGGGACAGGTGAAAGATGTATCCACTATGTATCGTATCCATGCATAACTTTAATTTAGACCCTGTGGAGCTTCTCTCGCGAGCATTTCCTGTCAAGGTGACTGCGGAATCCTGGCTTCTTCAACCCCGATTTGGCCAAATATCCTTGTCTTATACTCCCAACAGAAATCGGCAATTTAGCCGCGGATATTAGGAAGAAAATCAGGATCAACAACCCCACAGTCATGACTACTATTTATTGGAAGGAGCTGACCCTACAGACTCTCGTAAACTCCAAGGAATTTGACAATTTTCCTCCTCATGACATCTTTGTTTGCTTAACCTGCCATAATTATGGCTGGCTCTGTCTGCGGCCGCGCATACAAGCTCTGCTTGGCCGCCATTACGTTGGCCGGGCTTCAGTTAGCTGGCGCCACGACCAGCAAACATGGCTACGAGTTCAACTCGGTGGCAATTACAGGCGGCGGCTACATCACCGGGATCATTGCCCACCCGAAAACGCAGGACTTGCTCTACGCACGTACCGACATCGGGGGCGCCTACCGCTGGGATGTTGCCAAGGGCAAATGGACGGCCCTTACCGACTTTATTAGCTCTGCTGATAGCGGGCTGTTAGGTACTGAGACTATCGGCCTTGACCCAACAAACTCGAGCTGGCTATACCTCGCACAAGGACGTAACCTGGGCGATCAGAGTTCTGCATTCTTCGTTTCGCAAGACCAGGGCAATACTTTCGAAATCTACAAGGCCCCCTTTGACTTGGGATCCAATGAAATGGGTCGTAACAATGGCGAGCGTCTGGCCGTCGACCCCTTCAACCCAGACGAGCTCTGGATGGGCACCCGTACCGCGGGACTGTGGAAGAGCAGTGACCGGGCCAAGACGTGGACCAACGTTACCTCCTTTCCCGATGCCTTCGCAAACGGCATCGGCATTGTTTCCGTTATTTTCGACCAACAACACAAAGGCACTCTATATGCAAGCGCCTGCGCCCCAGGTGGCATGTATGAGTCCCACGACGGCGGCAAGTCCTGGGCACCGATCCCCGGCCAGCCGATGACCTGGAGTGCGGCTACTGCTAGCGCGTTCCCCGGCCACTCCCCGGCTAGTACTGGTCCGCAGGCTATGAAGGTCGACCTCGCCTCGAATGGTATCCTCTATGTTACTTATGGCGATTTCCCAGGGCCGTGGGGCACCAGCTACGGCGAGGTATGGCGGTACAATACCTCAAGTCATGTCTGGGCCGAAATCACCCCCGGCCGCAACGGCAATAGCTACCCTGCCCCTTATAACAACCAAACTTTTCCAGCAGGAGGTTTCTGCGGCCTCAGCCTCGCTCGTGACGACCCGGAAACCCTCGTCGTCGTCACCCTTGACCGCGATCCGGGCCCGGCCCTCGATAGCATCTACTTGTCGCGCGACGGCGGCAATACCTGGAAAGACGTCGCGCAGTTGTCAACGCCGGCTGGGTCTGGCGGATACTGGGGCCATCCGATCAGCCAGGCAGCTCTGAAGGACGGTACCCCAGTCCCGTGGCTAGGCTTCAACTGGGGCCCAGAATGGGGCGGCTATGGCGCACCGAGCCCAGTGAAAGGCCTGACTAAGATGGGCTGGTGGATGAGCGCTGTGTTGCTCGACCCGTTTAACTCTGACAGATTAATGTACGGCACAGGGGCGACGATCTGGGTGACAGATACCCTATCGCGCGTCGATGAGAATTGCGCGCCAGAGTGGTATGTCCAGACGCAGGGGATCGAGGAGACCGTCATCCTAGCGCTCACTAGCCCAACGGGAGGGCCGGGACACGTACTCAGCGGGCTGGGGGACATCAATGGATTCCGGCATGACGATTTGAACCAAATACCAAACATGTTCGCGGAGCCTGTGTTCAGCAACCTCGACAGCATCGACTTTGCAGGTCTGGCGCCAAACGTGGTGGTACGGACGGGGTCTTGTGGGCATACCTATCCTGGTAGGTGCGGGAGTGCAGCGTACAGCAAGGACTTTGGAGACACGTGGGAAATGTTTGCTACGTGTGCACCAGAGGTAAATTCTACTACTTGGAGCCCGGGGTCTATTACTGTGGATGCTTCAGGCGAACACGTTGTCTGGTCAACGTTACTGCACTACCAGGAGCCTACTGGACCGTGGACCACTTCCGATTTTGGAAAGACCTGGACAGCGCCCCAGGGGCTAGCAGTGCAGACGACTAACATCGCAGCCGACCGCGTCGCACCTGGGACGTTTTACGCTTACGAGTCCGGGGTGTTCTACGTGTCGAGGAATGGCGGAGTTAACTACTCTTCTGCTCTGGCCCAAAATATCGGGCTGCCAGCTGGGGTAGGGGCACTGCCGGTTGTCAACCCTTTTGTCGCCGGGGAGTTGTGGGTTGGAGTGAGTGGTGTTGGGGTCTTCCACAGTCAAAACTTTGGAAAATCTTGGACTGCGTTCAAGGGAAATGGGAACGGGTTGAACCCGTCTCTACTTGCGGCAGGGAAGGGAGCGGCTGGAAAATCTAGCGTATCGCTGTTTTTGTGGGGTACAGCTGGGCAGGCACCGTTAGACGTGCAGGGCGTGTATCGGAGTGACGATAATGGGGTGTCGTGGGTACGTGTCAACGACGACAAGCATCAGTATGGTGGGATTATTACCATTGCAGCGGATCCGAGAGTGTATGGGCGGGTGTACATGGGGACAGGCGGGAGGGGCCTTTTGTATGCGGACATTGTGCCTGGAGACAGCAATGTCCCAGGCACCGGAGGCCTTTAAAGAGGTAGCGTCTTAGTCGATATCGCTATCTTCACTTAGGCCTAGTTTACGCGCTTCGTAAGTTCTATACTTATTATATAGCAGAATACGCTATGATACGAGCGATCGTGTAGATAGACTACTACCTTATAGTTACGTACTACCTCTACTAGGCGCGTTAGTAAACTACTTAACGAGCTACTTAGGAGATAGTACGCGGGCGTAGGTACTATATAAGCTATCTTAGCGAATAAGCGGACGCTAGACCTTACTAGCAGTTTGATTGTAGCTTTAATAGCCCATATTTCCTGTTATAGGATACCTAATTTATAGTGCTAGTAGGTTAAGGGTATCGATAGGAGATCCTTAGTAAGATCTTCTACCTAGTAGAGAAACTCTACTACTTTAGCTAAAGCTATAGGGGCTCGAGGCCCTTTTTAACTACTACTAACCTCTTTTAGTTACGTATACGCTATAGTTAACGTTTAGTACGCGCTCGCTGTTCGATAGTAGATTTTTCAATAGGCCTCCAACGCGCGTAACATCAAGATATCGATCATATCGCCTCGAGACCAGTATCAAGATATAGCGTAGGGAGTTAGATTGAATTTGCCGTTGATTAGAAATTGCTAACTGGTCTAGTTCCTGAGATATTTCAAATTTTCAATTCGGCGCTTGAGTTGTTGTTTTACGGCTCTGTCTCGACATGTGTTAATATCCCCCAACAGTTACCTCATGAAACTCCATTCTAGACCCATCTAATAGATCACTCTTCTTCCCCTTCAATACAAAGTCGAAGAACCTGCTAGTATAAGCAGTAATGATCTGAAGGGCCCTTCCTCCATCAATACCCCCCAATAATGCGGCCACCTCTGTCGGGAATTGCTCTCTCAAACCAATCAAATCAGCAGCCTCTGCCAAATCCGTAAACGTACCATGCGTACTATTACCGAGCATGAATTCTCTCTTAAACCCCTTCAGTTTCGGCCAAATTGCACCCCAAGTCACATCAGATGTCAAATTTTTCCCTTCGTGGGCCATGATCATGAAGGGCTTATCCAATCCACGGTCAATAGCGGAGCCGAAAAATGTACCGTCCAAATTGACACCCCCCATGAGACGCGAATCAGAAAGCAGAGCCTCGGCTGCGGTGGCGCCGCCAAGGGAGTGACCATATATTCCCACCTTAGAGGTATCCAAACCGGAGGTTTGGCCTGGGATGAGCCTTGAAATGACCAATGGACTGCGGAGCTGGTCGAGGACGAAGGATACGTCTTTCACGCGGATATTCAAGTCATCTATGATCTGGGTGTCGGTTGTAATGTTTGCCGCGAGAACGGTGACATTGTTGGGGAATGTTACGATGTCTGCGTCGTAGGGATGGTCAATCGTTACGACGATGTAGCCAGTGCTGGACAGTCTGCAGGAACGTGAAATTAGCGAGATCTTTCTAGCGAAGGCTCAAAATGAACGAAGAACAGAAGCCATGAAATACGCACTGCTGTGCCATAGCGCTGTACAAGAGGCGAGTATTCCCCAGGCCAGGCGAAAAAAGAATGAGCGGATAGTTTGACCCTTTGACGCTACAGCTAGATTTTGAAGTCGGAAAAGATTTGCAGGCTTCGAGGCTAAGTGAGCTGAAGGTGCCGGCTGGGACACCATCTTGTGCGTACTGTTCATCCTCGAAGGTTGCGCTGATGGGGTCCATGTAGGGCGTCGGGTAGGGACAACATGCTGCTGGGTGGACGGGATGAAAGAGAGAAATCATCAAAGTACGTGGTCGTGGCGTTGGAGCGTAGGGATCCAGACGATCGTGGTCGATGAGCTGGGTCGTTGCAATGCTGGTGTTGTACGGGCCGCTTGTGGCAGGGAAGGATACCGCGATGACGATTGGGACAAATTCGGCCAAGAGACCGGCGACCAACAGGCATTTCTCGGCGATTTTGAACATTTGTGGCAAAATATCGAGGAAAATCAAGCAGGCGGATTTTGTTTTAGGAAAGAACAGATGAGAACTTGATAATGTTGCCGCAAAGAAATTTGGAGGAACCACATGGTCTTATATAGTTGTTTTCCTTCAATTCCACGATCCATTTCGGCTTGGTTTTAGCGAGGTCATTTTGACCATCATCCTACCTAATAAGGAAATGATTCAGCGCCTTTGTGAACTCCCTCTAGGGACATATGATATGCTTGTCTCTGGCTCATGGTTTGGCTGATGACTGTGGGGGCTCAGCTTCTGCGCCAAGAACTGCGTTCTATGGTTGCCGCTTTGGGAATGGTAGATAAGCGGGCCCTAGCTGGGGATGGGAAGTCTAAATGGTTAACTAACCAATTGACTGCATACATAGTGGGCACCCAGCTCACGCGTACCCAAAAAAAGTTCACACGGACCCAAAAAATTCTGACTAATTTTGGGTACCCATGAGGTACCCGACCTCGCACGTACCCAAACCTCTAGATTATATAATATTTTTTAATGCAGAAAATTTTTTAAACACCTTATTTTACCCCTTTTCAAGATTGTTACCAAGTATCGAATTCCACAAGATGTCGGCGTCTTTACTCTCGCCATCGCTATTCGAGGATTCCGATTCTGACATATTTATCTCTACGCAATCTACTACTAGTACTGCATTAGAGATTAATCAAATTCTTTATAATCTTCCATCTGTGAGTGATCGTTTTATAAATAAGAGCATACATAAATCTTATATTTTATATCAGCGACAACGATCGGCCTCTGAAACTTCAGTGTACCAAGATTGCACTAATACATATGAGTTATCTGATGTCGATTCTTGTGAGGATAATGAGGAAAATACTAGCTCTCTATGTTCTACACCTTTTACGGAACGAAACCAAACAGGTATAGAAACAGACGGGACCCAAGTAAGCATTAGCTCTAGAGATGCTGTGATCGCCTACGAAGTTCAGGAGCACCTTATCCTCCCAGAGTATCCTGATACAGACAAGAATGGTATTTTACATATCATTCATGCCTCCAAAAATCCACTTGAAAATGTGGAAGACACCGTTACTGCTGTCAACCAAGCTACTTCACAGCTTATGTCGTCGGTATGTTCGATATAATCCTAGCATATGTCTAGCATATGCTTAGCATATATGATAACTAATTATCCTAGGTTCAATTCTCGATTAAACAACTCAAATCGGCCAAGAAAATCTTCACGAAACTCCTCCAGAAAGACTCTAAAGACAAAGAATCAAGATCATGGCATCGATCCTTTCAATGTACAGGGATTCAACATTGCCACCAAGCTCATCCTGATCTTATTACCCCGTCTGAAAGCTATAACCGTGTTAAACCAACACTTTTCCGCGAACTTCAGGCTCTTGCTGCAAAGCCTGTGTATCACACTATTGCGCAGGAAATCCAGGAGCGAACTAGAGAGTAAGATATATCCCTCCCTAGCTTTAACCTCTATTAAGCTTACGCTTAAGATAGATTTTACTTCGGATTTCTCAAGACGTGGGATATAGAAGGGCCATGTATTTATGCACCTAGTGAGCGGACATGCAGAGGTCAAAAGCCAACAGTGTGGCTTCGAGATGGAGTAAGTGCATATTATTATCATGTACTAAATATTTGTTAACTATAAGTAGTTCACCTTTATTGGGTGTCCGAACGCGCAGGTCGGATCCCAGCGTTGGCACTACTGTCAGCACGTTCCACGAAGTGCTGCAAGGATAGACACCGCGTTTCTAAAGCTTCTTTGCGATAAGGATGGCTTACGAGATACTGGATATGGAACCAAGAACTGTTACTTCGTGGAGCATCGTTCAGCTAGACGTCGCCACTGTGGTATGTTTTACACTAGATATGCTCTGGATATGCTGAACATATGCTAACCCTGTCCTAGACTCAATTCATGCAGATGGTGTTGGTCAGCTGATATATAGTGTTTGCTCTGTGAAGATTGACCTTTATATCCCCTGCGTATGGGATCGTTTTCCTTTTTTCCTTCTCGTTTGTCGAGGATCTCATTCACATGCGCCGCCACCGCCTACAAAGCTACCACATGATATTGGTCAAGAAATCATTGACGCAATCAACACGCAGGATATCCTAGGATTAACTGCACGTAAATTGATGGTCTCACCTACTTTTGCGAAGATTATACGTCAACATGGTGATTCTGCGCTTCGATATATCCACAAGAGCTTACACATTGAGGATAGAGTAACTGCTTTGATTCATAAGCAGAGACTACTATATTATCCAGAAGGGACGAATCTTGCTGGGGTATGGCGTGAATACCAGTTTGATCTAACTAAACACGTGGATGATCAATGGATTCGTGAAGTCTATTTCTTTGACGAGAATCGGGAGCATTATCTGATCATATGCTGCACATACGAACAAGCTAAGCTTTTTCAGAGTGTACGACATCTGGAAATGGATCTTGCTTTCAAGATGGTTCAGGGAGCAACCAAGCTTTTCACAATTTCAGGGTGGAATGAACAGGTAAAGAGTAAGATTTTCTGGTGTTCTATATATGCTAAACATATGCTAACCATATGCTGACTCTCAGGGTTAAATACCTATGTCTATGCTTTCATGAATCTCGAAACTCGAGTAGCTTATCGGGTTCTTTTTGAGAAAATCTTCAAGATTCTTGGGGATGTTGGACGAAAACCAATTAGATGGGCGTATCAGCTTGGAAGGGATGATTCTTGTGAGGGAATTCGGACGGTTACTGTTGACATGTGTAAGAAGCAAGCACCTGGTACGCTTCCCATATGCTTAACATATGCCTGAATTATACTCACTTTCTATTTTCATTTAGGGCTTGGAGATTATCTTGCTGGCCTAGATCCTCGTTGGACATGGTCAGAACATCTGCAAAATATATTGATCCTATGCCAAACGCACGTTAAGCGAGCCTTTCGGAAAAGGTTTCCTGGTCACGAAGCTACTACGTCTATTGATATGATCTGGAATGCAAATTCAAAGGCAGAGGTTATTCGAATTATGGATGAAGTTGCAGAAAAGTGGCCAGAGACCGAAAAATGGTTTCAGAATAAGAAGGTTGATTGGATTCTTGCTGGAATAACCCCAGAGGCATCTAAGATTCCTATTGAATGGTGGACGAATGCATCACATCATACTGGAATTAGTGAAAGTAGTCACTTTCACGATAACGAGGCAGTAGGCCGAAAGCAAGCTTTGTTAACAGCAATTCTCCGGTATATTACCCGATTTATCATGTATAGAGCATATTACTAATCTCTTTATTACAGATGCAAAAAACATGTACAAGAGATGATCCAAAAGAATAAACTTGCAGAAGAGCTAGGTCTCTTCCCAACTTGGCGATCTCAAAACCCTGTGTATCGTATTGCCAAACAAGTTCGCAAGAAGGGTTTGTTCCATATGTTCAACATATGTTACACATATACTAACCTTATATCAGACAAGCGCTACAAAAAATCTGCCAACCGTCGTATCAATAAACCATACCAGCCCTGGAACGTGATCAATCCTTACGATGACCTTAACCCGACGATGCAACCACCTGGGCTTCCAGATATTTCGGACATAGTTTCGATATCTACTTCAGAGATAACTGACATAAGCTCAGTATATGGTCAATCTATATCTGCACCGCTATCTACCCCTCAGGGTAGTTCAGTTCTTGACGGATCGTCTAGAATAGCGCCGCATGATAGTATTTCTCAGCAGTTAGGCTATACTCAGGGATTCGATGATGAAGAGGCACGGCTACAGCAAGAAGTTGCGGAACTTGAGAGAAAGCAAAGGATCTTAGCCCTTCGAAGGAAGAAGGAGGAATTATTACGGAGTATAGAGTCAGGCGAATCTTTGGTATAAGTTAAGAATATCTTGAATTTACTTTGAGCATAAGTTTAACATATGTTCCGTATAGACAAATAACAGAAAATTCATACAAAGAGACCTACGCCTAACTAAAGGGACTCAAAAGCATCAGAGGATGAGTCCTCTACCTCTACCTCTACCTCTACCTCCTCCTCCTCCTCCTCCTCCTCCTCCTCCTCCTCCTCCTCCTCCTCCTCCTCCTCCTCCTCCTCTACCTCCTCCTCCTCTACCTCCTCCTCCTCTACCTCCTCCTCCTCTACCTCCTCCTCCTCCTCCGAGTCTTGCATATGGGGAGCAGGTGGGCCACCTCCTCCATCACTATTGTCTCCATTACCGGCAGTGGGGCCAAAACCCGCGAAGGGAATAGGATTCCCAGGGACGCCAGGTCCACGCTACATACTATTAGCATATGCTTAACATATCATTTCTTAAAAAAAGGGGACTTACCCGGCGGCTGCGATGACCAGAACTCGGGGTTGCTGGGGCCTGCCAGCGGTGGAAACGAGTGCCGTATTGTGCGGCAAACTGTGCATCGGTAGCTCTATACGGATTGTTAGCATACGCTAAACATATGAGAGTCATATGTAACAAGTATATCAATCTTGTGCAAAACGTAGAGTACCCAGAGTACTTACGCAATTCGCTCCAGAGCGGAGGCCCAGTGTCCAATCCATCCATTGTCAGGGCCGCGTCCAGGCTCATGGAGGTAGCTAGCATCCCGCCAGCCACCCTGCAGGACCCAACGCTTGATGGCGTTTTGGCCCGCAATAATCTCCAGCTGGGTCTTTGCTCGCCGGCTGGGGTTGACGACTATATCGTAGTCATATTGTTAGCATATGTTCAACATATCCAACGAATAGACACTTGCCAGCTCCGGAATGTTCATTGCGGATGTGTCGACGCAGAGCAGGTCCCTCTGAGAAGACTAGACCGCACATTTGGGACGGAGGGTTGACGACAATATCACAGCTGTTCCTCTCAGTGTCAGCATACGATAACCATGCCCTCAGTATATTCAGACACCACGTACACTCCTATGTTCTCTTTGTTGAGAACCTCGGCCGGATTTGGAGGCGGGGTCGCCGCGATATCAGCTGCCTTGATGTCGTAGTGGCGTGCGCCTGCAGCTAGAGCTGCCGTATACGCAGCTGGCTTCCAGCCACGATTGTTGTCTGGAATGGGCCCTACATATGGTCAACATATCAACAGCATATGCATCTGGGAAACATACCATGTGCATATCCCAGGAGAGGGTCGGGGTTGGTCGCGTTTAAGACTGTGGTGTTGTCAAATTCAGCCCGGGTTGGACCCAGGCCAGGGAAGAGTCCAAGATTCGACATGTTGATGAGCTGGAAGTGTTCAGCATATGCAAAACATATGGAGAAACGCGTCAGGGAGTAGAGTAAACAGGTGTTCTGACCTTTGGTAAACAAAGTGGGTGGTGAGGGAAGAAGAAGAAGAAAATGGTGTTGTGTTTGTGTTGAAGATATATCTCTCATTTCTTTGTTGACACTTTTGATTCATGACCCCAAACAAACTATATTTTTCTTTCAACACGTGTAATTTACTAGAAGAAAGACTACCTCTTTTATATTATTATGAATAAAAAATAGATAGAGTCTTTAAGAGTATAGTATAATCTTCTATATAGAGTTGTAAAGAGATGTATAGAGTGATAGTATATTTTAGTGAGGTAGGGGTTCAACTAAAGTTGAACCCCTACATAATTATTAATCATATGCATAAAAGTAAGTATAAGAGCTCATCAGGACCCAAAATAGTTTGGGTACGTGTGAGGTCGGGTACCTCATGGGTACCCAAAATTAGTCAGAAATTTTTTGGGTCCGTGTGAACTTTTTTTGGGTACGTGTGAGCTGGAACCCGATACATAGTTAGTTGGTTCTAAGGCAACAGCTCCGCTGATTCAGCCTGTCACCATTGGACCTACGATCCACTCTGGTATCTTAGGCAGCCTCCCGTTCTCCATCCGCACCCTTTATCCTCCTGACCGTCCCCTCGCTCTGTTCGGGTTGTGAATGGCAACGAGGACATTTCAAGGCCATGTCTTGCACAGAAATTCCCTCATATTTCTCCACAATTACTTTGAGAAATGACTGTCGTGGGACCACTCGATCGGCGGACTAATCGCACCAGATGCGTAGCCTGCGCACGACGCAAAATCAAGGTCAACCTGCCCTTCGTATAGAATTTATTAGCGATGACTGTTTGTTCTATTCCGTACTCCAGTCTAACTCTCTGTAGTGCGAAGGTGGTCCTCCCTGTCAGTATTGCATAAAAAGAAAACAGCAATGCGTGCCTCCAGTAATTCAGCGACAGGCTAGCGTAGTCTTTATCAATGTCTCCCCGCCATCCAAAAGGTCCGACAGTCTCTCCGGAGCCACTCATCTTCCTACGCCTAGCCTTTGCCCCAAGATTTCAGAAGGAAACTCAGCCCTTTTTGTTAAGTATTTCTTCTCGGACTTTCTGGCCAGAAATGACTTTGGTGGCCCCCTGGACCTCAGCACTATCATATCGGAATTCCAGAGATCCCCCACCATGTATCAAGCATCCATTGCTTTGGGTGCACTTGATCTGAGCAGGAAGCCAGTGCTCACTAGGCCACCAGAGAGGAAAGATGTGGTCGTGAGAGCATTCACGGCTTATCACACCTCGATCGCACAATTGAAAGCTGAACTTGCAAGCAACGACGTCCCACGAGATGTCAATCTATGGACCCCTTTTTTCTTGGGGATTTTCGAAGTATGTTAACAGTGTCTTGGGCGAAGGTATATCAGAGGCTGGATGTTAACCTTTCAATTAGCTCATGCACGATATAACTGGAGAGGGCTGGGTGAAGCATTTTCTGTATGGCACGTCTAGAATGCTTCAGCTTCGCGGTCCAGAAGCTCATATCGCGGGCCCCGGGAGGTCATTTTTCCTCACAGTACGGGTCTTTGAAATATCCCGCGCTCTCATTTACTCAGAACCTACTTTTCTCTGCCAGCCGGAATGGATGTCACTCATGACTGAAATTTGGAATGAGGATGAAAACAACCATTGGCACCCAAAGGAGCTGTTATTCGATCTGATGATTACATGTACTTCAATAAGTCACCGGCAAGTACACTCGCACACCCTCTATATCTTATTGTATGACTGACAAAGCGCAGGGTATGGGGTTTGCTCAGTCAGGGCTCCAATTGTCCAAATATCCTTCTTCACAAGGGCCTCCTTGAGCTTGCAGCGGAAGGGTTCGTTGTCAGGTCAGCTCTTGGTGATTGGTTTGCGAACTTCCAAAAGTGGTCGACCGATACTGGTACACCTGAATATCATCCACACTCTATTCTGGCAGTAATCTATTTTCATGCCATATCAATCTACCTGTCCGGCATTTTCGACTACCGCATTCAATACAGCAAAATGGCCACGCCTACAATCTCACAGGCCGTTGTTCAAAATCATGTCAATGTGATTCTACAGATGACTGAGATCGTTCTGAAGACCGCAAATTTGGCAGCTGTGTTGCTCTTTTTCCCCTTGAGGGTAGCAGGCGCAAGAGTAACAACCACTCGGGAGACAGAGTTAATTTGTGCAATGCTTGAAGAGATTTCAATGAGGGGGTTTGTCGTTGCAGATGCCTTTACGGCAGATCTGAAGTCGCTATGGCGCGAAAAAGAGATATAATACCCGTACAGTGACTTTTAGATGATATAATGGCTTGCCAATAGGATGAATGATGTTTTAGCAGAGTGGGCTGATATTCAATATTTCCTCAAGCAGAGGTGTTTCGTGTACTCTGAACGCTGTAAAGCTAGACTCCGTGCGCCGCTCTGTTCCAGCAAAGAAAAAAACCCTCTCAATCCCTTGACCCTATCCAAGCCTGCCAGCGCCATACTATCCATCCATCTTGTAAGAGTTCCCCCAAATGTAGTAACCAAAGAAATTACAAGAGCGGATGATGGCCAGCATCATCATTGCTAACTACACTCCCGACCTCAGACCAGCTGGCGGGAGTTGCGATACCACCTACTGAGTGTTCACCCAGGTCACTCAGGGTTCCATCGGATGACATATCATTGAAACCATCGATATGGCCATAGCTTCCAGCAATCGATGGTGCAGACGAAACTGGATGCTGGAACTGATTATCCTGTCTGATATCGTCCAGCTCCGTAAGCAAGTCTTGGGGTTGGCTAAAGTTGGATTGCGAATCGGGCTGAGCATAGTAAACCTGGTCGTTGGCCTCGGTATGGCTGGATGCCGAGACAGACACGGGTGTCTGTGCTCGTACGGGGGAGTCAGCGAATGGATCAAATAGCAGTTCAGATGGTACTTCGGAGGTTGGTGTGAACTGTATGATGGACTCCGATGGGTGGTTAGACGTCGTCTCTGAAAGAATGTCAAGATGGAGCTGGCATTGTTCGATACGCGGGCTATCGGCCTCGGTGGAGGACATTCCTCGATGAAGAGGCTGTGAGCTACCGGTGTCCACCCCAGTAGAGTGACCGACGGGGTTAGAATCCGACTGTCCGGGTGTGCCACTCGAACTGCGAAGGTTTCCGTCCACGTCTACGAGAGAGTCGAAGCTTCCAAGCTGTTGCGTAGAGTCCTTGCTCTTCCGGCGAGACCCCAAAAGAGTCGCACGGCGCATAATCTCCGCTTTGGCAATGCGTCTGCGTTCTTGGGCTGCCTCTCCAACTTCTTCTGTCATAGATATATCTTCCCGGGCTGGCGAGGTCGAGTCGCGCGGTTGAATCTCATCACCTAGGTGGTGCAGGGCCAAGGCGATTTTACGTCGAGAGGTGGTCACCCACTGTTGAAACTGGGGAGACTGGTAGACAGCGACTCCGGCTGCCACCAGGACGGAGACAGTCACAATAATCCCTATCAAACTCGTCAGACATGCCGGACTTCAACGGGTGGGCTGATAAGGTCGAGTATGGCCGCCCGGGTGAACCGGGTGGGGGCAGGACAAGGAAAGGCAAGCTGGAAACCGACCTTTTGCGATGGGGGCAGGCATATTGCATGTAAGGCCACTTCTCCTGATTTGATTCTTGATTTCTTCCCCTTTTACTTGACTGCTCCTCGTGCGAGGAGGAAACCTGGAAAGCGCGAAGTACGATGATGCCTGGATCTTCCTTACATAAACCCCGCAGCACATGACGCCCCTCTACCCTTATCTCCGGCCCTAAAAATACACCGCTTTGGGACGTGTTCCCCGCGCGTCTCCCGACTCTTGCAGCAAGCTCTATAGTTAGTTTTCAACCACCAGCTGAGCAACACACCCTTGCGAGCAGTGGTACTAGTCAAGATGTCCCATCAATCTGCGCAATCGCAGCGGCCGCTGACGCTCACCGAGGAGCTTGAAAAACTGGAACAATCTATTACATTGACGCTCCAAGGTACGCTGGGCGCGACAAACAAACCGGGGGTTGAATGCTAACCGGTCTTTTTAACGCCAGAAATCGACCACAACTTCAGTCAGGCTCACCGAATCGTGACGACAAGCATCCTACCTCTAGTAGAGCAGTATACGGAACATTCGCGCGATGTTTGGGAAGGTGCCAAGGTACGTTAGATCTACATCCGGGATCTCATGCCCAACACGATCAACTGCGCGGCAATTGACTAGCTACCCAGTTCTGGAAACAATTCTTCGAGGCTAGTGCCAATGTTTCTTTGTCCGGATACGAGGAAAGGGCCGATGGCGATGAGACGGCGCAAGAGACCACGGCCACCGAAGAAGAGCTCTCTGCCGACGTAACCCAAAGCACAAGCGTCGACGAGACCGATCAGTCCTACGAGACACCCTCCTCACGGCGCCACGATGCTCAGCCCGGCCACGGGGATGATATTGACCTTACCGAGCTGGCAATCTCTTCTCACAGTACTCCCCGCGCAACAGGTCAACTCACCGACGAAGACATGACGATTTCCTCCATTGATCGTTCCTCCTCGTATGAGAATCTGAGAAAGCAGATCAACGAGGCAAAGGCACCCTTTGATATGCCTGACTCATCAACACTTCCATCAACCCCAGGACGTCAGCCCTTCTTCCCGCCGGATGCCTCCGTTACCCCAATGTTGTCTCCGTTCATCCCGCCGGTGTCATCGACAAAGTTTGTACCTGCATCTCGAGGAGATTCTCAGTACCAGAAACCATCAGACCCCGTGCTGCATCGCGTCCTCGACAAAACCTACCGGGTTCAGGCAACTCCACTTGGCAAAGGCTACCGCAATGTTGGCCACAGCACCAGCACGCATTCCAAGTTCACGGTCACCCCAAAGGCTGCTGCTTCTACCTCTCGCTACGCCTTTGACGACTCCCCGATGTCGAGTCCCGAACCCGAGGCGCCACGGCTGCACTCGGAAATTTTCTCATCGCCCATCAAGGGTGTCACCACAACTCCAGGAACAAATCGCAAACGACGCACCAGCAGCAACCGGCTTCGCGGCACACCAAATCCAGGAACCAGTGTGTTGACACCTGCTAAGAAGTATGGCGGTCATCAGCCTGTATGGGATAGCGATGATGATTTGGACGACGAGGATTTTGGCCCAAGCCCTCCGAAGACCATGCAGTTCCACATTCCACAGAGCCGCCTAATGAAGACGCCTGGTAAGTGACTATCTCACTCAATTCATCGACCCATCCGCTATTCTTTACTAATAATTCCCCATAGCCAAAGAAGCTTCCAAGCGGATCGTCACCGACCTGCTAGCCACTGCAGGGGCGGGCGATCTCACCGATGATATTGATGATGACCACAGCCCCAGCGTTATCAGGCGGACGGAGCGACTTGAAGATGATACATTCTAGCTACTTATGACCAACAGTTCGGTACTTTCTATGTATGTTTTCTTAACCTGGATATAGTTAAAGTCAAATAATCATTTCATAGAGCTATTAAGAATGACTACCCATCTATTACTAGACATCAATTCATCTTAATATTGTGTCCTGGTAGAGGGTCGCATCGACCCACCTAGAGGTTGGATCAAGATGACCACAGCCCGAGATGGTATCTGTAACATGTATAATGTCTCATCCGGGGTTCTATACAGTCCGTTGCTGTTTTTTACAGGAGAGGAGGGAGGATACGGAACGTAGCTCATGCCGAACTCGATCGGGGAGTTCTATTTCCCGAAGGATCAAGGATCGTGCAGGAGAATGACAGGAGAGGTGATCGATCGGCAAGGCTCCAAGAGGGAAAAAAAAAAAAAAGTGTATGCTTCGTGAAAACTAGGCCCCTGTCGAATTTTGGCCCCATGTTCAAACACAGTGACTCAATTCTAAGCCTCACTCAGATGAGACGTACAAAAAGCTTGAACTTCGCTCTCTAGCAAGCTTTCTGGAGTTCCCGAGCCGTCGGTGCCCTGCACTAATTCCTTTGCGAGACCATGGCATTACCGGTATTGATCGTTGGAGCTGGCCTGGGGGGCATTTGTCTAGCCCAAGCTCTAAAAAAGAACAACATCCCATTCAAACTATTTGAACAAGATGTGAAAAGCACTTTTCGTGCGCAGGGATACAGACTACGAATCACCAAGAACGGCGTCGACGCCTTGAAAGAGGCCCTGACACCCGAGCTTTTCACTCTATTTGAAAAGACTTGTGCCGATACACCCAGCTTTGGAGTTCGAATCAAGCCTGATGGAACACACCTACCCTCCCCTGCTGGGTTCGGACCACCTCCTGGCGCCCAGTCCAAATCCTATACAGTGGACAGGACGACCTTTCGCGAGGCCCTTCTGAGCGGACTTGAGGAACACGTTTTCTTCGGGAAGAGCCTTGAACAGTACACCATTCACCCCGACAAAGTCACCATATCCTTTGCCGACGGAACTACAGAGGACGGATCCCTCTTGGTGGGCGCTGATGGTGTCCGCTCTCAAGTTCGCAAGCAGTACCTACCCTCGTTCCAAGGCCTGGATACTGGCATGCGAATTATCTTTGGAAAGACTCCGTCTACTCCAGAATTTCTCGCTAAGCTTGAGGAAGAGTATCGCCATGGAATGAGTCTTGTTCTCGATCCTGAGGATGCGTCTCAGCCGCGCGTGCTATTTGAGTCGATCAACTTTCCTTACGCAGAGGAAGTCACTGAACCGCAACTACCCGATCCCTATATGTACTGGGTGCTCTGCACACAAAGTTCACAACTCCCCATCTCTCGCGAGAAATCGTGGCATACAGGCCCACAAGAATCAGCGGATCTTTCGCGCAAGCTCACCAATTCTTGGAGTCCATCACTCCGAGCGATCTTCGACATGCAAGACACTAGTCAATCAGCTATTAGATCAATCTTGTCTGCTATGCCGGAGATCGCGCCCTGGGAGCCTTCTAGTCGGGTCACTCTGCTGGGCGATGCCATTCACGTCATGCCTCCAACAGGTGCAATGGGTGCCAACACCGCTTTACGAGATGCAGCCGATCTCGCACGCCGAATTGCATTAGCTGGTGGCGTTGATGGGATAGACCAGGCTGTCATCGGAGACTACGAAGCTAGTTTGCGCGACTTTGCTAAAACGGCGATTGAGCTGAGTTGGCAGGGGGGTATGAAGAGCTTTGGGTTGAAGCCAGTGGACCAATGCGAGAGGATCAAGCTGTAATCGTTGAAGTCTGTATCTATGTAAACTATCTCCGACTAATCAAAATCTCCGTTCCTTTCTTAGTGGTTGTGACTGAAGACTTGTAAATTCTTGATTATTGATCATGTTGAATGAGATGTCTTATTTACTATAGTGGTTGAACGATTCAGAAATGCTACCTAAGCAACACCTTCGGCCCCGTCAACATGAATGATATCGGTCATAGAATCTAGAAGGGTGCATGATGGACCCTGGATTTTAGCATTGCCTCTCGAGCCTCCACGGGGTTGCCCGGTTTAATGGAATTGATTGTTTTTTTTCGACCCTAAATTCGAGGAGAAGCGTCTTAACTGTTGAATTTTTCAATAAACTTCTACTACAAACTTCTCAGATTTGATTGCATCTCCCTGCCGATGTGTATGAATATCGCATCATCCTCCATTTATTGCAGAGAAAGTGTAATTTCTGTCGCGCAGCCCGTCGGGACAAGTAGCGGGGGTTGGCCCCGGATCATGAAAGAACGAGGAAGTGTGGCCCAGAGAATATATTTTGTAACAATGAACAAGAAGATTATCATTCGATTCAAAAATTCACTGAAATTGTAAGCCGATAGGTATTATGCGTGCAATATTCACTTCTGTGGTCGGGGCGTGGATATCCACACAGCTGCTACTCAGTGTTCCATGCCTTGCTTTCCCCGTCCAAGACCACTGTCCGAACCACGCTCCATTTGCGCAAACCACCAACGGCACCGTCTGTGGGATAGACCTGCCCGGTTTCAACCAGGCAGCCTTCTTCGGGATCCCTTATGCACAGCCTCCAGTCGGTGATCTTCGCCTCCGCCATGCGATTCCTTATAATCATACCTACTCTGCGTACCCGGCGATTGCCCAACCACCAAGCTGCCCTGGCTATGCAGGGTTTGATGTCGGGATCGGACCCCTCAGTGAAGACTGTCTCTATCTAAACATTGTCCGGCCATCCATGCAGGAGAATGTCTCTCACGGTGCTCTTCCCGTTCTCGTCTGGTAGGTGTTGCCCAACTTCTAGTTTCCAGTTCCATTTGTGGTATTTATAACGACATAGGATTTATGGAGGCGGCTTCGATGCTGGCGGTATCGCAGACCCACGCTACAACATGTCATATATCGTGCAGCAGGCCGCTGCTATGCACAAGCCCATCCTGGGCGTGAGCATCAACTACCGCGTTGGTGGCTGGGGGTTCCTCTCGTCGCGAGAAGTGCTCGCAGCTGGTACGGCAAACATTGGCCTATTCGACCAGCGACGGGCCTTGGAATGGATCCAGGAGAACATCGGTACATTTGGTGGCGACCCAGCCCAGGTCACCATCTGGGGTGAAAGTGCGGGGGCATTCAGTGTCGGATACCATCTCGTCGGCTTCGAGGGCAAACACGCCAACTTGTTCCGAGGGGCAATCCTCGAGAGCGGTTCCATGCTGGGGTCGGCTCTACAGGATTCAGAGACTATCACCCAACCTGGTGGCTTCCAGGAGATGTACGACAACGTGACGATGACGGTGGGCTGCGCCGACGCAGCGGACACACTGGCATGTCTGCGGCACGTGTCGTATGAGAGTCTATTCGACGCCTTCGCTCCCCAGGTTTACACACCCGTCATCGACAGGACCTTCCTGACACGACGACCAAGCGAGAGCTTGGCTCGTGGCCTGGTTGCCGACGTAGCCGTTTTAGTAGGCGCCAACACAGACGAGGGTACAGCCGCGTTCTGGGGCCCTCGGGGGACGCTGAACACCTCAGCCGACGTGGCTGCATACATCAAGACCTTGAACGGGGGCGGCCTGGACCACCAGCAAGTTGACGAATTGCTCAAGTTGTACCCTGATGATCCGGCGAAGGGCTGTCCATATGGTACGGGGGAAGAGCGATTTGCCAGCCAGGGGTGGATGTACAAGCGCGGCGCGGCGATCGCAGGTGATATCTTTGTGCATGCTGGTCGACGGCGAGTGGCGGAATTTTTTGCAGCAAGACAGACGGGAAACCCAACGTATAGCTATCGGTTTGATCAAGCGCCGTGGAACGGGGTAGAGGAACTGATCACGACGGTCGCGCCGGTGTATAGTACCCACTATGTCGAGGTTAGTAGACATGCAGAATGGAAATGGGAGGAGTCGAGAATACATAAACAGATACTAACGGATAAATGCCCTGGCACAGTTGATATTTGTGTTCAACAACCCATCTCCAAATCTGTCCAACTCCATCGGACCCTACGCCTCTTACCACGATCTATCGACCTTGATGTCTCGCTCATGGGTCTCGTTCGTGCATGACCTCAATCCCAATCACTATGGGTTGGGGAAGCAGGTACATTGGCCGGCGTACACAGCGGCACGTCCACAGAATATCGTGTTTCGCGCTGAAGATAACCAGGGCGGGGTATTCGTCGAGCAGGACACATACCGGACAGAGCAGCTGGCGTGGTGGAACACGCATTGGTCCTATTTGCGATCATAATGGGACACATATACAGAGGGAGGTGGATTCGGGCGTGGACCACAAGCATTCTGCTCTTGGAGGCTGCTTTGACAAGAGCTCCCCGGTCGAGTTTGGCTTCAACTTGGAGAATAAGCCTTATCCGTGGAAAGGTCACAGTGGATATGGTATGTCCATGAGTAGACCCCTAGTCCGCATAGACATGTTCGAGACATGTTCGCTGATTTATCGCTGCTTGCTATTTGGATCAAGAGTTCTTGCGTTATGTCTAGAGTAGAGACTGGATCGCTTGCTTCCTGTGGCAATCGATTATACTTGTTCAATTTCCGTCGTGAGCCCGATGTCACAATATTCCGTATGTTTGTAAACAAAAGTTCGGTAGCATTCTTGATGTCATGAGCTCCTAGTTGTCTGCATTCACTATGTCGCTGTCGTCTACCTAGGTCCATTTCTAGGCATCATATAGCTCGAACGCTACTGGAACTATCAACCAGCTCCAGCGTTCCACCAATGTGTTTACCCAACCTCGGCTGAATCTGACCAAAGACAGGCTGACAGTTGGGCTATGATATATTTTCAAAAATAGATATTGTGAATATCCAGTCTCCGCCTGTTCTACTGAGTTCAATTTTATTTCTATAGTCGTCGCCATTGATTTCATATCTTGGAAGAATTGCATGTGGTCCTGATCCTTATCGAGCGGACACGCCACTTTATTTAATCTGCAATGGTAATCTGTAGAATAGAATCGGGAAATTAACAATATGAGAGTTTCGGGTTCGAACAACTTCCAGCAATGAATGCCTGGGAGATCCGAGGAAGATCAGGCTCCAAAATCTGTGCTGACGTGTCTAGGATGCGATCAATGATGTGCACCGTGCCCTATGTTTTGTGACAAAATGAGTTTCCATTCTCATCAAGTTCAAATTGCCTTCAAGAGGAGGAGCTCTCACGCTTGTAACCGAGAGGTCTGGTTCTACCACCCTCGCAACCTGATTGAGAACAACTGTTCCATTTTCCACCTGGGATCCTACAAAGAGATAGGTAGCAGTCTAACCTAGATATCAGCTGAATGCACAGTGATCACAGGGCACATCGTATCTGGCGGGGTTTCCTCACCTGAAATCGCTGCATAGTCTCATTGAAACTGGTTGATTTGAGCTCCGAATTAGGTACATAGTGGTGCAGGATGGTGTTCCCCAGCCACCATTTTCCTTTCCTATAATAAATTAGCAATCCCGGAACAAGCTCAGGAGGTTCTGATTTGTCATACGGGGCTGCTTCAAAGGCATCAAAGTATGCCCCAGTGTAGCTTTCAAACGCATCGTTGTTCGGCGCGAAGAACGTGAATTTCCAGTTGGGATCAGTGCCAAAAGCTTCAGCAAATCCTTCAAGTTCGTCGATTTTCTCGGCCAACGTGCTCAAATCCGAGCGGGACCTGATCAGATCCAGAACCGTCGTCACATTTGAGGACTTGGAGCTCACGTAGCCAGTGATATTTCGGTAATTCAGAGGGTCTGTCGTGGCTGTTGCCAGGCTGCCTAGTGCGAGGAAAGCCAGCAGTGGAATTGCCGATAATCTCATGTTGCGACAGTTGAAGCCTCGAGCAGATACTGCGACCACTTGGAAAGGCAAGAATACAGGGTCAGTGTTAGAGAGGGGTGGAAAGGGCTGAGTGTGAAAAGCCCATCTATTATCAACAAAATTGTGGTTCAATAACTTACTGGTACTCTAATTTCCGTCGACTCGGATGGCCCGTTGGCCGCTGAATCTCCCGGACCGTCTCCGCAGCTAATGTACGTAACCAAATATGACCTCCGGAAGTGTTGCTGCGAATCTGCAAGATATGAGTAGTTAGTTAGTTACTCCTCATTCATGTGACTAATCAAATGGAGCTGACTCAAGCCAGCGGAGATGCACGAGGCTAGAGGGATGCGAATTCAAGAATGATTTGAGAATTCGGGGCAGGCCCCGGGACTTGCGCCGTTGCACGACCAGACAGACTAGACTACCATATGGAGAAATACCGGGCTTAGTTGATATTATCTCCTATAATTAACTGACAGAGACATCTAAATTTTTACACACTTCATTCTCCATACCCCAGCACAAAATCATGAAACGCAAAACTTCTCTCTCGTCACTTCTCAGCACAGTGACAATTTTGTCTTCTGTCCAGCTCGCGTTGGGAGGGACAACCCTGGGGCGAACGCCTCAAATGGGCTGGAACTCATGGAACGCGTTCAAAGCAACAGTCAATTATACGGTCGTCCAGGAAGTCATTGAGTCGTTCGATTCACTTGGACTCAAGAAGGCGGGGTATGATTATGTGCTCCTTGATGACGGATGGTCAAGCTTCAATCGCACCGCCGACGGATATCTTCAGGCCAACGCAACTTCTTTCCCCTCGGGAATCGAGGCACTAGCCAAGGAAGTGCATGCTAAAGGCCTGAAGCTAGGTTTATACGGCGACAGTGGTCACTATACATGTGCGTGGAGACCAGGAAGCTGGGGATATGAAGAGAGAGATGCCCAAACCTTTGCCAGTTGGGGCGTGGACTACCTCAAGTACGATAATTGTGGAGGATTCCAGTCAATGACGGAGGCTCCCCAAGTTCGATTTGGAGCAATGAAGAACGCCCTCGCACTTTCAGGTCGAGACATTTTCTATTCGGTGTGCGAATGGGGTTATCAATTCCCATGGCATTGGGGAGGAGGTAAATTGGCATTCATGTAACATGCCGAAGTTTGTGTACGAATACTGATTTCATCGGTCTCACAGATATTGGTCACTCCTATCGGATCTCGGGCGACATTACGACAAGCTTTGCAAATGAAACTGCGTGCCAGTGCAAGACTGCCTACTGTCTCAATACTGGATATGCCGGTTGCTCTGTACTGACTATTATTAACAAAATGAAAGAGATCAGCCAGTATCAGACCCAAGGCCATTGGTTAGATATGGACATGCTCGAAGTCGGAAACGCCAATTTTACGCTTCACCAGCAACAGACCCACTTTGCATTCTGGGCAGCGCTAAAGTCACCCTTGATTATCGGGGCTGATCTCAGCAAACTATCCAACGACAGCTTGGCGGTCCTCACCAATAAAGCAGTCATTGCCCTCAATCAGGATGCGCTAGCAGAGCCAGTGATCTATCGACAAGCGTTCAGCGAGGAAGGTCTGTTCCAGGTATGGACTGGGAAGGTGGAGGGTGGGTATGTTGTTCTTCTACTGAATGAGAAGAGTTATTCACAACATATCTCTCTTGCATTTTCAAATCTGGGCCTTGGGACTCCTAAGAAAGTCGTTGAGCTCTGGTCTGGCCAGAATTTGCGAGATTCTATTAAGTTCAATGAAACTTTGGAGTCTTATCAAACTCTGGTATTCAAAGTGCAGACTTAGAAGCTGAGGTTCTTGTGTTATATTCCTCATATCGTATCATCCTATGCAAAATGAATTCTTTCAAGTTAGATTTTTTATATCATCTTAAATTCTCTAGAGAGAGAAATCGTGACAAGGCTTAGTTTACGGTCCAGTCTCTCTTCCGTTCACTACTGTATCTTTCTACACTCAGGAATCATAAAGCATAAAGCATAAAACGACGAGTCCATAAATTCGCATCATACGAAACTGATTTCATGGGAAACACGTCAATCGACGGTAACTCATTAAACTCAAACGACGGAATCCGCCCATGTGAGAGTAGGATAGACCAGGAAATCTCTAAGGTTTGTGGAGGTGTCCAAGGGTCGATTCGTCTCCAACCACATTTTAGTGTATGGCATGGAGTACTTGCCAGTACCCTCAGTGATGTAGTAGTTGTAGGCGATCTCTCCTATCGGATAGGCGGTGCTCCGAGATTTGTTCGAAATCTGGTCATAAAGGATCGTTCCACAGCAGCAAGGTCCCCAAGTGGTGTCGAACGGGACATCCGAGCCTGTGTTGTACTTGAAGTAATATTCGAGGCCGAGCATCAAGAGAGGGGTCCCGAGGCCATCCTGGCTTTCGAGATCGAATAGAGATGTATAGCCTGCAAGCAGACGTCGGGAGAATGTCCATAGAAATAGGAGATAATAAATCACCTACCTTGGTTAGCTGCCACGCGTGCACCTTCTTCTAACCATCCCACCTCGTCAGCGGAGTGGCCCTGATCCCGGCCTGCTTCGGCGCACTGGCCGGTCTTGTTTTGTATCAAAGCCTGAAAGCCCGAACCATCATATCCGACACATGCAGTTTTGGGTAGCAAAAGAATGTCCAACTCCGCTTGGAATCCCGTGACATTGTTGGTAAATATGGCAAACTCCATGCCTGCGATGTGACTTAAAGCTGCCTGGTTGCCGCCCACGACAGGTTGAGTCGGAGGATTGGCAATGGGGTCTTTGTTCGGCACCAGGACATTGCTAACCATGGCTTGCAGTCTTGCGTATTTAGAGGAGCCCGACGGCCAAGATCCGCGGGTATAATATACAAGTTCAGCAGCATTGACTAATTGTCGGCCGTTGAGGGCAGTCGGCAAGTTGTTATTTGCCAGTACCCCGGTCAGGTTGCCGGACCAAGCATCGGCAATTCCGGCGACGGTGATGGCATGCGCATCATCAAGATCAATAACATATCTCAAGCTGTTTAACCAAGCAGCATAACAATCATTCACCCATGCAGTGGTCCAGGCGTCGATGGTATCATTGCCAGAGTTTTCCCCAATTATTGCACCGCCCCCTTCAACAACGTAGGAAGAAGAGGACCGCGTATTGGACACGAGGGCGGCATATGACGATGCCCATGGTTCATTCCCTTGAGAGGTCCTTTTAGCTTTCTTGTTAATAATCCGAGGCCAATTAAGTCAGTACTCACCCGATAGAGCATTTTCTCTTATGGTCTCAATGTGATCCGAGGTGAAGATAATCCCAGGATGAACGAAGGTTGCTTGAACACCAAGTCCAGCGGCCAAAACGACCGCACATATTCCGTGCCACATTGTCATGACTATCACAATATATCGGACCTCAAGGAATGCTATGATGATGCTGTTGAAGAATAGCTGATTGGTTTAAAGGGAAAAGTTTCAGGCCGGTGAGGCCTGGTTTGATATTTATGCATGAAAGATACTGTGTCTGCGATCCCCGGTCACACTCCGGCAAATACATCCTTGCAAGCTCGCCGTGCAGATCATAGCCAATCAAGTAGCTGACGGCGAATACCGCGGACCTGCTCCTATTATTCTTGTCAGATATTGGGCAGCTCGGCAGGCTGAGGTTCTTAGAAGACTTTTCTGATTCTCCACCAGTTAAAGTAGAATATTTTTGAAAAATATGATTTTGAGAGGTTTTGCGTGCTGAACATGATGCTATCAAGGCGTTGGATGATTCTTAGTTCTTTAGCTAGAAGTTGCATTTCATCTTAAGATGACATGGTTCAAGACAGATTTGATCTTTTTGTCCAAAAATGCAGTGACTAAGAGAGAGCTTGAAGTAGAATAAGCAAATTATTACCAGGGAGTCCCTACAACGATGGTGTCAAAATTTGAAGGTTACGAACTCTTGCTTCGCTAGACCTGCTTGATCAGAACCAGCATCTCCCCCACGTCTAACTAGAAAGCAAGGCCAGGGCTTGGCGCGCGGTCTACTTTAAAGTAAATGAACCAAAAAGACAAAAAAGAAATGGGACAAGCCAGGATCGAACTGGCGACTTCACGATAGCAGAGACTGGAGTTGTTCTTCAGTCGTGCACTCTCCCAGCTGAGTTATTATCCCATTCTACAAGATGCTGAGCAAGGATTGAGTCCTAGGTTATACAGCCAATCACGATTTGGTCATTGATCGGATTGATCGATCGTATTCCTGCAGTGATCTGTGCCAAGCTTTTCTGAACCACGACCACCCCACGGATTTGAAGATATTGATCCGCAATCTGGGGAATACGTTGAGTTTGAGATTTTGCAAATTACATAACTTTGGGGGAGAAATGCAGGTTTAGGAAGGTAAGAACTGCCATGAAAATACAAATCATTCATTAGAGTAGAGAAACAGTTCCCAGATCCGCCTTGTGATGTATCATACACAATTATACCAGGAAGACTTTTGGCTCGCGAGAGCCGTTTGAGACATGGTGAACAAGAAAAAAGAAAAACATCGGTGAGAGAGAAAATGCAGAACAATATACACGAGGGGTAGACATAAAGGGAAACCAAATGGTCCAGCCTCTTGGAAGAAACCCCAGTCCTGTCTCGCGGTCTATTGTGTGTTCATGAAGCCTTGATAGGCTCTGGGGTGGTGAATGAGTAGTCATTCAATGTGAACGGTGGGCTGGGAAGGAGCCTTGTTGAGGAGAAATGGTGTGGTGGTGCCACATGAAAAGGAAGGGGAGCTAGACGGGTTGCTGTCATGCAAGCAAGTTTAAGCCTGCTTCTTGCCCTTGGTCTTCTCGGCCTTGGACTCTTCCTTGGATTCGGATTCAGACTCGGACTTCTCTTCAGTCTTGGAGGCGGGCTCGGAAGCACTCTCCTTCGCCTCAGCACCCTCATGGTGTCCGTTATGGTCCCCCTCATGCTTCACATGAAGGGGCTGGTGCTTGGACTTAAGACGCTCCTCCTCTGCAGCAACCATCTCCTTCCAGAGATCACCCTGATCCTTACTGACCCCATGCACAGGAGCAGGCTCGGCAGCATCCTCAAGCTGCTGCTTCTTATTCTTCTTAGTAGCATCAAGAAGACCACGGCCCCGACGCTGATCCGATATCTCGAACGCAGCAGAAGCGCACAGCACGGCCAAAGTCAAACCCTGAGCATACACACGAGCCTGGACAATCTTCTGCTGACCGGACAGATACGGGTTCCGACCGACCAGGACGAAAGAACCGATCATGGAGGCGACCCATGTAGCGCCGACGATCTTGTACTTCTCGCGGCGGGCGAAGGCGATAGCTCGGTCGGTGAAGCTCAGGCCGCGCAGCTCTTCAGCATGTAGACGGTCCTCGCGGCTCTCGTACCACAGCATAGCGGCATTCTGCTGCTTCTCGAAATCTCGGGAGGCGTGATCGGCTGCGATGATACCGACAAAGGTACCAGATGATGTCACCAGGAAGGCTTTCATGGGGATGGTCAGGTTGCGGATTGTGTGGTATCGACGCGAAGCGAGCATGACGCCCGCAGCACCACCGAGAAGACCGATGATGCCACCGAAGCTGCCGCCTTTGACGACGGAGCTGTTGAGACACGAGTTTTGTCAGTATGGCATGATGTGGGAAAAGATTGTAGACAGCCGGGGGATCCGATGGCTGGCAAGGAATTATCATACCGGTAGTGCGCGTCTTCTTCTTCCTTAGTGAGCAACTTCATGACGGATGTGTGGATATGTAGTGGTGGTGTTTGAAAATTGAGATGAGGGGAAGATTGGAGAGGAATTGAAGCTCTTAAAGGTCAGCGGCGCACCCAGAAAGCAAAGGCCGAACCCGAAAAGCATGACGTGACCATGCGGGATCTGCTACCGGCGTTCTGTCGGCGGGAAGAGCCTCGGACGAAGTTCGGACATCGCTCGTCTGACAGAGTTTGTTTGGAGACACGCGACGATGACGTGGGTTTCGAAAGATAATGCGGCGATCTACTCTCTAACTGGTCCTTACTATATCTACATGCATTTACTCTTGCATGGTTGATTAGATATGCAGATTCAATTGTTGCGGCACACATAACCTAACTACCAGGCGCGATGTTCCACCCTAAGCTCAGAAAATAGAAGTTCCCGATCCATCCCGAACGCCAGGCGCACCATGTCAGAAAAGAAATTTGGGAGTCGTCAGATGACGGTAGCAGACCCCGAGGAGGAAAAAAGAGAGAGCAAAAAAATTAGCACTACATGAGCCCATCCGATTTTACCGACGAGAACCCTTCTGCGCCGCATTGTTGCGAGCTTGCATCTTGCGGAATCGATCCTCTCCGCTGCTGCCCAGCGGTCGCGCAAACTTGCTCTCTTGCACGGCAGTCTGTCGCGGCACAATGGTATAGGTCACATTGGTACGGTCAACACGGGCACGGTTGGCAAGACGAGGAGGAAGCTTCTCGCGCGCACGAGCTTCGGCAGCCACAATCTCAGCGGGAGTCTGGGTGCGCTTGACGATTTTACTAGAAGAATCATCAGTGAACGGGATCGAACGTCACATAGAGGAAGATGGAAACGTACGTAGGATCAAAGTCAGCCTGTTGGAAGACGCGCTTCGAATAATCGTCGCTACGCTGGAGAATTGGTCGTGTCCACTCAGCCAACAGCTTCTCGGCCATATCCTTGATGCGTCGCTCGGTGCGCTTGCTCTTCGTGTAGAAGACAACGACCTTGCCGATTCCGCTGGCAATCAGGGCATCCTTCTGGATTGGCAATTTGGTGAGGGCGGTCAAAAGATCACGCTGGATATTGTATGCAGGCATGGATCCATCGTCCAAAGGCTCGAGGAAGAATCGAACGGCCTCGAGAAGATTGATCTCGGGATCAACCAAGCTGTTGATGTACTGGTTGCGGTTGAGGAGCATAATGACCTCGGGGAGGAGCTTGAGCTTGTGCATGGCCGGCTTGCCCTCCTGACGATTAATGGCATCCATCTGCGCGGCGTGGGTCATGCGCTTTCGCATATCTTCGATTTCAGCATCGGCCATGGCTTCGAGATCCTAGGGAGACGGTTAGTGAGCGTACAAGAAATCGGTTCACCAGTATTCCATACAATGCCATCCTGCTTGCGGGATCGCCTCTTTCCAGGCTTTCGGATTGCCTCATCCATAGCACGATCAAGAGCACGGCGGCGACCTAGAGCATCGAATCTGTCAGCCCTGTCTGAAGACCCATGTACTTTTCATTGCTGATTGTACTCACGAGTCTCGGGATCGAGAGTCTCTTCATCCGTAGATGGCGAAGCCTCCTTCTTCTTGCGCTCCCTGCGACGAGAAGCCCCATCCTCTCCCTCATCCTCATCGTGCGCACGACGGCTTTTCTTCTCACGACGGCCCTCCTTGCGACGCAAGCGGCCTTCTCCATCATCAGCACGCTTGCGCTTGTGGCGGCCAATCAACTTCAGATTCTCTTCATCAATCGCCAGCTGGGGACGGTCCTCGACATCAACATTCTCAGGGTTGAAGTCCTCAAATTGCGCCTCATCGACCTCGGATAGAATCGACTCGTCGTCGGAGATGCCACCTTCATTATCGTCATCGTCTTGCTCCTCGAGCGCATTATCGTTATCTTCAACCTCAGAAGCAGCGTTCGCAGGCTGCTCGGCCTCGTCGTCATCGCCAGCAATTGGGGTTGCGACTTTTTCGGGCTCGGGGAGGCTGCGGCTGAGCCCGGCTGGTGTTCCGGTGAAGCAGACATATTTGATGAAGGTTTTGGTGTACAGAGAGAAAGGATGTCAAGGAATATGTAGACGGAGATGAGTTTGTAGCGACACTCGGAGGGGAGAGTCAAGCGGCGTTGAGCGAGCAGAAGCGGTGGATATCAGTGTACGCTCCGACGCCTCTCCGAAAGCCGAATCACACGTGGCGAGTGACAATGAAATTCGCTCTCGTGGATATGAATAGTAGCTCTAAGAGACCCAAAATGAGCTTCAGGGGTTTGTAAAAGGTTAGGAACAGTCAAGGGGAGAGAAAGAGGCAGAGGCAAAAGGTCGAGGCGGGCATTGGAGAAGGAGACGATGGCTGGTCTGTGCTCCCGTGATTTCTTTCCTCCCCAAGGCCGCCCAACTTCCGCGGGTTCTTCCCGTTACTTCATTTCCTGCCTGTTCTCTCACTTTACAACCACCCCTCAAGTACACATTATATTATACCAAAATGTTTGCCCCAGGTATGTACTTCAACTCTTCAACCTACCTCAACTCGCATCATCCACCATCATGCGTCCAACCAAGACTACATATCGCAGTCGCCTAACCAAGCGTCCTCGACGTCTAGGCCAAGAACAGCTTTCCGAGGAGGAGATCCGGGTATGAGATACTTCTTGACCTTCAAACACACTTGAATCAGTACTGACTCTCACCTAGGCCGGTGAGATCGAGGCCAGCCAGACCGTCCAGATGGCCGTCGTCGGCGGCATCCTTCTCTACCTGTGTAAGTCAAATCTCACAATCGCGCCATTCTCAAGCGAACCTCCAAAATACTATATTTCCTCGTGTCTTCGATCCTCAAGCCTAACGCATATCAGCCCCCTTCGCCATCGACTTCGCCCGCAAGTTCCTCTAAACGCATCGCCGCGCCCTTCCACCCTGTCTCTACCCTTCATTACGCCACGACCAACAAACCACCTTGATCATGTTTCAGTGCGTTTTCGGAGATTGGGATTCATGGATTTTCTTGAATTTGGGCTGGGGAGATCTATCTGATGGACTGAAAAAAAATACTAAGAAATACCCTCATGAATATTTTGCGTCGAGGACATTTCTATGCCATTTTCAGCCTGCTGCAGAGATCTGGCTCAAATGATGTATTATTATGGATTGTACATGCCGGGTTTTATCTGGATTTTGTTTTGAGTATAGAGTAACGGAAAATTGGACTATGGCAAGATGCCATTTGGTAACAACAAGGACCTTCAATTAGGTAGATCTAGCTTTACTCTCACCTCCGTCTAGGCACTATTATGCCAAGAGAGGATAGTAGATAGCACTGGGCAAAACAATACTAGGTCTGTCAGGTTTGAAAATATGTATTCAACTATGCATTACGGGTGATCGTCCCAAGAACGCCGGTGCTCCTATGCCCAATGATCATTCAAGTCCCCCGATGTGAAGCAGAAATATCAAGGATCTAAGAAGATCCAAGCGCCCAAGCAAAAAGCCAACCTACTTCCCACCCAGCTTCTGCGCCTCTTCGAAATCCTTCTTTACCACCTCCATTTCCTTTTGCAAGTGCTGGATCTGAGCATGATAGTCATCAAGAATCTGCAATGATAGCGCATTAGTATCTTGATTAAAGATGAAATGGTTGGGATGAGAACACACCTTCTTTGCTGTCTTCATGGTCTGCTCATCAATCTCGTCCTCTCCATTTGCTGTGACGTTCGCTCCCGCACGGTCCATCTCAACTTGTAGACGCTTCGAGTGTTCGTGAATGGCTAGCATACGAGCCCAAATCTCCTCGCCGCGACCATTCAGGGACGGGTCAAAGACAGAGCGCTCCAGCTGAGTCAATTTCTTCTTCAGCTCCTCCTCAGCATCATCCATAGCGTAACCGCGGTTTCGCAGCATTTGCGTCTTAGCCGCCAGGGCTAGACAGCGCTTGCTCAGAACGATGTGCTTTCGGCGGGCATCTGCAACCTGGACTGAGATCTTCAGATCATGTCGTGACAGTAGATCAGTCAAGCAGTTGTTGATCTCATGAAGGCGTGTCTGCAGAATGGCAAGGAAGTCCTTCTGGCGCTGAGCACGCTTGCCGAGGTCCATGAAGCCCTTGACGAGTACGGGCACATAACCCGACCCGGGGCGCTTCCGCAGAGCCTCCTCCCATTTCGTCTCGTCGTCTTCGAAGCCGGGCTGGAAGAATGGGGCATTATCTTCACCAACGTGGTTGTAGAGATAGGCGCGGAACGGAGAAGATCGAATTTGCGCATCCCATTTGTCCCTGACAATGGCAATCTGCATGGGGACGGTTCGGTGTACTATGGTTGATCGAGTTAGTGAGTGGGACAAATAGTCAAAGCCCATCCAAGGGTATAATTACCTCCAGTGATGGCACGGCCGGGAGACCACAGGCTTGATGACAAGGATTGTTCCTGCGGCTGACCTTGTGGCTGAACCATAGTCGTTTGTCCAAACTGAGACTGCTGGGGTTGCTGCTGCTGCTGCTGTTGTTGCTGCGGGGCCTGCTGGGTAGTGGCACCGAAAGCAGACCCAAAAAGAGATCCACCTGCGGGTTGTTGCGTTTGCTGCTGCGGCGCAGTGGCTCCAAACATACTCGTTGCAGGCTTCTGTGCGGTTGTTGTAGAAAACATACTGGGCTGTTGCTGTTGCGCCGTACCGAAGGTAGTGGCAGCCGGTTTCTGCGCGGTACTCGTGCCGAACATGCTGGCTGTCTGGGTTGCCGGCGTGCCGAACAGGTTGGATGTCGTCGTGGCTTGTGGTTGAGTCTGAGTCGCACTGCCGAACAATCCTTGGCCAGTTCCCGTGGTTGTACTGGAGCCAAGGCCACCAAAAGTGCTGGGCTTATTGGCAGTGTTGCCAAAAGTGCTAGCAGTGGGTGTGCTGCCGAAGAGAGACATGGCGGATGTTCTGGAGGAAGCGCGAGGGGATGCCGCAAAAAAAAGCGTCTCCAATTATTCTCGGAATGAGGGTCTCGGGCTTGGCGAAGCCTGTCGCGTGAGATCGGACGGATCAGATGCAGATCAAGAATAGCTCAAGATCGCAATCCCTGCCGATTGGAGAGGGAGATGGTTGGGCAGACGAGCGGGTGGGCGCTGGAGAGCTTCGCGAAGAAGAGAACCTCAACCCGTCGGAGCTGTGCTTTGTTTAGATCACGTGATATTGACATTCGCTGGAAAGGCTGTGGAAGAAGACGGAACGGAGAACTTCAAGGAGCAGGAATCCAGCAATCAAGTAGAGAGTCAAAGACCCGGGGCTGCAGTCCAGATCTTTTTCTGCCTATTGACTACAACGTTTGCCTATAACTTAGCACTTTCTCAGTCAACAGGCTACACCTATATACCTCCTCCAAGCAACGTGCTTACCTCAGCACCTCCGCTCCACCAATCAGCGTGCCCCCAAAGAAACCGACCTTTCAATTCCACCGCAACCCGCAGCTTCACGAAGTCCACTGCCTTTGTCAATTACCCTCCCATTTACCCTCATTCAGACCAGCCACCGACACAATGGCTCAGCGAGACCCTCAGTATGCTCACCTCCTCCCTCAATGACACCTTCCATGCCGTCCCGCCGCGCCAGGAGCAAGACTAACCGCGCTATCCCTCTGCGAACAGGTTCAACCAGCATGTCCTCGTGGACACCACCCCCATGCCGGACCACATCCCCAAGGTGGAGGATATTGGCGCCACCTCGGCATTCCTGACCAGTGCTGCGTACTTCATTGGTGACCGCTGCAAGGCATTCAACGACGACTACATGAAGTGCAAGGACGAGGCCAACGGCCGCGGAGAGTTCGAGTGCTTGAAGGAGGGGCGCAAGGTGACGCGCTGCGCTGCTAGCGTGTATGTACTTTGCCCAGTGTGCATTGGGAAAGCAATCGGGTTGCCGATTCAGTTGCCTGAGGGGTAGCAGTGAAGCTAACTGGCATCGTTCACGAACAGCATCAAGGACATTAACACCCACTGCCTCGACCAGTTCAAGGCTCACGCCGACTGCCTCGAGAACAACAACCACTACCTCTTCGAGTGCCGCAAGGCCGAGGTGTCCCTCAACAACTGCATCTTCGACAAGCTGGTATGCACTCCTCTCCAGTCCCCAGTCTATACAATACGCAGCCGAGGCTAGCAAGCAACACATGCATCACGCATACACGAGTCTCTGAAACTAACAACCCTCTCTCTTTGTCTCCTACAGGGCCTGAAGAAGACCATTCCTGGCGCCCCCGAGAACCAGGTCCCCGTCCACCTGCGCCCCAAACAAAAGTACGCCCAGTACCCCGGACCTCAGTACTAAAAAGCCCCGAGATGATATTGTCTTCTCCCGGTTCAATCTTCTTTCCCACCACATCACCCCCGATTTAAACTCGCACGCCTCACTATGCAGCCGTCCAGGGCTCCGGCTTCTCTTCTTTTTCTTTCTCTCTGTTTGTTCTAAACTAGATGCGCAAGCGGTCCTTGTGTTTCATCTACTCTGTCTGTCTTGTCTGGTGTATGTTTTGTGTAAATATCTATTGGCATCAGGAATGGTTATGATTTCCGATTGAAATGCGGTCTTTGATCCTGAACTGCGGAGTACTTGGTATATTTCACAAGCTTGAACTTAATCCCGTCTGGCTCCATCGGACTAGAAGCAGTCGATCTTGTCGGCACTGGTATCCTCCGAACGAGATGCACCCTACTGGAAGTGTTCACGGATATAGCTGGACAGGTATAGTTCTTTACCCAACTCGATTAGCATGCCAAGGCTCGAGCTGTAACAGACGTTCAAGCCTTGCCTACACAATCTCAAATATCCAGCCTCTAGCTGTCTTCTCTGGCAACAATAACTGAGGCATGAACCTTGACATCGTACGTATTCAGAATTCAACAAAGGCAAGCGTTAAACAAGGTTTATATAGAGACTCTATAAAATTTCCTTCTTATTCACCCCTCTACTTAGTCTATAGGTATCAAAGACCATTGCATACAACCCCATATCAGAACACAACCAAGAAAGAAGTGGCAAAACAACCGAGAAAAGAAAGAAAAGAAACACCAGAGCCTCGGATTCAAAACCCATATGTACAGAACAAAAGAAAAAAGACAATAAGTAACGGGTGCAACAAGAACTCCTCAAATGTTTACAAACGAGAAGGGGGGTAATAACAACTCAAGAAAGATGCAAAATAGGCAGACAGCCAAGACCCATCGTAATGATCCCAATATCAACACGTCCGGGAGAAACGCAAGAAGATGCGGATAGCGGGCCAGGCAGAAAGAGTAGCAGGGGTTGCAAGTAGGAAGTAGGACAAGACATACCACAAACCTACGGCATCGGAGGCACACGCCGAAGAAGCTTAACCCTCCCCAGCCGTGCCTTAACACCAGACCAACCCTCTCTCAACCGCACCTCCAACCTCCGGTCCCCGCGCATCCGCATCCAAATCAACAACACCCCCAGCAGCGCCACATCCCAAATAATCTGGCGCACAACAACCCAAAGCATCCACTTCAACCAAGCCCAAACCCCCGAGCGACGACGATGCGCCAACGTCCGCGCCTCCATCTGCTCACGGACAGCCGCAATCTCCGCCGTCATTTTGGTCAGCGCTTGCTCGACGCGGCGGCGCCAGCGGCTGTTTCGCGGGTGCGATGGATCTTGTGAGTGTGAGTCTGGACCGTTTAGGCTTGTGCCGTCGCTGGCGCCGGAGGTGGATTTGGATTTGTGTCGGGAGTGGGCGCGGGGCCGACGGTCGTCGCCGTGGGAGGCGGTGCGGTCCGTGCCGGTGTGTGTATGGGTATCTGTATTTGTGGAGGCGTTGTCGGGGGGTTCGTAGAGACTGTCGCGGGCTTCTTCGTATTCTTCGTCGTCCTCGTCTTCATCTTCTATCTCGTCTTCGTCGAGGGCGTCTGCGGACCGGCGGCGGCGGTAGTACTCTTCTTCTTCGGGTTGGCTGACGGGGCTGAGGACGCGAAGGCGGGAGTTGCGGGCGTCGTCTGTCCGCATGTCTGGTCTTTCATATTGTTCAGAGGATGATTGCGCTAGCCGTCCGCCTATACTGCCGTAAGCGCTGCTTTGGTGATGTGATAAGGGTGGGACGCCGACGGCGTTGAGTGGGGAGGAAGAGGATGAGGAGGAGGCGTTGTATTTGATTTGGTCCCAGACGAATTCGAGTTCGGAGACGAGTTCGCGAGCCTCGGGTGTTTGCGAGGCATAGCGGTGCATGGTGTCGATCAGGGTGCCGATGTAGCGGCGTTTGGCTTCGGTGCGCGTGAGTCCGCGCTGAGCGTACCAGGCATCCCTATCGGCGCGAAGGAGAGAGGCGGGTTAGTTAGAAATTCAGATGTAAAGTGTAGAGATCAGTAACATGATCTGGATAGGTTCTATGCCCATTGTCATGAGGCGACATACCACTTCTCGCACTCCGCGTGGACCTCCGGGGTATTCCCCATGGGACGATCCATCACGCCCTCGACATCCCCCCTCTACCATAGACTATAAGCCAATCCGCCTTGGATAAGAAGAACCATAGGAAATCCACAAGATAGACTCACCCATGCTCTGTTTATACAAGCCATATAGCTTCAACCGCTCCGCGGCCGGTGGGCGCGCGGTTCCCGTCCGGGGAATCCTCTTCACGGTATTCAAGGCATGGACGAAGACGCGATCTATCCCGGAGTAAACGTCAATACCAGCGCAAGCACCAAGGGGGGATATGAAATGCAGGCCATCACGCACCTACTGAATCCGACATGCTGATACTCGAAGAACCGGTCCGGTAGTCAGCCCTGTCTTCATGGGAGCGGGGTCGGGCATCGGCTGGCGTGGACGAGCCTCATGGAGAGCGTGCGAAGCAAGTCGGATTGAAGAAGAGGAAAAGGAAGAATAGACGTGGTCAATGGCTGGAATGCAATGGAGATTAAAAGGGGTGAGTCGTAGTAGTCTGAGTGGCCGGGGCGTTTTCGACTGGGGAAATTGGATGTGCCCTTTGGAGATGCGTTTAGTCTCCCGTTGGTAGATTCCGAGCGCCGAACGCTTCCTGGTTTCCCTCGCTCTGGTAGTCCTTCCTGTTTAGTCCCTTCGGAAAAGGCAATGCTTTCCCGATCACGCCCGCGACGATTGTCAGACTCAAAAGGAGAGTAAATCAACTAGATGAATCGTGATATTCATCTAGAAATGTTGAAAGTCAAGGGTGTCAGAGGTGTCTCGTGCCTTCGAGGAAAGGCCGAGACGTGGCGTGTGTTAGAAGTTTGGGGTGGGAGTTGGACCGCGGCTGTCGGAGAAAGATCGTCAGGGCACTTGTGATTTCCGCCCCAACGGCCAAGCAGCCAAATGCAGGAGGGAATGAACAAATAACTAGATTTATTCTACAATGCATACAATAAATTAAGAATATACAAGGATGGGCATATTTGCAGGTCATATCTGAGCTAGTATACACAAGAAAAAAAAAAAAAAAACAAGAAACTCCCCCAGTCTCCACAATCCCGGTGGATCACTCAATTGCTGGGCATCTTCTTCACCTCGATTATAGCATTCTCCGTATCCACCGCAGAGCCATTCATAACCCCCGTCGCCGCGATCACTTCTTCCTTGGAGACCGGCGGGCCGGTGAAGTGCTTGCGCGCATACACAAAGTACCAGAAGATACTGATCGCCGCGAACCCGGCAAACACCACGCTCGCGTAGTTCATCCCTGATGCATCGACGGGCAATGTGTACGGCATGCAGAAGAGCACGACTGCCAGCACAATCCATAGCACTGTGATGCCGTTGATGGCCCATCCAAATACACCGAGGGAGAATGTGGAGCGCTTGACATCCTCGCGGCCTCGGATCATCGAGATCAGAATGGGCAGTCCGTACGAAGTCGACAGACAGATGGTAGCCACGCCGGTGAAAGAGTTAAAGGCGGCCGTCGAGCCAAAGTAGATCAACCCCAGAAGGCAGTTCACTACCGCGGACAGAATGATCGCGTTCACGGGCACGTCCAGCTTCTTATTAACTCGGCGCCACAGGTGGAATCCCGGGATCGCTCCGTCCCGCGCAAAGGCGTACGTGCAACGACTGGCCGCAGTCAACGAGCCAATCCCCGCAAACAACATAATACCCAGAATCAAGAAGAGTAGACCAAAGCCACCGCCCGCGGAGCCAGTCACTTCCTTGAAGAGCGTTCCAATCGGCTGTCCGCTAGCGACCTGGCGCAGCAGTTCCACATTGGGCATGGAAAACAGCACGGGGATCAAATACAACAGACCCGTGATACCAGCCGCGACGACGGACAGCACAATCGCCTTGGGGACCTCGCGATGCGGGTTCTGGACTTCTTCGCACATGGACGCGACCATGCCGTAACCCGTCAACGTATACGCTGCCTGCAGCAAGCCCACGAAGAAGGCCCAGCCAGCAGGCCATCCACTCTGGGACGAGTCGTACTCGGCGAAAACAAACTCGCCCGAGTTCAGGTGATCCGCCATGGTGAGGAGGACAATCAAAATGATGATCACACTGGCAGCGGTCCAGAAGATGCAAATCTTATTAATAAGGTCCAAGTAGCGCGAACCAAAGATATTCACGAGCGTGCAGACCAGCGTCACGGCCCAAAACATGAGAACCGTCTGCCACGCATTGGCGACAAAGTCCTCCTTCCACAGCTGGATCGCGCTGAGGATCAGCTGTCCACCACCGAAGATGATACTCAGTGTCACGGTCCAGTTACCCACAAGCGTCAACCAGCCGTCGATAAAGGACATGAGCGGTGCCCAGCGGCGGGTGGAGAGCATTGCGCTCCAATAGTACACGCCGCCGGCGGTCGGGTAGACGGCGCAGATCTCGGCGAGGGAGGCGGCGATGGCAATCGAGATGAGGGTGACGAAGACCCAGCCCCAGATGATGGTGACGGAGAGGCCGTCGGCCAGGGTGATGTAGAGGGTGGTACTGAGACCGTAGGGGCGCGGCCATGATGGCGAAGGACAGGCCTAGAATACTCAGCATGGACAAGTTACGAGGCAGCTCGCTCTTGTAGCCCATGCGGGCCAGCGCCTCGTCGGCGGAGGCGTCGACGGAGTGTTGCCGCATGGTGGGTTGGGTTATGGATGGGGCAGTCGAGGGTGTGGGGGAGGAGAAGAATAAAGTAGGTAGAATTAGAAGTAGGAAATCGGTCACAGGAGACAGAAAGGAGCAGCACACTAGGCAAGACACTAGGGCAGAGAAAGAGGAGTAGGGTTTCAGTGTCTCCCAAAAGACCGGAAGCGGGAGTGGAGATCTCAGGAGGTTGGAGAGTCTGGGGAAGAAAAGATCCGGACGAAGCTTGAATTATTTAAAAAGAACCCGGAATGGAGACCCCAAGTGACATCAAGCAGGTCACTATGGAGTTCACTAGTTCACTCTATCTCGTCGATGGAGCCATGAGGCGGCAACCCCGCATGATGGACATGATAAACGTGATAGACGGGGGCAAACATCGCGGTCCGAGACCGCGAGAGCGCGCGGTGGGCGTCCAAAAAGGTTTTGGGGCTTACTCGTGAGGACGCTCGTTGGCGGGACCAGGAAGGGTCTCCCAATAGGCTCCAGGGCCCGTGGAAGGCCACCCAGTCCGAGACACGGCTTATCAGGGTCCAACGGTCGGGCGAAACTCTGGGTCCTTGAAGCCGATAGGAGCAGGTAGGTTGGAGATCCTTCGAGCGGCTATCAGTTCGGAGTACTCCGTAGAGTAGTTCCATTGGTATGTAGTACTTACTACTTCATAGTTAGTTTAGTTAGTTAGGTTAGTTAACTAACTTAACAGTTGATCGTTAGTCACAGCCAGATAAGCTATCTTTGCCAGTTCCTTGGGTGTCGCGTGGCCCCAGTCTTCTTTGGAAACTCGGCCCACCCAAAAGTGGATTGGTTCCGTCGTCCATATCGCTGGCTTATATAGTGCCTACCAGCTCCGGTAGTTACTATCTACGCTATACCCACAAGACTGAACTTATACTTGAATACATTTTGTGATTTTCACTATCACGGAAAAAAATAAGTCACCCACGGGGTGACGGCTGCCACATCGGAATAAGATGGCCGCCCCGAAGAGCGCACGGGGCCATCGATGAGCGCCAAGATAATCAACACCAACTCAGAACGGAGAAACAACAGGGATGAGGGAACCAGGCCGGGCAATCAACAGAACGAAGCTTGGACGAAGATATTCCCGATGCCACACGGCCAATGTCCCAAGTGCGAGGGTGCGAAAAAAGGGGGGTATCAAACATGGAAATGGGGCGGTGCACATATGTCCGGTGGGTTTGGAGGGAGTAATTTTTTTCTTGTTTGAGTATCTACTCGGACATGGGAGACAGATCTAGAGCGAGATCTGGAAGGGAGATCTAGGTCGATCATCGGAGTCGGCGGGCGGAAGTAGGCCCTAAAATATCGAACAGTGGGGAGCGGATCGGGGGAGAGGAGCGGGATGTAAGTGGGAGGGCGAAGCGGCAAAGAAGAATGGAGGAGAAATCGGGATGGAGCGGAAAGGGGCGGATTGGGGGGGGGGATTTTTTGAAGGGGAAGCAAATCAGGAGAGTGTCAACGGACTCCAAGTCTATACAGCCACTCTGGTGGGAACACTCAACCCGAGTAGCATTTTGATAGGGATCCGCATCCACAAAGAGGTGGAGAGGGATTGTTGGGGAACAGCAGGGGAAGAGAAAAGAATAACAAGCAGAACAAACGCTGAGTCGTAACCAGCCAGCTAGTATCAACTCCAGAAAAAAAAAAATCGTAAGAAACATGACCCGTGTCGTGCGGAACGATCGTGAATCGAGGTCAGGAACGACAAAAAGGGGGGGGAGAAGAGCAGAAGAAAACGCCCATTCATGCAGTCGTCAATCCGGTGAAGTCGTTACATGAGGAAAATGCAGTATAGTCGCAGGGAAGGCAAAGCGCGGGAGAAGTGGTAGACAATGGGAAGGTACAAGGGTCGAAGGAGGGCTCGGCGAGATCGAGAATCGAGGATCGCAGTCGATCACGTACTTCAGGGACTGAGCCCTCCCGTCAGGAGATCGTCGGCCGCATCGGGACCAAACCCGGCCATGTCGACTGAATGTAGGGAGCCGGGCCCTTTGCCCAAGGAGATATCAGAGGAAGCATAGTCGTGCTTGAGTCGCTCATGAGGCCCGAAGAGATGCGGCCCGAAGAAGGGCCGATTCTCTTCGTTCGGCGTGTTGCCGTCACCAGCGACCCACGGCCCGTTCTGCCAGAACCGAGTATTGGCCTGTTGATCACCAAATAGATCATGATGATCGGGTTGGGGGTCGGGGCCGTGAGTGGGGAAGTCATTAGGTGACGGGAATCGCATATGCGACCGACCAAAACTGGAGCAGGGGGAATCGGCATGCAGAGGCATGTCCAGACCGGAGAGCGGGGGATCGTCGACCGTCGTTATGTCAATGGTCGGGTTTTCCGTCTGTTGTGCAAGGGCCGATGACAATCGCAGATTCGACGCCGTTGAGCTATGCCGACTATGACTGGTCGACCGCTCGATGGCACGTTGCACAAAGCTCCCGCACGTCTTCATGATTTTCTCCTGCTCCGCCTGGGAGAGGCTGGCAAAGAAGTCATTGGCCAGGGATGACTTGGGCGGCTCATCTGGCGACGGGATCAATCCGTACGTGGTCTTCGCATACTCGGAGAGACCAGACGGCATATTATACGGGGACTGATACACATTGGGGGCCTTGGCTCGTTGCTGATCCAGGAACGCATATTTACCCGGCATCCTCGCCGCGGCAACACTTCCTTGATCGACAATTTCCTGCTTCACCCCTTCCGACTCCTTCTTTTGGATGACATCCAATCGCTCTCGGTGACTGACCAACGAGAATCGGAGCATCTGAAGAAGCCGAGCGACCTCATCTGCCCGCATGTTGAGCGTCTGCGGCGGCAGCAAGGTCCCATCGGCAGCCCTGGGCTGCACACGCTGCTGGGCCATGGCCAGCTCCAGTTTTTCAAGACCATTGAGCGGAGGGATCGATCCCATAGGCCCCAACAGGGTTTCTACCACCAATTCCGGGCTGACGATCGTGTACCCAGCGAACACATTGGCATGTTCGGTGATCTGGGCGAGGCGGCGACGGGCGATGAGGTCACGAACGTTGGCAAAGGTATTGGTGGAAGTGAGGTGGTGCTGCTGCTGAGCATGCGATTTGGCGACCGTGGGGTAGGGGGCATGGCGGATAGATGAATTCGGTAGAGTTCGAAAGGCCGACGGCATCGCAGGTCCAGCAGCAGCAGCACCAGTAGCAGCAGCAGGGGCAGGGGGAGGGGCAAGGTGCTGCAGGGAGGAGGAGGCGGTGGACGAAGGCGGTCGGGGCGATGACGAGGAGGAAGATTGTAGGTGAGGGGCGACGAAGTTGGCAGCGTTCAAGGCTGACTGGAGGAGATGTTGGTTTTGTTGTTGTTGTAGCAGCAGCAGCGGTGGTCGGTGTTGGGCGTAAAGATTTTGCTGGTAAGGAGGGGCAGGAGCGGTGGCAGCATAATGGAATGGACGGTGGGGGGGGATCTTCGATGCACGAACATTGACACCACCAGCCACGCCAAGCGACTTGACACTGTCCAGGAAATTGGCCCGCGGGTTGTGGACGGGCACGCTAGGGTTGTGCGTATACTGTGCCCTACTCTCGGTGGAATGCGTGCCCAGGTAATGCCACACCTGCTCTTCTTGAGCCAAGTTCACTCTGACGGGTGGGGCGAATTGGTTTTTAGCTTCATCCACCGTCTCGAATTCAGCCCATTGATAGGGAGATCGACTGTCGCCAAATGCACTGCCTGCGACCGGAACGGCAGCCTCCAATTCCTTTCTCGAGTCGGGCTTCCGCGCTAAGTGGGCCGGGAGGGGTTGGATGCCCAGTGCGAGGGGCACGAAGTTGCTCTTGCGTACCACCAGCATCCAGCGGTAAGGCATCTCAATGACATCTCTGTTGACAATTATCAGTATTGGGTAATTCGTTTTGGGTAGCATGCGAGAGAGGGGGGGGCCAAAGGGGGAGGGGGGTTATTGATTGGGCGTGGGTATTGTTCGGGAGGTTCGGGGCAATGAAACCCCCTCGGTGGGGGTCGAAGAACTTACCCTCGTGGCAGAACCTTCAATAACAGACTCCGTTCCTCCGGGCGGTTCTCTAACACAATGGCGCCATTAATCTCCTTGTCAGCTTGGAACTGAATCAAATCTCCCTGCGCCAGACGACTAGCAGCTTCAATAACCCGGCGATCCAGATCGGATGATTCCACCAGCAGTCCCGCGGGTCGCTTTTGACGGTGGAATTTGCACTTGAGGTCCACACTCGGGAGTGAGTATTGTTGACCATCATCGGCAATGACAGCAATCGCACCGTGCTCGACCTGAACGCCCGCCAGAAGTGCACATGTGGCATGATAGGCACGTGTGCATTTGCCAAAGTTGCATTGGAAACAAGCACCACGGACCTCGCGACAGAAAAGACATTTTAGACCCAGGCGGGCCTTGGGAATCTTGTCGATATCACAGACTACCTCGTTACCAGACGAATCACGGAGGATGGAGGTCTCCTCGATGAACAATGCACACCGACGGTGAGCATGTCCCTTGCCATCTTCAGTTGGCAATAGATCCTCATAATCAAGGTTGTTCGGGCACAGGAGACATGGGATCTTCCGCGGGCCTTCAAGGTGGAGTTTAAGTCGTTTGGTTCGCGGCCCGTCACCCGCATTCTTCCGCTTTCGCCCACGGGTGGAGGACTTCTCAGGCACACTGCGTGGAGGCGTGAGCATATCTGAAGCACCATCGAAACCTTCAAGCTCGCTATCGTAGTCCCCGTAGTAATCGGGAGTGGCCTCGCCGCGTAGTTTGCGCTCGATTTCATCCACATCGATCCAGACACTGTCGGCTTCACAATTGCACTTTTTGGCGATACGACCGTAGTCCAACCAGCGCTCCGTTGCAAAGTTGACAGATTCGGCACAATTGTAGCCAATATTGTACCCGGAGTGATAACCGTACGGGAAGGTTATGACAAACTCTCCTTCGTAGTGGACCAGTCGGTTGACAGTGATACCATACTGAGATTTCAGCAAGCTGGGGAGACCAAGTAGGTCTTGTGGCGCAAAAATTGATCACAATTCTTGGCATCACTGGACCAGATGCTGCGCATGGCCGCCTCAAACTTGGGGGCGTCCTCTTGTGAGATGCTGTACCACTGCTTCGGGGCACCAAAGTGGATGTAGTTGATACTGTAGAGATCCACGTCTTCCAAGTGCCACGCGAACGTAGCCTTCCACATTCCCAAGTACAGATATGCCGTGTTGACACCGGGCACTTTCTGTCCAAGAACATCAAGCAAGTTGGGCAATTTGGCCACGTTCCAAGAGGTGGTGGAGTCATCAAAGAGTGAGCCTGGCATATCTGCGCCATACATCGGATTGTTGAACATCAGGGACTTCCAGTAGGCAGTCTCTAGCTCCTCACATCTCTCCGCGGTGTAATCTTCGTTATCGTGGATGCGATAATCAAACTCCTTGAAGGCCTCTTCGTCCACATGGTCAACAGTCTCACCCCGGTTATTCTTGCGGCGTGCTGTTACAGACTTGGGCTGTCTACCCTTCGGCTTGGCAGCGGGAAGGGATTCACCATCGCTCAAGTCCTCGCTTTTGGTCTCAACTGGAAGTGATTCTGGCGAAACAGGTGTCGGAGGGCCTTCGAGCCGGGACTTTTCCGCGTCATCATCGGTAGGCTCGTCCTTAACTTTGACCTGATTTCCACGCTTGGGAGGTCGGCCAGGTCGACGCTTCTGACCCTCGGGGCGAGGTGCTTGGGGCCGTGGGGTGGGAGCTGGTCGATTGACACGTTCTTGATTTCGACGTCTCTCTCCACGGCGAGCGGGCGGTTGATGGCTACTCTCTTCACACAGGCCCTTCCACTGGGGCAAATTGTATGTGCGCTGTCGTTCAATATTGGCCTGAGTGTATGTCCCGTGCGACCCATGAAACTCCTGCATGATTGGATTCTTCACACGGATTGTCTTTACCGCATCATCTAATGGTGAGAGTGATTCGGTCCTTCGAAAGAAGGAGGATATGAGCACAACCATCTACATTGTCCTGGGTTGTTCGAAGCACTCACCATTCCTTCGGGGGAACCACTTTCACGATTCCCGCCTGCATTCCATACTTATCAATCTTATTGATAAAGGACTGGAAGTCGCGGAACTGATCCATTGTCTGGAGAGATAAGTTGCTTGTTAGTGGGACTATCCTAGTCACAGCAACTCCATTTGAGTCAAGGCTAGTTTGCGGGAGCGATCTAACTGTCACGGATGGAGACATTTTGGCGAATTAAGGGTTACTCACTGGCTTGAAGACGGGAATTTTCCCACCGCCATAGTAATGGTCAGGTTCAATATCTTCGACAAGCTCTGCTTCTTCTAATTGCTCCCTCTTGATCGAAGGTTCTCCAGGCACTGAGGTGGACTTTGAATCCAGCTCGAGGTCTGACAACTCCGAGGGAACCCCTTCAGGCGCAGCCTTCTTGCCGTGGGCGCTCTGGGGAGGTGTGATGGAAACGGAATCGAACTCGACGATATTACCCCCTCCTGAAACTTCCAGGCGAGGCGGATCCAGAGTTGCCGCCATCGTGAACAGCAGAAAGAAAAAGGTATGTAAGAAAGGAGGCGAAAGATTCAGGTGCCGTCGTCGAATAAAGCGACCGCTGATCGACGGCGATAGGGTGTGGTTCCCAGCGGTCGGGGAAAGCGACAGAGATCGGCAAGCCGGAGTAGGTAAAGGACGTAAACGTGGACTGTTAAAGGACTGACAAGCTTCGCAGGGATGAGAGGATGGTCGTGAAAGACTGCGATAGGAGTCGACGTAGGTGGTACGGAGGACGATCGCGCGATAAGGTCAGATCGGAGGCTCTTTTTTCCCTAGGGCGGAAGGGCCAAAGCAAAAGGGTTTAGTTCAAAGCGCCAATTAGAAAGGATCAAATGGCGACCAGTCTCCTGCGAGGCAGGAGGTGAAGAACAAGGGGAAGAGAAAAGGAAGCGGTTGGAGTTTCCCCAAAAATGGACCAGTCGATACCCGTTCCAATAAGACTGCAATCACGAACACAAGGTGCTAGACCAAGTTCGCCAGGCGCCAGGAGCCAGGAGCCATAGAGAAAGAGGAGGGTAGGAAGTTAGACCACCAAGAGTGGGCCAACCATGCAGGTGCTGGGGCGAGGGTGGAGTGGGTGCAGTGCACGATGGCCTGATTTCTCTGAGCAGGGGGCAGGGAGCGAAGAATGAGAATCAGGGTGAGGAAATGGGGATTGGGATTGGGATTGGACGAATCACAATCCAGTAGTATGGCAGGGATGGGGGCCGTCCGATCAGACGGGAAAAGTGGGCTTCTGATGGTGAAGGAGTTGCCGCGACGGCTGGACTCTCTGCGCTTCAGCCGGTCTTGGTCTCGACGGCTAAATGTGATGCCCGGGCTTGGTGCAAAGGGAAAGGGGTAGGATATGAAGGAACAATGCCTGGAACACCCCAAAATCGGATGCAGTATCACTTACCTTGGAATACGCAATTGTCAACGAATGTTCGAAAGTTTGAGCAGAAGAAAGGAGACGATCACAGCTCAGCTTGAGCGACTGCAGCTGCGAACTGCTGTTGCAACGGACAAGTCGATGGATATGGTCAGGTGATGTCACGTGAGATAAGAGATTACTACATACCATACATAACGGTATTTGGTGGATGTTACACGGAGCTTACGACAATATTTCGGTCACCAAAGGCGTATCAAATACAAGAGGTCTTTGCTCAGCATTCGGATACTGCCGGAGCTGATGGTGGTGCTATGCTATTTATTCGATCTCACGGATAAATATTTATTCAACGGAAAGACTTGAGAATCTTACTAGTATAGGTAGTCTTCGAGTGGATAGTGTTCTTAGGTTAGCTAGACTGCGCTTGTCATTCCTTCCCTCTCAATTCTACAGCATGTGCTTCGCACAGTGCCATAAGCGCGCTTCCAGGTGTGCTATTCGATTATGAGAGTATACAATGGACCAAGACATAGTACATCAATGAAGGATGTGCAAAGATTGGATTTATAACCTGCCACTCTATCAACCCGTGGCAGATGGGTAGTCTGTCTCTCAAAAAGCCAATATACGGATTCGAGCTAGCACTACTAAAACTGCCCGAGTCTATCGCTGCGTCGAACCATCGTTCTAAAGATTGATAAGGGACTCTCACACCCAGATACAGAGATCGCTATTCTACTCTGGATTCATAAATTTAGTAAGCAATACCGTCCGTCACTCCTCATTTCTCGACGTTTTCCGTTGACGTGAAAAATTTAAGCATTTGCAAGGGTTTAGTTGACAATTATCAATACATCTTGGTCAATATCTATCCCGAGAGGCCGAAATCTATGAATTATTATTATGCCCACTGCCCATTTAACTGCTCATCCAAGTTGATATATCCATCAACGACCGCCAACCCGCGCAACCGTTCCTGCTCGATGCGCTCCCACGTCCATTCCTCGGCGCTCCATGAGTCCGAGTTAGCCTTCTGCTGCTCCTCGAGAGCTTCGCGACTAGGAATCTGACCATCACTCAACTTCAGGACCTCCTGCACAAGAGAACCATCCACTCCTCCAGTAGCAGTGATCCCTTCACCACTGGCGGGAGTGCCGATGGCAGAAGCTTCGGTTGACGAGTCAGCGCCACTGATAGTCTGGTTTTCGACGGGCGGCGTGGGCAGAAAACCACCTAGACGGAGGATACGCTCCGGCGCAACCGTCAATCGCCCTTTCTTCACAACGTACTTGCTCACCGCCGTCGCCAGCAAGGTCTTCTCGCCACCGGCTCGGCTGGCGGGACGCAGGAAAGAGGATAGGATGTACATCCATTTCTTATCCCAAGAGATGACCTTTGAATGCACCTCATACAGCTCAAAGGGCTTGATCTCTCGCTTGAAGCTGCAATATACAGATCCAAGCACGATAATGATCGGCTTGCGCTTAGGTGCACGCTTGCCCTCCTTTCTAGCAGCTTCCAGGAACTCCCTGTCCAGCTCCTTGCTCACGAGGCCGACGCCGGGGCTATACAGACGGCTCACGAGTGCCGTACGTGACACATCCAGGTCTGTGAAGTAGGTGCTGTTGGATTTGTGCATGTTATAGTCCGTCTCCAGTAACGGAGTTCGGGACGTGATCCCCCATGACACGAAGACTGGATGTGTGGGTTTGCCCTGTGAATCCACAATAGCCTTGCCCTTGGGAAAGAAAGGAGCACTGGGCTTCAAGCGAAGGTTGACCAAGAAATGGTACAGCAGGCGGAGCTGGAAGATTGATCAGCAATGTCGCACAACATTCAGGGCAGAACCTGTTGTCCTCGAAAGCCAATTGCAACGGGTATGTACAGGCAAACCCTGCATTATGACTTACATGCCACACAAATGGGAGGTTCTTGAGGTTAATAATGGCCAGAATCAAAGCCAGGGTTTTCCACGTCGCTAGTGATCCGATGGCTGCCAGGAGGCCGTGCAGGCCCCCATTCTGAAGCGTAGATAGGACGGTTGACATTCTGAGAGATTGAAAAAGAAGAAAAGAATGGGAATCCCCCGTTAGCCAGAGCAGGCGGTCGATCGCTGGCCGATATTGCTTTCAGCTGGGCTGAATCGACAAGCGAGTAGTAGATGTAGTCCTGCCCGACGGGTGGTGTTTTTGTTTAATCAGGGGAGTTGAATCGGGAACCCCGGGCTCGGCATAAAGTTGATAAGGAGAGACAAGAATATTTGAATGAATAGAATTGCGACTGATAAAAGGGTAATCACCAGGAGGAGTGTTCAGCTCATGCCGACCGTGTCGATCATCTATCACAATCGTCACGGTCACGATGGTTCGTCCTTTTGTTGGGACCAAGGACCGAGGCCCCAGATTCCTGCAGGTACACGTGATGCTGACTCAGTCTTGGACAACCTTCCATAGTTAGTTAGTTAACCACCTAGGGCCTGACATTTATGCAGACACACGAACTTGATAATTCCAGTAATTAACAACATGTAGTTGGTCGCTACGTTATTTATCAGCTAGTCTAAGTCTCAGGCGCTGATGCTGGGTGGTTGAGTTGAAGTTCCAGTGGAGTTGAACATGGTGAGATCGGATGTGTGGATGTTCTTGCCTGGTTTATTAGGCACAAAGTATGCATTCATGGCCAGCCTCGTTTGCTTTTTTCCCCTCCATTCGGTCTCTACCAGAACGGACAATTGGTTCCTTGGTAGAATGTTACGAAAGCGGCCTCAAATTTGTCATCGAGTTGTAGTAATCTATAAATTTGATGGTGGCTAGGTAGATGGAGTCCTGCACAGTGAGGAGGCTGTCAAGCGGGCGGGTAAGTGGAAATATATTGCACCATAACATCCGACTTTATAAAATTAGTCCTAAGCGCACCAACTTCCCAGGACGTCAGCTTCTTGACGAGGACACAACCTGCCACCCGATCTACTCCCATCTCAATCCCCATTGAGTTTTATGTAACGGCACTGCGGCAACGACTCATTTCTCTTTATCGAGTGTTATGACTCTGCTCTGTTCCAATGCTTCTTTCCCCGGTTCCTGGGTTGTATATTTGAGTATTGCGTGTGACTGATCATCAGATACTTCAAGAGAATGGTCCAGTATCTGTGAACTAGTATTTGGATCGCCTGACTCAGCCAGTACCTCCTTCTCAAGCTGAATAACTTGCCGTGAAAATATAGCGAGCAGACGGGAATCCCAAAGACCTTCGCGATGAGGCCATTCTTCAAGAGTGTATAGGGCCTGATGTCTTAGAGCGGAATTCCTGCATTTCCAGCAAATGATGAACAGAGATGGAATGATGCCCATGTCCAGAAGTAATGTGGGCCTAGTGCCCGTCGCGCTATCCCTCTTGAAGCTTTGGGATATCTTGCTTGACAAAATCATCATTCGTTGGAAGCTGGTGATATATGTGCTGTAAATTGACTGATCGTGGCCGCAAAGTAAAGTCTCCACCAGTACTGAGAATGTGATGTGATGTAGGAGAATCAAATCAAGCCCTCGCTGTTCTTTTGATTCTGTCAGACGAATAAAATGAGTCATGGACACGTCAAGTTGTTGCCCAAATTCGCGTAATTGAGCTATTAATCTGTGCTGTTTGGCTGCCAACTCGGGATGTATATGGGCGACACGATCTTTGACTGGGAATTCATGAACGGCCACAAAGAGACGAACGCTGCTGGCCAACAGCTTATCTAGGGCTGTTCGTGCTTCTCGAACGGTTCTAATATCAGCCCCACCCGAATAATCAATCGTAAAGCTTAGACTGAAACTGATTAGAGGAGGTAGTCCAAAGAAAGCAGACTGAGTCTCCAAGCGAGCCATAGTCGCCAGGAGCATCTGTTCAACAGCCGTACGACAAGCCAGGACGCCAGATTCTTTGCTAGAGAGTTGCCTCTCTTCTTCAATTATCGCAAGCCCATTTTTCAAATGTAATAGCGCCGGGTCATATTGGCCGCGAAGTACATCGATCGCTACAAACAACAGGCAGCAAGTGAGGAGCACGTCACGCAGCTTCGGATCTTGCGAATATCGCCGCTCATTTAACGCAGCCAAGGATCGACCATACTGACCAAGTGCAAACTTCTGGCGACAATTTGTTAAATCTTCGCGCGAAAGAGGGGCTCCTCGCGATTGGAGGTCTTCATGCAAAGCAGCTAGTGCCACAACGGCATGAGTGACTGCTCGCTCGGAGTGGCTCAAGGGGAGGACTAGATCATTCCACAAGCGCGAGTCGAAGAAACCCGTCATATTGGGTATGGTTGAGGTTTGGAAATATGCAAATCCTCTTCGTTCCTCTGGACTTTCCCCGGGACTATTGTGCGTGGGTCGGCAGAGTGATAGAGCTGTGTGTACTTCTTGATCGCTTTTTCCAGTAAGTACAAGACGGACTACATCATAGCCGTCGCATTTCCATCCTGCTACTGTGCAGTTACGGCATGCGCCGGGAGTCTCATCACATTCCACTCGTCTGGCTCTGCGAGATATGAGCAAAATGCTGCGTGAGGTATGCCAGGATTGTAGGATTTATCTGAACGTACCGACATGTTCGACACCCGGTTCTTGATCGCCTGGAGAATGCCTTTCTCCTCGTTTGACAGACCATTATTGCAGGACTTCATCATGGAGAGACTCGCCGGAGAAATTCTTTTCTTACAAGACCATCGATGCCAAGTTGAGAGTGGGGGCCAAACAAGGCTGATCAAAATAAGAAACAGGATGATCTCATCTTGGCTGCCTAAAGCCAATCTCTGATGATGGTTAATATTTCCTCTCACAAAGTTCTATTATTAGAAGACTACTACTAGTCAATAAGCTTTTTAGAGGCACGATGCGGACATTCAGAGTTTCAAGTAAGCACAGCTATCAGGGCCATGACACCCAGCTTTAGGCAATCTTCAGGACCAACGAAATCACAAACGCGACTTGATATAGAATTTCAACATAAACTACTTCGACTTGCTAAGCACAAACATTTCAAGACGCTTTGTATCTGACTGCTCCGATTGAAGTATGTAGTTCTCGGGGAGACGTGCCACAAAGTCCAGCTCCAAGTATCTGCCCAAGCTCTTTATTTCGGAGTAAAGTTGATTGTACCGTGATTAACACTCGACTGTACACCGCTGTTATACGCTCCGAAGGTGGTATGAACTGAATTATCCGTAACTCCGGTCGCTTTCCGTGTAGATTCCTGGAGCGACGAGAACAGCTCTGTCAGCAGTCTCTGGGAAACTTCGAGTGCTTTGTGCTCTTCTTCCAACTGCTTGACAGCGTCTTGATATTCGACATCATCAGGATCCCCATCGGCATTGAGAAACTCTAGCTTCTTCTCCAATGCTGAGCTATTAGTCGCTGCTGCCTGCGAAGCATTCTTTAACTCTTCTTGGTGGGAAGCAATAAGCTTCTTGATCTCTTCTGTGATTTGACCTTGCTGAATGGACTTCATACTTTACATATGACTCTACGTCAGTAAAAGCATGTTGATGATGAAAAAGGGGAGGAGAATCATACAGTGTTGCGATGGTCACCACGGAGGTAAGCTTGGTGTGGCAGATTTGGATCTCACCATTCATTGAAGTGAGATGAGTCTTTCTGAAGAACCCGACCAAGGCTCGATCCAACACAGACAGACTACCGTCTTTAGAGCGGCGGGTCCACTTATGAACATCCGCGTCGAACCTCTCGCAAGCAGCGGTGCTGGAAGCAATTGTAGATTTCGCACTGTTGGCGACTGCTGGGCCCAGAGACTTCCATTCACTCTCCTGGAGACTCTTGACAGACGTAAGTGCCATATCGAGGGAGGAAATATTCGCAGTCATGGCTTTGATGTTTTGCGGCGCATCCTTAATTGCCTTCAAATCATTGAGGAGAATCCGAGTAACGTGCAACGCGGGCGCAACAATGCCCACGACGCCTGCGCCGATGCTGAGCGGATCGGTCATTTTGTCAAAGGTTGCAAAGAGAAACTTGACGAGCTGGAAGGACCTCATTGCCTTTTACTCCAAGGCGCTTAGTGCGGGGCATCTCAGTCACCTGATACCCAGCCTCAGCTGAAGGTGGGGGATTGTACAATTTTACTGATAGTCCCAATTGCCGCGCAGCACAAGGCTGGAATCGAATTCATGGTATACCAATGGAGGTGACGCGTTAGACGCTGGGATTCAAACCAGGACGGGAATGGCGCAATCAGCACCTAATTTTTCTCTCTCCCGAGACACGTTGCGAGATGCTCTCACATCCAGTCTAATTGATCAAACGCCCTGAGATGCCTGCTATACATCTCAGAAAAGAAAGTGCCTGTGGACTAGTGAGTACCCTCATGGTACGAATTGGCTTAGCAGCGCGAAATGTTTCAAATTAGCGCCCAAGAAACCCTGGACAAGGAACAAGCTCAAACTGTCAATACTTTTGGCCTTTTCATTTGCGCATAAGCAATTACTACATACACATGATTCAATTTCATTTCACATGTCATCCAAATGGGGCTCCTGCTCTGGCAAATTCTGATCATTCTTTCCCTTCACGGCCCCGCTTTTTTCCTTTGGATAGAGACTCTCGTAGATGTCCGTTTTATGTCGCTCGACATCGGCCTGGCTAATTAGTATTCTGTAGAGTGAGCCAACCGTCTCAGATAGAGGTTACTCACAGCGCTAAAATGCTCGGGCGTGTTTTGACTTTTCGTCGTCTGACTCTGTCCCTCGACGATGTTGGACTTCAGGGATGATGAATCAAAGTCATCTGGGAAGGTGGTGGCAACGTAGACTACATTTAGAAGCCGTTAGCATGAAGTCTCTGTGCCAGATCTATATGGATATTTGCATCGTACATTCTTCGTTGCCTTTCGTACTAGACTGGGTTTTGCCAGAGACCGAGGCTCTCGCGAGCCTAGTGATGTGAAACGCCGAAGGCTTCACAATTTGATGCTTGATCAAGGCTGGGTACATTTTGATTGCGAGGTTGGTAGGTATTTATTGAATGGAAATCATAAGAGGGACGTTCGTGCGGATATATCGAGCGTCTTCCGCTATTTTATGAGCAACGAGGGCAAGACAGGACTGGGTCATGATGATGTCAGTCATCTGATCGTTTAGCTTATTGTAGGATCCCCAATCAAATAGCTGAGGGAATGGCGGAAATTCGGACTGTCATAGTTTGTTGTTCAGGAAAGGCGAGATCGTATTGGTCCTATTGAACCACCGTACTGTGGAGGTGGCGACTTCGAGCTAACAATCCATGGTACCAGCTCAGTGGCATGACCGGCTTTCCTTGGGCTAGATTTGAAAGTCACAAATAGACCTCGATCAATTGAATTGTTCTACGTATTCTCAGGCTCACGGGCACCAAAGCTTATCGGGATTTCTGCTCTATTCCAAATTTCAGACCTTATTCATCGCCACTTGCTCGCTCTATTCAGGCTTTAGTGCTGGCTTTAGTATACATTCGACTTTTTGTCAAGAATATCAGGCCGATTAGGTTCGGACCTCAATCATACTTCGATCCAGACGATCGCAATATATTATGAAGATGTGGAACCTGATCTAGGCACCGCATCCCCAGCTCTACAACGCGCAAGCCGTGGCCGAGAAGGACGTGCCCACACAATTGAACTACCGTAAAAGGGCTAAATTTACCGCTACTATGATCCAATTTCCCATGAAATACTCCAGTCTCCTTTCTATGCTGCCCTTTACGATGTCAGTTACATATAGTCAGATATCGACCATTAATCCCATTCATGAACCTTGCATTCCATTTCTCACCTTCTAGAAAATAGCCATACAATTAGGCGTACTAGACACACCCCGTGCGCAATTCAACGGACTACTCGAAATAAAGAAGCTCCAACGACCCAACCTCTCACAAGTAGCCGCCAACTCATCCAAATCAAACATTTCCCCAATCGGCACTCCCCACCCCGCTAGCAGGTGATGGTGCAGATCATACTCCTCATTGATTGCCGGGAAAACCTCGAAGCTCACTGCATCAGACGCAACGGCCGCAAAGTGGTTATCCCATATGAAGCGCAGCACGCGCTCACTCTGCTCGATTCCGGCGTGCTGTGGCGTTGGTTGCTCGCTGTACGCCTTGCGTTCCTGTGCGGACATTGCTGCCCATGTTCCTGGCAGACCAACGCGAAGGAAGAATATATCTCCCTTCTGAAAGGTAATGTTGCACTCTTTTGCAATTTCTTGAACCTCGTCTAGGGAGATCATTTGTCGTGTGAGCGCGTTGAGAGGAATGCCTTTCTTCTGGGCGTAGGAGACGTAGTCGATTAATACACCACGACCTGCAATGCCCTTCTTCGCCCAGTATCCAATTCCAATGCGAGGAGATTGCGTGTCTTTGATTTCTTCGGCCGTCGTGCCTCCGTAAAAGACACCGTCTTTATTTGCATGATGTCTGAAGCCGTCCCACTGCGAGGATTGTTGAGGGTTAAAGTGGTATTCATCGTCGAATGCAACGCCCTCGGCGACCCATTTGATGCGGTGCTCAAAGGGCTTGCGACCGAATCCTGGTGGGTTCAAATTCTCAATGTCCCAGTTTAGACACACTCGTTCGCCAGTCTGGATCTGCGTTCGTGCGGCCTCTGCGACGATCTCTGGCGTTAGGATGCGCAACATGCCGAGGCCCTCTTCTTCTGAGCCAGCACGCGCAGGCCAATACCGGCGCCTGTCAGGAAGGTCATCGAAAGTTTTGGGAAGCGATGGGATTCCGGACATGTTGATAGGATGTGGTTAATCTGGTGTGGAGGATGCTGTCGAGTGCGGGCCGTGATGAGGACAGCTAGGAGTGTGCTTTGCTATTACGAGTGCCAGTTGTACTCCGCTTTCGTACGACGTTGGAGGCGGAGAGTTGATTTTAACCGGGTCAATTCCAGCAGAGCAGACTAGCAGCAGGCTATTTAAAGAAGCACCCCCACGATATCGGAGCAAGTCCGTGCCTCCATTGACGTGGGAATGACCCCGCAACCATTCGATCGGGCAAGTGGGCGGATGAGACCGGAAAGTGGGATAATCTGCTCTGGAAATGAAATATGATGTAGTAGTTCTCCAAAGCTTAAGTATTTGTAGTGAAAACGCGTTCTAAAGATAGATTTATTGTGATATACTTCGTGGATCACCACTGAAAGAGCAAGTCTCCATAAGATTCGTCCAGCCCACAGGTTTTACTAACAGTGCACCACTATGTATCCATGTAGTTTCCAGTTTTATTGTATCAAAAACATCGCCAAACGTCGATCAATTTTCGTACGCTGCTGTCGTACCGAAAACAAATGCCAATGAATGCTATAAGAGCTCTACCCCCATAGAGAAAAGTACATGATGTACGTTGGTGAAGCAGCAAAGAGGAAAAGAATTTACAGGTCATCCAGGTCGTCAGTCTTCGAGCCAGAGCTTCGCTTTGGCATATCAGACATCTCATACTCTTCCTTGCTGCCCGACGCGCCGGCTCGGTCCGAAGCAGACATGGCAATAGCCTGCCGGCCAGTATCGGATTGCTCGAGGAACTCGCGCAAGCGACGTTTGCCTTCCACGAGGGCCTGCTGGGACGCAGCCTCGGTCATTTTGAGGATAGGTCCCCACAGATTGAGCTGGTAGGTAACATAGGCACCGACAGCGCATACAAACAGCAGCAAGAAGTAAGCTGGGTTGCGAAGGACTAGAATTGTTGGACGTTAGCAACCGGACAAGGGACGAAAAAACCGTACGTAACTCACCCGCAATGATCTCATTCCAGCCCAAAGCCAGCAGGAGACCGTAGAAGTATAGTGGAACCTGGGTCATACCACCAATGGCACTCCGCTTAGCCTCGACGTAAACTCCATCGGCAGCCTTTTTGAAGCGCACAGTGAGCTCCTGGCGCTTCGCATCACCGAGAATAGTCATTTCCTCTTCCAGACTCTTGCCCTCATCCTCATCCACACCGCCAATAGGGGCCAAATCCTCCTCATCGTCGGGAGTCGCAGTGCTGGGAGTATGTCCGACCCATCGATCAAGCGGGGAGGAGCGTTAGTCTCGGCAAGACGGAATCGAGACAGTAGAGGAATCAGCGTCAGGGTAGACTCGCGAGCGCGTGTATAGATGCCCTCAATGTCATCGGTTGGGCGCCAGATCCGCGGCACGCCAGCCTCGTCATATCGGAACTTGTCCTCAAAGTTCTCGCGCAGCTTCAGCAGCAAGTTACCTTCGGTCATTTCCTCGTCAATCTTGGCGCGAAGCACACCCCAGGACTTGCGACGCAGACGCCACAGACCAACATCGACCTCTTCCAGGCTAGCATCGAAGCTGCTGGCACGGTCCGTGAATCTCCGCTCGGCATCAAGCACGGTCTCCACGAACACATTCCAGATCCGATCCCAGAAAGCCGTCTCAATGGGCTTGTCGCCATTTTCGGGTGCACCACCCCCAGCACGTCCAGAACCGAGGTTGTTAAACTCGAGTCCCACTGACTCGCCAAGACGAGACTGAACCCACCGTTCAACGCGGCTGGCCAATCGTCTCATCTCATCCCGCCGCAGACGACCGCTGACTTCGGCCAACTCCTTCTCATACAATCCCAGCTCCTGCTTATAGTTGCTCCAAGAGGCACCTTCCACCACCGTCGACCGAGCGACCTCCTCAAACTTCTCCAAAGAGGCTTTAGTTTCCTGATTAACGATTTCAGCGAAGTCGTAGTTGCCGCCCTTCTTCTGACCAGACTTAACAGCGTTGGTCACAGCCTCGCTGAAATCACGAATACCGGACTTGTGGGCAGCTGAGATCTGGCCGTGGAAAAGAGCCTTCAGTCGAGTATCAACCTTGCCCTCCAGCTCAGCCTTCTTACGCTGGTAGACTCCCTTGTGATAACGACTGGCCTCGGTCTCAAAGCCCTTGAGAGTCTTCGAGCGGGCACCACGCATGGCCACACCCAAGCCACCAATCACTTCCGGAGCGCCCAGGCGGACAGACTCGGCCTGCTTATCCTCAAATGCAGTAATAGCCTCGTCAAACCCGATCATCACTTCCCTCAAGATCTCGTCACAACGGAACTGTGCAAGCAGTTCCTGCTGCGTGGGCAGGTCCAGGTCCTTGTTGTTGACAATTTGGTCCCAAATACCCTCAGCATAATGCGAGAATCCATCCGCCGGAATTCGTCGATGGTATTCAGGCAGGAAGACCCCGCCCTCGGAGAACTCACCCTTGAGCGCATCCCGCTTCGGATCACGGTGACCCTCCCGGAAGCGCAGGCTTAATTTCTGTGTCTCCGTCACAAACTGTTCGGGTTGATAGCCCTTGTGCGGCAGCCCGTAGAACTGGAAGTCAAAGTAGTCATGGATTGTCGAATTCTCTAGCCCAGCAGGTTTTGAGATTGTTGACCACAGGCGAGCCAAATCCTCGAGCAAGGTCTTCTGGAGGTTCTTCAGCGGGGTAGTGCCGATGAAATCACGAATGACGAAGAAAAGGAGAGATCGATGCGTAGTGCTGGAGCCACCTCGTTAGTACCTTGCTACAGCGAGCACAGGCCATCATTGATCTACACACCTCTTGTCCTTCAAGAACAATTGCAGGTTGACCTCAAACACGGTCTTGAGCAGACCCATGTTGGCACCCTGATATAAACCCACTTGGTGCTCCCAAATGTTCACAATAAGCACCTCACTTGTCGCAAGCGCAAACAGAGCACTTTTGCGCTCAAAGTCTTGATCCTCGCCTCGTTCGCGACCATCGGTACCCTCCACATCCATCACTAAGATATTGTCCGCCATGCGGGTCTCCTCGGCCGAAACATCGCCTTGCTTCTTGTTCTTCGACAGCCAGATGCCCTTAGTTGTTTGCCGACGCTCTTGTTCGGCCATGACAGAGAACTGAGTACCGAACAAGTGGTTCAGCAAGGTGGACTTGCCGGTTGACTGCGAGCCAAACACCGAAATGAGGTGGTAGTTGAATCCGGCGGTGGTGACATCTTCGAGGGAGAGATACTTGGACAAATTCGGACTGCAGAGTAGCTGTCAGCATATCAAGTGAAGCTCAAAGGTGCGATTGCTCGCCCGACCTGCAGCTGCAGGTGGGCGCAAGAGCATTGTGTCGGCGGGTCGTACTTGAACTCCTTATCCCCGTCAATGACTTGCACTCCATGCTCGTAGGAGGTGACATCACTGTTATCACCGATCGTAGCAAAGTGGCCGTTCGCCATGATAGGCGGTGCTGTCGGGGTCCGGCCCAGTCCTGACGGGCGTTCGGACATGGTCGCTGCTATCGCACTCTGGAGGTGGTGTTGTGGGGACAGGTCGCTGGGAGGTTGAGATGGTGGCGAAAGCAGGTGGGAGAAGCGGGATCGAGGAGGTTGGGGAGGAGGTGAATCATACAAGGAAACGCAGCAGCACAGGATCAACCAAGTAGAAATCGGAACAAGTCAGGACGATCACAAGGCCGTTGCACGAGTGCCGTGATCGAATGGTCCCGAGGTCGTTGGTTGCTGGGGGAAAGGTAGTCTTACATAACCCCCTTTAATTTGGGGGAAACTGCGTCACTCGGGAGATCTATACGGGACCAGGTAGATTATTTAGTTGTGTCGAACCACGAACTCGGTTTTTTCCAAGAAACTATCATCTGATCTCATTATTCTGAGGGGCAATTTTCCAAAAAAAAAAAAAAAAAATAAATAAATTTAAGAGAGTAATTAGAGAAACAGAGTATTATACAGTCCAGCAGCAATACTCACCCCAAAATGAGTGAGAGGTATACCGTACTGTAGTTCCCTACTCGGACCAGTTCAAATTCCAACCATAGTCCAACCCAAGATCAACAGCTGGATTCGGCCAGGTGAATTGACCAAAGTCATCAAACAGCCCTGTGAAAGTGTTGGACTCTAGCCCCGCAAGAGTGGTGCTTGAAGTATCCTCGCCTTGCGGCAACGGCTGGATGGGATACCCGGCCTCGGTCCCAAGCATGGGACTGCGGGTATTTGAAGTTCCCATCGTGTGCGTGGTAGATGATCCGTCAATGTCAGACATGGGGGGAGTATATAGTGGACACGGGTCCGGTTTGGATGAAGAGGCTGCTGGTGGCATCGAATTTGGAGTAGTATCATCCTGTTCTCTGTTGTTGGGTCTCAACAACTTGGTTCCAGCCCCCACAGTGATCGTGCCAAAGTAAGGCACCGTGACCTTGCACGTAGCCGATGATGTCCAGTTCCGGATTTGTGATCTGGTATGAAAGATAGCCCCGAGGATATTTGCAGACTCGGCAGCTACAGATCCACCCCTCTTAGTCGCAGCCTGCCGAAGAATTTCGATCACTTCGCCTACAAGCTTCCAGTCCTGCTCGTCTTGCTGCTGGTAAGAAGCCGGTGATTCATCAAAGTGGCCGTGAAGGTAAACGATGAGAAGCATGCTCATTGTGAAGGCAAAGAAATCAATCATCTGGCACAAATAAGACCTCGTCATCGATCGAAGGACTTTGTACAGCACCAAAGCATCCCGTGCAGATTGAATAGCTTCACGATGGCAGAAGCTAAATCGCTGATCGTGAGGGTATTTGAGCAAGAAAGGCATGTGTAGGAGAGCTCGGAGCACTTTGGGCATGAACTGCAAAGGAATCCGCGCATGGAATTGCTCCCGTTCCTCATTAGGCCCGGGGGCTGTTCCATAGAAGCTGTTTGGCAAGGCTTTCCAAGCATCCATAAGCTCTCGATCGAGTCTCAAAGTCGTCTCTAGGCACATATCCGCTGAGTTCTGGTTGCGGTCGACCATATGTCCAGTGATGACACCAATACGCAACAAATACTGTTCCGGGGCACTAACACCCATATCCAGACGCCGTTCGACCTGCGGTGAGAAGAATGATTCCGAGACCCCATATGGAAGACCAAGAATCAGACTCAACGATCTATCCGCAGTGTTCAAAGAACACCATATTCTCAGTCGTCGCTCAAAAAGAGTGTCCGAAGGCCGTGGAGTACGAGTAGACAGGTGCATGCCTGCGAGATGCGCAAACTCAATGGCTCGTCGGTTGATCAGCCACGCCTTGCGGAGCCGACCCTCGTTCAGATGATACTTTGAAAGCAACATCTGAGCTTCGATGCCAGGAAGCGTTGCGGCAAAGTCATCGTCACGAACGACAAGACGATCCACAGCTGCCGTACAGCGAGCGGAAAACTCTTGCGGATCAAAAGGCTGTTGTAGAGAACTGAAACTGAACTCGGGCAGTAGATGGATGACACTAATAGCAAGACACACAACAGACTTGGCAATTTCGGCGGGCGCAACCGTGCTCTCGCCAAGTTCTAACGGAAAATCAAACCGAGCCAGAAGCTCTGGGAAGTGCTCGTCCCAGAGACACCATAGATGTGAAGTTTCCGCGATGACTGTGCGAATGTCTGAGGGTGGTGGAAGCAGGGACACAAGCTCCGCTCGTACTGCTCGTGCCTTTGGTGATGTGTCTTTTGATCCTGCGAATCGATCATTGCTATCCGAGTCCTCATGACGGCTCAAAAGGTAGTTGTCAAACAGCTGCATTACTGGGGCGCTCTGGATTTGATCGCTGGATGGGCCAAGTTGATCGGATTCAGTTGCTGGTGGAGTTGCCTCTGTTTGGGGGCGATTCAGGGCTAAGGGAGTCAGCACGAGGTGCGCTCAATCGAATGCAAAGCAAAGAAAGTCTCACAGGGTGTGTTGTTGGCGCTCGGCTGATCCAGCCGTTTGGAAAGCTCTTGAACTACAGTCTCCAGATGAGCTACCCGCTCCCGAAGACTATATCGCTGGTCTCCTTGATTAGAGCCTGGTGCGGATCCAGGGTCGTCGGAGTTATGCTCCTGGTCAATACAGGTAGATCCTCTTAATCGACATTCATTGCAGGTCTCAGGACGGTCTGGGTGATAAGTGCAACGAATCTTGCGCCGGCGACCTGTCGGGGGATTTTAGTACTCCACGCATTAGCGACAAGACTGTCTATCCTCCATGACATACACTCGACACAACTCTTGGTCCCCTTTCGCATTTTCTTGCGAGGGGGGCCATTAGAATCACTCCAGAGATCCATATTCTGGGCTTGCGACAACACAAGATTCAAATAGCTCGCCCAGGATTTCGCGCAAGCGAGTTTCTCGTAATCGGCGTAGGCAGATAGGTGGCGGGAACCAGCCGGAGTGTAGTGACGGTTTCCAAGAGCACTATTCGATTTGAGAGGACGAGGTAGGATGCAGAGAAGTGTAAGAGTATTTCAAGAGCGGAATCTGGAATATTTGTCAAGAATGAACGTACGAGGGAGCTCAAAGATTCATAATCTCAAGACCAATCGCGTTAGACGGCATGGCCTCATCAGTATTTGGTGCGTGGGGATAAGAGCGCTCCGATAGTCAGTACGGGGCAACGAACCTACCTCATCACAGTCACAATTAGACAACTGTAAAAAATAGCTTGTGGAAGAAAAGAACGTATAAAGATCTGGAACTGATGTCAATTAATGCGGTGCCTTTACCAATATTGAGAAGCCTCTCTTGGGAGGCCTTGACCCAGAGAGGTATGTTTATAGAAACGACTATAGCTCATCTCGGGATTCTTTAATTTACATTGAACAAGTGTTCGAATGGACTTGGAAGTGTAAGCCCTAATTGATTAGTTGATTATATGGCCTATACTGCAGATAGAGTGGGCAATAGTTATTGACAAGCATCATAAGCGGTATTACTGGGCTTAGTGGATAACTAGAAGTGTTGGACCTATCTAAAAGAGTAAGACAGAGCTTCAAATCGACGACGACTGGCGCGTTATCGTTCCAGGAAGTCAAGTCAATGGGTTTGTAAGAATGCTCTTTAATGTGTCTTGAGCTTCATATTGCACACGTTCCTGTACAAATCCAACAGTGTTGCTGAGCAAAGCACTGATTGTTGGGGGGATGCCCGTTGTAGCCAGTGGAATTGGATCACTATCGTGAATTTGAGGTGGACGGAGCGGATAGTTTCTTTCATCTTGTACAGACATCAATTGTACAGACTTGATATGTTTCAATTGTCTTCTTCAAATCATCTTTAAAAGGCATCTTAACGTCTAAACCTCAATCGTTTTTGATCCCAAAGCGTGCCGCGAGTATTGTCCAGGACGCACCCCTTCCCGGAACGGGAGCTTATTGCAGTATGTGTAATATAAAGAGTCGTCAACTCTGAACTTCTGAGAAATGAAATCAAACTTGTAGTCTCTAGGTTTCATGCATCGCAAGATTCGGTAACGGATAGTCATCAATAGGTAAGCCATCTGGATGGATCATCAATGATTGATATTAAGGACAAATTTTCAAGAGCTAGGAAAAGCTTCTGTTTCTCGATTAAAAAGGATTATTTGGATTCATATCTCCAGACATGTCGTGCACAAAGCTTAGTCGTCTTCAAGCACTTATCCTGTTCCATATGGGCAGGGTGTTTGACAGTCAATGACCAAGACCCACAACAAGTGAACTAATTCCACGCGCGGTCATCCGGCGATCCGAGACTTGGTCCGGCGCATCCGGCCATCGTCCGTCCATTGCGGCCGAATGACATGGACGCTCCCGTCCCCAAGACATGCGACCAGATCGCGTTATTACTCGCCGACAGATTAGACTTCAAAAGGGTCGGCTTAACTCCAAGTCTCGATGTGAAGTGTTGAATTTTACTTTTATTTTGAATACAATTCCACGGGAGGAGGGGAGAGAAGATAGAAGATACAACCGACTACATCTCCAATACAGTAGAGGTACATGAACAAAGATTCAAGCGAAAACTCCAGCTTTCTCCCAGATCCCTTGAGCTGATCGACGGTTCCCGCGCTGTGAATATAGGATGACAGACAAACAAGACAAGAAAGAAGAATAATAAGGGGGTGTCATAATACAAGGGCTAGATCAGCCTTTAATCGAAATAATGATCTCGCCAAGGTCGAGCAAGACCTATTTACTGTCCATCACACGGGTGATCAGACCAGTGGCGACGGTGCGGCCACCCTCACGGATGTTGAAGCGCTGACCGGCCTCGGCAGCGACGGGGCGGTGGGTAGCGAGGACCATCTCAACGTTGTCACCGGGCTGGACGCGGCGAGACTCATCGCCATCGGGGAAGGTGAGGTCACCAGGTTCGTCTGTATTGAAAGAGTTAGATTTGGTGAAAGTATTGGGATATGTAACGTATGAAACTTACCAGCAGTGCGGAGGTAGACCTGGGGGCGGTAGTTGGCACCGAATCCGGTACGGCGACCACCCTCAGCCTCGGTCAGAACGTACATGGAGACCATGAACTTCTGAGCAGCCTTGGTGCTGCCGGGCTGGGCAATGACCATACCACGGCGGATGTCCTCACGACGAACACCACGGAGCAGCAGACCGGAGTTGTCACCAGCGCGGGACTCGTCACAGGTTTTCTTGAAGGTCTCGATGTCGGTGACCTTGGTCTTGATGGGGGTGTCAGAGCCACCAACGATCTCAACCTCGGTATCCTTCTTCAGCAGACCACGCTCAACACGGCCGGAGGCGACAGTACCACGACCGGGAATGGAGAAGACCTCCTCAATGGACATGAGGAAGGGCTTGTCGAGGTCACGCTCGGGGGGTAGGGATCCAAGTGTCGACAGCGGTCATCAGGGCATCGATACGCTCGGCACCAATGTCGGGGCGGCGGTCCTCAAGGGCGCAAAGGGCGGAACCGAAGATGATAGGGGTCTCCTCACCCTCGAAGCCATAGGTGGACAGAAGCTCACGCATCTCAAGCTCGACGAGCTCAAGCATCTCGGGGTCATCAACGGCATCGACCTTGTTCACGAAAACGACGATCTTCTGGACACCGACCTGACGGGCGAGCAGCAAGTGCTCACGGGTCTGGGGCCTATGAAGACAGAACATGTCAGCACGACTCTTAAAGGGATGAAACTAGGAACTGATCATACATCTGACCGTCGGAAGCAGCAACGACAACGATGGCACCATCCATGTTGGCAGCACCAGTAATCATGTTCTTAATGTAATCAGCGTGACCAGGGCAGTCGACGTGAGCATAGTGGCGGCTCTCGGTCTGGAACTCAATGTGGGCAGTAGAGATGGTGATACCACGCTTGCGCTCCTCAGGGGCCTTGTCAATGGAAGCGTAGTCGAGGAAGTTGGCCAGACCCTTGGAAGCCTGGTGCTTGGTGATAGCGGCAGTCAGGGTGGTCTAGATGGGATGAACAGGTTAGATACATCGAACATCAGACTTTCATGGCATTGAATCCTCACCTTGCCGTGATCGACGTGACCAATGGTACCAATGTTAACGTGGGGCTTGGTGCGCTCGAAGGCAGTGGCCAGGCCACGGGCAGCCATCTTGTCGCTGGCGAAGACATGGTGGACGGGGTTAATGGTGCGCGGGCGCAACAGAGACGACCGGCTGGTGCGCGCCAGGAGGTTAAGGGAACGGGTAATGCTCGACATCTTGCAAAGAGAAGCCCCAAAGAAACGATGGACAACGAGGAAGCAAAAAGGAAAGTCGATGGGAGGAAGAAGAGAGTCGCGGAATCAACAGCCAAATTTTCGGGACCGCCAGGGAACGCTTAGTCATGCAGCGACCAATCAGGGGCCGCGAATTGCGGAGGTCCGGCTGTCATCAACGACAAGATCGTGGAGATTTCGACGAAATATGCCAAATTGTGGGCCTTTAATTAGTCTCAAGAGGGAGAATATTAGTTCAGGTCTTGGTTATTCAAGTTTGGAATGCCACCAGATGTTGACAACAGCACCCGGACTGTCCAAGTTCCGTCAATACTTAAGTGACCCATCATCAATTCAATTGATACACCATATAATGCCAATTATCCAAAAGGTAATGCTATATATGACATCAAAAAAAGCGTGAACATGCTATACAAAACCCGGCCCCTTTTTTCCAGGGCGTGATTAGGTCTCCTTTTTGACCGTGATGATCACCTGCTTGCCTGGCTCTCCCTCCATTGCTTTGACTTGAGTCGCCCCAACTTCCCTTGTGGTGTCCAATACACTCTGTATGACCTGCTTGATTTCATCCACAGTGGGCGCGCGCTTGGCCTTCTTCCGCTTCATGATCACCTCCACTTTCCGGCCTTTCTCCAGGAAGTTGGTCAACTGCTTCAGACGATGAGACAGATCATGGGCGTCAATTGCCCAATTCAACTCAATCTGCTTCGTCTGCACCTTTGCTACTTTTGCGGATTTCGCTTTGGCCTTTTCGTGTTGCTTGGCTTCCATCTTGTTCAAGATCTTGCAAACGGGCGGTCGTTCGCTTTCGGCGGGGGAGACTTGCAGGAGGAAAAACTTGCTGCGGTCGAAGGAATCGAGAACCTCAGCTAGTCTTCGGGGAGGCATGAGGTTTTGCTCTTCGTCGACTAGTTGTACAAGCCGAGTGCCAATAGCTTCGTCCTTTATCTGCGTGGGAGCGTTGGGTGTTCGAACGACAGGCAGTGCGAGGCGAGGGGACATATGAAAGCAACGCTGCTGGGAGGCATTACAGAGAGGCCGTGGCTGCACAAAAAATGCCTTGGGAGTACGAAGAGGAGCGATGAAGGTCTGGCGCAAGGCCTGCGCTGTGGACACGAGACCGCGCATATGGTTCATGTTGCCGGCGTGGAAGGTGACGCAATGGAAAAAGCGGTTAGGATATGAATCGGTGCGAGAATGAGCCCAACCCTCAGTCAGGATGAGCGGGTTTGCAAGTTTTGGTGGTCTATGACGGGACGGTTCTTGAATCTGATCGAGCTGGTCGAGCTGTGGTCGGCCGGCGGAGAGTGGCAGTTGACCTCTCTGGGGAAGACCGCATCGAGTAATAGCCACGCCACATCTGCGCCACAGACCGAGAACCCTGAATTTGCCCTCTCCTTTCTCTCTCTCTTGTTTTTCTTTCTCGTCCATCCCCATCGTCAATTTCACCATTTCCTTGCTGGGCTTTATTTGAGGTTCCCGGAGGATCAATGGTTTCGTGTCTTTTGTTCTGTCCTGTTTAACCCTTCCGATCGTTACCCTCTTCGTCGCTTTCGGTGGCAACTCCCGCCATCTGTTATCTTGCCCGCCGCGGTTTGCTCGCATGTCGACTGGAGTCGACGGCCAACAGCAACCCCAAAAGTTCATAGACTCGGATTCCGGTGCCCGTCATCGTTCGGTGTCTCGCAGTAACGGCTTTGTTGTCCAGCTGCCCGTTGAATCCGATCGAGTGTTCGACAAACAACCCGACAAGATGGTTTCCCAAAGTCAAAAGTCTCGTTGGGTGAAGACCGGCGGTATTGTCGGCTTCATTTTCTTGGTTCTCTTGTGGCTCTCACCGTCGAAGCCCGTGGTTTCCAGTTTCACCCAGGGTATGCGCCGGAGAACCCGCCAAAGGCAATGCTACTTGACGTCGGCATAACAACTAACAGTCTTCCTTTTGTTTAGAGAAAGCGCCTTCTACTGGTGGTGTCTCAACAAAGTGCACCAAGCCTTTCGATTCATCCAAGCCTCTGATTCAATATGCCCTCATGGTCGACGCCGGCAGTACTGGTTCTCGTATCCACGTCTACCGCTTCAACAACTGCGGCTCCACCCCGGAATTGGAAAATGAAATCTTCGAGCAGACCAAAAGAAGGAGGGTGGCTCTGGCCTCAGTTCCTACAGGGAGGATGCTGAAGGCGCTGCTCGCAGTTTGGATCCCCTTTTGGAGGTTGCCTTGCAGAACGTTCCCGAGGAGTACCGGTCTTGCACCCCGATTGCTGTTAAGGCTACCGCTGGATTGCGTCTCTTGGGCCCTGAACTCAGCAAGAATATCCTGGAAGCCGTGCGCACTCGCTTGGAGACAGTGTATCCTTTCGCCGTTGTCTCCCGCGAGAAGGGTGGCGTTGAGATCATGGACGGCTCCGACGAGGGTGTGTACGCTTGGATTACCACCAACTACCTCCTAGGCAAGATCGGTGGCCCAGATGAGACTCCCACTGCTGCTATCTTCGATCTTGGAGGTGGTTCTACTCAGATCGTGTTCCAGCCCACTTTTGAGAAGAGCAAGGCTGGCGGTATGCCGGAGCACTTGGCTGAGGGTGACCACAAGTACGAGCTAAAGTTTGGTGGCCGCGAGTTCGATCTCTACCAGCACTCTCACCTCGGCTATGGTCTGATGTCTGCCCGCGAGTCTATGAACCGTGTTGTTCTCGAGGCCATGCTTGCAAACAACCAGAAGGACTTGTCCTGGCTGAAGGAACCAATTTCCAACGCTTGCATTCAGCCCGACATGGAGAAGGAGGTCACTGTAACCTTCCCTGATGACCATCCTCTTGGTCCCAAGGTCACTGTGACCATGGCCGGTCCTCGGGACGCTTCCGCCGCTCCGCAGTGCCGTGCTATTGCTGAGAAGATTCTGAAGAAGGATTCTGAGTGCAAGCTGGCTCCTTGCTCTTTCAACGGTATTCACCAGCCATCCCTTGAGAAGACTTTCTCCCACGAGGATGTTTACATCTTCTCTTACTTCTACGACCGTACTGCGCCGCTGGGCATGCCCTCCTCATTCACCCTTGATGAGCTGCACAAGCTCACGGCTACCGTCTGTAGCGGTGAGGATAGCTGGAATGTCTTCGAGGGCGTCGAAGATGCGCTCAAGGAACTCCGTGACCGTCCGGATTGGTGCATGGACCTCAACTTCATGATGGGTCTCCTGCACACCGGTTACGAGATGCCTTTGTCCCGTGAGGTCAAGATCGCCAAGAAGATCAAGGATAACGAGCTGGGCTGGTGCCTTGGTGCGAGGTATGTTTCACAATTTCCATCTATTCGTTTTATATTCAGTTCAGATTTGCTAACTCCAATATTTAGCTTGCCTCTTCTTAGCCAGGAGTCTGGCTGGACCTGCCGTATCAAGGAAGTCTCATAAGCTTCCGCTTGGCGTGATGTTCAATTTACCAATTTTAATCATATGGTTCGGCCATAATACGTGATGGGTCCATGCATATAAATAGATACTCGACACGCTTTGTCTTTTCTTCTTCCATCTTGTCTTTATATAGACCTTTTTATCAACCTTTTCATTTTTGTCCATCTTGTTTTCTAAGTCTCGTCGTGGAAGTTGTGTGGAACGTAATGACATCTCCCTTGAATGCTATATATGTGCTTCACATATAACATTGAGAAACTTGTATGGCTCTGGAAGACTATGTCTCTCCTCCCACAGCCTCAATATACACCAAAGGCACAAATCTGTACAGCCGTTGGATTTCAGTATATGCAGCTATATACACCGGATTTTGTCCGCCGGGTAGGGCTTTCCTGTCTAGGCTGCCGCCGCTTTAATAAGGGCGATCAGGCTCAGGCTCAGTGAGTAAATGTCAGCACGCGCTCATGCTCAGTGATCTGATCAGTACAGTCATATGATCGCTCAGTGACCAATCAGCGGTGCTTAGTAATCGCTTAGTAGTGGATTAGTTAACTAGTTAGTGATCATCGATGGGTGCTTAGTAATAGCTCAGTGATTACTCAGCCACTGCTTACTCACCAGGACTCATTATCCAATTAGCGAGCGGTAATTCTTTCCCTACAGCCTAAGTTAGACTATACCCAAAAAGGATATGCCCTATAGGGTTATCTATTCTGTGATACCTAGCGCGTTAATAGTACTTCTAAGGCCCTCCTATTCTAGAGGCCTCTATCTAATCAAAACTAGCCTAAACGACAAAAGTGAAGTAGCCTATCCTATTCAAGATTATATAGTTTAAAGAGGCCTTTATACTATTATACGTCCTATAACCTAAAATATTAAAGGAGACTTTGTCCCCTCTACGGCCCTATTAAAAGTAATATATATTTTATTACTTATATTATAATCAACTACTCCTCTAAGTCTGCCTCTTCCTCTTTAAGCTCACGATTAATATCCTGTTATAGGTCGAAAAGCTTTTTCTCTAAGCGTGATAAGAAGGCTAAAGAAAGGCGTCGTCTCTTACGGCAGAGGAACGGCTATATCCCTAGAGCCTATAAGAAGGAAGACGCTGTTCGAAATAAAGATAGAAAACTTCCAAGGACTAAAAAGTTATACTAATAAACTGTGAGATATAGGGCAAGATGCCTAAACCGTCATGCACTTTATGCTATACCATCATCACTGCGGTCAATGACATCAAGTAAGACGTATACAACAGTATACGATCTACATCATCACTACGGTCAATGACACGATCTACATCATCACTACAGTCAATGACATCGTACAATCAAGCAACCACCGATCAAACAGCTACTGCATGAGATCACTATGCATCTAGATCTATCTGCATGAGATCATCATGCATCATCTAGAATGATCACATGCAAGAGACAAGTTGATTATAAATATGCCCTGCTTTCTCTACCAAGATAAAAATTATATATATAACAAAAAAAAGCAAGATTCAATACAATCAACCAAGCTTCAGTCCTACTGTGAGCAAGCGATGCTGCGCAGGTTGGGTAAAGAGGAAGATAAATTAAAGATGATTAAATAAGATCGATTGATCTTTCTTCCTCTTGATTGAATAGGAAGGATAAGTTCAATTCGGCTTAGAATCATAAAGATGAGAGAAAAGTAAAGTAGGACTGAAGCTTGGTTGATTGTATTGAATCTTGCTTGTATATGCTGCATGGCGGTCTGGCTTGATAACATCCTGCCCTATATCTCACACCCCCCCGTAATCTTTATACTATAGTGCAGATAGCAGTAGAGTATAGAGATTAGTATAGAGTAGATAGGATCGATATATATATATACTGCTATAAGATAGCTAGATATATATCTTCCTAAATCTCAATCTCACAGGGTTAAGTGGTTCCTTCCGCATTCGCGTATAGAGTATGGAAAAACCTATTTAGGTGAAAACCATACTCGAAGGTATCCATGATATTATATATCAAATTGGATATATATATAGCTAGATCTCATAGAGATTAGCTAGATTCTTCAGGTCTTCAAATATTTCTCTTCTGACATTTTTAGTCAGGAAATCTGCTAATTGCAGTTTAGTGGGGACGTATTGAACATCGACCCTTTCTTGTTTGACCTGATCTCTGATATAGTGATATTGTATATCAATATGCTTCGTCCTTTTGTGAAATTCAGGGTTTTCGGCTAGCTTAATAGCTGCCTTATTATCCACTAATATAGTAGGCTTGCTAGGCGTATAGCCTAGGCCTAATCTATCGTTTAGATAGTTGAAGAGATTAGCTAGATAAATAGCTTCTCGTATAGCTTCTTTCATAGCCATATATTCGGCCTCGCAGGTAGATAGAGCTACTGATTTTTGTAGCATCGAATTCCAGCTCACTATATTATTAGTGGCTAGATCTCCAGATAGGCTAAATATATAGCCAGTAGTGGATTTTCTACCATCGATATCGCCTGACCAATCAGCATCAGAGTAGCCTTTTATATATAGGTCATTCCCTGTGCAATCGTAGTGTAGGCCTAGATTTGGCCGATATTGTAGATATTGCCATATCTTCTTTAATTCAGAGATATGTGATTGGTCAGGATTGCTCATATATCTTGAGCAATAGGCAACTGGATAGGCTATATCAGGCCTAGTCTTTAGGCTGGTATAAAGTAATGAGCCAATCTCTTTTTGATAGAGATTAATAGTTTGCTCTGAAGCTTTTGATTGATTTTTTCTTAGGTGGATCCCTGCTTCACCCGGCGTTTTCTTTGGCCGTTTGCTAGTAGTAGCAAATTTTGACAAGATCTTTGATATATAATCATTTTGATCGATAGTTATCGATTGATCTTGATAATTCAGGCTGATATTATTGCCTAGGAAGGTGGCTAATTCGCCTATCTCTTCCAATTGGATATACTGCCTAGCCGCAGTAGCTAGCTTATTTATATAAGCTAGATCTTTGTGTATAATGATTATATCATCAACATGTGTGATGATAATGGCCTGGGTTTTGCCATTTATATATATTCCCTCGTCGATAGGAACTCTATCGAATCCGAGGTTCGCGATAGCCTTTGTAAAGAATTCAGACCAAAGCCTTGGTGCTTGCTTTAGGCCATATAGGGCCTTCTTTAGATAGCAGCACTTATTTTGATGATCTTTTGGCCTATATAGGCCAGTTGGCAAGATAGTATATATATCACTATCGATATCAGCATGTACGAATGCGTTTTTAACGTCGTATTGCCTGATATGCCATTTTTTATTCATCGCGATTATCAGCAATATATGCCAGGTTTCTGTTCTGGCAGTAGTAGAGAAGGTTTCTAGGAAATCAACACCTAATCGTTGATTAAATCCTTGTATAACCCATCTAGCCTTATAGCGAATCGTTTTGTTCGCATTAGTAATATAATTAGCCTGGATGCCTGTGGCATTCTTTATAGGCTTCTTTTTGAATACCCATCTGCCCCTAATAGGTGTTACACCAGGGGGTATATCAACGATTTCATAGGTTGCCTGATCTATCAGGCTTTGATTTTCGTCCTGACAGGCCCTATACCACTCATTCCTTTCAGCTGATTGCATAGCTTGATCAAAGGTAGAGGGTTCTTGATCAGTTCCTGCCGATAATATATAATCGGTAGGCTGATCGTTGATAATAGTCTTTATAAAATCTCCTAGTAGCGTATCTGATATAGTATATATATCTTCGCTATCTTTGGTAGATTTTAATGATGGGATTTGGATCTCTATCTTATGAGACGGATCCGCTGCTATAGCAGCTTCCTTACTAGCAGTTTGCTTAGTAGGCTTACTAGCTGATTTGCTAGTTTCTTTACTAGCTGATTTGCTAGTAGATAGGCTAGTAGATTTGCTAGTATATCTAGCAATCTTCTTTTTGATAGGGTTTGCTGCTTGTTTAGCAGATCTTTTCTTGATTCCTGGTTCCTGATTGGCTAGATCAGATTGATTCTTCAGGAATCTACCTTCTAAGATAGTAGGGTCTCTTGACCAAACTGTCTTCTTCTGCTTCAGATCATATAGCTTATAGTGCTTCTGCTCACTATAGCCAATAACAATAGCTATAGATTTTCTTGGCGATAGCTTGCTAGGCAGGTTTTTGTTTGTATGATAGTAGGCAATAGATCCCCAGGTCTTTATATGCCTGATAGCAGGTAAGCGCTTGTGATATATCTCATAGGGTGATTTGAACCCTAGAGCACTGTGTGGGGTTATATTATATAGATAGGTAGCAGCCAATAAGGCTTCTCCCCACATATCTTCTTTTAATCCTGATTGGATTAATAAACATCTGACCTTGTTCATAAGTGTCAGGTTTATGCGCTCAATTAGGCCATTTGGCTCTTTTGTATAGATAGGCGTAGTTCGGTGTATAATACCGTATCTTCCTAATAATATATGGAAGTTATCATTCACGTATTCAGTACCGTTATCGGTAAATATCTCTTTGATCTTCTTATTAAGCTGGTTTTCAACCAATTGCTTATATAAGGTAAATTTCTTAATAGCTTCGTCTTTTGATCGAAGTAGAGATATATGTAGATATCTTGATGTTTTATCAAGAAACGTGATGTAGTAGCGATAGCCATTATAGGTCTTAGGGCTAATAGGCCCTCCAATATCGCTATGTATTCTTTCGCCTATGCCGTATTCGGCAGCAGAAGTAGAAGATTTATTGATCTTCCTGTCATATTTTGACTGTATGCATATTTCGCATATATCTTGCATATAATCTCTTATCTCAGTATCAGATAGAGATATATCGGCCTGGCTTAGTAGCCTTTGTAGTGGTATTAGGCCTATATGGCCTAATCTATCATGCCAAAGTTTTAAACTAGTAATATTGCTAGTACTTTGGATAGATTGATCTTGATCGATTTTTTGATCAGAATCTACCTTATGTGGCTTTGTATGCATCACATATAGGGTAGTTCGATATAGATTATCTTGCTTATGCCCAATCA